ATTTTACCTTTTGGCTTTTTTATTTACTTTTCTGTTTCCCTCGTCACTACTAATTCAATTAACTCCTCGACTTCGTTCGGTTGGATTTCTCTGCCCTTCAATTAATTACCCGGCACTTGTTGTCCAGAAGTGGCCACCGCCAGAGAGAAGCCGATGGAGATACCCAGATAGATACCTGAGGAACACCTCCCGAGGAGTCCAGAAGGGACAGCCACTTCAAGACTTGCCTGCTTGGGACTTTGGGTAGGTCAGGTCAGGCAGGCACCAGGGACCACTAGTTGGGTATGCTTTAGTGGCCTGGTCCGCCGGAGGAACCTGGCACCCCCTCCGACACCGCCCCCGAACGCCCTCTAATCTGCCACGCCCTGCCTGCCTGCCTGCCTGCCTGCCGGTCTTTGACCCATTCCTGGTTTTTCGGTTTATTCCCCGCAGAAATGCTAGGCTCCTTAGGTCACTAACTCACTACGTATGTATGTACCTATGGACGTACGTACACGGCAAGTCAAAAGAGAGAAAGGAAAAAGAAAAGAAAAGAACAGAAGAATCTAGCGGAAATCCATGATCGAGTCTACCCATCTGTCACAGAAGATCCGGTTCTGCTCGCCCTGCCGGTCGAAGGATGTGCGACCTTCCAGCTCCATCGCCTTGAATATTATTATTATGACTACCGCGCCCACGGAAGAGATACGTACCCAGATATGATAGGGCCCTTGGGTCCGGCCTCGAAAATTCTCTTCTACGAGTAAGAGCAGACGCTCGCTGCCAGGTGGAGTTCCGACTGCTTGCTTCTTTGCTTTTTTTACTTGTCGAACTGCCACTACAGCCCAGAAGGGTATGAACTAGAGTGACCGCCATGTCTCAAGAAAGTAATAATAGCAAGTGGTCCCTTTGGTGTCTCACCTCAATATCCCAAGTCCGAACCCTTGTGTGCCCTGGGCGGGTGTCCCCAGCCTGGGTGCGTGTGCATAAGAAAGCCCCCAAGAACCCGAGGTCGATGGCCTTCAGTTTGGCGCCTTACCTCCACAATTTCCACAACCTCTGCAGGTTTGGTGTCCTGTAACGCACGGGCATCCCTGCTTGGATCGATGAAGTAGTCAGGCAGGTACGGATGTACTTTTTTTTACCCTTTAAACTTCTTTGGACTTTTTTTTTTCCCAGGACAAACAACGCTAGTCGATAGCCCTCCTTAGGCGGTAGATATCGAGATTTAGCTCGACCAGGCCAGCAGCTCACACACCTCACTAAGATATATCGCAAGAGACAGCACGCCACAAATACGCCAATTTTACGGTCAGTCCGCCAGGCGCGCGTGTTGATGGTCGACCTTCGCTATGCTCCATCCATGGCGTATCATGATTGGAACACAGCTGATCGGCTCCAAGACTAGTGGCGATCGTTTTTCCGTGGCTCCAGCAGGTTAGATGGGTGAGTCGGCCCCGGTTAAGATTATCTATCACACGCCGACCATTCATGCCGGTTTCGAGTCAAAAGGCGGCGCGGGAGCGATGACAGGATGACGGACAAGCGACCGCCCTCCCTGGTCTGAACACTGGATAGGAGGTGCAGGAACAGGAAATGACCTCCTTCAACTTCGTTTCCCGTTGATCGTGGGAGGCTGATCAGGGAGTAGATCAACACACAGTCTATCCGGATGTCGGCCTTGCTTGAAGATCCCGTCCTCTGTGGGCTTTAACTACCGAGCTGCTGCCTATTTGACTGCATGAATCAACCCTCGCGTTCACCGGATAAGTTCAGTTGGAAAATTCCCGGCTGGCCGGAGATCTCACGGATCCCCTAGTCCTAGATGGAGGTTCCAAGCCCAAGGTTCGCCGGCCTACTAGTAGTACTTGGAACTTAGTTAGACTTCCCATCCGGTCTGAGTCGGATTGTGGCTCCGTACCAGAGGTGATGGGCATCCACGGGTGGGGGGGAAGTAAAGAGAAGTATGGGAAGTATGGGAAGTGTGGGAGTATGGGAGCTTACCTTGGGTTGAGAGAAAGAGCTGCGAGATGGAGGAAGGATACAGGTAACAGAGGTAATCTTCATACAGGGAGAGCATACCAGGCCGGGCGACAAGATCCCCGGGGCGTCGACGGCGCCTAGTCCAGACCCAACGGTCGCGTGCAAGACCCATCTGTTCCACGGATGGGCCAATCACACCCAGTCATACTCGGAGGTCCTTTTCTAGCCCCACGAGCTAGGCCCGTCTGGGATGCTCATGCGAGGTTCAAGGTTGTAAGAAATCCGGATAGGTACCTGTATCGAACGAGGGCAGTCTGTCTCGCGGTCGTTAGCTGGGCGATGTGAGCTACCGAGTAGGTACATCCCAGGGTTGGTACCTGCCCATTGGCGGACTCGGTCCGTGTCTGGACCAACCGTCGAGAACTTTCGTAAGGCTGCTTGGGGATGACTTCGCAGAACCGACTGTTCGAGATCTTTAAGAAGCGCTCCAAAGCAAGATTTGCCAGCTACGCGGGCCAGTCATGACCCGGTGACGTCTATCTACTACTGGTGTGTTGAAGGGGTACGTGGAATAGTCCTGGCCACCAATTGCTGCAAGCCTGCGACTATGGCAACCACTAAGCCGCCTTGAGTCTCGCCTAACCGTTGGATAAGGAGCTAATTTGCTTGGATAACCAGACTAAAGGTGTGGTATCTATCCATCGACCAGCCACCACGGCGGACAGAGCTCTCCAAAGACCAAATTCATGGGGATGAAACTTAGATAAACCTTCGTTCAGGTCATTTTACGGAGTCCCCAGATTGTGGTCATGGCCGTTGCGCTTTGGGACTCGCGGGAGACAAAAGTTCACTAGCGCTGACGCCATTCAGTCAGTTCGGTCAGTTCGGTCAGTCGGGTAGAAGCTATCATTGCTTGTATTCGCGGGAAGTTATAGTCGATGCGGAGTACACTCCTCCAGGCTGGGGATGTTGTCGCTGCATAAGATAGCCTCCAGGACGGGCGATGATCGGTTGCCATCCGTGTAGTTGCAGGCAGCACCTCATCAAAGTGGTCAAACAACATAGCCACAATCGAGTACATACTCGGGTGGTATGCAGTCATCCGTGCACATTGGCATGACTTGACAAACTAGTTGGGGTGTAAATGCAGGACGAAAGTCGCCGGATACAATGGTACCCTTTTGACTCTTCGGCAGTTGAAGTGAGATAGTACCACGAGACCCTGTGCCTTCCCCAAAAGGGGCAGATCTCGGTGCAGCATTCCCTGTATTGTGCTATATATACTTTGCATGAACAGCTGGTTTCCCTATCTCTGTCACGCACTCTTATCGGTACCAGTCCCCCTCACTGACAGAAGGGAAAGATACTGGCGGGCGACCGGCGTCATAGACACACCAGTGGTTGCATTTGATGTGATCGCTTGATCTTCGAACTGGATCATGCGAACATGTCCTGCTCAGCTGCAAGGCAACGAGGATGCGTCCGGTCTCGGGTCTCTGCGTCGGGGACTGCAAGGCAAGACTGGGGGGGAGTTGAACTGGTAAAACGGGCTGCATCGTACCGATTACCCCTTGGAGATCGCCATGGTACATATGGATAGGGGACAGAAAGATAGATGGAGTAACTATATCTACCGAGAATCGATATTAAGTACTAAGTAGAGCGAGCAGCCAAACGGATGGCGGGGTAAAAAGCCACGGCAAGTCACGGGATTGGCGTGGTTGGTTGGCAACGCCCGCCGTAATGTACTGGGCGTGCCCGAAAGAGTCACAATTTCGGAAAGTGGGCAGTATCTGATTGAGTCCTCAATCGCCCCTCCGGTCTTCTCAGCTCTCTTTCACGCCCCCCCCACGATCCGTGCCCTGGGGTTCACGACTCGCAATCATGGCGACCGATATGACGAACCCCATCCTGGACGCCCTGTCCGCGTCCGACGCCTCCATCCTCTCCAGCGATGCCTTCCCCTCCACCCCCTCACTAAATATCAAGGCTGCGCTCGACCGTCTAGCCTCACGACAGATGGTCGAGTATGAGACCATCGACAAGGAAGTTGCCGTCCTGACGCCTGAAGGTGAAGAAATTGCCACCAACGGTAGTCACGAAGCCAAGGTGTTCCAGGCGGTTCTGGCTGCTCTGGACGGATTGAAGATCGGCGAATTGCCTGGAATTGTCGGAAAGGAGAACGCTAAGATCGGTCAGGGTAATGCTTTCAAGAAGGGCTGGATCAAGAAGGACAAGGACCTTCTCCGGGCGACGACCGAGACCATCGTGGACGAGACCCGGGAGCTGTTGCTGACCGTCAAGAACACTCAGAGTCTGGGAGACCAGAAGGCCCTGACGGACCTGAAGCGGCGGAAGTTGGTCGCCCTGCAGAAGGTCATCTCCTTCAAGATCTCCAAGGGCCCCAAGTTCGCTCGCGAATTCGTCAAGGAGGAGACCGACCTGACGGCGGAGATGCTCATGAACGGCTCCTGGAAGACAGCCCAGCTGAAGCCCTACAACTTCAAGGCCAAGGGTGCTCCCACGCCCTCTGGTGCTTTCCACCCCCTGAACAAGGTGCGCCAGGAGTTCCGCAATATCTTCTTCGAAATGGGCTTCGAGGAGATGCCTACCAACCGCTTCGTGGAGACGGGTTTCTGGAACTTCGACGCCCTCTTCGTCCCTCAGCAACACCCCGCCCGTGACCTTCAAGATACCTTCTACATTGCCGACCCGGCCAAGGCCGACCCTCCCCGCGAGGACCCCTTGAACGACCCTCACCGTCCCAAGACCGTCCAGGCCGCGTTGGCCGCCACCAAGGAGAAGCCCCTCGACTACAAGCAGTACTGGGAGGACGTCCGCCAGGTGCACGAGAATGGCAAGTACGGATCCATTGGTTACCGCTACCCCTGGGATGCCGATGAGTCGCTGCGGCTGGTTCTCCGCACACACACCACCTCGGTTTCGACATACGTTCTGCACAAGCTCGCGGCCAACCCTCGTCCGGCGAGATACTTCAGTATCGACCGCGTGTTCCGTAACGAGGCAGTTGACGCCACCCACTTGGCCGAGTTCCACCAGATTGAGGGTGTCATTGCCGACTTTGGCCTCACCCTTGGTGGGCTGATTGGCTTCATGGAGGTGTTCTTCGCCAAGATGGGCATCCACGGGCTGCGCTTCAAGCCGGCCTACAACCCGTACACCGAGCCCAGTATGGAGATCTTCGGCTACCACGCAGGCCTTGGTAAGTGGGTTGAGATCGGCAACAGCGGTATGTTCCGACCGGAGATGTTGGAGCCGATGGGTATTCCCAAGGGCATGCAAGTTTACGGATGGGGATTGAGTCTTGAGAGACCGACCATGATCAAGTAAGTCTGTCCTAAGTATAATGTGATTTTGACTAACCATGTGATGCAGGTACGGCGTCAGCAACATCCGAGAACTCCTGGGCCACAAGGTCGATCTCAACTTCATTGAGACCAACCCTGCCGTCAGACTGGAGAAGGACTAGATAGATGACTAGATGGGCAGACAGTTGAAATCAAGATTCCATAGACACCATCTGGAAAACACCAACATGCAAAAAAAAAAGACTACGAGATGACGGGCCAGTTACGAGTAGAATGAAAAGCATTTCCAATCTACCCTACCCAACAAACCCAAGATTCCAAACTTCATAAAACAAAAAGAAAATAAAAAGAACAATGTCCCACCCGTATCTGTGCCCCAGTGCACCTCTCTGCAAAAGTGGCTCTTCAGTCGGCGGCAGCAATAATCTTCGGCGCTGAATGTAAATCTACAATCAATCTACCTCCTCACTCATAGCAGCAACTCCGGACGAAACACAGATAATTAGTACGAGAACCAATCAATCCGAGCACGTCCTGGAATGAGGAGGTATTTATGTGCCGCGTACATGAAACGAAACTTATCTACTACGGTGATATCTCAACCGCTAACAGCAGCAACAACAACAGATGAATATGAATACCCGGGAGATAAGAAAGAAAGGTTGAGTGAGTGGGTGGATGAATTGTAGTTGATGGATATAAAATTTTTGATTTTAAAAAAAGAAAAATTTTTCATTTCACTTTTCTTTCCCCCCGGTGCCCCGAATAAATCAATAAATGAGGTGAAGAGAGAGGGGAAGAATTAGCAAGTAGGTATTCTGATATTTGAATATTGTCTTTATCCTATACCATTATCATTCTTATTAGCATCTAAACCACATACAGAAATGTTGTAAATATGGGAATGAGCATACCATCACAAAACACCCACTCATCACCCATCATCACCCCATCCGATCCGTTCCATTCCTCAAAGAGAAAAACCAACATTCACCGCTGGCTGGAGGCGGCCCAGACGTTACGGATGTAGCCGTCACGCTGAGCAAGGCGGTTCAGGGAGTCATCGCTCTCACCACGGGCACGGATGAATCCGCACAGAGCGTAGGTGTGGTTCTCACCAGTGTAGCGGCCGTTCTCGTCAACCTTGGCGATGGAGATCTGGACGGAGGCGTGGTCGTTGGCCTTGATGATGCGGTTGGTGGCGCTGCACTTGCGGGGCACGTAGCTGGTTTCTTATTAGCATAGATCCTTTATTTTGGTCTGGACTTTCAACTGCAATTGTTGGAAGATTGTTGTGATGCGCGGTTGTCGGTGGGGATGAATGGGTTGGGATATGCGATGCGATTTCGATCAACCCTCTCTCTCTCTCTCTTCTTCTCCTCCCATCTCTGACATTCCTTCTCTTTCGCGATTTGATCCAATCCAACCCAATCCAACCCAATAGTTCCGGTAAAGATATTTCCCCCTCTTTAAATAAACCCGTCTTCATCGAGTTGTACATATCCCTCCCCAGGTTCAAGTCCGGGTGCATCAAACCGATCGCATATCCCAACCTCACATCATTCATCCAACACACAAAAAACCACAAGGGGTAAGGTGAAGGGAAAATACATACAGATCGACGATCTCTCCCTTCTCGTTCTCCATTTTGGCGGGTTGGTTTGGGGGGTGGTTGAGGTTGACGACGGTGAGAAAGGGACGGAGGTTTGCGCTGGCGGGTTAAACTGGCGGACGGTGCGTGAAATTCCGCTGTCGACTTTCTTGATCTTTCTGGCGAATGCGGGTTGTGGGTCATGTGATTGTTTGTCGAGGGCTTGATGACTAAGAGGGGCTGTTTGGGGACTGGGATTGGTGGGTGTGATGGGTGGGTTGTGGCGGTGAGTGGATGTGGCTGGTGGTAAGTGTATGTATGTATGTTACAGGGTTTAGATGCCTGATGAGGCAACGAACACAGGTACTATGTAGATGATGTAGTAGGGTACTGGTGATGTGTTGTTACAGATGGCTTGAGTCGAACATGTCCTTCTTCCAGCGCACTTCGACGTCCTGGACACTGCCCTTCTTGAACTTTACGAGTACTACTCGATCTGTTTCTCCTTGTCGACCGCTGGACTTCAGTTCTGGGCCAGGGTGATCTAGTGCTAGTACGGTTCGTCCATCAGACGATACCTTGAGCATCTTCGGGCAAATATATTTCTCTGTCCAGGATGGCTGGCCTGACTGAATAAATTGCATCAGTTCAGCTCGTCGCTTCTGCAGCTCATCAACTGACTCCGTCCCCGATGGCCCCGGGTTCAGAAACTCCGCCACTAAATGAAGAAGCAGGAACTGAGGCGGAAACAGCATCACTTCACCATCATGCGCCATTCGAATCCATTCCGACGCAGGCAGGAACCTCGCCTCGGAGATCTCCATCCCGCCATCGCTCGTCGGGATCTGGATCTCCTCCGTCTGTCCATCCGACGGGATCTCATCCAGAATCGGCTTCTCAATATCCAATGGCAAGGGTAAGAAGTAGAGGTACATCTGTGTCGTATACCGTTTAGGAACATTCGTAGGCGTGATCCACCGTGTAAAAGGGATTAGTTGTTCTTTGGGGAGTATCTCTCATTAGCACAGAGTCCATCAGGCGAGTCATGCATAGCCCACCTATATCCGGTACTGCAGCAGGATTCCGTTCCTTCAGCCAGTCCGTGAACGTGATCTTATATTGATGGATCGCGCGTCGACCAGCTTCACGCTGCTCTTCTGGAACGGCGAGCATCTTTCCCGAATCACGGTCCTTGGCTAAGAGGATGCCGCTTTCTTCGAAGAGTTCTCTGATGGCGGCATGGCGGTACCAGGGACCGTCATCGTGTCGGGAGAGGTCTTCGGGTGGTGGACATAGTCCGTCCTGCTTGGAGAGGTTACCGCCAGGGAAGACATGTGCCGATGCGAACGAAGTTGATGTCTTGACGCGGTGAAGAAGCAGGACTTCATTCTTGGGCGATATGAGGACCACACTGGGACTGTTAGCTGCGGAACCGGGTATCTGAGAGAGCCTGTCATATGACGAACCTTGAACTTGGCCGAGGAACGGCCACCGCAGCCTTGGGTTTGGGAACCTTCTGAGACGACATGTTCTGGGCTGCAGATGCTTGCTGGGGTCTAGAAACAGAAGAGCTTGATCTAGACACAGGATGAACGAAGCGGCTATGATATAACCAGGGTTGATGTGGTCTATATGACAGTCTAGAAGCTGAGTGCCGAATACCTCGGGCGACTTCCCGCCGGATTGGAAGAAGGTTACACATTAACCAGGGAATCCCATGAGGGCTGGCAATCATGGTGCACCAAATCAGTGGTGACAAGACTGAACAGTCCTCTGGAACAAGATATCTTGATGGAATGATTGATAGGTGGCAATTGAAGTGTAACCGAGAACAGTCGAGGCAATGGGCCGGATCCCCAAGCCGCGGTTGCAGTCCAGGTACGAGGGACCCCCGCGTTCTGCGGTAGACCGCGGATGACTAAGTGTCATCAGTGATCTACGAAAATGAAAAAGTATCTACTACAAAACGATAAGGTAAATCTGACAGAACATATGTATATTGGTGACTGTCATAAGTCTAGGTTGTGGATATAATTATTGAAAAAGGCGTAATGCATTGATAACCATGAACCAAAGTTTGTGCGTCACCACAAGTCGAACTCCAATTCCCCATGCCCGAGCTTTTGTTTTCGTAACAGCCACATATCATCATGTAACAAGACGTGTCAACAGATAGGCTCTCAAAACGTAAAGAAACAAACAAAGAACTCCAACCCTTAAGCTTTCACCGCTTAAGCGTAGAGCTTCTTGTCGTAGCTGTGCAGACCGTGGACGTTACCCTCGGCCATGGCGCTGGCACTTCTCATCTCGAAGCGGACAGTACCCTTGTTCACGCCATCGTGCAGGGCCTGGAGACTGGGGACACCAATGTCCTGCAGAGAGTGCTGGATACCCGCAACCAGGTAGGGGACGAACTTGGTGATGGAGCCACGGTCAAGAACGGAACCAGCAACACCCTGAGCAACCAGGACACTGTCCTTCTCGGAGAAGTAACGAGCAGTACCAGCGTTGCTGGCCTTGCTGTCCTTGTTACCGGCGCCAGCCTTGCGGTCCTCCATGGCAGCAATACTGCCCATACCACGGTAGGCCTTGACAAGCTGACCCTCCTTGCTGACGAAGTACTCACCGGGAGACTCGGTGGTACCGGCAAGGAGACCTCCCATCATGACAGTGGAGGCACCCGCGGCCAGACCCTTGACGATGTGGCCAATGTTCTGGATACCACCATCAGCAATGCAAGGAACGCCGAAGCGAGCAGCGAAAGAAGTCACGCTGCGGACGGCGGCGGCCTGGGGACGACCGACAGCCATGACCTCCTGGGTGATGCAGGCACTGCCGCTGCCCATGCCAATTCTCAGGCCATCGACACCGGCGGCAATCAAAGCTGCGGCCTGCTCACGAGTAACGACGTTACCACCGATAACATCGATCTCGGGGAAGTTCTCCTTGACCCAGCGGATCATCTGGATCTGGTACATGCTGTTACCCTGGCTGCTGTCCAGAATAACGATATCGAGGCCAGCCTCAACAAGCAGCTTAAGTCTGGTCTTGTCCTCCTCACGGGTACCGATGGCGGCAGCGCAGATCAGCTGCTTGGACTGGGGGAGCTTGGAGGCGAGAGGGTAGTGGAGGTTCTTCATCAAATCGCTGCGGGACAGCAGAGAGATGAGGTTGCCGTTCTCATCCACAATGGGAAGCTTTCCCTTCTTCGAGGAACGAAGGACCTCGTTGGCCTCAGCCAGGGTGGTGCCAGCAGGGGCAGTGACGAGATCAGTGGACATGATAGCGGTAACGGGGTCGTTGACGTTGTTGTGGAACTGGATGTCACGAGAAGTAACGATACCGACAAGCTTGGAGCGAAGAGTTCCGTTCTCTGTCATGACCAATGCAGTTAGAATCAATGACTTCCACATGAACCAAAGAATAACATGTCATGATGAAGTAAGGGTCAGATAAATTCTGTTTCTCTACAGTGCAGCTCTCGCCGCTCCCAGTGGAACGAAAGTTATAAAGATAAAAGATGATGATCATCACGATGAAGAAGTCATATAGAAAAGAAAAAAAATTGGACTTACCAGTGACGGGGAAGCCACCGAAACCCCACTTGGCCTTCAGCTCCTTGGCCTCGCTGACGGTGGCCTTGGGAGAAAGCACAACGGGGTCGGAGATGAAACCGTTCTCGTATCTCTTGACCTTGCGGACCATCTCGGCCTGCTCGGCAGGAGCGCAGTTGTGGTGAATAACACCCAGACCACCGAGGAGAGCCATGTGAATGGCCATGTTGTGCTCGGTAACAGTGTCCATAGGGGAAGACAGAAGGGGGACCTTAAGAGAGACACGCTTGGTGACGGGGGTGTCCAGACTGACATCGGATGCAGGGAAGCCTGTCATAGGGCATAAGCAACCGATCTCGATCAGAATCACCAAAGGCTGCAAATGTTCGCCTTACCGATGTATCCGGGCAAGATGAGGAAGTCGTTGTAGGTCAACGCTCCGTGCTTGTCGGAGTCCAGCAGGGTGTCAATGTCAAGACCATCGCCGACAGAGTACTCCTTTTCCAGGACCTCCAGGGCCTTGGTGTGATCCTGAATCTCGGCCTTCATGGCGCAGCCAAGAGAGTCACCGTTGGAGATAGGCATTGTGAAAAAGACTCTACCGTTTCTATCGTAACCCGTAGAGGAGTCTAGAATCAAGAGCAGAAAATAATCAACAGATCGACGATAGAAACGTTCTGTTGATGGAGAAAGTCTTCCTTTCCCAAAGGAAAGAAAGAAAGAAAAAGAACAAAAATCGGAGGAGAAAAAAATTGCCTTTTGACTTCGGCCGCAGACGCTAGCCGCTAGCAATCTCTGCAGAAACCTTGCCGCAATGGGTATGGTTCGTCTTGCTGCTGCTCCCTCGTGGTTGTGATTGGCTTCTAAACGAAGCCCCAGCCAGGCGGTGAGAGAGAGGGGTGACATCCGCCCTTAATAATAATTCTGACTGATCCATGTACAATCGAAAAAAAAAAAAATTGCCTTCGCGTGTTAATAATAGATTAGGAACGCCTCCGGGTACAAGGTTACTTCATGGAACGGTATTCCGTTGCTGCTTGCGGCAATAAGAATTGATTCTCCCAGACTGGTAATGCTGGTTCCTTTGGTGGGATTTCTTCTAATCTCCGCTTCCGATAAGATATCGACAAAAGTACTGATATGTGCAACACTACTACGTACATGGGCAGTGACTGGATCTAATCGGTTCATTGCAATGTCTTAGATGAATTTGAACACTAGCATCGATTCTTTGCTATTATTAGTCTACCTAAGTCATCTAGAGTGGTACTAAATTCCTCTACTGTGTATCTACTTGGACTTCGTCATACTTCTGGCACTAACCGTCCCTGGTGGCGACCATGTCTATCGACGATAAGCTCAACGTTCAAGATCTGCTTACAGCTCATAACAAATTGAGTCCAGTCGTATTATGCAGAGATAATTTTGTGTTAACCGACCATTTCATTCAATTGCTCTGATGGCTATAATGCTATGTTTCTAGGGGCTGCCGTGAAGATCAAGGTGATTATATCGCCGAGACGTGGCACCGGGCTAATTACGTAGTGCAACTCCATGACGCCAGGGTGACAGAAGGCAAAGAAGTTTGTTTGGCATATATAGACAGCAAATGCCATGGTTGTTCTACCTCTTGCTCAATAACTTTCCATATTAATCATTCTACACAATTACAGTGGACAAAATGGCATCCGCAATTGGCAAAGAAGGCGTCTTCCAGCCACCCAAGGCAGCCCAAGCCCAAGATAAGCCAGGGTAGTGTTTCCCTTCATCATCAAATGACTATTAGCGAGAGCTTGGTAAAGCTAAGGAGTTATATCAGGCTGGAGAAAAAAATGGCACCAGCGAGTGAAGCAACCAAATTGGAATCCAGTGGAACCTTCGTCGAATACGTCGGTTCAGGGAAACTGAAGGACAAAAAGGCTCTTATCACCGGCGGCGAGTACGTATTCCCGACAGGCATCCATAGGCCAAGATTGAATAATTGACCTCCTCGTAGTTCGGGAATCGGCCGGTCGGTCGCGGTCCTAATGGCACGAGAGGGAGCCGACGTCACAATCGTGTACTTGCCAGAAGAGGAAGAAGATGCCCAGGATACCAAGAAAATGGTCGAATCCGAGGGCAGATCATGTCACCTTTTCGGTGGAAATCTGGCTAATCGCGAGACATGTCGCAAGGCTGTTGAAGAGCATATGAGCGCGTTGGTAGCCCTAATATCCGTCTGCCCAGGGTACTTTGCTGATAATAGCCGTAGTTATAAGAAACTGAACATTCTTGTCAACAACGCCTCGAAGCAATACATGTGTAAGGACTTTGCGCAGATTGATCTCGACAATGTTGTCGATTCCTTCGAAAGCAATATCATCCAGATGTTTGCGATCACAAAATTTGCCCTTCCGCATTTGTCCAAGGGTGATTCGTCAGTTCCCCCTTGTTGAGCAGAATTACTTTCTCATGACTGACTAGGCTTCTAGAATTATTAACACCACTTCCACCGTGGCATTCCGAGGAACAAGCGGCATGGTTGACTATAGTGCGACCAAAGGTGCTATTGTTAGCTTTACCAGATCATTGTCCGCGCAGCTGAAGCCAAAGGGTATCCGCGTTAATGCAGTAGCGTAAGTTCAACAGGCCCTTCCACAAGCGAGTGCAGATGTTGACTCTGAACCCTGACAGTCCTGGTCCCGTTTATACACCCATTCAGGTCGATACCCGAGAAGCCGAACAGATGGAGGACTTTGGGTCTGGATCTTCTATCGGTCGACCGGGTCAGCCAAGTGAAGTCGCCACAAGCTTTATTTTCTTGGCCAGCGCAGATGCTGCGCTCTTTTGTACGTCTCCTTCCTCCCTGTCTGCGGCAAAGGCTGCCGGTACATCTCTTGTATCCGCTAACTCGATAAAAGATGGACAGGTCCTGCACTGCTATCCTCTGGGGGATTAAATTGGAGACTCGGGTGATCGCTGCGTCAGCATGCCGCCAAGGCAAATATGCATTTTCCATCGTCACTTGCTCGCTCCAGAACATATCTCTGGGAAATTTTATGAGAGAATATGTACATGTATCATAGCTCTGAATACTGCCGTAATGCGTAAGGCGATCAATACAGAAGCCACGGCTTGGCCTGTACGAGCGCTTTATCCCAGCCTTCCTCATTCTTCCATATCGCAACGGTTTCTACCTCATCTTTACCCAACTTGAGGTCATTGTACAGATGCTGTTTCAGATGGTTAGTTCGGGAATGCCAGCTATACACATGCGTATATGGCTAATCGACACAGCTGGTATAAACTGACCGGAAACAAGCCCTCTTTCGGTCGCGGTCCGCATACAGTCCCCTCGGGGTTTTCCCATCGGATCTCGCTGGCTACCCGTTCGAACGGAATCCGGAGCACGTAGACAAGCGGCTCGTCCTTGAAGAAGAACTTGAGGGTATTTGGTATCTGGAATGCTGTGGAGAGGTGGACGAATCCCGAATTCTCATCGAGCTCGCTAACCGGCAGCCGTTCGGGGAGAGGTTCCCGGACCGGAGCTGTAGACGGAACGAGCTTGTAGACGTAGAGGGGTTCGGCGTCCGTCATTTTCCTGCTGTGATATCCTGTCTGCGTCGGTAAGAGGGGTTCAAAGGAGCGCGTGGTGATGGATAAAATTGTCGATCTCGTATCCCGATGAATTGGCGATAATTGACTCTAGTGGGAGGGTGGTGGGACAGCCATCCTTCACCCCTCCACGAGTTCATCGTCATCATGGGAGCCGCCCATGGCTCTCTGTCCCTCGGGTTCCCGTGACCGCGGCGGTATCCGGTATTCCACCCCTCATTGTTTATCTACAATCACGGTCTTCATCCCGATCTATGGGGGATTGTAAATTGAAATTTCAATCATCTGCCCCTTCTTACAGCCTTATTCAGTAGATCAAAGCTACTGGGGTCTTAGCTCTTTCGTAGACTCGAGCGCCTTGACCAATTACCCGCATCTGATCTTGATAAGATAGGTGAGAGATTATTGTCTGCCTGATTGAGCATTTCGCTGCGATTTGATCTGCGACTGAGTGAAAATAGTAGTATGAATGGAGACTTGCAAGATTGATATTAATTGGCGACCTAAGCCGACGGCATTTTGCATCGAAACCAAGTTTCTTGGTGAATGGAATATATATTAGTAGTGGGGTTTCTTTTTTGTAAAACAGGACTAAAAACCCACGATGAAGCTCTCTCCCTGGTTTCCTTAATTTCGGCTGTGACGAGCTCCTTTGCGACCGAGATAAACTATCGATCGATCGGACAGACGCGATCTTGCACGAGGAACGGAGAATTGATCCATTCCATCGTGGTCAGTACGTAGATAGATGTGGACTAGTTACGCAGTGTACCAGCCACAGATTCCGGTGGCTGAGCCACGGATCGACGTCACTGGCCGAGCCATCGGAGGCACAGTCACCTGCCCGTGCACGCCATGCCCGATCGGGAGATTTGTTTTCGCTCTTAACTGGGGGCTGGGGGTCGTGCCTCGTTCCTGCCTCCGATTTACTTGGTCGCCGAACCCCCGCTTTAGCGCTGACTGTCCTCCCTCTTGTTTATTCCTGTTGCTACAGTATTCTTCTTCCCGAATTAATCCACTTGCGCACGATTCGGATATTGGGATCTTGCAACCGAGTGGGATCTGTTGCAACCACAGCGTTTCTCGTACTTGTCGAATCTTTGTTTTCTGATCTTTCCCTTATCAGGCGTTTTCAGGCCCAAGCCCTTCCGTTTCTACATCAACCGATTCTTCCCGGCCCAATTCTTCCCGTTACCACAGGGTCATGCAGCCTCTCCCTTGGATGAACATTCCATCCCAGTGATCTCCACGCAACCTCTTGTGCGCTCGACTTTTGTCGGCTTGCTACTTCGGTCCGGGACGTAGGTATGCGGCCAATTGAAGCTGAGCCTCTTTCATTTCCATTGGTTATCGCATTCTTCTTTTCAGATCGGCAACCGTGATGTCAAGCCATTTAGCATCTCTCCGACGCACACAGACGGATTTTCCTGACCAGACATCGAGCCCACTCCGCCATGGATCAACTGCTTCCACAAGCTCATCCATCTACACCGTCTCGTCTAGTTCATTTGCCCCCAGTCGCACGAGCACCGTCTCCTCAGCCGCGTCCATTGGGTCTGTGCTCGGCCATAGACGGGGAAAGAGCGAAGTAAACACCACCATCTCCGAAGAAATGTCTGGAGGTGCCTCCCAAGGGAAAAGCTGGGCCAATGCGGGCGCCGCTTATGAGAATATCCGTCGCTCGCTGCGACCACTTTCCCAGGCCCCCAACTCATCGCCCAACTCATCTCCCTCGACTACCAAGCCACCCGCCTATCGCCATAACCGAAGCCAGACAGTCGACAACCCTCAGTACTGGAAGGAAAACCGTCCGCAGACCCCCGAATCTCGCCACGCGCATCACCAGGAAGTTGAGACACCCAAGGAAAAAGCGTCATACAATGATCAGAGTCCCACGAAAGCCAGTTCGCCCCATAATTGGTCGCCGCATGCTGTCTCACCCCACGCAAAATCGCAAGTGAGAGCGCACCATGCTCATAGCTTGTCCAACCCGCCGCCGATCACTCACACCTTGTCGGCTCCTGAATTAGAGACATTTCAAAAATCGTCGACCGGCCACCTGCGGACCTTATCAAAGTTTGCAAAGTCCGGAGAGACGGAAGAATTCGCTCTTGATAGTTATGGTGCATCAGTGGTGGGACTGCAGGGACGACGACGCCTGAAGCGAACTGATACGGTGACTGGGAATACTGGTCCCGTAGTAGGACGGAAGAAACCGGCATCAGCATGGGCGGCTGGAAGTTGGATGGACAAACAACGGCAATTCCTACAGGCGTATGAGTACCTCTGCCATATTGGAGAGGCCAAAGAATGGATCGAAGAGGTCATTCAGAAACAAATCCCGCCAATTGTTCAATTGGAAGAAGCCCTGCGTGACGGAGTCACGCTAGCGGAAGTCGTACAAGCGATGTACCCAAACCGAACCTTTCGAATTTTCAGAAATCCGCGGCTACAGTATCGCCATTCAGACAATATAGCGTTGTTCTTTCGGTTCTTGGATGAAGTCGAGCTACCCGAGCTGTTCAGGTTCGAGCTCATCGACCTCTACGAGAAGAAGAATCTCCCCAAGGTCATCCACTGCGTCCACGCACTGTCATGGTTGATGTTCAAGAAAGGCCTCGTGGATTTCCGGATGGGAAATCTGGTAGGTCAATTAGAATTCGAACATCATGAACTTGAGCAAACGCAGAAGGGTCTCGATAAGGCAGGCGTCAGCATGCCTAGTTTCTCAGGAATGGCCGCCAACTTCGGAGCAGAACCAGAGCCCGAACCAGAGCCGGAGCCGGAGTCTGAGGAAGATCGGATACATCGTGAGTTGCACGAGAACGAAGCTTCCATTGCCGAGTTCCAGGCTCAAATAAAGGGAGCAATGTTACGACTGAAGCTCGGCAACTTGATGAACGATTTGTGGGACTTTGAGCCTTTCCTGGTTGAGCTTCAGTCGAGGATACGCGGCGACTGGGCTCGTCAGGTCGTCCAATACCGACTGGACATGAAAACATTCGCCATAAATCTGCAAGCAATCTGTCGAGCCTTTCTGGTCCGAAACCGCCAGAGAGGTGATAAAGAAAATTACCAGGCCCAGGAGCTTGATGTACTGCGGCTGCAGACCCTTATCCGGGGAGCCAAGGCAAGAGCCCAAGTTAATCGTGTTCGAACTTGTATGCGAAAAGAGGAGCCTGGTATCAAAATGATCCAAGCAGCTCTAAGAGGAGCGCTACAACGAAAGACCGTTTACGACCTGTACGAGGATACAAGAGGTGCGGAGGGAGAAGTTCTAATGTTGCAGGCTGCCATTCGGGGTGCTTTGCAGCGCAAGCAGTTCTCGAAGCAATACGAAGCAACGCAAGCCGCCGAGGCAGACGTGATAGAATTTCAAGCCCTTGTCAGAGGTGCTCTGCAGCGCAGTCATTTCACAAAGCAATATGATGCAGTACATTCCACCGAGCCGGATGTCGTCGAGCTCCAAGCCCTTATACGAGGAGCTCTCCAGCGCAGTCATTTCACAAAGCAATATGATGCAGTACATTCCACCGAGCCGGATGTCGTCGAGCTCCAAGCCCTTATACGAGGAGCTCTCCAGCGCAGTCATTTCACAAAGCAATATGATGCAGTACATTCCACCGAGCCGGATGTCGTCGAGCTCCAAGCCCTTATACGAGGAGCTCTCCAGCGCAGTCATTTCACAAAGCAATATGATGCAGTACATTCCACCGAGCCGGATGTCGTCGAGCTCCAAGCCCTTATACGAGGAGCTCTCCAGCGCAGCCAGTTCATGAAGCAGTACGAAGCAATACGATCCGCCGAGTCAGGTGTGATCGAGCTTCAAGCTCTTATCAGAGGTGTCTTCGTTCGACAGGAGATGAGCGCACAGTACGAGAATATCGACGAGGCTGGAGTAGGCACTGAACTTCTGCAAGCGCTCATCCGAGGGATGATGGCCCGGAAAAGTATCCAAGAAACGAAGTCCTCACTTGCCCAGGAAGTTCCATCAATCACCTCTATTCAGGCAGGCGCTCGGGCTTTTGCTATCAGGAACTTCCAGTTGCAGCAAGCAGAGGCTCTCGCCAAAACAGAAAAGGAGTGCACCTCTCTGCAAGCGATCATGCGCGGTAATGCTGTTAGAGCACACCTTGAAAATCTTCGACAGGGTTTGAACCAGCATATACCGGCAGTCATCGACCTCCAAAGTATTTCCCGGGCGAACGCTGTCCGGTCCTTCCTGGACTCGCAACGTGCATCCCTGAAAGGAGAGGAGGCATCAATACTGGCTCTGCAGTCCATGGCTCGGGGCATCATTCTTAGAAAGAAACTGGATGCCGATGCGGACGCTCTAGAGCAGGAAGATCTGGTGATAACCAACCTCCAGGCTCTTATCCGCGCGGCAATCCTCCGGATTGACGTCGGCGGTATACTTGAGCAGCTGGATGATTGTGAGGATGAAGTTAGCCAGTTTCAGGCACAAATAAGAGCCATGCTTGTTCGGGTCGACGTCGGTCAAACCCTCGCAGACCTGGCTGCCGCCGAAGATGTCATTATGGATCTTCAGTCGCAAATCCGTGGACATCTCGTCCGATCAAGATTTGAAGCAAAGCGCCGCCATTACCGAGAGAATATGGACAAGGTAATCAAAGCGCAAAGCTTTGTACGAGGTCGAATCCAGGGTCAAGCGTACAAGAGCCTTACAACCGGAAAGAACCCACCGGTAGGAACCGTCAAGGGATTTGTGCATCTGCTGAATGATAGTGAGTTTGATTTTGACGAGGAGATTGAGTTCGAGCGGACAAGAAAGTTGGTTGTTCAACAGGTTCGGCAAAACGAATTGGCAGAACAGTATATCAGTCAGCTTGATATCAAGATTGCTCTCCTTGTCAAGAACAAGATCACTCTTGATGAAGTCGTGAAACACCAAAAGCATTTTGGTGGTCATGTTGGAAGCCTTTTGCCGAACCGAGAGATTTCTTCAAAGGACCCATTCGACCTCAAGGCCTTGAACAAGACGTCAAGAAGAAAGTTGGAGCAGTACCAAGTTTTCTTCTTCCTCCTCCAGACGCAGTCTCAATACCTAGCGCGGTTGTTCCGACGGCTGCGTGAACTTAATACGGCAGAGAAGGAGTATGAGCGGATAAGACATCTGATGATGGGCCTCTTTGGATACTCCCAGAAGAGGCGTGAAGAATACTACCTTATCAAGCTGCTTGCCCGCTCTGCTAGGGAGGAGATTGAAAGTTTCGATTCGCTCCATGAGTATCTACGGTGCAGTTCTTTCTGGAATAAGCTCTTCGCGTCCTATATCAAATCCCCTCGGGACCGAAAGTTTATGCGCGATATCCTGGGTCCCATCGTGAGGGAAAATGTGGTTGAGAACCCGGACCTGGATCTGGAGAGCGACCCCATGCAGATCTATCGCTCGGCTATCAACAACGAAGAGCTTCGGACCGGCAAGCGAAGCCGGCGCCGACCGGACATCCCTAGGGAGGAGGCGATCAAAGACCCAGAAACGAGAGCGACATTCATCCAACACCTTCAGGATCTTCGCGATATTGCCGACCAATTCTTTGCTGCCTTTGAGGAGCTCCTGTACAGGATGCCTTTTGGAATCCGATATATCGCGAAACAGATGTATGAGAGTCTTCTCCAGCGATTCCCGAGGGAAAATCCAGGGTTTATTCTCCAGACTGCCGGCCACTGGGTGTGGAGGAACTACTTCCATCCTGCCATGGTCGAACCAGAAAGGTATGGGGTCGTGGACCGAGGATTGACTCAGGAACAAAAGCGAAACCTGTCGGAGATCTCGAAGGTGATCGCGCAGGTGGCCTCTGGCAGGCTTTTTGGCTCAGAGAATGTCTACCTTCAGCCACTAAATACCTACATCGGGGACTCCATCCAACGGCTTGGCCAGATCTGGGGTGACAGTGAGTGCTTCCCAGAATATGCAATTTCCGTGTCGGTGCTAATTTTGTTGCAGTGGTCTCCGTTCAGGACGCAGAAACTTACTTTGACATTGACGAGTTCAACGATCTCTATGCCAAAACGAAGCCTACCTTGTATATCAAAATGTCCGACATTTTCTCCATTCATCAACTCATCGCCAGCGAAATCCATTACATCTGCCAGAATCCCGACGATATCCTGAAGGAAGTCATTCGCGACCTGGGTAATGTCAAATCCAATGAGAGCGAGCTGATGAGCGTCAACTCCTCTGAAATCAGCCTCACTCTGAATCCCAAGCTGGCTCAGGTTGAAGGTAAGCAACACCCTTCCTCATTATCAAGCCGCAGCGGGGACTGACAGTTGGATTAGACCCGGAAGCAGATGTGAAAGCACTTTTCATGGAAACCAAGCGATGCATTCTCTACATTATTCGGGTCCAAACGGGCGCCAATCTGTGGGATATCATGGTCAAGTCGCCCACCGAGGAGGATGAAGCCAAATGGATGATGCTGGTGCGCGACGAGCTGAGCGCAAACAACACCCGGCAAAGTGCATACTCGGAATCCAACAACATGGTTGACCTTGCCTCGATGAGCTACTCCGAACTGAAGCAGACAGCGCTGGAAAACATCCTACAACTTGAACAAACTGGCAAGATCCGCCGTGACAACTACTACCAGGATCTCCTAAATGCGATTGCCATCGATATCCGCACGAAGCATCGCCGGAGAATCCAACGAGAGCGGGAGTTGGATAGTGCTCGGATGACGCTTACACGTCTCAACGACCAAGCCATCTGGCTGGATCAACAGCTCAAGACGTATAATGACTACATTGAGCAGGCCATGGTGACATTGCAGAACAAGAAGGGAAAGAAGCGGTTCCTCATGCCGTTTACCAAGCAATGGGATCACCAGCGCGAGCTCCAGAAATCGGGCAAGGTGTTCAAGTTCGGATCCTACAAGTACTCGGCGCGCAACCTAGCGGACAAGGGTGTTCTCGTCCACTGGAAGGGCTACACCGAGCGGCAGTGGGACCGGGTCGACCTGACCATCTCGAGTAATGAAGTCGGTGTATTCACCATCGATGGAAGCAGCGGCCCGATGATGGTCCCCGGCGCCAACGCCCAGGTTCCATTGGATGACCTGCTGCAAGCCCAGTTCAACAACATGCAGTTCCTGGATTTCTTCGATGGGCACCTACGGGTCAACGTCAATCTTTTCTTGCACTTGATCATGAGGAAGTTCTATAATGAGTGATGGAGCGGGATGCATTCTATGTGATGAAGCTTTATTTTGTTTTGCGTGTTTTGTTTATGTTTTGCGATGTGCATTTTCTCTTGTGATATCCCTTTTTCTTTTGTGTCATGTTGCCGATGAAAAGGCTCATCCCGGCTGGGACCCCGAGATGGCCTGGGGGGAGATGAGCCAGTGATTCCCATATACTTGAAGTGTCTTTTTTGCGTTACCCCCCTGATGATTGAATGAACTGAAATATATGTATGTATGGTACCCCTTATATGTGCCTCGCGAGGAATGATGATGATGCTCTGCGGTATATTATATAACGAAACCCGATATTGAATGTTGTAAAGTATGTAGAGTGTACGGTAATAATGGACGGGTCAGGGGGCGCCACGTGACGGCTTGGGGCCCAACGGCGATCGATGCCAGCTGGAGGCGATGGCCGTCTCAACTTCCGCCTCCTCGTCCCCTCCCACTTGACTTGCTGTCCTTGTCCCCGCCGGTCGCTTCCTGTTGCGGTTCCAATTGATCCTGCGTCAGACTTTCCCTTCGTGCTGCGTGCGCCATGGATTTCGCCAACCTCAAAGACCAGGTCAGCAACCTGACCTTGTATGACCTCAAGGCGGGAGTCCGCAAGGTCCAGAATGGTACGCCCCCCCGGCCGTGAACCCAAAAGCCCCCAGGCCTTCTTGATGGCTTCCGATCCTTATATCCTAACAAGGGCGATTTACTGACTCTGATAGCGGTTATGAACTACACTGAGATGGAGGCCAAGGTCCGTTACTACTCTCCCGCCAGTTCCGTCCCGCCACGAGTCCCCGGCCTGCGCACCCTCTGTGGTGCCCTTTGTTCACAACACTCACATCAGATAGGTCCGAGAAGCTACAAACAACGAGCCTTGGGGTGCCTCGAATACACTCATGCACGAGATCGCCAGCGGAACCCATAGCTAGTCAGTTTTCCTTTGCCGTCGCATGGACTACCGAGGATTCCGAAGTACTGATGACCTGTCGCTACACGCAGTCAATTGCTGAACGAGATTATGCCTATGATCTACAAGCGCTTCACAGACAAGACATCAGAGGAGTGGCGACAGATCTATAAGGTTGGTTATACTGGCTTCCGGACACGTCTCCTGTAGGTCTGGGCTCACGATGCGCGCCAGGCGCTCCAACTTCTAGAGTTCCTCATCAAGAACGGATCCGAACGAGTTGTCGACGATGCCCGCTCCCACATGTCTTTGATCCGAATGCTCCGCCAGTTCCACTTCATCGACCAGAACGGAAAGGACCAGGGAATCAACGTGCGCAACCGATCGTCCGAGTTGGTCAAGCTGCTCGGTGACGTCGACCTGATCCGTTCGGAGAGAAAGAAGGCTAGAACCAACCGCAACAAGTTCGGTGGCTTTGAGGGTGGCTCCCATATCGGCGGTGGCATGTCCAGCTCGAGCTCCGGTCGGTATGGAGGCTTTGGCAGTGAGAGTCTGTCGTTCGGTGGGTACAGCGGAGGTGTTTACGGCGACGGCGGCGGCTTCGGAGGCAACACAGGGGACCTCAATGATTCCGGGAGACGCTCCAACCGGTTCGACGAATACGACGAGTACGATGAAGGCGATGCTAGTCCCCCACGGCGGCGCGGGCCCAGTCCTCCGCGGACCACCCGACAGACCAAGCAGCCCGCAGCAGCTCCCAAAGCCCCCGAGCCCGACTTGTTCGACTTTGGAGAGGAAACCGTGACGACATCCATCAGCGCTTCCAAGAAGCCCGCCACCAGCACGGCCAGCAGCGGGCTAGATATTCTCGACTCCAAGCCTGCTGACCACGATGACGAATTCGACGATTTCCAGTCCGCCACCCCAGCGCCCGCGCCCACATCGTCGGCCCAGTTCTCCATCCCCGCGCCCGTCTCCACCGTCAGCACCACCTCCAGCACCCAGTTCGCGGCCCCCCAGCCGGTCTCGGCCACTCAAGGCACGAATCTGAACGGCATTGTAGGCTTCACCTCGATGACCCCTACTCCGACCTCCAGCACGATGGCCTCACCCACGCTCTCGCAGAGCTCCCTGGCGCCATCCAAGCCCACGGGCTTCCAAGCCGCCACGCCCAACTACTACACCTCTGTTTCCTCCTTTGCCAACAGCACCCAGCCCGCCATGGGCCACCGTCCCGGCATGCCATCTACCTCCTCCTTCACCTCCACCACGCCCAGTACCTCCGCCGCCAGCAAGCCCGCCGCCGCCAAGGCCTCCGGCGACGTTTTCGGCTCGCTCTGGTCCAGCGCCAGCGCCAGTGCCGGCCTGCAAAAGACCTCCCCGGCCACAAACAAGGGCCCCAACCTAGCCAGTATGGCCAAGGAAAAGGCCAGCGCCGGCATCTGGGGTGCTCCAGCCGCTTCAAGCAGTCCCTACTCGAACCAGGGCCGCAGCACACCAGCGACACCGAAGACAGGCAGCTCCGGACTGGACGATCTGTTGGGCTAGGATCTAGTGCCATAACCTTCTACTTCATTCTCCCTTTTGCTTCTGTTTCTTTTGGGCAATGTGTCTGTGTTCATACCGTAGTGCGAGTCTCCTTATCTTCCTTCTTTTCTTCCTTTCTCTTATTTTGCTTGATCAAATCCATGCAAGATCTAAAATAGCAGGCCTACCTACTTATCTATCTATTTACATACCTACCCACCTACCTACCTACCCACCTACCTACCTACCCACCTACCTACCTACCTACCTACCTACACACATACCTACCTACTACGCCTCTACTCTTAAAACCGGTGATGTGTGATCCGATCTAATTAGAGTTGATTTAATCCATGCTAAAATAATGAGTGGAAGAGCTGATGTTGATATCATTTGATCACTCCATCACCATTCCCATTCCCATTCCCATTCCCACCTGTCTAGTACTTCATTCTATGTATAACTAAATACCATGAAGTAAAATTATTGCGGCTTATAATAGTAGTAGTATAGTATTTATTCTTTGAAACACACACACACACACACAATATCCATTTCTGACAGTACTACGTATTATACCGTATGGTGAGCTATAAATTAGTAGTATGAACATAACTCATATATGCATGATTCTCATAAGATCAAAAATCTAGAATTCTAGGATGTTGTGTAAATAGGTACATGATTCCTGCAACGAGGCAGAAAGGATATGTGGGTTAGTAGATAACAACAAAAGTGCAGAGAATTGACAGAAATCAAATCAAATCAAATCAAATAAATCAATAACACTAAAACAACCGCTGTTGGAGGTATATGAATACTTCGATCACAACGCTGTATGCTAGGGAATGCTTTTCACAAAAGTAAGCAAAGCCAGCCTACAACCATAATCTAATGCATTGACGCCATCGCTCAAGTACAGAACATATATACAGGCACGTCATCCACTCCATCCCACATCAGACAGCCACACACTCTTATTTCCCTCCCCCGTCATGAAATGGATCATATCATGCATGCATGCACGAACGGCCGGCCCGTTCAAATGGAGGTATTCCAACAATAGCAGTTCCAGCCGGGGAACAACAAGAACAGTAAGGAAAAGAAATGATGATGCAATCATGCTTAGCTCAAGGGCTACACCGGACTCTTGGCCAGTGATACCTCATGGCTCAGCAGGCTACTAGTTTGGAAATGCTAGCAGCCAAGATATCTTACACCCTTTAACAGAAATCTGGCTTCAGGGTTGCAACGAGATGATTCTAAGGGGCTTTCTTCTCGGTCAGGTCTTGCGGGGCGTCGATCCCCTGATTTCCTGCCAGAAAATGTGACGTGTTCGAATCCGTCTTGCCACCGCTGGACAGCCGCGAGGACTCCCTTTTCTCCCCGTTGGAGACATGCTCGACGCTAACGTAGGTCGATTCCAGGGGAAGCTGCTCGTCTTGGGTCGGCGTTATCGCTTGCTGTGAGTCTGTCGACTCCGGGCTAAGGTACGTATGGCTCTCTTCTTCTGCGTCTGGCTCGCCGTTCAACGACGTCAACCCTCCCTCGATATCTCGAAGCAGACGAACGAACTCCTCCGGCACCAACCCGCTCTCCCCTGTCTTGGGATCTTCTGCAACAAGCCAACCCTGACCGTGTCGGTATGAGACGAAGATCACCTGCCCCTCAGTCAGGGGCAGCTCATTTTCATGTTCTCTCGTGAAGTCAAAAAGCGCAACGGCCTTCCCATGCATTTCTTCGTCAGGGCATCCCACGGCAAACTGAAAGTCACGCGAATAACGATGATCGCCCGCATAGTCATCTTCAGAATCAAAGTCTGCATCATGTCCATAACTCTGATAGTCGCCGTACGAGCCCATGTGGGAATACCGGCTTTCGTTTGCCGGATACGTGACATACTCGCCGCCTGGTCCGTCTTCCATGGCATCGTCATCGTTCACATAGTATGTCTCGCTACCGTCTGCGTTCATGCTGACCAGTGTTCCCCGATCAGCGTCTCCCTCATAGCTCGTGCCCTGATGCTCGCGGCCGCCAGGGCCCCTGGATTTCCGCCCATTCAAGTCAGTTCCGGTGGATTTGTTCTTCCGGTGGCGGGGGGCAGAAAAGACTGGGCTGTGCAGGTCTTCGTCCTCGCTATATGGTGGCCCATCCCCAAAGGACATGGCGGGAAGTTGCTGGTGCCCGTAGCTGTGATCAGTAGTCCACGGCCCCATGGACCACTGACCACGAGAGCTGTCCCACGGGGCCGGGGGATCGGAGAGGCGCCGCTGTTCACTCGCTGGGGTCGACACCACCGATGCACGAGGTGGCAATGGGCCATAGTGGAGAGGATGAATTGCGGGATACGCGAAATCGCGGACCAGCGCATACGGTAAGCTGGAATGGAAGATTGGAAATACATGAGATCCCGGCCGCGACCGATTCTGAGAAGCTAAGGAAACATTAGAGTGTGTGGAGAGACGATCTTTTGCGTACGACGAGGACCGCTGACGGCCTTGCCGCTTAGCTGGGGTGTCTGTGATTATAGGCGGCAAAACCGTTAGGGTGGAAGAAGCCGTCTGCTGAGACGGGGGAGACGAGGCTGTGGAAGCCATGGCGGTGGTCATGAGTCCCTCGAGGTAACGAACAGAGCGGAAAACTGGATGATTACGTTTCGTGGATATCGTGTGAGGTAATGTCAGGTGAGAGGTTGTCGCTCGAGGGGAGGGTAGAAAAGCTGGAGAACCGGTCCGCCCTAGTTTCGCATCGCGATCGCCCTTTCACGAAACTCTACTACCAGAACCCGCCTGAAGATTGTTCCAAGGAAATAATCGCACCAAGGAAGCAGATGCGAAAGCATGCGACTCGACTCGGCGGGTGTGTTTGGCGAACTCCTTGCGTGCAAGCACGATGCAGATCTGATTCTGGAGGAGGCTGCGCCGGGGAAAGGCTGTTTCAAACGGGAGCACACTAGACGAACGGCGATAAATGGACTGCGGCTAGACGCCAAAGAAGCGAGGTGGCCGCACTGGAGGTCTGACAGGCCCGGCAATAATCGACAGTTAATGGACAGGTACAGCGCGGCTATCGACTTCAGAAGACCGCGGGGATCTTCAGGACGGGCAGCTCCCCTCTCCCACAGACCAAGCAAGTAAGAATTAATCGGTGGTCAATAAAAACGGTCGGTTGTGGGCTGCACCGACCAGGCGGCTGCAGGGGTTGGAAGAGAGGATGTGAGTGAGAACCGACGGCCAATGCCCGGGGAGATTCAGCGAAGTAAGAGGAGGAGGTTGTTTCGTGATGGAACGGTTTGGTCCCGCGCTTCAGAGTTCGGATGGGCGAGGGCAAAACTGGGGATGCTAATTTTAGCAACGAGGGCAGGGAAAAAAGCGCCACTTTTAGCAGACGGCGACTACCGAATCCAATGACACGGCGGGAGAGCCAGAGGGGAGGCAGGAAGGAGGAACTTGGGGGGGAGAGGGGGGGGGTAAGAGGGGAGGGGCGTAGTAGGTAGTAGTAGGTAGATAGGTAAGAGGGGATGGATGGCTGAGCGCCAGTAGCTAAGTAGTAGTAGTAAGTAGAGTAGAGGAACTGAGGAAGATGAATGGATAACTAAGAGACGGACGGGGACGGTGGAGCGAGGACGAGGACCAAGACGAGAGGTGGTAGGGGCGTGAGAGAGAGGCTTGCCAGGCGCCGGAGATTACTGCTAACTTACCTGCCGTGAAGGCTCCGACTGAAGCGTTAAGGATCAACGAGGCGCAGTCACCGGTGCGGTGGAGTTCAGGATTCACAATCCCGCTGGCATGCAGGGTCGCTTCTCGAGTCTTGACAATGGCGCTTCCCTCGGGTCTATGGAGCAAGTAGATAGATATATATATGGCAAGAAGGATTCACACTGCCCGATTCCAGCTCCCGACAGGATCAACCCTGAGGATGATGATGATGATGATGATGATGATAATAATGGCATCGCCGGTGATCCATCGTCCGGTCATTTTTTGTTTCCGCCCGTTTGAAGATGAGCCGGCCTGCACGTGACTGCCCACGCGTGGCCTAGCGTGTTTCAGGTGTCGCTGCCTCGGGCCATCCCCGAACGGGCCACTTAGCAGCCTCAGCAGTCAGGCATATAAGCTCGTTTCCTCCCGCATGCCTGCCTGGCTGCCTTCCGTGCCTTGCATCCCCCCAGCCACTCCACTCCACTCCAGTTTGATGGAAATCGGTTCTTACAGCTTACTATTTTACTCCGTACGCTTGAAGGATTTTTGCAACTCGTGGGCAGTAACATGAGTGCCATGTTGGAGAAAATAAATCAATGTCTATGGAAGGATAAATATCATAGCGAACGTCATCAACCCCGGCTAGGCCCGCCTAGCTCGGGGGACAGAAAAGAAGGCACGGAGTAGGGGTACAGGGCTGAGCTGATGACTTGGTTTTACTCCTTCGGATGGGGTCTGAGGGGTATAAATGTAAAACACATTCCAGCTCCCCCAGCGATTGGGAACGCAAGGGATCCGGCACCACCAGCAAGGCCCTAAATCAAGTCATTCCCGCCAACCAGCCAGCCGCCGCCCGGTTACATGCTCTGGTAAATCGTGATAAATTTCGTTGAGATGGCTACCAGAGGCGGCGTTGTTGGGGCCGGAGTAGGGGCCGGAGTGGTCGATGAAGATGGCGCAGGACTGCCTCCAGCCTCGCTAGCACCGGACCCCATGATTTCTGCAAACTCGGACGGAATGGCTGCTCGATTAAGGGACTGATCCTTCACGTATCCCCCCTGAACATGCGAAGAAGTTGTAGAATGGTCACTGTCTACCACCTCCACATCAATGCATGTCGTATACATCTCCAGCTTGCCCTCAGGGAGCGAGGGGTCCACGCCAGGAGCAGTGGGCCAGTCCCAGACCCAATAGAGAGTATACAGTTTCCCCGAGGGTGCATTGGACGGTAGCGCAATGTCTTGTTGGCACCACAGGTCGGCTCCCATCAATGGGTCTGCCTCGTGAGGATACACCTTTTGGCGATACTCGGAGATATTGCCGTTGTTGATCTGGTAGCAACGGCCGTCATCAAAATTCTGTTGCGACAAAAGAACGCCGCGTCGGTCACCTCCAGTGCCATTTCGGTTCCAGACCTTGTGAACGTCCACGAAGTTCTCCTCTTCCTTGGGTTCTGTGGTTCCATAAACATACACCGTCCCTCGATTCTTCGGCTTTCCTGGTTGATTCCAGGGTAAGGTCACATGGCCGTTTTCTTGATAGCGAAGGGCTATGGCAGCGCCGGCACTTGCCTGCAGCCGGGGGCTACCTTCAGTTTGGTTATGTGTTCGCTGTGTGCTCTTGCACATCTTGTCAGTGGGCTCAATTAGGCTCTGATTGGCTTGACCGTCCGGCGGAATAAGGTAAGTCATGGTCTTGTCGCTGAAATTAGGGACGCTGCGGTGGACATTGCCTCTGGCATAACCCGAAGATCCAACAAAAGTACCATTCGGTGCGATAACCAGCAAGTCTTCGATCCAAGAATGGGCGCTCACGGTCGAGAAAAAGAGGGCCACGAGGAACCACCTCAGAGCGCTGCTGCAAGAATGATTCATGGCCTTGAATCTCCCTTTTCTCCTTATGTTTGAGTCACAGGCCAAGACCCAAGGTATTGTTAGATAAATAAGACACCGACCAGCGGGGTCGTTTAAAAGTTGAAGTTAAAGAGCGGTCTTTGTCTGAAGTCGGTAGTTAGAAAAGCATTGGCCTGAGAAAGATCCTCGAGCGAGTAAGGGAATGCGCACAAACTATATACTCAGGCCCAAGAGGTTCCCCAGACCGTTCTCTTTCAAGAATTCGTGTTGCCGGGACCTTCCCTTGAGTGGAACGGTAAGAATAAGAGGGACAAAGAAGTCTTTCACAGACAAAGTGATTGTTATAACACGAAAGCCAATAGAATCATCCAAGTTGGCAGCCGGTGGAGGCCGCAATAAGTATTGATCTGAATGTTTCGCTCCCCACCTTTATCTTCACCTCCAGAGTCCGTGTTTGCTAGCAGTCCATGAGGAAGATATAGGGACCATGGTTGCGCCCAATGTGATCAGGTCATTTGAAACACAACCATCCCAGGAAGTGAATGAACCAGTGTCACGAGGGATCATGTTTTGCAGGCGCTAAAAATGATGCCAGATACGATCGAAGTAGTCCTCGTCATGGTGTATCCAAGGCCAATCGATTCGCATGTTTGCCCGACTAAGCTTTCCTGCTTCGCGATGTGTCGCGAATATACGGTCCTGAATCATTGCTAGTAGCTTCTAGCTTGAGCCACCTGAAGAATCTGATTGACTCAATCATGCATGGCAAGGTATCCTGGGGTATCAAGTTCCGAAATTAGCAACGGCGCCTAACCCGGTCTGGAGTAAAATCTCAGGACATTGAGCGCCATAGTAGAAGATCTCCCGTGTTGCAGAAGTGAAGCCGTTGTAGACCAAGGAGTTCGATGATTGGTCTGGGCTTCCATCGCAGCGCTCCAACCTGCAGAACCAAGCAGATGACACATTAAGGAATGCCTGGGAAGAGATGCATAGTGTGTTTGAGGTACTGAAAGGCCTGAATCCGTGCACCGGGATGTTCAGTCGCCTGCCGGCAGGCAATTGCAGACATTGGATGTATAGGCGCCGTGACGGGGAGCGATGAAACATGGGCGCCCCGCTCTTCTAGCCCAAGCAGCAAACAAAGCGGCTGACAAAATCCATTGATTGCCTAGGCAAGATACATGGTTATCGAGATTGTCGTGGGATAATAATAACAGGATTTGATGGGGTAGCAAGGGAAAAGGTGAAGACAAAAATCCCCCCAAGTGTCGTGACCACCAAGCTTTCCGATCGTTCTTTTAGTGTGCCAGTCATGCATGGGATGAGATGAGCGACATTCTTCTCGGCTACCAAGTCCCGATTACTAGTAGTGTCCAGCTTGCTTGTCAGTCCCCCATCAAAGGGCTGTAAGTCTGCCACTCTGCCCTCTTGCAAAACCGAATCAATGATTCTGCCACCCTCATTCTGTTCTTCCTTGGCGCCTACGCGATCCCCACCGTCCCCATACCTGGATCAGGTAATATCCAGCATGTCCGACCGCCGATGGTTCCATCAGTACCAATAACACCAGTTCTTTGGCTTTTTCATCCCGCGATCATTGCCCGACTGCGCAGGCATCATCCCAAACCCAGCATTTACATTCCGTAATGCGATTTACGCAACGGTGGCAGTCTCGAAAGCCTCAGGTTCTGTCAATGATATCACTCTGATCGAAGCTGGTTGCGTACGCTTGACCCGCAGCCGACCTTGTTTTTTTTTAGGTTTCCGAGTGTCTGCTGCTGGCTCCGAAGGAAACCCTGGTCTACATCCCGAAAGGTCCAGCGCACGACAATGATGAGGTGAGATGTCATCTTCCTTTCATCCGCCGAGATACAGAAACGACTAGAGAAGGAGACTGGAACCGCAGCAGCAGAAAGACCCAGATGGACCCCTTTGCGGCAAAGATGAAGAGATTGATTAGATGAAAAGCGGTGGGTATCACGCGTTATCTCCGATGAATCACGACTCTTCAGTGGCCATGGCCTCCTGTCCCGGTGTCCACCGTCCCACCCACCCCCGAGAGAATGAGGGAATATTCAGAACCTTGGGCTGCGGGCTGGAGTCCGATGTGGATGCAGTCTCCCTCAGATGGGCGCCATGACAGCCCCGACGATGGGAACTCACTTCTGGTTACCTAACATATTCTCGCACATTACGTCCTGTGTGTTAAATACAGAGTGCGTACAGAGCACAGAGATAGTATCCTGAGTCAGATTCGGAGTCGCACGGTACTTATGTGCTGATGAGCATATCATCGTTCGTGTTGACCGCGCCGTTATTCGATCAGACGGGGCACCGGTTTTACGATGTGCAGTCATGCTGAACGATCTCCTTTCTTTATCAACGAGCGACACGGCAGGAACATACCCATGTCGGTACGACAAACTGTGACGGTGATGGTAGGACAACTGCCTGCTTGGACCTCAAAGAAGCGGCCCTTCCAAACCCCTTACTTTGATCAGATCCCTGGAAGCTTGACAAGAATAAGCGGTGGACTAAAGATTCCAACCATATCACCGAGTAAGGCCAGCCTTCAACAGAAACGAGGCCCATGATAGATAGATAAAGAGGGCGCTGGATCATGATTTGGGCTATGATCTAAGAAACTCCGTCTGACTTAGTCCGTAAGATGGCCTTGCCTCATAGAGCACTAGGGCAGACCCTGGTAGTAATGATGTAGTAGGTGTACCAATCCCGTTGCTTGCCTGAGAGAACCCGAAAGTCCTATTGTTTGTTCTGGTTTGTCCGGACTTCGGTGGTATTGGCAGTTCTGCATCAGACGATATGATACATTTCTAGCAGTCTTTGTGTGCGGCGTAATTTGCAGTTGCACTGCAGGTTTGCACCACTTGATGAGCCCGAGCTGAGGGACAGTCGGCGGATTTCTCTGTAACTGGTGTTCACAACCTCCAACCTATGCCAGGGGAGGTGGAGGGGAGCGGCTTCCCGATAAGCGGAGAAGGTCAGGCTGGTACGGGATGGCTCGTAAAAAAAAAACCCACCGGCGAAAGAAGAATGGTACCGTTCCAGGCAACTAGGACTATTCAAGTAATCCCCATCTGGGCTGGTCCGGTGCTCGCTACCTTCACTCTTCTTCCTATTTCAATTCTTTATTCTCGGTCGCCCCCTCCTCTCTCTCTCTCCACTCATTCCCTTTTTCTTTTTTTTGCTGCCAACCTCGTTGCTCCCCTTCCTTCCAACTATCTGATCGGCAGGTAGAAGGTCGATCCTAGTGCCTGCATACGGCCTTGCTTTAGGTGCAGACCAGTGGACTTGATTGTTGGGACCTGCTACCGACACTACCCACGGACTATCAGCGGTCCGCATATCCGCCGTGCTCTTCGATTGGCTGCACCCTTGGGCGGTCTTGTGGCTCAGGCGGCGAAATTCGCGGATTTACAATAATCCCACCGCCTGTGTGCCACGCCGTGGAAGTGCTTCCACATTTCCTTCCTCAGGGGCCGTGATCGAGTTCTTGAAGTCCCTAAAGGGTGACACCAGTGAAAAAGCCGTTGCTGGGATCTTGGCCATCAACCATAGCAGAAGACGGGTTACTTCTTCTCTGCTGCCAGGTAGGTTTCCTTCCGCGCCCCTCTTCTTCCGTTGGTCGCGGTTTGCAAGGTCCAATGTACTGATCGCACGCTTGTTATCATCCCTGCAGTCCCGATAAGCGACAGCTCCTTTGATCGCCTTCGCCCCATGCCATTGACGCTAGAGCAGGTACCTATAAGGTTCTAATACCTAGGGCAGTCTTTTGTGTGAAGCGTGGGACGGTTCGCGCCAGTCTCTTTCGCAGGTTTCACCGCGTCGACCGTTATATCAGAGCGCCTTCCCCTAAGGCGAGGCCCACACCGCTCCTTTCTTTCCAATTCCTTGCCTGCCAACAACGATCATGGCCGCGACTCTGATCCCAAGAAAATTTCGGCCAGCGGACGTGGATGACGATGCTGAGCCCGGATGGTTCAGGCGTCAGGTCACCAGTGGCCTACAATTCGTCTCTCGCCGTGCCTGTCTTCATCCCATCCACACCATCGTGGTATTTGCCCTTCTTGCCAGTACCACATATGTTGGTCTTCTTGAGGGTAGCTTGTTCGATTCTTTCAGAAATCCCAGGAATGTCGCTGGCCAAGTGGATGTGGACACCCTCCTTCAGGGCAGTAGACACCTACGACTCGGGGAGAGTACCTCCTGGAAGTGGCAGGTGGAAGACGTCTTGACTGCCGAAGACTACGATGTAAGCTATGTGCTGGCGTTTGTTAGCTCTGAACCTTTTTTCTGACCATCTTCATTGAAATAGGCTGCTCAGCACATGGCACTGGCTACCTTTATCTTCCCGGATTCTATGTCGAAGTCCGCTTCCACGGCTCCTCTCGCCGATGGGGTCCCGATCCCTGCCAACACTTCCGCACAACGGGTGCCTCACACACCGAATCTTTTTTCGCCTTTCTCCCATGACTCGTCTCTCGTGTTCACGCTTCCTTTTGAACAGGTATCTCAGTTCTTGAAGGCAGTACAGGAGATCCCTGAGCCTTCCGTCGACGAAGATGAGGGAGAACAAAAGAAGTGGATTATGCGAGCTGCTCGTGGTCCGGCTTACGGATCTAGTGGGGCCCTGAAGCTTTGGTTGGCAGATGCATGGGGCTCCTTCGTAGATCTGGTCAAGGTACGATCCTCGCCTCCAGGACTAATCACATCACATCGATACTAACCTGATCCAGCATGCCGAAACCATCGACATCGTTATCATGACTCTGGGTTATCTTTCGATGCATCTCAGCTTTGTCTCCCTTTTCTTCTCGATGCGGCGCCTGGGCTCAAACTTCTGGCTGGCTACCACGGTTCTTTTCTCCGGTTGCTTTGCCTTTTTGTTTGGTCTTCTGGTGACAACCAAGCTTGGCGTTCCCATTAACATGCTGCTTTTGTCGGAGGGCCTCCCGTTCCTTGTTGTGACTATTGGTTTCGAGAAGCCGATTATTCTCACCCGGGCTGTCCTGAGCGCGTCCGTAGATAGGCGGCAAGGCTCCCGGGCCGGCAAAACTGGCGCCCAAACGACCCCGAGCACCCCCCTATCCATCCAGGACTCCATCCAAACTGCCATCAAGAAGCAAGGTTTCGAGATTGTCAGAGACTATTGTATTGAAATTGCTATTCTCGTGGCTGGTGCAGCTTCTGGAGTCCAGGGCGGATTGAGGCAGTTCTGCTTCCTCGCCGCCTGGATCCTGTTCTTCGATTGCCTCTTGCTGTTCACTTTCTACACTACTATCCTCTGTATCAAGCTTGAGATCACTCGCATCAAGCGCCATGTTGCACTCCGCAAGGCTCTCGAGGAAGATGGAATCACCCACCGTGTCGCTGAGAACGTCGCCTCAAACAACGACTGGCCCTTGGCGGGATCGGAGAATGATGGGACCAGCGAGACCAGCATTTTCGGGAAGAAGATCAAGTCAAGCAATGTGCGCCGCTTCAAGATTCTTATGGTCGGAGGTTTCATCCTGATCAATGTGGTGAACTTGTCCGCCATCCCCTTCCGGAAATCGACTGGCATTCCCCTCCTCTCTCGAGTTTCGAATGTGCTGGCTCCCACTCCTATTGATCCATTCCGGGTGGCTGAGAATGGACTCGACTCGATTTACGTTTCTGCGAAGAGCCAGATGATGGAGACAATTGTGACCGTCATCCCTCCGATCAAGTACAAGCTGGAATACCCCTCTGTGCACTATGCTGCCTTTGGAGAAAGCCAATCATTCGACATTGAGTACAGCGACCAGTTCTTGGATGCAGTTGGCGGGCGCGTCATTGAAAGCTTGCTCAAGAGTATCGAAGACCCGATCATCAGCAAGTGGATCATTGCGGCTCTCACCCTGAGCATTGTCCTGAACGGTTATCTCTTTAACGCTGCGAGGTGGAGTATCAAGGAGCCGGAGGCCGCCGCCCCCAAGGTGGAGCCCCCGACGCCTAAGGTCTACCCGAAGATTGATTTGAACAACCAAGAGGGCCCCAAGAGAACCTCGGAGGAATGTGAACTGTACCTGAAGGAGAAGCGGGCATCTTACTTGTCAGATGAAGAACTGGTTGAGCTCTCATTGCGCGGCAAGATCCCGGGCTATGCTCTTGAGAAGACGATGGAAAATGATGAGCTCATGAGTCGTGTTGATGCTTTCACCCGCGCGGTCAAGATTCGCAGAGCTGTCGTGGCCAGGACTGCGGCCACATCCGAATTCACGAACTCGCTGGAGAATTCCAAGCTTCCTTATAAGGATTACAACTACACTCTGGTCCACGGTGCCTGCTGCGAGAATGTCATTGGTTATCTGCCTCTACCTCTTGGTGTTGCCGGCCCTATCACGATTGATGGCCAAAGCTATTTTATCCCCATGGCCACTACCGAAGGTGTCTTGGTGGCTAGTACCAGCCGTGGTGCCAAGGCCATCAACGCTGGAGGTGGTGCGGTTACTGTTCTGACAGGTGACGGTATGACGCGTGGTCCTTGTGTTGGTTTCCCTACGCTCGCACGAGCCGCCGCTGCCAAAGTCTGGCTTGACTCGGAGGAAGGCCAAAGCGTTATGATGGCTGCATTCAACTCTACCAGTCGCTTTGCTAGGCTACAACACATGAAGACCGCTCTTGCTGGCACCTACTTGTACATTCGGTTCAAGACGACAACGGGTGATGCTATGGGTATGAACATGATCTCCAAGGGTGTCGAAAAGGCGCTTCATGTGATGGCCACTGAATGCGGCTTCGACGATATGGCCACGATCTCGGTTTCTGGAAATTTTTGCACTGACAAGAAATCCGCTGCGGTCAACTGGATCGACGGGCGTGGCAAGTCGGTTGTGGCGGAGGCTATCATCCCAGGCGAAGTCGTTCGCAGTGTCCTTAAGAGTGATGTGGACGCCCTTGTTGAGCTGAACACCAGCAAGAACCTGATTGGTAGTGCAATGGCGGGAAGTTTGGGTGGCTTCAACGCGCATGCGTCCAACATTGTCACTGCTGTTTTCCTGGCCACTGGTCAGGACCCTGCACAGAACGTGGAGAGCAGCAGCTGTATCACCACCATGAGAAAGTAAGTTATCTCCGTCTCTAGGAGGTCGTGGGAACATTATGCTAACGGTGAATCCTTCGCAGCCTCAATGGCAACCTTCAGATTGCCGTGTCGATGCCTTCCATCGAAGTTGGAACGATCGGTGGTGGTACGATTCTGGAGGGACAATCCGCCATGCTTGAACTGCTGGGAGTGCGCGGATCTCACCCCACCACCCCAGGCAACAATGCCCGCCAGCTTGCGCGTATCGTGGGCGCTGCAGTTCTTGCAGGAGAGCTGAGTTTGTGCTCTGCGCTTGCCGCAGGCCACCTTGTCAGGGCGCACATGGCCCACAACCGCAGTGCTGCCCCCACACGCTCAGCGACGCCCGTGTCTGCCGCCGTTGGCGCGGCTCGTGGCCTTGCTATGACATCGTCGAAATGAACGGGGGGTGTTTAGTGCGCCGTATTCGCCTCGCCCACCCGCTACGTGATGAGATTATGTACACCGATAATACTGCTGCTTGCAGACTCTCTTCCCCGATTCTACCTTTCAGCCCTCTTTCTTCCCCCCCTACATGATTGATACCTTTCTGGCATTTTTGGCCCGTCGCTACCTGGGATGGCTTCGCCGGTTGTCTTAGCAGTGCGGCATCCTGTATTGTACATTTATAACCTATACATACTTTGTGGATTTCCATGTGGCCTGCGCATCTCATGCTGGTCCGTGGATGGAGCATGGGACCTTCGACGTGTTTGGCGTGAACTAATTGGACTACGGGTTCATAGACCGAGGGAAACAAACAGCAATGGCCGGGGGACTGTCGAGTCCGGTCCGACAAAAGCAGGGAATATTTGCTGTTGGAAAGATTCGGACATGATTGTTGATCGGATTATGTACGGAGTATGGATATCCAGGGGATTGTTTTATTTGCTACCTTATGCTTCTTACCTTGTCGCTGCCATCCTTTGGGGGAGTTCTTTGTTTAGACTTGAAAGTATTCCGTAATGTGTGTGTGGTGATGGCAGTTTCGTCAGCGGGGTGACCCCTTCCGGCATGTGGTTAATGCTAGGATCCAAGTTCAAGGGAGGCACGGGATCTCCGCGAAGTACATACTCCGTCCGGACCGGGCGGCGTGCCCCCTGATGGACATCCATGCCCGCCAATCATCCACCATTCAATCCTCCTCCGAGTGCCGGGCAGTGTTGGGGACGGGGTAACTAGGTAGGTAAGTATAATTAGCCAAGGCAACAAGGTAACCGCCCTAGCTCGAAAGGAAAGATCAATGAGAAGGATGGAAGGTCTGGACCCCAAAGTTTTGCAGAAAGCGAGTGGTGGACGTAGGCAGTAATTTGAGCACCTCCTGAACTAGCTTCAAACTATGTGGAGGCGCGCGATGGTTGGGGGCTGGCCAGAATTGGGAACTCGTCGACGCCGTCCGGTACACAGCAGCCGTTCCGGTTATGCGCCCGCCTGAAGGAACAGATGCTTGATGACTTCATTCCAGTTCCAGACATGGCCGACGAGCGAATCACAACTCATTGGATGGTGCAGAATGTACATAGTAGATACTAGTAGTTAGTACTTATTATGTGGTGGTGCGGAATGGGGAATCGGAGGACACCCACCATCACCGCCACACCGGCGAGGCTCGATCGGTTCCTGGCGGATGGCGGTGGAGTTGCGCCGCTGCCACTGCAAGATGGGCAGGTATCGTCGTTTGTCTGGTCTGGTCTGGTACGTACCAGAACGTCCTGCGCAAAGGGTGTCCGGTACTGCCTTTATCCCCGGGCGGTCGTGGCCTGCCTGCTTTCTGGTAGGCAGAGAGCAAGATGGTGTGTCTCAGAACAGCAGCTGTAGAAGCCCACTCGAGCCTAGTGCCAGATGTCAAAGGTGTAGATATGTCTTAGTCCTCATCTCTCATCCGATGTAAGGATTATCTACTATTAGATAACTACCTAGTGGGCGATTTCTCCCGGGGGATCGCGCCTCAAAGATCGCACGATCCATGGAGAAGAACTCCGCGACAGGCATGAGAGGTGCAGGAGTGGGAGCAGGTGATACTAACATACCGTACCGTACCCCTGAAGTATGTACGGGGGCCGTACTCGTACTCGCGGAGGTATGTATGCCTCAGCCGCCAAATAATTTCCCGGGCCAACAAGTCGTCGTCGCCCGTCCCCCCAGGCCGCCATTCATCTTACTACCTAACTAGATAACTCATCTCATCAATTGGAACTAACTAAGAGGGTTCGACCCGTCCAAAAAGTCCGGCCAGTCAGTCCTTTACCCACTCCCTGGGGCCTCGCCTCGCCAAACCATCGTGATTCCCTCCCGTGGTGGCTGCTTTTGCTTGCATCCAATCCCTACCGACCGGTATACCTACTCCGTACTCCGTACCTATTTTCCTTCCCCAGAGCGCCGCCTTACATCCCTCCCTCCCTCTTGGTCGCTACAATCGGTATTCCCATTGGTGATCGGTCGCTCCCCGTGCCGACGTCGCTTGACACAGGTGCCTCCATCACGTTCTCTTCTACATTCCGCCTTGGATTCCTTCCCTTTCTTTGTTTTCATTCTGCCCCGAGCCTTAGCACAACAATCGCAGCAGCCGTCGCCATTCCTTATCATCTGCCACGGGCGAAATCCTCCGATCCCCCAGATATCCGTCCTTGATCCCCATCGATGGCCTTCGTGTCGCAGGCTCGCAGTACCTCGAATGCATAGTGACAAGCTCCATCGCTTTGGTCCGCCCCCGATCTCCCCCTTGTGTCAACAATTGCAGAGTCCGGTCTCCCGACAACGCATCCCCTTATGAACGCTCACTCAGGGACTATGTCACCTGTCTCCGTGGACGGGAGTGACTGGTCCGGCATCAATCAGTACCAGAAGTCGGATCCCCCCTTCTCCCCGACCTTCTCGACTCGCAGCAACCTTGCTACACCCCCGACCTCAGGCGTCCCTAGCGGATCTAGCGGCGCAGGACTTCCAACCGGTGCTGCTGGCCCGGTCAGCGATTCAGGGAACCCTTCCCCCCCGAGTTCGGTGGCTGCGCGATCTAGTGATGGAACATTGGGCGATCAACGCAGCAAGCGACAGAAGCGGATTGAGGAGGTCCTAGGTCAACACTATGTTGCCCTTCGGAGATTCCTCCATGCGTCGTATCGCGACGACAAAGGGAATAATAAGTCCAATAAAGCCCGGGACAAACTATTGCGGCTCTCCTCGACTCAATTTCACGAACTGAGTACCGATGTGTATGATGAATTACTGCGCCGACAGCAAGCCATGCCATCTTCGAATCGACCGCCTCGCCCCGACGTCCCTCCGTTCCTCCCGCCGCGAAAGGACTTCCATGAAAAGCGCAACCAGGCGCGCCAGAAGCTTGCTTCGCTCCAGCACCAGCGGTTCCGGGATCTGGCGACAGATGTCTACACTGAGCTGGAGCGACGGTTTCCCCACTTCCCCTCTAGGGAGTCTCGCCGATTGAGTCCGGCCCCCAGTTATCGCGGACGACCATCTAACGGGTACCCACCGAATGGGTACCCTCCGACTCCAGGAGGTCCGCGTTCGCAGTCTCGTGGACCCCCATCTCGGATGGGTTACCACCCGTCTGGTGGCTCTCCAGCTAGTCCGATGTATCCCCCACGTCAAGGCTCTCTCGGTGGGCCACCGCCAGGCATGAACGGGGATGGTGGTCCAATGGCTAAATCCTTCCATAGCAACACTATCGTTCCAAACAAGAGTACTATGGTCGAGGATGATGATGATGCCGCTGGCACGGAGGACGATTATGATGCGCGGAGTGACGCATTCGCTCTGGATGCGGTTCTGCAAAGTAGACGAGGGACTGGAGCGACTCTGGCGGACGCGGACAGGAAAGCCTTGGCGGAGACACAATCACAGGTGTCCGTTCTACAGGATAAGGTGAACAAACTCGAGGACCTACTCAAATCCAAAGATGAGGAGATATCCAAGTATCAGGAAGATCAGAATAAGGTTGAGGCGTTGGAGGAATTGGTTAAATCCAAGGAAGAGGAACTCCTCAAGTACCAGGAAGATCAGGACAAGTCAGAGGTATGCCGGATTTTTGCGATGAGGTCTGGTTCTCTGGACTTGCTAACAAGGTCAGCAGGTCAGCAGCGCAGAGCGCCAAGAATGGGAGGCTCTAAAGTCGGACCTGGAGAGCAAAATCTCTCAGGCAGAAGATCTGAACAGCTCTCTGCAGCATGAATTAGACAAAGTTCGGGCCGACCATGAAGCTGTAGAGATGGACCTTCGAAACCAGCTTGGTGAAGTGTCGCGGCAAAGTACTGGAGATCCGGAGCTCGAGGCCCGCTTTGCTGAACTTGAGATCAAGCACCAGGCTCTGCAGACTGAGCTTCAAGAACAGCAACAAGTGACGGAAGAGGTCAGGCACGAGGCTGCGGGCTTCCTGAGGGAGATGAGGGCGTTGTCGGAGCAAAGCCAGTCCCGCTGGGAGCACGAGGAGCAACTGACCACCGAGGTTCATAAATTAGAGGACCAAGTCAAGCAGTGGAAGACTCGGTATGAGAAGGCAAAGGCTCAGCTACAGCACCTCCGCACATCCTCCATTGGTACAGCGGAAATCCGGCCCGATACCTTCAGTATCTCGAAGGATCGTGAATTCTTCCATGAGGATGGCTTGGTCAAGGATGTCCATGTCGCCAAGTTTCAAGTCGCCATTGACGAATTGCTACACATTGCGCGCAACGATGACTACCACATCGTCACACGGCAAATTAATGCTGTTGTGATCGCGGTACGGCATGTGCTGCATGACGTTCAAGAATGTCAGGATCCCAGCGACGGGTTGTCAGCGCTGCGTACCAAGGCTATAAGCAAACTGTCTGCCACCGCGAACAACTTGATCACTGCAGCCAAGAATTTCGTGTCCTCAAATGGGCTCTCGCCGGTCTCCCTTTTGGACGCTGCTGCTTCTCATTTGTCAACGGCTGTCATCGAACTCATCCGCCTGGTGAAGATCCGGTCCACTCCGGCAGAGGATCCCCATGATGACGATGACGATGCGCAGTTTACTCAGATGAAGTCTCCCGATTACTTCAGCGTGGCCCCTAGCCAAAGCCGGCACAGCCGCAATGACTCTGTCTACAGTGCTATGAGTCCTCCGCCTGATGCTCCCAATGGTGTACCAGCAGCAATGCAGAGTTATCCCTCGCAATCAGAAACTCACGAGCTTCAGGAGATGAAGGTATGCTGCATTATCTCCAGCCATAATCAATATGCTTGCTAATGCGGTCTACAGCTGTACGTTGAGGATCAGACGAATGGCCTCGTTCAATCAATCCAGGCCCTCATCGACAGTATCCGAGCCGATCGTGGGCTAACCACGATAAACACCCACGTTTCTGCTATCTGTTCCGTGGTGACGAATGTCACTTCCTCAACCCAACACTTTGTCAAAAGACCCGAGTCCAACCCAGCTCTCCGGCAACGCATCGACCCGATCATCGAGATGCTGGAATATCACAAGCACCGCCTTATGGGAGCAGCAGCCGAGGGAGACACCTCTAACAGCCCTGAACAGCTTCGCGATGTTACCAACAAGCTGCCACCTATCGCTTTCGAAATCCCTCGGGTGACAAAGGAGCTTGCTCACCAATTGAATCCCGCTAATTTCGAAGAGGACGACGATTTCCGATAGTCCGCCCGCCTCACGGCATCATGATGATTTCTTTCGTTCTAGCTTCTTCACCATCGGCCTGAGAGTCGCTCAGGCGTTTTCTCCTTACTTTTATACCTTCTAGCACACTGATTTGGCACAATGATACCGACCGAACTGCTGGATTTTGCAATCTCGCTTTCTTACTTTTGCAGTTATCACGCATGACAACGAGTAACCATGTGGAACGATGTGTTGTAATCTGGTGGAGCTTAATGACGATTTCTTCAGGAGACGCATCCCGGATACAGGGGTGATGTATTTGTATTGGGCTCTTTTTCTTTTCTTTCCTGTTGATCATTGAATTTCCTGTTGCTGTCTTTTCTTTTCTGATTAGCGCTTTTTTTTTTTTCTTTCTGCTCGACGCTTATCCTGGTGGGACTGTTCACTTTTTCTATTTCCTCCCCCCATGATCCTGTTCTACAGCCTGTCCGATTCTTTTTTTGCCCGCCTCAGGATCACTTTTCTTTTCTTTCTTATTGACCATCCTGGGGCCTTGTTTGTGTGCCGTGAAGAATTCCGTGATCGTGCTGGTTTCTGTTTCAGAGTCCGTCAAGAGAATAAACCAATAGAACTTGGGTGGAGTGGTCATCGGTGACACTACTGGTAGCGACCGCTGCTTATGCGATGCAATGAGAATTCCTTGTGACCTACCGATAATTGTAAACAGTAAGAGTAATCGTCGTACTATGGTTATGGAGTGGTTATGGAGAAGTACTATGTAGCTGGAGAGGTCAAGTGGCCAATCACGTGCGAGCCAGCTGGAGCTTTTGCCGGGGAACTGGAAGCTCCGGGGGCTAGTCTGCTTCCGTCCGGATCGCATCTTAGCTAAGCACCAGCTAAACCTGTTTGGGGCATTAGCAGGAATATTTTCCTCAGCTGTCCGACGCGTTCCCCCAGTTCTTTTTGCTCTCCGCGCCAGCAAGCAGCAACGACCCCCGTTTCCTAAGACGCAATCTTCCACTAGTAGTAAGTGAAGCTCCCCGTCGCATTGCCCAGCCAGGTGAAAGAGCCAATGGCGCCCCTTGGGTCCGGTCATGGGTGAGGACCGTAAGCTGGAGCGGACAGGCCATGCTGCGTCCAGCGTAGGTACCTCCGGTCGGAGGACTTCCATGTTCTTCCATGGGGCGGCCTGAGGCCCACGGGTGAAGGCCTGGCAAGTTGCATGATTGGCGCGTATGGGCTGACGCAGAGGACGGGTTGCAGGCTCGCTGTTCCCCAAACGGTTAGCGGCAGTGCCCCTCCAGCAACAATGTTCTCCCGAAGCCTGAGGTCAACAATAACCCCACCTTGCTCGCCCTTCGCTTCTCGTCCCCTCTTCTCCATCCCCAATTGCAACCAATCTTCCTTCCTCTCTCTTCGTTCTTTCCATCAAACATCCGCAGCCATGTCTGGAAACACCAAGGTCTTCTTCGACATCCAGTACGCCCCTGTGGGCACCAGTGCCCGTAAGTTGCCCTTCCCTCCCTCTCTTGCTGGCTGGCTGGCTGGCTGGCTGGCTGTCTGCCTGCTGCACGAACCGGCATTTCGGGAATTTTACCCCTCCTTCTTGGGACGCCGGGATTCCTGGAATTTTCCACAATCGCGCTCTCAATGGCAACGGTCCCCTGAGCTGACTCGTCCTGTTCCCGGCTCTAGCCAAGACGTCTCGTGTCGTCTTCAACCTCTTCGAGAAGGACGTCCCCAAGACCGCCGCCAACTTCCGTGAGCTCTGCAAGGCTCCCCAGGGCAAGGGCTACAAGGGATCTATCTTCCACCGTATCATCCCCCAGTTCATGCTCCAGGGTGGTGACTTCACCCGCCACAACGTGAGTATTCTTGCCTGCTTTCTTGGTCGCGTCTCCATGGTTTTCTAGAGCCCCATTGACTGATATCGTCGTTCAGGGCACCGGTGGTCGCTCCATCTACGGTGAGAAGTTCGCCGATGAGAACTTCATCTACCGCCACACCAAGCCCGGTATCCTCTCCATGGCCAACGCTGGTCCCAACACGTAAGACTTTTCTCCCGTAACTCCTTGGTTGAGCCTGGCCGCTAACAGCATCTGCAGCAACGGCTCCCAGTTCTTCATCACCACCGTTGTCACCTCTTGGCTCGATGGCAAGCACGTTGTTTTCGGTGAGGTTGCCGACGAAGAGTCCATGAAGGTCGTCAGGGAGATTGAGGCTCTCGGCAGCTCCTCCGGCGCCGTCCGCTCCAACGTCAAGCCCACCATCGTCGACTCCGGTGAGTTGTAAATGTCTTCAAGGATAACAGATGGCAAAATTGGGACATTCCGCGGGCTGGCCTAAGCCGGCTACGGGATTAATGGTGGACAATTCTCTTTCTCCTTCCATGGTGTAATCTAGAGTGTCCATACCAATTGTCTATATGTATTCCTCCATCATTTACTGTACCAACCGTAATCAAACATCCCATCCGTAACGAGATGACAATACCCCGTACGAAGTAGATATGGAATGCTTGCTCATCCCCCAAACCAATGACGAATTCCTTACACCCTATGAAGTCAGCCACCCACAGAACGTGGCAACCTAGTACATACGTAGTCAACTTGAACTGGGAACCCCGCTCTGGGCGTCGGTGGGGTTCGGATTGCTTTCCCGGGTTCCGAATACGGCCGGGGAGTTGGTCTGCAGCCCTAAACTATCTATCTAATCTACTTTCTTGATCTGAAGTATTTGTTGGTTCTCGGTGTATCTATCATCCATCTAGCTAGACATATGGATGGATTCACATGACATTGACATTTATCATATTGTGTGTGTATGGTAAGGAAAGATGTAGAATTCAATCAATCAATCAATCAATGAGTGACAATAACATAGAATTGCCAGACCAAGTAGACGTCCTACCCCAAAATCCTCCTTTCTCCATCCTCCATCTTCCATTTTCCAACCCGAAAGAGAAAGAAAGAAAGAAGTTGCCCGATGTACATACGTACGTCAGATCAATGTTCCTTCCTGGTAGCTAACTGGGCTGGTTAGGCGCAGCATCTAGTTATGGTTATGGCGTCATTTCTATACTCACAATCATCATATTAGTAAGTATTCCACTGATATATTTTAAAGGCAGTGAAAAGATAAAACAATGGGGAGGGGAGGGGAGAGGGGAAGAGAATGACGAACTCTTTCTTCTCCGATACCAAACCCCAACCAAAGACCAAAAAGCCCGAGAACGTTCCAATGAAGATACAAAAGATAATGTAGCCATTGAAGTACATCGCCAGGAGCATGATCAGGTACGCTACTGCGAATTGCACGGTGTGTAGTATTGCGCGGATGATCTGCTCGGGGAAAGTAGGTCGATGGGCGAAGGGCATTGGTGTTAGGTTTCTGGCTGCTATTGGTGCTTGCGGTGGTACTGCAGGTGCTGGGAGTGCTGTTGTGCTTGCACCAGTTGTGGAGGCTAATGTGGTGGATGTTGCTGTGGGTGGGACTGGGACTGGGGTTGGGATTGAGATGGGGGGGTAGGTGGAGTTCGGGGCGGGGGCAGGGTCATGCCTTTGCAGTCGATGTTGTTGGTTCTTGAATAGCAGCATGAGGAGGGGGTTGTGGGGGAGGGTGCTTCGGTGGTCATTGGTGCTGGTGCTGGTGCTGGTGTTGCGATTGCGGTGGTGGAGGAGCCGTAGCCGACGGCGAGGAATCTGACTCGGAGTCTGGCGCGGTTGACGATGAAGGCGTCGTATTCGTAAGTGGCGCGACGGAGGAATTCCAGGATGAGGACTAGGCAGAAGGTGCCGATGCAGGAGCCGGCGAACATTCCGGGGGAGGTGTTGTGCCAGGAGGAAGTGATGAAGCCTGTTGATGTTGGTGGTGATGGTGTTAGGATGCTGGGGGTTGAAGTGTTGGGGGAGGAGGGGAGCGTACAAGTACCCACGGTGTCCCAGTTCCAGAGCATCTAGTAAGGTAGCATTTAGTATAGGGTGGGTGGGTTGATTGAGTAAGTATGAAGTGGATGGAGGGTTGGATGTACCGAGATCTGGCAGTTGGATGAAGCCTCGGCCATCGAGGTGCTGGTACTATCTGCGCTCATTGCGATGGTGGTGGCTGACATGGCCATGTTGATAGTTGATGAAGTCATATTAATAGAGACAAGCTAGTGAAGGAAGAGAATCAGATGGTCGTAAAAGAACGGAAGCTGAGCACCGTCACAGTCAGAGATAGGAAGGATAGAATGAGGTGCCTAGAGGGTTGAAGAGGAGGAGGAGGGCCCAGAAAAGAAGGAGGAAAAAGGTGAAAGATAGTGAAAAGGAAGACATTGAATAGCATGCGCTGTGATGAACGCCAGCTGCTTTGTGGTTGACTGATAATGCAGTCAGGTTGCTGCCTGCCAACTCAACTGTGGCGGCGAGATAGTCTGTATGATCGATCCTTCACAGTCTTCACTGCATGGCAGCCCTCCAATGGTATCGTCGGCTACAGCCGTGTAGCGAGATCCTTATCATAAACAATCAGATCTTAGTGTAGAGTGAAACACCATCACTTGCAATTGAAATTATCAAGCCTTCCCACGCCCAACACCTCCTATGGCATTCACAGGGTATAAACAAAAGCTCTCCACCATGCTCCAGAGCACAATAAACAGATACAAAACGATTGACCAAGAACAAATCTTCACCGATGGGCTGACTTCTTGATCACTCCTTCCAAGATCTCCCGGATCTGCTTGCACCCGTCAATTCCCACCGCCAACATTGTCTCAACATACGTGCAATGCACCTTCGAGTCCATTGTCAACATTGCAACCTTCATTTCATCCTCATCATCGTTCAACATAGCCGCCTCTCCCACCGGCACAGCCGTCGTAGTCCCCACTGTAAGGAATGGGAGCTCCTGCTCCTCCGGCAGAGACAGGTCCAACAGCGGATCCAGGAAATCGTTATTCGGATCCCGCGGCGTTGACGCACTCCCACTCATTCCGGCTGTGCACCCACAAAGCAGCCCGGGCATTGGGATACCGGCATCCACAAGCGCCAGCGTACAGGCATTGACCGCCGCGGCAAGAAGCGATCCATCTGCCGACAAAACCGAGACGTGGATGCTGATCGTACTGTGCGGGTAGAGGTGTGTGTGAAGATGCGACTGGAAAGCGGAGCGTAGTATGGAAGCAATGCGCGTGGATTGTCTATTCAGAACTTTGAGTCAGTACAAGGGCCTAGGCTATCATGATTGTAACGTCTCAAGCACATACTTATCACTTCCGCCGGCTCTGCGCTTGCGATCCACCCCAGCGAACCCTGCAACGTTGACATCTACCTCCACGACTGCACCTGCGGAACCAGCAGCACCACCGCTGGCATCGCCGCGACGTCCCTCGGCGGGACCATGAACCGAGCACAGGATGGCGGTATTTCCCATGGCCAGGTAAGAGGAGCCCGAACTGGCGGGGTTCGTGGAGATCTGGCCCTGGAGGAGTCGCAGCTCGTTCCAGCGGCGGCCATCAAGGCGCAGCTTAGTGAGGGGGTACGTTGTAGATGTGTCGAGAGGCATTTTGGTCGATTCTGTCGGAGCTGGCTTCAATCCTCGTGCCGAAGTCCAGATGGGATGAATTTGACGGGTTCCCCGCACCGTGCGCTGGCAATATCTTTCGGGGGGGTGAGAAAATGATACCGGAGTATTGGATTCGAGGCCCGGTTATAACTGACACAGCAGACAGGCTCAGATCCGAAAGGGAGGGGAGCAATGGGCGGAAAGTGAGGGGATGTTGCGGAGTTTGACTTTTCGGCGCGGAATTCTTCAGTCAGCTGCTTGCCCAATCGGGAAGCCCGCCTGCCTCCATCGCGTCTCCGCATCGCCAGCTTTCTCTCTCCATCACCACCCTTAATCTCGGTCGGACTGAGCTGACATGAGCTCACACTGGGAAGTCGACAATATTGATGCCACTACTGTCGGCTCCGATGACGACGATGATGATCTTGACGGGGCGCGCCCCTTGGTCTTGCAGCCAACTTCGCTGGCTGTCGCTAGTCTGTCTCCGCATTCTTATCTATACCTCTATAGCGAGACCCATCTAACGCTTTATAACCATAGGTAGTGACCATGCCCCAAAGTCCGAAGATGTGACCCCACGCCGGCCAACGACAACAACCCCGTTCAAGCAATCCTCCTCGCCACTCGATCAAAAGACACCTACGGTGGTGGATCTACTCGAAACAGACACTGGCAACGAGTCGTTCAATGAGGGGGAAGCCGCGTACCGAGAGTTCAAGAACCGAAAGGCTACCAAGCGGAAGCGCAGCACCGCAAACCTGAAGAATAGAGCCACCAAGGTGACCAGAGTCGCAACCGCAAACTCCTTTGTTGGCCGGCTGCCGACGTCAGATGGGAAAGCCCGACCGATACGGCCTCTAAGGGACTATGGGGAGGAAGTGTCATCGGAGGATGAACTGATGGAATACACCCTACCCGACTACCTGCAGAAACGCCGATCACAGTTCGACCGGAGCACAGAGCATCTAAAACAATCCGGATTAAAACTGCCGCCAGACTATGACAATGTCGAGTACTCCGATGACGAGCGGTTGGAGTTTCTGGAGGAGAAGCCTGCATTTGAAAACATGACTCCATGCAACCCATACAAGGACATCACGCTTCCTTATTCGTTAGGACTGATACCGGCCCCAATCGCGCAGTGGCTACGCCAGTACCAGGTTGATGGGGCCGCTTTCCTTCACGAGCTGTTTGTTTACCAAAAAGGCGGCATACTTGGAGATGACATGGGTCTGGGAAAGACAGTGCAGGTGATAGCGTTTCTCACGGCGGCGTACGGGAAGACCGGGGACGAGAGAGATGCAAAGCGGATGAGAAAGATGCGGAGAAGCGGGCAAGATCAGTGGTATCCTCGGACGTTGATCGTCTGCCCAGGGACATTGCTCACGAATTGGATGGCCGAGCTTTCGCGCTGGGGCTGGTGGCATTTTGATACCTACCATGGAGATAACAAGGAGCTTGCACTCCAGGCTGCGAGGTCTGGAAGACTGGAGATCTTGATCACCACGTACAGCACCTATCTCCATAACAAAGACGCGGTGAACATGGTCGACTGGGACTGTGTGATAGCGGACGAGTGCCACATCATCAAGGAACGCAAGTCAGAGACGACTAAAGCCATGAACATGATCAACGCTCTGTGTCGGATCGGCTTGACAGGAACCGCCATTCAGAACAAGTACGAGGAGCTGTGGACGCTCTTGAACTGGACGAACCCAGGGAAGCTCGGCCCGGTGACGGTCTGGAAGAAGACTATTTCTGAGCCGTTACGGATCGGTCAGTCGCACGACGCCACCATCCACCAGCTGCGCAAAGCCCGGGGAACAGCCAAGAAGTTGGTTGAGAACCTCCTCCCTCAGTTCTTCCTCCGTCGGATGAAAGCCCTGATTGCAGATCAGCTCCCCAAGAAGGTTGACCGGGTCGTCTTCTGTCCACTAACGGACACCCAGGCCGACGCCTACGAGAACCTCCTAGGAAGCGACATCATCAGCTACATCAAGCACTCTACCGACCTTTGCGACTGCGGTTCCCGCAAGAAAGCCGGCTGGTGCTGCCGCCAGTTTCTGTCATCCGGGCTCACCTGGAGGAGTTACGTCTTCCCTGCGATTGCGGTGCTGCAGAAGCTCAGCAACCACCTTGCCATCCTCATCCCGCAGGGGGCTGACTCTAACGAGAAGCAGGAGAAGGATAAGGACATGCTCGAACTGGCAGTCCCCGACCAGTGGGAGAAGCTCTACCGGTATCGCGACTCGATCGTCAACTACGCCAACCCCGAGTTCTGCGGCAAATGGAAGGTCCTCCGCCGTCTGCTGAAATGGTGGCACGCCAATGGCGACAAGGTCCTCGTCTTCAGCCACAGCGTGCGCCTCCTCAAGATGCTGCAGATGCTCTTCCACTACACCAGCTACAATGTAAGTTACCTGGACGGGTCAATGAGCTACGAGGATCGCACCAAGGTCGTGGACGAATTCAATTCGGACCCCCGCCAATTCGTCTTCCTCATTTCCACGCGCTCCGGCGGCGTTGGACTCAACATCACCTCCGCAAACAAGGTCGTCATCGTCGACCCCAACTGGAATCCTTCGCACGACCTCCAAGCACAAGACCGCGCCTACCGCATTGGCCAGTCCCGCGATGTTGAAGTCTTCCGTCTCATCTCCGCCGGCACCATCGAAGAGATCGTCTACGCCCGTCAAATCTACAAACAACAACAAGCCAACATCGGCTACAACGCCAGCTCAGAACGACGTTACTTCAAGGGTGTCCAAGAAAAGAAAGACCAAAAGGGCGAGCTCTTTGGCCTTGACAACATGTTCGAGTATAAGAACCATAATATTCTCCTCCGTGATATCGTCAATAAAACCAATGTTGCTGAAAGTAAAGCCGGCGTACAGGTCATGGACATCGATGTCGACCTAAACTCCTCCGTCCCCGACCCAACTTCCGGCAAATCCGACGACACCAATGAGGTCATGAATCAACTCGCCGCCATGATCCGCGGCGAGGCCGAGTCGGACACTGACTCGAAACCCACTCTCCCCACAACCCCTATCAACACCAAGCACGACCCCATCCAAGCCATCCTAGCCGGCGCGGGAGTAGAGTACACCCACCTCAATAACGAAGTCATTGGATCCTCAAAAGTCGAAGAACGACTAAGTCGGCACGCCCAACTCGCCGACGAGAACACCAAAAATCTCGACATGCAAGTTTTTGCAGGATCCCAATCCCAATCCCAGTCTCAGTCTCACGGAAAGTCATCCTCATTAACCACCCAACCCTTGAAATACAAATTCCATCCTCCAAAGGCCGTTATGAAACGGCAATTCTGCAGCATGGCGAAACGCTTTGGCTTCCCAAATGCAACCGAGTTTGCGCTTGTCGTGGAGGGAATGACGCAGGCGCAGCGTCGGGCCTGTTTGGAACAATGGTATACTGAACGACGGGAGAAATTGATTGACACTATACAGTAGTTTGGAATCATTTGTATAACCACGAGCGCAATTTGGACTTGGACTCGGAATACGTTGGATATGCGAAGTACATTGGTCAACGATATTAATATACCCATACTGCTAGCTAGTGTCTCTTCATTCAACGAGCCACTTATATCCCACTCTTACCAAACCCAATACAACCCCCATCCTTTCCTAATCCTCACTCCCTCCCTCTCCTCACATCAAGCAACCCCCTAAACGCCCCCCTTTCCTCTTCCTCCCGCATCAACAACTCCCCCGGCCTCCCCACCTCCACCACCCTCCCCCCATCCAACACCACCACCAAATCCATCCCCACCATCCTCTCCACCTGATGCATAACCACAATGACCGTCCACTCCCGAAACTCCTCCATCACCGTCCGCTGAATCAACTCCCCCATCTCAGGGGAAAGATTACTAGCCGGCTCATCCAACACCACCACCCCCTTACCACCGCCACGACGGGACCTAAGTACCGCCGCCCTCGCACACGAAAAAAGCTGCATCTGTCCCGCCGACAACATAACTTCATCATCTATAATCGCATCCAGGCCCCCCTTTTCTGAGACTACTTCCCACAGATGAAACCTTTGTAATGTCGCGATGAGAAGCGTATCATTTACCACCTCCTCTGGTTCACATCCTAGGAGTAGATTCTCTCGAAGAGATATCCCCGGCATGAGGTAGGTTTGTTGTGCGATGCCGATGAGATTGAGTTTCGAGTGGAGGGTTTCTGCCTCGAGAGAGGAAATATCCATTCCGTTGAGTGTGATTGATCCGTTGGTGATGGAGACCATTTGGAAGAGGGCGGAGATGAGGGTGTCTTTTCCGCTGCCGGTTCGGCCGCAGATTCCGACTTTGGTTCCTGGGGGGATGGAGAGGGTTATGAATTTGAGGGCGGGAGGGGAGGTGGGGTGGTGGTGGGCTGTGAGGTTTTGGTAGGTGATTGTGCCGTTGGGGGTTGTGGATGACTAGGAGATGGGTTGGTTTGGTGGTGGTGGTGGTGGTGGTGTTGTTGGGAGGGTGTGGGTTTGGATTGGGCTGTGGTTGGGGCTGTGAACTCTTCGAGACGGGTTATAGATCCAAGGGATATTTCCATGACCGCCCATTGAAGGATCAGGAGTTGGAGAGTCTCGTTCAGAGAGATGATGTTGACTAGGGCTAGGCCGACTAGGGTGGACCGGGTTTGGAAGTTGAGGGCTAATCCGACGATTAGGATGGCAATGCCGGCGGAGACCATGTCGAGGACGAGGTTTAGCCATCTTTGGACCATGAAGCGTTGGTAGTAGGGTCGTTGGGAAGCGCTGAGGAGAGTGTGGTAGCTGGTTTGGCTTTGGTGTTGCCAGGAGTATGCGCGGATGGTGTGTAGGCCGGTGATGGTTTCGAGGAAGTGGGTGCTAGAGTCGATTAGTATTGATGTTGGATATGGATAAGGGGGGTGGGGGGGGGGAAGGGTTGAACTTACAGTAGAGGGCTTTTGGCTTCTATGTCCATGGCGCGTACTTGGCGGGATGTCCGGAGGTAGAATCTTTGGATGGCGATGACGAGGAGGAAGAGGATTGGGAAGGCGATGAAGATGTAGGGGAAGGAACTGGACGGGTGTTAATGATTTGATAGATTGTTGAGCCAGGTTACGTACCTTGCGATGATGATGACTTGAGCTAGTGTCCCGAGAGCGCCTGTATGGAGTTAGGTTAGTAGATTAAGCTATGATAGGGGACTATAAACCTTCTGAGGCATTCAGAAACGTAACTGGTAAGTTCTAATTGATTAATTGCATGTCTTGACTGAACCTGTTGTCTGTTAACATTATCTTGTCTTAGAAATGAAGTATCTTATCTGTTTATGATTAACCCCGTATCTATCATGGAGAAAGCAGGTATTGGTATTCTACAAATATTAGTATATATTAATTGACATATTCTGGTGTATGACTGACCCTATAGTTGCTTTCAAGAGATGGCTATGAAAATAGCGACTTGTCCTTGGCATGACGACGTGTAGTTGTTGGCTGTATCTGATCAGTCCTGAACATGAACAACGAAGCTAGGCAGATAGGCTGTAACTCATAAAGAAGCTAGAAGGGTGAAAATCATGGCTGCTCCCTGGAAGAAACTGTAAATTCTGATATATTTGGTATATGAATTGCCTATTGTGGATGGATCTCCGTCCAGCCACTACTGAAGCTAAACAGCTAAATTCTGTAAGTCATAGTATCTCCAACTCTTTAGGATGAATGTATTTGGAAATTTGGAGAAGAATGTCTGGAGGGTTAGAAAGGTACCAAAAATGAATCCTTGCCAGAGGCCCATTGATTGCAAATAAGAAAGATAGACTGAAATTGTTGGGATTTCTGGCTTGTCTTCCTTCTCTTCGGTCTGCTCTTTTTGCTTCTGGGATGGGGAATCTGGTGTTGGTGGTGTTATTTGCTTGACGGTATCAGATTCATCTTTTAGGTTTATTTTCTTGGCCTGGGTATTGAAAAGTGACGCCAGCTCTTCCGGAGATCCTTTGGCTTGAATCCTGCCATTGTTGTCGAGGAGAATGATGAAATCGGTGTACGGTAATAGTCCTTCTGAAGTAGCTGGTGTCAATCATTGAATGAAAACCTTTGAGTCTTGCTTACCTCTGCTGGAAGCAACAATCACGGTTTGTCCATTTGCTCACATCATGCCATCGGGCCTGAGAAGATGCTGTACCACATTCTCTTCTGTCCTTGGATTAAGAGTATTACAGCTATCATTTAAGATAAAAATTTCTTTCCGGGAATGCACAGCTCTGGCCATGGACTGTAGTAATAGTGTCAGATGGATACTATAATTATGATTGACGATGTTTATAATTCTTTGTTTCTGTCCCTCACTCAGGGAGATACTGTTACTTCTAACCTTTGCTTGATCGGATTCAGGAATACTGCTCAGGTCGTGCTCCAAATTGTAGGTCTACAGTGCCTTTCTATGGAGCTTACTGTCAAAGTCCTGACTAGGACTAATGATGTTGTTCTGGATGGTCCCGTTTTGAAGCTAAGATGACTGGTCACAATATGCACAGTCCTGAAAGTCCTTTTGGGAGCTGCCTGTAAGTAAGTTCATTTTACTAATCATGGCTTGTAAGAATGCTGTTTTTCCACTATCAACGGGTCCCATGATCACTGTTAGCTGTGACTATGGGATGTTAATAGTGATGTTCTGAAGTACGGTGGAAGAAGATTCAGGGTAAGAGAAGCTTGCGTTGTTGATAGTTACAGTAAATGGAGATCGACTCTGATCTTTCTGAACTGGAATAAGTGTGATAGACTCTGTAGTCTGCTTTCCCGTGTTGATCTGGGATAATTGTGGACTTGGAGAATCTCTGTAATCATTATGCGATGGAAGTGTAAGGAACTGTTCGATTTGGTCTAAGCAGCTTAGAGCCGCTACAATCATAGGTACCTGTTGAAAAACAGCAACGAGGGGGGAGGTTATGAGGCTTATTAATGAGATTGTTGTATAAATATGAGATGCACTAGATGCATTCCAGGTGTCGGATTGTATGGCAGCGTAGATAGTCAAGGTCATAATGGGGGATATGGCCGAAGGAGTGTATGCTGTGTGATGGTTAGATATATTTTGGATGATATGGACTATACCCACCCAAACCTATAATCCACATAAGGATTGTACGGTATTCCGAGGCAGAATTGAGCTCAGCATCTTGAAGGTTGGAATTCCTTTTGGAGAGGTTCTTTGTGAACCCTGACATCTTCACGGTTTTCATGTTTTATAGAACTGATGTAGTAGCATCTATAATAATTTATTTTTATATGCTCCTCTCCAGTACATATTTAGCTTCTGTGCCAGTTTTGGCTATCTGCTGAGATATGATGTGGAAAAGGAATAATTGATATTAATATCAGCGATTATTCTACTATGTAAAGGTCATAAACACTTACTCAGTTGTTGTTGTACACTCTTTAACCACGCTTTCTGGCTTTGGCCAACATACTGTGAGAGCTTATAAGTAGTAATGGCGCAAGTAGCTGCCACGATAGCGGGCGACATGCACGCCATGCTGACTTGCCACTCCAATAACCAAGTCGCTATGCTGATCTGCAACAGACTGAAGTATATCTTATGAACCTGCTCCAATCCGGTGCATGTCATCTTAACATTGGTATTTATTAAAGATACTGTGGCCTTCTTTGCATCCACATCATTCAGTGTGAGTGTTTTCTGATATATTGCCGAAATCAAAGTGCCTTGTAGAAGTGTGATGAATTGTAGTTGAAGGCGCCAATATGAACCGGTAGCAACGGCCAGGCCAGTATACACAATAATGTATGCATTTAGAATACTGTAACCGATGTTGTGATCGCGATGGGACGTCTGCTCGAGCTATTGAAGAAGCCTTAGCATTAAGATTGGCTGTAGTAAGGTGAATGCTAGAAGGAACAGGCGAGGAATGACCGGCCATATTAACTGATACTTGAATATTGTTAGAGTGGTTCTGACAAGCCTATAGCTCTTTGCCTGGCTCTTTTCAAAGATCTTCCTGAATGTTGAGTCTTGCCCGATCACCACACAATTCTGCGGTAGATGGTAGAGGCCACTTAGAGAGAGTACCTTCTTGAAGTCCTTTAAAAGTAACGAGTTTGTCCACAGGAACAAGCCATTGTTGAATATTCTTCCCGTTTCTTTGGGAGACCGGATCTTATTCTCTGAATTGAGGAAGTATTTCATCTTTCCTTGTGATTCAACACAGAGGATAGCCAATTTGACAGCTAGATTAATTGATGAGATTGTTTTGAAGGGTAACCTGCCATCACCAAGAAGCCACAAAGTTCGGAGGCGAGTAGCATCTAGTAATTTAAATAGGAAAAGGTATATAAGCAACACGTTTGATGGGTCAATTGCTTCTTCATGCTCAAGGTATGAGAGCACACAGAGAAATGCCGCATCGGCTACTGAAAGAGTTAAGGATGTAATTGCCAGTGGCTGCTGATTTTTATTGTGCGGGGAGACATAGAGTACTAGAAGGATTAACTGAAGGAGGTTAAATATTATATTCAGAGACTTGAAGCGTATCAGTTGGATTGATCCAGAAATAAGAGTGTATGGTTACTAACCAGCTTCAAGAGTTGAGATAATCTCGCACCGACTTTAGGCTTTGTTCTGTAAAGGAGAGCAATCCTAAAAGCTGCTGAAGTGATGAAGAGAATTGAAGGAAGTATAGACAAGATACTTTGTTCAAATGTGACTGTAAAATCAAAGCTTCGGCAGCGGACCTGGACCTGGGGACCAAAGCGGCGATCTGCAAGAATGCAGGCCTCTGTTTGATTGATCAAATCCATGCAGCTGTACCTGTATAGCCTTTTGTGGAATGTATGGAGCAATGGGGAAGAACAGGGAGAAGATGGGAAAGTAAAGGGATTTGTACGGAGGGTGTGACTAGGATTAGGTGGCTAATCCCGGATTGTTTTATAGGCCTCTGATAACCTGCTGCGTGTATGGTTCTTGGTTTTACTAGGTGTCTAAATCATGTTAGGAGAAAGTAGCTAGTTAGCTTAATTATTACCTAATCTAGCCAAGGTACAGAGTACCTAGTATAAGCTAGACCCGATATTAATGCATCAGGGTGACATCGCGCCGTTTAGAGCATCTACTTAGAAACCTATTTATAATAGATTCCAGTCTACCCATCCCTCACTAGCCCAAAAACCAGCAAATCTATAACCACGCCATTCTTCTCAACTGCCTGTCTCTTCTGTTCTTCAAGGGTATACCCCGCCTTGGTTAATACACGTGCACTTGCAGTATTATCCCCGAACACCTCCGCCTTTAACTTAAGCAGGTGTGGGAAGGTCTTGAAAGTCCAGGCTGAAAAGGCCTTTACTGCTGCTGTCGTGATGCCATGGTCCCAGTAGCTCTTGCTGAGCCAGTATCCGACTTTCATGGTGCGGTATTTCATATTATTGTGTGGTTTGAGACCTATCCTGTTGATGGCAGGGGTATAGCCATTGCCATCGAGCTTGTCAATAGGACAAATGGTGAACTTGTAGGTCGGTGAGGATGAGAACACCGACTCCAGTCATTTGTGTTTCTTGTCAATGGTGTAGGGGTGCGGAAAGCCGTTGCGCATTTACTTGGTGATGGAGGTGTTGTTGGCGTGCTCGTGGACTCGGTGTCGAGCATGTTGTAGGGATGGATTATGTATGTTTCTGCTTGGATGATGGGCGAGGGAGGTATGGTTGTTTATTGTACTCTGTTGGAGTAAGGCTAGGTGAGGAGGTGGTATGTTGGGGTTCTTACTTTGACTCCTATCTGTAGTAGTTAATAATAACCACAAGTAATATTACTGCGCTGTTGGGAACTGTCGGGCTCCGTTTTTGATCGCTGAGGTGATTGGTTACTTGTCCTGTATACCAATGTTCAACAGTTGCGGTAAGGCTGTAAGCTAATCTTACATGGTCTTAACAGCCTCAGGGGGTCAATAGGAGTGCTAAGCAAAGATAAGCCTGATTTGTAAGGTACTTTTGTGCATTTGGTATTTGGGCCCATATGCACGTTAGTATATAGCGAAATGTTTAATGGACTGTGTATTTTCTATAAGGAGAAAGGCTGTTTGGCTTGCTATCTTGGTCATACCTGATAGCAAATTTATTAAGCTGACTGCCTGCATTACTCGTTGCTATGTCCTTACTGTGGGTTTTGCTGTAGCTATAGCTCGCTATACCTTTGTTGTGGAAATAGGAGATGATTAGTAGTCTCGATTATACTAGGTTAGAGAAATCCAGGAATCCATGGCTGGGTTAGGTGGTAAGTCCCTTGGGAAATAGCGCCTTCGTTCCGTGTAAAGAACTTAAGAGTCATCTAAACCATGACTACAATGTCATCATTCAGTCACATGCATGTCCGTTGCACAACACCCCAGCTAGGGACTTCCAAGATTTCTCATCTGAAATCATTTGGCTACACCAAGTCAATATTATGTATTATCACAACCATAGTCTATATTAATGTTAAAATCAATCACCTAAACGCTAGCTGTATCAGTGCCCATCCACGTCAGGGTACAAGATGGTGATATGTATCCCATATACCAACCAAGCTTCGCGCAGCACCCCTCCACTTTTCCATATCCTGTCTTGTCCCTCTTTTCAACTTTTGTCGCATGGTCCTTGAATATAAAATCAATCGGGTATCCAGTATAATCGATCTGATGGAAATGGTGGGCATGTTGATGTGTCCAAGGTCGTGGTTGGCCGGACTCGTGGTTCTCGCGATGACCTCCAGCAGGTCAGGTCAACCACGGCTCGCCCTGCCCTTTGTTTCCTTTTTTTCTGGTTTATATTTTTCACTTCTATATCTGCCCCTACCAAGGGTCACGCTGCTCTGCCTTCCGGTGATTTAGTCCTGGCATCGGATAGCCAATGCCAATTGAATCCACCTAGGAAGCAGGCGTTGCCTATTTCTCCTTGGCATCAACGTAGGCATCGACATCAGATGTCCGTGAGTCTTTCCGCTCGACTGCCTCTTCTACTTCGATCCTAGTCTGACTCGGGGTGGTGGAGTCAGCGCCGTTGGCCGGTTCGGATGTCGCACCAGATTCCTCGCTTTTATGCGCCGGGATCTGGAACTGGGAGGGCTCGCTCTGACCTTCGAGAATTGGGGCAATAGATAGGATCTGTTTGATGGCGACCTCGGCGTTATGCGGATCGCTGGGTGTTGTTAGCCCCGTACGCATACAGCTTCCACCGCAGTAACTTACACTTGCGCATTGATGATCCAGTCCAGATCCTCTTCTCCCTCGTCTGGGCCGTTGGGCCCGCCCTGCACCCGCCGGAAAAGCCGCGGGTGCCACTCAACGCCTTCTTCGACTCGCTTCGCTGCTTCCTCTCGTTGGCGATCCTCGATCTTGGTCTTCTCGTCCGTAGCCGCCTCGTGGTTCCGGGCAATGATGGCTTTCACCGTGTTGTGCCACAAGCGCTGCGACTCGCGCTCGCCCTGCTGCTCAATGGGCCTGCTGGATGGAGGGGTATGCTTTGCGCTAGTGGCGTTGAAGAGGAGATCCTTCTTGTGGGTCTGTTCATGTTAGGACATCGGCTTTCCATATGAGAAATAGCACCTACATGAACATCCTTGATGTGCATTTCGCCGTTCCAGAGGCCGGACAGTTCGTAGTAGACCTCTCCCGTCTTTTCGTTCTTGATTGTTCCACCAATGGCGTTGTAAGTGCCAGAGAAGTACCCCTTGGTCTTAAACTCGATGTCCGCAACGAGGTTGTTCTCCGGGCACCGCACATAGCTGTGATCGCCAAGTTCGTACTTCATCTTTCCGAAAAGGATGCCCCGGGCGTACATGTTCGGTTGCGTCACGATGCTAAGCCAAATTAGAGTTGTCATAATCGCGCGCATGGCAGATCCACATACTATCGTTCGCCCTTCTCCTTGTCCTGCCCGCGGTTCATGAACCGCAGAATAGCAATTCCCTCCATCATGCTGGCGGCCGAGTTCCCGAGGAACTTACTGCGGGGCTTCAGGGTGCCATCTATCCGGATGTTGTGCTCAGGTGCCATGAAAAAATAGCTAGACTTGGGCGGGTGGTGAGAGGTCTGCTCAGAGATGTAGTATCCGCGGGTACCATCGGGATAGTCCCAGTAGCAGGTGAAGGTCTCTCCAAGAATCGGGTTCAGCGGCTTCTTCACTCCTCTGCGGAAGGTGTCAGCGAGATCGGAGCTAATAGAATCAATCACCCGAGATGAAACGTACGGAGGTTTGATGTGCCATCCACTCAGATAGAACTTGACGACGGAAACGAATCGTTCGAGGGGATCGTCGATGGTGGGCATAGGAAGCAAAGTCTCGGGGTGCGCCATGAAGCTGAATGCAAAGAAAAAGATTAGTCGCTACTTCTGTGGCGCCGCAGGTAATCTGACATACTTGGTGATGCGCTCGAGCATGGATCGGGGCTCCAGGATGAAGGTAGGCAAGACGACCCGACTAAGGTCAGCCCCCGGTCGGAGCTGGGAGATGATATGGGAGAGAACTGTAGGCCGGTCAGCAAGCGTGGAAAACTTATCATTTACGGTGTCGTCGACGCGGATTTTTTTATTTGATTGGATTCGTCTTTTGGGGTGTCCAGAGGTGGACTACGTACCATTTCCCTGGTCGGGCTCGACGATCTCGTCGTCCCCGCTCACGGGCTCAGCCTTGGGTTCATCGTGCGAACGATTACCTGAAGAATGGAAAAACGAGCCCCAGTCAGCGGACATGTTGTTGAGAGAGACGAGGAGAGGAGCAGATGGGGTGGTGAGAGAGTCGGTCGGAGGCGGATGAGGGGAAGAGGGAAAAAAGGATGGAGTCGAGGCAGCAGCAGAAGAAGAGGCCGCCGCAGGATGACGTGGGAGGAGCAGTAAGAGGAGGAGCAGCAGCAACAGCCAGATGACGGCAGCAGAGTTCACCACGCAAAACACTAACTACTCACTGGAAAGCGACGAGCGATGGCGGATGTGCGGGACGGAGATGGGCATGCTGTTCCGTGGTTCGTGTCTCTTTCGTTGCTTAATGATCTAGGCGAGGGATTGAAGCCAACTGATGCAACCGGAGAGTCTGTCTGGCTGGTGCTTGGGCAGGATTCGAATTCTGGTGTCGCTTTGGGCGTGTCGGTGGTACCTGGAAGATTTCCTTTAGGGGTCCTGATCCCTTTTTTTTTTCAGTATTATTATCGTGGACTTAATTAAAATTTGATCAAGCGATTGATGTGAATAATGATAGTAAAAACAGTCACAAATAATTTTAGCCAAGTCGTATTCGGAAACTTCAGGATCAGATTCGCGAGAAAGCACCACCAATGCGCAGTGCCGGGGCTGCCCTTGTAATAAATATGGCTGGTGGCCACAAGTGACAAGAGACGGTGTGTCTGGGCGATCTGGATGGAGACTCTGGATCATCTGGATGACGTTGATGGGACTGCCTTGATTCCCAGCTCTCTCTCTCCCCCTCCCCTACTCTGTTCTCCGGGAGCAACCCCCGCCCATAATAACGGTGACACAACAGCTTCCAGCGGGCTTATATACGGACTCGACTCGCCCGTCTCCTATTCCATTCAATTTCCACGTACTGGGCAACCCCTCGCTGGTGAACGCTCGATCAAGAGGGGCACTAGGCTTGGCGGTGGGGATGACAGATGACATTGACAGGCAATATTAATACGAATACTCGATCATGCTCCCAACAGGTCAGCAACGCCGATGATCGCTCCTGACAATACTCTATTATAATGTTTGGTATTATTCTTCAGATCCTAGGCCCAGGCCCCAGCACATCTATCTAGTATCTACCCCCCGAGATTTCATCATGCCGACTGTCTTTTCAGCGGCGCATCGCCTCCCGTGATCTCCCTCAGAAATTCCGCATCGGGACGATGTAGCATGACATGGAAATGCTCCACGGCATGCACCGACTTCAACGACTTCCAGTTCTTGAACCAGATGACCTGCGCCCACATTAGCACCAGCAAAAGTAATGGCCTTCCCCACATTCCTCCTCCCGCATAGCCAACGTCCCATGCAGACACACATACCTGGTCGGCCGGCACCCGTGAGCAAAACGTCCGTTGCACATACTCCTCGATCTCCTGGCGCGCGCGTGGCGTTAAGTCATCCGTGGCCGGGTCATCCTCCAGCTCGAACTTGGTCCACACCACCAAATGCACAATACCGTCCTCGACCCCGTACGGCCAGTCGTTGTATAGAATACGCATGTCCTCTAACCATCACAGTTGTGCTTAGCGTTCGTCTTATCTCATCCCAACAATAAAAAGAAAATAGGTGTGATCGAACGAACCGGCATATTCAAACGGCCGCCCTTTCGGCTTCAAATCCTCGGCCGTTCCCTCTCCCCAGCGCAGTCGTTCTTTCACCACGAACCGCATGATCGAGCCATATTCCGCAATTATATACTCCTTGTACTCGAGATACCTCCTCAGATCGCTGGGGAGACGCTGAAATCGATCAATCTGGTTGGTCCCTGCCATCACCGTTAGCAGACCATTAACGGCCCCCGCCCCCTAATGCACGGCTCCCAACCCACATACGGACTATGTCCTTGACTAGCTCCCATCCCTGTCTCCGATATTGCTCATCAGGGGTCGAGAGAATCTCGATGTTCTTTTGCGAGGTGCCGCGTAGAAAGCCGGGACATTCTGCCGACCATTGAGAAGGGGGCACATTGACGAGCCAGTACGGTAGGGACTTGGATGAGAGGCTGGCCACTGAGTGTAGGAACGTGGCAGAGGCCTTGACATCCGGAGATTTGAATGTGTCATGAAATGTAGGGAGGGATGCAGCAGTGGACGACATGGCGACCGGATGGACGGAAGGAAGTCGGGCTAGATTCTAGAAGCGGCGAGTTTATTGGGAGGCGGGCATCTGGTTTATAACCCGTAGGTAAGACAACGGTGAGGGACAAGGTAGAGAAGCAACAGATGGAGCCGTCCAAAGTACGGGTGAAGGAGCTGATATAATGATGCCCGGTTCCGGCTGAGGTGGCGATGCGTGATGGATTATTGAAAGTCTGAGGCGGCCACATCAGGCCCCGCTGCCCATTCCAGAAGGGATTGACGGTCATGTTATTAAGGAGAGGGGAAACAATCAACAATAGGCGACCAGGCTGATGGCCGGGGGATTCTGAGAACCCTTCGATACTGCGTTCTCTCCCTCTGCGATTTGGTCGACAGCCGGTGATCTGAGACCGTTTCAACGTCGGCAACTCCACAGTGGAGACCTGTCATGTCCCTGCCAGGGTTGGGCTTGTCGCTATCCACGGTCGTCATCCAACAAAGCAAGAACGCTTCCCTATCGACACCGAACCCCCATCCTTCCACCAACATGTCTATAACACCGTCTCTATAGGCCATGTGGCATTGATCCACTCGGGACTAGCACATCCTGGTCTCTAGCCAAGTCCCCTACGACGATGCACTCTCCTGCACCGTCACAACAGCACGTACATATGCACGTCAATCATTCTATACATCCGCTACAACTACCGTCCTTCCTGTCCATAATCTACACATACTCCGTATGAATCCGATACACATCAACCCCCTTCCTCTCTACACCGACTCAAACAACCCCGCAACCTCCGGCCCATCCGACCTCACCACCCTCACTCCAGCCTCACCCAGCTCCTTCTTGGCCTCCTCCCATCCCTGCCCCGGATCAACACACCTCACCGCATCCTCTACCAAATAACTCCGCAGCCCAGCCTTGGCTGCATCAATCGCCGTAAACTTGACACAATAATCTCCCGCAACCCCCACACAAAACACATCCGTAATGCCATTCTCCTCCAAAATTCCCTTCAAATGCACATCCACCGACGTCCGATTCACTTCCGCATCAAGGTTCCCAAACGCATCTGCAAACGCAGAGTACATTTCAACCCGGGCGTCCATTCCCTTTTGCACGTAGAGGTCGATGTTTGTGGTGTCGATCTCGGGGATAATCTCCGCGCCCTTGGTGCCTGCCACGCAGTGGACGGGCCAGAGTCGTTGATATTTGGTTTGCGATTCCTTTCCCGGGGCGGGGTTGATCATTTCGATGTGGCATTCGAAGGGTAGGTTGTTGGGAGGTGGGTGGTTGGGCGCGAATGAGATGTGGTCGGCGGGGTGGCTGTCTTGGGATGCGATTCGGAGAGTGAAGCCTGGGTGCGAGAGAAGGGTGTTGATTGTGGGGGCTATGGCGCGGGCTTCATGTACGGCGAGGGAGCCGTTCTGGGTTCGTTAGTAGAGACGCTGCTGTATCGTACTGAGAGGGATGACTGACGGGAGGGCAAAAGTCCTCCTGCATGTCCACGACTATCAAGGCGGTTTTCATTTTGGATGGCGTTGACCGGATTGTATCACGCTGGGTTGAGCGTTTGTATTACGTAAACGACGGTCTCAACCTGGAGTTTAGTTGCATGTAAGTCAGTCGAATACTATCTGGTCAGCTGGTGCTTGAAAAAGCGAAGAAACGTAGTTACCTATTGTCGTATCAGATGTCGCCGGGCTAGTTCTTAGACCCCGCTCGATGGTCGTGCATCTTGCAAGGATGGCGTCAAGGTGAGCCGCATGTTAATTCTCGGCTGAAGAACGCTAGCCAGCCAGACAGACGAGACAGCCACGATATCATAAAACAGACGTCAGAACCAGGCCGATTCTTGAGGCGCATGAGGAACTGCACCAAGCATTGAGCATCCAGCGAGCATCTCGAGCTGTCCGAATCGGGCGTAGCAGCAGGCGGCTGAGTCAGCGCACATGACCACAAAACCGGCGAGAAATCGGCCGACGCAAACTTCTTCACTTTGTCACCTCAGGGCTGCGGCCCTTCATCAACCCATCCAGCCACACCAGTAGACCACGCGTAAATGAATTGCAGATGATGCGAGGCTCGTCCAAGGTATGTATGGATCTACTATCTGCACGCTTCCAGCCCGCCCCACCCCTGCAGCATGATGAATTCTTCTATATATTGGAGCTGTCCGAGCACATTATGCGGACAAACCTAATTACATACGCATTTGATCTGAATCTGCCCCCTTTCACCACATTTTGTGTCACTGCCATTGTTTCTCGTCGCGTCTGCCGCAGATTCTAATTGTCAGTAGTCATCACAGGGCCCTAGTGAACACACCTTTCAACCTCCTTGATACCCCCCAATAACACCAAACTCAATTCACTCTTCACCACCTCACCTCACCTCACCGACTACGGTCACTCCACCGTCATGGCCTACGACCCCCGACTCCCCAGTGCAGGCACTGCGACCACTCCTTCCCCTCCTCCCCCTCCACCTCCACCTCCAGAAACCATGAGGGCACCACAACCTCAACCCACCGCCTCGAACGAGGCCACCCCTATCCCAGACTCGGAGTCGTACAAGCTCCGTTTCTGCACCGTCTGCGCCTCCAACCAGAACCGCTCCATGGAAGCGCACCTCCGCCTTTCCACAGCCCCCAGTCCCTTTCCCGTGATCTCCTTCGGGACCGGCTCCCTCGTCCGGCTCCCGGGGCCCTCCATCACCCAACCCAACGTCTACAACTTCAATACCACCTCGTACTCCCAAATGTACGATGAGCTCTTCTCCAAGGACGAGCGTCTGTACCGCAACAACGGCCTCCTGAACATGCTCGAACGCAACCGCAACCTGAAATGGGGCCCGGAGCGCTTCCAGGACTGGGTGCCGGGTCAGCCGCGGGTCGACCACGTGTCGAAGGGCGACAAGGGCGCCCTGGGCACGGAAGGCGGCGTCGTCGACGTAATCATCACCTGCGAGGAGCGGTGCTGGGATGCCGTGGTGGACGATCTCATGAACAAAGGATCCCCACTGAACCGGCCTGTGCATGTCTTTAATGTGGATATTAAGGACAACCACGAGGAAGCCTTGGTCGGAGGCAAGGCCATCCTGGAGCTAGCGAACCGCCTGAACGATGCAGCCTCCACAGAGAGGAAATCGAATGGTTCCGAGGGCTGGGAGAACGGAATGGGCGAAGCAAGACGGAACTTCGACGCCAGAGTGCCCGAAATCCTAGCCGAGTGGCAGGAGAAATGGCCTCATCTGCCAGCTTTGTGGACGTTAGCTTGGCTTTAGGATTCAGATCCCATCCTAGTTCATATTTATTAGATCCACTAGATACCGATCAAATAATTGTTTCTTCATCAGATACTCTCATCTGATCAACCATCACCCATCTTTTTCCCCTTTCTCCTAGTAGCATACTATCCCACCTACCTACCTATCCCATCGTATCCACAAATAATCCCCCATGTTCCCCCCAACCCTATTAGCTACTCTACGCAAAACCAACCCATTCCATTCCACTCCAGCAAACCAACCCCATCCCGAAGAATGACAAAACCAACCCAGTACCGCCGTTCTTTGTTACCTCGAACTCAACCCCGTAAACAAACAAAAACCTCCGAGCCATCGGATCTAAACTCAATACCGTAATATTGACTCGTTGACATGGATTCAATGAGATTCTCTTTTTTTCCCCTTGGTGGGGGAGGAGTGTTGTTCAAAGAAGGAGTAAGAAATCAAGAACATAGAAAGGGGAACGGGGAGAGAGTGTGTGTTTGTTATTTTATGTATGTCCTGAACAGTTGTCTAGAGGCAATGTACAAGATAAATGGATACCATTGTCCCATCGTTCTAATCTAGGAGGTATGCATGTATGTATGTATGTATGTACTTCCCAGCTTACATCTCACATCTCACATCTTAAAGACAATATAACTATAAGATACAGAACCCAAACGCCATCCATCCATCCTGATAGATCCGACCACCGACCAACTCCAGAAATGAATTGTGTAGCTCACAATGGGAAGAAAGGAAAGAAAGAGTAGAGAGAAGAGGTTGGGGGGTTAATAGAATTCGGCTCGTTGGCCGGCCCCTCGCTCTAAATCTCTCCTTCGACTCGCTTTCCCGAGACTACCCCCGCCTGTACGTTCCTCGCGTTCTTCGTCCATCATGGCTGTTTCTTCTTCGATTTCTTTCTCTGTGTCTTCGCGGAGACCGAGGATGTCTGGCGGGATGAAGCTCATTTGTACGCTGGGAGCGCCTTGGATGTATCGGAGCTGTTCGCGGATTGATTGGACGAGACCGGCGAGGTACGTGCGGGGGTTCTTGTTCTCGAGCTTGCGCATTTCGGAGAGAGGTGGGAAGAGGGAGAAGTCAGGGCCGAAGTGGTTGCGGAAGGTGACGGTTTCCGGGATGTGAGGGTCGATCACGTCTTGGGCGTCGATGAGGATAGAAGTTTCGTGGGCCCACGCACGAGAGACGTTGCGCGGGGTGTAGCCGCCGCCACCGACGACAAGGAGGGGGAGGTTGAAGGTCTTGACGTAGGCGACGCAGGCACCGTGGGCGGCGACGTTGAGGTTGAAGCAGCCCAGGCGGTCGCAGCCGAGGGAATCCGCTCCGCATTGGAGAACGATGGCACCGGGTCGGTAAACGTCAACGCAGGAACCGACCACGTCGCGGAAGAGCTGGATGTAGGATTCGTCGTCGATACCGTCGTGGAGGGGGACGTTGACGGAGTGGTGGGCACCCGGGTTGAGTGGGTGTGTGGGCCCCGTGCTGTCGAGGGAACCGGTGCCGGGGAAGAAGTTGTCCTTGTCGTATTTATGGAAGGAGACGGTGAGGACGCGGTCAGTGGACCAGAAAGCTTGCTCGACGCCGTCGCCATGGTGGACGTCAATGTCGATGTACATGACGCGCGGGTGGAGGCGTAGGAGCTGCAGGATGCCGAGGACGATGTCGTTGATGTAGCAGAAGCCGCTGGCTTCGGACTTTTTGGCGTGATGCAGGCCACCGGACCAGTTGACTGCGATCTCAGACTGGTTGTTGCAGAGCTTGCGGGCTGCGTCGATGGTGCCGCCAGCGTAGAGGGAGCAGTAGTTGTAGAGGCCGTCGAAGATGGGGCAGTCGTCACCAAAATTGAAGCGCGCGATGTTCTCGGTTTGTTCGGGATTCTCCATATCTCCGGGCATGACCTGTTGCAGAAAATCGAGGTAGTCGGATTTGTGGAAATCGGCCAGTTCTTCGTAGGTGGCTGCGCGCGCCAGGTAGAGGTCCATCGCATGGTGCATCCCGTAGGCCATGACCAGCTGCTTGGTGAGGGTCAGCCGCCATGGCTTCATGGGGTGCGACTGGCCGAAATGGTGTGGTTCGACGGCCGGATTGGCGTGCCAGGAAACGCGGTAGCCATTTGGGCGAGCAATGCTATTCTGTTGACGCTCGCTGGTGACTTTGCGGTCGACGGAGAAGGTGGGCGCGGAGGTCGGAGGGGCGTATTCTTGGACAATGGCGGAGCGCGCCATGGCGACGGTTTTTGAGGGACTGTCGGGGAAAAGATGAGGGGGGTCGATTGGGTGCAAGAGAGGGTTGCTTCTCAGCTCAGATCATGCTTGCGTACGCGGGAAGATGTGGAGGCGAAAGGACGTGGCGGGGAGGAGAAAAAGAAGAAGAAGAGTTGCAGTTGGAGTCGCGGCAGAAAAAGCCGTTGATCACCTGCGCTGCTCGGCCGCGGCTCGATCCTGCCTGCCAGCAACGGAGATACAAAGTCGCAGATGAGTCTCTGCACATTCAACCATGCACAACCGTGCTATTCAGGAACAACAGACACCAGGGCGATCAACTGCCCGGACAGGACGACTGCTACCGAGTCATGGGCAAATCCCGAACCATCCCCGAGCGATTACCTAACCTCCGCCGATGTCGGTTAAGCTGCCATGGCTCTCCCTTAAATTCTTCGTCATCGCGGACTTGTGGGGAAGAGAAGGTGTCTGGACTTCAAGCAAGATACTAGTGGAACAGCCTGTGTGAGGCAACAGTTGTAAATCTACGCGACCCCAAGTTTATAAAGCCAGTGCCAACCCCCGTCGACACCAACCAGTCTCGACGTCATCGCGAAACCCTCGTACCACCCTATAAAATTGACCGACGTCTTTTGCCTCTACAACTCAGCATCATGCCTATGATCACTGCTGCCACCACCCTTCGACGGGCTCTTGAGGACCCCAAGTCTTTCGTCGTCGCGCCGGGCGTCTACGATGGGCTATCCGCCCGCATCGCCCTCTCCGTGGGCTTTGACGCTCTGTACATGGTAAGTGGCAAATGTCATCTGCTTGGGAGATTGTTAGCCAACTCATTCTCCTCCACAGACCGGCGCCGGTACTGCTGCCTCGGTCCACGGCCAAGCGGACTTGGGCATCTGCACTCTCAACGACATGCGCGCCAACGCCGAAATGATCTCCAACATCTCCCCTAGCACCCCCGTGATTGCCGATGCAGACACCGGATACGGCGGCCCTATCATGGTCGCGCGCACGACAGAGCAATACTCTCGGTCCGGAGTAGCCGCCTTCCATCTGGAAGACCAGGTGCAGACGAAACGCTGCGGACATCTGGCCGGCAAGATCCTCGTAGACAAGGAGACCTACGTGACGCGCATCCGGGCGGCGGTGCAAGCTCGACAGCGGATTGGCAGTGACATCGTCGTGATTGCTCGGACAGATTCCCTTCAAACCCACGGCTATGAGGAGAGTGTGGCTCGACTGCGGGCAGCACGCGATGCAGGTGCGGATGTGGGATTCCTCGAGGGTATCACGTCCAGGGAAATGGCCCGGCAAGTGGTCCAGGACCTGGCACCGTGGCCGCTATTGTTGAACATGGTGGAGCATGGAGCCACACCGTCGATCTCAGCAGCGGAGGCCAAGGAGTTGGGTTTCCGTATCATCATCTTTCCGTTTGCGGCATTGGGGCCTGCCTGTGCCGCGATGCGCGATGCGATGGAGAAGCTGAAGAAGGACGGGATCCCAGGGCTGGACAAGGAGATGACGCCACAGATGCTTTTCCGAGTGTGCGGGCTGGACGAGAGCATGAAGGTCGATGCGCAAGCGGGGGGTGCGGCCTTTGAGGGAGGAGTGGATCTGCAGTAGTCCGGTGTTTTAGTCTGTACCGACGTTGAGACCTAGTGGGATTGTAAATAGAATCGATGATATCTGTTCCAGCATATGGACAAGCAGAGTGAATTGTCTATATTGCATAATGCCATGATCTTGAGGTGATGAAAAGTGAGCAACGTCGAAGAATCATCCAGCTGACGGATGCCCGAAGAGGCAATTCGGCTAACCGCTTTGGGCATGACACGGGACCGGCGAGGAGGCGCTTAGTCAGCCGGATCATCGGGGCCCAAATTGAAGCTGACGAGTCGCAACAGGAATAGCATCGAGAGAAACCTGGGAACTGGCTCTAAATTTGGATGGCCCCAGGCCAAAAAGGAGTCCCTCGGACCACCAGGGGGAGAGTTGGCTGATGTCGAGGGAGGACCTGACTATCTCTTATGCAATTTTTGCTGCAGAACTGGTTCCGTCCGCCATCCATGGAACAGAGACCCAAGGAACACCATCTATTTACGTGAGGGGAAGTAAGTATGAGCATGATGTTGTCCTGCACACTAATATTGACTCTGGAGAAGAATCAAGATAGGTACCGACCGTAAGCAGGACAGCAGAACCAGGCAGTCGCATAACACGGTGGGTAAGACCGACTATCATTGCCCAGTCTCGCATGTCACGGGCCAACAACAGGCAATGACAGTTGCGGTGGACTCGGACACGGGCTGTAGATTACCGGATTGTCGCGGTTCTAAAGTCTACCTAGTGGCCCGTTGGCCAGACGGTCCATGGATGACCGGTGAATTTGATACAGACCTGCTTGTTGGTCTTATCTGGGGATGTTGCCCATGGGCACACCATACATTCCAGTTGGTGTTGCCGCCGTCCCTGAAATTGGGGGCCTTTTCAGGGTCTGCGGCAGGGTTGGTCTTAGCCGTGGTATTCAGGGACTGCAGAGGGGAAAGACCCTTAGGGGTCCTGCAGTTCGCTACGTATCTAGTAGTACTACCTTTCGTACTGACATTACCGTATTAGGTAGTAGTCACTAGTAAGCGGCCACTCCATAGTGCTGCTATACTACTTGCCGTTTAACTTCCACCAGTCTGGCTTGTCTTAGATGTTACCAACTGGGGACGAGCTCGCGGTCTAGCCTGCATTTTTCCCTCAGCACCTCGTCCAGTTCATCGGATCAAATCACCATCTGACGTGGGTCTTGACGTGGGCATCGCTCTCCTTGTAGAACGGCATCCAGGTCGGATTCGACAGGCGAGATGATCGCACGGATGAAGTTGCAATGACTTGTCCGTATCTAGAAATCCATTAGGCAGAAGTGAGAGTAAACAGCGTTTATTGCCTGGGTGACGTAGCAATAAGCAGTGCGATAGACTTCATCGGATTCTTGCGATCGGGCAGCATTCCAACTGGACGCCATGCATCTAATCAATCGGTCATCGTGCAAATGCCACCGATCTTCTGGCAAAGCGATGCATCGAGTCAGCTTCACTTGACTATCGTCGACATAGCGACAGGGTTTCAAGAGACGGTGTAGAGTGTAGACGATGCAGATGATGCAGCGCCTGGGTACGAGGTACATCCAGGATGGCGCTGTAAGGTACCAGGCACCGTCGGGAGCGCTGAGCTGGTACGGTACCGGTACCACGGCAGGCATGATCGGCGGGGCACATCCAGGGATTCCGAGTCTCGACCGCCCGCCCAGGCGGGGCGTATCACCAATGAGCGACCGCCGTCTGAGCGCCAAACGGCAAGCTCAGGAACCGTTGTTGGTTCTCAGCCAATTACGGCCCCCAACTGCGGGTGTTCCCCTGATCGCCCCCCTTTTAATTAAATGAAATCCAATTACGGGGCCTTTGGGATATGGTGAAAAGCGAAAAGCAAGAAGCGAGAAACGAGTAGCGAGTAGCGAGTGAGGAATCAGCCGGGCCATAATGCCTGCCCATCTAGGGCCTTTCCGCCTGCTTTTTATTCTTCGGATCCCCCCGTTCTTCCATCCTTGCGCCTTCTTTCTCCCTCGTCTGCATTGCTTTGCTCTCCTTCTCCGGTACACACCTCGCTCCTTTGTGTGTTGGTTTCAAGTTGAGGGCATCTCACTCATTACTGCCATCTACGCTCTCTTTGATCCATCGTGTCTTGTTGTCAATAAAACAGCCGTGATACCCCATTCTGTTTTGCACGCCATCCAACAAACAATCTCTTTCACATTCCATCACAATGCAGCTCAAGAACTCCATGCTCCTGCTCACCGCGCTGGCGGCTGGCTCCACGGTCGCCCGCCTGCACGGTCATGAGCGCCGTCACCACCACAATGACAAGCGTGCCGTCGGTGATATCGTCGTTGCTACCATCGACGGTGAAAAGGTCTCCTGGAAGAACGAGTGGTCTGGTGTCGCCGCCACCGTTGCCGTCGAGGCTGAGGCCGCCGTGACCCAGATCGCGGTCGATGCCAAACCCACTCAGGTGTCCGTCACCAGCTCTGTTGTCGCTTCCGTCTCGGCCGTTCCCACTGCTGCCACTTCTTCCAGTTCCTCCACTGGAGCCACTGCTTCTGGCTCTTGCTCCAGCTGGACCCAGACCCTGTCGAGCGGTGACTACTCTCGTGCCGGCTTCGGCAAGTCGACGGTCAGCAAGCGTACCACCGACGCCATCTACTACACCGGCAACGTCGGCAGCCCCTGGGGCAGCAACATCATCGAGGTCGACGCCAGCAACGCCTGCCAGTACAAGCATGTCGTCCGCATTGATGGCAGCGAGACGGACGACTGGACTGTTGTCTTCTGGAACAAGATTGGCCCCACTGGAGGTCTGAACGGCTGGTACGGCCACTCTGCTCTGACCCTCACTATCAAGCCTGGTACTTCTCGGTACGTGGCCTTCGACGACGACTCCCAGGGTGGTTGGGGTGCCGCCAAGGGTGACAAGCTCCCCACTGACCAGTACGGCGGCTACTCGTGCACCTGGGGTGAATTCGACTTTGGTAACACTAGCAATGACGGCTGGTCCGGCTGGGATGTGTCTGCCATTCAGGCCCAGAACGCCGGTCAGGAGATCCAGGGTATGAAGATCTGCGACCACACCGGCAGCGGATGCTCTACTATCACCAACTCGGCCAGCAGCGTCATCAACGCCTACACGGCTGCCCTTGCTGCTGCCGATGGCATTGGTGGTTCCGTCTCCGCCGGTCCTGTTCGTCTGCAGGTCAACATCGACTTCTCTTAGATGTGCCTGGTTGCTTTGATTTGTTTCTTTTTCTGTTCAGATATTCCCTTCGATACACTAGGCTTAGGGTTGGGGTGTTCTTGTGTGTGCAAGTCTGTACAGGTCCTTCGCTCCTCGCGGCTGGAAGTGAGGGTTACATAACATCCCAGCCCTTGCGTTAGTGCAGCGTCACGTTGACCTTGAGGATTTACTTGTTACTTCAATTGTACATACATACATACATATACCACCGTGATTTTAAGTTACTGCAGATGACAAAGTAAATATCATACTCTAGTGTACTTATTTTATATATGTTAATATCTGTATTAGTTACCTTCTTAGCTTTTCATTCCAAAAATAGCCCATAAGATACTTTAATCAACTACAGAGGATACAACCTCCGATATCACTCCCACCACACCACATTACTACATATGCAATATTGACTGTACTCAAACTTTGAATTAATTCATCTATCTACCGAGTGTTACTCATCCACCCATCCATCCAGCCACTATAAGGGATTAAGAGCAACTAAAAGCAACCAACCCTCTATCCAAAATCCATACATACTCACTCCTCATTCATACACACACACACACACACACACACATACACATACACACACATACACATACACACACATACACATACACACACATACACACACACACACATACACATACACACACATACACATACACACACATACACAAAGAAAGAGATACTTCCACATTCCACCTTAATCTATACCTATATCCATAGATACCAGGTTCGATTATGTTCAGCACAACTGATATCGTACCTCATCAACATCATCATCACCACCACCCTTTGTTGTTCGGTGGAAGATATAGACCCCGTTTTGCGTAGTATTAAACCTTTGTATTTGGAGATATTATTTGTCAGGACTGCTCCCTAGGTGCGCTTCTAGGGACGGAGCCCCTGCCAGACAGCTACACTATCTGGCAAAAGACTAGGATTCTGAGCCACTAGGCTCAGGTGCGCATCCCTTATAAGCTTGACCCCGTAGGGGCCGTCACATTATTAGTGATGCTATAAAGTAAAGTAAGGTAAAGTAAAGTAAAGTAAAGTGCTATATTCTTCATGGAGCAGTATGATCTTCATCTATCTATTTATCTACTAATCCTATATTCTTATCCTATTCTCATCCATAAAAAGAAGTATATACCTATTAGGTAAATAGAAGAACATCACACAAGACACTAAGATGAATAGTACTTGGCCGTAGTACTAGCTGAATATATGGAATTTAGTACTGTTGTATTATGTGGGATTGGAGGTGGGCGATTTTGTACATGGGCATTGATTCTTCTGTGTTTGAGTCTGTGATTGTGATTGTGATTGTGTTTGTGCCTGTGGAGGGAACTTGGGTGGTGGTCGTTTTCTTGGGTTGATTCTGGGTTGGCTTGGATAGATGGATGGCTGTTTGTCTGTTTGTCTATAGTTGGAATTTGGATTGGGATTGGGTTGGTCCGATGGATAGATGGAGTTGAGGAAAGGGACAGTTAATTCCAGATAGAATGTGACGTTCTTCTTCGATACTAATTTTCCGGGTGTGTATTGACTGGTCATCTACTTCTAATCATATCGTTCCATTGGTCCACATATATTCGAACAAATCCATAAAGGACAAAACTGAAGAGCTAATATACACTATCTACTCCAACCCCGCAAGGAAATCCAGAGCCTGCAAGGGTTGAGCAGGAATCTCATCATCATATTCCACCGCGTTCTCATCCTCATCCTCATGCGCAAAGGTATTGTGCTGTCTCCTTTTCGACGGGGTAAGCGCCATGTACCCAATAAAAGCAGCAATGCCTCCCACCACAGACCCAACTGACAGCCAAACATCTAGCTTCCGTGACCTGATGAAATCCGACAGATGCTGTTTCTCGGCGTCGGATAATGACTCGCTTTCTTCGATTACCTCCTTCATTCGAGTATGCGAACGGATGTCCTTCCAAATAGGGGTCGAATCTGCAATAGTGTTCAGCAGCGTGCTGCCGAGGGTAGCCAGTCGAGCCCGTTGTGGCATCTGCCATGGGAGGATCGATGATGAGTCCTTAGCACCGTCTGGAAGAAGAGCATGGTCGATCTCTACAACGCCGAATATCTCCTTCCTCTGTCGCTCCGTGTACTCTGTTACCTGAGGCGCCTTACTCCGCATCGCATCCCGAAGCCACGAGTTGGGCACCTCCGGCACAAGTGCCAGACTGAGATATCCCAGCGCCAGACAATCCAGACTCGTCAGGCCGGCCTCGCTCGTGTGTAGGAAGTACTGCTTCCCGCCGAGGATCTCCTCGAGCGGCTCGAACAGCTCCGCCATCAACGCCTCCAGCTTGAACTGGTTCTGTTGCGAATTCTTGCCCAGCAGAGATGAGACGGAGTCGCGTGGCCGGGGAATAAGGTTCTTGGGGACCTGGCCCGCTGCGACAGCGGCCGAGTGATCACGCTTCCGTTGCTCTTCGATGGCTTCCAGATCCAGGGAGGAGAGGCCGAGATGCTCGGTGCGGGCTTTCGCGGCGGTGTGAATTTGCGGAGGCAGGATCCATTGGTTGGGCCATTGGAGAATGGCGCCGTAGGAGGGAGAGGTGCAGTTGTAGTAGTTCTGGCTGGTGACGTAGAGGGAGAGGTCAAGAAGGGATTGGGCGCGGGATTCGAGGAACGCGGAGAAGCTATTGACGCGATCAGTTAGGCATGTTTCTTAGCTATAGCTTGTACTTTTCTTTAGTTTTCTAGAGGTAGAAGCGTACGCGATGTTGTCTGCTTTTTCGAGCCCAGTGAGGCTCTGGTCCAGGTCCCAGTCGCCGTTCGAGTATTGACGGAGGTAATCGACGATGTTGCGGAAACGGCTCACCCAGGTTTTGTCATCTTTGAGGGCCGGTAATTCGCCTGTAGAAAATGGAGTTAGTCAATGGCACATGCGCCCATGGCAGTCAAGTAGGGCCAAGCTAGGACTCGGAGAATAAAAGCTCAGAGCAACATACAAGTCGGCGACACGGAAGGATCACTGCTTGCGACGAGAACCCATTGGTCCTTGGGCACTGTCAGGGAGAGATAGGCGATGGTCGCGAGACATTGCGCATCAATGGACGGCAACGAAAAGGCCGGACCCCAAACATGAAGTTCCAGAACCATCTTTTCGGTCGTTGCGGCCATGGCCAAACAGATGGAGGTTGCGTTGATGGACCGCTGCAATCACGTGGGAGATCCTCCGGCGCGCCTGGGCGCCTCGTCGCCTCGTCGCCTCAGGCCGGCAGGCAGCCATGAAGTCAGGCCGACCACCGTTTACCGGAATGGGGAGGACTATTCCATAGACCTACAGAGCCTAGTATCGGAGGACTCCATACCAAGTGGATCCATCCACGCAGTCATCTTGATCCCGGTTGCAAAGGACCACTCCTAGGGACTAAGGAGGGCCTGATTCAACGCGTGGCTGGTGCGACTGGCCAGTGCAACAGATACAGTACTCCTTCGGGGTTGGGACGTCGTCGATGGGGTCATGCATTTTCGTAGTCTTTTCAGGTGAATTATTAATCCATGCAGGTGGTTTCAGCTGGTGTTATCAACCCCTCCTTTTGGATTGAAGTGTATGAGCGATTTTCGATCCCCTCTTTTCGGGTCCCGAAAGGATGAAGATGATGAGATGATAACCCTAGGTATGCCATGTTGCTTAGTTAGCTATCTATCTATCTACTGGCTCCACGGTAAATGGATATCTGCAGAAATTGAACGACAAACGCAAGCACCCACTTAGCGCTCTACCCAAGAGCCGGTTTTAATTTCACCACTGCCAGCCAATTCAGCACATGGCATGGCATGACGTTCGGATACCTCCCGGGCTAACGCTCAGTTCGCTGCTTACGGGGATCGGAGAAGAAGGTGGGAGGGAGCTCAGCCAGGTACGGAGTCCAGTCGGGTCAGTTGACCTGCGATCGGACACTCGGGCTAACCAGATGAACGAAACGAAACAAGGCAGGCTCGGGGTCTGCAGTAATCAAGGCAGAAGCAGGTGGGCCGGGGGAGGGGAGGGGAGGCCTGAGGTCAACTAGATACCTAGGTACTTAGCTATCTACCTAGAGTCTTAGACAGACAGTCGCTCGATAGCATCATAATCGGCTTATCAGGATCATCATCATCATCATCATCGGTTATCGTCAAGATATCCGCATCCATCCAGTCAGGCCCTGGCATGGCTTGGCTCCTACATATGCAATGCAGGTGCATGTGGTTTGCTTGGCGGTTGCGAGATTAGATTCCTAGGGGGAACTCACCTACCAATTTACTTAGTTAGTACTTACTTACAGTGACTAGCACCGAGATAGGTCATCCTAAGAGAGCCGTCGTATCAGGTGCGCCACCCGGGCCGCAGCCAGCATGTACCTCTCCGACTATTGCCTCTTGCAAAAAGCAATACTGCCCCCCCCTCCGATAAGGGACTACGGGAAGTAGACGCGGGAGGCGGAGTATTCCTCGCTTGGATCACCGTATGATCGAGTCATAGTCGTGGGAAATGCCGCTATCTGATTACTCAATCCAGCGCGCTACATGCATGGTACAGACGCCAGACGGACCGGCGCTAGACCAAGGGACAGGGGATCGCAGCGTATTGATTCAGCATCCCTGCTGGACGTTTGCCTGCCCTGTGTGCTGCCCGCAGATCCTTTGGGGTTCCCCCGCGGTCACACTGTTACTCAAGCCCTGCAATGCAGCCATCAGGAGATGCGTACAGTTCCTGTCTAGTCTAGCATGCATAGGTGGGTGGTACGGAGGCAAATGATAAGAATTGAATAATCTCATTTAGCAATTGTCAAAGCGCAGGCAAGAATGCGAGATGCCGTTGGGTATATTAAGTCTATTATACATGCCGTCGATTCAGATAAAAGCTCAGACCCCGATGTTATGATGATAACAAGCCAGATGGTACACATGACTGAAAAAGGAAATGAAAGAAGAAAGAAAGGTGATTAAGTAATGTCGGATCCATCCGCAAAGGGAATCCAGGGTTTCCGAACAACGCATTGACATCGGTGGGGATCGCGCAACCCATGCTTCACTGGGGTTGGTTGATGAACTCCCACATGAAACCGAACGCTCGAGAGTCTTGTCGTCATCACTCTCTTGCGGGGTTTGATGCTGACAAGGCCGATTGGCAATAATGACCCGCGGTGGGGAGTTGATAGCAAGCGATAACATCATCACTCGGTTCGTTGCATGCGCCCCCCTGCATGGAGATAGGGCCCGCCGATCAGATGTCTCAGTATCAATGCGTCATTGTGGAATGGGACCAGAGCGCCTGCGCTTGTCCCGGAGAATGGTAAGAGGATTAAACACCGGCCATGAGACGTGTTCATGTGTCGGCTAGGCAAGAAAAGTCCGAAAGTTCCGAAGTGAAGAGATGAGAGGAATGCGAATAAATGGTGTATGTGGAGTAAAGGAGGAAAGCCGTAGTGTGAGTCCCAAAAACGAAATCGTGATAACCATGCCGAAAGGTGCAACTCCTATGTCATGAGAGACTCGAACCGGTTCACTTTGTCACTGTTCGAGGCGGAGGTGGTGGAAACTGTCGTGGCTGAACCGGTCGAGTCTGTCGGTCGTCAAGTTCATATCGAGGATTGCCCATTGTTTATTTGGGAAGTGGAGGAAGAGGACCCTTTGGCGGGGGACCGGGGCAAGGAGGGAATTGAGAAGTAGAGCCACCGATGGAAGGCATGATGATTAGATAGTGATGGTGATGTGAGGTGGTGAGGTATGGTGAGGTGGTGAGGTATGGTGAGGTGGTGAGGTGGTGTGGTGATGTGGTGATGTGGTGATGTGGTGAGTTGATGGTTGGTTATAGAGTAGGTGGCAGTATAGCACGCGAGTAGTAGATGTGGACGTGAATTGAATTGGATCGGAGGGATTGATGGAGAGATTGAAGTTGAATGAAAACAGGAGATCAAGAACAGCGAGGTCAGAAGGGCGTCTAATATATAAGTTCTTTGGGGAAGCTCCTCCTCTTTTTTGTGGCCGTCTTGTCTTGTTTTATTTTTATTTTGTTTTTTATTTTTTGAAGAAAAGCCCGACCGGGATGATTGGCGCTGAACCCGAAGCAGCAACCAGAATAATCCCCAAATCTAAAATGGATAAAATGGAAATCACGGAAAAGGTAAAAAAAGGCCCCCCTGTCTGTCGGGAACAGGAGCTGGGCCCCACCGACGGACAGGAGGAAACAAACTACGTCAGATTCTGACCGCGTCCTTACACTAGTGCCGTACGGTGGGCTGCCAGATGGATTCCCGATGGAGGCCTTCAGTGCGACGGCCCCAATGGGAAATCCCAGGGAAATTTTCTAGAAGCTCCTCTCGTTCCACTCCCGCTGCTCATGCCCCTTCACCGCTGAGGCAGTTTGCCTCCCCCTTTTTTCCTTGGGTTCCGCAGGTCTAATTAACCTGCGCATTACCGGAGCTTATTATTATTATTATCAGTGCCAGACTGTCAGTGATGGATGTGATGCTACTGGGTGGGCGCTTCAATCGGAAACAGAGAGTTGTCACTTGTCACAGCCTAACGAACCAGATTCAAAGTTAGCAGTGAAGGAGAAGCCAAAATCACCAAAAATAATCATCAGAAATTAGAATCAGAATCAAGCCCATAAAAGAAAATGAAAATAAAATAGATTAGAAAGCAAAGTTAGAGACAACGAAATTGGACAAGGCATGCATTCCTGCCCCACCCCAGCGTTAATCGTTCTGTTTCTACGAATCTACGGAGGAGGTTCTACACACCCCGTTCTTGGTGTTGTCCACCTTTCCCTTTTGGCTGTCTGGGCAGTGCGTCCATCTTTTTAGAATAATTAGGGAATTTCCTCTCAGCGTATCGCCCATGTGACTACTACTAGTGTCATTTTCGCCGGGTTACGTAAATTACGACAAGGACAACGACGAGGATGAAGAAGCAACCGAAGCGGACCGGCTATCTATGACTCAATCCCAAGGGATCAATGCCACCGTTAGAGCTGCTCGTACTCCGCATCCCGACCAGGGTGTTCCCAGGCAACCTCATCCCTGAGACCGCGCCGCAGTGTTTGATAGGCTTACAAGCTTGGGGGCTAGTCCAGCCATGCCAACACGTGCCAGTTCGTAGATCCTTTGAGGGGGAAGAACTAAGAAAGCACAAGAGGGACAAGGGACAATCAGGATGATCCGACGCCAACTGCGCGGCTGCTGCGCTGCCTGTCTGAAACTTTGCTGCGTGTGATTGATTCCTCATCACCACTCAAACACACAGACTCCCTCCAAGAGGGGAAGATCCTAGCTCCAGCCAGAGTGTCGGGACTGATGGACCTATCCAGTAACAGTATTATCCAGCATCCAAGCCACCACGGCTCCCGTCGTGGTCATCCTTCAGCCTTCCGGTTCAGGCGTAGTTGGCCGTTTTTGTGAGCCTGGATGGCTGAGTAGCCTGAGTGAGACCGTCGTGGGCAGCTGAAAACTGAAAAGGCCATTCCTTGCAGCCCTGGTCAGGGGTTCGATCACAAAGGAAGAATGACAGGTCGTTTCATCTGGACAGGGCGGCAGCGGTGTCGCAACCAACGAGGTAGCCGCAACCTAAAGATACACACACCCACCGGCTCCGATGGCGTGTCCTTCGTCCTCACTGCTCCCTCCCCCAGTTCGCCGCTGGGATGGTGTTTCAGGGGCTGATCACCACCACCACCACCACCACCACCACCACACACCCAGAAATGAGCCGTATCTCGGGGGATGCGTCCACCAACGACAGCCCGTTTTCTCCTTGCAGGTGGTCAAGTACCTGCGTTCGTATTATTTGTCCGAGCTCTCGGACTGGGATTGTCGCCGTCCGCGCGGCTGAGAGAGGGGAGCTTGACGGGATGTGAATGGTTGAGTTCGACGGACTGGCTGTCATCCATCCTCCCATCCTATTATTATTCCCATTTCCAAGGTTTCCGGGAAGCGATTGGAGTTTGGCAGTTAGTTCCGTGCGCTTCCATTTGACGGACATGCCGGCTGACAAGGTGTTGAGCAGCCATTGTGGCGGCTGTCCCTTGCCTGGCGTGGGCGGTTGATGATTATCGTAATTACTTTGCCTATACTTTACTTTACCGTACCATACCCGCTGGGAGATCCCGTCTTGACCCTCCAAACCTGAAGGAACTATCTACTAGCCTTATGCGATGCAACACTACTATAGTACTCGCTACTCACTACTCACTACTCACTACTCACTACTCAGGCTTGATTTCTTGATTTCTTGATTTCTTGATTTCCTGATTTCATTTGATTTCTTGATTTCATTTGATTTCATTTGATTTGACTTGATTTAGTTCATGGAGCCCATCCCGGATCGACCAATCTGACCTCCTGGATCCTACACTAATCACTATACTAGTCGCACCCCGTCTACTGTGTAATGAGGATGGGCGTCACGCCGGGTCATCTGCAGATGAAAAGTGGCCGGGGAGTGAGCCAGCTGGAAGGGAGAAACGTTGATCCTGCACGTCAATCGCCCGCTGCATCGACTCATCGGTCGATCCATCGAGATGCGGGTTGCGTTCTCGCGTCGCTTTCAGTAACAGTACCCACGCCGCTAGGTCGGCGCCTAAACAACCCTTCCTCAACGACTTACTCCTTGGGCGTAGTGTGCTGCAGTCCTGCTGTTAGCGCCCCTGCATGCATGCCTATTGCCTACCGATATCATTCGGATTCATGGCTGCGACGTACTCATCCTTTACCCAGGCAGTGGTCATGGCCACCTGACGCAACAGATTCCGCGTCCTTCCGGCAAAGGTTTCCCATTAGGTACGACATTCATCCAACCGGTTCCTGGCGCGATCTGGATCATATCGGCCACTTTGCCACCTCGCAATGCGTCAGGTCACATGCTCCGGTCTGTTTGGGACACTGGGGCAGAAAGGGCCAAAAAACACATGGCAAGAACAGAACTTGACATGGTGGAGCCATGTTCCAAGTGAACGAAATGAGATCCCCACTGTTGGAGGAGTTCATTCCGCGCCGTTGGTGAGGTGGACCGGATCACATAGCAAGGGCCGGCCTTGATGCGGAGGCAGTGTAAATCACTTCTCCTCGGTAAACTCGACACTCAGTGTTAGGCAGCGGCCGATGGGGGTTCCTGATCGTGTACTACAGTACTACACAGTGGGCAGTGGGCAGTGGGGACACAAAACGCACTTACTTAGCCTTTGTCATACACTCTCTTTGTCCCTCTCCCGCCTCTCATATATCCTGGACAACTGCCAGCCTCAGTGTCCGGTCCCTGCGGGTTATTGGATGTAACCCTTCAATGGGTTAATGCAGGTACTATGCATCTCACTGCATCCGCGACTATCACAATCACCGTGACGCCTCCATGCTGCAAGACTCAATAGTCCGACTGCGGGAGTCTGCCCACGCCGATGTGGGCAAGATCGGAATTCGCAGCAGGACTCCGTCGTGAACTGTGAAGATCAACATCAGGGAATTCTCCGCTCTGTAGAATGGTACCAGTCCTTCCAGAAACCGTCGCAACCCATGGTTCACCGCTCCTTAGTTGCGCGGTGTTGCCCACAGGTTTCGTCCTCCCAACAATCGCGCCCGCTCACTCGCTAATTCGGGGCTAAAGGCCGCTAATTCGACTAATTATGATACCAATTCACCCTGGCGCCAAGCCGTGCCGTGGTGGTCCACTCTCCAATCTCCAATGACTCTGGAAACACCGCTCATCTAATTCCATCGACCCTCGAGACAGACACCGCTGGTAGGGCGTCAGTTAGTTGTATGGCCTCACCTTACCCTCTTTGGGTTATGCATTGGAGAAGGACCACTCCTTGGTGCAGTGGGCGAGTGGTCAGCGGTGAGCAAGATATCATCCCTAGGGTCCAGGACGATCACGATTTTCAACAACCCCTATGGTTCGGCCATTCCTTCTGAACCCCGCATCGGGCTCGATCCCACGGGCGGCTATCAAGAATTTCCTTCTCGCGCCTTCAAGCAAGACACAGCATACTTTGGTATGTTCCAGTTTTCTACGATTGCGCCTCGCGGTCCCCTGCCTGATCTGGAACCAGCAAGCAGCTAGAAAGGACTGTAGAACATCTACGTCTTTCGAATCGAAGGAATGCCGGTTCTCCCGTGGAACAATTTTCATTATTATCGGTCAGTACTACTCCACAGTACGGAGAACTCCGCCCACTACCTTAGTTGGGCGCCATGAAGCGACATCCACACCCGAACCAAAAAATTTTTGTTTGGACCTGCCCTGGTCTTTTCAACTGACGTCAAATTTCGGTTACTTCATTGGTCTCCGTGCAGGGTGCCGGGGTTTGCTTGGCCTTAAAGGCTCGGATTATTAATTCCTGGTCTTTAATTCCTGGTCTATCGCATCCAATTGCTTCAAAGGTATCTCCGCATCCGGTTGGGTTAGAGGCTTTGAAAGAAAACGGTGAACCAGATCTATTCTGGTGTTGGGAAAAATAAACGAAACGGCAATTTCTCGGTCCTCTCCCTGGCTTGGCACGGCAATGGACACCCTTGAACGCGTCTGCTAGGTAAATTCCAAACATCATTTGTCCCTGATTTTCAGATATAGCACGGAGTCGCGAGCTGTCAATCTCCAAGTCACATGAAACACCCCTGCACATCAGTATGTTATGCGTCAGGATCATAGCTTATGCAGGCAAGCCGGAAGTCTAAATGATCCTCGCATATGTACTCCGTGCTGCAGGGCGCAGCGCGTGTGGCATGGTGTTCTATTCTAACGGCGAGTGGCCTGCAAGATTCCCATGGAACTGAAGGAGTATAACAAATCGGGCCAACTGCACCGTTGCCTAATGCCGTAGATGTGGTTTTTTTCCGCGGAAGAGCGAAACATCGAGGCCCCTGGGTCGGGTGCAACACTTGGGACCGGGTGTTACACAGAACTCAATCCAGACAACGGCCAGACCCTTTTGAGTCAGACCGTTGCACACCACTGTTTCGCCCCTTGCTGGGCAATTAAAACTAGAATGTTTTGGAGCGGTTTGGTCTCGACTTCAGCTGCTTGTCCAGACGGGCCGCCATTGTACCAGGTGGCACAGCAATTTACCAAGCGCATCACAAGGCGATCGTCCGACCTCGATGCATTTCACCTGCATCACGCGCACAAGCAATCTGCAGCTCGTGATGTTGCACCGTTGAGCCACATCATGCTGTTATGCAGGAATCGAACGATCAGTTGCCTGACAGTTGCATCTTACGACGAACATCATCCTTGTCATCCCTGGCTGCCTTCAGCTCTATGCTGTGATGCATTGAGGTCATTCCTCAGGCAGGTCGCCCTGAGCCTGCGTAGATATCCATTCCTCCATCAGAACCTGACGCCCCGGCTCTGCTGGCGCCTTTGTCCCGGTCCTGTCACCTTTTCTTGTGACCAACAGACATAATACCCAGCCGTAGATATTGAATCCCTCGTAATTCGTCCTGAATCGCATTTTCTTGTCCTCCTCCGCCACTTGTGGTAAAAACTCCTCATCCTTCCTCCGCTTCGATACTCGCTGCCTCTCGGGCGAGTCATCCACAGCCTGCTGCCTCTTCGTCCCAACACGTTTATCCTGATCCATATCACTCGCATGCGGAATATCCTGCATCTGCACCCCCACCCCATGATCCTCATCATCACTCTCAATCAAAATCTCCCCCTCCCCGCCAGCCCTCCTCCCCTCCCCATCCGCATCCCCAAAAACCTTCTCCCTCGTAAGCAACGAATGTCTGGTCCTCGACTCACGCAAAAACAACGCAACCTCGAAATCCTCTACACGGATTAGCCATCACACCCCCCACACCCCCAAGATATGAAAAAAACACTCACCTTCCGAAACAACATCCTTAACCACCCTCCCCTTCGTCTTCTTCCCAAATAACAACCGCTCATTCTCCTCCCGTAATTTCGGATGCACGAGAGGTCGTATCGCAGCAAAGATCCGGGGAAGGATCGGATCCGCACCTCGTGTGTTGAGGAGCCATCGTACGTCGGAGGGATTGTCTAGGTAGATCCGACATTCGAGGATCGTGTGTGAGCTTATGCGGAGGTAGCGTCGGATGGGGGCCATGAGGTGGTGCTTTGCTGGGTGGGTGGGTGGATGGGTTGGGAATTGGGCGGTTGTGGTGGTGGCGGTGGTGGTGTATGTGTGGGGTGATGTGGATTATTTTTGGAGATGAGGGGAATAAAGAAGGATGGTTGTGGTTGGTTTGGTTGTTGTTGTGGTGGAATAGATTTGTTGGAGATGGGTGTAGTGTGGTGTAATGACGTGACGTTTGTTACCCCGGAGAGCTTGGGCTTGAGCTGTGCCAAGCCTGGACTGCGGGAGGGATCTGGGCGTTGTGTTGTGCTACTACATATGTGCAGGGCAGGACAGGGATGTACATACATATTTACTTACTTACTTACATATATATGTGCATGGTATGTAGGACGGGGGTTATTTGCGCTTTGACATGTCGTATGATTTATGCGCTGGGTATATACATAGTGTGTAGGATGTAGTATGGCTGGGCTGGTGGTGGGGATTGGGTGATGGTGGCATGATGATAATGACTCTGTACGCTCCTGGGGTTTGGGGGTGTTGGGGGTAGGTGAGTATTGCATGATGGGGTTTTGTATAGGTAGGTAGGTAGGTAGGTAGGTAGGTGTGTTACTTGAGTAGTTGGGATTGATATTGTACTCTTTTCTCGGTGAGTTCTATCTGGGGATATTGTTTTCGATCTGGTTATTGGGGATGTGGATTTCGATTGCGAATAGGGATGTAGAGGTGGGTGTTTGGTGAAGCATGTATGGCGTGATTATTGTATAGTCTCCTGGATGTATGTGTCCTTTGTTTGGTATTCTGCACATGGTGCTAGGGTTATCTATGTGGTGTTGGTGGAGTTGTATTGTGTCGTGTTTGGGTGTAGTTCGGTGTTACGGAGGATTCTGGTTGGGTTCGGGTTTGGTTTTTGAGGTGGGCTGTTGCGTGAGGTCGTGGTAGCAGGGAGGTGGCTATATTAGGGTATCTGGTTATCCAGGAGAGGTAGCTGAAGTTGCGGATGGGATGTCATGATTATGGTCGTTATGGTGTTCGAGTATTGGCTGCGCGGCTTGAGTTGTCTCGGTGTCTGTCACATATGCGGGGTGAGGCTGGAGGTGGACCGATGTTGACTTGTTGAGCTGATGGAGTCTCATACAGGGTTGGCTGGAAGTTTCTAGGGTTCATCACAGGCTTATTAGTATGTTCTTGTCCTGGTTGGGAGGTTGGGGTTACTCTGTGTTTGTGTGGAAGTCGGGGTGAGAGTGGTTGTGGAGAGTATTAGTCGAGTAAATAGGTGAGAGCAATGAAGTAGGAATTATATCGTAGTAGTAGAGTCTGAAAGTCTGGTTGTAATCATAGATCTATTTGTCGCTGATTCTTTGTAAAGTGTGGAGTGAGAGTGAATGGAAGATGACGCCAATCCCCGCGGAAGAGCAGGTGGTCCGTGCGGTGTCATGGAGATGAACCACTCTCCGCATCTGTTGCTTAAATGCTGGATGGTTTTCTGGAAGATGTTTTGCATTGGTGATACCGGGGGCTCTTTAGGAGTCAATTGGCTTCGGTGTACAGGTTTCTTGTTGTGTCTAGATGGCAGCGTTGATGGCCAGTTCTACATGGGGTCCAATATATAGTTCCTGTCTCATGGGATTGCACTTACAATGGCTGACCTTTTTTTTAATAAACACAGAGGGTGCTAGTTAGCATAGGAAGTATATCTATTTTAGGTACAGAGTATACCTAGAAAGCTATCACTTCTTCACAGTTGATGAATGTCAACAGCTGCATGTCACATGACACCGCGTATCGTCCGCGTCACCGAGTGAGGCCGCAACCTCGAAACTGGACTCAGCATCACTCCAACCCATGGGTATCAAGCAATGGATCCCATCCTAGATGGTCTCAACTACGCTCAGACATCTGCCGTAGCATCGCCTGCCTCCATCCTCCAAGTCCTCGCTCCTCCGGGCTCAGGCAAGACCAAGACCTTGACCGCACGCGTCGCGTACCTCCTCGCGCATCATGGCTACCGACCACAAGATGTCATCTGCTGCACATTTACAATCAAAGCCAGCCGGGAGATGAGAGAGCGGTTGACCAAGCTGATTGGTGATGAGTTGCAAAGGAAGTTGGTTCTAGGGACGTTCCATTCGATTTGTCGGCGATATCTGGTGACGTATGGATATTTGATCGGGTTGAAGAAGGGGTTCGGCATTGCGGATTCGGGGGATAGTTTGGCTACTATCAAGGTGAGTGTCTACATTCATCTACTCTTGTACGTCCGTACTGACTTCTGCAGAGGATCGTTAAACGACTGCAGGTCGGAATCCAGCCCAACGCAGCCAGGGCAAGAATATCCCATCAGAAAGCTCACGGGGTTAGCCCGGATGAGGTGGCTGCAAAGTTAAGCAAGAACTCAAAGATCCTTGAACAAAGAGAGTTTTTCCAGGTATATCGCGAGTACGAGGCGAACCTGGCAGCTTCCAATCTTCTAGACTACGATGATCTACTTGTGCGGTGCACGGAGCTGCTTAGGAGACATCCGGAGTGTGTGTCGAACGTCCAGGCTGTCTTGGTTGATGAGTTTCAAGATACGAACCACATCCAGTATGAGTTGATGAACCTTTTTGCGTCCCAGAACCAGCGCATCACGGTCGTCGGGGATCCGGATCAAAGCATCTACGGTTTTCGATCTGCAGAGATCAAGAACCTCGGGAGAATGCAGCAGCTGTACAGGGATACCTCAGTTGTTTTATTAGAGGACAACTACCGCTCGTCTGGGTCTATCTTGGGCTCGGCGCAAGATGTCATCGAGCAAGACTCGTCCCGGCCGGCGAAGAAGCTGCAACCGACACACAGCGTGGGCACCATGCCTGTGCTTCGCAAGCTACCAAGTTCAGAGGCAGAGGCTCTGTGGATAGTGCTTGAGATCAAGCGGTGCATTGCCATGACGGGCAAACTTGTGAACTATTCGGACTTTGCTATATTGCTTCGGTCGGCTGCTCTCTCACGACAAATCGAAGCACAAATGGGAAAACACGGCATTCCGTACCGAATGGTTGGAGGCTTGAGGTTCTTCGACAGAGTTGAAATCAAGCTGCTTCTGGACTACCTCCGAGTCATCAGCCAGCCGGGTAACAGCGATGCTCTTCTACGCATCATCAATGTGCCGTCCAGGAAAATCGGAGATGAATCCGTAAACCTCCTGACGAAGGGCGCCGAGAAAGCAAAGAAGCCGCTCTGGGAGTTTATGAAGGATGTGGCTCAAGGTCGCAGCTCGACAGAGAAGCCGCTTTCAAAGCCCACCGACAACGGACTCTGCACCTTGGTCGGTCTCATTGAGTCAGCTAGACAGAAGCTCCAAGAATGTACCGATGGGTCATCTCCAAGAAAGCTTCTCGACTTCTTGATCAAGAAGCTCTCTCTTCGAGAATATCTCAAGGCAGTACATGGCTCGAACGAGGAGAACCGATGGGCCAACGTGGAAGAGCTCTTGACTCAAGCCGATGACACACCTGGGTCTGAAGACGAGGAGGCCAAGGACGAGAATCTCCCTGAGATACAGGGTCTCGAACAACAACAAGCTCATCCTGGCGAAGAGGCGCTGTCTCGCTTCTTAGCGAATGTGGCGCTGTCTACGGAGGTGCTCCCACAGGAGGGTGAAGAGGGCGACCAATCGAATGAAAAGGTCACCATATCCACCATCCATGCCGCCAAAGGCCTCGAATGGCCGGTGGTATTCGTGCCGGCCGTGTTCAACGGCATCATTCCCCATTCCCGGGCGGAAGACTCGGACGAGGAGAGAAGACTTCTCTATGTGGCCATGACCCGAGCACAAGCATTACTATACCTAAGCCACCCTCTTCGGCAATCACGCGATGGGGAGGAAACGACCTTGTCGAGCTTTCTCCCATCCAAGGTAGTAAAGGAGCGCTTTCGTTCCCTCGCACCCAAATTCAACGAGCAGGTTGTCCAAGGCATTGCAGACATACTACGCCGACCGATGCCGGATCGAGCGGCTTTGTCAGAAGGACGAGCTACCTGTGATATTCAGTACGATGATCAGTGGACAGAGGATGGTTTCGAGGCACCTGATGCGATCATCCGATGGGATGGCACCAGAGCCATGGGTGGGGAGCCCAACCCAAAAAGACAAAAGCTCAATCAGAGGCAAGCAGAATCAACAACCACGTACATGTCCTGCACCACCCAGCCGATGAATGGCTTCAACTTCTCCGTGCCTACAACTCTATCCCTGGGATTTTCGACAGCCCGCGAATACATAGCGAGCAGCGAATCACCGCCAGAGCCCGCTAGGACCACCCAATCCGAGAGCAAATCAAACGCCCTAGCCGCCAGCATCGTGGGTCGCAAGTCGGACGGACTTTCGCAGAAAACAATATCCGGCTTCTTTGGGCAGCCTTCGTCAGGCCAGAAAGGCGGTTCAGGCACGACTGGGCGCCAGGCCCCGGGCAACCGAGACGCCGTAGGGCAAACGCGTCACATTGCGCCGTCGAACTCTGAGCTAAACCGTGTGATTCCCGCAAATTACTCGACGTATCGACCGCAAGCGCCGAAGCTGCAACCGCCTCGGCCGGTTCTGGAACCTTCCGACCCGAACCGATACACTTGGTTGGCGACATCGAAGCCCATGGCAGCACAGAAACCACTCTCGCACACCAGTCAGGGACGCAGAACGGTTGTCGAGGAAACAGGCGAGGCTGGGAAAGATGCGCGGGCAAGCGAGGTTAAAAGTCTTTCAGGATCTGTCGGGGGAGCCAGGGCCGTGGCCACGTATCACACGACTACCATGTCGATGGTGCAGGCCGGGCAAACCACGACGATGCGACGGACGCTAGGGATTCGACGAAGTATGAACGGCTGGGCGGATCGTATGAAGAAAGAGAACAATGGACCGTAGCCATGCGGAGGAGAATGGGTGGCGTTTGGCGTGCAGGTATATACTGATTGTCATGAGTACCTACGGAGTATACTGAAGCTATATGATATCTGATAAAACACCAGAATGCACTTTGAAACTATCTATCTTCCTGTACTTCCCTAGATAGCCTACTAGTTCCTAGGACATTAAATTATTATGCCACGCATAACCCTTCACAAATCACACCCACTAACCCAAAATAGCACCCCCATCCATCATCAGCATCACCCATCCCATCACTCATCACTCAACCCTCACCACCTCCCTCCCTATGACCTACAAATGATGTATGCACCTACATACATACATAACAAACATACGTACAATCCCGCACTGCACCGCACTGCCATAAATCCCATTCAGGAACCCCCACAGCAAGCCCGGCCAGCCACTCCCGCCTCACTTTATTCAGTTCCCCGACAGCACCTCAGCATCACTACACAACCTAACCTAATCCGTTCTAGGCGATGACCTGGCAGGGGGTGTATGAGTCAGGTGTTATGTAAGCGTGCAGATACCTAGTACCACACAGTTGGCAGTGGGTTATACGTGATGGATATTTAGGATTTGATTGGTTAGGTAGGTGTATTTGTTTATGGGGATGGGTGTGATAAGCTAGGCACTGTACTTTGTGAAGACCGTTCTATTCCGAATTAATATTGTAGCGGTGTAAGTACGACATCATCTGATTAGTTTCTTGGTAGGGGTTGGGTTTGGGGGACTAGGATGGATGTTGACTAGTTGGTGTTTAGTGGTTCTCCAGGAGTCCAGATGGAGTATGGAGTAGGAGTGGTGGTAATAATATAATGGAGTGAAGCGAGTTGGTCTACGTACTAATCTATTTAGAAGATAGTTGCGGAGTAGCTAGGTACCTAGCTAACCAGGTAAATATAGGTGGTAGACTAGATTGGAAATGATGATAATAAGCTTGGAACTATCTCTTCCTACTCCGTACTCCGTACTCGGTATGTTTGGGGAATAGGTATCTACACCGCAACGGTTGAGGAGACAACCTCAATAATCGGCCGGGCTGGCTGATAAAGTGTGGTTCTTATTGCAACTAGAGAAGTCTACGGGTTGGAGATCCTCCTGAGACGGTTGAGTACACGGCATGAGGATTATTCGACCACAGCAACTTCCCTAGGTAGCTCAGGATGGGTCTTCGTACTTTGTCCGTGTGACGGAGCAGTAGTACCACAAGTCCACGACGGACCTGCCAGCTAAGTTCGTTCCATAGTTAGTAAAATGTGTGATCCACTTGGGAGGAGGTCTCGACTGGGAGCTGGCTGGCCTGAGGTATTTCCTGGATGTCCATCACGTCCCTGTTTAGGTCGAGGGATTCAATACCCGTAATATTGGTATGTTATTAATAGCTGAGACTGTCAGGTGATTTGGTCGTGTATCAGGCTGTAAGAAACCGCTGTTGATACCAGTGGGGGCCAATGACAGACCCCATCCCTGGTTTTTCTGGTGTAAGAATCCTGACCAGGCGAGACGGGACGAAACGGGCAGCAACAGCCAGCCAGTTGGTGGAATGACGGTCAGCCTCGTACCGCCACATCACCGCGGCCCCAGTGCCAGCAGAAGCAATGCGAAAGGGGCAGGCAACAAGGGCCATCGGCACCACCGTCATCAGGCAATGCTCAGGAGACGGTAGAAGACGGGGAGAAAGTGGGCGACTGTGGCTGGAGAGGCTGGACAGCCCGACAGGAGCCTGGGCGCAGGCTCCCTTCAGGCCCCGGGCTTAGGCTCGACACTCCTATCAGAATCGACCCCAAACCCAATTGAAACACTTACTCATCCATCATCACGAATCATCCGGTTTGCTGCCTCGTCTTCGTCCTCGGGGTCGCCCCCTGGCAGCGGGCAGTGGACCCGGGCGAGTTTGAGGCTTCGACGAGGGTTCCAGACATTCGATTTCCTTTTGGATTGGGGCCATGACGTCTGTTGGAGTGTCTAGATCGACGGTGATGCTTTGTAGGCTGTAGCTGTAGGTAGCTGTAGGTGTAGGCTGTAACCTACTAGGTAGGAAGATGGAGCAGGCAGGGCAGCAGAGGCACTAGTCAGTCTGCAAGATGATCGATCTGCCTTTCTTTTCTCTGGGGGAGACTAGTCACTAGAGAGGATACTCGGTAATCCAAGGTGGATGATGCCGTTATACTTCCTTCCTTTTCTGGGGGAAACATACAAAAGCCTCCGGCCGTCCGTCATTCTTTCATTCTTCACTCACCACAACTGATCTCGATCACTGTTACTATTACTATTGACTGCAACCCTCTCAACCTCCATCTCCTTGATCCTTTTCTCGTCTTGCTTCGTACGCCTCGTCTTCTGGCCTCGTACTGAGCCTTGCTCCGCCACGACTCTCATCCTTATATATACCTCCCTCTAGTCTCAACCGTCGACCTCACTTCTTCATCTTCCTCAGATATCCACTATCTACCAATCTATCTCTACTTATCAATCTATCCATCTTTCCATCTATCATCCATCTATCTTCTCTCATCACCAACATGCCTCACAAAGGAAACGACTCCAACTCTACTCTGTCCAGCAGTGGCAGTAGCGGTGACCGGGTCGTCGTCACAGACATGCGAGGTATGCTTCCCCATCATTTCCATATCTTCTTCATATCTCATATCCCATATCCATTCCCCATATCCACAGAATATATCGTTACTAGTTCTCAACTAACACCTCTCCATAGGCCCCAATGCTGTCCCACGCCGTACACAACCCCCGGTCATTGTTCACAACCGGGGAGGTCAGATCTACGATGAAACACGCCCTTCTGATTGGGACAAGCAGCGCTGGAAGTAAATGGCCGAAGCGCTGCTGGGCCGCTGCTTGTCCGCTGCTGGCAGCTGCTGGCAGCTGCTGGGACTATTGTCGCCGGCTCGGCCGATTATCCGCGCGGCTTCATCCAAAAGTGAGGCGACCGATCGACAGCTGGTCTGTCGACTATCTTTTCGGCGTCTCTCGTTCTCGACCGGCAACCGACGGATGACATCCCTGACTATGATGCTTCTCGTCGCTGTCGGTTCCCTTGTCTGCTGCTCGACCGATTCTCTTTCCCGACCTTGTACACTATTTTGTCTTGATGTTTTCGGCTCCCGATGCGATGCTCTTGTATGATTTCTTCCCCCTTTCGGAGTTTGGTGTTCCTGTTCTCGGTGCCTCCTCACACCACTGCAATGAGGCACACGTGTTACCTCTCCATCCCATCACGGGCTCGAACTCTAAACCGGGCCTGTCTGATTCTCGAGACCGCGACGACGGCATAGTCCCGCCAACCCTTGCTTCTGCCGTCCCTCGCCAGCAGCAGCGTTCCTTTCTTTCTGTCTGTACAGTATCGTGATTATACTTTTGCTACTTCAGTTCTGCTTTTGTCCGTCCGCATAGCGTGGGTTTGATTTTGTTGGACTGCTTTCGGCTCTGTTCCGTCCCGTCCTGTCCTAATTATGCGCTTCATGTCATGTCATGTCATTCCTTTATTCGCTCGTTCGTTGTCCGTCCGACTCCAACGCGGAGTCTGCATCGCCTATACTTAGGCCATGACCGTTGCCGACCGGCCCAGTCTGGGCGGGTGGAGGTCTGCGCTGGTCGCGACCACCACCACTACTACGATCTACTGTTCAACTATTCGGGGGTCTCTCTGCCGATTTCGGATGGTTAATATCTGTCACATCTACATTTACAGGACTTACTTAGACAAGTGAGGTTGTACCAGAATTAATGTTATACTACACTACTATCGTGACTTTCGTAACATACCAGCACACCCAGCAACCATTTCCAACCCTCTGCAACAACCAGACTAACCTAATTCATCACCCACTGCATCCTGCAAAGCTACATAGTTAGCTAGACTCTAGAAAGATAGGAACCAAGTAAACCTCCGACCACGACCTTCCCCGCATTCTTCCCCGTGACAGGACATGACCTGACACATACCCACAGAGCGCGTCTTTACTCCCTCCCTACATTACATCCTGTACTATGAGTTGGCAGTTGGCACATACCTAACCCAGACAGAAGAGTCCAGAGCTACTGCAACCAGCGAAAGCAGGATTACCACATGACTACATACCACTCTGTCCGTGCCGTGCTGCAGCCCAGGCAGATACCCAGGCAGACAGACAAGCTAGGCAACATGTCATTACCATCTAGGCAGACAACCAGGCAGACAAGCCCAGGCAGACAAGCCCAGGCAGACAAGCCCAGGCAGACAAGCCACAGTGTAGACAGTGTAAGTAATATTGTATGTAGGTAGGCAGCAGTAGCACCACCACCATCAAGCACCAACGGCTAGGCATTCACGCAGGCAGGCAGGCAGTCAGACAGGTTGGTTGACAGGTTGACAGGTTGACAGGCTGGGCGGGTCGGCTACCTACAGCAACAGCTACAACCTACCTAGGTAGACAGCATCGCATCTGCCATCTCACGCTAATAAATAAAAAAGGGATGTGGTACGTACGTACTGGAATTGGTGAATTGCATGCATCATACATACGTACATGTAGGATATGGCGTGGCAGGTTTGTATGGGATGGGGAAAGAAACCGGAAGGATGGGATGGGATGGGATGGGGGAACAGATGATGTGATTAGGGACTTTCAGGATGCGTAGACAGGTGGTAGATACGTATATACGGAGTACGCCTAGCTAGGTAGCTACACACGATTGACCTAGGGACAAAACTAGCCAAGACGGATTTTGTCCAAGGTGGACTGGTCTGGTCTGGTCGGGTATACTTGCACGCGTTTGGGGTGTGGGGATGGTGACTATCTTTCTTTATAGTATTGAGAAAGGAGTTACTGTACTAATCGGGGTATGTATGTCCAAAGGTTCCAACACCTGTCTTTCCGGGAGAAAGCAACTGCAGGACGGAACGAAAGAAAGGTAATCAGAGGAAGGGAAGATATCATCCGCGATGAGTAGAAAGAAGGAAAGCCAGGTATGTAGTAATGGAATGGTCAATTTTCATCACCGGTCCATATGGATAGTTCTTCGGCTCGGTCTCCAACGATTAAATAACAAATTCATATCTGTTTGGTTTTCTCTTTATTTTCCTCCCCGGACCACACAGATTTTTTTGGTCGGTTTTGACAAGGTTCTTTTCTGCTTTTTTTGGGGGACCTCATTCCACCAGGAAGAAAACAGAGGCCATGCTCGAGGCATGGGGCAGGTAGGAGCCTGCGTGTATAGAAGAAAACATGGGGGCAGAGGTTAAGCCACATTAATGTTCTTTACGAAGGGATGTGAGGGAAAGGGATACCGAGGGGTGAAGGGTAGGGTAAGGGTCAAGGGGTAGAGGGGGAATAGGGGAAAGAAACGAAACAAAAATGAAACCCAGCTCGGCATCGCAGGCCACCGAAGGGAGCGCGGAAATTGGAGACGCTACCCACGATTTGGCAGGGTGAAAAAAGAAATGCAAATGGACTCGAACGGCTCGCGCTTGCAATGCTAGTTATAGAGAAAATGACAAGCTGAATGCAACTGGGTTCACCCAAGAGAAAATATGCGGAACACAAGGAGATGGGGTATGCAATTTTTAGACAAGGAACAAGACGAAAGTAGAACGAAATTGAAGGCGAAAATCCAATTATGTATGGTAACTGGCGAACCACGGAATTGGTTCAGACAAGGAAACCAGATTGGCGGCTATGGCACAAGATGCGAAATACATCGGATGTAGGTATCGAGCAATATGTTGGTATATTATTGACGAGAAACTTCCTCAATCTCCCAAGTCCGGTTCAGTAACCGGTGCTGAAGGACATTTGGGGCTGGAGAAATTGTTGGGGGTACGTGGCCTCCTGCGTGTAGGCGTGCGAGTTGACATACTGCATGCTGGGCGGCGTCGGCGATGGCGAGCAAGCAGTAGCTGCTGCTGCTGCTGCCCCTTTGGCAAAGGTGGGATTGCCACCGTTGGCAAAGACCTCGTTCTCGGGTGTGATTGGCGGCGTGATATAACCGTGCGCCATGGTTGATGATTGATTGGCTTTCTGCGGTGTAGCAAGCCCAATCTCGCCCTCGTATGGCTTGGGCTCGGGTTGGACAACTTCCGTTTGCGGGCTGGGCGGCGTGTAGCTTGCAATCGACGCTTGACGAGCGAGGAATTGCTCGAGCACCTTGGACACACGGGAGTAGTGAGCCGAGGAGTACTTCCTGGAGAGCACCTGGGAGGGTTGGTGAAGCTGCTGCGACAAGCCCACAAGCGTCATTGAGTCGTACTGGGATGCCCATTCTGTGTGACGGGGCTGGGTCCGGTTCAGGATGCACCGCGCGAGAGCTAGCGAGGCCCGGGCCAAATCAGACGAGGGCTTGGAGACAAAGTCCCGATGGAATAGGGAGATTTCCGAAATGTACAATGCCAAGTGCTCAACTTCAGCATCATACGCACAGTCCATCACGGCCATTTGGAGGAAGTTGTCCACCGTCGGGTGTCCGATGGTCCATCCCAGAGTCTGCAACACATGCCATTCCATCTGGATGAACATGTCGTCATCATACAAGGAACAGCACATTGACTTGAGTTCTTTGATGGTCGGCACGCGGTCCTTCTTGTCGCCGTACTTGGATGCGATGAGCAAGGCGGCGCACCCAACCAACTGATAGTGCCTCTTGTAGACGACCCGTTTCGAGCAGTACCGGTCGAGCAGGTTGATGGTCAGGAACAGGGTTGACGGCAAGAGCTGGAAAGCAGTGTGGGCTTCGATCAGGAAGTCGAGGAGGTATGGACGCATGAACCACTGGATCTCGGTCTGGATGTCGATCGACTCAACATCTGGAAGTGTAGCAGCCTATAATTTAAACAGAAATTAGCCGGGATCGTCTCGGGACCAGGAGACAAAGGCAACCAACATCCATGTCCAGCATGTGCGCCAGAACGTCATCACGGAATTCGTCGCTAGTAATCTTGGACAGCTGTTCCGCCATGGCGTACTGACGCTCGCGAGCCATCAACTTTGCGTGTTCTTTGGGATCCATGCGCGGCGCAGGAAACTCGTCGTAGGATTCCACGAAGAAAGTATCGCAGGGCTGATAGCTGGACGTAGGGCGCTTCTGGTAAGCCATGATGCCGGACTGGTATTAAAGTCGGACCAAATGGATTCAAAGAGTGGACCTGATAACGGGGTCGATCAGGAAACGACGGAGGTGAGAGAATGACAGTCGTCGGATTAGGCGATTAATGAGTGGAATTAGTTGGGAGAATATTAATGAATGGCCAGTAGAGACGATAGCCTGGGTACTGGAAAGGGGAAGGATGGCGAGACAGCAGGAGCGGAGCCTTGGAGGACCGGAGCTAAATGAGTGTATATTAGTATAACGTAATATTAATATAACAAACTGAAGGAAATGTGCAAAAGAGCGTCAAGTGCAAAGGAGGGCAAAGTAGATATAGTGGGTAAAGAAAGGTTTAAGGAAGGTGAAGGAGTGGTTTGCAAGTGAGGAAGCCCAGAGAATCGAGGGCGAAGAAGGGATTCCCCGGGGATAAAGTATACTAACCCAGATTAAAGGCCTTCGGGCAGAGGGCACGGTACAACCCTTACCGTGACGGCGTGTCTGGCATCTAGGCTGGCTCAGAAGCAGGCAGGAATGATCCGGTGAGATGGACTCTGTGGGATACCAGTCCGAAAAACGAAGAACGAGTGAACGCCTTCGCCCTAGGAACCGATGCTTGAACTGGCAAGCCTGGGAGTGCTCCGGAATGTGGAACAGGAGCACAGGCACGAACCCTATGAAGGGATGGGGATATCGTCAGGGAGGGGGGGATTAAAGTGCAAAAAGAATGACCTCCACATACAGTTTGCAATCCACTGTCTTTTGAGCGTCCCTGTACAGGACTGGAATGGTGTTGCGAGAGGGAGAAGCGCTTAGAGAGCCAAAATCCACATTAAAAGGAGTGAGGCTAAATCGAGGCCAAGGAGATATTAATCAAGAAAACCTGTCTTCGGAAGCATAAGAAAAGAACTGTCAGCCATCATCCGAACCGTCACTTTTCTTGGTCTTTTGAGTAAAAAACTGAAAGGCAAGCAAGCTTCTGGTCTCCCAATGCATGAGGGCTCGGGTCGTCCCCGTCAAATATGCACGAGCTGGGCTACGCATTCTTCTTCAGGGCACATGAGCGCCTCCCCCTTCGATCGATTCACCTCGTTGCTGAAGAAGAAAAGGGCGATCTTCTCCCCTAGGCGACACGATATGTTGAATAAAGAGGCCCTCAGACGGGCGGAGAATTCGTCCAAATTGCAGTACTCCGTATGTGTCTTCCTTCCACTCCACTCAATGAGCCATTGCCCACGATGTCCAACCCAGACGCAATTCCGTTGTTTGATCCTCATCCATCACCCAGCACTTCCATTGTGATAATTCCATAATACGGTTGCGATCATCTCAGAACTCCTGGGTGACTTCCAGGCCTCGAAAATGGGAGCCCCGAATGTCGGACAAGCAATTGTTGACTTCACTCGAATTGGTCTCTTTGGATATTCGCCGTGGACTTGCAGGGAGCTTCACCGAGATCAATTCCACTTGGAGCCCATGGTAGGTTGAGCTACCATTCGAGATGCTCTTCCCTCCCATATAGACGCCCGCAGCTCCGACCAATCAAGTAGGGGGAAAAGGGGGTGAAGAAGGACTCAGGAAAAGAAAAGTCTATGCTCACCTCCCAAAGGATCACGACCAAAATATATCATGTACAGAAAGCCTCGAAGAAAAGAATAAACCCTTCTTGTCGCTCTTCTAACCGGCAGAAGCTGAATCAGGGGAATCTAACCGTCGATGTCACGGATAGGGCACCGGCAGTCGGATAAGAGGAAAATCGCCGTTTGAGTTAACAAACGTCGAAAAGGGCAGACGTCGAAGCGAGAGCTGACGGACACGGCTCGACTGGAGAGCTGGTGCAACTGGCTGAAATGAAGCCGACTGTTATAGTTCAGTCAACGGGATCTCTGCCTTGTAGACCAGTCTCAGATCTCTCCAAAGGAATTGGCGGGTGGTAAGAAAAAGGGGGAGGAGGGGAAGGAAGGGAGAGGAGGTGAAGATAAGAAGAATGAGGAGGAGAGAAAAGTGAGGAGGAGCTGCTCTCTCTCCAGACGGGTGTAATAGAAGAAAAGAAAAAGGGAAATTCAGAGATGGGACGAGGGCCGGAGATAGAAGTCTCGAGAGGATCGCTGCAGGTTAGCTCGCCCACGCTGTATCGTAAACCATGACGCTTTTCCCGTATGAGGCGTGGTACGGAGTAATGGTATCGCGTACCGAGGCTGGGGGGGTAAGCGTATGGTCCGGTTTCGGTTTCATCTCGTTTTCAACGATACCTCACTTTGCGGGCGCTCTCGACACCTCTTCCGCCGGCGATCGAGGCCAGAACTTCCATTCCCTCCAGTTCGTGTTCAAAGGTACGCATCAAACATGATGCCTGTGAAACAATTCTAGAAGGGACTACGACTACAAACGAAGTCGATACGTCGTCTGTTGCTCTCCATCGAGTTGTGGAACGGTTGGATGTGTAGAGACCGGGCGCAGGTGTATCTTACTGAATCATTACCGAGACAGTGATGGAAATTGAGTCCTCATAAACCAGAATGGCAGAATCACATCGTGAGGTGAGGTCTCCTTTTGCAGAACCTCGCATCGGGTAGACCTTGGACCTAACGCGGCCTGAGCCCGGAGGAACGGCCCTTACTGTAAAAAGGGAAAGTCTAATACCCTAGGTACATACATACAGGCAAGTACGTAAGGGTATGGATGCGGTACGGCGGTCGAGAAGAGACAGTGGGAGATACTGGCAGATACTGGGGCGGGTATGCCACTGTCTACGGAGTAGGGACTCCGTATTAGGAGGTCTCGTTTTGTCTGGGACCAGGCGACATCCAGGAGGGGCACCGGCATCATCACTTTCCATGATACCTTTCAACCATTCTCATCCACTGTTTCTATTGAGGTGGTAGTAAGTTCTCTCCGGGGGTTGACGTTGCAGCTTGCCATCCCAGGCGGAGATTGACTTTCTTTGCTTTCGGCCTGTACCAGACGACTGGTCTCGGTTCACCCGTAGGGAGACACCTGTTTTTCGATGGCGGCCTCTCGACCCTCTAAACCTGCACAAGTCCCAGCACCAGCGCTCCTTCGGTGGGCTTCGGGGTGGGGTGATCTCCGTCGTCACCAGCCAGTCCTCACCAGCCATTGCCTCCCTGATTCAGGCCAGGAACACCTCCGGTCCTTGGCTCCGTCACCTTTCTTTTTCTTTTTCTCCTTCTGGGCCCCTCGGATGCGACCAGAGGCGTACCGGGTTGGTATCATTAATCCAGCTGGGATGATGCTGCGACTCTAGTGTGAGCTGTGTCAGTTGCGCTTAGTAGGCTGGAGACGAGTCGGCAACATTTGTGGGCTGCGGTCTGCAACATGACGATTCACTAGTCCGGAGGCCCTACTTACGCCGTCGTTATCGACTTCTTAATCTATTTTGTCGTCGTTGAAATGTGATCCTGATACGACAGCACAGGACAGGTCGATCGTGCAATTGACTGTCCCGGTCCCTGCAACCATCTATCCATCTATCCATCTATCTCTTTCTCCTGGACTAGGGTCGGGCAACTCTACCCATCTATCCTTCAGCATATCATAAGGACGTAATGCGATTTGACGACCGTTCGGCTTTACCCACAATGCGGAGTAGCCGACTGGAACTTTTCAGCTGGCGACTGTCCGTAATCATGTATGTAAGTATGTAAGTATCTCCGTACATACAGTAAGTATTACTTGCTTTACTTCTTGGGTACTATCAGACTGCCACATCCGTCCATAGTGGAAAGGATTAGAGTAGGAGCGGTCGCGTCCCAGAGGCTTCCATCGCCGTCATCGACTGCTGACTGGCTCAACCCGCAATGGGCTACGGTACATCGCGTATTCTGCTGCGACCATTCACATCCAGTCGCCGCCACGATTGCTGCTCACCCTCGTCGGAGGCTTGTTGCACAGCTCGTGATCCGTCAACTTGGACCTCTTTGGACCCTTTGTAGTTTGCTGGTCTCTTTGTCTTGATGGCAACGAGGGGTTTTCACCTCAACCCCAAAGCAGATCATATGCAGATGATCCGCGGGAGAGGGGTAGGCAGCATCCCGGTCCATGGTACGCAGGGCAATGACTCTTCTTGTTTCAATCTACCTCTCCAGCCCGTTGACACCGCCAACTCTCCTTGGGTGCAACCAGGACATTGACCATTGAGCATAGATGGTCATATGGCGACATCAGAAGAAGTACTACACGGTCTGCGGAGCAAGGCAGCATCCAGTAATCACGGTAGGAGAGATCATATACGGATGTTATTACCCGTCAATATTGGCCATGCCGATTCCCCGACATATCGCAGGCATTTGTTAAGGTTCTGTGCCCGCCAGAAACCGAGTGCCACTGCTGCAGAGCTGCTGCATTTGCGCAAGATGGGCCGAGCATCCCGTACCAACGCTCCATTTGAGTTCCTGACGCAGGTTCCTTGCGGGGAAGTCCTTCCGCCACTTGCCAGCCAATGGCCTGGGATGGCCGAGATCTGACCTCGCGTCGGTGGTGGTATCTTGGATGCTACAGAAACGACTATAGGATCACGACGATTGATAAAGGATCGACTTAGCTGGAAATTTTACGTAGAGCAGGACGACCCGTGGACATGGCACATGTGGGCGAGCCGGCCATCAGTGACACGCAGGCTACCTGTCAAAATCTAACAGATGGGTAACGATTGCCTACCATTCAATCATCCACCGCAATAAAGAAGACTCATAGTGGAGGATACCGTACTACCTTTTGGCTCGCTTACTCTAGTTTCTGGAAGGCAAGATACCCATGGTAGGCTTCAAGGGAGCAAGGGAGTCTAACTCGGAAGGCTGGCTGAAAAGTCTCAACTATCAAAGCTAATAATCTCTTGAAAGCGTGAAGTATCACACGGAATTGGATAGATTCACTGCGAGCTTTGTTGACCTGGCTAGAACGCCCTTGACACCGGTCTCGAGCCTCGAATGCCCGTATTCGACATCATCCCTGGTCCTTAACCGCCATGCTCATTGAGAAGGCGGGAGTGGCTGAGACGGGCTGACATCGTTGCTTGTCATTTGTCCGCCCCCACCGAGCTTCATGTCTCTTGCATCTGTTACTGTCTTACTGCCATTATTTGGGGTGGCTAGCTCTCGTAGTCCAGCAGTCACAATTGCAGGCTTTCCTTGCTTGGGGTTGATTTTCCCCTGTCTTTGATCTCTCCCCAGTGGGTCGTGCTGGTGACTCCGGAATGCATGCGGCCTGGTCCTGTGATACCGGCCAGAATAGTATCGTATCAACTGGTTCTTATCGTGGGGGAATGCTGGGTATGAAACATTCTCATCAGCTACCTACCTACGCCAACCGAAAGGAGCATCTATGTCATCAATGACGGATCAGCCCATTCAAAGCTGGAGTCTTTCAAAACCTCGAGAATAACCAACAATAGGGGGTAAAAGGGGTAAATAGTGCGGACGAGGATGTTTGCTCCAACACGAACCTGCCAGCCGATCATGGGTCAGTGACTTGCTCCTATACAGCCGTAACTGCACGACCTGTGGCGAGGGAGTGAGGCTTAGCCATCGGGGAATGCTCTTTGCAGATCGAATCAGCACATGAACGGTAAGGATTCGTTGGTGAGCAATAGTCGGGCATACCTCGGTGATTGAGGTTTCCTAGCTTACTACATAGAGACGCTGTATGCAAACATGAATGAGGCTGACATTATTGGTGCCAATTGCTCCAGGACCCTTCTGAGGCTTCTGGAGCCATGCACGGTAGCCGCTGGAGCCTATCCGCCCTCTCCCGTCCACTCCCTCCCGCCGGGGCATGGAAACCCCCCGACCCTCGCTGAACGAACAATATATTCCTCACTCATGTACGGGAGATGCCGGATGGAGTGCATGTACAGACAAACTATGGAGACAGCATGCGGGCAGAGATGATGCCTCGTCAGTCGCAACCGACATGCGATGGCCGGACCGTCCGCGGGTTGCTAAAGTACTCCGGCGGCATATTAATAGCCGTCTCCTTGCTGGGTACCTGCAGACTCCAATTCGATACATTCTATTCCCATCAACATACCCTTGTTTAACCTGCAGGCTTGCAGTTGTCCTTGCACTGATATTGGACATTCCTCTGGCCGGAGGCCATCGTCTAATTTCTCTCCAGGCCAACCATGCGTACGTCGACGTACTTGTGTAACCATCCGTACAATTGCCCCATGCAAGGGCATCTCACGGCGTCTCCTCAGTGCATATCATTATTTCCTGTATCTAGCCCAGAAGGGCCGAGATGCTTCTTCTTTGCAAACGTATCACTCTCGAACGACGGACTAGTCGTGCACTATATGATCGGAGAATTCCACTTTTTGATGGATTCACGCTCCACACAAGGGATGGATCATGGATAGGGGAGACACCTGATCTATCGGTGAGCTTGACATATCGACGTTGATTCACTGATCAAGTAGTATACCAGGTGTCATACAATCGCTTTACACTGACCTTTCTATCCCATTCTACGCAGATTTCTAGTCCCCGTACCATATAAACACACCGCATTCGGGACCCGCGAAATTACCACCGCAACCCACTGCGGATCTGGGAGAGAAAAATTCGTCTTCAAGATCCCCGGTTCTGGCTTCTTCTGAAGCACGCACACAATTAGTGGCAGTTTGAAGTTCTTCCCCTTCCTTTTCTTGTTAGTAATGCCCGTCGTTCCGCGAACATCTAATAGGCCCGACGTGATGAAATCGATGCTGTCACCAGTAGACAAAGCCACTCGTATATAACCCGAAATGGCGGTGGTATCTCAACCAGAAAACCGCCGCTTTTTCCAGCCCCGCAGTCCCGACCTCTTGGTCCACCTTCAAAACCGGCTTACGATATTTGGGTAGGGCGTTTAGCCATACGCACAAAATGGCGGTAGCCGGGAGGCAACGGGTACAGTACACACTACACAGTACTGAGTACACACTCGAAGAAATCGGTGGGCCAGGTGGGCGCAAAAAGCAAAAATTTTCCTACAGTAGGAGACAAAGGGCGGCGAAGGCGAATTTGACCCAGAGAAAGCGAGACGAACCAGATGTCAGATACATATCATTTGATAATTCTAGGAATTATTCTGGAACAACTGGAGAATATACCTTCCCCATGTATAGCGAGGGTTTGTATAGGTGGGATGGGAAGTACGTAGATACACCCACCAAATTCTACATACTACATACATCACATTTTGCTCCATCTCGGGTATGATGCATATACATCGTTTAGGGTCGATCGTCGGATTCTGCACTCTGCAGTACTTACTTGGTAGTAAGTACGAGTGGTAGGTAGTAGTAGATGAGTAGTGGCTCAACAAGTCAACAATCCATCCATCCGATCAGACAATAATCTTTTAGGGAGGTCAGAAGTTTCTTCACACCACCCACCCTACAGTTTCCTCCCGTCCCGTATACCGCCAAACTATCCTACGTGTATGACCTCAGGTATGTGCTCGGTCTATCGCCCGCCCAAATTCAAGTGTATTCGTCAACTTGACCCGGCTACCTACAATTTTGCTTCATCCAAATTACCTACCTGTATTGGTACTGCGTTTTTGCAAGCACACCGTAGGGGATAGTATTCATGGGGCCCCACTATGTTTTCACTTCTTTACCTAAACAATTCTTAAAGCCAGTGGTATACCGGACGTAGTTTAAGGTGGTGGACGAGACATGGATGTCAGATGGTTATCGGCAAGATGGGTGCAGCACCGTACTTGGCGCGAACCGTCCAAACTCTGCCAATTGATCTTCGCGATTTCGTCATGGAGTCCCGTAGTCTTTTGTCATGACCTTGAACATACCTGTCAAAGACTCGCGCAAGACACACAATCGAGGACACATATCAAACTTTGTTTGATGGGTGTGGTGGAGGGGGAGGGAATTTTTTTATTGACTGCAGTGATTGACTACGCATCACCGATTTGAGGTATTTTGATACTACTACTACTACTACTACTACTACTAAGTACTAACTAGTGGAGGACAATTGGATAAACGTAGTCAGTGGAAAAGATATCCACGCCGGTCGTCAAACATTTCATACTGATGCGACATGGCCTGGACGAATAGAGACCCTGCCAATTGATGGCTACGACGCGAGAATAGGCAAACGCACCAAGTGTCGAGACAATATGACCTTTTCTGGTAAGGTCAGGGCTCGACGACTGGGGCAGCGGAGGAGCCTCAACCATGGTTTGCGTGGTGCTTTTTGACGGCCAGTTTCTATGGGTCCAAGGGAAGAGAGGTTGTTTTCTGTCAAATTCTCCTCTGGCGCTGCACCGCTCCGCTAGGTACCTGTAGGTACCTTACCACTCTGTAGGTAGCAGGCGCCTTCTCCTCCCCGTATGGATACACCGTAACTCCGTACGTTGAGGACAATACAGAGTAAGGGTCCTTACATACAGAACAGACCGATATCATACATACAGCAGCGCTAGTGATGATCGGGTCTAGCGCAAAACAGGAAAGCGGGCCCGATTGTAGTGTAAATAAACGACTCCACATTTAACCCCAAAGCTCTAGAAAAAGAAAGATTATTATTCAGCGGTCGTTCAGCCTTGCCCCGAATCAATCATATGGTGTCGAAGTCGAAGCCCTGAGATGTGTTTGAAGTAAGGTGAAATCCGTCAATCGACATGGTCTCGTCAGGACTCTGCAGCTTTAACCGCCCGGAGAGCTTCGCCGGTGGCTCAATGGCTGGAAATCCACTCTCGAGGGCACGCGTGAACAGGAGACGGGATACATCGATCCTCGGGCGCGCGCGTTCTGTGTATTCCCTCCTTTTAGACCCATGTCGTCATTGAGTGTCTCGCGTCCCACGTTTAGGTCAGTCGGGTCTCCGGCCTGCCTGTTCTGGAATCCGGAGGGACGGGCTTCATTTCATGGAGATTATTGGCTATCGTGAAGCTTTCCGGTTAACGGCCAACGATGGAGTCGATACTACTGGGTGCTAGTTACTCCTAATAGGCTAATAATAATATCGCTCCGGGCCTTCAATAATCATCCCGATATAACAATGGAGCCCCTCTTCTTTCCGCCTCGACCTCCTGAAATTGAATTGAGCTCGTTCGCTTCTATACTTATTCCAGGTTTAATCTCCTGGCAGGACCGAGCGATCAGACATCCGATTGATGCCGTCCTGAACAAGCCACGTTTCCTCAGTTCAGCTCAGCTCCCATGTCCAAGCCTCAGGCCCGTCTTCCGGTGGGATAAGGGGCTCAAGATGACATAAACTCGAAAGTCTTACCCGCGGAGCTTGGCGTCGACTGGGAAAAAGCCCTTTACGCGTGATGATTCGGCGATCGCGTCGGAAGGCCATCGCGCTTGTTGCCAATCTGGCGTGTCTCGTCGATGGCGTTCTCCGGATGACCCTGGTCTAGACACTAGGTAGACATGACTGGAGATTAGAGGCGGCCTTGATGTACCTATCGGCGTCCCGCTTCCGTGCCTCGCACGCAACTTACCACTAGTCCGGGGAAGGATACAGAAAACCACTCTTTGGGGCTGTTTTGGGGCGGTGATAGACTGATAGTTTACTTGGCTAACTGCTAACGTCCTGCATTCGGCGCGGTGCCCTGATATCCTTGCAAATTCCCAGAACCATAATAGATGAAACCACACGCAATTGGACTCGATGTATTAGGTTCAGCTGGTACACCTCGACCGGCCGCCCCATCAGCCACCTCCTGAATCGGCGAATGGGTGATGCCTGATCATAACCCACGATACTATCGCTGTTATCGACCCCTTTCCGCCGACCGTCGTGTGCCATCCTGTCGCGACGCGCATATCATCCGGTGGACTGTAGCCGATACTTGCATGGCGTTTCAAACCGGAGTTGACAGGGTGTCTAGACAAAGATGGTTTGATGTGTGCCAATTAGCAGCTCTTCTTCGATTGATCGGCGCAGTGAACATCTCATGGCGTGACCAATTCACGTCGACCCTGACCGTATGAAGCATGGGTTTGGCGCCAAATCATTCTACATATGCGCGCTGTCATCCACAGACCACAAGGTATTCTATAAGGGACTGACCATGGAGTTTCATTTACTCCAAGGGGAACTTGTCATGGCCAGCAAATCTGGGTATTTTGGTTGTGACTGCATTATTTGGTTCTCAACTACCGTCAACATGCTTCTGCAACAGTGATGAAACGACCTCATCAGGTACAGCTAGCAAACATGTCACTTGCACTCCTACTTTGTGATATCCGAGCGCTTCAACGGAGTAACCCCAGAAGATCGTCCAGGACCCAATGGACCCGTAATCAGCCCCGCCATTCATTCAAGGAATCTCTTCATTCCACTGTTTGGCTCGGGAAATTATTGTGCTTTTATTCCCGGTTATCTGTATTGTACAAGGTTCACTTGTGAATCAGAATGGGTGGTTCTCGGGGCTGGACAAGGCAACGCAAAGGGACGATCATTCAATTTCAATCGGCTCCGAACCCACGGGCTGCGCTGCTCTGCTCGTCGCGTCGCTCATTTCCATAGCATTCCAGTGTTAATCTCCCGGGATTTCAGTCCCTCGGAAGTGGTGCGGCTCCTTCCAAGTCAGCGCGGCCCAGATGCTGCCTATCAAGCAACCCCGCACAGCCAGACACCAAATCAAAGGGTTGAGCCGTGCTTCACAGTTGGGACTGAGCCACTCATCCTGATCTAACTGACGGTGGAAGATGAATCCGCCAAAGATATTTGGAGCCATCCCTCCACCCATCCACCGAGGCCCACCACTGTTCCTTGCTGCCGGGGTGAACGCCCATACGCCGGGGAACTTGGTGTAAGCGTTCCATCCGCATCACCCCCTTTCCTCGCCCACATCGCCAGCCAAGGGACGGCATCGGTCTCTTTCCCACCCATCCAGCCTCTCCACTCCCTGCGCATAAGCTCTGGAAGTCCGGATACCACGAAAATTCGCCCCTTGGGTGGGGAGCGGTGCCTGCAACACCGGCATTTTCGCATCCTATCAGACTGTTAGTCTTGAACGTACGAACCGCGTTCCGGAAATGATGACCAGGCTGCTCTGACGTGGCAATCCCCTGATCTCAAATCAACCTATCGACACCTAGGCTATGCAGGTATTTTGTCAGTGATACCACCCCTTCATGCACCAAACCTCACTTCTTTGCGTTCAAATATCCGATGGATGCTCTAGTGACCAGTTGTTCCCCCGTCTTATGTCCCGCGTGCATATGCTAAGTACAATCCAGTTGTTCGACAGCCTGCTCCCCGTTCTGACTGCATTGCAATCCGCTATCTACTATGTCTGCATCCCAGTCGGTGTCGCGCAGAGTTGGCTAGGCCAATGAGACGGTTCAAGACTTGTTTGCTTGCTATCTTGTCCAAAGCTTGATCGCTGACTTCTTGGAGAGAACTGTTGGCTCACAGTGTTCGTTCTCGCCGTGTATGTTGGCTTGGCTTATCAGTGAACGCTGACGCCATTCTGCGGTATGGATGGTATGTCGACTGGCCAGGTTCTTCCGGGCAAAGAGAACGATGCAAGTTGATACTCTGTCTGGCAATAGTTTGCCCCTGGCTGGTTGTTCTTGTCATGTTAGCACTCTTTGTACGACAACGAGGTGGGTGATGCTCAGCGATTGCGATGAGTGCGTAGAGCAGATCACGTTTCTCAGTCGTATACTCTGTAAAATCCACTGGATTCAGCACTCAAATGCACTGCGCCGAGTAGAGTGATAATAGAACATCCACCTATTCTATAGATTTGAGGCTTCGAGTCAGTATTGATATCCAAAGTAGATTAGTCGAGTGCCATTGTCGCCGTGAAAGTCCGACGGCTCGTAGCCCGCAGCCTCCATACTCAACCAGGAGATACAATCTCTACAGCCCCATCTCCCAGAGAAATCACTCTTCTTCTATTCCGTATGATCGCAGTATCTTGAGTTGCGACACTCGGTGCCGACCAGACGCCTCTCACGTGACCATCCGCAGGGGTGGGACCTCCGCGGCGCGCTAAAAATTGTATCAAAAAAGAAACGGAAAAAAAGCTGCAGAGTCGCCAGCACCATCCAATCGAGCCTCTACCACCACCACCACGAACCCTTTCCCCTCGACCGGAATGATTGTTTAACGGTCGGCTCCAACAGCTGAGCCGGGTAGATCCTAACTTTGCACATTTTCCCACGGGGATCTACAATTTTTTTTCCACGCCGTCCATCATCAACGAAACCGAAGCTCTTCCAATAACCAACCAACCAACCCCAAGATTTATCACCATGGATATCCACCGCTGCCGTTTCGTGCCTTACAACCCACAGGCGATCAATGCGCTATCCTTCTCCCACCCGCCGTCCGCCGAACTCGCAGGCCGAGGTGTACCTACCCTCCGCCTCGCGATCGGTCGCGCCAACGGCGACATCGAGATCTGGAACCCTCTCCGCGGCGCCTGGTTCCAGGAAACCGTGCTCAGAGGCGGAAAAGACCGAAGCATCGAGGGCCTTGTATGGACGCTCGACCCTCCCGAGTCCAGCCACGATGGCTCCAAGCTACCGGGCCGTCTACGTCTTTTCAGCATCGGGTACTCGACCGCCGTGACGGAGTGGGATTTCGAACAGGGTCGGCCTCTGCGCCACTCGAGCGGAAACTACGGCGAGATCTGGTGTCTGGCTGCTCAGCCTCGGTGGCAGGCGACTCGCGGCAAGGACGGCAAGTTGTTGCCTCCGGCGGAGGGAGAGTTCACGGGCCAGCATCTGGCTGCCGGGTGTGCGGATGGATCGATTGTGATTTTGTCGACGGCGGATAATGATCTGAAGTTCTTGCGGATTATGCGCCCGTCGACGAAGAGGTCCAGGGTGTTGAGTGTGACTTTTCAGAATAGGAATACGCTTGTGGCGGGGTATGCGGATAGTTCGATCCGGTTGTATGATATTAGGAGTGGGCAGCTTCTGCGCACGATGTCTCTGGGTAAGGGGCCTGGAGGGGGTACGAAGGAGTTGTTGGTTTGGTCGGTGAAGTGTCTTCCTGATGGGACCATTGTGTCGGGTGATTCGGCAGGTGAAATTCGGTTCTGGGATGCGAAGAATTATGCCTTGATTCAGCGGTTGCAGGGACATGTTGCGGATACGCTGGATATTGCTGTGAGTGCGAATGGGGATACGGTTGTTAGTGGTGGTGCCGATCAGAGGACGGTCGTGTACAGGAAGAAGGATGGTGAGAAGGGTGATAAGAAGGCTAGATGGGCGGAGGTTATGCATCGGCGCTACCATACCCATGATGTGAAGACGTTTGCTGTGTATGAGACGAGGGATATCAGTATTGTTGTGTCTGGAGGTGAGATTGATTGTTCTACGGTGTGTTTGGCAGTGGCTAATAGTGACCAGGACCTGATGCTGCACCGGTTGTCCTGCCCCTGCGCGAATTCGGAAAGGAACATCACAGAAAGCTGTCTAGCTTGCCTCAAATACCCCAACTGGCCTCCTCGCCGTCGTCTCGCCTCGTGATGAGTTTCTGGGATAGGGAAGTCAGCATCTGGCGTCTGCACCGTGGCCCTACGTCGCATGAGAACTCCGATGGCCAGCGGCATCGGTTGGTTGGCAAGGTTCTGATTCAGGTAAGGAGATGAGGATTCTGGTATTCATGAATTGTATTTCTAATGGTCTTGCAACAGGGCGAAGAGAACATCACATCGGCTATGCTCTCCGCGGACGGAAAGATCCTCGTCGTCGCTACGATATCCACCATCAAGTTGTTCTCCGTGCGGCGACGCAAGGGCGACGAGAAGGGAACTCTGCGCATACAAAAGTTGGACGTGCCGAAGGCTCTTGCGGAGGACGGAGCCCGGGTGGTGACTGTCGCTCCCAACGGTCAATGGGTTTGCGTGGTCCGTCCCAACAGTGCCATGTACCTGGCCAGGATCAAGCCGGCCTCGACCGCGCAGGAGAAGCCCCATATTCTCTCCCAGCTCGTCAAGCTGAACAGGGCCACCCGCCACACTCGTTTCGAAAAGGCTTCCCATGGTACCTTGGGCGACTACGAAAGAACAGTCCGCTGCGCCGTGTTCTCCGACGACAGCAAGGTTCTGGCATCTGGCGATCTCTCCGGCTGTGTCGACACATGGTCCCTTCAGAAGGCCGAGGATACCCCCAAGAAGCGCAACAGTGCTGCCGGATCAGATGACGAGTCTTCCGACGACGAAGACCAACCAGTCATCGAGGGTGAGCGCTGGCACCACGCCGCCGAGGAGTCCCCCATCCCTCGTCTCAAGTCGGGCGTAGTCCTCCTGTCATTCCGTCCTCCCAACCCCGCGAAGACGAAACTCCTCACCAGCGGTGTCGCAAAGGACGAGCACCGCCTGATGGCCCTCACAAGCGAGCACCAGCTCGTCGAGTTCGACGCCGTCGAAGGCAAGCTGTCCGACTGGTCCCGGAGGAACCCCAAGGCATTCCTCCCCGCCGAGTTCCGCGGCGTCAAGGACAGAGCCATGGGCTGTGTCTGGGACCTGTCCGCAGCCCGCGAACGCCTCTGGCTCTACGGTACCTCCTGGTTGTGGATGTTCGACCTGAACCAAGACTTCCCGTCCCCCGAGGAACTCGACGCCTCCGCAGACAACCACGAAGACCTGAACGCCTCGACACAGATCTCCAAGAAGGCCAACCAAAAGCGCAAACGCGACCCCTTCGAAGAGGAAGACAACGGACGCAAGAAACCCAACAGCGGAGCCGGAGACCGCATGTCCCTCGCCCAGTCGGACATTTTCTTCGGATCCAAGATGCGCAAGATCGTCGGCCCCGACGAGTCCCAAGCCGAATGGGTCTCCCTGGACAAGGAGCGTTCTCGCGGCGGCGACGACGAAGAAGCATACGACTACGACGAAGCCTACACAGCCAACAACGACGTAGCTCTGGCCCGACTCCGCAGAGAAAGACAATTCATTGAAACCAGCACCCCCTTGAAACGCGTCTCCTTCGGTGGCAAACAGGATAAACTCCTTTCCATGACCCCCGGCGGCGGCGGCGGCGACTTCGATACTCCTTCCCAGAAACAACTCGTCCAACAAGGCGACCACAAATCATCCCAACCCCCGCGCCGCTGGTGGCATACCTACAAGTACCGTGATCTCTTGGGTATTGTCCCTCTCGGGTCCTCGGATCCCGACGCCGACACCGACAACGATAATCACTTCCTTGAGGTCGCTGTTATCGAACGACCCATGTGGGATGTCGATTTGCCAGGTCGTTATGTTCGGGATTATGCCTAGACAATGAATATCGTCTCTGTCACGTTATATATCCGGTCTTTCTGCCACCAGTAGGGTCTGTTAGTTCTCACCGAATGGACTTTTCTTTGTACAGCAGGTCTCGGGCCCGTTTCTTCCTTCTTCCTCCTCTTCTTTCCCCATTCCCTTTATTTTTTTTTTTTTACATTTATTTCCTTGTCCCATCTTAGATATTCTTGGCGAGCATGATAGGTCTTTCTTTTCATATTGAATCAAAAGATAAAAGTTATTCTGGATCTTTCCTCTTCCCCCATCCTCCCTATTCACGCTATCTCTTTCTCTTCACTCAGTAACTACTCCCACCACCACCATTTTCACCAAGTCCTCCCTACAACTAACAAATAAACATCAACATCAACTAATTTAAGTATAAGCATAAGCATAAGCATACTATGAAACCCCCTTACTTACTAATTGACTGATTAAGTAGTAGGGTACATAACCGGCCATCCATTCATCCTATCCATCTATCATCTATCTTATAAGAACAGGGTAGGTAGGGTGAATAGGTAGGTAGGGGGTACGTGTTTATTTACTTGCTGATTTCACTCCCCACACACAGCAACACACCGACTTAGTTTATATTCAAGTACAGATATAGATACAGATATAGATGCACCAGAAGAGAAGCTTAGCTTTATTCGGGATGTGATGTGATGTGATGGATAATTTCAATCTTGAGTGGGTTGGATTGGATTGGACTGGGTTGGGCTGGTTGGGCTGGGTTGATTGCCTGGCTGGCTGGATGGGGGTTGGTGGGTGTTATTGGGTGGGAAGATAGGGATCATATGGGTCTGTTTATATTTTATGTAGGAACTAGGGAGGATGGGTGGTATGACAGTCACTGCTTGCTGTATTTAGTGTGGGTGGGTGATTTCGTTTTTATTCTAGGTGGATGAATCCATGCGCTGGGATGAGGAGATAATATGTATTAAAGCTAGAAAACGCCAAGTCCCTGTGAATATCTACCAGAACTATCGTAAATCAACCATTGTCCATGCAGCATGAATGAAGAAAGCGAAGCAACCCAGAACCTGCTGATCTGCCTTCAGAAGACAGCATACATATCGTGACGCATCAACCTTGTTTCAAAGGACAGGAGACTCCAAAGTACAGATATAATAAAAGGAAATAGCCGAAGAAAGGTACACTGCAACTCCCATGACTTCCCCGTTAGCTCGTGGTCGTGACTCCTCTTAATGCGATGAATATGCGGCCGCTATATAAGGCCAGAGAGCGGCATGCCGCTTTATGAACTGTCTATGGCATTCTGATGTGGATGCGTCTCGTAGCAGGTTTATCATGATGTCGGTGGGTTCTGGGTAGCGGGAAGACCTGGCAGATCCCGGTCCGCCAAGTCTGCAAGGTGAGATTCGGTCGGAAGAACCAGCACGCGGCGCTGCAATGGAGAATGCCGGGGCTGGCCCCGAGAGATGCATATCGACGGGATGCTGTAGCGCAGCATCCGTTTTGGCGGTGACGATGTGCGGGCCCGACCAGTTCATCGAGGCCGCACGATCGAGTATATGGACGCCAGCCACCATGGCGGGCTCAGGCCACATCGCCTGGTGGTGACATATGACGGACGGCGATTACTTGGCATGTAATCACCAAGACATCTAGTAGCTCTGGGCCGAGACAGGTGCGGGCTGCAGCCGTTAGTACAGAACAAGAACATCGTCAGCCAAAGTACAGACGTCTCGGCATCGTTGCACAAGAGCTGTGCCGTGACTTGGCGAGGAAGATGGCTAAGCAAGGGACAACTTACAGGACTGCTGAGCATGCTGTTCCGCTTGTTCCGGCCCTTCTTAATATGGTTCTTCAGGGCGGTGGAATCCAGCGGTTTCAACAGCTCGAAACTACACAATAATTCCCCAGAGACCGACATGATAGCACCCCAGTTGTCAAATTCACCGCAGTACTAGACGCAGATCATGTTAGCAAGACTGCAGATAAGTCAATAAGCCAAATATACTTACGTTGGGGGCAGAAAACACAGTCACTAGTACTCGATCCTGGTAAAACTCATAGCCATCCTCGACGACCATGTGGGCGCGACAGACCAAGTCGAAATCATGGCGTTGCAAGAAGTCCATGATCACCTTCTTGCCGAAGCAGTAACTCACACCGCGCTCGTTGGGTTCCCAATCCTCCTCCATATCCGCAGGATCACTCCACAGGAGGTCATTCAGCAAACCGTAGTCCGGCACGTCGGTCGGGCGTGCGATTCCACGAATGTCATCCATATGCGAGAGACTAGGAGACAACCCTCCATGAACACAAAAGATCTTGCCCGCCACGATCGCTGCGATCGGGAGACAGTTGAAGGTATCAATAAACGTCTTCCAGATCTTGATGTTGCAGCGCCGTTTACATTCATCATAAAACCCGTAGACACGGGTCACGTTGGCACACTCGTGGTTGCCACGTAGAAGAAAAAAGTTCTCGGGGTATTTCAGTTTATAGCACATCAGGAGAAGAATCGTCTCCAAGCTCTGCTTGCCACGGTCCACATAATCACCCAGGAAGAGATAATTTGACGCAGGAGGGAACCCACACATTTCGAAAAGTCTGATGAGATCCGTATATTGGCCGTGAACATCTCCGACAATCTTGACCGGGGCTGACAGCTCCAACAGGGCCGGCTGAGAAAGAAACAGCTCCCGGGCAGCGGTACAGATGGCAGTGATCTCTGCATTTTTCAAGCAAACGGTCTTGGTAACTTTGGTCGAGTAGCCAGCATCGAGAAGTCGCGAGATCATGTCGTCCAAGTCGATAGATTTCAGAGCACCCATTCCCATCCCCGGTGATCCAGACGGCTCAATCGGGGCATTCATGATAAAGTCCAGGATGGGGTTTAGCTGGTTCTCCCGTTTGATGAGGATGGATTCTCCCACAGCCTGGGTAGATGGGCCCACGGGAGCAACACCAGTAGGAGGAGCATCAGACACGAGGTCAACCTCGCCACTCTGCTGCATGGCGCTCACATCTTGATGTCCTCTCTTCAAGCTGCTCGACAAGGATGGGGACGGGGGAGGGTCGGGGGCATCGGATTTCGAAGCAGCATCATCAGCGATAGGAGACTGCGTACTCAAGTTGGTGGAGCTGCGTCTACTGGCTGCGGACTTAATCGATCCGGCATCCGACCTGTCAGTCTGGCTTTCGGTCTGAGACAGTGCGGACGTCGAAGCGCGAGGACTATCACTGCTACGGATCTTAGAGCGAATCGATCCTCGAATAGAGCGGAGCGATTCTTTGGTGTCGGAACGAGAGAAAGATGGATACGACTGCAGAGAGTCGCCCGGGCTAGAGTTGCCCTTGGAATGCGACTGACCCATTACTGCAGGGTGAAATATCTGCCAAGCTCGATCGTGGAAGTTGATCGGAGCGGTTGAGGTTTGAGGTGTGCACAACAATTCCCGTGGTGTGCTGGAATGCTGAAAAGGTGTCTTGGCTGCTGCCTAGGCCCGGGGGCTGGTCAAGATATAAAGGAGACGGGTCTTCCACAGGGTAGTCCTCGAGGCGAAAGCTGGCGGCGACGGAAATACACGAGGCAAAAAATCGGGGCTGGTTACAAGTATCAAGACGACGCGGGATCCAGTCCCAGGGAGTTGCGAAGATTAATAGCGTTTGATCGATCGGTGATGTCGACCGGTGATGTCGACGAGTTATCGGAAGGAATGGATGGACATCGAGCGGAGGGATGAGAGCTTCACAATGAAAGCCGCCGATAGCTAGGTGCTCGGAAGGGGAAGCTCCGATTCGCCGAGAAGAGCTCCTAGGACGTGCGGGTTAGACGAGATTGAACAGGCAGCGAGAGACAGAACACGAATATCACGAGTCCAAAGCAGAGGAAACAGGTGCTAGGTTGGGGGTGGCATGTGGAGGGGGCAACGGTGAAGGGAGAGGCTTTGGACGGAGAATTTGGGTCGAGTTCGGGGTGTGGGAGGGGAATAATAATAGAGTGTGGAATGGATGCGTCATTATGGGGTGCGAGGAATGGAGATGAAACCAGCCCGGGGAGAAAGAAAAGGATTGGGAGACTCACCCTCACGAGAGACACGGACGAGATGGAAACCACCGCAGTCGATCAAGCTGCGGCGATGACGAGAAACGGGATGTGAAGAGACGAGAAGCGATGGAAGAGAGTGGTGGTGGATGAGGAGGAACGAACAAGAGAGGCAGAATGTCGCCTCAAACCCCAGGCCGGCTGTCGCTTTTGGTCTCGATTCCTGCAGCCACGGGCGGTGGCAGCCCCGGAGGATCGGTCGGCCCGGTGGAAGCTCTGGCTGCCTGGGTGCCTCCCAAGCCTGAGGAACAAAAACAGAGCTGCCTAGAATCTTGGTAACTTTCTTTCACGCCTACGGACTACTCCGTACTAGAAGTTTATTTCGATCGTCTGGTGCCGTCTCGTTTATATATCGCCAGGGCCTATACCACAGCAGGATGCAGCCGACAACCGAGCCACATCTCAGCCCCTCGTGACGGGTATACATATAATCCAAGTTGACACCGCGCAGCAGCCCCGACGACACGTTCTCGTCCCCTCCATTTCACCCCTCTTTCGTCTTGGCTTCGTTCCCTTCATGGCATCATAGGTTCCTTGCGCTTGAACGTATGCATCAAGATTTCAATCTGGCCTGGGAAGCCGGACGCACCACTTATTTTCGGATGATCACCGAGTGTCAGCCTCTCAGATGCTCCGACCACTCCCGACCTCTCCATGAGGGACTTGGTCGATCCGCTTCATAATTGGCCGAGTCCAGATGCATGTAGTCATAGACTTTATGGGCCGTCTCCATTTCCTGCGAAACCCCTCCCTCCCAAAAAGACTATCAGGCGTAGAATAATGTGCTATGCGAGATACTCTTAGTCCAGAGCACCCGGACGCAACCACAGTCAGCAGCAGGTCCAAACTCTACCCACTGCAGGAACACCGCCATTTCGAGTCCTACCCCAGCTCCGCCTGGTCACGACCATGGCTGCTGCTGCCAAGCCCATCTACTGCGCCAAGCACCAACGACTATGTCCGATCTTTTCTCCTAACCACGTTGTGGTGGGCGGGCTGGGGTGATATGGCTTGGCCTGCACCGCAGTCTAGCTGATGCAGGCAAATATTCCAACCTAGGGATGTGTGATGAGATTACTGCGCAGGTGAATATGCAGAGTCTGCTTTGACTCGGCGCTAATGGGTACTCCAATACCGCCTTGATGGCACCTTCTGACCGCCCACCAAATCCTGTCCTTCGTCCGCAATTTGGCAAATGTTTTATCCCAAACGGAGTACTGTCATTCTTTCTATTTCTTGAAAGCCTCCCGCGCGCGACTGGGCGGGGTCTCTTCCAGCTCGATTTTCGTAATATGTTGACCCGGGACGACCACAAGACCGATAAATCGACTGGTCATATTCACTTTGACGTTCGGGGCATCCTCTGCGCTACCGGCGGCTGAATCATTCGTACCCGTGGCCGCGTCTCGAACGGTAGATGGAGAAGGGAAGCGGTATTCGTAGGTGCTGGCAAGGATAATATTTCGAGCCTAATGCGGCCAACAAGTCAGTAGGCGCGCTAAATTATGCCTCGTATTCTTGATTTTCCTATTCCTCCGATCTATCCAACAGGATGCTGCAACGGAACACCACTTACCGCATCCGTACACTTGAAGGTGCCCACGAAAATGCGCGTGTCAGTCGCGTGCACTCGTAGTGTCCGACCGATCAACGAGTCCAAATATTGAACGGCTTTGTTTTCGTCCATGGTCGCGTCTTCCAATCGGTGGTCGTAAGGCAGCCTGTCAGCCACACCTTCACTTCAAGCGGGGTGGGCTTGACCACTAGAAGAAAGAAACCTGGCGGTCTGGACTAGTTTGCGTTGTCCAGGGCGAGGCGGGAAAATCAAGCGGGAGGCGAGACTAAGGAGAATCTTATACCCAGCTGAACTCAAACGCCTAGACGCCTAGTTGGACTGGACGTGATCCGGTTGGTTGTCTGGAGTGTTGTGTCTTGGGGAAGATGGTCACCGGAGTGCGACAAAGAGAGCCGCGGAGACCTCAGGCATTACTTGCATGTGACATTCCGTAATGCCAGTCACAACATTTCACTGTATTATTGTGCTTAGTACAGACTATGTGTGGACTTGATATTCACGTTATAGATTTAAAAAGTATACCTGCTGTCCACGCAATTTAAGATATTGAGTTTGATCTCAACACATGCAATTATATACCTCATCGAGCGACCTAGGATTTATCTAATCAAACAACTGGTAGCTTGGCAATCCCTTGGAACAACCAAAGCAGTCGACTGATGGGTCTCGAACAAAGTACCAGCCGCAAGGAGTGCCTTATAACATGAGATAAAGGTCAGCTATATTAAAGTATCTCTCTCACCAATGTGACCAGCACATTGACCCAAGAGAAAAATATAAAACAAGGTATCATCGCTGAAAAATCGCTGGCTATAGGTCGGAAGCGTTCCATTCATGATTGAGCTTGGATCACGCCCATCCAAAGCCCGTGATCGACCTCTGAAGGTCTTGGTATGGCTCGTTTCTGGCTGAGTCCATGTCCATATCACTACTTGTCGGTTGTGAAGATGGGCTGCTCGTACTCCAGCCGACCGAAGTAGCTGGAGACGAAAAGTTCAGGTTTTGGGACTGCCAGGACGTCGGCTTTTCTTGTGCAATATTCTTTGTTTGCTGGTCCAGCTTGTTCAAGCGATTCGAGGCGAACGATTGAGAGGGCCGAAAGAACTTGAGCAATGTCTGTTGGCGAGGGTCGACAATCTCGGGGGACGGCACATGTTCTGGCTCGGCTTCCTCATTTGTGGCAGGGGTGGAGGCTTGGTGTTGTTGTGCTGTAAAAAGCCAACGAAGCGTGTTCTCTACTATCTGTCAGAAAATTGAACTAGGAAGTGCAGAGAAATCTTCATGGCCCTTACCGTATACCACTTCGTCATCCGGGCGATCGTTCCTGAAGCGCTTTCGTGTGCGACTGTGAAGGTGTTTTGGAGTATCGTCCGACATGAATGATTGTCCTGCCAATATTGGAGCAGGACTAGGTGATGCAAGACCGGAAATCGAGGCCTTGCGCTTGAGAGACATGGCTGGTGCTGAGCAGAGGGTCTGTCGCGTGCAAGAGGCTGGAGTTGGTTTTTGGTGGACTAACGTGGAGGGTGCGTCGTATAGTAGTTGAAGGCGAAGAATTGATGTTGCAGGCAAATGCTATAGGATATATGGGCAGGTTGATATATACTTGGTAGGCTCGTGGGCTATAACAAGGCTGGGTTGAAACTGTTCACGAGTGGTTGGGAAAGATACCGGCGCGTCACGGCGAACCGCGTCGCCATACACCAAATATGCGCTATTCCGGATGGGGATAGATTGGTTGTGGTCGCGAGAACCAGGCCCAACGGCATTATTGGATCTTTGCCTCTGGTTCAGTGTTATCTGATTATCGGACGTGTCAAGATGTCACTGCGTGTCTATCCAATATGCAGTGTCCACGGGACATCTAGTATTACTCCTCAGCGATGTATACCTTGTTCATCTCCCAGAACGCCTAGGACTTTGCGCATTACTACTGACCATGAAATAACTAGTCTACTCCTATTCCTGTGAGCTCGAGGTGCCTCCCTGATTGTGTTGGGGCCAGTCCCTGCGGGGTTTCCCGTGACTGAGGAAGTAGGAAACTGCCATGACGAACAGACTACAGAGTCCCGCCTTCCCCGCTTCGGGCTTATCGAGGCAACCTCTGATCCATCATCTCAACCCTCCAACATCTCCCCTCCATATCCATACCCATTACCACTGTCATTATCATCATCATAAATAACTTCCAAGTCAAGTAACCGGCTCATAATGCAGTCCCAGTCTCGCCCGGCGACTCATGCTGGTTCGTGGTACTCCGACTCGCCGGAGACTGTGAGATACCAAATCGACTACTGGCTTTATGAGGCCAAAAAAGAGCTAGAGGACATCGCCAGCAGTCTGCCAAAGCGGGGGGGCCGGGTTACCGCACGTATTATCATAGCTCCGTATGTACTCGCTAGAAAATGCATGATGTTGACTTGATCCTGATCTTTCTCAGGCACGCGGGCTTTGCGTACTCTGGGCGATGTGCCGCCTATGCCTACAAAATCTGGGATCTGACAAATGTGTGAGTGATCGTTATTCAGCTCTGCTGTCACCATCTTCTGAAGTAAATTTCTGGACAGTAAACGGATCTTTGTGCTCGGACCAGCACATCATCATTACTGCTCATCGCTTGCCCTCCCCGAATACACCGCGTATCACACCCCGCTCGCCGCAGAGGCTCTCCCGCTCGATGTCGATGCCATTGCTGAACTTCGTGCGAAAAAGGCTATTGGCCAAGATCAGAACCCTATTGACTTTGCCACGTTGACTCGTGCTGAGGATGGCGAGGAACACAGTATTGAAATGCATCTACCCTTTATCCACCGTATGCTCCAACTCCAATTCCCGGGCCAACCACCGTCCAAATACCCGCCGTTGGTTCCTATCGTGGTGGGTGCTATTGATGACCAGACGGAGCAAGCCTTTGGGAATCTCCTTGCCCCGTATCTTGGTGACAAGGACAATGCTTTTGTCATCAGCTCCGATTTCTGCCATTGGGGGACACGGTTCGATTACACATACTTCACTGCCGCGGCACCCAGTCCTGGGCCCCTAATCCCTGTTTCGAAAGACCTCCCTTGGCCTGGGTTGAAGGAAGATGATACGACTAGGTTGATAGAGATCTGTCAAGGTGGCAGCCGCAGGACAAGTAGAGACGCAGAAATCTACAACCCACCAATTTACGCCAGTATCTCGGCACTCGACCTTGGTGCCATGGCAGCCATCGCCACGGGGAGACATGAAGAGTTCTCTAGATACCTCCGGGATACACGGAACACGGTGTGTGGCCGCCATCCCATCGGCGTGATAATGGCTGCTGTTGAACGTCTTGGGCTTGCGGATACAAACCTGGGCAGATTCCGATTCATCCGATATGACCGCAGCTCGAATGTGCGTGTGTATAAAGAAAGCTCCGTGAGCTATGCCTCTGCATTTGCTCTGTTGTAACCGATCGCCGCCCGCTGTAGGGGGTTCTATCTGTATTGACTTGCGGCGTGCCCTTAAGGATCTCGTTTTTAGTTTAGAATCATGACGGCTGCTGATTTGCCTGTGTTTCCCCGTCTTTCCCTGCGCATGAAAGCGGCCTGATCATTCGATCCGGTCCCGGGCTCATTAGTTGGGAAGGGTAGCATAGAGGTAGTATTGCCCATTGATTGATGCCCGATCCGCAAGTGGACCTCGGAGGTTCCAGTTCCACCATGACGGGCTGGAGGAGGCATCGGCGATGACGAACGAGAGCGGCCAGGACCAGTGTCACATGGGCACCCAATGGAAACAAAGACGGAGGATGTCACACTGCCACGGCGGGTTGGACTGAGGTAACTCGGCGGCCCCGGGGCAATGCCCGTAAAGAGAAGGACTCAAAGCCTCATGGCTCGCGGGGTGTGAAGAAGAAGGATTGCCCGGGTTCCCTGCATGGGGCCCGTTTGCGTTGAGACTGCATATGTTCCGATCGTCTGGTGATGAGATCGCGTGGCTGACCTGACGGGCAGCCTACCCCGCAGGCTGGGGAAGTTCGGCTGGGGGAAGCAGGAAAAAGCAAGTCGAGCTCTCACTCCATGCATGATGCAGGATGCAGTGTTCAGTAGGTTGCATTGGGCTGAGGACGGAGGGGATTGGTGGGATGGGTATCACGGCCGTTGGAAGAGCAGTTCCAAGGCGATCATCCTTGGCCGTACGCCGTGAGAAGCACGACGAGGCCATTTAGGGCCAATCGAGGCCCATGAGCTTAAAATTAAAGTCCTCCCGCCCGTAGATTTGTCGACCAATCCCGAGGCCGCATCCAGTGGACTCCCTCGGATACTTCCGTAGCCCCAACCAGCTTGTGCTGCTGCAGGGCCCCGATGGCTTGTTGGAGGAGATCATTTCGAAACGACCATTTGCCTTCTTATTCGCTCGTGTCTGATCACAGCCAACAGTCGGTTGACTTTGTTGTTCCCGTGGTGGTGTCCGTGTCGGGCATCGCCGTGCCCTGTGGAATGTGGATAGATCAACTAACTCCCTGGCGGCTGGTAAACTCTACGTAGTAAGACAGTGTTGCAAACAAACTGCAGGACGACGAGGCTTGCCGATGTCGTCGTTTGTCAAAGGTTGTCATACCGATCGGAGACCGTTGCTGTGCTTTGGCCCCATGATCCTTTGTCGTTATTTGCCGCACGCAGACGGCGGACGATGATAAAAGCCGTGGTGGAGCAGGTTGATAACGAGGCATGCAAAAGCAAAGAACGGAAGCTTGCGACTGACCGGTAAGTTGAAACTGACTCTTTCCGCTGGTTGGGCCTCATTGCTAAAGGAGATTGCGATCTGGGGGGTAGTCCCATTGAAACGTCGACAAGCTCCTTTGTTGTTAGTGACAAAGGGCCTGTTCGAATCAGTATAATACCTGCCTTCTGTCCGTGTCATGGTCAGTCTTTCTTGATCTTCAACTCACAGCACTTGATGTGCTTGACTGTCCTTGGTTTTTCTCTTTCTTCCGCTTTCTTCATTCTCTCATTGATCGTTCGGAAGATGAAGCTGTTCCAATTGGTCCTTGCCCTGACTGGGCTCTTGACTCTGGCGAGCTGTGCTCCCACCAGTCAAAACATCACTGCTATCAATTCCACCACGGAGGCCACCAATCGACTGGTCTTTTGTCATTTCATGGTAAGTCCGACTGACTATCTGCCCGGGATGGATGAGGCTAACAGCCCTAGATCGGCATCACCAGCAACCGCCAGAGCGCGGCCGACTACGACAACGACATGAAACAGGCCAAGGCCCTTGGCATCGACGCCTTTGCCCTGAACATTGGTGTTGATCCGTACACTGATACTCAGCTCAACTTTGCGTACGAGTCCGCCGCCCGCAATGACATGAAGGTCTTCATTTCGTTCGACTTTAACTGGTACAACACCGGCCAGGCCTATGCTGTCGGTCAGAAGATCCGACAGTATGGGAGTCTGCCGGCCCAGCTCAAGGTCGACGGCAAGATCTTTGCCTCGTCGTTTGCAGGCGATGGCCTCGACATCAACCAGATGCAGTCCGCCGCGGGGGCTGAAGTGTACTTTGCGCCCAACTTCCACCCGGGCACTGGCAACTTTAATGTCATTCAGGGAGCGTTGAACTGGATGGCCTGGGATAACAATGGCGACAACAAGGCTCCGAGTGGTGGTCGCAACGTGAGTGTTTCGGAGGGTGACAAGGCATATGTCAATGCCTTGGGTGGAAAGGCTTATGTTGCACGTATGTCTACCCCTTGCTTCGTTGGACGGAACTGATATCAGACAGCCGCATCTGGATGGTTCTTCACCCACTTCGGTCAGGAAGTATCTTACAGCAAGAACTGGGTATTCCCCTCGGATCTGCTGTGGTATAACCGCTGGTTCGAGATCCTGAACCTTGGTCCTCGGTTCGTGGAGATCGTCACCTGGAACGACTATGGCGAGTCGCATTACATTGCCCCGCTGGCGTCTCCACACACCGACGACGGTTCCTCCAAATGGGTTATGGACATGTAAGCCCATCCATCCCTATCCCATTCTCAGCCCAGCTAACCGTGCAGGCCCCACGACGGCTGGCTCCAAATGTCCAAGCCATTCATCGCCGCATACAAGAACGGCGACAAGTCCGTGGACAAGTACATCACCGAAGAAAAGCTAATCTACTGGTACCGACCGACCCCCAAGGACGTCAGCTGCGACAACACCGACACGACAATGGACGGCAACCCCAACAACTCCAGTGGGAACTTCTTCCGCGGTCGTCCTAACGGATGGGAGACCATGAAAGACGAAGTGTTCGTGGTGTCCTTGCTGAAATCCCCGGGGACGATCCAAGTGGCGTCTGGCTCGAACAGCCAGAAATTCGATGCTCCGGCAGGGGCCACTGCATTCACGGTGCCCATGGGCGTAGGTCAACAGAAGTTCGCTCTGGTTCGTGATGGCCGGACGGTGTTGAGCGACACCAGCTTGAAGAATATCGTCAACACGTGCATCTGCGGTCTGTACAACTTCAATGCGTACGTGGGAACAGTGCCGCCCCCGGCGACTGTGGATAAGCTGGGACCAGCTGGGCTGGCGGCTTTGCAGCAGGGTTTGAGGGCGGCTTGTCCGACTAATACGTTGGGAGTGAATATGGCGAGTGTGGAGTCGACTCCTGTTCCTACTCCTACTCCTGCGTAGGTCACTGTCATTTATCACATACTGATTTGTCATTGTGATATGGAAATTGCTGCTGGGACAGACATTCATTATTCATTCATTCATTCAACAAACATGTTTGATTTGATAGTTACTAGTTAAGTTAGGACATAACGCCGGACGTATGCATACCATCTCATCCCATGCTGATACAACTTATACACCCTCCTTCACACAGTAATAACCCTAATCAACTAATACTCCTCACCCCCTCCACCAACACACTTATCTCCGCCCCCGGAACCACCATGATATTGGATTTGTTGATGTAGAGGGAGCGAGGGAGCGTTGGTATAGGTCCAGAGGAGGCCGGGGTAGCTGTCTTCCACTGGGGCGGGGTCGGGGTGTATAGGTGCGAGACGATGATACATGGGATGGGATTGTGATGGTTGTATGAGATAGAGGTTGATGGGGGATAGAGATGGGTGTATTATGGTTAGGGTTATGTACTTGATCAGCTAGACTGGATCTGAACTACGAATACGGGTAGATGAATCAGTATGAGTCGAAGTGATATGCTATTTACTACTACTATAGTAGATACTAAATAGTAGCATGAGTCGAAGTGTCTAACCCCATCGAGTCAGGGTCTGATCGTGAGCCTTGTCCCTTTCGGACTGGTTAGTCCCGCTACTGCTGCATCCATTTCTTCATCATTCAGCATCATCCTCGTCTTTCTGTCCGGGTGTCTAGCAGAAGTTTATTGAGCATATACAGTCATCATGTGTCGCATCATCCACTCATCTGGACACGAGCCCTAACGTGTCCGTCTACTCTTCTTAGATTCCTGACTTTTCTTCCTATCTTGAGATCAACTGGTATATAGGCATGACGGAATACTCTGCTGCCTTCAGTGCCACCGCCGAATCCACTTCCGTGTCAAGCGAACCCAAACAGCCCGAAGCTTTCATGCAGGACATACTCGGCTCGGATGGCTCACAGCAGCAGCAGCAACATCATCTTCTTCATCCAGACCCCAAGGCCCAGACGGCTAGTACCGTCAGCTTTATGGACCAGCTGAAGCAGATGGATCCATAACATCTGGGGCTCTGCCTTGTCCGGTGCATGCGTTGAAGCCTACTTCTATATAATACTATACTACATAAGTTCCATCTACCCTAAAGCAAACCCTGCTAACCGTCTAGCTCCCTATCTGGTTCCAGGCCATCAAAGGCACCAGCGCCATCCACTCGGGTGTCATGAACCTGCCAATGATCATCAGTTTCGTGATCGCGTCCGTGTCGGGCGGACTCTGGCCACACCAAGTGGATCGGCTACCAGGTGATCCTGGGGCTGGGGGTCAGCTTCGGCCTGCAATCGGCCTTTGCCCCATGTCAAACCGTGCTATCCTTGTCGGATGTAGCCCTGGGCACCTCGATCATCATGTTCACCGAGAACTTGGGAGGCGCGATCATGGAATCGGTGGCGACGAACGTGTTTACTAACCAGCTGGTGCAGAGCAGAACATTGCCAAGGAGGTGCCGTCGATTGATCCGGAGACGGTGGTCAATGTAGGGGTCATGGCCTTGTACCATGTAGTTATTGTGGCTTACAACCGGGCCATGACGCATACATTTTATGTTGGAGTTGCGATGGCATGCCTGAGTGTTTTGGGGGCAGTGTTGGAGTGGGTATATATCAGTGCAGCTTGATTGCTGACAGTTAGGTAGCCATAGACTAGACGAATAATGTTACACACACAATTCATTAACGCCCGGCGGCTCAGCCGAAGGGGCAACTATCACTGATCTATCAACACGAAATCTAGCGTACATCTGCTGTATCTCCTTCGAGCCCATACATAGATCCTTTCAGTATATGTCCTCTCAGCTGTCACTATCGTAGAATAATGTTACAGTGATCTGCGAAATGAGCCTGCCCCCCAAAATACTCTCCTGGTGTTTTATAGATAAATGCCAAGCGTAACTAGTACATATAGGGTTAATTTAGCCTTGGCGTTTACATAAAGCGTTACATGTATTGAAATGAGTGATGTTATGACAAATCGGTCCGGTAAATTACCTGTCAGCCGTATTGTGGACCTCGACGCATTTGACCTCTCTTTCTGCTCGCAACATCAATATCAGGGGCTGTGAGAGTCTTGCTACAGTACAAAGAATGGCACCACCCCTATCACCTGCAAAAAAGCAGCTTATCTGTAATATGACAAAGAATGGCAAGTCTATATCCGATACAGCTTTTGCAGCGGAGTGTAGCAAGCAGGCTGTTAAATATATTCGATCTAACCTACGTTTGTTCGGTATTCCTGGAGCGCCCCCAAATCATGTAGGGCGGTGGTCAAACATTACTCCACCTATGCTAGAAGCTCTACGGGACCATCTTCTTGTCAAGCCAGGATTATATCTTGATAAAATGGCAGATTTCCTGTGGGATGTGTTCGAAGTTAATGTCTCAACAGATAGCATCAGCAAGACTCTAAAGAAGATCAAATAATCCAAGAAAACAATCCAACAAAAGGCAAATGAGCAAAGCCCGGAATTGTGAGATAAATATCGGCATGATATATTAGAATATCATTCATATCAATTGGTTTATGTCGATGAGTCTGGGTGTGATAAACGGTCAGGGATTAGAAGAACAGGCTGGTCGCCTCCTGGCATAACACCAGTTGAAAGATCCAGATTCCACCGTAGACAACGTTACCAGATACTACCTGCGTATTCTCAGGATGGTATTATTATCTCTCACATTTATAAAGGATCAACTGATGCCGCTCTTTTTGAAAATTCTATTGAACAACTTCTGCACCACTGTGGGAAGTATCCAGGCCCAAGGTCTGTTCTGATCATGGATAACGCATCCTTTCATCGCTCTGGGAGAGTAGAGCAAATGTACATTAAGAAAGAGGTCCGATTAATATACCTACCACCGTATTCGCCTGATCTCAATCCTATCGAGGAATTTTTCGCGGAGCTGAAGTCTTTTATCAGACAAAAGTAGACAGTCTATAAGGAAGACTCCGAACAAGATTTCGGTGCATTTATTGAACAATATGTTGATACTGTGGGCGCACGAAAACAAAGTACAAGAGGCCATTTCCAGCATGCAGGCGTGGCAATTTACAATGACTGAGTTTCTACCGGAGCACGTCTGCTGGTATGTGGCAACCTTGCTATTAGCAAGACTTAGCTGATATGATTATAGGCTAGAGACTGAAAAGTACATGTAAACCTGCATACACGTATAACCGTTCTCAAGTCAAAACTATCCTGCGTCTTCGAATTGTTCCAAGGCAACACATATCCCCGTTGGTTGCTCACAACTCTTACCCCTCCCTCTTTGAAATCAGTGGTATGATGTGTGTGCCCGAACACCCAGACTACTCCATCTGGTGTTTGTGATAGAATATCGGTCTCAAAGGCAACGCTCCAAGGGTTCTGGGCGTGTTGTGGGCTCGACGTCCTCTGGAGTAAAGGAGCGTGGTGAGTCACAACAAGAATGGACCTCTTTTTACTCCGATTTTCTGCCTTTTCATTTTCCTTATGTATCAAATGTATCTCTTCCAGTAACCAAGCGAGATCTGAATCCTGGCTTGCATTATGGTCGTCGACTGACCAGCCTTCGATTTTTTTGGAAATCTTTGATTTTTGACCGGACGACATCCGTCAATTCATAAGGCACTTTTGACCAAAGTGTGCAGCCTAGGATAGTGACACAAGAACCCGGGATATCAAACCGTTTCTGATGAAAGACAATTAATGGTCCATTTAAGGAAGGCTCCCGTTCAAGTTGTCTAGCCTTGTCCAGCCTTGTCCAGCCCTGCCGCGAAAGTTCCATTGTAAAACCCATGATTTCCGGGTATCAGCAATATCTATTTGAATCGGTCTGTCTTTTTTTTTTTTTATTTTTTAAAATTGCGATAGTCATCATAGTCCGTTAAGCGACCGATATCACCCGCAAGAATAAGATATTCTGCACAAACTGGAGTTTCGTAAGATGGATACTGCCGGTTAACCTCAGGGTGGAGATCAGAGAGGACTTGAAAGGATATAGAAGACTGAAAGAAAGACCATACTTTCTGGAGCATTTTGTCGCTTTAAGATGCATTGAAGCGGCAGGTACTGCTGTCGAAAAAGAGGGAACGGAACATCTGGAGCTCCGAAGATGGGGGATGTCAGTAGCTCCCATGCAGTTTTAGTCAGCCAACTCACCGCCTGGGCTGGGCCTCCCGGCCACGCAGTTAGTTCAATCAACCGATTGAACCTTCAACCGATTGAACCAGGGTCGACAAGATTATGTCGCATTTCTTTGGTCCGACAATCCTGATCGTGGTACTGTACAGCGGTGGTCAAGTGCGGCTTCTACACGATTTACACCTACACTCTTGGACAGTTTCTCAGCGCCACTCCCGAGAACTAGCTGATCTTTGGGACTTGTACGTTATTTCCGTTTGTTTTGCGCGTGTATCAAGTTGAATGTTACGTCTTTAAAGACATGCATAAATCGCGGACTTTCTAATTCTAGAACATTCACTGCATAGTCATGTGAAAATCTGACAGATTTTCAGACCTAGTAAGAAGTTTCTCAGCTCGCCTCTCTGTAAGTTAACCCAAAGCATAATATTCTACGTCCGACCCTTTCAGTTGGTACCGCAGCCTTAGGCACGTTCTGGTTTCAATTTGCCACGCACATCCACTATCCAGTACTACTATAGAAACTAGTAGAATCTACTCGTGGTTCGATTCTTGGGACGAAAGGAAGTATAAATTCACCGATTATCCTAGGACCTCCTTTTATTTAGGAATTAAAAAATAATGTAAAGCGGAATCTGGGTGATAATGAACTAAGCTAATTCGGTGCAAGTAATTGGATAATAAACACCCGACCACTAGGATATCCGAGAGCAAGCGCACCCTCTTTCGTGCAGCAACAAGAAAACTGGGAGTACTCATAAGGGAGCCACAAGACCTTCTCGTCATTCATATATACCCACTGGTCTGCTAGCGATATCTGAGATGCAGCCTGATCGGAAGTAGGACTCATGCCTTCCCTGGTATGAAAGGCCACAGCCGTAACCAAATCTGAATGGCCTTCCAGGGTCTGTCGCAGCTCGCCCGTTGCGGCATTCCACAGCTTGATAGTCTTATCGTGGGAGCCTGACACGACCGTTTGGCCATCGGGCGAGAAGGCCACGGCCCGAACCCAATCTGAATGGCCTTCTAGGGTCTGTCGCAGCTCGCCCGTTGCAGCATTCCACAGCTTGATAGTCTTATCGTGGGAGCCTGACACGACTGTTTGGCCATCAGACGAGAAGGCCACGGCCCAAACCCAATCTGAATGGCCTTCTAGAGTCTGTTGTAGCTCGCCCGTTGCGGCATTCCACAGCTTGATAGTCTTATCGTGGGAGCCTGACACGACCGTTTGGCCATCAGGCGAGAAGGCCACAGCCGAAACCAAATCTGAATGGCCTTCTAGGGTCTGTCGCAGCTCGCCTGTTGCGGCATTCCACAGCTTGATAGTCTTATCGCCAGAGCCTGACACGACCGTTTGGCCATCGGGCGAGAAGGCCACGGCCCAAACCCAATTTGAATGGCCTTTTAGGGTCTGTCGTAGCTCGCCCGTTGCGGCATTCCACAGCTTGATAGTCTTATCACCGGAGCCTGACACGACCGTTTGGCCATCGGGCGAGAAGGCCACGGCCCGAACCCAATCTGAATGGCCTTCTAGGGTCTGTTGCAGCTCGCCCGTTGCGGCATTCCACAGCTTGATAGTCTTATCGTGGGAGCCTGACACGACCGTTTGGCCATCAGGCGAGAAGGCCACAGCTGTAACCCAATCTGAATGGCCTTCTAGGGTCTGTCGCAGCTCGCCCGTTGCGGTATTCCAGAGCTTGATAGTCTTATCGTGGGAGCCTGACACGACCGTTTGGCCATCGGGCGAGAAGGCCACGGCCCGAACCCAATTTGAATGGCCTTCTAGGGTCTGTCGTAGCTCGCCCGTTGCGGCATTCCACAGCTTGATAGTCTTATCGCCGGAGCCTGACACGACCGTTTGGCCATCGGGCGAGAAGGCCACGGCCCAAACCCAATTTGAATAGCCTTCTAGGGTCTGTCGCAGCTCGCCCGTTGCGGCATTCCACAGCTTGATAGTCTTATCACCGGAGCCTGACACGACCGTTTGGCCATCAGGCGAGAAGGCCACGGCCGAAACCCAATCTGAATGGCCTTCTAGGGTCTGTCGCAGCTCGCCCGTTGCAGCATTCCACAGCTTGATAGTCTTATCGCCGGAGCCTGACACGACCGTTTGGCCATCAGGCGAGAAGGCCACGGCTGAAACCGAATCTGAATGGCCTTCTAGGGTCTGTCGCAGCTCGCCCGTTGCGGCATTCCAGAGCTTGATAGTCTCATCGCCAGAGCCTGACACGACCGTTTGGCCATCAGGCGAGAAGGCCACGGCCCGAACCGAATCTGAATGGCCTTCTAGGGTCTGTCGTAGCTCGCCCGTTGCGGCATTCCACAGCTTGATAGTCTTATCGTAGGAGCCTGACACGACCGTTTGGCCATCGGGCGAGAAGGCCACAGCTGTAACCCAATCTGAATGGCCTTCTAGGGTCTGTCTATTAGCGCCCCAAGACTTCTCCACCTGTGGCAGCGCATGCATCCACGGCGAATGATAGTTTTTAGATGCTCTTCTAACCAAACTCGATGTTGGCGTGAATACCAAACATGATGCATATAGTTGAAGCGGAACAACGCTAGCAATTTGAGCATGTCGGTGGATGAATTGTATGGCGTCGGACAAAAAGTTTGAAAGACCAGGATTCGTGTTGTTCTGTTTCGCGATTAGTATTGGTCTGGACTAGATTGTAGAGGCACAGACCTGGATGCTTTCCTTCAGTGTGACCATCATTTTAAGGGTCTCTGATAGCACTCCCATCAGGCTCATCACCTCTAACCAGTGAAGGAAATGTTTTTCTAGGAATAAAATGATCTCCACATCGGGGATAGAAGGCGTGCTTTGCGTCAGATGGAAGGTCCAGTAGCGGCATGAGTATCGGAGTCCCTCTGGAATGTATTGTTCAGTCGTCTCACTGCGTATGTCCGCACGTCGGGTGGAAAAGCTATTCAGTTTGCAGATATCGCGCTTGAGATACTTGCCCATAACGCGAAAGCAATGCGATGTTATGTCATTGTGCATCATCCCCGCGTCCACATGAAAACGTGATTGTGCGGTAAGGAGATATTCTCGGAAAGACAGATGCAGAATGCGAACTGGGAGATGTTGTTCGTCAGGTATTCTCAGAACCGAGTGAAACGAATCCAAATGGAATTCGACGGATCTAGCGCCGATGCCGACAAATTCGGAAAGCGCGTTGATTGTGAGAGGGACAGAAAGGAGAAGAATCACACCAACTATTCGCTTGAACCGCGTGATTTGCATCTCCTGGTCATCTTCGTCCCGTTCATGAAGTGTCCGGTCAAGAATAGGGCCATATGTTTTATCCATTCTCGTCACATATCTGTGCTGATTATTCAGAATATCAGCAAGGCGTTCTACCGGGTCTTCCCCTGGCTGTTCGACAAATCGGCAGATTGTAGCGGCTGAAATAAACAACGGTATACACACGGTCGCCAGAGCTTCAACAACCTCGTTACCCGGCCAGTCTTTGCCGGTATTCGCTTGTGCTCCGATTTCTGTGAATCGGTGTTCTAGAAACCGCACGATGTCTTCTCTAATGGCTTCCTCGGCAACCTTTTCAAGGACCAAGCCTCGATGAGAGCTTTCCTTCTCGAAGAAACGTCGGAGTGGCAACTCGGGCCGGCTCGTTAGGAAAATTTTCAGTCTCATGTTACTGCACTGGTGTACCCGCGGAAGAAACTGAAGGATCTTTTCAATTTCTTTATCATTCTCACACTCATCCAACGCATCGATCACAATCACTAGTGTTCTACTTTGGTACATAGCAACACTTTTCAAGGGTTCGAGAAGCAGCTTGTTGAATTGTTCCATAACGTCTTTCGCGGCGATTTGTGGGTCTTGCTCAATCGCTTTAAGAACACCAGACGCGAGGTCCTTGTTTTGCTTGATAAGTTCCTTTGTAATGGTAGGTATAAGTCGTTTTGCATTACAACGGTCGGGTTCCCCTCTTTTAAAGAAGAAGCTGGCCCCTAGCTGTCCCTTGGTTTCGAAGCTCTGAGCAACAGTCCGAGCGATAGTGGATTTTCCAGTTCCCACCCCGCCATTCAACCAGAAGATACACTCGCTTTCAACTGAGTCTGCCCACTGTGTTATTTGGGAGCGAGTCTGGACTCTGGTATCTTCAAGGCATAGATCCTCATGTTGGTATGAGTTCCAGAATGCATTCTCAGCAATAGGTAGACTGAAACGTAAATTCAGAGCGTTGAGGGATTTTGATAGTTTGTCATCGATGGCAGTCAAGATTTCCTCAGTAGCTTTCTCGTTCTGTTTTTGTAGGGACACTGTGATTTTCTCGATTTCCTCAAGTGATTGCAACTGAGTAAAGTGGAACACCTTTTGTTCCTCCTTCTCAATAGAGCACCGAAGCTCCGTGATATGTTGGGCGGTGGTTGCCGTAACACTGTCGAGCAACTTGCCCCTGGTACTCATATTGTGGCTAGCCATGACTTTCGCTGCGTACTGAAGGATTGTTTTATAGAGTGTGATTATGGCTTGCGTTACCACGTCGTCTTCGTCGGATCGATTGTGACTGATCTTCTTTTCGATATATGCGCATCGCGCAAGAGCCTCCGCAAGGTACTCTGAGGACTCGAACAAGGCATCTCGACGGTCAGAATGATTTTTTGCCATCTATGCGTTAAGGGTCAGCTCTGCTGCCTAAAACAGCCGATAACACATACAGTCAGACCAAGTGACACTATTGCCCACGCGCTTGCGGCATGACCCGTAGGGTCACAGGCTACTCCTGCGCTGATAACCTCCTGGAAAGAGAGGGTGGCATTAATGATTTTTTTGATAATTTTTCGAATGTTGACTTCTTCTCCCGTTGACTTCCGGATTCTAATGCCTCCTTTCTCTTGGTATATCTCGTACTTTTCCTTGGTGGTCTTGATGACATCGTTGAGGGCATCGGTAGTAGAGGAAGGAACAAGGCTCGATTGCAAAGCATTTTGTTCCTCTCGACTCAGCAGATCAAAGGCAGACTTCCATAGGTCTTGCGAGGGCGGTGGACTCCGTGGCTGGGACTGACATTCGCTGGCATAGGGAGCTGACGCACATTCTGAAGCGGGAGAGTCGTTGGTACAATGATCCGCTTGGTGGAGTGGAGGAGCGATATTTTGAGATCCGCCGTCTCGATGAAGCCATTTTTTCCAACGGGCCGACTTGAAATGGACCATTGTAGCTATGCTACAGGCTTGATCTGTGAGGGTTCTGTCGTCACAAAGTAATGTGTGTAGAAAGTGTGTACCGACGACCAAGAAGCGGTAAGAATCATTTACACTCTCCAAGCCTGCCCGCTCAGCTGAACCTGCGGGGTCCGTTTCATTAGCAACTGACCAATCATAATGGAACATGTGGTGAACTTTCGGATCTATCACTCGTTGATTATGCATTATCTTAGGTAGCCAAAGTTGTTCCGGGTACTCATGGCCTTTATTCAATCTCTGAGATACTGTTCTTTTTCTCAACTTGTTCTGTGCAATAGACATCTACAAAGCCCCATAGGAGTACCACTGGTTCCTGGGATCTGGCGCTCTGTCTGACCAGTAGCAGTTGCCAAGTGGGGCCATCAGACATGGGTGCCAATAACACATCATCTAGTCATTACTAATCATCTAAATCCATCCATCCTAGCATAATTGGCATTCTGTTTATCACGATTGGTGGAATGACATGTTCAGACGCACCGAGTAGCTTTTAGTAGCCGCCCCATCCCACCTTCGGAGGTTAACCATATCGAACGTTCTCTTGGAGCAGTGCACAAATCATGCACTGCATACGGCATGTATTGTAGTAGACTAGGAAACATACCAAAATAACCTACTAATCTGAGAATAGGCTAGTCCGCGGGAGTGGCGCTGAGAGAACGTAAATAAATGTAAACCATGTAGAAGCCTGACTCGTCAGTCACTGTATAGCAGTTCTTGTTGAGATTTTCTGCGAGCAGTTTACGGGTTTGTTTGCCCTATGTACCACTTTAACTGAGTCCTATGCTAACATGACCATGTCTAGGTGCCCAATATACAATGCGGGATGTACAAGCTTCTGTCCGCACGATAAATGGTCAGAGACTTGGCACTGGCCAGGCTAGTTTTCTTGATCCGTTTTACTTGTTCAAAGGAAAGCTCCGCGCGGCGGCAACTCGGTCAAAGTTTCACGATTCAGCTGATATGCTATGGCTAGCTGATCGATATGGAAATGCTATTCAGGCACATAAAGAAGGGCTGGATCTTCGATATATCGGCCTGGCAATGAAGCGGTATCCGGAGCTTGAACTACTAACTGAGCGACTAGGGGTTGATCTTGGTAATGCCAGGGAAGCTGTGCGTGATATAGACCCTTCTCGACTTCCGGCTCCTGCCCCTGGAGATGGTCAACGAGGTCTGTTAGGATAAAATTTAGCGGCATTATCTTTTCCAAATTGGAACGAAGGAAAAAGTATTTCGGGAGATACCGTACAAGACATTTCTCACACAATCGATGTACGTGGATGTGTCCCCAAAACCACGTGGTGGGCTAGTTATGAGTTCAATAAGGGTCCAATAAAGTGGAGGTACTTCATTAAATCCTTGCTTCAACAGTAGGATTAACTCCGAGTTGGCACTGTACGATGCGATACAGTGTAAGTACCTGGTACATAGTGGGGCTCGAGAATAATCATCATGTAGTTGCTGGTCAAGCCGATGTCGAGAATGACTGTACATAATAATGAAAAACCAGTGTTTATAAGTTGAGATCCCATGGGAGTTGGAACATTGTCAATTATCCAATCCTTGTTCATCAGCCCACTTGCGTATTTCCTTAACAAAGTGACGGGCAACACCAATTCTCACTCTGTATTTGATGAAAAAGTCCGGGTCCTGGTCCCTGTAGATCTGCTCGAGATCAAGGCCGTTTTCTAACGCAATGTCGCGTGCCCTGTCAATATCGTCTTTATATCTCTGAGACACCACTTGTGATTTTTGCCAGCTGCTGTACTCCTTTACTGCTACTTCCAGTGAGAGATCAGGAAATACTATAGGATCAATGAGTTCCGAATCAGGGTGTGGTAACAAGGATAGACTGCCAGCTGGTGTAGCAAGCATTGATGACTGAGGGGATTGTAACGGTAGAAAATTGATGTTGATTGAACAGCCTGCTGGCTCAATCGAGAAATGTTCTGAGGTTTTTTGCTCTTTCTCACACTTTTTATGCTCTTTTATATAAAGCTGTTCCCGAATCTCGCTAGAGACATCATCGTGACTATCAAGGTTAAGGCAGCCAGCTTCTACCAACTTAGCCAGGCAAGTGAGATGGTATAATTCAAGTAGGTAATGCTTCTTTCTGTTAGAGTCCTGCCAATAGTACTAATCTTGGTTTTTACATGACCCAGGACAGTGCATTTTCCTCTATCTCGCCATGCCGTCGGCTGTCCAGAGGTAAGTTCAGCATCAACTCGAGCGTCTCTGTCAGAAAGCATTCTGTTTGTTGTTGAGTTAGTGCCTCTTTTATCCCCGCTTCTTGAAGGATCTAGGTGGGTGTCGTCCGCAATATAGCTAAGAGAAATGTCAAGTCTAAGCTGCTTGCCCTTGTTGATCAGACCGCCCCAGTCAAGAAGCTGCTCCTTTATAGCTGTCCAATCAATATCAATACTATCAGATTGTTGGTGAACATCAGGTTGTGATCGAGCTTGGAGTACCGACGCCACAAGGGTAATTTCTTCCAACCGTACCCGTCGGTTTTGAAACACCCTGCGATGTTTAACTTTTTCCACCTTTTCTTTGAGAGTTCCCTCCCAAAACTCGCTTGGTTTTATGACCACATTGCGCTCTGTAACCTTGTGCACGGACCGGCCATTAAGGGTTACTTTCCACTCGATCAAGTAGTGAATACAGATTGGTGGCTGCTTAACGTATTTCTTTGCCTTATCCCAAGTCGCTAGAGGGATGAACTGTAGTTGGTCATTTTGTACTGGCTGTACAGCATTTTCATCAGATATCCAGCCCAGAGGGGGCCTACAAAGTGATGGCGTGGGTGAGCGATCCCAGTTACCGGGGGTAGGGGCATATTCGAAGGTTCTGTTCCATGGTTCGGTTTGCTGCCCTTGTGAGTCGTTATCTATATAGGAGGGACTGTATGTCATTGCCTCGGGATGATAAATAGCGCTGATCAACCTAATGTTAATGCCATGTTCATGTCAGCTCTACGCACCCAACGAATACGTCATATTTTGGGGAAGCTGCAGCTGACAGAACAAGTAAAATGATCAGCGACGACATGAGTCTACGCCACAGCACCGCCTGTCACGCTCGGGTCTTAGGATTTCCCTCGAGGCGCCAGAGACCTGATAGGTGTGGATGGGAAAGCAAAAGCACTGGTATGTTGACAGATGGCCAAACCTGTTGCCTACGGCATCTGTTTGTCCGATTAGCATAGAAGATTATAGAGAACCTTGTATATTATTTACGAACAGTGTATGTATTTCTAGTAAAGTGTATTGAAAGTACAATACATTGTACGTTAAGGTTATATACAGTCTAACCATGTATGTACTAGCGTGTCTTGGCACACATTCTCAAACACCAGGAGAGTATCTTGGGGGGCAGGCTCATTTCGCAGATCACTGTATTCGCAAGTGGAGACCACTAACTAGAAGCGTAGAACCGGAGTAATATTAATGTATGGGGTTGACCTCGGACCGACAAACCCGAGATAAGCCCAACTGGCTGCCTGACCTTGGCTAATTCAATACCTTGTTAACTAGGTATCTACATCTGGTTTAATTACTCCGGTTGAAACTCCGCCCAATAATGGCATGTCGGACAACAGCTTATCGGCGGATCCCCGGGATTTAAACCATGGCCGCCCCTGACCAGAACGATAATCTCACCGACTTTTACTGTTCTCTCTGACAAGATGCTTTTCAGCACTGCAACAGTGGCCAACCTCATGGACCGGTCCGGTTAACTGTCTGCCGCTTATTGTCGGTTCCCCTCCCAGCATAGCCGATCTCGCGTGATCGTCTTTCTGTGACTGAACAACATCGATCGGTTTGACACCATGGGTTGTTGACGGGTTGATCCCGCTATTCTATACTATCCTAATCTTATCCATCATAACCTGATCAATAATCATGGCGCGCATCAAACAAGGCGTCTTTTCTTGGGAAGATGTATTGGCGCAGCGTTACCAGAGTATATCTCCTCCCACTCATACTAAATACCCTGCTAACTAGTATGTATCTCAGACAACAAACCCTCCACCCCCAATAGATCACGACGACACAGCGCTCTCGGCACCTCCACCCGCACCGAATGGACCCTCCAACCCCAAAGCAGCCTCCTCGCCAAGCTCTCGCCCGAACTCCGCCTCATGATCTGGGAAATGGTCCTAGGCAAACGACGCATTCATATCGTGCAACGTCCCAACCGTCAAATGGGCCATGTGGTGTGTCCACAAACCGACACCTGCGATGTTTGTCGAGGCGGACTCCCTATGATAACCCCATCGGGGAGATGTATTTTATTGGCGTTGGCGATGACATGTAAACAAATGTGCCCCATCCCCACCCCCCTCTTCCCCCTCCATATATAAGAGAAATACTGAATGAATTAGATACTCCGAATCCATCCACCTCCTGTACACCCTCCCCATCTTCGAATTCAGCAACACCTGGTCCCTCACCTACCTTCGCGCCACCATCCCAACTGATTTCTGGGACTCGATTCGCGAAGTCGAACTCCGCTGGGCATTTCCGGGCCATTGGCTCCCGTGCAAGGATCCGGTCAAAACGGTGTATTTTTCCGCGGGGAGACAGCAATGGGTGGAGACTTGTCGGGCGGTCACGGGCATGCAGGGGTTGCAGACGTTTACGTTGCAGTTGAGTGGGAGTTGGTTCTGTGAACCGGTGGAGAAAATCCCGGTGTTTTTGGAACCGTTGCGGGGGTTGAATCTACGACGAAGGTGGATGGTGCAGTTGCCGAGACAACCGTATTATCTCAAGGAGATACGCAATGGGAGTATTGATGGGGATTTGAGGAAAAGGGGGATTGAGTGTTTGGTTAGGGTTATGTGATATCTTGGTTAGTATCTTGGCAGTGATGGTAGGCTATTCCAGGGGATACTTTACAAGTATAAGATAAGTATACCATGATGCCTTAATATCCACATTCCCAGCTCATAACATCCAAGCATTTTGCAATACAAACCCTATATAATAAGTGATGACATACTATAACCCCCAAATAACACCACAAACCCTCCCTCCCTTCCTCTTCCTCCCCTTTGTGTCCTAGATATCTACTGTGGTAGGTACAGGCACCACCAAAAAACCCCCCAACGCCCCCGCAGATCATGATATAACCCCCCCAGCCGAGGAATGCAGTCCCTGAATATCTACCTAGGTAGGTAGGTAGGTAGATAGGGAGGTATCTACCTCGATGGCGTAGTGTACCTGCATGGTTCATTCCTCGGGTATACCGAATTGATCATTTGGGTAGTTGGAGGGGTTGTTGTTTATCTAGATACCCACTTGCTGAACAGAGTGGGAAATCAAGGAGTTGTACGGAGTATAGAGTAAGAGTATTGTCATTGGGGGTAGGGAGGGTGGGTGGGTTGGGTATTTGAGTAGTAGTTGTGTATGTAGTAGTATTATTTGTGGATTACTGGGTGCTGTTCTGTGTACTGTGGGTGTGGATGTGGATGTGTGTGGTAGGGATAAAAGATATTTCGGAGTTTGATACCTTCGTAGACAGATAATTATTACGATCTTAATATTTACTCTGTAGATGATTGTTTATCAAGGTGTGAGTTATTTAAGTTTCCAGATATTTGGAATACATGCAATGGTCTGTACTTATAAATATTGGTGAATGGGATATAAAAGGACCGTCCTATACGAAGTATCCGTACTACTTGTTTCTATGTTGGTTGTTGGTTAGACTATTGAACTTAGACAGGGGATGGAAAGTCTGGGATAGATTCTCTGTGAACAAACAAGCTGTGGAAGGTATCTACGTGGGCTTAGCTAGCTATGGGATGTACCTAGTGGTGCATGTGGTGGATGGGTGGCTGGTATTGGAATGTATGGACATTCTTGGGAGATGTTTACTAGAAATACTCCATACGGAGTACACAAATAGGAAGTGCTACCTAAAGCTGAAGGAATATTAATAAGTGCGGTCGTGATTGCTGGTATAGCAGTATTATGTAGTGGCCAATAATTCTTGAGAATGATGCCATAGTGAAGAATACCAAAAATTAGTAGGGTTAGGGCAGACCTAGACATCATCGGCCTACTGGCCACTTGTATCAAGAATGTTCAGATTATCCCGCGGACACCTCATCGTCTACAACATCCACCAAATACCATCCCAGGAATGCCACACATTCCAACCACACAATAACAACCTCTTATTCCACTATTACCTCCACCTCCCCAATCTACTCGGAGTACCCAACATGGCAGTTTGTTGTTTTCCCCGGCTATGGATCGACTGTCAGTAATGAGATCGTCCATATTAAATACAATCATGGCTCAACATGCGGCCACACCCCCCAAATTCTTCTTCCTCCCAACCCCTTCACGCAGTGCTACATGCTCCCGGTCGTGCGTGTCTGTCCTACCTCCCTAATTCACAACCATGCGCCAGCGCTCCACTCCCGGTGCCTTGGGCGCCATCCGAAGGGATCCTCAAATAGCTCAAGCTTCCGCCGCTCCGTATTCTTATGGCGGTTCCTCTGGATATAGCAGCGGGCAGTGGAACGGTGGTTATTCCGGTAGTTACGGTCAGCAATCCGGTGCAACAGATATGTCGGCTGCAGGGTCTGCAGGCACCGCCGGGACTGCTGGAACAGCTGGTACAGCTGGTACAGGCAGCACTTGGGGCACTGGAAGTACGGCTGCGAGTGGTGCTTATGGTGCTTCGCAGGGCAGTGCTGCTGAAGCAGGCACTGGAGCAACTGCAGGTGCTCAGGGAAGTGCTGCCCCGGTAGCATATGATGGAACGGCCCAACCCAGCACAGAAGCATCAGCAAATACGGCTTCGACGTGGTCTGAGACAGGGACTACACCACAAGAAAGCCCTGCGGCGTGGTCTAATCAATGGGCTGCCCCTTCGCCATCTCCGTGGGCGGCCAGTGATACATGGGAGACATCAGCCATTCCCACTCCGACGACAACCTGGGAGAGCACATCCACTCCTGTCAGCAGTATATCCACAACGACAACGGCAGCCAGCAGTACCACTACAGCTGCCTCGGCTGCTGCCACTGGCGCCCCGGCGACGGGCACACCGACATCCACCAAGGTGGGCATCGGACTGGGTATCTCGCTGGCAGTCATTGCCATCCTGGGCTTGTTCCTGTGGTCATTGCACAGTAAGAAACGCGCGGTTCAGAGAGCCATTGCAGAACACCATAGGAAATCCGAAAAGTCCAACCCCAGTCCAGGACCTCGACGACCCTCGTCAGTCAAGAGGTGTGCGTCCAGCTTCTACAACAGCAGTGTCTCCGCGATGGGTGCCGTTCCCGAGGCAGCCCGATCCGTCTCATCTCGACTCCCCAGCATGCCCGTCATCTCCAAGCCCGACTACGCCCCTATCAAAGACTTTACCAACAAGGTCTACGCCAATGGCCGAAACACTCTCCGTACCGCAACCGGCATTGTCAAAGCCACCTGGCGGAGATCCCGCATGCACGTTCCCCGACCTGCTTCTGAGAACATGCACGATCCCAACGGCACGCTGCGTGATGGCTTCCGACAGATCCACCAGTCATACTTGGAACTGCCACGTCCGAACGAGAAGATCCACCCTGCTCTACGAGGCCTGCACTCCTCCACCGAGACATTAGTCGGTGCCGACATGGGCAGACTCAAGGAAGTGAGCGTATCCAACACGCCTCCCAAGGTCGACACGGGCAGGATCCCAGAGGCCAAGGTAGCAACATTAGATACTGTGTCCCGCGGCACATCCACCAACGAAAGCACCCCTGCCGTATCTCGCAGCCCTACCATTGAGATTCCCACCATCGAACTCCCCACCTCCCCAGGCTCACCACCCATCTCCCTCGCCCGGGTCTACAGCGTCGACATGGCCTTCCGACCTGTCAGTCCGGAACACATTGAACTCAAGGAAGGCCAAACGGCCATCCTCCACCTCGTCTACGACGACGGATGGGTAAGCCTCCCTTCCGCATATCATCAAATCCATACTAACAGCACAGGCCCTGGTCACCCTCCTCGAAACCAACAAAGAAGGTCTCGTCCCACGAGCCTGCTTCTCCGCACAACCCGTCCGCAACCAAGCCCAATACCTAGGCAACAACATCAGCATTTCAACCGAGAGTGTTCCCCGATCCACAGGATCCGCAACACCAACACCATCTGAAACCGCATCAGATGGTGGTCTCGGTCGGTTTTACTCACAATGCGCGAGTCCAGACCTCGGGCCAATGGAGCCAGAGATGCCACCGAACGCGAAGCTGAAATCGTTGCCATCGCTGGCGAGTTTGTTCAAGTCGGCTCCTAGCTTTAAAAGTGTGGTGTGATTCTACTTACTGGATGGTTTATTCTTGTGTGAATATTTTGATGGGGTGTATTGTATATAGAATATGTAATGTCTGTCTGTGGGTTGTGTGTAAAAGTGATACCTGGGTTGGATTTCTTCTACTTTACTTCTCTTCTACCAATTATTACTTTATACTCTCAATTCTATTACTATTATTTTTCTTGCAAATTGTTGGAGTGTACATTATATTTATCTGGGCTAGCCTAGTTTTTATATTGATTCGACTTTGAATGGTTCGTGATGGCTTCATATCTTAATTAGCTTGGATGCTTTCTACGAAGACATGTTTGATATCATAGATTATGTTGGAGTGGCTACTAAGGCGATTCAACCGTGTAGAATGAGATGAATGATGATCTAGCTAGGGGCCTCGTAGGCCATCTATACGGACTAACTAGCGGTGTAGGGGGAGTGTCACGTGACCCTACGTTGCCTACCGGCGTGGGAGCCCATCGGGGATCCCAACAGATTATAGTTGAGTTGCTTGAATATCTCTATCTATATATCTATACCCGTATCCCATGAATGTATACAACAAACTATAACCACAAGCACCACCCTACCTAACTCAAATATACATACACATACACATACACATATACAAGAAACACAATAGATCCGATACTAGTAATTACATCCCCAAGCAATCCTCCACGACTAGATAGCCCCCTCCCAACTCACCCGACACACCAACACAGACAGCCCTACACTTTTCCACCTAACAAAAACATACATAGACATAGGTATATTCCCTACTCTACACTACACATCATACATCTACCAAATCAACCATACCTTATACCTGATAAGTAGTTAAAACTACTACTCAATACTAATAGAGAATACTTACCCCAAAATCCCGTCTCCAAATCCAACCCCAACCCAGACCCACTACCGTACACTACTACTACTGAATAGTAATAGTACTAACAAAATCCCACCCTCACATGACACCACCACCAACGAACCACAATCTTTCAGTTTCTCCAATGCAGATCTCGATTTCGATTCCGTCGGTCAGGGCTATATTTAGATCTGCGGGGTTACTTACTTTTCCTACTTTCCAATACTTTCGTATAGAGAGATACAATGTTAACCATGTCAGAGTATATAAACTGTGCTTTAAAAAACATGTTTGTAATGATCCTATCATATACATAATAGGATTATATACATATGAATGGAAAGATGAGGGATGGATAGATGGATAGATGGTTAGGGTAAGTAAATTACCACCCTAGAATAATACCCAGTTACGGAGTAGATAGATACATAGATCGATTCCATCCCTGTCTCACTTTCATCTTGATTCTGATTCTGATTCTTGTTCTCGGGTCAGTTTGACGCGACGCGCTGACACCACGCCATACCATCAGGGTCCGACCGAACCGGGTACGGGTACCTGATTCAGGATCAGGTACACACGGTCTGTAGGTCGGTCGGGTAAATAGCCCAATCTGATCCTTGATTCTTCTTTTATCTCTCTACTATCTCTATCTATGGAGTATGGCTATTTATCCGGATTTACCACTTTGATTTATCCCTGTCTCACTCACCCACTAACTCACTTAGTATCCATTCCCATTCCTACCTATCCTATCCTAACCAAACCCTTCCAATCCATCCATCTACATACCATACATAACCCCCAATTATACCAATTACCAATATACCCAACCCCAAACCAATTTAAAACCCGTATCAAGTCTAATTTAATTAAAGGTATAAGTTTGAGATTCAAACTCTGACCCTACTTACGTGGTACACGTACACTCTCAACCATGGATACAATAATAATCAATGGATCCCAAGGGGGTCGGTCCACTGGGGTAAGGTATCATTGTGGAGTATGGATAGGGGGGATTGGGCTGGGCTGGACCCTGAAATTTGACTTTGCACATTGTCTGGCTCTCGCTCTCGCTCTTTCTGGCTGGGTTTTTGTGGGTAGGGTTCAGGGAACTTTCTTTTTTTTTTTTTTTTTTTTTTTTTTGGTCAACATGGTATAAGTCTGACTGAGGTTGAATCTGGGTGTAGGTGTAGGTGTATACTTTTGATTTACTTGATTTGATTTATGTATTTTGTTCATATGGGGTGTATTTTGGGGGAGGGAGGGGGAATTCATTGTGTGTATGGATTTGGTGGGTAGAGGTATATCTATCTCTGTGTGTGCGTGTGTGTATTATTATTCTTAAAGAAATAGGCATTATCTGGTTTAGGAAAGGTTGCTGGCTGTGCCTTGTGGAGTGTTCTAGTTTGCTCCGAAGTCCGGAGATCATTATCTATCGATCTATCAATCTATTCTCCTGTACGGGGTATAAGTATGGTGTACCGATCTTGGTTTATATCTTGACAATGTAAAACTAGGGCATGTACGAGTACATATAAGGGTTGGATCTTCTGATATAAGTAATGTATATGGCAGTCACTGCATCGAGACAAAATTGGATGCCGTGCTGTCACCCGTCTTGGCATGCAAAACACGGATTATAGGAAATTAATAGATGTAAACTCAAGGCTAACCCAAAAATGCCTTCACGCCCCAACCTGGCCTGTCCCAAGGTATCCAACAACCTGAAAATGCATCATAAAGAAAGTCTCCATCTGACATAAAGAAATCCAGTGAATGTAATATGGTCAATGACCATGGTGCAGCAGTAGCTGCGCGCTGCAGTAGCACGACCGAGCAAGCTAGGCGTAAGCAGCAGACGACCTGATTCCGTCCGTATGGACCGGCAGTGTCAGATTCCATTAGGAACGCTCCCTATATGTAGGGAGTCAAACTCCGTGCCGATGAATCCGATAAAAGGCGGCCATTCGTATCTCGTGCATGCATCGAGATGGTCCAACCTTATGGTCGTCGTACCTTGCGGACGATCGGTGTACGATCAAGAGGCACGGCCTCCGCAAGGAGACAAGAGAGTGAGGGCGCAACACACGCTTCGTTACCGGCCGTCCTGCGATCCGTCAGGGCCAGAGTGCCCAGAGCTCCTCTGTCGAGTGTCGAGCCACTCCATGGCAGCATCCTGTCGGGACACCGGCGTCTTCTGATCCTCGGGACGTCCCTGAGGAGTCTCCCGGGGAAAGAGGTTGTTCAGTTCTGCAGCCAGTGCCGATGCGGTGTATGCGCGCAGTTCCCGTTCTTCCCGCTCATCCTCCTTCATCAAGCGTCGTTGGTCCGTCTTCGACAGGTTCTCGCGACGCTTCTTCCGGATCTCGTGAATCACCCACACCAGCACCTCCTCAGGAGCGCGGTTGCGGGCCTTGCCGTGTCTTGTCGGGCTGCGAACATAGCGTCGGGTGACATCCGTGGCACCGTCAATCGAAAAAGCAACGCAATACGAAATCTGTCGACCCCAGCCTGCAATGCTATTAGTAAACGTCAACTCGGTCGGAGAACGAACATACCCTCAGTGTAAAGGCGAGGCTGATCCCAGGCCTCCTCACACGCATCCACGTGCACCCAGCGCCGCTGGTGCTCGGAATATACCTCCGTCCAGACGTGGTCCTCGGCGTTCCACACCCATCGAACCCGACCGCCGAGTGCTCGGCAGAACATGCTGAAGCAGTTGGCCCATTCACCAGCACGGCCCCGTCGGGTCTGCAGCAATTGCCATACATCCGAGTAGCGAGGGAATCTTTCGTAGGCGCCGCAGGTGCCTTCGGAGCATCGGTACAGTTCGACACGAGTGGCACCGCGGGCCGTCTCATCAGGCGATGGCGGAGTCATTCCTTGTGCGATCGTGGGCATGGAGCATCGAGAACACCGGGGGTTGTTGACAAACTGGAAGAAGCATCGCTTAAACCATCTATAAGTAGTTAGTATCATTCACAAGACGATCGGGGATAGACGTACCTGAGCAGCGCCCGAATGACGCAGTCTTGGTAGCCCCATTCTGGTTTCCCTCCGACACTAGCTGCTTGGGCCTGCATGATCTGACTTTCGTCCTCGGCCTCCGAGTACAGCCGGTCGAGCGGGATGTGAGAGAGGGCCTCATCGAGAAGACCCGGGTTTTCATATTTCGTGGGAGTGACGGAAAGAACGTGGAGAAGGTTGCGAAATTTTAGAGAAGCCGGATCTTGTGGGGGAGCGGGAACGATGGGAAGGCTTCGAAGTAGGGGTGATTGTGAAGACGGTTGCGGTGGCATTTGAGGGGGGTATGCAGCGGTCGGGGGCGGCGGTGGTGGTGCTCGCGAGGGATGAGGCGGGTACAGGCCAGGGGACATGGCCGCGGGCGCAGGTGATTGTGTGCGGGATTGGCCTCGAGCCTGTTCTTGCAGTTGGTTGAATCTCTTGTTGCGCATCAATTGCTCAAAGGCATTGGTGAGTTCGGAGGCGTCAAAGTTCTCAGGGTTCATTGCCTGACCGTGGTGTCGACCGTCCGCCATGGTGGTAGGGGGTAGTGTAACGACGCCAGCGAGGCAAGGTGGAATCTCCAGGTCGATAAAATTGGTGATGAGCTCGGACCCAGATCGACTATCGAGTGTCTCCAATGCCAGGAAGACACCAAGGTCGAGATGGGTGGTGAGGTAGGTAGGGGCCAGGTGGGAGGTGAACGTCGTCAGGTCGGCCGAGTGTGATGGTCGCACAGCCCAGCCAGGCGGTCGCCACGCTTGGCGTTGGTCAACGTAACCGCCACGACTACGGAGAGATGAAGGCGAGCAAGGAAGGATATCCTGAAGCCAGATGGTAGAGGCTACAGGAGATATAAATGGGAAGGGAAGAAATTATGGCGAGACTAAACGACCGAAGGGTATAAGGGTATAGGAAGGGGAGGGGAGAGGGAGGAGGATGATGATGATGATGCAAAAGGGGAGCGAAGTGGATGAAGGGAACGGAAGGGAAGGAAGAAAGAGAGGAAGAAAGGAAGAGAGCGGTTAGAAGAGGTCGATAAAGATACCTACGAGAGGTAGTCGTAGTATGGGGGAGGGGAGGAGAGAAGAGGAAGAGAGAGAGAGTGTGTGAGAGTAGAGTGAGAGGGAGGGAGGGAGAGAACAAGCGCGAATGGCCGAACGCTGGAGATAGGCTAGCTACTTAGTATGGGAGTAATGGGAGGAGATTTCTGGCCATTGGCCTTTCTCTCCACGCCCGCCGCGAGGGCGAAGCGTCGTCAGCCTTGAGCTCTTCGCCCCAATCAGGGCCCCGCGCCAGCACCGCAAGCCGCGTGTGTCCCGCCCCGAAACAGTTAACTGAACCATGGCCAAGACCCTCTCGCTGCCTGTCCGCTGCTGCGGCCTCCCTTTCTCTCGTGTCTCGTCGTTCTTGGGTTTTGGCAATACCACTCATACTGCACCCAGTGCAGTCTCCTCCGATCTTTCCCCAATTATTGACCCCAACCTTCCCGCAGTATATTTCTTCTTCGTCAATCCCTTCGTCAACTGCCATACAATTGTCCATCGCGCTGGCCGCGGCTCCACTTTTTCACAGATTCGCATCATCACCATCGTGACCTCTAAACGGTGGCTGTCTATACTCTAGGCCTATACGATAGTAGATACCTACTAGATCCCATCTAAGTAGACTCTCCACTTCCCCTAGTCCATACTGGGGAATCTGCTGATGAATCCCTCAAAAGCTTGGCCATGTCCGCGTGGTTTGGATCTCGCATCGGACTGGGACAGGCTCCCTCAATCCAACCATCTTCCTGTCTACGCAAGCCTGAATAAACTTCACTGTCTTCCCCCAGCTTCATCATCCTCCTCGTGAGAGGTCTATACAGAGATTTGCGTCTCCTGATCGGGTAACTATTGAGCGCAATCTTCCGCGCTCCGGGCCCGCCATGGGGATCTCGTTCGACGTCAGCCTGTGTCTTACGCGGCTCTCTGACCAACACACTAAAAATGTCACCATCGTACACTACCATGCGCAACGACGTGCTCCGTGCACCGTGCCCACTCACTTGGTCGACACTAGGCACACAATTAACAGAATTTTAAGGAGCTATTCCACCGCAGAGGAAAATTGGGACAAATCCAGTGACTCAGGGTCAACCGTCCAGAAAATCTGCCCAAAGGGGAATTTGGCAGAGCGGCTTGGCCCGTAGCCTTACGAGTATTGATCCATTGCCAGATTTTCACCCACTCACCATTTCTCAGCTGACGAATCAGCAGTACAGCCCGATTGGGAACTGATTCTGCGATGAAGGGATCGGACAAATAAGAGGAGCTGGAGAGTCATGTAAGGCGATGCCACTATTGCTACTACGGAGTGATGTTACAGAAACCGTCAACTATGCAGCGCCGAACTATATGTTGGCGAAGGATCCTGAGGGTCATTTAATAAATGAATCCTCCTATGAGAAGGAATACTAACCCTGTCCGGAACAGACTTCAACCGTCAAGACCTGATCATGATAATCTTGACTCTGCACTTGATCAGACTCGCCTGGCACCTGAAGACTGCCATGAACACTGCATACTGCATTGGACAGCGATCAGAGACCTCACTACAGAGTACTCCGTACGACGCATCCGTACGAAGCATCCGTACCCATAAGCCACCTCTGTACATATAAGACGACCTATCCCACGCCCTATCTTAGCAGAAGCACACGCGGCATCTGCACCCTGATGAATGTGATCCCCACTCTGACAGTTCTCATGTACCACAAACCACCAGTTCATTTCGATCGCCATTTCCGCTCCTCAAATGGGAACCCCTGGACATATCATGATGATGCACATCACCCAGGTTCCAGACATGCTGACCGGGGTGACACCTGAAAGACGGTTCTCCGACCGGCGTGCATCCCGACCAGAGTACGGAAATACAGACAGACTTCAGGCAAAAGAGCCAAACACCCGGGGCCCGACGGCGCCGCCCCAACTCAATGCGGAAAACCGCCACGGAGTCAAAACCAGTCGGCGTTACAGGATTACGGCATCCTTCCTAAACGGGACGATGGGTGGCGGAGACGCGCAAGCGTCCGTCTTGGCATTATACAAGATCTGGCTAGAGGAGCTTCGAGACCCATGACGCTAAACCGGTTTGTGCTCTTGTCCAAGGTGTCAGCAGTCAACACTGCCCTAGACTCTGGCCAGGGGGCTTGGCATGGATACCTCATCCGGTGTGGCTGTTGCCCTTTTCTTGAGAGTTTCGACCCTTCAATCGAGTCGTGTCGTTTCCGTTTTTGTTCCATTCCATGGGGGTCGAGACCCTGGATGGATGATCTCGAGCGATCGTCTTTGATTTGGGACAGTCTATGCTTCTACTACTGACCCATACTTCACGACTCCGTGGACGATGTTCTGAGTGTGCTCTAGAAATGCTGACTACTGGCTGGAGGGCTAATATTAGCAACTACTAAATGAAAAAGGGGCATAGTGTCCCCCGACCGTGAAATTGCACCCAGAAATCAGGCCTGGTTCATTACGCAGCGTTCTTCCGCTGGTGCTGACTGGAGGATGACTCAGCTCGGATTACGGAATGCAGTTGAACCCTGAATCAACACGTGCGCCCCTCTTTCCGATTGGTGACCTGAAGTAAGGTGTCGCTCGACCAGTGGGTCTGGAGCTATGATTACGAGTACAATCACTCCTACCCCATGGTTAGGTACAATGAAGTACAACCAGTAGTCGATGAGATGAGATGTACTCAGTAATTGTGATTGAGATGAAGATAAGCTACGCGGCTCAACCTGACCATCTCCATCACCTACACAGTACACAATCAATATTCATCCACATCCACCCCCTAATGTCCAATCAACACCGATAGGTACAGACAGACAGTAAAATAATTAGCGCACACATCATCATGAAGTCATGAATCCTCCTACCTACATAATCCATGCATATCTCGCATCTATCATCCACGTACTTCATACATACTACACACACACACACACACACACACATACTACAGGGATGAACTAGAAGCAACTGAGACAGGTACGTAACTACAATTCCTTGCTTGCTGCTGACAAAACCACATACCACACAAAGTCCAGAACCATCCATCCTTCCATCCACACAGGCTTACCTACATACTACTCCTACTATGAAGATAACAAAAATAGATAATAATACATAGTATTCGCCCGCGACATGTTCCAGCCCATTCATTCATTCATTCACTGCAGTGGTAAATGTATGCATGCGTGCACATCACATCACACATACTAGACATGTGAGTGAGTTATATACATACATACATACCATATCTTAAGAATCCACCATCGTCTTTATTTTCATGTAGATGCTTGAATTTGTATGCTGATGACGTATAACGAGTTCCGTGTTCCATGTTTAGTTGCTTGGGGTCAGATGCGTACCTATCCGTTACCCGTACCAGGTAGGTAAGTAGGTAGGTACCTAGATTAGGCAGCGTGTTTCAGGTGTTGTGATATTATTTTGGGGGGTTTACATACTATGTTATTGTGATGGTGGAGTTATTATTGGGTTGGATTTGGATTTGTAGGGGAGGACATGGAAAGGTAGATTTGGTTTGGGTTTGGGTTTGAGATTTACTTTGTGCCATGTGTAACGAGCGGTTCACGTGGGTTAATTAATCTATTAAATTGGGTGGGATTGGATTTGGCTTTTTCTTGGGGTATTCTTTTTTTCTTGTCTCTGGTTCTTGTCTGGGTAGTGTGGTGGTTCGGTATTATTCTACACTTATGCTGATGTACGCTTGCGGAATATACATCTATGATTAAAATCGCTATGCCCAAACTATGTTCGCCATGCTTGTTCGCCGAAAACTGAATAAATGAAGGAAAGAAAAGGTCAAGAACACTTGGATAGTTCGGCAACAAATGACTGTCCCCAGAAAGCACTGCTATCGTTAGTATATGCGTCATCATATGGCCGCGTCACTTACCTCGTATACTTGGAAATGTACTTGTACAATTTTTCGAATTTTTGCGCCCGGAGACCGTCATCCATCGATACGGCCTCGTGGTATGCGCTGGCAAGCTCTTCCGTGTTCCATGGATTGACCACGATGCTGCCGTTGAGACTCTGCGCGGCTCCCGCAAACTCGGACAGAATTAGAACCCCCTTGCGTTTTTGCTGAGTTGCAACGTATTCAAACGACACAAGGTTCATCCCGTCTCGAGTCGACGATACCACACACGCGTCTGAGGCAGCATACAGCGCAATGAGCTCGTCAAAGCTCACCGATTTGTGCATAAAGTGGATGGGCATGTAGTCGACCGTTCCTGTATCAGGTTAGTGAAGGAAACATAAGCAAGATCGAGCCTAGTTACCGAATTTGCCATTGATTCTGCCAACCAGCTCGTTCACCACGGCCCTCAGATTCTGGTACTCTTCGACATCCTGACGGCTGGGGACGGCTACTTGCACCAGCACGACCTTGCCAACCCATTCGGGATGCTGGGAAAGGAAGACTTCCAAGGCATGCAACTTCTGTGGAATACCCTTGATGTAATCAAGGCGATCCACGCTGACCATCAACTTGGTCCCCTGGAATTTGTTTTCGAGACTCGCGATGCGATTCTGCACCTTGAGGCTCTTCAGGCCTTCGGTGAACTTGTCAGGATCGATGCCGATGGGGAAAGCTCCCACAGCAACAGAGCGGTCCTTGAATTTCACACTGCTCGGGGTCGTGACCAATCCACTGCAAGCATTGTTAGCTTGTGCTAGCCCGAAAACGGAAACACATACAGGATATGCGAGCAACAGCTCAGAAAATGACGTGCATAGTCATAGGTATGAAATCCGATCAAGTCACATTGCAGCAAGCCACGCAGTAACTGACTCCGCACCGGCAGGATCCTATAGATCTCACTGCTCGGGAAGGGCGTATGCAAGAAGAACCCGATCCGGATATTGTTCTTGCCCAACGAACCCAATTCCTCGCGGAGAATCTCCGGAAGAAGCATGAGGTGGTAATCATGGACCCAGATCAAGTCCCCGTCCCGGGCCTCATTGGCGATAGTCTGAGCGAACAGACGGTTAGCCTCCCGATAGGCATCCCAGGCGGCTTCGTCAAAGACGATTTCACCGGGATGGTAGTGCAGGAGCGGCCACAGGATCGAATCTGATAGCTCACATTAGCCACGAGCATTAGCCTGTCGTGCCCTGCCAGGTGGCATCCGCAGGAGATAGACGGGATGCACATCCGATGCAGGCCGGAGGGGTGATTGTGACGATACATACTTGAGAAGCCATTGTAATGACGATCGGCCAACTTGTCATCCATAAACACCGGGGTCGCGTTGAACTCATCCTGCAGGCGCTGCTTGACCCCGTCGATCTCGTCCTCGGGCACTTCCAGTCCGGGCCAGCCATACCACTGGAAGGTGGTGGTCTTTGATAGTCCGCTCAACCCCGTCACCAGGCCACCCGAGGACATGGAAAACTCATATTTTCCACCCCCGGAGCGTCGAATGGTGATGGGCAGACGGTTGGAGACGATCAACAGGCGAGACTCGCCCTCGGAAGAACCGTTGGTGGCCATGAGGGGAAAAAGCAATGAGAGGGAATCAGAGTCAAGGAACAGCCCCGCTTTGAGGATGGGTTAATCAAATAGAAGAAGAAGCGAGTAGATGAGTCAATTGGGGGGGGATTGATAGGAGGGAGGAAGGTAATATAATGACGGTAGTTGGGAAGGAAAAAAAGGGGGGGAGAGATAGGGAGATAGGGAGAGGGGTAGATAGTTTGGGGGGGGGGGTGGTGAAAGTGAAGTGAATAATATTGGTGATGGCGTGAAGTCAAGTCAAGTGAGGTCAAGTTCAATTAATTCCCAGGTGGTAATTTTGGTTTCCTGGCTGTATGTAATGGTCCGTGTTTACTTGTTCCCTTTTCCGCTCGTGTCTGTTCCTTAGTTGCCCCTCTTTCTGCTGCCTCTTTCTTCCTCGTCAATTCTCCCGAATCTCCCCTCAATCACCCGCTGTTCGTCTGCACTCTCGGAATCAACCTTGACCAACCCCCGATTCCATGTGCTTCGGTGCCTCTTCTCATTGTCTGGTTGCCCGGGCTGGGAACCATAAACAAGGCGGGCGCGACCCAACTCAGCAGACAGTCGAATTGTCGAGAACCATCGTCAAACGCTATCTTAGTGCCGGTGGAGGGGCTGCGGATCCCACGGGAACCACAACGTCATTGCTCTCATTGGCTTCCCGGCTATAAGCTGCAAGGCTATAGCATCTGCCAGGCAAGTTTTTTCTTCTTTGGCTTCATCTATGCCATGCGCCGGGCTTGTGATCTGAGCTCGCAATGCCGGCGGGCCAGATCCCTCCTGCCGTGACATCTTGTGCCCAAGCCGCCCCAAGACCAAGCAGAACCTGCCCGAACCCCTCCTTCGGCGCGCTGCCCCTCACCCCGAAAAGCCCAGAATGTTCCTCTGTTCCTCTCGTTTTCGCATGTGCCTGCTGCCCCCCCTCCAGCCTCTCCAGCCTGTCCGGCTTTCCCAGCCCAATCATCAACGTCACCACTCCCTGCTTTCTTCATCTGCTGGCTCGGGTGTCTAACAGCCCCCCGGGATTTTCAGGGCCGTCGTTCTCCTCCTCCCGTGTGACTTAAGACATAGCTTCTTCCATCGATATCAATCCCACCCCCCTTAGCATCCCTTGGTCCGAATCCACTCCGGGCCATTCAGTCAGGCCATCGCGATCGCGGAGCAAGCCATTCCATACTTCAGCCCTACTATTTCCTTCAAGCATCCCCATTCCTTGCGCAACAAGTCAACAAGCCTAGCACCTAGCACATACCAAAGACAAGACATTGTCTGATTGTCTGATACTCTTCACATCAATGACGGTCTTCATTGCTTCACTGTACGTTTCCTCTTCTTATATCCAATCAAGTTCATACTCACAAGGTTAGCTTCCTTCCCTATACGATCGACTTTCAAGCTACCGAGTTGCGACATGCTCGGCGCAAGTCATCCAGCTGTTCTTCTCGTGGGGAAGGACGGATCGTAGGACGTCTGGCAGACACCAACCGGAAATACCATGCCAAAAGCATTAGTCTGTCCCTGACTCCTGGCGCGACAACGGAGGATGAAAAAATCTTCAAGCCCTATGTTTCCCGTTCCGCGGGTGAGATCCCGGCTGCAGACGATCCCAATGGCCCGGGCCCCAGTGAGCCTCGTACTATCTCCTGGGGTCAGAGCCGGAAGTTCAACCAGCCACGCGCCAAGGCCTCTCTTCACCCCGAGCCATCCATTCTGAGCCGTCCTGAGCCTGGCGATGAGGTAGACAACCCACCGTTTCTGGATGGTCCACTGGACGTCTTGAGCTCCGAAGAAGAACACGGAAGCCCACGCGCTTTGCTCTCTGAGTTTGACTGGGTTGTCAAGGCAGCAGAGCAGGGCAATGGTGGCCTGCGGAACGCTATAAACGCGGCCGAAGAAGAGGGCATCTTGTCCGATAAGATGTGGGTAGGCACATTGGGTATGCCTACAGACTCATTGAAGGAAGCAACGCGCAACAGTATCTTCGAAACGCTTAAAGATGATTTCGAGTCGCTCACTGTGTTCGCCCGCGACAGCGAATTTGAGGGGCATTATGCTCACTTCTGCCGTGCGGTCCTCTGGCCGGCTTTCCACTACCAGATGCAGGAAAGCCCGCGACACACAGAGTACGATGATTATTCCTGGAAGCAGTATGTGAAGGTGAATGAGGCGTTCGCCGACACCATTGCTGCAAACTGGCGCCCTGGTGACAGCGTTTGGGTCCACGACTATCACCTTCTGCTGCTCCCGGGTCTTCTCCGAGAGAGACTGCCAAAGGCAGAAATCGGTTTCTTCATGCACACTGCATTTCCTTCTTCCGAGGTCTTTCGGTGCCTTAATGCTCGAGATGCGCTGCTCAATGGGCTTCTCGGTGCGGATCTGATCGGTTTCCAGACTGAAGAATATTGCTACCATTTCCTTCAATCATGTATTCGCCTTCTAAGCCTGGAGGTATCTGTTGACGGTGTACAACTCGATCGACGATTCGTCCATGTGAAAAACATGCCCATCGGTGTCGATGTCAATTCCCTAGATGGTCTGCGCAGAACCACAGAAGTGAAGGACTGGATCGCAAATATTACCTCTCGATACAATGGAAAGCACCTGATTGTTGCTCGCGACAGGCTGGATGCCCCAGGTGGTATCAAGCAGAAGCTTCTGGCTTATGAGCTGTTCCTAAAGAGGTATCCTAAGTGGAGGGAGAAGGTATGTTTGACGAAGTACACATGCGTGGTCTACCACCTATGCTAACAGGCCCAGGTTGTCCTTGTCCAAGTTGCCTCAGCTTCTGAGCTGCCTGAACTGGAGGCTCAAGTCTCGAAGATCGCCATGCGGATAAACTCCGTATATTCGACCTTGACTCACCAGCCACTGGTCCTTCTCCGACAAGACATCAGTTATTCTCAATTCTTGGCGCTCATGAGCGTCGCGGAGATCTTCATGGTCACCAGTCTCAGGGAAGGCATGAACCTCAGCAGCCACGACTACATTCACTGTCAAGATGGAATTTTGGCACCACAGCGCCATGGCTCTCTCATCCTGAGCGAATTTACCGGAAGCGCTTCCCTTTTTAGTGGGCATGAACTTCTGATTAACCCTTGGGACTACAAAGAGGTTGCCGATGCGATTAACAAGGCGCTCGAGATGACGCCGGAGCAAAAGGAGCGTAACTGGGAGTTCTTGCTCGAAAAGCAAACTCCTTACACGGCGATCGCCTGGTTCAACTCATTCCAGTCTGCACTGACCAATGCTCACAGCACGCAACTATCTCGCGAACTCGACCAGGTGTCGCCTCTTTCTGTCAACGCCGTGAAAGAGGCATATGATGCTGCAAGTTCACGACTCTTTTTCTTGGAAGCTGAAGGGATCATTGCGTCTACGACTGGAACTTCCACTGACCTAGTCGCTCTGCTTGAGCGTCTGCTATCAGACCCCCAAAACATAGTTTACGTGACAAGCAGCAAAAGTCCGGACCAGCTTGATTCAACCTTGGAAGAGCTCTCCACTAGGGTGGGAGTCATCGCCGAAAACGGGTGCTTCAAACGCGAGATTGGCGCGTCCACTTGGAAGACCCTAGTAGACATGGAACAAGCCAAAGACTGGAGGAATGGTATCCGCAAAGTGATCCAGTATTACCATGAACGGACTGAAGGAAGTCAGATGGAGGAGTGCCGTTGTCTCATGAACTTCTGGTACAACAACGCGCACGACCCGGAGATCGCCGCGCGCATGGCCTCAGGGCTAGCCGACCAGATCAACGGCACACGGGGGAGCGAAGCCATCCGCGTGGTCCTCAGCGAGGGCGCGGTGAGTGTCGAGCCTCTGGACGTGTCCAAAGCCAAAGCCGCCGAGTCCGTCCTGCAGCAGTTACCCCGCACGCCGGACTTCGTGTTTGTGGCGGGCGGTGCGCGCGGCGACGAAGCCCTCTTCCGCTGGGCCAACCGCCTGCATGCTGACCAGATGATCCCCAGCGTGACCACCCTCACCGTGGGCTTTCACGCCACGGAGGCCAAAGCTGTTCCCCCGGGTGACATGAGCATGGCTGATATCGTAGACGCTTTCACTTCTCGGCCGATGCCAGATGGCTTTCTCAATGGGCACACCAACGGACACACTAACGGATACACTAATGGACACACTAACGGGGACGCTCCCGCGGAAAATGGCGTCAATGGAGAAAGCCATGATTGAATCCCCGCCCCCTTGTTCATACTCCGCATTATTTTTCGGATCACACTGACACTACCATTCTTACTTCATTCCTTCTCGGGTGAACATGTAGCATCCTCTCAACCCTCGTTTCTTCTTGTCACCCTTTTTTTCTTCTCTTCTCTCCTCATGTCTATTTACTTCTTTCCTATGATATGACCTGTCACGGTGAATGATGTGGTAATGCGTCCGCAATACACGACAAATATGCATCCTTAATTTGTCATTACTGGTGTTCCGCGCTCGATGATACCGTAGCAACCATCACTTGGGATCCACAATCAACACGAAGCCACCAGATCTGATTGATCTAATCCAAAACCAGACCCCTATGTCATGCCACTACAGCCGTAGCGAGTAAATGATACCCCAGTGTGATGAAAGGAGGCCCTTGCGTGCATGCAAAGCAGCACGAAGAGAAAACGGAATAAAATACATACAGACAGACATCCGAGCCGGCGTCGAATCGGGATAACGGGAAAGAATAGACAGCAGACGAGGGATGTCCCGGAGTTACAATGCGCCAGAAGAATGGAAATGCATGCATGACCGGAATGTTGAAGAAAACTCTACCGGGATTTCCAGCATGAAAGGACCCGAGACCCATTAGCAGCAAAGCAAAGCAAGGAAAACAAGACGTAAATCATCAGCAAGGGAATAATATTCGTAGCAGCCAGATCATCCGAGCCCGCGTTTTGACATTACACGGTTAAAAGAGAAAGGGGGGACGGAATGAGAGGAACAAGATATAGGAGTTACACTGATGCGACAAGATAAGGAACATCGTGGTCAGGATGGATTTAACCGCCCACGTCAGCATTGGGTGGCTCGTCTCTCAGGGTCGCAGACGGATTGGTACCCGCTGATATCAGTGTCGGTGCAACCCGTCTCTTCTTCGGTTGTTGTGTTTGCGGAGCGGCGCTCTGGTCCTTGTCGTCCTCCTTTTCGGACTCACCGGGTCGCTTGCCTAGAACACTATTGCTGACATAGCTTGTCCCACTTTGGGAAGCGCCAGACATGGGGGTCTGCGGCGGGGTAGTGAGCGGAAGCGTCGGAGGCTGCGCTGAATGTGTTGCGGTCACCAGCGGCACAGACCCGAGCGTGGGCGTCGGGTTATTGATGAGCCTCGATCCAGAGCCCGATTGTGTCGTAACCGAAGAGACAGAGTTGGATCGTGCAGGGCTTGCGGGAGGTGCCTGAGTCAAATTGGCTTGGGCTACTGGGCTTGCTTTTGTTGTGACTTGCGTTGGCAGAGTGGTGCTATTGGTGGACGAGACGGCAGCCCCGGTTTGTTGAGCCGCTGATGCCGGAGCAACATATGGTTGGCCCAATTCCCCCGGAGAAAATGCGAGCGTGGAACAGAATCCGTCCGACGAGCTCATCATCAGGGTCAGTCCGTCATTTGACCTAGTCATCCTTAGTATTAGTACACCGCAGAACCAAGAATCAGTCCGAATCCTAGGGCGGGCCTTACCAGGTCAGGTCCGTAAATGTGGCGAAGTGCAGGTTGCTCACAACGCATATCGGTGTTTGTTGTTGAGTATCGTACACCATGACCCCATCCTGAGTAGCCACAGCATACACAATTCGGTAGGGCAACGTGAATACAGGAGCAGGACTTTGGCTAACAGCTCGGTCGGTGGCCTTGGGAGCTGAGTTGTTCTTTCCCGAATCATTGGTGGCAGGCATCGACGTCGGGGGCTCCATGGAAGCATTGTCCCCCGGGGTGCTCACTACCGGCTCGGGAAGAGAAGTGAAAGACTCCTCTGTAGACGAGGTATCTAAGGTGATATGCTTGGCAGGCTGGGGAGACTGTCGGAGGGTGTAAAAGATGGGCGAGCATTTGACTGCCACCGAGGGCTTCTTATGGCCCGGAAGATGTGAGATGGGAGGCTTGTTGAACCCCGCACGGGTGTATATGTAAACCGTGTTAGTGATCTCATCCGTAGTTTTGGCCGGATCGGTGGCGGAGACATGTGAGGTTTTGTATTGCCCCGCGGGCGTGAATAGCAAGCTACCATCGGGTGCAAAGGTCAACCTCCGGAAGAATGACGTGAATGTCTCGTTGGCATATATATTGGCATTCTTCACGCCGAGTCCGCCCAGAAGACCCGGGGAGGGTACTTCCAGTGGTTTGACTGCGGGCAAGGGCAGAGACGGCGCCGGGGAAGCAGATCGACGGATCGACGGTGAGGAGCCGAAGGACGAGCGGCGACTGTGTGACACTGGCGGGGGGTCCATGGGCAAATTCGAGGTCATCGGTGTACCCGGAGTAGAAGGGGCAGGAGATACGATAGCAGCAGCAGAGCTCGGTGCCGTGGGTTGGGAGCGAATAGAAGGATCGGGTGGAGCTGGGCTACTGGAGGAGATGCGTTTGGCAGGAAGATCCATCTTGAGGAATTTCCCATGGGAGGTAAGGGTAAATTGTCCATCCTTCGTTTTCAAGCTGTAGATGTGAACCGAGCGATCTGATGACTGCGTCGCCACGAACTCATTAAGAGGGTCCCAGGCTACACCCTGAACATAATGGGAGTGTTCGGCGATCTGGCGCACCATTTGACCTGCATTTCGACCATCAGCAAAGTAATCCTCGAGGCATTTCCCGAATGCCGCTCACCTGTTTGAGCATTATAGATCCGAGCGATATTGTCCATACTCCCGGTTATGATGAACACACCATCCGGTGACCAAGCAAGATCATAGATCTCTGCACCAGACGACCGACACATGTGCTTCACGCGCCATGTTTCTTTATCGTCCGAACGATCTTCTCCCAGCCCAGACTGTGTTTGCAATTCCGACGGGACCCAAAGTAGGACGTTGCCATCATCTCCGGCAGATGCCAGCATCTCGCCTAGACCGGTCGGAAACACGCGTCGTCAGAAAAAAGACCCTGTCAGAAAACAGCTCGATTGGGAATCTACCTTTCGGACTGAAACGGACCACATTGACGGCTTGGGTATGTTTTACCAGCGTGCTCAGGTAGGTCACTTTTCGTTCTTCACCAGTTGTCTCCACTTTCCATAGCTATGGTTCTCTGTCAGAAAGCCCGCAGGGAGGGAGAGTGCAGAGGAGGTCAGGGTGGTGAGGGGGTCGTACTCGGACGTTGTTATCACTAGGGAGGAGAAACATTAGCACCAGACACAGGAGTAAATCGACGCAGCGAGGACAGAACCGTACTTTCCGGCCGTAGCCAGGCGGCCTTTTCCATTGGGATCAAAATGGACCGAGTAAATGGGGGCATTGTCGTTGTGCCATGAAATGAGCAATGGGGTGGCCTTCATGGTGAGCACGGCAGCTCAATGAGGGCCCCTGGAAATTGACGCTGAGGGCCACAGTCTGTCGTGCGCGCAAAGAAGAGATGGATGGACAGAATCAGGGCTGGGTAAGGTGTTATATCGCCACCGCAAGAAGAAAAGGAAGCGTGGGGATGATCGGAGAGAGCCGTTCGTAGAGAAGGTTTAATGGGAACAAGCTGCTACTATTGCTGAGAGCAACGAGGAATCAATCGAGCAAGCAATCAATCAATCAGGTGCCGCGGAGGTTCACAAGCAGTCGAGGGGGAGATGCCTTCAGGCAGGAGGCAGAAAAAAGGGATGAGTCGTCTGGAGGGAATGGGGAAATGGGGGGAAAGAGGCAGCGGTCGTAGTGGTGATGTCGATGCTTCCCGTGTTGGTTTCGCTTCCTCGTGTCGCTCTGGCGTTCAACGCGCCCGGCGAATGACAGCCGCCCTGACCGTCAGCATGTTCCTCGAGATGCGCTCGATCAGGATTTCGACTGCCGCCATCGTTACAGTTGCGACCCTTTTCGCTCGCAAATCTCCCCAGTTGCTTCCCTCCGATCCTGGGCATGCCATACGGTCGGGCCTCGACGCGACTATACCATTCTACTCCACTAAAGGGCTAATCGGTAGGGCAAGCATGTCCCCAGCTCTGGTACCTGAAGCATCTGTCGCTTTTCTTGCATTTACTTTTAGGTTTCTTCATCTGCCTTTCCTTGCATTCCTATTGGAAGAAAAAAGGCATATTGAAATCGGTGGCCCTGCATGTCCATGCGTAACGACGTCGATTGTCGCAGAACTCGCTTTCAAATCAAAACTCCTACGGAAAGGGTGACAAATGGGGTAATCATACACAAGAGAAGGGAAGATCCAGTCCATGACGGAAGCACTGCGCATATGCTCTATGTAACCCAGCGGCCAATCGTCTCCCCGAACCAGCTGACGGCCTTGTCACGTCGCTTTTGCCGTGCGTCGTCCTGGGTCTTCATGAATGGCGATGCCTCCTGCACGTACAATTTCTGTTGCTCCAACTGCGCATAGTGTGCTCGGATCTCCAGTTCTCGTTCGTGTGGAGTAAGCTGCGCCAACGGTTTGGATGGTTTGAACCCTGCCGGGATCTTCTCACCTCCAGGAATCTCCAGGTCCCCTGGTTTACTGGCCGGCTTTTGCTGTGGCTCTGCCTGGGGGTTGAAAAGAGAGGTGAGCGGCGGGGGTTCCTGTCCGGCTTTCTGCGCCTCGTCGACTCGTCGTTCGTAGTCAAGCATCTCATGGTAAAGTTTGTCAGCGTGCATCTGAATCCGTTCTTCCTTTTCGCCGTCCCATTCGAAGGATGAGGCGTATCCTAAGGCCTGGAGGAATTTCTGAACAACCATCAGTATATACCGATCGGTAAAAGCTCGGATGTCGCAAGGAAAAGAGCCGATTCATCTAGGCCCGCACTTACAGCCTGGGTGGTAAAACAGCGAGAGAATTTAGTGTTTTCCTCAGAGCACAGCGTCACACGGGCCTGCAATCGTTTCTGCCAGGTGCCGGTCTGGAAGCAGTATGTCAAATCCTCATGCTCCAGAGCGCAATTTTCCATCGCAGCGCGGTGCACGGTATCACCACGCTGTTTGTACTTCTCAATCACTCGCTCTGCGGTTTTTTGTTCCGATGCTTCCTTTTCTTTGGGCGGCTTGTAGTGCTTCCAAAGGTGCGCGTAACGGCCATCGGGGAATAGAGAAGCGGAGGGAACGGCCGGTTGGGAAGGTTCAGCGTCGCCAGATGTTTTGGGCTGTGAGGGTTGGGCCTGCGAATCTACCGTCTTGGAGGGACCCTGCGATGAGGAGACTGGAGTCGTTGGGACATATTTCTTGGGAGCTTCATGCTCGAGGTATTCTCGCAAGTTGGGGTCAAGCTTTTTGACGGGGTCGTCTTGGTTGGAGCCACCCCAGAACCAACCCATGGCGCAAGTGCAATGGATAGCTCTGACTGAATTGGAGAAGGATTGAAATGATTGAGGTGTAGAGAATAAGAGCGTCTGATTGGCAAGGGAAATTGGGAGATCTATGGAGGACTGAACAATGCGGAGAACGACTGGGAAGCATTTGCCCGAGCGCCAAACCGCATTGGTACACGTGAGGGACGGAAGTGAAAAAGGAAGATCTCGAGCCGGGTTCGAACCCGAGACGTCGAGTTTCAAATCCTGTAGTATGCGGAGGACAGACGGAGTATAAGACCAGAAGCTCCATGGCGAATCATAATGTTTGAAGGACAATGTATACGGATTAGGGAGTAGGGAGTAAAGAAAACATAAGAAACGAAGGCTTCAATGAAAGATTAGAATGAGAAAGAGGGGAAGTGGGCCTACTTTGGTATATGCCTTAATGACCTCTGATAATGATTGTCTACAATTGGAGCCCTGTTATATCAAAACATCTATCTAATGGGATTCCTGATACTTGGGCCAAATAACAGTAAGAGAGAATTCAGGGTGTCTTTTCTGTTATCGGACAGATGAGCTGCCCTATCTCTGTATGAACAGTATTCCCAATGATATGCAGCTGGATTGCAAGATCTACTACAAAATATACGGAGTATGTAAACAGCGGCGGAACAAGCCAGGCGGTGGTCACGGGCACCACCCGGGAGCATCGCCATTGGCCATCGGCGCGGGCGGCATCGAGCCATCATCACAGCGCCTCCTCCATCATCCGCCATCGCTGGCCCAACTTCCTCTTCAACCATCTTCTCTCGCGCGTATTCTGGCGCGTTGAGCTCGGCAGGAGCGCCGCTTCTCAGTCATGGCCTCTAGTACGTTCCCATTTTGCCACCGTAATCGCTTCAATGCTAATGGTCATACAATCTTTCAGATCGAGAGGAGCGGCAGCAAATGCGGCAGCGCGGAGCAGCGTACGCGCATCAACCCCGTGCCCCGCGACTGATTCAACAGAGCTTGATTGCTGATGCTGTGTTTTCTGACTAGGTTACGCAAGACTAAGGCGATCGACTTTGGGTTTTCCTTTGGCTTACCTTCTGCGTCCGACGAATCTCAATCCGCGTCGCGACCAGCCGATGTTGGTATTTCTCTCGGACCTCCTGCACCATCCACGACGACCACAGCGACAACAGAACCCGAAACTACGCAACCTTCTATCGCCTCACCAGAGAGAAAGCTGTCGTCCTCCCAGGACGGGCCCATTCGTCGAACACCAGGAAGCGCGCGCAACAAACTCCCCCCACGCCCATCACCTTTTGACATACCTACGGAAGAGCCGCCGGAAGTCGGGCCTAGTCGCAAGATAAGGAAACTCGGTGCGTAGTTACGATAGCAAAAATGGATCGGACTGCTAATTAAGCCAAAGATCATCCTAGGAGGACATCGACAATATCACTTGGCGCGCGGGATGAAGGGAGCTCACAACCACACCAAAATGGCGTCGTGCCAAGTGCAACGGCTCAATTGCCCGAGGAACCGACGGTCACGCCTGTGCTGAACGGCGGTGCTACAGGCAAGGAACAACCCCAAGTACCTTCAACTACACCTGTTGTACCAGAGAACCCTGTACCAGTACAGGCAAGCGAGCCAGCAGAGCCTCTAGTGCCTGATGCAACGACGACACCGCCGGAGATTCAACCAGAACCTCAAGCAAAAGCAACGCCTTCACCAGGACAGAGGGCAAGGGGCAAGCGCAAAAGACGAACATCCCGGGACAGCGAGACTTCTTCATGTGGCTCTCCTCAGGATGCTGTTAGCCCGAAGGTACCGGAAGTGGATGACGAGCAATTATCAGAGCCGATGGACATTTCACCGGATGGGAAATCGGATGCAGCAGGGTCACCGACCTCTGCTGCGCGTGATTCTACTGAGCGTCAAGATGGCACTGTACTCCAGGACGTTACTGGGTCTACACCTTCTGAAATCCAAGTCACTTCGGACGTGCAAATAACCAGTGAAGAGCAGGCCACTGCTGCACAGGAAATCAGCACCCAACCGCAGGTTGCTAGTGAGCCTGAAATTACAGAACCTCAAATGGCTTCTGAGCCCGAAGTTGCTATTGATCTCCAAGAGGCCGAACCGCAAGCTGTTACCGAAGAACCTGCTACTGAACCGCAAGAGGCCGCCGAATCTCAAGATGTTATCGAACCCCAAGAGACCACCGAGCCCAAGCAAGCAGCTGCCCCCCACTCCAGGAGAGCACAGACGAAATCTCCAACACCTCCAAGAGCCAAGCGAACGAGGGGCCAACGTGCGGCATCCGCTCAACCACCCTCAACCGCCAAGCAGTCTAGGGTGGCTAGAGCCGGTTCAGTAGAAAGTGCTCCAGCTCAGGTCAGGGAAAGCAAGAGGCTCCGCAGAGGAATCGGGAAGGGCCAGGAGCCTACGCCTGATATTCCTACGATAGAAGAAGAGCCAGGTGTTGAACCTGGCGAGGCTGATGTTCCCTCTGAGCCGAGAGATGACATCGCGAGTCGCAAGGGAACTCGCCAATCACGGTTGCCGAGACCTACGCTGGCTAGGAAGAATTCGACACGCGCTGGACGCCCTGGAAGAAAGCCGACACGATCCCGGGATACTCAAAAGGAAACATCTCAGCCCGAGAAAGAGGTGCAGCAGCAGGAAGAGCAAGCTCAGCCTGAGCCTGAGCCTGAGCCAGAGTCGGTACTGAAACCAGAATCAGTACCAGCACCAGTACCGGAGCCAGAAGCAGAAGCAGAAGCAGAAGAAGAAGCAGAAGCCGAACTGGAGCCCGAGCCTATACCCGAGCCCGAAACAGAACCGCAACCAGAGCCTCCAGCAGAGCCTGGGCCATCTAGACCTACCAAACGTGGCCGTGGCAGGCAACCGCTAGCAAAGAAGAAAGATGATACAACGCAGGCTCCGATTGAAGAACCCACAGTGCAAGCCGAGCCCACTGAGGAGGTACAGCCCAAAAAAGGCAAGCCCAGACAACCCCGCGGGGAAACAGTCCCAGTAACTGTCCATCGATTTGCGAACGCTGCTGCACTCGGAGACGCCCCGGAATTGGAGGGATCATCCGACGAAGAAGAGCCAGCCGACGAAGCCGCGACGAAACAAAAGGCCAAGCTTGTGAGCCGTGGCGGCGTCAATGCCGCCGATGTGCTTAGCCAGATTTGCCGTGAGACTCTAGAGAAGACACTAACGACGCTCAAAAACGGGATCGCAAACGAAGGCAACGCCGCCCGGCGTGCAGAATGGACCCGCAAGAAGAAGGCCGTTGAGGCCTACGGCACAGAACTCGAGGGCCGTCTCTTTGAACTAAGTGAGATGCTCGACAGTAATTTTGCCCTTGGACGCCAGGTCAAGAAATCGAAGCGGGAGATGATGGATCTGCGCAGTCGACTCTACCAAGTCCGGAAAGAAAGAGAGGCTGTGGCATTGCAAATGGATGCCGTCCGGAGGAAGCACACGGAGGAAGAGAACGCCAAAATAGTAACAAACCCTAAGACACAATCCAAGAACCATTCAACATTGCTAACCACCACCCATAGGCCCGGTCAACCATTAACAACTCCCTCCATAGTCTCGACCTCGCGCTCGAGCGCAGCCGCAACCGCCCCATTGACGAATCCACTTCAAAAACCCCCGACTCCTCCACAGTCGGGCTAGAGTTCCTCCTCCGCAATGTTGCAGAGAACGTGAGCTCCGTCGCCCCGGGAGCTCAAGGTGGTCTGCTCCATCAGATCCGATCTTTCAACGCACAGCTAGAGGCCACAGCCCGACGACTTGAAAGTTGACCTGACCGACTACTTCATCCTTTTTGCTAGTTACGTCATTCTAAACTTGCTTTTCGAATAAATACCCAGCGGCATTGTCGTTTAAGGAGTGAGGTTTTTGCTGGTAGTTGGATAATGGATTGATGGATACTTTGTATTGCCTACGAGACAATTGGATATACTTGCTCAGATTGCACCACCCACTAACTACTTTAGTAGCATTTAGTCAGCATCCCATACAGCCACTCCAACAAGCATACTGTGTAAGTAAATCAATCCTAAAGAACAGTCATGACATCATTCCACACCACAAAAACAGCACCACCACCACCACCACCAACAACAACAATAACAATAATCACCCCAATCCCTTCCAATATTAAGATACTACTAAGTAGTAAATAGTAAACCATCCAGAAAAGCCAATTCCGCACTCTCACTCCAACCCAACCCCATTACTAACCAACCAATCCTACCCAGTAAATTGTATCTACTGAACCTAGTAGAAATTTCTCTCCTCTTGCCGAAAACCCGACCCATTTGTCAGCCACGCACACGCCACCAGCAGACCCCGTGCTTAGTCACTCACTTCCCTCCCGGGCTCTGCCTGTTTCTGCAGGTCAGGAAGAATGTCTTCTTATTGGTTTATGGTTATGGTTATGGTTATGTTGATCATGGATGTCTTCTACGGGATTCGCATTATTAAAACCCGTGTGTATGTAGTACGGAATGTAACACAATAGATAGATAGTGGTGAGAGGACTGCCGCGGGACCCATAAAAATCATTGCTTGATTGGAAATCAAGTTGTGGATCGGGATCCAGTTTTTTCTTCCTTCCCAGGGGCGGGCAGGCAGTGATGATTATTGATCATTGATTAGTGATTGTTGTACACGGTAGATTGAGATGAAGGGTTACAATGGGGGTGGCGTGCTGGTGCAAAGATGAGAGGGTATAAATATGGGGTTGGGGTCAGGAGATGGGAATTGGATATCCAAGTTTGTTCTACTTTGTATACCACCACTACTATTATATACTATCTATCTTAATTCTCGATTCCCTTTACCACAACTGTTCTCTCGTGCATACAACAATCACCATGACCAAGCTATTTACTCCCCTCCAAGTTGGCCGCATGCCCCTGGCCCATCGTCTCGCCATGGCACCCATGACTCGATTCCGAGCCAACGACGACCACGTCCCTCTTCCCATGATGACAGAGCATTATGAACAACGCGCTGCTGTTCCTGGTACGCTTCTCATCACCGAGGCTACTCTCATCACGCCCCGTTCTGGTTCATACCGCAATGTGCCTGGAATCTGGAGCGAGGAGCAGATTGCGCAATGGCGCAAGTTGACGGACGCGGTTCACAAGAAGGGCTCGTACATCTACATGCAGCTGTGGGCTCTGGGACGGGTGGCTGATCTCACGGCCCTGAAGGAGGAAGGGGACTATGATTTGGTTTCTAGCAGTGCTGTTCCGTTCGAGAATGGTCCTGTTCCTCGGGAATTGAGCGAGGAGGAGATCCGTGGGTATATTGGTGATTATGCGCAGGCGGCTAAGAATGCCATTGCGGCTGGGTTTGATGGTGTGGAGATCCACGCTGCCAATGGGTATCTGATTGATCAGTTCATTCAGGATACTGTGAATAAGCGCACGGATGCCTGGGGTGGAAGTGTTGAGAACCGGTCCCGGTTTGCGGTGGAAGTGACTCGGGCGGTGGTTGATGCTATCGGTGCGGACCGCACGGGTATTCGGCTTAGCCCTTACAGCACTTTCCAGGGCATGAAGATGGAGGATCCCAAGCCGCAGTTTACGGATCTGGCGGAGAAGTTGGCGCCGTTTAAGCTGGCGTATGTGCATCTTGTTGAGGCGCGCATTGCTGGGAATACCGAGGGTGTGGTGTCGGATGTGGAGACGCTGGACTTCTTCACCAAGGCGTATGGCAACGCGGGCCCTCTGGTAGTTGCTGGTGGATACAAGCCGGATTCGGCCAAGGAGGCGGTCGATGTGCACTACAAGGACCTTGATGTCGTCATTGGCATTGGTCGTCCCTGGACCGCGAACCCTGAACTGCCTTTCAAGATCCAGCATAACATCCCTCTCCATCCGTACCAGAGAGAGGTCTTCTACTTGCCTAAGGATCCCAAGGGTTACGTCGACTATGATTTTAGCGAGGAGTTCAAGGCTGTCAAGGTTGCTGCTTGATTGGGTTGGAGACTCTGTTTATTTCAATTTCTTTAGAAGGGGCATATTTGGCGTTTTGATTGCATAGCATAGAATTGGTGTTAATTTGATGATCTGATTACAATGATCCGCTCTTTAATGCTTGTACTGGAGACTGTGTTAGAACTGCCAAGCGGTTGGTAGATGTGCACTTACTCTAAACTCTGGATTTGCCTTGTCCGTAAGATCCAAAAATTCGGAGTTCTCTTCATGCCGATGTCTCTGGCTCTTCTCTCGTCGCCGATTCTCCCAAATGTAGTAGCATTTCAGAGCTACGGTGAAAACAATTGCGACGGAGACGGTCGCTACGATGGCGATCTTGGCCGGCATATACTCCGGTTCGTCCTCGGTGCGGAATGACAACGGGCCTAAGATGTTTCCAAGACAGAATGACATCAGAACGATCGCATTCATGGTGACTTTCTTGGTATGGCCGGCAACGTTGGCACCTGCGATCGAGTACAGCAATGGAAGTGCCGATCCGACACAGTTGGTCAGGTAGCTCCCTGCCAACTTGGCGCCTCTGTTGTCACTCGGAGCGAATGCCATGAGACAACCTCCAAGAAGACCGCAACACAGGATACCGATGGTGCAGAAACACCGCTGATCGAAACGGCCCGCCAAGTATGTGCCGAGTAGGATGCTTATAACGCTGACTACACCTCCGGGAATCGTGAGTAGTTCGGTCTCTTTGGTGGTAAACCCGAAGTTCTTAATGATCAAGGCCGAGAAGCTGCTGATGGCTGCATTGCTGATGCTGCTCGAGGCAACAACCACAGCTATCAGGTAGGCTTGCGGATCCTTGAATACCTCGAAGAACTGTTCCCATTTGAAGTGCTTGTATTCAATGCCTGTTCGGTTATCGCGAAGACGCTCGATGGCCATTATTTTTTCCTCGTGGCTTAACCGGGAGGTCATGGGATTATCTGGGAAGATCAGAATGACCGTGACTCCGACTGCGATCGTGATAATGCCAAAAATCAGAAACATGATTTGCCAGGAATAGAACTCGTCTGCTGTATAGAAGAGCAGCCCGTATGCGACGAGGGCACCGACTATGGTCGCGGTGCCTGTGCCTAGGTACCAGAAACCCATGCGCTTAGGTTGTTCTTCACGAGTTAGTTGAGGTTAACTAGCTGGGATGATGCATACCATCTCTCTTGTACCACATTGAAGTTATCAAAATCAGCCTGTTTTCGTTAGGGGAGCTCTCATGGGTTGGACGTTGTCTTACGCAGGAGCTACAGCACTTTCAAAACATCCTAGGAGAACCCGAAGCACAACAAGGCCAGGAAAGTTCTTTGCAACGCAGTTTAGAGTTGTCAGAAGACCCCAGAGGGTCACTTGCCTGTCAGCACCGCCAGCACGAGATAACTTGGGTCAATTACCATTCAATCCTAGATACTTTGCAGTCGGCAAACGCTGCATCAGGTATCCTGTTGGAAGTTCAAAGAAGAGATAGGACACATAGAATGCTAGGGCGAGGTTTGAGAATTGGTCTGTTCGCATGCCAGTGTCTTCCAGCAGGCCCATGACAGATGCATAGTTGACTGTGGTTGTGGTTAGCTTCCTGATAGGCCAGCTTGTTGGTCAACTGACTCAGAATCTTATCTTGGTACTGTAGGAAGTAGATTGCCCACATCAATGGCACGATCATTCGATCGATCTTTCGGACCAGCCGTTTCTCGTCTACGTCAGAGAAAGTGGCTACATCTTCAGTGCAAAGGTATTCCAGCGCTGCATCTGCCTGGGTAGGAGATACATGACCGATGTCTTTTGATTCAACGTCAACTGCATGTGTGGTGACTTGTTTGTCATTGTCTAATATAGAATTCATAGTTTGGAACAGAATAACGTCCAACTATAATGGCTGTAAGCAACTGAGCTTGTGTTTATGATAGAAGAAGCGCACCGAGAATGAAGGTACTCTCCTGCGGCTTCTTTAAAGCCATCCACCGGCTTTCGAGCAACTGAGATTGCCATCATGTTGATAGCAATAACTTGGCAGTGCATGAACCTGCAGCATCCCCCTCCAGGATATGGAATCCATGATAGGATGCAATGATACTGAGCTCGGCCGGTCGATATCAATCCATGACTAGCCCCCATGTTTGACAGGCGGCGCTCAAAACACCTTCTTATTGAGGTTAGCAGAATATGATCGAGATTGATAAAGCTGATAAAAGCCCCGGATGACAGCTCTATCAGGATGATCACTCCCGAAGCAGAAGGTAGTAGACGAGCTGCTTATCAACCCCGCACGACGCGGAATCTGACAAGATAATGACAGACCGTTATCTGTGTTCCTTGCTCTTGGTATACCCGATTGTCGTATTGTGAATTCTGAACTGGCCAATTGCCAACTTACCACTCAATGGCGGCGTAGATACGAGAGTCAACGGACAGAATTGACATTGCAGACGAACCTGGCTATCAAAGCCCTGTTGTTCTTGGCTTATCCCTTCTTTCGCAGTCAGTTTCACGAAACATAGCTTGAACACTGTTCGAAGTCAGGTACTCGCTTGAGCAACCGATGTGAGCTCATCGGAGTATCGCCATAGTCGTGGCAGAACCAGACCAGTGGAGCCCTGTAGATGTGCAGAACCATCGATACAGAGCACATTGGATCATGTTAAGTTCATACCAGTAGGCCAAAACGGAAATCCGCTGGCCATCTGGAGAACAGACGGAACGAAGACTCTGTGTCCCAACAGATCATATCAAAGTGGTATTTCAGTTGATGTCTGCAGGCAGAGAAGAGATGGAGAGGATTGCCGGGACATCCTGGATGGTTTGTTTTGGTTTGCCTTGTTTTCCCTGTTTGACCTGCACGTGCAGCAAAAGCAACGACAAGTTAGTTAATCTTGCTCCCAGCTACACAAACAAACCCCATTCTCCAGTCCATGATCTTCGTTATCGATCTGGATTGTATCAAGGAATTTGTCATTTCCAGAAACAGTCAACATGCCACCAATCTGAGTCGGTGAAGCACAAAGCATAACAGTTCGTATCTCAGTTTCCTCAACGACCCGCCGCATGCTAACTATCGAAGGGTATAGCCGCAGAATCCACTTGATTTCCACATGGACTTCGATAGTTATCGACGCCATTCCTTCAGTAGCGCTGCCGTTGCCGCGAAGAAACCGGGATGATGCCAGACCGCTTCTTCTGAAGATCTTCTCCCCACATCAACAAACACCATCACCGATTCAGCCATTAATCCCACCGAAGATCGTCACAACACCGGATCGTGAATTGAGTTGGACGAACTGCTACTACTGTTAGTTTGCCATCTGGTTGGCATGTAGTGATGGAGCTAGTATAACCGAAGGCGCGTGGGAAGAGACGGAGATCTCCAGTACGCCGTGCTAGGCAGTGGGACGTGGGTAACCAGTCATGCATCTAGCCTTCTCTTGACTAGTGAGTGAAGTTTACTTGCTGCTTTCGAATTGCTGCATGAACTACGGAGTCGTGAGTACTTGCTGAATCCTTCATGTGGACTGCGAAGATTTTATCGCAAGTGGACCGACTCAACCCATCTTTCCCGTCCCAGCCACCACCTCGCTTCTATTCATCGACACAATATCCATTGTCAGTGGAAGTACTCCACTTCGTGCAACCCAAAATTGGGTGTGCGATGATAAAGAAGGCGGAAGCGAAGAGAAGAAAACACACCCAAGCATTGCATCATACTTGAATGTCGAGCGGGACCTAAACCTAGGATCCAAAATACGGCAAGTGTACCACCAGAAGCACTGCCGGGACTTCTGGAACCCTCCTCCAACCATTCACATCCATCGGAGTGTCCTAGACACCGCATCTCCGCACGCGGGGACCAAGCCTAATGAGAAAGCACCTGAAAAGGCAAGAAGATCAAAGAACTGGAAGATCCCCTCAACGCGCCAGTGGACCCTGAAAATAATCCTCTCCAACTGGCGCATGGCTTGGAAGCAGCGCTCCAGATTCCCACCTCGTAAGATTTTGGTCTATTCTCCGCTCCGCCGAGCCGAGGGTAGCAACAGCAACGCGTCTCGTCATTTGTTGGTTCTCCAGCCAGGCTATATACCATGGCCACCTAGTCTTCACCTTGACCGCGGGGAACGGGAAATCCCCAGACCCAAGCAAGACCGAAACAATAATCCCCATCCCTGACCCAAATTCCTGGGATTCGGTACCAGATGCGTGGGAGTGGAACCAACCAGGCAATGAACAAGAGCGGTCCGGACGCATGGAACATGATCTGAACCGTATCCTTTACACAGTACTACTGTGTATCCATAGATTGAAGCATATCCGAGATAATCCGGGACTAGTGAAATTAAGGCGCCAGCAGCGTTAGAGAGTGAGCGTCATGTCAGCTCGATCGTCAATATCAGATCCAAATTCCCCCCCTCCTCCCTCCGATAAGCCGTCCGTCGATCCCCCTCACCCCATCATCATCCCGTGACCTTTTGCATCCTGGTTACCCCAACATTCCGCCCTCGTGTCATCACCAATAGTTCAGATCCTGAAGACTGGAGATGGTTGATCGTCGACAGGGTTAGTTAGTTACCCATACCTAGTATGGATCCCTGTACCAGTACATAATGACTCTGACAATGTAGACGGGTTTTCCTAATATGGCATATTATTCACATTCAACCCCCCAGTAAACATAAACCATAGGGGTTAATAATACACATCATAAACCATAGGGGTTAATAATACACATCATAAACCATAGGGTTAATAATACACATGTAGAGCAGAACAGAACAGAACAGACAAAAATTCCAAATTTGGAACACCGTGACGTGGTCGGTTCCCCCTCTACCTATACCCAAACCCCACGCATACCTCAATCCTCAACCAGTATGTAGATACTAGGTACTAGGCAACCACACAAGCTCCTGCACACTTCTCCACGTGGAGTATGTACAATGTACAATGTACATGTACATATTTGCTCACACCCCAAACATGTCCATGCCATGTACCGTGCGGAGTAAAGATACCTACATACAGCCCCGGATAATAACGCACAGGATTCATACCCTACCCTACCTTACCCTACCCCCTCCATAAAAACAAATCCTTCATGAGGGGAAACTAGGTATGATTAATTATAGCAACCAGGTAGGATAAATCAATTGTAATTAATGTGGCTATACACACACGCACACACATCAGACAAACAAAGAAAAGAAAAAAGAAAAAAGGTAAATTTTAACATTCAATAGATTGGAAAATCACACACAAACACACAAAAAATGTTCTCTACATGGATGGATTACATCATACCGTGCATGATCTGAGGGGGGAAAGTTTATCTTGATCTGGTCTGGAAGAGAATTTCGCTTAAGCTACGGAGTAGGTTAGGTGCAAGACAAGAATTATGTTAAGATGGATCTACGTGGTTGACTTTTTTCGGACTTCATTGTATAGTATTTTGGGGGTTGATATTAGATTGGAAGATAAAAGATAGATACCTAGCAGGGTGGAAAAGTGCAAGTTGAACCGTGCTGCAGGAATGGAGAATTCTGTGGCCTACTGTGCGACTTGTGATATTCTTCCGAGTTCCGACATGCACTGATATTTGCTCAGCTGGAGCTGGATGGACTTAGTGGGTATTACCTAATATTAAGGGTTCTTGGTAGCAACGAACAGATTAGATTGGTTGTCAGAAGGAGGGAGGCATTAATTAATCGAGGGCTTGACGTGGTAGTCCTTTAATGGCCTGAGACAAATTAGATTGCTTCTCTGGCCATTTCTGCCTAAGGTACGGGTACCTCTGCGGAATGTCCTTAATAATGGAGAATGATAATAGGTAACAGTTAGGACCTTATGATGGCGAGAAGCACGGGCATGGCCAACAGAGCCAAGGACTTGCCTATCCACTTGCTAACATACTAGGCATGGTATCAATGTGCGCACTGCCGGGCCGGGCTCCGAGTTCCAAGGTAGTCGGTGGCAACCCATTTTCAACCCACACCAATCAGCCCTCATCATCACGCAGACATAAAGGAACACCTCACGAGTCACTGCACCTCGTGTTAGTCCCAATAACTAGTTTGACCCGCCGCCCAAGCTGGATGGACGAACTGCGACCGAGCTTTTGCTTCTTCGCTTGCCCACTCACCACCACTTTGGATACTATAGGTGGATAATTAATTGTTGGGACTGAAAGAGCTGGATGGTCTGCTTAGTCTGGACTAAGTCACTTCTTGGCTGCAGCAGTAGTGATGGCCGGGCCACGATCTAGAGCGGAGCCCAAGCACGCACTCAGTGAGTGGTGCTGGAGCCTACAGTAGCCGTACGGAGCTCCGTATGGAGCTTGTCCTCACTATCCTGCAGCGACCTGCATAGCCCGGATTAGCCAAGGCACACCCTGCATAGCATTGCCGGCAGTAAGAAAGCGGCCCCTGGCCAGGAACAAGCTCCCGCGTGAGACATCCAGACCTCATGAAAGATGGAGAGATGGACCCGAGCAGAGTCAGCTCTTAGTTGCCGGAGAAACGCGCGCTTCAAAGCCCTAGAACGTTAGGAAGGCTGCAGGTCGAGTCGGGTGCATTGTACCTGGCATCGCTCTGCCTCGTGCTTGAAGAGAAAAGTTACGGCCTTATTTTCCGACCCGAACTCCGCACCAACCAGCTTCCGAGGTACGCAGACGACCAAGCGATAGTGCAACTAGTGGCTGGAAGGAGAGCAGCTCGTTGACTGTATGATTGTGGTCTGGCCTGGGTGCCTAGCAGGACACACGGCCGGATGATCATAGCGTGTGTGTCGCTCTGACAGCTGACACTGCTCCTCCAAGGGACCGACTATTGAATGTTTAAATTGCAATCTCAGCGAAATCCCGACTAGTTCAACGGGCATTCGCTCAGGGATTGCCCTCCCGTCAGTGTCAAGCTGTCAAGGGAGAGGTTTTAATGAGGATAAGCAGTGGGAGATGGGTCCCGGGCCAGCCTGAGCTTGTTCGTACGCCATCAACGTGGCTGTGGCCGGGAAAAAGGGGGATGGCGCGGTTGGCGTTGACACGAACAGGCCAGGAAATCGACGACGCGGCCGAACGGTCGCCAAGCAGGCCCCAAGTGGGGGCGTCCCTTTTTGCCAGTCTCGAAACCGACCGAGAACGGAGCGCCGAGTCTCCATCCCCCCAAACTCTACAATCGCCAGTCGCCTCATCCCATCATTCCCATCATCCTCGGGCCCGCGGTTCCATCTCCTCCTGTCGGGTATCATCCGCCACCGCATACGGGGAATCCTCCCATCTGGAGCCGATGGGGAGACCCAGTACTTCCGTCTGCTATCTAAGACTAGAAGCAGCTCTGCTCTCTGCTATAGTAGGTCGATGCTGATCATCTTGATGTGCTTTTTTATTGCTCGAGCAGCTGACTGCTCCCGCATGCGCCGCCTATACACTACAGTCACGAAGATCAATCGTAATTATGTTCTCCGTATTCTCCGGCTGCACCACCAGGAACACTGGGAATGAAGGGAGCAGATGGGACCAGCGGCATATCAACTGGCCCTGCAGATTCCCCTGGAAGGAAGCGCAAAGGAAGATTAAGCATATTGAGAACCCACCAGCCGCGTTGTTTGTATCAGAAGGCGTACCCTTCGCTTTCGAGACACGGAGAGCTTCAGATTCGGCGCCAGTGCATCCTGACATCCACCGGGTCGAGCGACAGCGCGAGAGCTACCTACCTAGATCATTCCGCGATTGCTCAGCAGTACTCCGTAGGTAGGGACGGTCGCGGCCGGTCAGCTAGTCCTGGGTAGACTCAGTCCGGAGCAGTACACCTTAGCAGTTAGTTAGCACTTAGCAAAGTGATGCTATGGGCCCGCAGGCACCGCACCTGCCAGCGCTCCACCAGCAGCCACAGCGTCTCCAATGAGCCACGTACACTAGCCATTAGCCTGTATGGGACGGACGGGGTCCTGGTGCTACTATTACTAGGCTTTAGAGACGGCACCTCCTTGCAGCATCAGTTTGGGTTACCTGTCCATGTTAAATCGGACGGAATGGGAAGGAAACGGTTCGGATCGGTGTCCTCAACAAACACAAGACACACCGTCACCGTCGTAACTGTGCGCGAGGGATCAAAAATGAGAATCTCCTGGTGACATCCATGGAGTATACACAGTCGTAGTGACAGCAACCAGCGGAAGGTCCGGCTGAATAAGGCGCTTGTAATTACCGACCCATTGAGGTACGTCGAGATCGATTAGCAGATGCACTGGATGGATACCTACTGAGGCACTACCCATTGGACTGCCGGACAGGGGATGCAACGTTGTATCTTGCATTGCATCTAACAGAACCCCATCTGCAATCGAGATACAAGCGATGCATGTCAGCCAGGGATTATGGAGCACTTCAATCTGGCTGCGGCAACGGCATGAGAGAGCTGGAGGTCTGGGATGGATGAACGAGTCCCAGCTGAAGCTGAGACTGAGAACGAGATAGTACTACACAGCAGTAGGACTAGGTCGATGCGTCCTCCATACGGTGGTCACGATTACCGTATCATACGCCCCAGCCATGGACCAATGATAACACGGCAGACGAGGACGAGTCCCCGATAGAGAGAGACTGGCCTGCTGATTGGCTGTTTCCCCAGACCTCGGGCGCGGACAAACCCCACCTGCCCTTGCTTTCCCCGGGCTTGGAAAGTCCATCGGGCTTAGGCGATACCAAAGAGAGACACGAAGAGACACGAAGAGACACGAAGGATTTGCCATCTGAGCAGAGCGTGCAGCCCTTGCTGGACGAATGGAGGGCGGCTCCCTATGGGGCGTGTCTTCCCTTCCCTTAACCTAGGTAATTAGGTACGCCCTCCTGCGAAGCCCTTCTCCTCCCCCGCTTTCCCATGGTTGCGGAAAGTCTAAACCCAGATGCCTCCAATGGGACATGGATGGCTCGATGGAGAGAATACCGCAGGATGATGGAGGATCGTCGCCTCTGCTGGTGAACAGCGTCCAAGTTCTCGCCAACCGACCCATTTTGCTAGCCTGCTTCTAGAGTCAATTAGGGACATTCAGATGGGAGTGGCCCGTCAGGTGGATTCCTGCACATCGTTTTAAAACCCAGCACTAAATTCGGCCGCTCCACCGCTGCTCATCGCCAACAAAAGTATGATAAAGTAATAATAATCATGACACCGTAATAATAATAATAACAGCCAAAATTAAAGCCCAGATTCAAAAACAGAAAAAAAATTCTTTTTTTCAGATCATCTCCAACCAACGGATCGAATCAAATAAAAATAAAATCAAATTAAAAAAAAAAGAGAGACCACTTACCAACCACTAAAAAGCCCAACTAAACTCAACTAACGGTCCTTCCTCCCAAATCCGGTAGATTGCTGGCTCCCTGCAACCTTCGCTCGTCCGGGTTGGGTCTCATCCCAAAGTCCGTTAATCCCAGAGAAACACAGACACACGTCCGGGCCCTTCTTCCTCTTCTTATTTGACCTCGCCTTCCCCTCTTCCTCCTCCTCATCTCCCTCGCCTTCTCCTCATTGCTTCTATTTATTCCTCTTACATCTTGCACGGTCCCGGTCGTCGTCGAGATTATCCTTGCTGATCCGCCCAGCAGTGCTGTGCGCATCGTCGTTTTTTCGCATTTCTCCCTCCGTGGTTTCATATATATTCATCTCCTCCACCCTCCAGCGAGCTGGTCGGCCTTTGGATCTCAAACCCATAATAATCGATTGATTCTTGATCGGATAATCTGTCCCCGGTAGTCATCATGTCTGACCATCCTATTGAGAAGGATATGGCTCCTGAGCTCGAGTCCAACGGCACTGCTCCCATCACCCATGAGATGTCGGCAGAGGACACTGCCAGAGCTGCTGCGCGCTTTGGCTACGGGCCTATGGCTCACGTCAACACCGCCGAGGCTAACCTCCGCCCCTTCGGAGGAGAGTTCCAGCCCGGTCTGTACAAGTCGGTCGAGCAGCGCAAGTTCGCCAACCCAGCGCCTCTGGGTCTCTGCGCTTTCGCCCTCACCACCTTCCTCCTGAGCTTGATCAACATGGGTACTCGTGGTATCACTGCGAACAACATTGTCGTGAGTTTGGCGTTTGGATATGGTGGTCTCGTTCAGCTGCTTGCTGGCATGTGGTAGGTACCCCCGTTTCTTCCATCCATAGTGACGCACTCTGACCAGTCGCAGGGAAATGGCTGTCGGAAACACCTTCGGTGCCACGGCTCTGTCCTCGTACGGCGGTTTCTGGATTTCTTTTGCCATCGTCTTGACCCCCGGTGGGTTCGAGATCGCCTCGTCGATCGAGGCTGCCGGCGGTAGCAGCATGTTCTACAACTCGATGGGACTGTATCTCATGGTAAGCTTTCCTGGTGACCGCGAACAGGAGCACCACGCTAACTGTCCTCGGTAGGGCTGGTTCATCTTCACCACCATTCTGCTGGTCTGCACCCTGAGATCCACGGTCGCTTTCTTCCTGCTCTTCTTCTTCCTTGACATCACCTTCTTGCTGCTTGGCATTGGCTACCTGCGTCCCAATGCTGCCGGCGAGCCCAATCCTCCGATCATCAAGGCAGGTGGTTTCTTCGGTCTCTTGGCTGCATTTGCCGCCTGGTACAATGCCCTGGCTGGTATTGCCGACAGCAGCAACAGCTTCTTCATCATGCCTGTTGCTCACTTCCCTTGGTCTCCCACTGCTCGCAGTCGTACTAAGACCGCGCGGGAGACCGTCTAAGCAACGCGATGCAGTCGCTTGGGTTCAGGTCAATGACCACGGAACCCTGATGAGAGGATCCTCTCGAAAAGGAGTAATACACCTGCGCTTTTTATATTTCAGATACCCATTCTTGTAAGGCCATTGCTGCGCGGGGAATGGTCCAAGTTATAGACCATGCCGGGGTGGTGCAAGCCTTTGCAGCAGGTCAAACGGTCCAGAGCAGTGTTTGTTTTTTTGAATTTGTTCCCGTTGGAATAATAATATCAAGACGTGGGTAATGATGCGGCTGTCCGTTGTCGAGCACAATGGATGGAGGGCGTTTCGTCACTTTGGATGCTTAGTTTTGTTAATGAAAGGATTGGCCTTGAATGAATATATGATTTGACGTCAGCTTGATTCGCAAGCAGATTTGACCTACCTTGATTCATCGTAGCTAGAACTTGATTGCAATCCTCACTGAGCATGCATGCAAGACGACTCTTTTCCACGATCCCGCAGCCTCTCTTTATAAATGCAGCAGCAAGTGAAACAAAGAGACAACCTAAAAACCCGCAACCAGTCACCCACTGCAGTCAGTAGCAGTAAGTAGATAGCAAGTAAGTCAGTAACCCGCAATCTTGAACAAAGAAAGCCCGTTTTCAGCACCAAATTCTGAACTCAATTCCATCCTATCATCAATCAATCAGTCAATCAGTCAGTAGTAAGCAATCAATTAACTGAAGTGAGTAAGAAAGAAAGAGAGAGAGAGGAAGAGAGAGAGAGCAACCCCACCAACCAAATCACATGGATGAATGGGTAGATAAACAGACAGGCAAGTAAACAGCACAAGCCATGGGGAATTAGATATAACCCAGTGAGTGAGAAAAAGAAGGGGACCGAAAGCAAATAAGTACTATTCCTTTTCCTTTCCTTTTCCCTTCCTACACCGGGCACGCGCGCGGCAAAGATTCGGTGTTCGGGCGGGATTCGGACGGACAATTTTCGGGAATGAAATGAGATAAGGGTCTAGTCTTGGTCTTGGTACCGATTCCTGCCGAAGGATTTGTTCGAGATTCCGAATGGGATTGGATTGGATTGGATGGGTATTTTTTTTATTGCATTCTTTGCTTTTGTTGGGGATCGGGGTTTTGTGTTTTGTAGGGGGAATTGGATGGGATGGGATAGGATGGGATGGGGTGAGTGGTTCGGAGGTTGGTTGGGTGAGGGATTTTTTTGTTTGCGGTTGTGGTTGTGTTTGCTTTTCATTATTGGGGGTTGGTTTGGTTTGGTGTGGTGTGGTTCCGGGTGGTGTGATATTTGGACAGCTGCTGCTGTTTTATTGCTGTTTGGACTCTGGGGTGGGTGGTGGGTATTGGCTATCTAGGCATTGGATTATAAGGGCCATCGTCATGTACACCGTGTCTCATTAATATATCATACATGCCACATGTAACATGCGATCAGTCCTATATATGAGTTATATCGGGTCTATATACATTCCTGTGGTGGTGCACGGAGTCGAGGCTCGATCTCACTCCATAGATCTTGCAACGCGGTCAGATAGTTTCGGTCCGCGTAGAAAAAGCCCAAAAGTAAGGCTCGGAGCCCCTGCCACGAGCGGATGTTCCCATCCTCTCGGAGAACGGAGACGAGCTCGTTCACGAAAAATGAATGCTCCGGGAGCTGGGGCGAACTGCACGCCCCAATGAACAAAATCCAGATCAGCACGTCCCGGCATAGCTGGAAGTAGCCGGCACTCATGGTGCTTTCGAGCGCTAAGCGAAGCGCTGTGACGGGCCGGGGGAAAACCGGCGCGATTTGTGGGTAGAAGCCCCAGATGACGGTGTTGTGGAACACCAGGCAGGCCAGCCGAACGCAGCCTTCGATGGTGGCCTCGATCTTGCTTTCGCCTGTAGCCGTGTAACGGTCGTCGTGGAGAGTGTATTCGACGTAAAGGACCTCCGTGTTGAAGTAGTCCTCCGTGTCGTCGTCAAATTCTCGATATTGCGTAGTGCTCCTGATCCATTCGCTATACCAGATTAGTTCGGCCAGGTCATATATCGTCTTGGACATGGCATCCCCAAAGATGCCGGGTATCTCTATTAATTGTATCAAACGGGAAGCTAAAGGTGCAAGGTCTTCATTAGGTGGGATAAGCGTTAATTGCGAAGGACGGGCGTAACGAATGAAAGGGAAAATGGGCTTGGTGCCGGCCATGCACGCCACACGGATGTCAGTCCTAGTCATGTCAGTACGGGCCCACTGACTCCACAGCTTGGGGTTGAGCTGACCATGAGATCTGGAATCGAACGTCGGGTGGGACATCCGCGAATGTCTTTCTCATGCCGACCATCTGGCGCAGACCGGCCAGATGGATTTTGAGATAGTCGGCGTTTCCGGACGCAATCTGATCGATTAGCCAAGTCCCATGCACAGTGTCAGAGATGCTCACCTCAATGGTCAAGAGGATGGACACAGCGGCAATCAGCTGGTCACTCGAAGCTTTGATCGGATCGGACAACCCCTCATTGACCAGTTTGATTGTTTCACCTCGATGGTGGAATGTGTCCAGGAGTAGCACACTCGAGCGCCGCTTGTTGGGGTCCGTGAGCGGAAGCTCTCCGGCTGCCAAGGCGGAATTCGACGCTGCCACGCAAATACAAGCGTGCAATGAGACCGGGTCCTGTTGAACCAGTGCCGTCCAATGATCCCGCAACTTAGGTCCATATCGGCGTTGCAACGGATACGCCTGCTGCGTTAAGTCAAAGACTACAAAGAGATGTTAGACCACGCCTTGTAGAACAGCTGCACTCAACCTACAATGCTGAAGATGTCGACACATACGGTCCGACATGACTGTATGCGTCGAAATGAAGGGATCGACGGCCCCTCCTAAATAGTTCCATGGAGTTGCGGTCTGCACAGGTGCGAGCGCATTATGCGTGGGTGCCTCGATGCTGTAGCTGTCCACGGTTCCCACCGAGACAGCCGGGTAACTGTCCTCGTTCTTGACCACCAGCGCATGCTGCGGCGCTTCTTTCTGCTGCTGTTCGGGAGAGGAGGAAGCGGAGGAAGAGGAATCAGAGACGATCCGTGTGCCGAAGGAAGAGGATTCGGTGACAGTTGGCTTATGGAAGGGTCCAGCGGAAGGGGCCGAAGACACGGCCGCTACCGCGGAGGAACTGGAGGCTGTCGTTTCCACCGGCTGAAAGGCAAGGTGCTTCCAGGTTTTGCTCTTGTAGCGCTTTGTATTCTCTAGCCTCTTCTTGCGGTTATGCTCGGACATAACATGGGAACGGATGCGCTTGAGGGTCTCCTCCCTTGTACCTTCGGACACGGACTGTGGATCGGTATGTACCCAGAACAAGGTTGATTTCCCCGCAGACGCATTGTTGCTCTTCCGCGATTTGCGGGGCTTCGTGACACCGTTCCTGTTGACATCCTGCCGGGTAGACTCGGTGGTCAAGGGTTGCGCGTTGGTATGAACGGGGGTCGGCGGTATCGATGGGGGCGGCGGCGGCGGGACAGGCCCGTAAGCAAGAGATTGACTGGGGGTCGAGATCGGATAATTGTAAGGACGATGGGGGTAGTAGGTATTATTATTAACAGTAACCGGATGGACAGTACTGGTGGGAGCGGTCCAAGCAGCTGGTTTGCTCAGCACCGGCAAGACATGCTCGTGGTCGGTGGCCAAAGAGCGCGCCGTTGGCTGATAATGGTGGGAATTTTTAGCGTCCATCGCACGCGCGAGTCTAATCGTATTATTCACAGATCCAGCTGATGATCTTCATCGATGTTCATCGTTCTAGAATGGGGGCAAATATGGAACAATGACAGTCAGGGCTGAGGTGGGAAGTGAGAGAGTGTGTGAGAGGGATTCCGGGGGAAGACCGGGGAACGAGGGAATAGCTGAATGGTCAGCGCACTGCCCTTATCAGGAAAAGCCCATCTCTCGGAGGGGCCTGGGAGGGGAAAGGAAAGGATCGGAAGGAAGGGAAGTAATCCAGGATAATAAGAAATTAGAAAAGAGAGGAATTGGGGGGGGATGACTGGGGGAGGAGGAGGCGGCGGCCGTTGATTGATTGAATGAGTGGGAGGGAACGCCGCCGGAGGAGGAGAGGGGCTGTAATGTCGGGGAGTGGACTGGCAAGTCCAATTGGGCCTGGCAAATGGAGTCCAGGGAAAAAAGAAAAAAAGAAATGGTCGAGGAGATTTAAATCCTGTGCCTTGTTTTTTTCCCTATTTTTCCCCCGTTCCTTTCCCCTTATTTTTTCTCCGTTCTAATTTTCTGTTGTCTGGACGCGTAGCCAATGATCGTGTTGTTTGGCGACCAACGATACCGGAACTAACAGCTGCAGGCACAGATACGCAACCAACCACCGCCAACGATTCGACCTCCAATGCTTCAATCCAATGCGACAAGATCTTGCCCGTCCACCGCTAGTGTTGTTGGTCACGGTGACAACAAGAACCATCCTCCCCCATAATGGAGTCCAACACAATGGCACAGAAAGACACGAGGGAAGGTCCAGATCTCGGATGTTGCAGCAGCCGGTGTCCGGGTGGAGCAGCAACTTAAAATTCCTCGATGGGAATTGGAGGTCGGAAGCATGAGTAATACCTCCCATTACGAGTGTCAGCACACAATTACATGCTTCAACGGTTGAGATGTTCTTATGAATCCAGCCAGCTACATAAATTCGAGGAACTAGATCCTCTGACCGATACTACCGTCACTCTTCAGTATCCAGACCCCTCACCCAGGTACCTCCCAGGTGCCTCCCCGACACCACCTCCCAGTCAACCCCGTACATCGGATCCTCTGGCACATACAGAAAACCGCGTTAGTTGGAAGTTAAAATCCAGCCCAAGACCACCAGGAGACATCCGAAAACCATAACGGGCTCCACCTTTCCGATCGGACCAGATCGGACAAATATTCCCTCTTGGTCCGTCTGGACGTTCTCCTTGCGCGGCCGAATATGATGTATCTCCCAACACTCACGACCTCGGGCGTTTCTTCTTCTTCCATTCATCCCAGGAAGCAAGAGATATATTAATATCTTTTAATGCCTAACCCCCCGGCAATCCAATCAAAATCATATCAAAAATCCAGGGCTGACACTTTTTCCGGACTTCCCAACAAGCAGGCACGCCGTCCGTCGGGGAGGAACTAAAATCGAGCCAAGACGGTTTGATCCACCGCCATTGCTGCGATTGACCGCAACGGTTGGGCACGTCAATCTATGATGTCCGTCCCCTGTACGACATACTAGGGTTTTTCGATTGTTTGTGAGATTTGTTATTGTCTCTAGCTGAACTTAATCGGTTCCATATAGGCTTTTTCTTGGTGTTTGACTCATTACTTGGCTCACAGACCAATGTCTACGGAACACGGAACCTTCCTAGTGATCCCTGGTAAGCAAACCAACATACGAAGTACTCGGTCTAAAACCACGCACACCACACCTGCACCTTACCTGCTACCTTTCTTGCAGAGATCGCCCACTGCAGGGATAGTTGCCCTGCTCCCGTGACTGTACTTATGCACACGAGTCAGTTGATATGCACATGCCGCGTTGCACAGAGTTACATCGGGGGTAGCCTAAACTTGACCGCAACATGGGCGGTGGTTATGTACAAATCGGTCATCCTGCATGCCTCTATATCAGCTACTAGTAGATAGTACTCCATCGCCACGACCAGACCGTCTAGAACTCCAGATATGGTCTGAACTCCGCACACTAAACCATACCAATTTTATGCTCGCTGTACCAGTGTCCAGACTCCAAGCACATAACTACCAAGCAACTAGCCAATTCCGAGATCCCTACTCCGTATACTCCCCTACTAAAGTGAGACAAAAATTTACGAGAAACTCGGAAATATGCACGCGACAACCGACAACTGACAAGAGCCCTGACGGCTGTCATATCCGTTGTGGGCTACGAGAACCAATCGCTTGAATTATTGGAATGGGCACGGATATACGGCCATACCACAATTGCTAGGGCAAACTAACAGTGCCCGGTGCGGTGCCCGGTGGCCACTCCATCCTTCCAACGGAGTAGATAGGCATCTACGAAAATTCCAACACACATCTCGATTCCTGCTACATACCTAGGTAGACTAGAGATACACATCCAGAAGTGGATACCCTCCTTCATCACCAACCATCTAAATCCAACATCCACCTCGGCACGGAGTATAGGTAGTAAGTAGTGTGGTTCAACGGTTCAACCATCCCCAAGCAACTCCATTCCTCGTATCTTGATACGAACATACGTATACGCAGTAGAGGTATGTAGGACACTGTAACGCCCTTCCAAACTCTATCTCCCACATAGTCTAGCCCGCCCATCTACCTACCTCCCACCTATCTACTCTACTCCATACACTACCTAGAATTCTGAAAGTTGAAACACCCCCATCAGTATCTCTAATACCTCTTACTAACACCTGTCGGAACAAGCCGATAAGAGAGTGGTCCACTATGCGTGAATCAACCAAACAGATCACAGAACCATTCTCAACTCATAACAACACTAATGTTGACAAGGGGATAGATGGACGGACGGATAACGGGTGTCGGAGGTTCGAGTGATACTTGGTCCGGCATACCGGGATGAAAAGTTCCGTGCGTAATGCATGGGTGGATGGGTCTGGTCACGGACACGTACCTATATATTGGTTGCTGGGTACGGAGTATCTACTGATGGGGCATACTAGGTACTAGTACCTAGGTCCTACTTTTTTAGTGGGGATGGATGGAGGGAGGTATCTCGGACGAGGCTGTGAGGTGAGGTGACGAGGTCACCGTGGTTGTGGGTTGGAGGAGGGGAGTTCCCGATCCCTTGCCGATGGCGGCGGTCATGCGGTCTGGCCGGTCCAGGTCTCCCTTACAGGTACGGAGTACGGACAACTTTCTACGGACTACGGAGTACCGGCTTGTTAATCTGCTACTACAATTCTTGCTATATGTCCCTGTCCACCCTGTCACTAAATATTGCCTGCTATCGCTACATGGTCGACGGTCGAGCCCGCGCTGCGAGCCCGCCATTATGCTTTCATAACACAATAAACCAAATGCAAGTCGATAATAATGAGTATTAAGGGAAAGGAAAAATAGGTAGGTCTACCACTATACCAGTGCCGCTGCAGCGTTCTACAACGTTATGATAGCCCCGGTCGCGGGAATATCGGCACTGTGTCCAGTTGCTCCAAGCCTCCCATCGTACCTTGTTGACCGCTGGCTTGCCATCCTTGGCCTGTCTGCTGGTTCACAAAGGCACTTTGGCGGAAGGGATTCGTACTACCTGTAGGGTTTGGTCGGAGCGGTGCAGCTGCAGGAGGTTGCAACCCCTGCGACTGCGGTGGGGGGACAGAGGAAGCTCGAGCAAAAGGATTGGTTCCTGTTCGTTGAGCTTGGAGCGGCGCCGGCTGTTGCGGCACTTGCGGCTGCACCTGCGTCTGCGGGAAGGCTTGGGGAACACCGGCGTCGAACTGTGGGTTGGCCGTCGATAGGCGTCGTGCGAATGGGTTCGTATTTTGGCGGTTGATGGGGGCGGCAGGCATGGCCGATCCGGTCGGCGTGCTCATTAACATCGACTGCCTGAATGGGTTGGTTGACTGCGGTTGCAACTGCTGCTGCGCCATTGGCATCGGTTGCTGTTGTTGTTGGAATGCGCTAACATCATGTTGTGGGATGGGAGCGAGGTTGGTTTGGAATCCGTATGTCTGGGGCTGCGCCGAATAGCCGCCAAATCCTGCCCCTGTGTGGTTAGGCTGAAGGGGTTGGGGTGCTTGTTGCTGCTGCTGTCCAAACTGTTGGTTGTTTTGCGGCGCAAATTGCGTCCCAAAAGCTGCTTGCTGATCAAACCCGGTCGCTTGGGGCTGTTGGAAGCCCGTTGGCTGCGCGTAGAAAGCTGGCTGCTGCGGTGGAAAGCCGGTTTGCTGGAACTGCATCGCCTGGGGTTGCTGCTGCATTTGTGCCTGTTGAAACTGGTTGGGCTGGGCCATCGGCTGCTGGTTTTGTTCAATTGTATCGAAGAAGTCGATGAGATCTGGTGCAGCGGACTTCTGGGGATTCGGTTGTGTTTGAGGTCGAGCGGGCGTCGGATTCGAGTTGCTAACAAACCGATCTCCTGTCGCGTTCTTGGCCACAGGCGTAGGTGCTCCGCCACTCTTTCCTTCCTTTCGTGCCAGATATTCTCGCCGGCGGAGGTTGAAGTCCGGATCGTTGAGGTCGTCCTCCAGGAGTCGCGTCAAATCTGTAGAAGCATGTTTAAGCTTAGGTATTTCCAATCGTGTTGCAGATTGGAAATGCCTAGCAACTCCTAGGAACTTCACCACTTCCTCCGTCTGGGCGGTGAATGTCTTGTATATTTCCAATGCGCGTTCGCTGTCGGGTCGTGACATTTCGAAGTAATGCTCTGTCCGCAATCTAATAAGAACATGCCGCAGCTTGGCTTAGACAGGGCACCTACCCAGGACGTTTATTGTTCCTTCGTTCATGACCGAGTAGAGGGTCAAAAGATCCAAAGTCAGTAGGCGAAACGCGGTTAACGAGATTTCGTTCTCGACGTCGTCAGTAAGAAGCTAGAGTGGGTCAGCCACGACTGTCGTGATAGTAAAGGAAGGGAAAACACACGTCACACTTGAGCAGTGCGTGGATCTGGTGTTGAACTATTTCTGTTTCCCTCAGCAGACCCTTTTCAACCGTCAACCTTCTCATCCGACCCTGCCCGCTTCGTACGAAGTCGGTCTTTGTGTCCTCGAATGCTCTTGCGCGCGCAATGAGATAGTCGGAATATCTCCGGATATTATGGCCTTGCGACTGTACTATACCATCCATACGTCAGCGGTCGCCCTAATCGGTTCCAGATACCGCCGCCCACCTTCTGAAAATCCGCTGATCGCCAGTCTCCTAGGGTTCTCCGCCATATACTGTAAGGTGGCATCCAACTGCCCCTCCCTTATCATCAGGTGGACAACAATTAGAGCTTTGAAAACAATTGTCCATGTTGAATCGCGAAGCCGAAGCTGCAGGGTCCGGAAGATCTCTGCCACACCTGCCTCGCCTGTATGGGTCGCAACAAGGATATGTTCAATATATTTGGATTTGGGGGCGGCGAGCTGTTGATGAAACCGGGCCGTCAGCAATTGCGCAAGTCACCCCTGAAAAGCTGCGTGGCCTTGTACAGACCTTTATCTTGGTGGCTCCCTTCACCGACTTCTCGAAATTGTGAGACATGGTCAAGAATGGCTGTCCTCCGCTACAACGATTGGTTGGAAACAGAAATCAGGGGAGTGCGGTCGCGGAGTGGATTCAAGATGGAGGGGTTGAAAACGATAACCGGATCGATCGAGGATGAGAGAGGACAATAACTATAGTCGTGTTCTGATTGCTCTGCCCACACCAATGCCAAGAATAATCATGATGCGTCAAGTTTCCATGTCGCGAAACTGATCGATTCTTACGCAGGCTGTCAATAGTGGAGTGGGACGGGTCGAGGTGCCGACTTTAAGGAGAGTCGGAACGTTCGGTAATGACAGGGACGATCTGCCAGCGATTTCCCTGGAGAGAGGGTTGGAGGTCAAGGATTGAGTCGGGCACCCGAACAGGAGGGGAGAAACTGGGTGAATATGAGTCGAGGAGAGAGCTGCAGGCCGTCGGGGTGTTGGACTTCCAAGCGGCGTCGCAGTGGAGCGCCTTGTGTTGCACCCTAGGCTAGGAACCGCCTAGTGTGGTTTGGGTCGGCGCGATGATGTTATCCGATGAACTATAGTAGTCCTTCTCCAGCAGGTTAATTAGTGCCATGTGCATTCTACGGGGGAAAGTAAATGGAGAAAATCTGGATTTGGAATTATCACTTCATTTCCATCTCTTAGATCAAGTTTATCTGCCTGGATGTTGCAAGTCCTGGTCCTGAATCTAATGTTTCCACGGAAGGTCTTCTCACATGACCATGGTTATATATTTATTGTTACTATCCTTCCTCGCAGCCACTTCATCAAACACGCTGGAAGTATCAGAAGCAATACACACCACGGCTTTAATCATGGGGCTATTATCTCCAGCAACATTGCCAGTGGCCCACTTGTGGATACTCCAAAGATTGAGATTCCTGCCATTCATTGTTCCCCAACCCATATCCATTGGTGGTATTAATGCCGTGGACTTCCTCTTCCAACTACTTCTGCAAATTCCTATACCATCACGTTTCAGTGGAACTAAGCGCACACATCCCGCACAAAAATAGTATTATTTCCTACTCACCTTCCTACTCACTTTCCTGTGTCGACCCCTGGCTTTTACTGAAGCGTCTAGGATATTGACACCATGGACTTCCTCATCCAGCTTGCTCTGCAAATTTCTATACTATCATACTCCTCTCAGTAGAACTGAGCTCAAAATCTCATCCAAATAGAGCATTAATTACTACCTACTCACTCTCTTACTTAATTTCTCTTGATCATCCTACTCACCCTTTTCCTCACCTTTCTACTCACCATTCTGCTCACCATTCTACTCATCTTCCTGCTCATCCTCCTGTTCATCTTCCTGCTCATCTTCCTGCTCATCTTCCTGCTCATCTTCCTGCTCATCTTCCTGCTCATCTTCCTGCTCATCTTCCTGCTCATCTTCCTGCTCATCTTCCTGCTCATCTTCCTGCTCATCTTCCTGCTCATCTTCCTGCTCATCTTCCTGCTCATCTTCCTGCTCATCTTCCTGCTCATCTTTCTGCCTCGACCCCCCTGACTGGCTTCTGATCCAAAGCTTCCGTGTCAATCATCCTCATCCGATTCTATCCTTTTACGCATTGCACAAACAGCCCATGATCTCATTCTGCGATACCCGTTCATCGTCATGGGGTCCCCCATTGGCCTAAGCTACAAAATCCCGGTCCCAAAGAACAGATGGAGCTGGGAACAGAGGACTTTCCTCTGCTGCCTCCATGAATACTTCCGGAGAGACCGTAAAGTATTCAAAGACATTTTTAACCACGTTTTCGAATCACAAGTGAAAGAATGTGGACTAGTCGATGGAATCTCTTGGAGGGCGCTTGATTCTCAATGGCGGGAATTGGAGAGATTTTCATATCCGGAGTGGAGAGAGGTTCATCAAGCTTCACTCAGCGGGAACAGGCGTTGGCGTCCTATACTTGCACAGATAAAGAGGGCTGCAAGAGATCTCGGGCTTCACGTAGTCCAGAAGTATATCGATGAAAATTATACTCCTAGCTTTCGGCCAACTCCAACCCCGCCAGCTAACGTTCGGGATGCGCAGGCAAGTTTCGCATATAGGAAGAAGGAAACATGTTCACTGACCCACTCTAGAGCCCGAGTAACTCCGTGATACAGAGCCTTGAGGGAATGGTTGCTAGGGGCGAACAAGAGCAGCCAGAGTCAGAACTCATTGGTCCTACTCAAAACAACGCCAGCTTATGCAACGGCGGTGGCAAAGTATGCCTCTGGTGCGCGCAAGAACAAGCCACCAATGTACGGACTATCTGTGACCTGGGATCAAGACATGAACTAACAACGGCCTTAGGAAGAAATATCGGAACAGACGAGTTCGTCCAGGACTAAATCGAGTAATTCAGTGCCCCCGCTTCTTTACCGGTGGTCTAATATCGACAGCCAAGGCGTTAACTCGAAGAAGTTATTTCTGGCTGGTCTATTTGCAGATGGCCGCGAATATTTCTCCCCAGAAGATATTTCCTCGGAGGAGTTTTCTCAATACTTTTTGATACATGCCTACATCGAGGAAAAGCCAACACCATTCATATCAACATTTACATCAATGCTGTCCCCAGTACACAGAGCACTTCGGGGAAAAGAAGGCGCTATTATATCGATCATCGACACCAAAAAGCTAGACACTGCGTTATTTTCCGCACATGATAATTACAGAACACGTAACCTGCGCATCCGAGGTTATAATGGCGGAGGTGAGTGGTTGGTATGGGGAAGGATCCCCTCCGCTGCCATAATATGTGCTGTGAAAATAAGTACGATACAACAGCTAGCAGCGCAGCATTTTGAGATTGGAAAGTTACTCCAGCTTGCAAAGATAGCCTCTCATAAGTTCAACAGGAAGAAGCTGCATGAAGATCTAGCTAGAGGAGCTGGAAACCTCGACCGCGCCTCAGGTTTTGCGATAGGGAAATTCCTAGTATCTATTGGTCTTCCGTTGAAATTTAGAAAGGATGTCAGCGAAGGCTTAGTTCGTTCTTGGAGAGTGAAGAGAACAGGATCATGGGATACTTTCTACGAGGGATTGGATGCTGGCTATGGCCTCAATTCTAGACCATTTTCTGCCAGATCTAATGAAGCCGGGAGTCCGGAGCCTGTGTCTTATGAAAGTTCAGATGAAGATTCAGTCACTGAGTGTGGAGACGCAAGTGATGGCGAACTCGAGGCTTTGGCTGCCAGCTCCCCTTGCCCAAGGGGTCGCGGACAGACTGAAGATCATATCTATAACCAAACCCTCGAAAATACCCCAGAACAGAATTCTCACTCGAATCCCCACTGGTCCCCTCGGAAAAGCACAGGGCCAGATTCTGAATTGGCATTTAACGGAATCGCCGAGCCAGGAAACGACGACCTATTTGTTCAGCCCGGCTTTGACCAATCAGCAGAGCAAATGAGCGACTGGCCTGACGAGGATGAAGCCCAGGAACTGCTATCACTAACCACACCCTCATTCCGTCCGCTCATCGAGTTGTTCAACCCAGACACTGGTGGATGGGTTCAAGAACAGGCAGAGTTAAGACGGAATTTAGACGGTCAACCATCTAGCATGCAATCGGTTTCATTTCATGATATGCTGGGAATCCGTGGCATGTCTGATATTGAAAGCGACATACTATTCGACATTGAGAGGTGTTCCACTACAAGCATGTCTCGTGAGTCGTCAGAGGACATCATACCGCAGCATCGGTTCGCCGAAGATCGAGAACGCCGAAGACTCTGGCTTCAGAAGTGAACTCGCTCTTCCCATACTCCACTTTGTACGCCAGATGTGCACCACACCAATTCTATTCGCCCTCCAGACACTTATTGTCATGACATGGACGCTAAGATCGGTCCGTGAGATTAGTGGTGGTGGATGCGCATGTGTGGGGGATGCTTATCTGTGGGAGGCGATTTAGAATGGTACATATGGACGTGCACTAGAAGTATTTCAGGGGCTGGTGGCATATGTACATAAAAATATATTCAATGTAGTCGAATCAAAGTGACCTACTGACAATGCCGAAGGTTGGCGCCAAGTCAAGCACTGACTCGCGTTGATAGTAAATGATAGGGAATTATACGACCAGACTAGGATCCAAGACGCGGACGGTGACTTGATTTGCAAGGCCAACTTCAAAACTAGCATGTTCCCCGTGTTTTCCTCGAGACCTTGTACGGTGAAGTCTATGTGGGAGAATCAAAATAAATTTTTCATTGGATATTCCTTCCACAAGGGTACCTGGGACATGAAATCGTGAAACAATCCCAACCCGTAAACTATTCCGTTTATGTCCAGTCACGCCGCTGCCCTAGGTTTATCTTCCTCGCGAAAACACACCCTTCTTCATCGACACGCTTAGAACTTGGAGAAAGCCTTGACGGCCTTGCCGGTACGGGGAAGGACGCGGAGGACGTTGAAGCGGACCTGAAAGCGGTATGTTAGCACATCCGACCTATACTTATGCGAGTCATGCGGGGAATATATTCGGTAGCGCCTGGTGCCATGCTCATTCTCTTTCAAGTTGAAAGACATGTATTCGCCACCCAGCGATACCGAAGATAATCCCAAGGACGGTTCACATACAGTCTTGCTCAGAGGGCGGCACTGGCCGACGGTGACCCAGTCACCTTCCTCAACACGGAAAGCGGGAGAGACGTGGGCGGCAAGGTTCTTGTGTCTCTTCTCGTAACGGTTGTACTTGGGGACGTAGTGGAGGTATTCACGGCGGATGACGATGGTACGGTGCATCTTGGTGGAGACGACACGGCCGGTCAGGATACGGCCACGGATGGAAACGAGACCGGTGAAGGGGCACTTCTTGTCTGTTCGATATCAGTGATCTGTAATCCACCTAGCTATGGATACCACGACTGATCTTCCGGAGCCTTGAAGAGATGAGAATAACCGAGATCCGCGATATGTCCAATGTCTTCCAGCTCCGCTCACAAAATCCTTTCTCTTGTCGCATTCCATCCCGATCATTTGCACCAAGTAGTTGCATCATATCGTAGACTTATGCTGGCGCTCTCCATGCACCACGCGGCGGATTCTCATCTCCAAAAAGCCCTGAAAGATTCCCAGCCGGTCCCGCAAAATTCGGAAGTCGATAACCCCGCAAAAATTCAACATAGGTCGTGCATACCGATGTAGCTGCCCTCAATGGCGGCCTTGGGGGTACGGAAACCGAGACCGACATCCTTGTACCATCTGCGGCCGGTGCCAACCTTCTTGCTCTTCGCCTGAGACTTGGGGTTGACGAAGATGTGAGGCTGCTTCTGGAACGCACGTTCCGACTGGACGGTCAACTCGGTCGCCATTGTTGCGAGAATTCAGTCCGACGAGGAAGCGAAGTCGAGCTGGGTGATAAATTCGTCGCGAAGGGTGGGTGTCGGGGGCCTGCGGTGGTCGACGTCGATGTTGGAGAAGATTTATTCGAGGATGGCGGATATTCGTCCTGTGAGTGTGCGATGGGGGCGCTAGCCTCCTTTGGGACTCGGCTAGGGCTATCCGTTTTGGTTTGTTTACATCCCCCGATCACATGAGCGGCGGCCGGGTGACGCGCGGAGCGGCGGGTCGAGGCCATCATTGACGGATCTTCTCGCCCCATCATGTTATGATTGTTGTTGTTGTCGTGGTTGTTGCTCGAACCCTTGCCCGGAGGTTTTTTACGCTTCACCTTCTCCTCGTCTATGTCCTCCCCTTCTTATTTAACCCATGGCGTCCCGAAGTGACTCCGCGGGGTCTTCCCGCCCCCGATCTCGTCGCTCTATCGCCCATGTCCCTCGATCGCAGTTGACCTCTGCTCTTGAAAAGGAAAATGCGACCACAAGCATTAGCTCATCTCAACCCATCGGGGAGCGCCCGAAGCTTGCAGGGAAAGACAAGAAGTCTCGCAGTAAGAGTCTGGGACCTGGTGGTCTAGATGCGCTCCAGGATTCAAATGGCAATCGACGCAAGGTAGCCCCCCACTCTGCCTTTCGATATCCTTATCCGTCTTTCATACTAAGAAGCAACCCGTCGCGTTGAAGTCTACTGCAGCCTTTCCTCTCAAGTCGATCCTGAAACCCACGGTTCCCGTCTCTCCCGTGCGCAACATCCCCACGTTTGAGGAAACACGCAGACGAACGCCCGCGCGCGGACCATCCCACAATGACGGCACCGGTGAAGGTCAAGATCAGGGCAAAGAGGGCCTGCTGATTGACTTCGACACCCCGGCGCAACCTTCCGCCTCTAATGGCGATGACCGGGCCAATCCTTTCGACAGCTTCAATGCCGAGTCAATTCGTGATGAGATGGCCGCCGTAAGAGAGCGAGAAGAGAAGGAACAGCGAGAGCGAGAGCGAAAGATGATCCTTCAACAAAGAGAGGCGCGCCGGAAATCGATGGGTACGTGGCCGTGGCCTTTTTGATTTTAGCATTAGGCTGACCGATTGCGACAGCAAACCGCCGTGTATCATTTGCCCCCGAAGCAACATTGCACACGTGGAATGTGGTGGAGATACCTGACGACTCGACCTCTTCGTCTACTTCCAACTCAACAAGGCGTGCATCTTCCCTGGCAAACCAGACGCCTCAGAACCAAGCTGGGCCGACCGATCCTCCTTCTTCCCCCGATCTGGACGCAGAATCAGACATTGGCTTTTCACCCGTTCAGTATCCGGATCTACAGCAGCTTCAAAATCGCTCAATGTCTTCGCAGGAAATGTCTTCGAGCCCATTTAGTGGGAGCTCGGCGGACGGCAGTGAAGACACTGGGTTACAAGGCATGCAGGACGATATCGACGATGACGATGACGATGACGATAATTCATCAACTTCTGGTTTCGACGGCGAGAGTACTGCGATGAGTATGGATGACATGTCGGTTCATTCTGCAGTAACAGCACGATCAGATGGGTCTGAGACCAGCTCCAGTGCTCGGTTGAATGAAGCTCTACGGCAAGCAGCTCGGGAAGCAGGCACACGCGGGATTGAAGAAGATGACGACGGTGATATGTCGATGGAAATCGCCGATCAGGAGATCACTGGTGCCTTTCAACCGTGGATCAAGAAGGGAGAACGCCAAAGTTTCGACTGGGAAGATATCAGCGCCCGGCATGACCAAGAAAACGTTCAACCTTCAGAGTCCGTGGCCGGTCAACCGGCCGTTGCGGATGCGCCAAGCGACAACGAGGATGAGGACCTCAGTATGGATGTAACCAATGCGATTGGACGCATTTTGCCTGGTCAGCGAAGTCGTCGTCAGAGCACACTCCGTCGCAAGTCTACTAGCGAAGAGACCATCTACGACGAACAAACAATGGAGCTAACCAATGTTATCGGAGGTATTGCGCAACCGATTTCTCCTGCCAGATCTATGGGAGCCGACAGCAACGCCGACGAAGATGAAGGGATGACCATGGAGTTCACGTCAGTCGTGGGTGGTGTTTTGAGCAAACCATTTACGGCCAATGAAGCCGACAAGAACGACCACGACCAAGCAGAATCCTTCACACCAATCACCAAACCACGAAGTTTATCTGAGTGGGACAATGAGGATGACATGGACGACGGCATGGATATGGAGATCACTGGAGCTATTGGTGGCATACTTCCCGCAGCCGAAGAGCACGATGAACCAGAGAACGATGAACCAATGGATGAGGACCAAACTGAGGGTATGGAAGTCACGGCCGCGGTGGGTAAGATTCTATCTCGAGCAGAACCCCAAGGTAGAGATGAAGCCGAAGAAGCAATGGAAGTTGAACCAGATGCAGCTCGCCAGGATAGCTCGCCTTTCCAGGAGTCCGCTCGGCAGTCGCCTGCAAAATCACCGGCTTCTTTCCATGTTGCAGCTGTTGCTTCAGAAAGTGGGAGCCCTAGTCTGGCGAGTGTGAGATCCAGACGTACAAGGTATAGCTTAAGCCATGCCGCCTCAAGCACACCGATTTCGCATACACCGGAGCTATCTCCAAACAAGGATTCATTATCTCCTCCAAAGCAGTCGACGCCGCAGGTCAGCGGTCTTTCGCCACCTGCTACTACATTGCCGAACTCTACGGATCTCAAAAGTCCATCGCCCGAGAACCTCTCGCAGCCGGAGCCTCCAGTGCCCACAAGCGAAAGAAGATCCCCAAGGCGCAAAAGCCTTTTCGGGAATGCTGCTACAGGAGAATCCGCTCCCCTGTTTGTCCTGCAACCCCATGGAAAGAGGCGGTCCTCTGGTCTTGGGATCGATAGAGAAGGGCTTGGGTCACCCAAGGTGGCTGCTATGCTTGACAAACGTCGGTCGATTGGTGAAGAGGTACCACAATTCGTCCCCCAGGAACAGCCAAAACAGGGCGTGCGCTTTGAAGATCCCGTGAAACTCCAGGAGGAGGTCGAGAGAGAACGCGAAGAGGAGGAGAATCGGGAGGATGGGCATATCCCACCCCCCAATCTAGACCCCACGGCTAACCTGAAAGACATGATCTCAAGCCTTACACCGAAAAAGAATAAGTTGCGTGGTAGGAAGAGCTTGCATGTTGGTGCCGCTCGTGGCGTCCTCGGTAAACGGCCCGTGGAGCTGGATATAGACGATGAAGACGTCGATAACACACCTAAGCGCCTGAGGGGCCGTGTGGACGTGAGTCCGGTGAAGAATATCAGGCTTCCTGCACCACCGTCCAAGGATGAAACAGTTGGCCGCGCCGCTCGCTCTCCTCTCAAGCTTTTCAGTGGATCTCCGTTGAAGATGAGCACTACTCCTAGCCAGGAATCCAAAGGCAGCTCTTTGGCAATCAGTCCGGCGAAAATTGGATTGGAGTCCTCGAAGTCACCATTGGGCGTCGAATCAACGGAAGAACAGGAACCTGTTGTTGAAGATTCGGGCCCCGAATCGGAACCCATACAGTTGCAGGATTTCCTAAACATGACCAACATTCACTTCATGGAGCTCACAACAACAAAGAGGCGGCACACAACTGCACCTGACAGCGCCACCAAACGAGCAATGAGACTTTCGACCGAAAGTCAGGCCAACTCAAGCGCTTCTAGCTTTGAAGCCTGTGTGGCAGCTGGGTTCTGCACCGTACCCATGCTCGAGCTATATCAGCATGTAGGCTTCTGCTCTTCTATTTTATTCATTCTTGTTGTCTAACTAACGACTGTCCAGTCTTGTCGGGAACTGAAATCCTACATTTCTGAAGGCAGACAGATCATTCGATCCATTGAAACCGAAACTTTTGCCGACAATCCGCCACTGTTCCGTGAATACATGACGGCTCCTCCCGACATCCGTCTGCTGATGGACAACCAATTCCGCAATGTCAAGACCCACGCTAGACTTCTCAGCAAAGCCACGTGGTACGAGTGGCGCATGAAGCTTCTAGAGGGTTTGAAAGACGGACTTGACCGGCATGTGCAGGAAATGAAGGCGGACGGTGATCTTCTGTCGAAACATGAAACCCTTCTCGGCGATGTCGTTCCCGCCCTCGTTGAAAAGCATTCTACCCTTGAGGAAGAAGCCACAAGACTACAACAGCTCGCAGACGAAATGGAAAACTGTGACCAAGATGAACTGCACAGTGCAAGAGAGAAGCTCGTTGACATAGAAGCGGAGATCGAGGAAAGGAAGAGACAACTCCAGGAGATGCAAGACGAACTCAAAGACAAGACAGACACCATCGAGTCTGGCACCAAGCTCAAAGCAGAATACACAGCCCAGATCCAGGAAGCGGAAAGAATCAAGGAAGAATGCCGAGGCTGGAGCGCCAAAGAGATCAGCGAGCTGAAAGAATCCGTCCGCAACCTTGAGCGCCAGACAGGCTGGGGCATCATCTCAGCGACCTCCACGGAGGAATCCCCCGCAGGCCCAACAGTGACCATGACCTACCGCAGCCAGCTCCAACTCACCTTCCACCCGGCCTCATTCCACACCACGAGCGATACCCAGACTCCACCCCCGGAGCTGAAATACGTCCCTACAAACGACAGCAAACGCCCCATCCCGACCCCCCAGCTCTCACCAATCTCCCTCCTCGTCCTCAAATCCCTCCAAAACCACATCACAACCACCCAGCCCTCCACCATCACCCCCAAACAACTCCTCCACTTCATCTCCCAAGCCTGGGACCTCACCCTCAAACTGGAAGAAGAAGCCCGCATGCTCGAATTCTGCGGCGTGACCAAGCTCAAACTTCTCGACGTCGAAAACACCCCTTCCCTCCGGGCCCGGTGCACCCTTCTCGGCCCCATCACCAAGTCCTCCACCAAGCGCCGCATCGACGTCGACTTTGCCGTCAAAACACAAATCCTGCACAACCATGAACAACAGACCGGACAAATCGGCACTCTGGATATCCAGACTGATGTTCTCGCTAGTAAAGTCTACGGCTTTGGATCCGGTAACGAGGCGGGGATTTCGGAGACTGAGATGCGGAGTATCCTTGAAGTGGAAATACCTGATATTAAGCTGGGTGGTGGGGTTTGGAGTACGGCGGTTCGGAAACTTACTGGGGCGGTGTTTTAGTGGCGTGATCTGGTTGGTGGTCTTACTTACCTTGTTGTAAGGATTCATCGAGGGATAAGTGGGGGTTCTTTTTCGAATTCGTTCTGTAGTTATTTTTTAATTATCTATATGGGTGGGCTGGGGATGGTGTTTCGTTTGGTTGGTCGGCGATGGGTTCATGGGATGGAATGGGGGTTATTTCAATGCGTTCGGGTTGTTTACTAATAGTGCTGGTGTTGTACAACTGGAATAAATATCCTACGGTTTCTTTCATTACAATAGTCCATTTATCCATCCCTCCCTCCCTCCATCCATCCATCCATCCGAGAAGATATAGATAATTAGATATGTATGTAGTCAGTCGTCAGTCATGCTTGCAAGGTATGTGGTATGTGGTATGTAAATTTCTTGCCCCATTCATTTCAACAAATCAGCCTGGCTGGATAGGATAGGAAGGTGATTATTCAAGGCTGGAAGTTATAGGGATTCGAATACGTCGTCCCGTTCATCCACATTCCATTAAGTTGCATTTGCTGTCCCGTCCCGGTGTGCTGCTGATTGCGGGTCCGAGTTTGATTCGGATTCTGCGTTTGGGGCATGGGACCGCCATAGGCGAACTCCATGGGCGCTGGTGCCATTGCCATTGGTTGGGTGGGGAGTTGGGGCTGGTGTTGAGGTTGAGGCTGAGGTTGAAAGCCGTTACCGCCGGTTGTGCCCATTTGCTCTGGGAAGATGTAGTTCAGGTCGGGCCCGAAGAGGTTGCCTAGGGCTTGTGGTGTGATTTCCCAGTCTGCTGTTAAGGGGATTTGCCAGAGTTCGGGCTGAGAGAAGTTGAAGCCATCGCTGTTGACTGTTATCGGGAAGAAGGTGCTTTGAAGGTTGTAGGGGGTTGTTGACGTTGTTGTGGTATTGTAGGGTTGGGAGGGAGGAGGGGGTTGAGAGAGCGGCTGCGTGGGGATGGTTGTGGCAGGGAGGGAGAGGGTTGGTTCTGGTGTTGGACTGGGACTTAGGTTGTCGGGGATGACGTAGCCGGAGGAGTTGACCGGGGGGAGACCTTCGAGGTTTGGGATGTCGATGTTCATGGAGTAGACAGGGGATGACGAGGGTGGGTTTGAGTGGGACTTGTGATGGGTGGTTGTGTGAGAGGGGTTAGGGGATGTGGAACGCGTGGGTTTGGTGGAGGTGCTGTTTGTGCGAGACGCGCTGTGGCGTTTGGTTTCCGGCTTGACAGCCTTCTGGGTTCGCTCGAGGACAGCCCGGGCTACACGCTCGAAATTGGCACACATCTTCGTCATGAATCGCGCGTAGTGACAAGGCCCGTCGCCTGGGATGAGAGTTGCGAAGAACGTCGCCGCCATGTTAAGGGATTGTAGATCGTCTTTGGCTTTCTCGTCGTGTGGCTCTCGTAGAATACTCACGAAGATGTTCATCACTGCCAAAAAGATGTAGTACAATAGGGACCTGCGTGGTGTTAGTGACGAATACCGCCGCAGAGACTGATCTGGGTTTGCTCACCATATCCAGGCAATATCTCCCCATGGAAGGTTGTTGACTAGTCTCACTGTGTCTCGTGCGGCTTGGACACAAACCGCAGAAGATGCAGTTGCCTCTCGCATGATTAAATCGTGATCCATCGGAGGAGGGTCCCCTTTTGCGATGTAGTGCGCCGACGCGAACTGAATCATCAGAGGCAGACGATGGATCATAATCATGGTATTGTAATAGACGAATTGCAGTCCTGCCGAAGCAAATCCTATCAGGAAGTCCTCACCAGCACCTCTTTGCTTCATTCGAAATTCGAATGAATTGACGCGCTTCCATTCCTCAAGCTCTTCGTGTAATTCCCGAATGTTGTCGTAGATCTCCTCGGGCGCCTTGTTTTCTAAGGCTTTGGCCGAATACAGTTTGCTGAACACTCGACTCTTGATCAAGGTGAGCTGGCAAAGCTGGCGGAAAAACGAGCTGTCGCGAGCTTTCACAAAGGCATCCCCAGAGTTCTCGGCAGGGAAATCGACGTCAAAGTCTTCGTAATGCTGGGCCGGGGCGCTTCCTGATCGAACACATGAACTGTAAAGGGGCTCAGACTTAGCAATGTTCAGAGTATGGTTTTTGAGGCCTTCATTTGCTTACCTTTGGTCGAGGATATAGGCGATCCAGAATACCCTCCTTCGCTGCTCCTGCTCCACCGGGGTGAGGTAAGGTCTTGGAATGTCGCGATGTAGGCCCATCCGCTGGCAAATCCGCATGGCTGCCGTGATGATCGGTAATGCCGACTGGGTCCCGGAATTCCCACGAAGAAAGAATGCCATGCCTAGAAGGGCCTGCACGCTTAGGAGGTCAGTTCGTCGCAGAGAAAGCTCTGCGAAGACAGACATTGCGTTCTTATAGTAGAGCCACGCCCGTTCCCTATCTTTCTCTGACTTCTGGCAGTTGGAGAATCGGTACTCGTAAGCTAAAGAGAGAATGATATTGATGCTAGCCCACCGGGCAGCGTCATCGCACGTTTGTTGGGTGTATTGCCACTCCACGAGCTGCATGAATGTCGGCTCATGGTAAAGCGGAAATAGGCGGTTTACCGTGCGAAAATAATCGCGCAGCAGGGTAAAGACCTCTGCTCTCGGGGGCAGCGGCTTAAACACCTGTGAGGCAAACAGGTCATGGAATACCTCCGGTCGCCAGGCATCCCAGGCATTGTCTCGACTCGAATCGGAGAATACGACGCTGAGAGGCTTGGCTTCGCCCGTCTTGCTCTGAATCCACTCAAGTGCCTCCCGCGATAATATGGATAAGAAGGAGGACCGACCTAATGTTAGGTTAGCAACACGTCTGAAGTAGGAGACATAGGATATGGAATGGCTGGCGTACCGTAGTACCTCGAGTCCTCGCGGCTATCCATCTTGAACACGGGAGCATGGGTGTGAGCACAGACTTGCGATGTCGAGCACCCGCCTTCAGGGACACTGGATAAATTGCTCGGGCCAATGGACTGACGGGCGTCTGCTGCATCCGATCTATTACCCGCGTCTCCCCCGGTTGGCGCACGGAACTGGGGGTGATCAGAGTCCCTCGAGCCAGGCGAGGTCAAGACCGCAGAACTACGCCTACTAGAGACCTCACGGGGACTAAAATAGGGAGAGATCGACTCTTCCTCGGAGTCACTTCGGGAGTCGACCTTTTTATCTTCATCTTCCTCACTGGGCTCATCATCTAGGCTCATTAGGTCATCGCTAAAAAGACCGGCGGCTCTGAGGATGGACTCTGTCTGTCGAACTCGATTTTCCAGAGTTCTTACATAGTGCGTCCTGGGTGGTTTCTTTTAGCAACGTCTTCATTATCAAGGCGAGGAGTAGATGGGTACCTTTTCAGGTCTTCTCTTTTCTCTTTTCTCGAGGTGAATTTGCAGGCTGTATTGCGACGCAGACATTGTATACATGTTGCATTGGACCCTTCAACCTCGCATCTGATCTTTTTTTTGTAACATGCCTCACACGCCTGTCACAACAAGCTTTAGTGAGGTGCCCCCGAAAATGGGAAGGATGGGCTTACCAGTGGGTTGCGCCTGCGGATCCCTAGATCATGACCGTTGGAGGCCGCGCTCTTCTGGGGAATGAGAGGGTTATCTTGCACTCTCCAAGAGGGCGAGAATCCGGCAGCTAGTTTTGGGTTCTGCATGGCTTTGTATAAACCAAGCAGCTGGGTACTGTGACCATGAGTAAGGCAGGCCCATAGGGGGGCTTAGTGGACCGGATGGAGACGGCGAGCAACCAGTCGTGTTGTCGGTTATCCAAGCACTAGAAGGTCATGCCCAAGATTGATTGGCTGGAAGAAGCGAGGACACAAGACCTAGGGGGCAAAAACGAACAGGAAACTAAGAATTCAAGGCACTCCAACGGCACGAGCAATATACAGGAAGGCAGAGGTTCGGGAGCTGACGGCGCGCGAATGACAGCGCTACACGCGATGGATCGAGTATGGGAGAACCGGTCCCGCTTAGCGCTGGAGGGTCGAGCTGAGTGGCGTGCAGCTTATTTCCTCCGGATGGCACAGGAAAGGGGGAACGCCTTGGGGAAGTCCAACGCAACTGGGAAGACGGTTGAGAATGTAGGGACGACCTGTCAGATACTGAGCTCGTGAACAATCGCTCCCTTCTGCTAATATCCAGCAAACACGAGCAGATGACCAACGTCGGGCAAGAGTTTTCTTTTTTCCCTTGACGGCCAACCGAGGGTCATCGCCAAGATTATTAATGAGTCTCGAGCCTTTTGAGGCGCTCGGCGGTCGGCACTCGGTCGCTTCCGTATCCGGCGGGCTCGTAGCCTCGTAGGCGCCAAATGGCTCCATCTCAGTCGGTTCCAGCTAAGGATTCTATCTCCGACTCTTCCTACAGTGATTCTGTGTAAATTGGTACACCCTTTTGCAGTCTTCCTAAGTCAACTCGATCGGCTGATTCCATATGAGGAGCACCGTGGCGAAGCTGTCCTTGTAAAGTCAAGCGCTTTGACCTATGTCCGTGGTTTCTAGGCATTGAATCAATTGCCATAGCTCGAAGATCGCAATAATTATCCCCGTCAGCTAGCTCTATAAACCAACAATGCTTGTTTGCTTGCAGATGTCACGATTGCTTGCCTCTCATCGCTCTGATACTCACAGATACACAGTATAATTAGTTTCGGCCGGGCTGAATATTTCTCCTTTATGCCCTGGTAGCGTAACATTGACCTGCTTGGGGGCACTGATAAATTCAGATGTGTCTCTACCAATACGCGGTGCTGCTCCTCGACTCTGAAAGTATCCGGCAAGGTCCCTGCCCAAAGTCTGCGACATGGGAAACGTAGCATTTTTCGTTACGTCAGATAGACTCAAAGGGCCTCAGACTCTCATCGTTTTTGCTATCGCATCGCGGGAGGTACGAACGTCACTGAATTGAATGCTTCGAGATAACCAGTCACTCGGTCTCAAGTCCACCACGCCAGTTGGATATATACTTTTAAGTAGGAATAAAATCTATCTATTGCCAGAAGGCCACAATCAGTAGAAGCACACGATAGGGAATTGATGCAAGTGATCGTCTGGACTGGTGGCCTTACCATCTTTATAGCCGTTGCAGAGCCAAGGTTAAACTGAGGCCAGTGTCGGATCAGATAAAGCCCGCCTCGCATCTCATTCGGACCTTTTGTGAAGGAATGCACGATCTCCCCGCATTTTGTGGAAGATGCAGAGTGTTTTCCCCGATGAGCTGGAGTCGCCTAGTGTACCCAGTAGGACGCATCGAATCCTGACGCGTCATCCCAGACGTGGAATGACCGATAGCCGCATGCTTATCGGTTCAATAAGTGACCCGAAGCTTAGTGCAAGAGCCAATTCCGGTGGTAGTACGGAGTACAAAGTACACGATCAGCGTTCTGTTGTTCTTTTGGCCTCGACTGTCATGTCTCTGCTGTCAATGTAATGCTCGCCATCAGGAGATAACCATAGTCTTAGGCCAGGGGTTGCCTGCCCCCACAGGCAGCCCAGGTAGAAGAAGCAAATACACGAGAAAAATGAAAGATGTAGAGGAATGGCCGAAGGGGAGAAGGATTGTAACCTCTGCCGCTAAGGATGGTCCACGTGTTAAGCAGCCGGGACAGTCATTCCTTACCATCTTGGACTCGGCGACACACATACTAACTGAAGACAGCCACTGCCCATGGATCTCGTCTCTTTCAAACTGCCATTGTGGTGCGCTTACAAACGATTACGGCTCCCCACCAACCGGTCTCATAGATCTATGATCCAGCCAAATTGAAAATGGCTCTCTCTGGCAGTGCGCATTAGACGCTGGCACTCTACGACCTCTCCAGGCCTAGCTTTGCATAGTATAAGACGCCAACGAAGGCCTCAAAGGTCTAGAAAGACCCAATGAACTCAAAAAATGCGAATGATGCGGTCCGGAACGAAATATCGCGCCGCCACGTTGGAACTATGCCTGGTCTCGATGCCACCATGGACGATGGAGGGCGACAGTGGGTAAGTCGATGGTCCAAAAGGGAAAGAAGAACCGTGTTGAATGGGTTTAATCAGCCTTGCCACTGGACGAGCACGACATCCAGATGGTACACAGGAGAAGCCACCGGTATGCACTACGAATACCGATTATAGATTTAGCAGGCAGTAAGAACAGTGCAGTCCGAGGCACGAAATCATAGTGGAGAACCGACTGGCAACGGCGCAGCAGATGTGGGTAGCTAGTCGGGTCAGACGCGGAAAAATCTATTTGGTCGTCGATGCGAATGGAATTTTTTACGTACATAGTGTGCATGGTTGAGCTGTTGGTTCACTGTGGCGTCGCAAGAGGGTCCCGGGGAGAGGGCCATTCTCCATAGCGTAGAGACTGCTCCGTAGACCGTGTACTATGTCTTATTGCCTTGGGATTTGTGGTGCTCCCAGAGTTCCAGCCTTTCGCTGACAGCCAGACGCAGTGGATACGAGGGGAGGCATCGGAGGACTCCGTAAATCAGGGACCATCATTCTAGCCAGTCAACACTCTGGATTTGTGGTCCCGAGGAGAAACCATTGCAATTGGCGGCCATAGCATGATCAAGATCATGCACCTTGCGGGTATTGTGCAATATGTGCTGGTGCAAAGGAAGCATTTTGATGCGCTTAGTCAAATCGGGTCAAAAGTCCAACCCATCCTTGAGTTGGAGACAGATCTCCTACGGCATATGTCTGGGAATTGGGAGGAAGTACAGTCGATCGGTCAGATCATATCCAAGCCAATACTGTGTACGGCCACCACACCAGCACATGAGGTCACTTCCCGCCGTGGAGCGCGGGGAAAGAAGTAGGTACTTTCCGGCCGGAGCAGAGAGCAGGGAACCGAGATGGATTCAGGAGACCGAAACGCCAAGCCCTCAAGCTATCCAGATTCCATCAAAGTTGCAGGAATTGACGGCCGGGTTGTCCGCGTCATTTGGCAACGCGTTTGAATGGTTGTGATTTGCTCCGGGGAGAAATGAAACGGGAGCATCCCAGGGCTCGAACCAGGCGCATTTTGCTAGCAGTGGAGTTCCGAGTTCTGGCTCAGGAAGCGTGGACTGGGCGTGAATAACGATATTAATATCTGGGAGGAGGAGCGGCTCGGGGGTTGGGATTGGCTCATCGCCAGCCCCTGGTGGAAGCTAGACCGAAGACCACCGCACTAATCTGCGGCGGATGATGTAGTTGGAGATGCGAGGACGCCGTATGGTCCGCGTAACGGCGATGCCCCCAGTGTCTTCCACCGAGGACGCTGTGATAGTAAACCTCTGATACGGGACGGTATTCCAATTACCAACTCCCCTGTGCCGTGGCTCTTCCCCTTTTCAGCCGTTTGATGGGCGGGAGGGGACTCGGACGGCGTTCGCCTTTGGCTACTACCTACCTTTCCTCCGGGCGATGATCGAGCAGGTTGACGTCCGCATGAGGCCCTCTTCTTCTTTGTGGCTTTCTGGAAGACTTTCTTCCCCAATCTTTTCTATATTTCATTTCCCCCCTTTCCTTTCCTTTCCCTTCCCTTGATACTTTTCAATATCTTTCCCGCTCTCCGTGCCCTCTCTCTCCGCAACAGTCCGCCCGAAAGCGGTGAAATTGTTTGGCCTCTTCCGAGGTTGTGGCCAGCCAACCACAGAGCGCGATCACGACATTTCTCCATTCTATCAGATCATCCGCTAGCCTTGCCCGGGCATGAGACGATCACCACAGCTGCGCAGTCCTTGGTGCTTATTCCCCGGCCTGACGCTCTGTTTTCTCATCTTTTCGTCCTGGTGATACATGGTCCGGTTGCTGGTCCTTTCCTCCTGGCTCCCTACCCCCCTCTCTTAATCTGGCCACCCTTGGTCTCGATCCACACAACCTCGCTCAGTGCTCGTGCTTCTGCGTACGTGGCTAGCCGTCCCGGGCCATGCCATAGTGATGGAGTGAATGCAGAACAGATATCTTTGCTACAAGTCACCCAATCTGCGACCTGTGAAATTCCTGCCCTCCTGTATTATTTCCCCTCCCTTGGCTGATCTGGGGTTCGACATTGGCTTGAGTCTCTGTCTATCGTTGTACCGCCGGTGGTCACCTAAACTACTTCTGGCTCTTGCTTTGCCGGGACGCAGCCACCAAAGCAATCTGGGGGCAACCGGTTACGAAAAATAAAAATACCAAAAAACGAACCTAATTTAGAGGGTGAGGACCGGAATCCCTCTAAATACCTCCTCCACAGCCAATATGTCAGATGAGCACCTCGCTCGTCAGACAGCCTCGAGCTTCGATAGGCTCGAAAACTTCAACTTCCTCCTCTCTCGACACGATCCTAACCTAGCTAAAAGTCGACACTATTCCTTTGACGCAGATTCCACCGGCCTGGCTGCCTTTTCGAATCTGAACATGGATTACGATCAGACGGAAGGGATGGGCGGGCTCTCCGTCAGTTCCTACGATAGCATCGAGGATGAACGCAGCCCGATCGATGTGCGAGGATACCCGTATCATGGTAAGTCTAAGATTTATGACTCTCATCGCTGCATTGTTTGCGCAATTTTCGCCGTTTGTGGTTCGCTTTGATTTCACTAGCCCTACGGCATTGGATGGGTTGTCTTGCTTGAGCTGCTGTGGGAGCGCATGTAACCGCAGCAGCTATTTCCTGTTGCTCGTGACGGAATTCCCTTCATGATCCTCTCTGCGTCTTTTAATTCTGGCTGCCTGGTGATGGCCTATACGTGATTCTGTAACCCTTATACCTTTGCCTCTACGGGGTACTCGACTGTCAATTTCGCTTCATTGTGAAATTCCTTTTGCCACCGACTATTTCATTCCTCCCTGATCCTTTTTTCCAAGCTTTTCTTTCGTTCCCTCGAGAAATTGGTGGGTGTTCATGCGTATGTTGGGTTGAGCGCTCTATTCGAGCACGCAATCCATCACACCAATGACAACGTCGGGAGCCCTGTCGTTAACGGACCCTTATTCCGAGCTTACTCCCCTTGATCATCCAAGACCCCCTTCAAGAGTTCCATGATTCCCTTGCTTCTGTTTTTTGTTCTAAGGATCAACCCTTTCACTTGCCTTGTCTATACTACTTCCTGACTTGGACCTCACCACCTACCTACTTGTTGGTGATAAGCCTATTGACCGCTCTATACCAGATCAAATGCTGTCCTACTCAGCTCATCCTATCTATCCACCTATTTCATATGGACCCCCTGATGATCTGGGGCCCGGGGGTGCTATGACACCCTCGGATGTCTCCTCTTCGATATCACCCCCAAACGGCCACATCAACCACAGCAAGTACAGCACGCAAATTCCTGGCGACCACCTTGCCTCCGCCCTTGGTCAGGAAGAGTCCGTCCGCCGTGCTGCCGAAGAAGACCGGCGCCGCCGAAACACGGCTGCCAGTGCCAGGTTTCGCATGAAGAAGAAACAACGCGAACAGACTCTCGAACGTACAGTGCGCGAGACTACTGAGAAGAACGCCACCCTTGAGGCGCGCGTGGCACAGCTCGAAATGGAGAACCGATGGTTGAAGAATCTCTTGACCGAGAAACATGAAGCCAGCTCTACCCGACTGGCTCCCCCGAGTGACAGCACAGCCTTGACGTCCCAAGGTACCAACGCTACTGGACCGGGACAAAAACATATCCAGCCAAAAAAGAAGGGTGTCGGCACCGACAACTGAAGACTAAAGCAAAGAAGTCGCATACTTTTTCTTTCGAGCTTCTCATCGTTATCAGTTCGATTTTCCCTGGGGGATCTGCATGAGTTATTTCCGGGCTCATTGTTCGGATGGCCCTTTTCGCATCTGTTTTCGTGTCCCTCATTTAGGCTGGTTGTCCGTCCTAGGATGGAGTCAGATGACGATGTAATGACCTGTTTCCGTTGTTCTTTTATCTCCTGTCTGTGTTCGAAGTTGAGGGTTTGCGGGTCGTCTTCAGCTGGTTCGGTATAATTCAAGGGCCATGGACGTGGTTTCGATTTGGTTGTGAGTTTCAGCGGGATGGGTCAGGGATAGAGTCCTCTGTGCCCTTTCATAAATATCTCCCCGCAATCGGAGTACTGGGAAGGTTACAGTTGTCTATTGTATTTTCTTTCGTTGAATGCATTGACCGGCCTATATCAATGGTGGTCGACTATTTTACACGGTTCTAAACTATACACAGTACATGCCAAAGGCAGCGAGCGAGCGACAATGAAGCATACTTTATCTTACTCCTGACATCTCATCAGACAGTGAGCAAAACATCCCAACCTTTCATACCTTCATACAAACCAAACTAGATAGGTAGTAGCACAAGTGATACTCCGTACATTCACTATGTGATAGTTATCTACGTAGTAGCAAGAAAATCACACCTATCCAAAATAAATACCAAACACCAAATACCAAATACCCAAGAACCACCACTCACTCACCTATACTCCCATCATCTTAGGCCCTGGGCAGGCCAAGGCAGGGCAGAACAAGATCCGGGGAATCCGCTTCCCCCGACAACGACCGGACGGCTGCCACCGCATGGACCCGACCGGACGACCGACCGATTCTCCGCCCGCGCCCGTGACATCACCCACCGCTCCGTATCCCGTTTCGGAAATTATTTGTCAGGTCAGGTCGGGGAGGGCCGTCGGGTGATGTTTATTCCACTACATTTAGTTTTCATGAGATATAATAGCATTATCTAATTCAGGGGGGGAGTAGTATGTAGTTACTTAGATGGATGAATGTTATTATGTATATGTATGTGCTTGGTGGTATGGATAGAAGATGGATGTAGTGTATTTTATCGTATTGTATCGTATTATATTATGTAGTGCATGTAGGTACTAACCAAGATAATTACTTCTTTGGTAATAGAGGAGGGATGGTGGTCTCTTTGTTTGGCTGGCTAGGTTCTTTGTTTGGTTGTGGGAATGATGGCGTGCGTTTACTGTCGGATTGGGTGTTTGGGGAGGAGTCGACATATAGGGTAATTAGTGGGGTGTGATTGGTCTATGGTTTGGGGGCCGGTTTGAGCTATATACAGTGTTGGTACCTATCGGGTTTGTTGCAAGTCCGCGGAGTATTACTTCATAGTTTAAGTGAGGTTGATGTGGAGTATTCAGTTGTTTGGTCTGGTAATAGTTGGAATTATCTGGAGTACACGTTGGCATCAGAACAGTTCATTAAACCTACTCCTATCCCAAAAGACTGATTCAACCAAGCATAGAAAAGCATCAAATATAGATATCCTCCCCGTCTCCGTCGCCTCGCCGGTGGTATAGTATTACATTACTCGATCGACAGTAGAGGAAATTCCCTTTGACCCGGTCATGTCTCCTTTTATTGCAGAATTCCACCACCTGGTTCTGAAGCAACATTGCTGAAGCGGTGGCAGGACATGCGTCATTAGGGATTGAATTAATCGTAAGTGAAACTCAGTGGGGTGAAGAACAAAGACGTCAAAACAACGATAACATCACGTTAAGCGGAAATCTCAATCCGCAATATAGAGACAAAGATGAGAATTGGTCAGTACTCGTGGTTCAAAGAGTGAGTTGCTTTAAACCGAGACTGTGACGGGCTCCCGTTCCTCTTCTCGACCCCGAGACTCTCCATCGACAGTGCTGGCCACATCTTCACCGTCTTCAACCTCATGCTGGTAGGTTGCATGCTGGTCCGCGGGTACCCACGAGTCACGGCCCAGGGGCTGGTCTTGTCCCGAAAGGTCGACGCCCTCACGGCCCTTGAGGGTATCACGGTGACGCTGGGATAGGGTGCGGGAGCGCTGCGAGAGAGCGGGCTTGACCGAAGCCTTGGACGTGACCCAGTTGGCGAGTGCCTCCTCACAGTCCTGGATGATAGCTTTGCTGGCGTCATATCCATCATAGGCGTGACGGGTTTCGCCAGGAGTGACAGGCGTGTCATCAACTAGATCCAGGAGGTGCTTGCCGTAGCCGGCGATGAGAGCCACCTTTTCGCAATGCTCACGGAGCGCATCGAACTGGTACTGGAAGGCCGCCTTGAGCTTCTCGCGGGTGATGTTGGAGAGCTGAGCCTCAGCCACGAGGGATTCGGCTTCCGCACGGACTAGCTCTTGCTCCAGAACGACGATGCGCGGGGAGTTGGGGTCCTTGTACTTGAGCTTGGCGATCTCATCGGTGATCTTCTGCTTGCCTACAAGCACATGCGCGTTAGTATCGACGGGCTATGTCCTTGGAAAGGTTACATACGGTCACGGCTGGGCTGAACAGAAGCCTCAATGTTGCGAATGCTCTTGATGGTGACACGGTACTGGTCGTAGCGGTCGACAAATAGATCCTCCAGTTCTCCAATTTCATAGAGCAAGACGCCGAGCTTGTCAGTAACATCGGACACATCCTCGTCGCAGTTTTCGCCCCAGATCGAGAGTTGTTGCTACAAGCACAATCGAGTTAGTCCTTAATAGGCAAATTTATAGATCCAGGCATAACGTACAGCAGTTTCCATACGCTCCCTCGACACCATCTCCATACTGCGCATGACGTTCTTTTCCATCTTCACCAACTGAGAGAGTTTCCTGGCAAGGTCGGGCCCGAAGGCACCGGCCGTGTTTTTGCGCAAGGCATGGCCTGAAGCTAGCAGTGTTAGTAAAGCAGTCATAGAAAGTCAGCCTGTCCTTGAGTAGATGGCATCGTCCAAAGTATTCGACACAAGTGACAATACCAATGGCTCGGCCACCGTGGGAGAGCACTCACCGAAACCGCCCTTTCCGAAGAGTCTATTTGTCTTTGTCGAGGACAACGGCGGGGGAGGGTTTTCGATTTGCGAGGCGGTTGGAAGACGCGACTGGCGCATAGAGTAAGTGCGATGCATGGTGAATTGTTCGTGTGTGAAAGGCTAGGCACAGGAGTGAACGAAGGAATAAAATCTGTGCGGATCGGACGAGACGGTATCTTTCAAGTGACCCTTTGCGCAGGAGTGACGTGTGGTAGAGGGCGCAACGGGATGCGACGGAAGAGCGATCAAGGAGAGGGGTGGGAATGCAACCAGTTCGAGATCGAGACAAGAGATGGTCCAGGTGCTTAGTGTGAGGAACCACGCTTAAGAGAGCCGATGAGGGATGGATCAATGGGTCAATGACACCTCGGTTTTCCTCTGCTGCCCGGGGTGGGGGCTTTGGGTCTCTTTTCCCCTTGAAGCTTGGGTGGAGGAAGTTGGGCTGGACACAACTGTGGATGGAGTTGCTGTTGGTGACGTCGAGACTGGGCCGGGGCCGGGCTAACCCGTTTCGGTGGGCAGGCCAGGCAGTGATGATTCAGGCAGGAATCAAATGACGAGCGGCGGGTTCGACGCAAGGCAATTGGCAAATCAAGGGCGGCGAGTAGCTGCAGATTAACTTCAGTCCAGAGGAACCTAAGGAACACCAAGAAGGGGGTTCGCAGGGGAAGACAAACCTCTGCAGCTTCATATACCACCTTCTGGCTCCCCAGCACCCGCGACGTCATCACGACCCAAAGATCTCGTCGATATCTGATGTCATCGATTTCTCGTCTTCGATCCGTTGAAGATGAAGCGAGAGTTTGGCCAACTCGTTAATGTCAGACAGAGTTTGAGCTATGCTGAGAAGGTGCTGGCGTTGAATTTCTTTCTTCAAGGCCAAATGCGAATATTCTAAGCTAATTAATTGTCTTTTCACTCTAGGTATTGTGCCTGGTTTCCACCAAGTCCATCCATCTGGGACAAACTATCGAGATAACCAGGGGATGGCCAGATTGATGCAGACTATAATTTAGTCTCATATAACGCACAGATAGAGGTCTACATAGGAGGTCTAGATAGTGCCATCGCCCAGGTGATCGACCGTCTCCGCATTCGGATCGTCCACCCAGAACTCCTGGGACCGGCTCCAGCGGCACTTGCTTAGTGATGCTGCAACATCATGACGAACAGTGGGGACTGTTTATCTCCCGTCAAGTGCAGATTTTTCTGCTTATATTGGCCTCGTGACTTGGCTGTTTATTGGAGATACGATTCGATGGTAGTACAGGACAAGTTTTGTACCTTATCGGGCTTTCCGACCACCCAGTCATCGTCACCAGAGTTGTATCCAAGCTGCCTGTCCCACTATCCTCACCCTACTTTCCTTGCTAAAGCTATTTGAGAATCTCGCACAGGCTAGTAGCTCGTGGGATTCGCTCTGCTATTTCAGCATGCAGTGTTTTGTGGTTTACATAACCGCATGGACCATTTCGGATCCACAATATATATTTACTTCATGCAGGTCAGGAAGCTTCCAGACAGACGAATAAAGAGCATATGCACAAGCCCTTGCACCTCGACTTGTTACCAGACAAGATTCTTGGTATCCACTACTTGCTGTTCTAATAAAAGATAGGTAAATAGTCTGCAGAACTTTGCAACCCTACCAAGTCCATCCTCAGTGGAAGACCCACAGTGGCCTGAATGCATTGCACAGTAAAGAAGTAACCGTATGCTTGGAAGAGACCAAAAACACATAGACGCCTGACTCTACGATTGCATTGTTTAATGAGTTTGAGCTATTGTTCACCTACCATATCTTTCTCTTATAAGATATCTATAATGCTTGTCCATGGCCAATCTATCTACCTTAACTAACCGTCACCATACTCTAGCTGTAATAGACGATGCACTGCTTTTTGTCTGGATGCATGTTTAGGCTGGCATATATCACGTGCCACACCATCGGATCCCGCCATTCATTACGTAAGCATATTCACAGTGATGGAAATTCTGGAATTTGAGATGATCTCCATGCGGGGGAGTCACCATCTATAGATATGTGCCTCGAATTTAGTATCAATGCATCCCTCCCTTGAGGTCAGTGGCTGTCCCAAACTATAAGAAGTGGAGTATTGACCTCTCCAGCACATTGATACTTGCGTCCCCGTAACGGCGCTGAAAGCGCTGGTGGTGAGGGATGTCAAGCTTCTCCTTCAAGCCCAAGGCACTTATATCAGATTGATCGATGAAGGGAGCGGGCGACAGCTTGCGGAGCTGAAAGCTTTCAAGAGAAACAATGTCCATGGGTTCATTTCTCTCAGTCATAATGAGGCAGTGACAGGAAAGGCACATGTCCAGTTCGTTGCCTGGGGAGGGCAGTCCGTGAGAGCTTTTGACTTGGTGCTAAGTGAGGAGAGAGAGTACCAGCCACGACTAGTGGCCGCAAGTGCAGAGTATCAGGGACCGGATTGGATCCTTGCTGGGTGTGCGCCTGACGACGAAGAATCCAAGGTGTATGTATTGACGGCCCACAATGCCGTTCTTGGTCTGGATATAGTAGATGGAGACCAGTCGAACTATGGAAAGGCCATACAAATCCGGCCGCTCGTTACCGGAGTCAACACCATCCTCTATTCCGCGGATATTATCGCCCTCTCGGAATCTCACATCTTGATTGCTGCGGGAACTGTCTTTGGCGAGATCATTGTCTGGTCCTGCTTCTTGACCGAGACTGGCCAGGCAACCGGCTCGATTCATCACTTCTTCACTGGGCACGAAGGGTCCATCTTCGGGGTTCGGATATCCCCTGCCATTGATTCCTTGCGCGGTGGGCAGAGCGGACGGCTGCTGGCTAGTTGCAGCGACGACAGGACGATTAGGATTTGGGACATATCCGACTGCGAGCGTATTTCTCGTGACGATGCGCCTGCTTATTCGACAGATGGTTTCGAGCTTCGAAGCACCGGCTTTGGCGCAGCCCATGACAGCGAGCTCGGCTCCGAGTCAACGATTGCGAGCGCTTTTGGACACCTGGCTCGTATATGGGGAGTAAATTTCCTCTCTGTTGGTCAAAGTCCAGGCAAGTTGAACCTGTTGTCGCGTGGCGAGGACGCTACGTGTATACTGTGGGATCTCACTTGGGATCCGGCCTCACAGAAGCCCCAGTTTCAACTGAACGAGGGAATGTCTATCCGCAAGCACACCGGTAAACACATCTGGTCCCTTGAAGTGCGCAGCACAGATAATGCAGCGGTCATCTACACCGGGGGTGCTGATGGAGCTGTCAAGAATTTCACCATCGAGGCGGATGACGGAGCCCTAATCCTACCCAATCTACACAACCAAATCGGAATGTCAATTGACCCCCAAAACCCCGAACCCCACGTTGAGACCTCTATCAAAGGCTTTGAATTTGTCTCGCAGGATGAGTTTGTTGCTGTGACTGCTCGTGGCGAGATCCAGATTGGCCAGATCAAGTCCCAAAATCGGGCTACCCAGCACATCTTCAAGGAAACGATCTTTTTCGAAGAAGATATGCGTTCCTACTCTGTCGTTGGCAGTCTGTCGCAGAAAGGCGTGGCCCTTCTAGGCAACGCAAGAGGTCTGATTCGATTCTACAATCACAACACAAAGTCACTCACGAGGATTGTCGAAGTTGGACAACGGCCGTTGGGTTTGTTTGTCCTTGATTATGACCAGACCGAATCGTCAGCAAACTTGACATTCGTTGTGGCTTATCCTAAATCCGAGGTAGCGGATTTATTCATGGTTTCGATGTCCGGAGACGCAGAGCCGTCTGTGGATAGGATAGCATTGAATCTTCCATACGGCTTTGGCGTGACATCTGCGTCGTTGGTATATGATAACCAGTTCCTGGCAGTAGGCTCCATGACTGGCAATTTTGCGCTCTACCGGGTGTCGAAGACGGAGAGTCTCGAACCTGTCATGCCCCCTAGCAAGCTACATGGCCGCGAAGGACTCAGCTACATTGCATCATTCTCATCGCTGTATGGAGAGGGAGAAGACCTGCAGCCGTACTTCTTGACCTGTGGACGGAGTGGGGCCTACGGGGTTCACAAGTTGGAGATCTCAGGCGTCGAGCCTTCGGTTTCCATGCGAACCCTGCATTTGGCTTCTCTGGCCTTCAACTGTGAAGTCCAGGGAGCTTACATCGACAAGGTCTCCCAAGACCTTATGATCTACGGGTTCCAACCCATGGATTTTGTTCTTTGGAACGAATCGGCACAGACCGAGGTCGCTAGACACAGATGTAACGGGGGGCGGCGGTCCTGGGCATTCCAGCCCAGCCAAGCGACCGCCTGGGCTGGATCATTCCTTTGGATCCAATCCGGCTTTAATGCTATGGAGATCCAGCCGGACGCCAGTCGTACCTTGCGCTCCGGCAACCACGGGAGAGAAGTGAAGGCTATGTGTGCAACTCAGCAATCAGATGGACTAGGCCCCTTGTTTGCGACAGGGTCTGAAGATACTAATGTACGTATCTTTGCTCCCAGTGAACCACAGTTGGAGAGCCGTTGGGGCGCATTCAAGTGTTTACGGCTCCTGAGGGAGCATCATACAGGACTGCAAAGTGTGGGGTGGTCCAAGGATGGAAGATTTCTCTTCACGAGTGGTGGATACGAACAGTTTCTGGTTTGGCGGACACATTCGATTCCTCGGTTCGGACTCGGGACGATTCTGGATGCGTCATGCCCTAAGAGCGATCCCAAGTCCGACCTTCGGGTGACAAGTTTCGATGTGCTGGATGTGGAGGAACAGGCAGAGGGTGCATTCCTGCTCTGCCTGACATACTCGAACTCCACCATCAAGGTAAGCCAATACCAGTAATTCCTGACCACGCTAATCCTCTAGATCTTCCATTATTCTTCATCAGCCGAAGGAGGCAGGTTTACCCTGTTGGCGAATGGCACCTACATGAGCAACTGCTTGACACAAGCACGCTTCATGCGCAAAGGCTCTTCGCTGAGCCTGATCACCTCTTCCACAGACGGCTACTTTACACTCTGGGATTTGACGACCGTTCTGGAGCCGTTCTATACGATGTCATCGTCTCTGCGTCTGAAGCAGCCCGTCGAGGGAGCATCAATAACCCCAGCAAGCATTACATGCGAGAACCGTTACCAGATCCATTGGAACAGCATCAAATGCTTGGAGCTGGCAGATGTATCAGACACCCTGTCCTTGATTGTTGCCGGTGGCGATGACAATGCGATGACAGTCACTCTTCTGGACACTAGCGTCGATGCCGCATGCACGATTGCCGTCCCCGATGCCCACGCAGCCTGCATCGCAGCGACAAAGATTCTCACCCAGAGCCAAAACCCGAACGAAGGGACTGCACGACTCGCCGTTGCTTCTTCCGGAAACGACCACCAGGTCAAGATCTGGTGGATTGACATTGACGCGAGGAAGAATGGGCCGGACCGGATTCAAATCAGCAAGGCAGCCGAGCGATACAGCTCTGTGGCGGATATTTCCTCGTTGGACATTATCCACGATGCAACCCAGGGAAGTAAGCTGGTAGTATGTGGTGCTGGCATGGAGATGTTGAGTGTGCGACTGTAGACTGGACACGATAGTCACGATAAGACGTTATTGCACATACAAGACAAACATAGAATAGAGCCTGTGACATTCCTCGGGGCTTCGCAACTCTTCACGGCAAGCCACGGACCATCCCGTAGCCAAAACAGCCTAGTTTAGTTCTTGTAACAATTGACAATCGAACCCTTTACCCCGCAAACCAGACAGGGTCTCGGGAAATCTGATCCCATCAACCGCAGGACAGAATCCGATCGGCGGCTAAATGGGTATTTGCAGAACCCTAGAATGCAACAACAACCTCCGCATGCAGTTGTCAGTCTGCCCTGGTTTTACCCCTCCGGAAACGGACTATATAGATGTCATGAAGGGGATCAACACGACAAGCTTTGGTTCATAGTCCGCCAAGAACCCCTACATTCTTCCACTTTTTTCCCCAGAACACTTACTCATACAGGGTATATTCACAATGAAGCTCCAACCTTCCTGGCTCCTCGCCAGTACCCTCTCCACAGCAGCAATAGCAGCAGCACGACCATGGACCCGAGCAGACAACACCACCAGCCCTATCTACTTCTTTACTTTGTATTTTCCTACCTACCATACCCTACCATACCCTACTCAGAACCCAGTACCATGACTAACAAAGCAAATATAGCGGAGACTCCTACTCCCAAACCGGCTTCAGCACCAGCAGTACTCAACCCTCTGCCTCCAACCCCATGGGAAACCCTGACCTAGGTATCCCCCCCCTCCTCCCACTTCCCTCTCCCCCAATCCCAACCAATACTAAGAGTATAAAAAAGGAATCGGCACAACAACCAACGGCCCCAACTGGATCGGCTACCTAACGACCACCCAAAACGCCTCCCTGGTGCTATCCTACAACCTTGCCGTTGGGGGCGCCACAATCGACAATTCCCTTGTCTCGGCGTACGCAGGCGACGTTAGTTCCCAGGTAAAGCTCTTCGAAGACGTGTATAGTACGAAACCTGCTTCTACGGCGCCTTGGACGGCGGATAATGCGGTGTTTGGGGTTTGGATTGGGATTAATGAGTATTCCCCCCCCTGCCCCTAACACCTGTGGATTTGTTTGATGGTGATAATTACAATATACATATACTAATGGTACTATTGGGAAATAAATAGTATAGGAAATGCATTCTACAAAACAGACGCAGAAACATACACCCCCCTCCTCACCACGCGATTACAGGCCCTCATGCAGGAGGTATACGATAACGGGGGCCGGAAGTTCCTGTTCTTGAATGTTCCGCCTACGGACCGGACACCGATGTTTATTGATCAGGGGAGTGAGACTACTGCTGCTGTGGGGGCGTATTTGGGGGTTTATAATAGGAATTTAAAGGATATGGTGGAGAGGTGGGGGAGGGAGAGGGGGGATGTAAGTTCCTCTTTTTCATCTATCCATTTGTTTATTTTTGGGTGATTGGGGGAGATGCTAATTGGGGATTGGGCAGGTAATAACGGTTTTCTATGACGCATGGTCATTCATGACGAAAGTGTTGGATGATCCTACGGCGTATGGGTTCCCGGATGCTACGTGCATTAATGATGATGGGACGTCGTGTGTGTGGTGGAATAATTATCACCCCGGGATGAAGTATCATGCTTTGCAGGCGGAGGATATGAAGAAGTTTTTGGGGAGTTTGGGGGGGTGGTAATTTCTTTTCTCTTCTGTTTGCTGTGTATTTGGGTGTTGAATGGGGAGAGGAGGGGGATGGGGGTATATAGGGCTGAGTTGGGAGGTTGGTTGGTAGGGTGGTTATAGAGGTAGCTGAATCAATCTGGTTGATGGTAGCTCTTTACTAGTTACGTAGGTGGTGTGTATCTAATGTCTGTACATGCAAATCCTTCCCACCTCGTCACGGCCTCATTTCCGCACGTTTCATCTCATCCTGCCAAGGCGGATGATTGACTGAATCTTGTCAATCATGCAGCATAGATGAACCTATTTATCCATCCTGTCAGCGTTAAGAACTGCAGGTGCAGGCCCGAATTGCCTGATTTCTACGTCTGGATTTATACTCGCTGCGGGAATCGTCCGTTCCGAATGGGGAAAGGTCCTGAATATGAGCTATATATGGTTGTGTCCTGCAAAGGTATGGGATACAGATCAGCACTGCAATGAAGTTACACACTCTGCTTCTTGCGGCCGCGGCCGGTTCCGCGTTGGCGGCTCCCCAACACAAAAAGAGGGCGTCTGTCTTTGAATGTGAGTTTCCTACCCTTGGTGCTGCTCCTACCCTTGGTGCTGCTGCTGACAAGATAGGGTTCGGATCCAATGAGTCTGGGGCTGAATTCGGGACTAATATCCCCGGAGTCTGGGTAAGTACCATCACCACGAAAAGTGCCGTGCTGATGTCTCAGGGAACCGACTACATCTTCCCCGACCCCTCGACCATTGCCACCTTGATCGACGATGGAATGACCATCTTCCGGATCCAATTCATGATGGAGAGATTGGTTCCAGACTCCATGACCGGGTCCTATGACGAGGAATATCTGACCAACTTGACGACAGTAAGTTATCCAGTCAGTGTGTGAGCCATGTTGACGACATAGGTGGTAAATGCCGTCACGGATGCGGGCGTCCATGCCATTGTCGATCCTCACAACTATGGAAGATAGTGAGTATCCCACTCTAGCGTTGACCACGCTAACAGCACCAGCAACGGTGAGATCATCACCAGCACGTCGGATTTCCAGACCTTCTGGGAGAACCTTGCGGGCCAGTACAAAGACAACGACCTGGTTATCTTCGATACCAGTAGGTACCCGCCCACCACTAGAACGCCACTAACCTTTGTAGACAATGAGTACAATACCATGGAGCAAGACCTTGTGCTGGAGCTCAACCAAGCAGCCATCGATGGCATCCGCGCCGCGGGTGCCACATCCCAGTACATCTTCGTCGAAGGCAACTCCTGGACCGGTGCCTGGACCTGGGTCGACGTCAACGATAACATGAAGAACCTGACCGATCCGGAAGACAAGATCGTCTACGAAATGCACCAGTATCTCGACTCCGACGGGTCCGGCACCTCGGAGACCTGCGTGTCCGAGACGATCGGGGTGGAGCGGGTCACCGATGCCACGCAGTGGCTCAAGGACAACAACAAGATCGGTATTCTGGGAGAGTATGCCGGAGGTTCCAATGATGTGTGTCGGACAGCAGTGTCCGGGATGTTGGAGTACATGGCGAACAACACGGACGTGTGGAAGGGTGCAGTGTGGTGGGCGGCCGGACCCTGGTGGGGAGATTACATCTTCAGCATGGAACCCCCGGATGGAACAGCATACACAGGCATGTTGGATATTCTGGAACCGTATCTGTGAGCGGGTCGGAGGAAGCTGTGCGTCGGAGAACTATACGGAGTTTCTTAGTGTGGTGGTACACTGACTGACGTCACCAGAATTGCTTTTTCAGAGTCTTCAACAGGGATTCTGTTGAGTGATGCCTGTACGGTAGATAGGCGTGAGACATGCATATTTGCCTACATTGATAGTGCATGCTAGGCATCCTCTTATCAACTGTCATGTGTGGCTCTGGATGCGTAGGTCGAAGTGAGCTAGACCCACTACTTCGTAGCATCCATAATATTCAGTCAGCCTTGATGGATAGATAATCAATCGACCATCCTGCTGATGCAGACGAAGAAAATGCAGAATGCCGTTGATGCTGTGCGGGATGCATGGATGAAGGTCGGAATTGAATGGAGACACCGCCAAGACCGCAACGTAAGCCCGTCGATTAGTTGGGCGATCGGAGTTGGGCAATCCCGGCACCTTTCACTGTGGACTCGTCGAGACGGTTGAAACATCTTTGCTTCTTTGATGAAAGTGGATGTCACAAGTAAACTATCGACTGCGAAGAAGTAAGCATCTCACCGCGCCTGCTGGTCGTTCCTGAGGCGGAACCATGGGACATTCAGCGGGAACCGAGCAGAGAAAGTTCAGAGTGGAATGTCGTGCATCAGACCGCGTAGTGCCAAGCTCAGAATGATGAAGCCTAGTCAGGAAGATGCCGTGCTTGTGGTCTGACGGTGAGACACTTCCAGCAGTCAAATCTGCTATTAGTGTGGACGATCCTTCTTCGTGTCTGGTCCACTGTGTATCAGATAGGAGAGTTCTATAATAATTCTCTATATACCCGTACATGATACTATACAGGTATGATTATCTATATAAATTAGACTATATATTAAGGCACAGCCTTCAATCTACAAAAGTACAAGCAGATACTTCGCAGACAAGGTAAAATAAACCAGGCCGCGTATTCCCCAGCCACGCCTGACGTGGCGGTAGGGCTGGTGAGTCTCCGCCACGAGGAGGCCCTTGCCCCATTCCAGCTAGCCCCATACCGTCCCATACCGATGACAAGGTAATCTGGCCGATCGGGAGGGAATTTCCTCGTCAGAACCCTGGAGGCCCACCATCAACCGTGCTGGGGCAGCATCTTGATTAGTGCGCATGTCCATCCTTGGGTTGCGGTGGAAACCCGCCGATTTATTATAGAAACAAGCGTGGCGTAGTCCCCAGCCAGCCATCTGATTGGTCCGCTGATCAACCCCAGCCGTGAAAAAGCGAATAAACCTTGAGAAGTTGCTGACTGCGCCCCCCAAATCCTCCCACTGACGCGAATGCCGATTGTTGATCATCAGCCTCGTCTTCTTAAAAACCATCCTCCCAGCCTTCCTCATCGTTTTTTCTCAGTATTCTCACAAACTCACCTCCTCATTAACTCTTCACCCACGGTCGCAATATCGAAACAATACCCCACGATAAGCAAGGAAACACATCGACGTCATCTCCACACACCGTCATCATGGGTAAAGGCGGTCGCATTGTCTGCATCTTCACTCCATACGTCCTCACCATCGCATCTTTAATATGCATCATCATGGTGGGACTCGGCTGCACGAAATCCAGCTCAGACACGCTAGATGAGCTCTACTTTTTCAGAGTACGTCTTATCCTCCGCGAACCCACTTCATCTGACTAACTCCGTCTAGGCCAACCTGCAAAACATCACCTCCAAAGCCTCAGACACCGCATCAACCGTACAGTCAGTCGTCGACGACCTGACCGGTGTTTCGGATGGCGATCTCTCCGCGGCACTGGATGAAATCGAATCGGAATACAACATCGCAGACTTCTACACCATCGGTCTCTGGGGCTACTGTGAAGGAAACATCACCAACAGCAGCACCTACCACACCACCAACTGCTCCAAGCCCGTGTCGGAATTCTGGTTCAACCCCCTCGAAGTCTGGAACTTGGAAGAGACCGGTCTGGAGAATGCCCTCCCCAGCAACGTGAAGAAAGCCCTCAACACCTACAAAGCTGTCTCCAAATGGATGTTCATCGCTTACATCATCGCCTTTGCTGCCACCGTCGCCGAGCTGGTGGTCGGAGTCTTTGCCATCTGCAGTCGCTGGGGTAGCTGCGTGACGAGCTTAGTATCTGCCGTATGTCCCTCCCTCTACTCCTCCCCCCGTACAACCCAACTAACAACCTCCAGGTCGCATTCTTCTTCACCACCGCCGCCTCCATCACTTCCACCGCCATGTTCGCCGTCCTCAAGGGCGTCTTCAAAGCCGATCTCGAACAATACGGCATCAAAGGCGCCATGGGCAAGAACATCTATGTCGCCACCTGGCTCGCCGTCGCCTTCTCCCTCGGCGCCAGTCTCTTCTGGGTCCTCAGTTCCTGCTGCTGCTCCGGTCGCTCCCCTTACAACCACCGCAACCGCAACAACACCCGCGGCGTCATGGCCGAAAAGACCCCCTACACCTACGAAGCCCTGGGTCCTTACGGCCAACCCCAGCAAACCCCCTACACCAACACCTCTTACCCCCCTCCCCCTCCTACCCACGGAAACCAGGCCCCGACAAGGACGAACGTCTATGAGCCATTCCGTCACGTCTAACCGCACAAAACCACATACTTCACAAAAAAAGAAAAGGAAAAAAGATAACCCCCAAAACAAGAAAGGGAAACCCAATATCCACGCGTTTTGCTTGGAGATAATGACCACCTTATGATGATACTCTCTTTTTCTTATATTTTGTTTCTAGCCAAGAGAACGGCATTTAGTACATACCCGTGATACCCGAGTATGAAGGGGGGTGGGAGAATAGATTTATGGGGAATACTCTTGGCATGATGATTGATGCAAGCTGCATTTGTATATGAATTTGAAATCAACTTATCTATCTGGATACTTATTTCTGTGTCGTTTACTGTATATTGTATTGTAATAAAATGTACAGAACCTAGATCTTGGGTGTAGCCCTGTTTGTAAACGAAAGCAAATCGAATACGAGTTACCTACGGTGAATGGTTTACTTATCATAGTAATCAATCCACCACCGCATTGTCACGCCCTCTGAGATAATACACTCTCGTCTAAGAATCGCAACTATGTTTGGAAAGCAAAGAAACGCCGCTCTGGGATATCATGTACACAACCATATGCTCGTTAATTATGTTCCCATTCATGAATAGAGGAATGATGATGGTAATGATAATAAGACATACAAGAAGGTAGAAATAATTCAAATATACGAAGGGGATCGATAAATGGTGATGGGTTAAGACAACTAGTTATCACGATATCCAGGACGCTGAATGACGCCCTTCTCGTCTATAGGTAGGTATGCGCCGCCTCGTCGGTTACGTTCAGAGAGAACGGCCTGGTCTGCGCGGGCCCATTGCTTAAAAGGCGTGTTAGGGTCGTCGGACCATACCGGGCCCGTGGGACGGAGGTGTCGCAAGGACAAGAACCAGTTCTCGTTGACGCTCTCAGTGTCTGACTCGGTGTCAGGCGCTGGTTGGGCGTCTGCTTGCGTATCTTCCCCCAGCTCAATGCTGGCCGTTTCGTGCGTTTCGTCATTCATGTCTTCATCTTCGTCCTCGTAGTCGGATCCGGCTTCGCTATCTGGGGGAAGGGATATTGGGTGAAGGTGCAGTTCTGGCGCCGTGGTCTTTTCTTCGTCGCTGAACTCGGTCTCAAAGTCAGGCTCGGTTGAATTTCGGATGATCATGGATTCTGAGCGTTGTCCTAGCTCTGGAGCTTCCTGTTCGGGTATTGCTTGGTCTGCTCTTCCGGCCTCACTTTCGGGTATACTAGAGTCCAGGTCTATATCCCTAGACTGCTCATACAGACTTGGGAATTTGTTTCCTGATGAACTCTCTGGGATGCTAGATTCCAGGTCGACCATAGGTTGCTCGCCCGTAGCATATGTCTCCTCATTCTGACTTTCTGGGACACAAGGATCTAAATCTTCCGCCTGAGATTGGTGCGCAGCAGGGGAACCCGCGCGATCTACTTCGCATGCGGCGGAACCAAGCCTGGGCTGTTCCACCTCCACCGCATGTGATTGTGATCCTGTCATATGGAGGTCAAGTTCGCTTTCTTCCAAGGTAGACTGCAGGTGCTGCTCTAATTGTACCGATGGAGCATCTTCGCCCATAGCTGGCTCGTCCACAGCTTGGTCTTCGACATCGTAGTAAATTTCGCTCGCAGAGGCAGAAGCCGATGGCTGTTCAGGCTCAACCGTTGTAGGTTGCTTGCCCACTGCTTGACTATCCGATTCGGGGTCAATTTCCTGTCTGGCTGAGTCTGATTCCGGTTTCGAGTCCACATCCATAGGTTCCTTCATTACTGCTATGCCTCCAGGTTCAACCCTGGCATGTTTGATCTTTGCCTGAGGTGTAGGAGACGACATAAGGCACGACATGTAATCCATATCTGTATCGGACTGAGTGCCCTGGGTCCCAGGCCCGAACGAATGTGCGCGAAAGTTAGTGAATCGCTCAACCAGACTTCCCGTGAAGGAAGTGTCTGGTTTGTTGGCCAAAGCGTCAGTATCAGGCGCATGATCCTGATTATCAGGGACATACTGCGCCGCGCTGATATTGATTCCATGTGCAGTGAGGCTCCGCTTTTTATGAAAAGGTCTAGAATACGAGGAAGTAAAAAAGTCTTCATATAACAGAGCTTTGGTATCCGCTGAAAGACACTTCTCAAGATATCGGGGGTATTCCTCGAGGTTCTTGATTACAAAGTCATCCCATAGGAAAGATCGCTGTAGGTGGCCCTTGGAGCGGACGGCATGAAGCTTCGAGCAAACTTTGACAAAGTGATCGAAGTCTCCTAGGTAGTTTGGATAGTCTCGTCGGAACTTCTCATAGACCTTTTGCGCCTCAAGGTTTTCGGCAGAGTGGCCGATGTAGCTCTGTCGACGAGCAAAGACGTTCAACACTGGCTTCTCGGTGGACTCACGATCTCGCTGAACTTTAGGCCGTTTTGCGGGGGACAGCACCTCATGCCCCATCTCGGATGCACGACGCTTAGGAGGCTGGATTGTGGGATGTTTAGCTGACGTCTGCATAGTATCCACTGGAGCCTCCTCTTCGGCCTCGGACGGTATCGAAGAAGGCATTTCTCGATACGAAGAAAACTGATTCGACGTTTGTGACTGATGTCCCGGGACACTGATGGAAACGCTGGGCTCCTGGACCCCTGAAGCAGAAGAATTCACCACATCAGATGTCGTATATGGCGTAGTATCATGCGTGGGCAAGCTGCCAATGCTTACTTGAGTACCAATTATATCGATGTCATGAGGAACCGCCCCTCCATCTACTCGATGAGCATTGGCCATATCTTGCGATGAGACTCCTTTAGAATCGCTACTCGCATTTGTGTTCAAAATCCGTGATTGAGACGATGACTTAGCTGCCTCAGATGACGTCCGCTCAGGATGGGCTTGTATTCTAGGACCCTTCGTAGCAATATCTGGAGAACGGTGGCGACGATGATTGCTGTCGGGCGTCTCCACCACCTGCACATGTCCACGGACAGAAGCCCCAGGCAGGGATGGGCCGGAGCTCGTAATTTCCTGTTCCGACTGGCTAGTAACCTGGGATTGCTGTATATCACCTCCAAGTGGACATGGGACAGATGTGTCCATCACTGAATCGTCGCTTTCAGCATCGGACTCATCCTGACGGCCGGGAATCTGAGTAGTGCCTTCCAATTTGGACGCATCATCATGGTTAACAAGCTGATCATGTCTGTTGGAGGTTGCACCCATGTGAGCCTCTTGGTCCTCTGGCATCGGCCCAGTTTGGTTGCCGTAAGCAGTGTCCAAGCTAGCTCTTCCCGGCGGCTGTTCGTCCGATGGATGAGCATGCTTTCCGTCAAGCAGCTCCGTTCCCTTTCGAAGGGACCTAACACGCACTGGACTACTATCTTCTGGCAAGACTTGACGTGAACGAGGTACTTGCTCCGGTGAGCTCGACCATTGTGACGTCAAAGGCTCGCCTTCCGAGTCGGAATCCAGTAGAGGTGTTGGGCTGGGGCGACTAGTCTCAAGCGGTTCGGCTGCCACGTCCACAGACTGCTTATCCTGGGCAATTCGACTCCTTCGCAGTGCGATTTTGTTCCATTGATCGAGGAGCCGGGGCGGCACATGTCCCTGAGGAGTGCTCTCCCCCGGAGAGGGTGGTATCCAACGGCGTCTATGCTGTTCTAGAAATTCGGCTTGCTCCTTTGGAATCTGTACATCCCTGATTGTAATTCTTGTCATGTCATGCCAAGGATCAGTATTGTTGACACGCATATTTTCCCGTGGTTTCGTAGTCCCAAATGATGGTTTATCAGAACCTATTCCCTGAGGAGGAAGATACGTTGTCCCATCTTCTGTGGTTACACAATTTGAATCCCCCACAGGCTGTTTGGACTCCGTCACTAGAGGTACTTTAATAACGACTTCGACTGGCACTTCGCGCTCAGTGCTCAGTCGTGGGATAGGTGCCTCTGAAATTCTTGTCTTCTTGGAACATGGGATTTCTCGGGCACTAGTGGCTGAGTTTCGCCGAGCAGTGATGGAATCGGGAGCATTGGTAATCCCAGCGCTGTGTTGCCTACTTCGAAGCTTTTCTGCAGTCTTCGTCCCTAGTTCATGCACCTTGTCATTACTTGATTCGGGAGCAGCCTTTTTCACATGCTTCAGGGACCGATCATCCGATCTTGTAAATCGCATTCCCGCATCCTCCAGCAATTTATTGGCAATTCTAGAAGTGCTTATTGACGAAAGCCGTGCGACTGGGCTTGTAGCAGGGGCAATGGAAGGTATTTGAGACATAAGAACGTCCTGCGAGACAGTGCCTTGGTAGGCTTGCGACCCGAACGAGTCATCGAACCGCTCACTATGTACCTCTCGCGGCTCAGGGCCTTTGGCCTTTTTGAAGACATGTTGCATCAACCTCTTCACAGACTGATTTTTAGAAACAAACCTGCCCTGTGGAGCCGATTTGATTTTGCCCCGGTGCCAGTCAATCTCAAAACGTTGAACGTAGAGGTGAACTTTCGGCTCAGCCGTGGAATACTCCAGGACTACCTGAAAGTCCAGCAGTTGAATATAGTAGCCCCGGGCCACGTCCCCGCTCAAAGGATGATCCGGAGATGTTTTCTTGTATTCCTTTAACGCCTCCTTTGTCAGAATCGCCTCGATTTGTGTTTTCGAATCGGTCAAGGTTAGGCGGGGCCATTTTGCCTGCTCCGACCACTATTCAAAGAAGACCATCAGTATAACAGTTTTTGGGGTACCAGCAAGGCGGACAAGCTTACGTTGTATATCAAAGCAGAGTACTGAGCAGGGATGGAGAATCGAAGGTTGCTACCGTCATCTTCACATTGATATGAGTCAGTCAGGCCTCGACTATAGGCGGAGAGGCACGTCTCAAGAGCGGACGTAATCCAGATCTCCGTGGAGCCCATTATGAGGATCTAAGATCAGGCCAAGAAGGGTGAGTGCTTTTGGAGGGCCCCATAGTCTGAGAATAAAAATTAGTTGATTCGAGGGACGGGTGAATGTACGTATACGGAGCACTCCGCTCTTCACTCCTTCAGTAGCGCGGTAGCATAGATAGTGATACTCATGATTGTCGCATGTGCATCCAGCCCGCGGTGAAGCCTGAGCCACGAGCTGGTGATAAATTATTGTTCCTGGCAGACGCGATTGCGGCAACTGACGCGCCTGACCGCCTTTGCGGTGGCGCACGCATCGACCCCAGCCACAGGGCGGGCATCGGCGCGGCCACGTCATTGGGCAGCGGCACATGTCATGGGCACCGGCCAAGTCGCAGGTGGTAATCGATGAGAGGTCTAGACAAGGCGTGTGTCTCATCCAGCATCATTCCCCCGCTTTGCTCTCATTCCCTCGGAGACAAAGGCCGCCTTTTCCTGTCCCTTCGCTGCCCTCGACTGACTAATATTCTCCTATTAAAACGTCTCCAGAGAATGTGGAGTCGACCTCCTTATGCATGGATACTCACCGCACAGACTCCGATCACCGAGCAACGGAAGCTTCTCCGCAGCAAGATACCGCGAATGCTTGCCACCCCTTGCTCGTGCTAAACCCCTCTGATTAACGCTCGATAAGATTCCGCGGGGATTCCCTCGTTTCATTTTTCCGGTCTCGGGGTACGACGGAGCCTGTATGGCTTCCCAACAGTCCCAAGGGACGTCAAGCCCCTCCGCGTCGTCGGTCTTCCTCCCTCTCGGTCGTCGCGGTTCTCGAGCCTCCGTATCGACCCAGGCCGAACGTGAAAGCCTACACGCAGCCCTTGACCAGATCCATACCGCAGCCTATCAGTCGGACACCTTGACCGTTTTCAATGAATTCACAAGCCCGCCTGCCCCGACATCCGCAGCAGATGAAAAGACCTTCTCCGGCGAACTGCAAGGTGGACTAAGCGGGTTATACAGTCGTTTTAGGACCTCAGTGGGTGGGATCGTGAGCGGGGTTGGGAAGTCCTCAGACAAAACTGCTGCCGAAGATACCGGCGTGAAAAGCCCCCCTTCAGAGCGCTCATCCACCAAGCCTGCCCCTGATGCGATCTCAGACTCTCAGCTGTATCATGCGAGCTCGTCCCAGGGATCCAGGCTGCACTCGCCAGCGCCTGGGAGCCAACAGTCCATCCAGGACGTGTCTTATGTTCCCGGAGCGGGGAAGAAACATCCCTCCAAACCAGCGAGTGCATCTTCTAAAACGATGATTTTACCATCACCGGCGCTGAAATCTCCTGTAGCACCCTTGCCGAAGGCTACAGGTAGCTCAACGGCCGTTGATCCAACAGTAACAGAACTACACGTCAATGCTACTCACGCCTCGGGTAATAATTCTATCAACCTATCCTCCAACAGCCTACACACTGTGGATTCCATCGGCACGGACAAAGAAGAGGGTCCCCATGCTGCATCACTGTCATCCTCGGGCTGGAGCCAACGGCTTTCGAATTCCCCGATTTTGCAGGTCAAAACACACCCCTACGAAAACTCGGGGATTCAGGAGATTAGCAGGTCTTCCACAATGGGCAGCCAGGTACCTGATAGCTTCAGAAGGTCAGATTCGCAAGGAACCCATGAGATAGAGGCTGCTTTGCCTGGCCCACTGCGCAAGGCCAAACGTTCGATTGATGGAGGCCAGGATGGCACGTTCCTCCCGGAGAGGTTACGGTCAAATTCAGGCGCTTCTTTTAATCTGGACAGGGCTGCCTCAGGATCCAGGACAAATAGTGTTACTCAGTATCACAGCGAGGGGGCCCCGTTTATTGAAACACAGGTGCCATCTGCAGCTACTACGCCTCTACCGTTACCTGATGGTGAGGCTCAATTGAAGGAATTATCCAAAGCCTCCGTGAAGCACAAATCAGACAGGCCATCTATCTCGAGCTCAAGCCGTTTGCCAGGGTATGTGGCATCCCAAGCCTCCACAGTGGATTCAGGATCGGGCCCACCAGCTTTGACACCGCTGAACACGGCCGTGGACCGCGTTTCCGGCACAGACGGACGTGGTTGGCGCCCGCATGCCAGTGGTGAAGGCGTCATGTCGCAGCTCAGGAGCAAGCTACTCAGCAAGGAGTTTTGGATGCGAGACGAGAATGCCAAAGACTGTTTCCATTGCGGAGAGCCTTTCTCCACTTTCCGACGAAAACACCACTGTCGTACTTGTGGCCAGATCTTCGATGCCAAATGCACGCTCTTGATCCCAGGAGACCGGTTTGGTCAACCGGGAACCATACGTGTGTGCAAACCTTGCGAGGCTATGATAAACGGCCATGATGACGACTCTTCCGAGTTCTCAGATAGCGAGCAAAGTCCCATACCGGTTAATCCTCGTCTGTCCGAATTTGGTGCGGGATTTTATCCACGTATCCCCTCGGAAGAGGATGATACGTCATCGGTGGTATCGCAGTCTATAGAACATGTGATGAAGACACCTACGATGGCCATACCCGCAACGAGACGCGCCGGGGAAGGCCACAACCGCCGCTCGGCAGTGCTTGAGATTAGTCCGGATAGGCCACTAGCACGACCAACTTCCTCGAGATCATTGAAGTCGTCGTTGAGTGGGAGACCTCATTCAATGGGCCACAAGCGCCATCATTCACGCCAGCAGTACATCCGCAACTTTAAGCCTTACCACGACGACCGAGCACCTTTCCAGCGACGCCAGGCAGAAGACGTTGCTTACGAATCCAGGCTTCCTGCGTTTCACAAAGATAACATTATTGACCCAGACTTGGCGCAGTACCTCTCTGATGACGCTTCTAGTGGCGAGGAACAGCCGAATCTCATGTCCGCTGTGTCAGAAGGGTCGTTGTCTAAAAGTGGTGGAGAAAGCGAGCGAACCACATTTAGCGGACTCCTTGCAGCCATGAAGAAGGGTCGGTCCGCATTTGGAGACCGAAGTGTTGCAGGCCTGAACTCTTTTGGTCGCGAACCAGATGACGGTAGCATTAGCAGCTCGAGAGCGGTGAATTTGCCACGTCCTTCCCGCCGGCGAAATCTTAGTGTTGCAAGTAGTGTCCATCAACGTCACTCCCCGCGAGCCTCGAAGGATAGCGTCTTTAACCCGCATGATCCATCGACAGCCGTTCATGTCTTTCCCACTGGGGTTTCTCCAAGCGGTTTCAAAATGACGAGGAGCTCATCTATGAGGGGTGCAGGCGCACCTCCAGTTGAGCTAAACAAGGCAAGCTTGCAGCACGTCCGCAAACTGCTGCGGCAGCTCCTGAGGGATGCGTCCGTGCCAAATGCGCTAAAATGGGAAACCGCATTGCTCCCGATTCTTCTCAAGGCGGCGGATGAGGTTGTGCCAGACGTGCAAGGGGGTGATGATATGGATATACGTCACTATATCAAGCTGAAGAAGATCCTGGGTGGCCGTCCAGGAGATACCTCCTATGTCTCAGGACTTGTATTCACAAAGAACCTTGCTCTCAAGAGTATGCCGAGGAGCATCCCGCAACCAAAAATCTTGATAATCGCATTTCCCCTTGAATATGCGCGGCATCAGCAGCACTTCATGAGCCTGGAACCCGTGATTCGCCAGGAGCGTGAATTTCTTGAAAACCTAGTGAGCAGGATAGCTGCTCTGCGGCCCAACTTGCTGCTTGTGGAAAAGAACGTGTCCGGGTTGGCCTTGGAGCTGTTGGAAAAAGCCAACATTGCAACAGCTTACAACGTCAAGTCGTCAGTTCTTGAAGCTGTTTCCCGCTGCACCCAGACAAGAATCATCACGTCCATGGATAAACTAGTGACCACCCCGGTGCATAGTGACTGCGGCAGCTTCGATGTCAAGACATATCTTTACAATGGCCGAAAGAGAACGTATATGTACTTATCTGGCTGTCGTAAAGAACTGGGTTGTACGATTGTTTTGCGCGGCGGTGATAGCAACGTGCTTGCAAAGGTCAAAAGGATTACTGAATTCATGACCTACGTTGTCTATAACCTGAAATTGGAAACCTGCCTGATGCGAGACGAATTCGCGCAGATGCCGACTTTGTCCGAAGCCGAGACGGAAAAGAAGACCGACGCAGAGCACGATTCCAGCGAGAAAGCGACTGGGGCCTTGACCAAAGACACGGTAGTAGGAACAGACCCTGCTAGTGAAGTGCCTGATGATGTTCCCATGCCAACTTACTACGAAGATATTGTTCGAGACCATGAAACGAAGGTTCTGTCTGCGTCTCCGTTTGTCAAATTCGAGCCTCCCTACCTGCTTATGCGTGCTAGAGAAATGGAACGCAGATTGGCCTACCTCAAGCGTCTCCGTGACAAGGACCTTGACATTGACCAGGCATCGGATGAGAAGGCCCGGTCTCAAAAGTTTATTCTGGTCACTCCAGAAATGGTCCATGAGTCCCCTCAGGGTGCTCCGCCTAAGGTTAAAGAAGTCTTACGTGCAGCCCATGATGCCGAGTATGATAGAGCACTCCATCACTATCAAACACAGAAGCGGCAGTGGGAAGCTTATGTCGCCGGGAGTGTCGGTCTGTTTGATCCGTATGCCCACCAAAACATCGTCGTTCTCTTCAGTCTAGTCTGCACGACATCATCAATTCCCTGCTCTGGCCCAGATCTTCTGGCCCTCGAGTATTACAACGAGCATGGCGGAGACTCTATATTCGAGCCGGATTGTACTCTTGGCCAGTATGTCGAGGATATCTGTTTACACGCGAATGCAGTTTGCACAGCGAATGGCTGCGAGAAGCGGATGTTTGAACATCACCGTCAATATGTGCATGGTGAAGCCCAGCTAAGCGTTTTCACCCAGCCCTATCCCTCTAAACTTCGAGGTCTCCAAGATACTATCTTGATGTGGAGCTGTTGCAAGGTCTGCGGTAATGAGACCCAGGTCTTCCCGATGTCCGAGAGCACCTGGAAATACTCATTCGGGAAATACTTGGAACTCTCATTCTGGAGCAAGAACTTGCACGCTCGGGCGGGAGTTTGCCCCCATGACTTGCAGCGTGACCACCTTCGCTTCTTTGGCTTCAAGGATGTCGCCATACGGATCCACTACGACAGCATCAATCTACTCGAAATCATTGTTCCCAGAACTCGGGTTACGTGGAAAGTGGACAATGACTTGAAGCTGAGAAACGAAGTCTACCAGCGAGTGGAACATCGCATCAATAGATTCATGGTCTCCGTCAAGGCACGGCTGAAGGGAATCAGCGTTGAGACCGTCATCCCAAAGCTGGCAGAAGAGTGCAAAACCCAGATAGAACACCTTGGTAAAAAGGCCAATGAGGACCATGTCGTCTTGGTAAAGCAGTTGCAGGATAAATACACGAACTCCCGATACTGGGAGGTTATTCCCTTGAATGAAGTGCTTCGCTCCGTCCAGGAGAAAGTTGTCGAATGGGATACGGCCTTTGCTGAATTCGAGAAGAATTTCTTCCCCTCGGAGAAAGATATCAGACGACTGGCCACCTTACAGCTGAGGAAGATCTTCCTGGACAAGGAGGTTATTCCCGAAGACCCTCCTACCACGCCAAGCGAACCCGATAATGACAATGCCCAAGAGCCAGAATTACTGCGACCAACGCGTCGTATGACTCTGTCCCCAGAGAAAGCCCAGGATGTTCTGGTTTCTGTTGTTGAAGAACATTCGGGGAAGAAGAATGCTGCTGCGAATCAGGGCCACGATGCCACCAAACCGGAGGATATTGAATCTGCAACCCTCTCTTCTAGCTCAGGGAGCTCGCAGTTCTCGCCCCCGCAAGCCGAGATTGTTGCGGAGAAAGAGGTGCAACATCTTGATCTTGCACCTTTGACTCACACTGGACAACCTGTTTCAACACCGCCTGCTACGAGTACAATAGACCCCCCAGAATCCCCGCTACCTATTGCTACCCCTCCTGAGTCTGATGGCAGCATGGTGGAAGCTGCTCCTTCCGAGGAATCGACCATTGCTCAGAGGAAGAAAAGTGACGAGGTCGAGAGAACCACACCGAGTCGCCTGCCAACAGCTATCCCACGACTAGCCGATGGTACTTTGCGGCGCAGTGGAAAATCGACTTCCCCACCATTATTCCGTTCCCAAACCCAACCTATCATAGCCAATGACGGCACTCCTGTGAAGGGCATGAAAATCGCATTTGGCCGATTGCCGCAGTCCGAGGGAGCTCCAAGCCCTCCTCTGGAAGCGAAGTTCAGGTCGGACAAAAAGATTTCCGAACGCTTCGGTCTCCACGCTTTCAGAAATGGAAGAATGACTCCGGCTCCATCTCTCATTCCCCGTTCGATTCCTACTAGAAGAAACTCCCGCGTATCTAATCTGGCTAAGCACTTTGAGCAGTTGAGCCGAGAGTTTGAGAAAGAACGCCAACGAGAGAGAGCACGGCGGGCTGCCAAGGGCACACATTCTCGCGCGATCCCAATAGCCTCCTCGAAGCCAATTGTGGAGGTGTACAAGAACGTCAGGGAGGCGGTCGAGGAACGAGAGCCTTCGGGCGAAGGAGAGGACCTCCTACCTCCAACATCGCACGAAATCCCTCTGGATCAGTCAAGCAGGAACAGCGAAGAACTGCCGAGAAGGGACTCCGAGGAAGATGATAGGAAAGAGGTTATTTCCCCTGAGCCGTCGGTACCAAAGGAGGACAAGGAAAACACCAACATGGATGACGAACATATCTTGTCCGAAGGTGAAGGCGACGACGGACACAGTGACGAAGATCATGAGGAGCTCCAGAGGACCGATTCGAATGATGGAATGAAGGGTTCGCCGGAAGATGAATCGATGGACTTGAAGGAATTCCCTAAGCATGAGAGGAGCACGCTACTGAAGCTGTTGACCAATTTCTGGTCGGAGCGTTCTGCCAGCGGCTGGGCCCCTCTGGACTATCCACTCACCATGTCCGACCATGTCTTCGCAGATTGCGATATCATCGTGCGTGAGGATGAACCGAGCTCCTTGATCGCATTTGCATTGGATTCCAGCGATTACAAGGAGAAGCTCGAGGCCATACAAAGGCGCTACGAGGAGCCTGATGAGAAAAGTACGATCCTGGAAGATGGCACTGACGCCTTGGATGAGACCCGCGTTGAACACGCGCTTCTCCGGTCCACCGGCACGCACCTCAAGTATCAGTTCCAGGAAGGACAGGCCAAGATGCTCTGCAAGATATTCTATGCCGAGCAATTCGATGCCCTGCGGAAGAAATGTGGAGTTGCGGAGCGGATTGTAGAATCACTGTCTCGCTGCGCTAAATGGGACTCCAAAGGGGGGAAGACCAAATCCCTATTCTTGAAGACCCTCGACGACCGCTTCATTCTCAAATCGCTTTCACCCATTGAAACGCAGGCATTCTTGAAGTTCGCTCCGGCGTATTTCCAGATTATGTCCGAGGCGCTCTTCCACGAGCTGCCGTCGGCGATAGCGAAGATGTTCGGCTTCTACCAAGTGATCATCAAGAATCCAGCTACCGGGACGGAGTTCAACTGGTTCCTTCTGTTGATGGAGAACTTGTTCTATGACCGTGTCCCCACGCGAATCTTCGACCTGAAGGGCTCCATGAGAAATCGCAAAGTCCAGAGCACCGGAGAACGCAACGAGGTCCTACTGGATGAGAATATGGTTGACTTCATCTACGAGACACCATTATTCGCCCGGGAGCACTCGAAGAAGCTTCTGAGCCAAAGCGTCTGGAACGACACTCTGTTCCTGGGGCGTCAGAACGTGATGGATTACTCGCTTATGATAGCCATCGACGAGAGTCGATCGGAACTGGTGGTCGGTGTGATCGATTGCATCCGCACATACACCTGGGACAAAAAATTGGAATCATGGATCAAAGATCGCGGGTTTGCTGGCGGTGGGAAGAACCGACCTACCGTCACCAGTCCGAAGGAGTACAAGAGTCGATTCAGGGAGGCGATGGCTCGATACGTGCTCCAGGCCCCAAGGTAAGCCAGACAAACCCACATCTTCAAGCACCGCTGACATGTCCATCAGTTGCTGGCAACAATTCCAACAGCCTCCGACGTTCCGGTACGCTCCAATCGAACACTACCCGAGCCAGACTTACTCCACCACGGACGGTGATGTTGTCGAAGAAATGACGAGTTGAGCAATTCTGTACCGATAGACCCTCATGACGAATATGACTTTACGACACGACGTGATGTACTAAAACGTTTCACTCATTTGTGCTACATCTACCTTTAGCGACTCAACGCTCCGCCACCGTCTTTGCCATTTTTCTTTACAAGCATTCCTTCTTTCTCATGACTGTACGAGAACCACATCCCTTAAATTAGGCCTATCCTAGCATAATACCAACAATCAATCCCTAATGCTTCTAATGAAAATACCATCCCAACCCCACTACGTAATCACTTCCACGACCAACAAGAGACCCAGAGAGAGAGAGAGAGAAAGAGACAGAGACAAAGATTCACCCGGCCCGGTACCCAACCTAAACACTTCCGGTCTCCCGACCCCGACCGACAACCACAACCACAACCACCCCCCCCTCGATCGGCAGAACCCGGGACGCTCGGGTTACCACTCGGGAATCTGATTTGCCCTTCGCGGTTTTAGTTCTCGAGCAGATTGGAATTCGCGTCTCGTGCTGCCATTTTCCTACCCCTTTCATATTTTTCCCTCTTTCTCTTCTTTTTTTTTTTGTTGTCCCGGGGTTTGCTCATTATACTTAATTTACCCTTCGTTTTTTGTTTTGTTTTGCGATGGGTGGTGGTGACTGTGTCTACCTACCTACATTACCTACACTGACTGACTCATTGGATTTGACTAATGGATTCAATTAGTTAAATAACTAAATAGCAACTGGTTGGCCATTGACTAATTAAATAGGGAGGGAGTGAGTGAAGTGAAGTGAATGCCTCGGCTGAGTGGTTTTTACCCCCCCCCTTCTCAGGCGGGCTCTCACACCCCCTCTCCCTTGCTGGGTTGAGTGTGTGGTTTCCCCCGCATTTCTTACGGGGGGAAGGGGAGAGAGGTTCTTTCTTTCTTTCACGACTCTACCTACAGTGTACACTACTCTCCGTGGTTGTTGAATGGAGGAGCAGCTTTCGATTCTTGGGGATGGATTCATGAATTTATGCGATGTGATCGAGCACTTGCTACTCTATCTGGGAATTCTATCTTGGAATGGAATGGAATGAAACACGCGACCAGGTCGCTTGCACTATGACCAGCACTAACATTGCATTTATTGCTCAGCAAATATATCTATTCAAGCCATGGACATGGACAACTTATTAATCTAGCTTTTTTGATCGCAGCAAAGTCCACCAAGCATGGCTGGCTAACTAACGTCAAATCAAGGTGAATACAGATTACGTTTCCAAAGGTGCGTGCCTCCCCCAGCGCGTCCGGGTCAAGAGATTGATGTGGTAGACCCAAGTGCGCACTCCTGGTGCTCCTCGTCCTACCCCGACTAACGAGTCTCGAGGTGAAGACACAAGCAGCCTGCTCGCGTGCACTCCCTGGGTCGTCGCGTCGCGACGAGACCGGTCTACGATATCCAGAGACACACCCTTGGCGCTTTCTATCCAATCGCTGTCGTTACCGCGTCATCCACCGTACGGTGGCATCCCGGACTGCATTTACTCAGCCAGGCCGAGGTTCTCCTCAGCAGGGACCACACGGACGGTGTTGGTGTGGCCCATACCGCCGCGCCATCCCTGGACGCAGACGATGTTGTCGCCCTTGTTGATGATGCCGAGCTTGAGAGCGTGGGAGATACCCCACTTGAGACGGCGGTCAACATCCTCCTGCCAGATCTTGACGTTGAAGTCGGGCTTCTTCTCGGGGAAGAGGAAGGGCCAGACACCGCGGTACAGGTGAGAGTACTGGAATCAATCTGTTAGCATGGAGCACTCAAGCGAACGGTGTTAAGGAATCGACTTACGCGGCTGGCCTTGTCGTTGCGGGAAACCATGACAATGGGGCAGACGGGGCGGTACTTGGAGAGGAGGCGAGCGGTTTTACCACTGGACCACGTCAGCAAATCATCCTATTGAACAGCACCGCATCAAAACATACCTGGTGGTCAACACAACAATGGCACCGGCGTTGAGCTCCAGACTGGCGCTAACGGCAGCCATGGCGATGGACTCAACAGTGTCGGTGGGGCGGGGAGCGAGGTTACGGAGCTCATCGAACACGTTGAAGTGGGGGATGGCGACCTCAGCGAGCAGGCAGGTCTCGGACATCATCTTGACGGCCTCCTCGGGGTAGGAACCCTTGGCGGTCTCTCCCGACAGCATGACACAGTCGGCACCGTCAAGGACGGCGTTGGCAACATCAGACACCTCGGCACGAGTGGGACGAGGGTTGTACGTCATGGACTCGAGCATCTGAGTGGCACAGATGACGGGCTTACCCTTGATGTTACACTTGGCGATCATCATCTTCTGGGCGATGAAGACCTTGGGGGCAGGGATCTCGATACCAAGGTCACCACGGGCAACCATGACACCGTCGGTCTCCTCGAGAATCTCGTCGAAGTTGTTAACACCCTGCTGGTTCTCAATCTTGGCAATGATCTGGATCTCCTTGCCATCCTCGCCGAGAACCTCACGGATGTGGCGGATGTCGCTTCCGCGACGGATGAAAGAAGCGAAGACCATGTCAACATCGTTCTTGACACCGAAGCGGAGATCGGCAATGTCCTTCTCGGAGAGAGCGGGAAGGTCGACGTCAGTGCCGGGCAAGTTAACACCCTTGCGGGAAGAGATGTTGCCGTTGTTCAAGCACTTGACGCGCAGGGTCTTGTCGTCAACGACTTCCAGGACCTCGAAGGAAAGGATACCATCATCAACATAGATGAGCTTGCCGGGCGAGATCACCTTGGTGATGTTCTTGTAGTCCAGGTACCTACGAATGGCTTGTCAGCGGGGTCCATCCATTGGCAGAAAACAACAGCAATGACTCGGACGGAAACAAGCGGGGAGTGGCCTTACATGTTCTTGTCGTCGGAGGCGGTGGCGTATTGGTCGTCAGTGGTGATGTTGAGCTCGTGGCCCTGCTTGATGGGGATATCCACATCGCCGGGAGTGTTTCCGGTACGGATCTCAGGACCTTTCTGTGGAGGGGTCAGATTAGGAGATTCCAAGCCGTTGGGGCTTTCAACTTACGGTGTCCAGAGCAATGGCGAGAGGACGTCCAGTCTGGGTCCTGGCGGCCTCACGGGCGTTGTCGATAACGGATTGGTGGTACTATGCGGGGTCAGCACACCGTTACAGCCACGAAGCGGGTTAGCTGGTCGCTACAGGAGAGCTTTTGACTTACCTCATAGGAACCGTGGGAGAAGTTCATACGAACAACGTTCAGACCGGCTGCAGAGCTAATTAGCTTGATAACTACCGAAACCAGGAAATGCGTCGCGCGTACATCTGCGGAGAGCGTTGATCTTCTCCACGGAGTTGGTCTTGGGGCCTAGAGAAAAATGGGAGGTTAGCCAAAGATGACGCCAATTGACGTGAGAGCTTCCAGGATGGAATTCGCCACAGCGTGACAGGGAAGAACGTACCGATGGTGCCGATGATGGAGGTGCGGCGGAAGTTCTTGGAGGGCACCATCTCGGTGTTGAGCTTGGAGTGCCACTCCAGCTTCATGCGGTTGCTCAGGTGGTCGAGGGAGTTGGTGGCAGCCATCTTGAAGGATGATGTCTTCTACTGGACAGTTGGAGTAGAACTGAAGAGCAGAAAGGCAAAGGGGAGAGAAGACAGAGAAGAGGAAGGAGGGGGAAGAAAAGGAGGGATGATAGGGAAGAAAAGACGGAGCCGGTGAGCGAGAGCGAGATGGACTAGAGGAGGGGTGTGCCCGGGAAGGAAAATGTTGGTGGCCGCCATTGGCCGGCGAGGCACTGACTGGCTGGCGGGATTCCCACATTGGGACTGGCCCGTCCTCTCGGTCGGTTCCCCGCGGGTGGCTCGCTCTGGGTCCCCTCTCGGTCACCGGCCACCACCTCTCTCCTCGCCTGTGCCTCCTGCTACCGAGTACTTACCATCACACTCCCCAATTCCCATTATTAATGGGATTAATTTTGATATCTTGTTTTTTCTCGCCCCGGCGCTATCGCCGGATATCCAAAACTCAATGCTTCCCCGTGACTAGTGCCAACCGTCGTCCGCTGCCTGCTGCCTCCATCCGCGCTGTTGAGTGGTCGGCCAAGGTGCCCGCCGAGAACGGTGGGCAGAACTAGTAATCAATACCCCAGCCGTGTGTCATCCTCAGGCATCTCTCTCCGGTCTCAGGCATGTCTCAGGTATCTAACCCCTCCCGACGAATGAATCGGTTGGGAAACCAAAAAACCAAAACCAAAAAAAAAAAAATATCTAAGAGCCACCCCCAGGACACCCAGAGCGTCTGGAACGACCACATGATCACTTCATTGGAGGATAACATCTCCTGTTGTCCCCACATAGTCGCGGATCCATCCTCGTCTTGCGACGTGGATGGATGTTTTCTTTTCTAGTTTGCTGAGTTTTTCGTCCCAAAACCCATCTCCTGATCCATCATAACCCATAAGGCTGAAATTTGCTCATCTCCGGACCCAGTAGCTATGGAGAACCGTCCTTGTTTGGGGGGGGGGGGGGGGGTAATTATAGAAACTTTACCAATTAGATATTAGGGGTTACGACTGTCAGGCCTCACTGACTTGGGGTACTGTCGGAGGCCTCCGTCTGCCGGGTTGTCTTTCTTACTGAAGAAATATAGATAATAGATAATAGATTGATGGATGGGTGGGTGTATGTAGGTACGGATAGTTGAGATAGCAACAGCACCTCAACCATCTACATCCGAATTCCGAAACCTCGGCCTGCTTCTACTTTACTTACTTACTTAAGTAGGTAGATAGATGCCTGCTTTGTCTCTCCACATCTATACGGAGTATGATTGTATGCCTAGCAAATAGGTAGGTAATATGAAGTATCTATCGCTGTCTAGCATACCTATCACGGACAATGATACCTCCGATTCAATTCGGATTTCGGACCAAAGTACCCCTCCTCCACCACCACCTACTCCTCCCTAACTCCTACAGTGTACGATTCAATCATACAACCCCAAGCCTGAGGCCTCCAGAATACTATCAACCGAGAGTGCATTCCGATTCCGACTTCCGATCACCACCACCCCTACTTACTCCATACAAGTAAGCTGGTAGTAAGAGTAGTAGTATATCCTCCCAACTCAGTTCCCGGTGAACCAAACCTACTTACTCCGTATGCAAACCAGACCAGACGACTCCGGAGTAAGATAGACGGCGGCGGCGGCACTTCCCTTCCAACGAGGGGTACGTAAATATGTTTAGTCTGCAGAGCCAAGACACGATGATCATTCCTCCTGCAGGATATCCACCTAGCTATCTACATAGGTATCTGTCTATCTATAATCTATTTATGGTTGGGACTTGGCGGGCATACTAATGTTCGGAGAAAGGATGTTTTGTTTTCTTGGGTTCGGTAGGAATTGGGTTGGGGGATGGGTGGGTGGGGGGTGAAGTTGAAGTGGGTATGTAAAGACGGAGGTGTCCGTTTTGCTTACTTTTGTAGGAGGTAAGTACCTTGTAGCTGGCAGGAGGGAAGGAGGTTGCCCGCCGGCCGAAGATGTTTGGGTTGGTTGTCGGTTGCCAGTAGGTAGTGAGCATGCCTGTCCACCAGCCACATGTCCAGCCACCTGGAAAAGCGTGACCTGGCACCACACCCAGCCCCCCCCGCTCACCGCCTCGCTCAGTCAGTTGCCCACGTCATGTGCAAGCCGCGGCACGTGAACCCACCTCGATGACATTCCGTCTGGTCTGTGGGGTGGTTGAAACAATTCCTTTCTTTTTTCCTCCAGGAACTCTACAACTTAGCTATTGCTATTCTCTACTGTCGCGACGGATTTAAAGTTCTGAGTGCTGAAATCGAACCCGGATCGTTCTGAGAAGAATACTCGCGAAAGCCTACCCCCTCATAATGGTGTGTTTGTCCTGGGTTGAGACTCGGGGGTACCTCGGGTAAGAGGTTGTCTTTACTGATTGGCTTTGCTTTCGCGTCTCCAGTTTGGACGTCTTACCCATTACGCATTCGATGCGGTTCTCTGTATGTGCCTATTACCTGTCCTGGATCGGCTGCCTGGACCGGTAACGCTAACCTGGTCCTTCTCGCTCAGTTTCTGCCTTCCTGGCCGGCGTCAAGCGCTCGACTGGCTTAACGTAATTAGCCCCGTCTCTCCGGCGTTTCCATCGCGCCTCGAATCCCTGCATTATCTATACGAGATGTATACCAGTGAATCATAGCTAATCTGATCACCCCACGTCCCTCTTGGGGGCTTGCGTGGGGTCCTTCACAGCCCCAGTCTCAGCTCCGACAAAATCACCGATAACAAGGATTTCAAGAAGTGGATCGATAACTACCTCGGTGTTGGCGAGTGGGTGATGGACCAGTCCGTGGCCGTGCTGGGCTCTACCAGCTACTTTGAGCGCAGACGGTAATCAGCATTCCCATCGCTTCTCGGCTCCGGAATCGCTTCTCGATATACGAAAACCCCGCAGCGGCACCTCCAATGGCAGTGGTCGGGGTCGGTAAAGCGACACGCTACCTGTCCCGTGCTTTCTTTTTGGAGGGGTGCGTTATAAGGAAGGAAAAAAAAGGCTACCCATTGCGACTGAACAAATATCCAGTTACGTGAGGGCTGCCCATGATTGATGATGGCATTTTGGTCCGCTTCGGCTCGTTTGAGTAGCGCAAGTCATGGCGTTAGGTATCTCGCGTTGACTGTATACCTCCTTCCGCTCCATTGATATCTCCTACTTTGGATCATCCGCATTGCCGCGGTATGCCTGCATGTACATAGGTTCCCTGTCGATGGGAAGCAACTGCATCACTTCTTTCCGCTGTTTAGCCTAACGACGGCCGTATCGTGACCGGACTACCAATCAAGGTTATTCCCGGTTTTTGTCATCCGTACAGCCATCGCGCGCAGGTCACTGGCTAGGTATAAAGATATATAATTGTCTCCGGTTGCACGAGTCCACTTTATTCATCTGTGGTAACCTCTGTGGAACTATCCTCGACCTGTCCTTGATATCGAGGGCTGCCTCAAATAGCGGTTGCATCCATGATGAAATGTTGCCTCGTTAAGCCTGCACAGGCCCACATAGGTCTATCAAAGCACAGCATGATGTGCTCGCTGGAACCAAAGCGGCGGAATGCAAACTCTGCACTCGCAAAACACATCGTCGCCCAAAGGGGCCAAATACATATTCTGGAAGCACTGAACGACATGACTCGTTATATCGTGACTTTCGTAAACATCGGCACTCATGTCCGGAGTAATGCATCGACGTCAAGACGGCGGTAATAGGAGATGTGGCCCATGGTTTCCCAATAGTGGGCCACACATTCAGTCGATATCAGGATAAGCTGGGAAGCGATAAAGGTATCTATAAGGCCTCAATTAGGCTGTGAAACAAAAACTGGATGAGTCATTTTGTGGATCAATCTTACCATCTCTAAAACCGAGGCCAGCTACATGACCTTTGCTACGTACTATCCGTGCCCCTTGAAAAAGCGCCTCCTCCGCGATACGGACGAGACCCCCCGGGCCAACGTCTTCCGCCGAGAAGGATATTTCGCCACGAGGAACATTGGGGTCTCCGGTGAGCTTGATTGCCTCCAGGCTGCATTGCGGGTTGGATTCTTCACCCAACTCGCTAGCATTAGCAGGACTAGCATGCTCATCCGCCCGCTCGCGTTGTAGGAAGAGCAAAAATTCACATCCGTGTGCCGAGTAGTCTCCAACCCAGATTCCTTGGTACGGTTTCTTCTTCGTGGGTGTGTACAGTTCAGGATCGAGTGTTGCATAAGTCGACAGCGTCTCGCTCCGATCAGCGGTGAATATGGGCATTCCCCATCGGAAATGTGCCCACCTCCTGATCCGGAACGCATGCTCAGAAACATCGTCCAGCTGTCGAGGGTGGCGCTCCCATTCCGGTAGTCGATGTCCTACATCACGGTAAACGCGGTGTTTACTCGGGATGGTTTGCGGGGGCCATTGTTCGATCGCTTTAAGATTCAAAGGCAAGCGAGCGGAGCAAAGTGAAAAGGCATTGAAGACATTCTGCGTTTCAATGGGCATAGGCATGCGTGTCTCACCACTTAGATACCGTGGCTGTCCTGCATGATGGTTTTTCAGCAGGAGGACTGGATCATCTAGCCAGAGACCGACTTTGGGATTGAAGGTTTGGATAATGACATCCGGGTTCCAATCCCAGATCTGAAACTGGTGAGAACGCCTTTCTGCAATGACCCGGTAAGCTTCTATGACTCCCCTTCGGTGATCGTACCGGGCTAGGATTAGATTGCCCGTGTGCTCCGTGTCCGAAAACCAGACTTTATTGCGAGGAACAAACCAGCAAGGGTAGTGGGCAATGTAAAGATTGCGGAAGGAGTCAAAAACACCAGGGTCGTGTATTGGCTCGGGGAGGTGAGAGTTGATTATGTTCGCCCACAAGAGTTCGTTAGCCGCATGCTCGGCGAATGTGCGACAGGTGGTAGACAGGCGAGCAAGATCTTGTGCCGATAAATAGGACAGGATTTGCTGGACAAGCTCAGGAGGAAGCTCTAAGAACGGAGGTCCGATTTCAGCAGAAGAGCCGGAGACCGAACCCAATAGAGACGCTTGGGGATCGTCCACCATCTCCGTCGGTGCCTGGTTCCGTCCCCCCAAGGGCGGCTGCTTGGAATCTTCGTCCACAGGCGCGGCGGCCATCACGAGTCTCGTGGACGGGAAAGCCGGAAACCGAGGGTTATAGACAAGGCAGGAAGCTTTTTACCAGGTAGTGGCCTGAAAAATAGAGTTGACAGCAGACGAGGAGGCAACGAAGATAGGTGGTTTGAGAGGCAAGTGGTTGACGATCTGCATACTAAGTTAGCCTCTCAGTTAGCGAGGGGAAGGCGAGCCCAGCTGGCCGCCCGCATGACATCACCCTTGCAGGGCCCCGACCACATCACCTCATCCTCACCAGCAAGAGCCGTGGGGAGATCTGAATGCTGGTTCATCCCTGGGGATTATGTTCAAAATTCGCGCATGGGGCATATTTTAACTGGCGGGTGTGCATTGGCTATGTAAGCCCAGATACAGATCCTGGAGCATCATGGTGGTGGAGAGTAAGATGATAGAATGTCAACGGGTTGCTCGGCACTCGATGGTTCACGGGATGAGATAAGATACGGGGGGCCATGGATCCTTATTGGTTGTTCCTGCGACAAAAAACGATATTGTACTAGATGCAACGCCTCCGTCACCAAGTAGATCATACTGATACTGCGTACCATCTAGTATCTACATTGTATACAGCGCGGGTGTACTAGTATCAGCATGTGCAAGATTTTGGCCCATCGTGGGAAACGCAGGAGGACCTGAAATGCAAGGCACCATGCTATGTAATTCGGAGGTCACCTGACAAGTGCAAGGGCGGGTTTGTTTACGCGTTCCCAATCGGGCAGTGGCCCTGGCTGACACGCGTAGGGAAGGCACGATGGGCCCCTTGCCTATTTGGGAAAAACCACAATACTCCAGGCTCCGGGGTGATTTGCCGCTGCTTGTTATGATTCCCCCGATCGCTCCTACTACACAGTATATCTAGTACTAACATCTACAACCCTATTGTATCATTCTTGTTGTCTTAGCCAAGTGGCCCTGCAAAACTTTAACAATTTCTCCGCCACACAATACGAATCAGGGATTGAGGGGCTCGTGCGACACTTGACTCACGCCAGTCGGACCAATACACAATGGTCGTGGATACGAGACAGACTAGGCGAAAGAGACGAAACAGCTCTACATCCAGCCAAGTGCCCCCTTCTCCAGCCTCTGGCAAGAAGACTCGTCAAGCCGAGTACCATACTGTCCCGGCTTCGTCCTGCGAAACCCCCCATCAGCCCAGCAAAAGGGTTCGGTTCTCAGACCCCGGCCCTGAGCTGCAACATGACCTAGACTACTCGACGGGCCTCACTCCCGCCATGCTTCGCACCTCCTTCGAGGAGCGAGCAGAAGATGACCCCTCGATGCGCACCCCAAGCCGCCGCTTACGTCGGCGCTCAACCCCTCTTCCTCGGTCTCGCCGCTACATGGGGTCTCCAAATGCTGCCCGCGTGGCTTCCCCGGGGTGCGTAGTACAGTTTACACCCTTGCGGCAGCTCCTAGACGCGCGGACGCAGCGAAGGATCCGGCGGGTAGGGCTGAGCGATGAGATCAACCAGCTGGAACGCGAGAAGAGAGAAACCGCTCGGTACCAGAAGACCCTCCAGTCACTGCTACGCGAGCGAGATTGCTTGAAGCATGAATTGGAATCGGTTAAAAGATATCGAACTCTTTCGCAGCGTCAACTGAATGATGAAGCTACATGTCTGTCGCCGCAATCGATGGTTGAACAGGTCGAGTCTGAGAATACCCGACTGATGGAACAGCTTTCATTCCCTTCACCGGGTAGCCATGGTGAACATGACACGATAGTTGACACTGAGGGAGAAACAATGATTATCAACGACAGTCGGTGGGAATGCGATACATTGCTGGTCTCAGACTCTCCGGATTTCCGAGGTCTAGATTCCGGACGGCTTTTGGTTCCCGATAATTTTTCGCTTCTGAGCCAAGGACGTACGGATGCCGATGCATCAACTCAAGCCTCTATGCCGGACTATAAACGAGAGGCAGAAATAATAGCGCTCTCAGCTGATCTTGCAGCCGCTAGAAAGGAGAAAAAAGACTTGTTCGATGCATGTCGCGCTCGTGTTGCTTCGTTTGAAGGGACGGCAATTGAGAGTCTTCTTCGTCGACCTTCTCCACCACCAGACTTCCTAGATCACGTCCTGCCTACATTAACCCAGACCCTTCGTCACGCTTCTGACGCTGCTGAAGCGCTTGATCATATAAAGGAAGAGCTTTCAGGTCTAGGATTCCCAGGAGAGAATGCCAACGACATCATCTCTACGATGCGTGACCAGTTTCGCACAGCTCGCCTCCGACTGGAGCGGGCAATCCCTGGCGAAACCCCCAATGCTGGCTTGAGTGACGGCAATTCAACCCTTGGTGCATTGGTAAAGCGGGTTGAGATGCTTGTCAGGAGCCTTCGAAACGAACAGGTACGACTAGATGGCTCTTTAGGCCGGGAGAATGCACTCCGGGGTCAATTCAATAATCTGTTGGCTCGGTATGAGGCTGCATCGAAGAAAATCAGAGACCTGGAAGAGTCAATTACTACCTCCGCCGGAGACATGCTTCATACGCGAATGCGTATGCAGGAGCTTGAAAATGAAGGAAAGGAACAGACTGTCAGCATTGACAGGCTCAATGCAGCTCTCGACAAATACCACGAGGAAGTCAAGGGGCTTGAGGCGCTAGTAACGGCCCTAGAAGCAGATAAAACCAAAATCAATGAGGCGCACAAGGAAATGGTGGAGGAGCTGCAGCGGAAGATGGAAGGGCAGGAAAGCGCTATTCGTTCTGCTGAGTCAACCATTGCAGAGCGAGAATTACGCATTCGGGAGTTAGAAGATACCGTCCAGCGAAATCACAACCGGGTGTGTGACCTGACGACCAAGGTTGAATCACTTGAGGTCGAGCGCCAGCAAGCGGTCCAGAGTCTGGCGAATGAGGCAGCAGAGCAGCAAGAACGCCTTGAACAGGAAGTTGGGTCGATGAATGTCCGAGTTTCCGAGCTCAACACGTCACTCGAAGAGGCCAGGTCAGATATCGAGAGGCTTCAGCGTAGTAACACTGGGCTGGAAAACCAGCTGCGCCTGGAAGTTGAAGCGAGGGACAGTCTACTGGACAGATGGGCTGCAGACCAAGCGCGTTCATTTGCGTTCATGAAGGAGTCCCTCAATAACGAGCGACGGAAAGCCAGGGTCCGAGCTGCCAACTGGGAGGTTCAGTCAGATGAGATCCACTCCGATAGCTTGAATTTCGGCAGCGAACCCATCACACCAGTCAGTATGACAAGGTATGTTGATGTGGAGGCTGGCCGGGGCAAGCATCGTAAGCCCCTGGATAGTGCCATAGGAATACTCACCGAGGATGACCTCGAAGATGTTGCGGTTGGCCACATTATGTCGGAGTCGTTGCCTTCTGACCCAGCTGATTTATAGCCTGTTTTCGCATGCATTGCAAATCTTGACATGTTATTCGACTGAGGATCAGTTTCAAGGTATATTTTGGGCGGGCAGTCATGTAGTGGAATATGTTATTCACTTTGTCATATATGCTGGCCAGTGATCATAAATCAGCCATTTAATCATTCTTTGCTTCTTCATAGACTGTCTAGGTCATGGTTTGTAAGGTGTACGGCGCGATAGACTGTACAGCGAGACCATTATCTAGGGGCGGGCACTCCAGCAATAGCAATGAGATCAGCAGTAAGCTTGTGGCGCATGCTGCGGTGTTCTGGCTTGCATATACGCAGACCCTGCAGGTTTGTGTGGCACTTATATGCCTGGGACTGGTTGCCTGTGACATTCAAGCAGAGAGCGGTGAAATAGGACAGATACTATCTGGCAGCGCTGACGGAGTGAGGCTGTCCGATGAATCTAAACACGATGGCCACGCCCGCTTGATGTGCCCGGGCTTAATGTGGAGCAATTGGAGCATAGCAATTGTAATTCCATGAAGTCTTACATCAATGAAATATCATATGGCAGACAACAACTTCGCTGATCGGATGCTCCCGAAACCATGTATGCAAAAATCTAGAAATGACGGTGACCATACCTTAGTCTGTCTGAACGTGGTTTGTATGCAGGCTAAGGCGATCGATCAGGGACATGTCGGTCTCGGAAAGGCCTCTTTGACACGTATGTCGCTTCAAGTCTGGCCTCAGTGCCGGGATGTAGTCCTTGCTTGGCTCAAGTCAATTGCCAACCATATTTCGTGGATGGCAGTGCAGCCGACCGGGGAGAGGAAGCACCGCCAACAGCGGTCTGATGGCCGCTGGGGGTTTCCGTGGTTGAGTCCAACACCCTGCATTATAAGGTTAATCCCGCAGGTGGGGGCGCTTGGATCTCTACTTGGACATGTTTCTGGTCGCTTTGTTTGTACCACTCTGTAGCACTGTGGACTGCCCTGTAGATACCTATTGTTTACTAGCATTGCAGATGGTCTGGAACCGTGCCATGGATACATCAGCGCGCAGTGCCACCATGTGTTGTGTGACAGTGTCCATGCCAGAGGAAAAGGGATGGAGGAGGTCTGTGCAGCGTTGCCCACCGGGGCAATTAAAAGAAAGCACTAATGGCATCCTGATTATTCCATGAATGATCTAGAAGGGCTAGAATGGCACTAGAGTGAAATTGGTCGACGTTAGCATCATTCACGATGGAGCCCATCCCTGATCCACTCGGCGTTTACCTGGTCATCCAGGAACTGGCCTGACTGGCAAGACGAACACCACCCAACCATGGCGGCGGGCTGACTGAAATCTGGGTTGCCACCGGGAGGGATGCAAGATCGGTGCAGGCGTGGGAACAAAGTTTGGACAATCGGAAAGCACGATCAAAGTCCAGCTATTTGTTTCGCCGGGAGCTGCAAGCTGGCCTCTAGGGGCGTGGGGGGACGATCGGGACTGCAGGAGATTGCAGGAAGTCCGGCTAATCGGGGCTCCATGGCGACCATGATAGTCGCTGAACATGTGAAGTCGTGAGAGGGAAGGGTTTCAGCCCGTAAGAGGACTGTTTCATCCCCCTCAACTGTGAGAGGAACTTTAGCAAGGAGTGGCCGATTATTCGGTCGATCGCAAAAGAAACGAAGAGTCATCCTGGGGGGGGGGAAGGAGGTCAATAGTGCCGGAGACTATTCAGGCCAGGGGGGTGTTGGGACATCGGGGCATCCACTGGAGACAGAGAGGGATGAATATGATTATTCAATAATACCGAAAGTACGTAAGTTGGGGGAGGGCGTCGGGAAGCGAAGCATCCTGATCTGAGACGGCGCGCCATCAAAGTGAAGCCGCGGATCCGACCCCTGAGCGCGCTGCCTGAGGTGTCGGGGCCTTGTCTCTCCACTTCGTTTCGGCGTTTCTCCTCCTCCTCACTACTTCTCCTCTTCCTCCCTCTTCTTCTTCGCTTCCTTTGTTTTTCCCTTTTCCCACCTACTCTTCCTCCGGGTACCCATTCGTTCGTCCCCCCCCCCAAATCGATTCACACTTTCGCCATTCCCTGCTCTGCAGGCCCCTCTTTCGCTCTTTGTTGCTGTCCACCATGGTTGTGGCCCCCGCCGCTGCGTTGTCTCACCAGCATTGACTTTCCCCCCACCAACGAACCACCGTTTCCCCCCCGTTTGTGGTTGGGCTCTGTTTATATCACGTCACCCGTCCCCCCTCCTTTTGGGACGCGTCCAACGTGAATGCCATCCGACTCTTTCGCAGCATCCGTGCGAAGTGCTGAATCTCCACTTCGCCTGAACACTTCAATTCATTCTTCGACCTCGTCCAGCTCCGAGTCTTCTCTCCCCAGTCCTAGCCGGCAAGATCAGTACCCTCTCCTGACCTCCCGTTATCGCCACTTGTCCCCCAAACGAGCCGCCATCATGAACGAGGCAGGTGGTCACCCCGGCGTGCGGAACCTCCTCGCTAAATTCGAGAACAATCAGAGCAACACCACCTCCCCTCCCTCTCGCGGTCGATCCCCCGTTGGCTCGGAACATTCCGGCTCAGGAAGACCTCTGTCCAAGGTACGCGCGAGCTTTGTCGCTGTCGATGGTGCGACTCAGCCTAACCCTCTCGCGGGGCTACGGAGTGTGAGTGGTCGCAGCGACAGCCCTGCCGCCCCGACCCGGGTCAGAAGCTTCAATTCGGAGGATTTTGAAGGTGGCTTGAAAAGTCCACTGTCCGTTTCCCCAACTCGGAACGGCTTTCCCCACAAGATCCCCGAACAGCCAGTTGCGACTCTGGAGACACCGCCGGAGGATCTTCCTGAGAAACATGACCCCGCCCCGGTAGAGCCTGAAAAGCCGTCGGAAGTTGTTGAGAATCCTCCAGCCCCAGTTCCAATCCCCAAGGCCACTGAGGTCTCTTCTGAGGTCTCCTCTCCCAAGCCGACCAAGACCGTCACCAAGCGACCATCGACCATCCAGGTAGGCAAGCCGGCGCCCAAACCTGCTGCGAGATCCCCGGCGCAGCCCCGCACGCCCACTTCGCCTGCCAAACCCGAGGACAAGACATCTCGGACCACACGGGCTGCCCGTCCGGCGACTACGAGGACTGCAGCCGCCGAGGCCCCCAAAGTCGCAACACACAAGCCGAGCCGGACATCCTTGAACCCTGCAACTAAGCCCACGACGAGACCCGTACGGTCCTCCATGCCTGCTCGTGACCTGACGAAGCCGACAGCCTCGGCCGCTTCTCGCACCACCAAGGCTACGCCGGCCAACACTACTCGCCCTTCGGCTTCGGCAACGACTTCGACTTCTTCTTCTACTAACAGAAAGGGGGCTACCACGACGTCCACTTTGACCCGGAAACCGTCCACACTCAAGAGCTCGACCACTGCGACCCAGCAGCGCGCAGTTACCCCGACTGCTTCCACCGCACGTAAGCAGCCGTCTCGCCCCTCTCCTCCCTCCGGGAACGAACGGCCACACTCCCGTGTGAGCAACACTAGCTCCAGACCACTTGACGATAGTTTTTTGGCTCGGATGATGCGTCCTACAGCTAGCTCTGCCAGTAAAACGCACGATAAGGTCGAGGTGAAGAGCCCTCCGCGGCCAACTAAGCCGGCTCGGGCTCCCAGACGTGTCCCTTCCAAGCTTGACACCCGTACCTCGCGCGTGACCAAGCTCGAACCGGGAAAGCCTTTGGAGAAGCGGGCAACTCCCGAACCAGTGAAGTCCGAGGAACCACCGGTAAAGGCGATGGAAGAAGCCGCCAAGGAGACTGTGACTGAGGCCCCTGTCGTCGCCGAGAAGCCTGTCGAGATTGCCGAGGAGCCTGTGCAGCCTACTGTCGAGACCGTGGCCGAGGAAGTTGCCGTTCCCGCCACGGAGGCCGTTCCCGAAACAAAGGAAGCTACTGAGGATTCGGCTGAAGCTGCTGTGGAGCAAGCCACTGACCTTGCGTCGGTTCCCGAGCCCGAACCCGTTGCTGAGACTGCAGAGCCGGTGGAAGAGACCAAGGAGTCAGCCGAACCCGAGGCTCCGGTCGAGGCCCCCGCTGACGTCGTTCCGGAGGCCCAGTCGAGCGAGGTTGACGTTGACATGGCGGCTCTCACCCTCAACTGACTTGCAGACCACTTGACAAGCTGAAATAGAAAACTTCTCTTCTTATTCCCTTCTCGTGATATATCTTGTTATACCCTTGATAATCGTGAAGTGGCCAGGTCCATACTGGTCTCCACGTGTTCTCGATATTGATTTTATTCTTGGGCTTTCTTCCTCTTCTCTTGCGTCTCTTGCCTTCTTTTCCATTCTGATCTCCAGTTATCTTCGGTATCTCGGGTAGGGAGCGGAGCACCTTGTTGGCTGTCGACCAGACCGCCGACGTGCATGTCGGAGCATTGCTGGCGGAGTTGATTCGGATGTGATCTTAGCGATGTGTACGGAGTACTGCATCTTGCATATGTGCTGGGCTCTCCTGGTACATTACTTTAGGAGGGTCATTGTTATTTTTGATATCAGTATGTGTAAATTGTATTCTTTCACCTCTGAATAGCATTGCTACAGACGCAAACAGCGCATACGCCATGAGTACGAAGTAAGATATCGTATTAACCCCACTTGCATACAATAAAGTTGCGGAAAAGCGTATCCGATTGATTTCTAATAGGGTCTAAGGCCCCCATCCATTGAGGTCATAGCTACCTAGACCGGCCATCAGCCCGTACACTCTGCCAGTGACAACCAGTGACAGAGTGTGCCCCAACCTCATAACCTGCATCCATGGACCCAGGCACGTGCAGACTCCATCTTGATTGGGGAGCTTCCCTGTAGGCGGTATGTTTTGGAATTATAAGTACTGTCTCTTTACCTTTGAAAAAGCTCCCAACAGCACAGCAACATCTACACACTCATTCACTTGTTAATCTCACTCCCGATCATATTCGTCCATATTCTCTATCCACCTACACCGCCATCCTTCCACCAACAACATCATCACCACCTCCACCATCACCATGTCAGGTACTATCCACCCCACCCACCTAGCCCCGCATCCCCAACCCACCCTCACCCTCACCAGCTAACCAACACCACACAACAGACCAACCCCCCTCATCAATCAATCCTCAAGACCACCAACCCCCCTCAACCCTCCACCTCGGCGTCCTCCTCTTCCCCGGCTTCCAATCCCTCGACGTCTTCGGACCCCTCGACTGCCTCAACATCCTCTCCTGGGACCCCACCACCAACCCCACCCTCACCCTCTCCCTCATCTCCACCACCCTCTCCCCGGTCCCAACACGACCCCCGCACCTCCCCACCGCCATCTCCCAATCCATCCTCCCAACACACACCCTCACCACCGCGCCCCCTCTCGATGTCCTCCTCATCCCCGGTGGCTGGGGCACTCGCGCCCCCCTCCCCGAATACATCGAGTACATTCGCACCGTCTACCCGGCCCTGAAGTACCTGCTGACCGTGTGTACCGGTGCAAGACTGGCCGCTAGAGCGGGCGTGTTGGACGGGAAACGAGCCACGACGAATAAGTTGGATTGGGAGGGGGTGGTGAGGCAGGCGCCGAATGTCACTTGGGTGAGGGAGGCCAGGTGGGTGGTTGATGGGAAGGTTTGGAGTTCGGCGGGGGTTAGTGCCGGAATTGATCTTTGTTTGGATTGGGTGGAGCATATTTGGGGGGTGGAGGTCGCGGGGAAGGTGGAGAGGATTGTGGAGTTTAGGAGGTGGAGGGAGGGGGGGAGGGATCCGTTTGTTGTGGGTTAGGTTGGGGGAGGTGGTGGGTGGATGGGTAGGGGGAAGTCAGGGCATGGGTTGCATGCATTAGAATTAAATGGGGCATAAGAAGAAGGATGGACGGCGTTAGGGAAGATGGCTTAGCAGAATCTCCCCTTTTAATGTAATGTCACATACCACTATTAACTTATGCTGGAGGCATGGCGTCGAATAAACACTCAATGATATGCTGTTGCAAACTGAGTTGAGAGAGTTGGGTTCAAAGATGACCGGCCATTGCATTGACAATCTTCTAAACTATGCACAGAAGCAAATATGAACAGCCCTGGTATATCCCTTAGTGTCTTGCTCAATACCATGTACAAAACGCAGACAATAACACGCATCCCAATTCAATCAGCCACATGTTGATATAGCATAAAGACATAACATAAATCATCATAATCATAACCTCTTCTCGAGCTTCCTCAACAGCCGGTTCACCCCATGCTCTACTTTGTATGCATTCTTGACAAAGTACTGTGGCCGATGCGGATTCCCCGGGTCCCTCATCGCTTCTCGCGAGTATTTCTGGTGCCGGGACGTCGACTCTAGCGCCGTAGGTCGGTACAGCTGGTTGTGGACGTCGTAGTCGTTGCTCGACACGGAGGCCTCGCGCTTTGGTTGCTCATACGAGTAGTTCGCGTACCCACCCAATTGGAGCGGGGCGGGAGGAGTAGATAATTCAGTGGAGGTTCTGAATATGCTCTGTCCGTAGAGGTGCGCATTGGGATCTGTCGGCGGCGGGCTGAATGACATGGTCACCTGGGGCTGCGTCGCAGCTGGGTTCATCGGGGGTTGTCCTACGGTGCTGAGGCCGGCGCCAGCGCCGTCACCTGTCAGGAATGAAGCGGAGTAGGACGGGAGCCCAGGGCTGGGCATGGATGTTGGAAAGGATCCCGAGAGGCCTGCACTGGGTGGGGGCGGTGCATAGCTCCCCGGCATGGTATACGGCGGGGCGGGACCCGAAGGAGGTGAGGATAGTCCTCTTGTTGCCGACAGACCTGGCATCTGAGACGACGGAGTAAATCCTATCCCGTTGTCAACAACTGCTGCCGTCGCAAGTCCGGTACCGGTCTCCGCGTCATCCGGGGGTGGTGTCTTCTCCCGGTGCTTGATCGGTTCTGGGGCTGCTGGTGCAGCCGGGTTGTACGGCAGAGGCGCGGGAGTTGGGGCGGCATTCTGCTCCTCGATGGAAACCACCTGGGTCCCCGGGAATACCGGCGATGTAGCCGTTGCCAATGCACCCAACGGAGGGGGAGGAGGGAGGTTGCTTGGTGGCGTGATAGCTTGGTAGCTAGGCACAGGGTTTGAGACAACCTCGGATTGAGAATTGCGCGTTTGTCCATTCTGGTAGCCGGGATCGGTAATGGCCACGGTCTCCAGCTGCTGGACGACCGAACTGACTGTGCTTTGCGGCGGAGGCGGGAAAGGGTGCCGGTCTGTCTCGATTTGCGACTGAGGTAGATGGCTCTCGAGCAGGTCTAGAAACTGAGTGACATCATCCGTTGTCCAGAAATATATGTCCAGTGTATGGAGGCGTAGAAGACTCGGTGAATCATTGCCAGCCAGCTGCCATTCATTTGAGATGGCACCTGGGGGTGGCGGAAATGATGGTTGACCTGAGGGTGGGCTCGGCACCTGTCCGTCCACGGTCACGGTGCAGAGAGTTGGGAATCTAGTTGAATGACGGAGGTGGATATTATCAAGAACTATATGGGGTCAGATCATTAACGAGAAATGAGAGAAGATGAACTAACCGCCGTTGAATGCATCTTGTTCGGGGGTCCCTGGGTTATTTGCTACTTCAACCCGAATCTTGTTCGCGGCGTTGAGATAAAGATATAGATAGCAACCCTTGTCAAACCGGTGATGGACGGGCCTGGGAGTCGGCGCTGCAAAGTAATAATGGATATCGGCAAAGCTACAGGGCGGTTAGCCAGAGCTCGAGTGACGAGATGTGATGAGACCGCAGCTGCTGACAGCTTCTGCGGGGTAGGATAGCAGTACTCACACGGTCAGTATACGCTCTTCACCCGACAACGGCGGCATTATGGGCGATCAGCGTTGATAAGGCCTCCGGGCATGTAAGAAAGAAAAAGGACACCGCGCAAAGCGGGAATTGGGGGGAGAGAGCGCCATGCTTTATAACCTGGACGAGGGGAAGTACACCGGCCTGTAAGATGGCGCGAGATGCAGCGTGCAGAAGCCCGGCGGCTACAGAGCTTCCTGGCCGATGATTTGCTGTTGCCGGCGATGCTCCGGACGGCATCACGGCGGCCTGAGGCCTCGGCCCTGTCGGCGCCGGGCATTCTGTTTCCCCGAAAATTTCATCTGAGCTTCCGCATCATTGGAGATTGTCTGCCAGCGGGACATCGAATCCGATCATTTGCTGCTGCAATCCTCAGTTGAGCTGACAGACAATTAATTTACGTGCGCTGCAACAGGTACAGTCAATTCCCCCTCTTTCCGCTTCAGTGGTCGCGCGCCATCGCTCACACGTCGGCCCCAGTCACTTCTCCAACCCTCCGCACCGTCACGACCAGGCCCCCGTTGGGCCATCCCTTCCACTTTACGATTCAAAATGTCTCTCGTCAACCTCTCTCACGTCTGCTCGCACCTAAACAATGCCTGCAAGGCTCGTCTCGGACTCACGTCCATCCCCAATTCCAAGTTACACCTGAAACTCTGCCTCGCGCTCCAAAACGACGGCCTCATCTCCTCCGTCGTCCGCGGAGGTCCGACACCTCCCCCCGTGCACCCCATACTTGGCACCCCGAACGCAGTCGACGAAGTGGAAAACATCGAACCCCTGACTCAGAGCAACATCGCCACACGACGACTCTGGCTCGGCCTGAAGTACTGGCAGAGCGAGCCTGTTCTCGGCAAGCTGTCCATGGTCAGCAAGCCTACGAGACGGGTGACCATCGACGTGGCAGGCCTTCGTCGTGTGATCCGTGGCGAGCGGAGTGAGACCGTCGAGGGTATCCGGTCGCCTGGTGAGGTTCTGTACCTTTCCACAGATAAGGGTATCCTGGAAGCCAGGGAATGCGTGGAGAAGAAGCTGGGTGGCCTGGTCCTTTGCCGCATTCGCTAAGGGACTCGGCGAGGACGGTTGCTTTAATCTGAGTTTTGCATTTATAGCGGAGTTTGGTCAGTCGCTGTGTCTCATCCCATGCTTTGTATGTTTCATGTTGCGACTTTGGGATGGATACCTTGTATAGTAACATAGGTGACTTCATGTACTATTTTCCAATTTTGAAGGACTTGGTTCTTCCTCATATTCTTGAGTATTTCTGGTGAGGCTGTTGTTAGTCATCGGGTTTATTTTGGCTGGCCATGGTCTGAAGTTGAATAGAGTTTCGTCGCCCTAAACCCGCCCTCCAACAGACTCGGAGACAACCCAGCTAACGTCCGAATCTAGTCGAATGATTGGAAAATACTTCTGGTGCTCTAGCCAAGGCTGCTTACAACTACAATTGATGGGCCTGTTCTATTGACTCCATCTGCTAACACACCACGGGCGATGGGGCAGGAACTTACTCTTTTACGTGAACACAGTAAGGCCCGGGAGTGACCTATAGCTTGCTGGTCAAGCTTGTATCGCCACCTTTGGAACGACGAGGTTCAATGAGTGTGGTATCCGCAGCACGCTTCCTCCATTTTTGGCCTGGTATCTTTCGTAGATCATGCTGAATGCGTCCGGCAGTGTCTGCTGACATTATTCTAGTCTCCATGCACATGCGAACTTCTCCTTGAGCATGGCTATCTCTTTTGCGGCGGTTGTCTCGCTTCCTATCGCTCGTCAAATTAATACACCGGGTGTTTGGAAGCTGCCTTACGCATACAAATGCCGTGGCTGCGCTGATCTAAGCAATGCCTTCTTCTTGGAACACTCACGCGTACGAGAGACCTCGTATCGCTCGATCTCGCCAGCCCTAGGCACACCCATTCGCATTCAGCAAACAACTTTTTGCTATATTCCATCGGCAATAATTCCCTGTTGATGGTGCATGGACTGTGTCTGCAGGTGCTGCCATCGAACTGACCAGATGAGAGGATGGCAGTCCTTCTAGATGTTGGTCATAGAATTTGGACTAAGCCTAATACGAAGTTCATGTTGAAGCCTATGTTGGAAACAAAGGTGTGTGGTAGATGCAAGCCAGCAACATTATCTCCGGGCTGTCCGGATTTCTGCTAGAAATCACTGAGACAAACCAGTTCATCATCTGTGCATCGGACGATATTGGTAGCAGGGAGGCGCAGGTCAAGACGAAGCAGGTATGGTCTGGGTAGCACGGTGAAACCATGGTGGTTAGGGAAGGGCACCCCAGGCGTTTGCGTGAGTTTGACAGGATAACATCGGATGAGCTTTGAAGCAATATCAGACGCCACGAATCATTCGCACTCCTTTCGCGGGAGGTTACCTCAGCGACCTCCCGTTGGGTCGCAATAATGTACGCCATACGCATCCCGGCAAGTCTCACAGCTTGTGCTGGATCATTTTGATCGAATCATCGGTTCGACCTGAACGAAGAGGACCCTTCTCGCTTTTCCTTCCTGATTTCCTTTGTCCAATTTTCTCTCCGTTAGCCCCTGTCGTCGGTCCGACGCATTCTATTGACAAGGTAACAACCACTTGATGTACCCAGAATGGAACAAATAGCCAAGGATTCCAGTATAGCCAAGGATTCCATCAGTATAGCCACAAAGTCCGTCACTTAGTCCAGATTGCAAGTCCCCAAATCTATTATCAACCATTAGTTGGATTGCTCTTTGCAGTCGGCGACCTCGTACGAGGGAACAGTTTCATCAAGTCAACGTCGGGAGTCGAGCATTGGCTAACGGACGCCCTGATTTCGGGCGACAAGGCCTGCAGACGTGTGTGCCCAACTGGTCGAGGAGCAATGACATTCAGGCCGGGATCCAGAAGCTCCCCACCCTGGATCCTCGACTTTAGGCCGCCATCCGTCTTGGACCATGGTGTCTGCTCTCAACGATCCACTCTCCAATATATTCCCGGCATATCTGTGGAAGCGGGAACTGGGTCCTTCCTCCCGGTGTAGGTGGCCGTGAACGTAGAGTCGCCCGTCTCCTAGAATGGGGGGGGGGGATCAGTGGCCCTGGACCAGGGGGGCGCCAATTGCAGCTTCGTACAGACAGTATCCGACTATCTGTGCTATCATCGTTCTCACCGGCCGTACTCCGTACTCCGTAGATACTTCACATTTCAGCATCCTGATGATCGCGAGTGGAGCAATGACGGAGGGAGTGGTAGCAAAGTCCCGATAGGCAGGAAGATCGTCCCATTTCGCGGGCGAAATCGAGTTCCCCATCGGCCGGTGGACTCAGGCACCCACGCCCGTCCCGCCGCCCGCCCCGTGATTGCTTCTTGTTTCTCTTGAACTCCTCTTCGCATCTCCTCCCTTACAGTCTTACTAGTTACCACTGTGTACTAGTCTCCAGTCTCTGGGTCTTGACTCCAGAATCTGGATCCAACCACGCCCAGTCGGAGTCAGTGGAGAGCATGGGACCATCGCCTCGGTGCCCAGTAACTCTATTTGACTCCATTCTTCCATTAATTTCCCCCCCTTCAAGCAGCTTGCCGCAATTTCCATCAGCAAATGGACTGCCAACGGGCCAAGCCTTGAATCGGTCTTCCGTCGCCATGCCCAGTCGACGCATGTTCCCTGCCGAGTCCTGCGGTTGCTGCCCAAAACCCTATGCAGCACCGGATCCTGCGACTCCTCATTTTCTGTCCTGACATGCGCGGTTGGGGGCAAGATCAGCATATGGGAGCTGGCGATGTCCCGCTGGTGGAGTCGCGCTGCGATTTACTGCCGGGTCCATCCATGGCTATGTACCCCAGTATGCCTGTGCAGCTCCACTGATTGCACGGAAGTCTGGCAGGGCGTCTAGCTCCGGGTATTATTTTCTTGGTGCTGCGCGGTTTGGCATCCTTATTGCTCTTTATCGTCCCTTGTTCTCCCGGGCGTCGCTGGCTCAATCGATCCCCCTCAACCCTGTCGACGAGGCACAGTGGGGGCCCGGCTCGATTGGCCATGAAGGCAAGATGGATTTGTTGTTCTCCGTATAGTACGAGGGTGCCTTCCGGCACGCGCTTGCTCCCTGACATGAGCGGAGCCCGGCCTTGAGCAATCCAGTCTCCTCTTGCCACTGCGGTGGAGTTCTTCATATCCTTCTGGCTTGCCATATCTCACGCGGTCGAGCAATTAAAAGCTTATCTGGCTCCGAGGACATTCCACCTCCCTTTCCCACATTATTTGCTTCCTTGCTATAATAAGCACCCCTTTCAACTCGCTGCCAGGCACTGTTCTGAACGGTCTGGACTGACAGGCTGAGGTTGCCTCCCGATCGTGTATATCCCCTCATACTCTCCTTGTTCGACCCTGCTATTATATATACTATATATAATCAATCTTCAGCCTCATGTCAACCGTCCTTCCACCTCCATCGATCGCAATGTCTTCAGGCCTCAGCTACTTTTCAAGAGCAACAGGCAGCAGCGGCTCCTGCACCCATTCTGTTAGTAGCGATGATTCGTGGTCCCGTCACAGGTTAGCCCCAACGGAATTCCTCCTCATGCTCCCTTTCCCGGTGATGTTGTCGAGGGAAGCTCACCTTGTGCAGTGGCATTATGCCCCAACAACCGTCGGCGTACGGGACTTCGGGCGAAGCTCCCGTGATCTATCATCCAAGGTACCTAGTCATCTTGTATCGGCTTTTGTTCTTTCCTTTGCAGAATCTATTATACTGAGACTTTCATGTTACTCATGCTTAGCGCTAGAAGGTTCTCCCCTCCACATCTTGAGCGCGGTCCCATAGATACCCAGGCTACTGCTGTGAGGCCTCCAAAGCAAGTTTCACCTGAGTTCGCGATGCCATACAGCGGACTTCCAGTGACCTCGCATGCATTGGGGACTATTCCTGTGACTGCAGGGGGTGCCCTACCACGCCCTGTTGCTCTCTATCCGGAATGGGACCACCCTGCCCGCTTACCAGCGGAATCTCTTAGGCGTGATTATGACTTAGCTAGACCTTACGAGACTCCAGAGTACCTGGTTGAGAGGAATGGCCGACGCGCTACGGAAAAGCTAAAAGGCACTACTCGATATCATTCTCAGAGACGGCCGTCTAACCGGGACGAGTTTGATGGACCCCACCAATTGCTAGAACCCCCTTCACCACGTGTCATTGCAGCCCAAGGGAGAGATTTGCCTCATCTACCTACTAATCTCGATGTCTCAGAGCAAGATCAAATCTTGACATCGGTTAACGACCGACTGTCACAATGCGCATTTGACTTCGTTGCGAAGTATCAATTTCCGATTCCGCTGGAGCCAGATAAGAGACCGGTGAGAGTTCCCTCAGACCGTGAATGGACCGAGTGGGTGTATCTCCTTAAGAGACTGGCGACCAAGCGTCGCATACCCGCCCGGGTTCTGTATAATGGCCAGATCAAGCAGTTAGTCACTGTGCTGGAGAACTCCCTGGAAATGAGACATGCGGCCAAGCATCAGTCCAGGCCCATCAAAGATGACCGGAACGTTCTTCAGCTTATTTCAGCCGGTACGCAGGTGGCGAAGATCCTGAAGGATGCCAGTGCCATGGACTTCCTTGATCGCCTCTACCTTGACACAGAGAAACGCATCCAGGATCGACGCAGTCGTCGGGTGAAGTTTGCCAGTCCATGAACCGGGCATCTGCCAGCCTTTGTCTGAATGATGATTATGATGATGACCTTTGAGATATGGCCACGATCCTGCCTTGTCACAGACCATGTCCGCAGGATACCGCCATGCTCTTGTTTTTGTGGCTTATCCCTCCGCACCTTTTGGACGATTGTTCCCAGGAAGGAAATATCCCATGGAAACCAATCCCCTGCCCTTGGAATATCCGGATGACCCGTCCAGTATACTGATTGGAATTGCGGACCTTACCCACCCTTACGGACGGAATGAATTTGCCCAAGCGTCCCACATATGGCCCTGGAATTTGGATTGCCAAGTACTCCCTGGATTGGCCAATTTCGATGAGCCCAGACTGATAATGACCTACCGAAATCCCGCACGGATTTGGTTCAATAGACTTCCTTGATTTGATGATGGAATACGCGATTATGATGTCAATTTTTCCCCCCTCTATTGTCTGGCATAAAGGAGGTATCTCTGCTTGCTCCTTTAATCTGTCTATCTTGTTACATCTGTGTTCCGGACTTGCCGTGACTGGATTATTTTTTTTCGGGGTTGGACCTGACTTTCGGTTTTGTTATACCTGTTTGATGTTTATGTCTTTCGCGGCAGTGGCCCTGGATTTCTTTGTTTTCAGTACTGTACAACCCAAGTCCGTTGGATCAGGGGTGGCTATTTGTTTCACCTGCGTTGCGGTCAACTTTCGTTGATCTAGATGTTACATGGACATGGGAATATTCAAGATTATTGCGCGTTGATTGACCTTGGACCCAGGATCTGGTTTGGTTGAATTGGATGCCTTTATGCTGGCTCAAGTACTTGGCGTGTCTTTCTCAAAGTTGTCAAGTAGCCCGGTGGTGAGACGGCATTGCTGTCAGACAGACTACGGGAGGGCTGTATGAGCAAACTTCACATGCCTTGTTTGGAGCACAGACATGCCTTTGCTACTATTTCTACTTTACCTCCCTAGACACATGACCTCATCCCATCAAAGAGGGAGCGACGAAAAAGAAAGAACAAAACGAAACCATTAATGAAGACACAGAACCACAAACCTAGGAAACGGAAAACAAAGACAAACTCGATCTATCACCAGCTGACACTGATGAAAGATATCCTATGCATCTTGTACAACCAGTCAATTAGTCAGTCTTACGTGACAAACTACGGGTTGGAAACAGACAAATCAAGATCAAAAACACACGTTTGGTTTTCATTGTCTGCAAATCACTCACTCACTGTACATCTTTACATCAGAGGTAGATCGACCCCTCGTCAGAATCAGCGCTATGTACTATGCATAGATCAGTCCATATCTCATGATCAGAAAGTCTTCACCCAAAGGTCTCGCACACCCTGCCAAGAAGTTCGCAGCACAGATGTTAGCGAGAACCGATCTGGACATTTCCACATCAGGATTCCGACAGCCGCTAGTCCCGACACCAACGCAGAGCTGAATCCAAGACCCAGTAATCTGCCTTGTCTGCTTACTGCCTGGATTACTTCCGAGTATCGCTGATTGCTGAAGCTGACTCGGGAGTATTGCGTCTGCCAGCCCAGACTCGGCACGTAGCGGTCTAGCGTCTCCTCGACGGACTTGCGCAGCTTGTATAAGGGGGATTTGACGCCCCAGCGCATCTCGAGGTAGTTTTGCTTGGAGAGGTCGTTAATAGCGTAGGTGTCGGCGGTGCGTTGGTTGGTGTATGCTCGGAGGGCTGTTTGGCGGGCGGATTTACGGGTTTCAAGGCTGGTGGTTTGGTCGTAGACGCCGTGTTGGTCGAGGAAGCTGAACAGGACGCGGATGTCCTCGAGACCGGCGTTGAGACCTTGGCCATAGAATGGGAGGACGGCGTGGGCGGCGTCACCGACAATGACGACGCTGGAGCCGTAGTGGTGGGGTTTGCATTTTAGGCTGATTAGGGGGAGGTGTGGGTTTGTGGTAAATTGTTCGGATAGGTCTTCCGGGGAAATGAGGTTCGGGCAGACGCCGGGGAAGTTGTGGTCGAATAGTTCGAGCAGGTCTTGGGAAGAGCGGGTTTTGAGTTGCTCGTAGTACCAGGCGGGCGCGAAGAGAGTGCAGGTGAAGGATTTGTCGGCGGAGGGGATCGCGATGAACATGAATTCTTTACCTGGCCAGATGTGAAGGTGATTGGGGGAGATGAGGAACTCGCCGGCCGGGGAAGGGGGGATCCGGAACTCGCACCAGAGAGTGTCGATGTATTCCTGTTGGTAGTCGACTCGGGCAAACTTCATCATGTGGTACCGGGTGGCTGAGTGGGCGCCGTCTGCTCCGATGAGGTAGTCGAAGGTGATTTCGACCTCGGTGACGGCGTCGGATGAGTCTCCTGGGATGCGGCGCTCGAACCATGCCTTGTTGGATTGGAAGTCGGCACCGGTTAGCTTGTGGTTGAAGATTAGTTTGACATTGGGCGTCTTTTCTAGCTCGTCGAGGAGGGCGTTGTTGAGAGTACCTCGGTCGACAGCATTGATGGCCTGGGCTCAGGTTAGATAGAACTGGTTCTTGAGGTTTGGAAGCTCACGTACCCGGCCGTGGACATCGTAGGCTTGCGCCACTTCCCAGAGCTTGCCGTCGTCTCGACCGTGAATCATACGACCGTGCATGGGAATTGCATCCGCGAGGACTCGGTTGATGAGATCCTCTCGGTTGGAGTGCCGCATGGCTGTGATGCCACGTTCGGAGAGGGCGAGGTTGATGGACTTGGTGAAGTTCAGTGGGATGGTGTTGGGATCACGCAGGTCTGCGAATCAATATGTGGTGTGAGAAATGCTCCATATCCAAAAGACAAGAGATTGAGTCATCAGGGTGCATAGTGGAGGGGAAGCAGGACTGATGATGATACAGTCGCGCCAACTCTTGCCCGAAGATGAAATAGAGATATTCAAAAGAGCCAAGCAGCCCATGACGACTAACCTCCGCGTAACTCGTACACTTCGACATCGTCGCCTCTGGCGGCGGCGTAGAGAGCCGCCAGCGACCCCACCGGCCCAGCACCCACAATCACCACTTTTTGTCGACTCGTTGACGGTTCCGCCATAATGAGGGCAGCCAGGTGCAGTCACTCCTGTCTTGAATCTTGACTCTTGAGCTTGTTCCTGGTGGGCCCGCTCACAGTAGCCAGTGGTAGGTCTTGTGGGCTGTCTAATATTGATATCGGGGCTGCCGGCTGCGTCACACGCATGGCAGCACCGGCGGAGCCGTGGAACATTTTGCACCAACCAGAACTTGTTGTAGCCGCCCGTCAACCAACGAAAACCTCCACCGTTAGTCACCTGACCCAATAAGCGCGCGCTTGTTTGCGCTTGAGGAAGAAACCTCCGGCAGGGCTAGTCCGCTTACAGAAAGTGACTGGATAGAAACGCTAGTCTGATTTAGGCCTGGGGCTAACCACATCAGGTATGGTGCCAGGCTGAGTGGAACTTGAATAGGCCGGGCGGCTAACCGCCAGGACCATCCGCGGGGGATTGTCCCATTTTTTCCATCTGGCGCGACTATCATTTCCCCAGCGAACCTTAGACTCTAGTCTTTCTCTCATAGCGACCATTACTCTGACTTTATTCTTTTACCGCAACACTCGTTCTCAACATGGCCGAAGTCGCAGCGCGGAAATGCATGGGAGTGGACTGTGACAAGAATGCAGGCACGCTGCAATGTCCGACATGCCTGAAGGCGGGCACGGATAGCTTCTTCTGCTCGCAGGACTGTTTCAAACGGAGCTGGGTAGGCTGCCTTACGTGACCCATCTGGCTCATGTTGGTTGGATGCTGTTGAGGTGATGTGTGAATGCTAACTTGTCTGATGCAGGGCGAGCACAAGACCATTCACAAGAAGAGTAATTTCCTGAGCAACCTCTTCCCCCCTAAGGTAGTTTCTGAACCAGATCCAGCAACGGGCCTGTACAACCCCTTCCCCGCCTTCCAGTTTGCCGGCAACCTCCGTCCCGTCTACCCGCTGTCGCCTCACCGAACCGTCCCGAAGTCCATTCCCTACCCCGACTATGCCAAGGATGGCATTCCTCGCTCGGAGCAGAAATTCGTCGGCCGGAACAACATCAAGATCCTGAACAAGGAGGAGCAGGAGGGGATGCGCAAGGTGTGCCGTCTGGCCCGAGAGGTGTTGGATATTGCTGCGCGGGAATTGAAGCCCGGTGTCACGACCGACTACATCGACGAGGTGGTTCACAAGGCTTGTCTGGAGCGTGATGTGAGTGGCTCTCAAGGAGCGAGGGATCTCCAGTGATGCCGGTTGGTCCGCTTGATGCTGATGTGTCCACAGTCTTACCCCTCCCCCCTCAACTACTACAACTTCCCCAAGTCTGTCTGCACGTCCATCAACGAGATTATCTGTCACGGTATTCCCGATCAGCGGCCCCTCGAGGATGGCGATATCGTCAACATCGACGTTACCCTGTACCACAACGGATACCACGGGGACATCAACGAAACCTACTATGTTGGCGACAAGGCCAAGGCCAACCCGGATGCGGTGCGGGTGGTGGAGACCGCGCGCGAGTGTCTGGACAAGTCCATTGAACTGGTGAAGCCCGGTATGCTGTTCCGCGATCCTGGCAACGTGATTGAGAAGCTGGCCAAGTCTCGCAACTGCAGTGTGGTCAAGAGCTACTGCGGCCACGGTATCAACCAGCTGTTCCACTGCGCTCCCAATGTTCCCCATTACGCGAAGAACAAGGCCGTGGGCACCGCCAAGCCCGGCATGTGCTTCACCATTGAGCCCATGATCAACACCGGCACTCACCGCGACCGCACCTGGCCCGACGACTGGACCAGTTCCACGGCGGACGGAGGCCTCTCTGCTCAGTTTGAGCACACGCTTCTGGTTACCGAGGATGGCGTTGAGGTCCTGACCGCTCGCTTCCCCGACTCACCCGGCGGTGCTATCCCCCTGCTCGGCGCTGCGGAGGCCTGATTCTAGAGTATTTTTGCATGCAGGTAGAGTAACGAGATAGAGCGTTCATGATCACGAGGTTTTGTTGGGATGTGTGATGATTCGGAGCAGCTTTGGGGTTTTGCGATATTCTCACGCGACTGCATTTGTTCGTCGTTATGATATCCTTTTGTATATGTCTATGTCTGTCCTCTGTGTGCGACACTCGCGAGCATTCTCCATGACACGGGTCTCTACAGCGCAGGTGGGTGTTCAGACAAATTCATGTTTCCATCGGCAAAGTAGACGCCGAGCGCATTACGTATGAGACCGGTTCAGGATAAGGTTGAGATTGCGATATCAGGGCCGGGGCCATCGCCATCGCGGGCGGGCTCCCGATCGAGTTAAACCCTCATCTATCTACTACGTAGTATCTCCACCAGGCGCGTTGATACTTGATAGACCCTAGGTTGGGGTGCATAATGAGATGCCTCGTTTGATCCTTTTAGACGGAGTACGTAGGATTGAGTCAGGAATGAAATTGTACCCTTTTGAGTATCGAAGGGCTCCTTCATGGTTAGGTAGGCCTCGGCCGAGCTGGTTGCCGATTGAGCCAATTGGACGGCGGCGCGGGTGGCAGTTCCGGTATGGCCGAGTGGGGTTGCTTATCTCCACGTGACTGTGCAGGGGCCTCGTCAGCGGGCGCCTGAACTAAAAGAAGCATTAGTATTCTTCTCTGGCGGATTAATCCCGACTCAACCGCTGACGGTCTTCCCTTACTTAACTCTCCCCACAGCTTCTCCGGCTTCTCGGTCCCCCTGGCCCCCTGGTAATGGAGACTGCCATTCCTTAAAGTACAGCCACCATGTCTCCAGAAAGGAATCCCACCGAGACCTCCCCGTTGCTGGGTCCTCAAAGCAACGGCTCTACCACGGGGGCTATCCCCAACATCGGCCGCCAGGATGTTGAGTCAGGCGAGCAGACTCCCCTGGCGCAGGACCAGACCAAAGATGTCCCTGAGGCAGGGAAGGGCCTGCGGTATATCATTCCGGCCATTTCACTCGGAGTATGCTTTCCTATCTTATGTCGCATTGGATGTCTTCTCGCCGATGCTAATTTGCGCCCAGGTCTTCCTCTCCGCAGCCGACCAGACAATCATCATGGCCAGTTATGGCCAGATTGGCAGTGATTTGGAGGCGCTCAATCTGACCAGCTGGATCGCCACCTCTTACTTTCTGACCTTGACCTCGTTCCAGCCGCTGTACGGAAAATTGAGCGATATCTTCGGTCGCAAAGCATGCCTCCTGTTCGCATATGCCATCTTTGGCGTTGGTTGCTTGTTCTGCGGAGTTGTGCAGAACATTGACCAACTTATCGCTGCTCGCGTAGGTGGACCTGTGCTCTGTAAACCCTTTGGGTGTCTAAAGTAATTGACGAGGCGAGTAGGTTTTCCAAGGCATTGGAGGCGGTGGCATGACTACCGTTGTGAGTATTCTGATGAGCGATATCGTCCCTCTCCGAGATCGGGGCGTTTGGCAGGGCATTATCAATATCATCTACGCGACTGGCGCGGGCATAGGAGCCCCTCTAGGTGCGATACATTCCTCGATGGCAATAGAACGACTCTCTTCTAACTAGTACCACAGGTGGTATCTTAGCCGACTTCATCGGCTGGCGATGGTATGTCAACCTTTACTCCTTGTTCTTCCTTCCAAATCTCCCTCTAACACAAAGCTCAGGGCCTTCATCGCTCAAGTTCCCCTTTGCATTCTCGCCTTCATTGCCGTGTTCTTCCTGCTTGATGTCCCGGCCCAAGAAGACAGCCACTGGAAGGACAAGCTGCGCCGTATCGATTTCCCCGGCGCCATCGTCCTCGTCGGTGCAGTTTTCGGATTCCTCCTCGGTCTGGACCGTGGAAGCAACGTCTCCTGGACGATACCGATTACCATTGTTTCCCTCAGCGTCTCCACGGCCCTCTTCGCCCTCTTCATTGTTGTAGAAGTCTTCTACGCCGCCGAACCCTTCGCTCCGGGCCACATCATCTTTAACCGGGCCTTCTTTTCCGCCTACGCGTGCAACTTCTTCAGCTTTGGCGGCTGGCTCGCCGCCCTGTTCTACATTCCTCTCTACTTCCAGGCCGTCGACGGTGTCTCTGCCACCGTTGCTGGTCTACGTCTCCTCCCCAGCATCATCACTGGCGTCAGCGGATCCCTCTTTGCCGGATACGTCATGAAATGGACTGGCAAGTTCTACTGGCTCACCGTCCTCGCCTACGCCGGCCTCACAGTAGGACTTACCACGATCTTCCTCGCCTCCGGCGGCGTCACCGAGAACACCACCCTCCTCGTGCTAGGCATGATGGCCTGCGCCTTTGGAAACGGCATCGGAGTTACCTCAACTTTGATCAGTCTCAGTAAGTTTCCCTCCCTCAAAGGCCACGACCCAAAACCTCCATATCCACCTATATCCCACCTACTAACTCTGAATCCCCAGTCTCCAACGCCACCCCCGAAGACCAAGCCGTCGTAACCGCCTGCTCCTACCTTTTCCGCTCATTAGGCTCCGTCATCGGCCTCTCCCTCTCCTCAACAGTAGTCCAACAACTCCTCCGCGACCGTCTCGCCTACGCCCTCCGCGATAGTAAAGACATCGACCAGATCGTGGACGGCGTCCGACAGAGTCTAGACTTCATCAAGACTCTCGATCCGGCGGTCGGGAAGATCGTGCGTAGCTGTTACGGCTGGGCCACGAATAAGGGCTTCTCTTTTATGATTGGGATTGTGTTTTGTGCTTTTTTGAGCAGTTTCTTTATTAAGGAGAAGAAGTTGTCGAGGTAGATTGCCTTGGAGTGGGTATTATGGGTTATAAGGCAAAGCAAATTATTGGCTGAAAGCGGGTCCGTAGATGGGGGTTGGTGGGGTGGGCCTGTCTTGCTGGATGGATCAAAATGGATAGAAGGGGGAATTGATCGCATACAGGACATACACATATTGTATATTTCTGTGGAAGTCTGATAAAAAAAGAAAGGGATTGGTAAGTCTAGTGAGACTTGGTTTTGAGTCTGACTTGGTCTAGATTGATATCTTGTTAAAAAAAAGGCTTCGGGTTTGTACATATGCACGTTCTAAGGCTTGGATCTAAAATGTATACTATCTTTTGAGATATTCTATGTATCACTATGGTATTGAACAAGGTAATATTGGCTTAATACTCCTGGTATTCATCTCATTGGTGCAAAATGCCGCATGAATGAGAACCCCTCGAAGGATTACTCTCAGCACAATCAATCAATCATCATTTACCCGAGGGAGCAAGGAACATGTTAGGGGTGGTAGACATTATACTATAGGTTTTTCATATCACATGAGGATGTATTGCGAATTCATCTAAGGATCCTCCTCTGCAACCGTCAATGTGTTGAGGAACTTAGTACAACCTGCATTAATCATAGGCTGTTAGTGAGAGACGCGTTTCAGTTAGATATCAACTAACCTGTGGCATCGAAGAACTCCAACTCTAGATACTTCTCTCTTCAGTTTGATCCCGGCGACGTGGAGAGGGAGTGTCGTGAAGAGACAGAATGCCGTGATTCCTGGGATAGGACGCTAGTTGCACTTTCTATAGAACTGCGTCGAGAGATGGTATTATACGGCAGTTTCACGTGTTTTGACTTTGCATGGGATTTGCCAAACTCAGTAACTGGACGGGTTAGTCAGTATGTAGTTATTCTGAGGGAGCAGTCATTCATACCCGGCCTATCGATAAATCTTGGGCATCGACCAGTCCCAGGATATGAGGCAAAATACAAGAGCGACTGGTTCTTCGTGATTGGATCCTCCAAGATCCGCACGGTCTCTGCGGAGTTGCAGTGGCATTCTCCCGTGCTGACGGATATCGTCCTCACGTCAATACAGCGGATTACTCGCCTCTTGAGTAGGGTCTTCTGGAATGCAAGGAAGTCTGCAGTCCTAACCATTAGCCATGTCTCCAGTCCCCTGTTTTATCTAATGAAGGATGACTAACCCTTGCGGTCATGACACCCGTAGATTGGTACCATCTTCAATCTCGTTAGCCCCTGCTCATCCTCGATCTTTGTCCTATGTAATCCCTGGAACCAGATCGCATAACCATCGGAAAGGGATTTGGATACACGCCGGCTCGGTACGTAAGGGAGCATCGAGCTCTCAACCTGGCGCGATGGGTGCAGAATCCTCTGAGTTACTTTGACCCCGCTATGGATATCGAATGCTTCAATTGCCTCCGGCTCATGGGTTTGAGCGCTGAAGACAGCAGTCACGGTGCAAGTCAAACTGCGGAATGCGGAACGATGAGCGACATCCGGGTGAGGAAACTCCCTAGATTACAGAGTATTAGAAATCATGGATGTGAAAACTTGGTGAGCATATGAGATAAGGACCATCTTACACTCGCACCGGGTGCTCGGTGAGCTGAACCCTCTGATCCGGTATGGACAGGTTGGTTCCATGTGAAGGTGAGACTTGCGATTCCAGATCTGACTCACGAGTAGATATTCGCGAAAGGAAAATCCCTGGCAAACCGACTTCCGGCGATGAATGGAGCAAAGACGATGAAGATTGCACCCTAGATATACTATGCCAGGAGTTAAGATCATCGGACGTCATATTGAAGGTATGCTGGAACTGGAAATCGAGCCACTGGCGGAGATGTTCCCATTCTTCGGCAGCCTCATCGATTCTTTGAGGACTGGGACGGCCATCCTGCTCCTGGCTTTTCCGAGAAGAGTCATGGCTGGGCACGATATCATTCTTATACCCCACAATGTCCAATACATCACGCACATTATCACTGGCTTGATGCAGAAGTTCTGCCATGGGGGCAACCGTCGGCGCTCCATCACTCAAACTCTCCAGTGTGTATGCACGACTAGGAGATTGGTATCGCTCCATCTTCCGGCTCGATGTTTCGTGTGGCATGAGTCGCCTCATTAGGTTATCCAGTCGCTCAGAAGTCTCTCGTATGCGATCCAATATCTCAAGACTCCCCTGGCGCTCAAATATGAATAGTTCCTCATCCTCAGGGATCATGCGCAATTCATGGCCGGGCTCAGGAAGGGCGGGTCTCGCTCGATGGTGAAGATGGGGCATATTGTGCATCAAGTTCAAGGCATCGGCCTCTGCAGGGCCTTCAAGGACACACCACCGCAGAAGAGAGGAGACCTGCGCGGTCATCGTCCTGGAAGATGTCAGCTTCAGAGCCATAAGAGGTACCTGGTAACCCCCGATGAGAGCATCGTACTTGATTGATTTGAGCATTTCCATATTCTCAACTCGACTATGCTCTGCTTCCCGGATAATTTTCAAGGCCGCCACTCGGGTTTCTTCCGTCGACTTTAGGGTTGCGATTTTCAGACAGCGCTCCAGTTTCCGACGAAGCTTCTCGGCTTCATCGCGTTCCAGAGGCCAGGTGCTCTTTTCAAACAATGTCTATATTTTGGTGCCCAGGCTATGTCTGCGATTGACCGCGGTCGAAGACTCGCTTTGCGCGAGCTTCTTGTGGTTATCCACAAACTTGGCACATTCCTGGAGTGTTTGATCATAGAAGGCCCCCAAATCCACTCCATCATTTGACGTGGAGCCCTTGACCTGTTCGAGTTTCTCTAGGATATCTTTGATAGAGCGGAATTCGTCGAGGAAATCATTAAAGTCTTTCGCAGCACCACCGGCGATGCTTTCGTAGACAGTCCAGATGACTTGAACAGCTGTTATGAGATCTCCGGGGCCCATCTGTAAAAAGCTCATAATGGGAAGGATAAGGCATGTATCAATTGGATCGATTCAGTTACTGGCTAGATGGTCAAGTCAGCGTAGAAGGACCGAAGGGTCGCAAGGCATGGCACTGCCTCCGGTGAGCAATAGAGGCTGGTAATGGGGCCGAGCTAGAAAGGCCAGCAGCTTAGATGCAGGGATTGAAGAGTGGTACCTGGCCTCCTCCATTTGGACGGTTTCGCCGCATCGGCTAGTTGTGTGGCCATTATCATCTTCGCAGCCTGCAGCCTGAAGCCTGAGGGGTACCGACAGGTGACCGCTTCCATCATGAGTCAAGGCTGAGGTATACGCGCATTTACCAGGCTAAGGAGCCGCTAGCACACGACAGATAACATGGGCGGCAATGGAGCAGGATCAATCCTCAATTGATACTTCAAGTCCGATTCGCGTGGTGGCGGAGCACGGCCATGTTCGCCGGGTCTAGTCTCACCTTCTAGGCCAATGGTCCGAAGCCATCCAGGAACGTGCTGCAGGGCCATGTCCCAATGGGATGCGGAGCATCAACACCTGACGAATGCATCTCACTCGCATAGCATGGCCTTCTATCGCGGAAGTTAAATCGATACGATGTACTTGGTACTTCCCTCCCGATACACGGGTTGCCCATCCCGGGAGGAAGCAATGCAGTTGTCAGCCTCACAGCCTTGTGCGCCTGGGAACACCCCCTCCTCCCCTATATAGACAGAATGAATCGCATAAGGTGATTGCATACAATATGCCCAGAGCGTTATCGAGTGGCTTTGTTTTGGCCCCTTTTCTGTTACATGGGAATTGCAAAAATCTGTTTGCAGTACTTGAGGAACAGCAGAATTTCCTTTTCCTCCTCCTTCGGGATACCGGGTGTTCTTTTTAGAGAATGGGCCTCCCGTTCAAGATCCGATTGTTCCTGAATCCATGGGGGCAATATGAGAACTTTGAGCATCTCCCGGTAAGCATCGCCTTGACCCCCTGGGCGAGTAATGCTGGTTGGTGAGACTGACTCGCTGTCTAGCCCGCTCAACGACATGATTTCGTTATCAGTCGACTCGAAAATGCCCGCAGAAGGGAATGGTTCTGGGTGATTCTGGTTGCCGGCATAGGCTTCTTCACGGACACATACTGCGTAAGCTCATATCCCATTTTGCCCCCACCAGTACTGACTGGACAGATCTTCTCGGTTAATATGGTGACCCCGATGCTCAGTGTAGTCTATTGGGATTACCAGGTCAGCAAGTCTGCTTCATCGCTCGTGTACAATTATGAAGTAGCCCTTGGCATCGTCACCCTAGGAGGCGCGCTAGTTGGCTAGCTCATCTTTGGAATCGCCGCTGATATTTGGGGCCGCCGCAAGATGTACGGGCTGGAGCTTATCATTCTTATTTTCAGCACCCTTGGGATGTCTATGTCGTCCTCGGGCAAGAGTGACTCCATGTCCATGATTGGAGTCCTTCTGTTCTGGCGCTTCTTCATGGGTCTGGGTGTGGGAGCTGACTATCCACTTTCTGCTGTAATCTGCTCCGAGTGCGCGTCTCTGCATCCCCAGCCCTGCATTCTTTAGAGGAGATCGTGACTAATGGTTCCCTCTGAGATAGATCTGCACCAACCCGAATCAGGGGTCGGATGCTAGCAGCCGTCTTCTTCTGTCAGTCCATCGGGGAAGCAGCAGCAGCTTTGGTCGCTCTCATTGCCGTTGCTGGATTCCGTCACAGCCTACCTAATGATCCTTACCATCCGGATTGCGGAGACAGCTGCACCCGTGACCTCGACAAGATTTGGCGGCTCATTGTCGGCCTGGGAGCAGTGCCTGCCTTTATCGCACTCTGGTTCCGGTTAACCATCATTGAATCACCAAGGTATACCGTCGATGTGTTGCAAGACAGCCTGCAAGCTGTCGCCGATGTCTCTCAGTTCTATCACCAAGAGAACCTCTCACAGTCATCTAGCTCGAGCGTAGGTCAAGAGTCACATGAGCGGGTCGAGTCTATGTATATGCCCTCCCATGTCGAGGAAGGCCGCATCATCTCTCCAGCCCCGTCTCAGCGCCCACGGACGGTAGATTATGATCGTAAGTCAATTGTTCCAAACAGTCGATGGACAGATTTCAAGCGCTTTCTGCGACGTGGACACAATCTGCGCATTCTTATGGCTATTTCCCTGTGCTGGTTCTGTCTCGACTTGCCTTCCTACGGGCTAGGCCTGATGAATGCGGACGTCATCAACGTTATTTGGTCTGGCAGTCCAACTAGCACCGGTAGCACACTCAGCACCAAGCCAGTCGGAATATACAAATACCTCTTGCGGATGTCGTACAAAGCATAGTGGTCGTCTCATCCGGAGCAATCGTGGGTAGCATCATCGCAATTCTTGTCATTGACCGGATCGGCCGGCGGACCCTGCAATTCATAGGGTTTTGTTGGCTCCTGATCCTGAATTTGATCATTGGAGCGGCATTCTGCTATCTGAGTACTGACGGCAATTCTTCCGCCTTGGTTGTCCTCTACATCTTGACACAAAATTTTCTTCAACTTTGGTAAGTTGCTGCTATTCCAAGCCGAGAAAGAAGACAACTCATGTCAAGATCGCAGGACCAAACACCATGACTTACATCGTATGTTTCTACATCCTGTAATTCATATCGTAAAGTTCGTGAAACTGATGTTTGCAGATCCCTGCCGAGCTCTTTCCCACCCGATTCCGCTCCACTTGTCATGGCATTGCTGCAGCGTCGGGCAAATTGGGTTCCATAATTGCACAATGCTTCTTGGGGTACGTGAGCTTCGGACACGACGCAAACTGGGAGTATGTTTCAAACTGGCTAGGTTATGCTCTCTTGTGGTAAGTGGTCGTCTGCTGCCAGTGCCCCATCCACCTATGTCCGTTGCCGCTGACTCGAGCTTTGTAGTCTGGCATTTTTCATGCTGATGGGTCTCATCACAACGTACTGGATTCCCGACACGAGAGACTCCCAGGGGATCAACAAGTCCCTCGAGCAGATTGCAGCGGAGATGGAGCCAGACAGTGGAGAAATTCCCTTCGAGCTCCGGGACGGTGACGGTTCTAGTGAGCACGCTCATTTCGATGGCTGACTTAGTAACAAGATGATTATAAGTGTTGCCCCAAAGATTTTGCTTCTTCCCTCGATATATCTGCAGCTTGGATAGGTATCAAAGGTAACAACAATGGCCAGATGGGTAATTCGTTCACTTTATGAAAATGCTCCTACGTAATGTTTCTAGTTAGCTTTGTTGCTTGTACCCAGAATATATAATAAAACTGCTGTTTTGCTGATCAATATCGACACAGAGGCAGATATAGTAGCCATATTGTGCCACTGGAATAGTTGGTAGATGATGAAATTGAAAGTAGATGCCTCGGAGACAGAAGGAGATGAGAAGAGAGGAGCGAGAGGCGAGGAAGGAAGGAACAAAGCGGAGAGGGGGAATGGGAGGATGGGGCTGCCGAGGCGGTCATGGGCGTTTCTACGTGGACGGCGGCACTCTGCAACTGAGCAACTACCACCAACTTTCCCCAGATCCCCAACTCTCAGTCCCCAAGATTGGCCTCGTGGGATCGCGAGCTTTTGAACCCCAACAGATTTTCTAGCTTCCGAAAGCTTCCGCTCGCCACTTCCACGGCACCCTCACAAGAATGACCCCATCTGTCTAGCTGTTACATTCCGTTGTTGCGCGCCATGCCGGACACCCACCCACGGCCGGCGCTGGCACGATATCGCCCTATTCTCTACCTGCTCTCCGGCGTTGCAGCCGCCTACGCGATACTTTACATCCACAATCACATCTTATCCACATCAACGTCTCAGAACACCCTCCGCCGCCGCAAAGCCGTCCGCCACCAGCGACGAAGAGGCGAAGCTGAACCCGCCAATGCTGCCGCTGCGGACACGCCATCATCGCGAGCCATCGCACACCTGGAGCAACTCGAGCGCCAGAACGGTGTTTACGGAACATTTCGCATAGAAACTGAAGATGGAAGGCGCGTGGAGAGTGGTCTCCTCCCGTCACTGCTCGCAACGCGGGACCAACTCATGGAGGAAGTGGGTGTTCCCCAGAACCATGCGGAGCGGATGCGCGAAATGATGGAAGACACGTTCCTGGAATCATTTTTGGCGATGGACTTTCCACCCACGCATACACTGGAGGAGGGTACGCCAGAACGGGATTTTTTGACTGAGCAGCTCCAGCGGCGAGGGATTTCGCGGGCCGGAATCGAGAGGGCCCTGGTGCGGTTCAATGATGATAATAACTATGGGGAAGAGCTGAGACGACGTCGACAAAATGGTGAGAGAGTTACTTTATCTACGTCTACGTTTCCGGAAGAGTCGTCGCCGGCGCAAAACATGGACGGTGGGGAGACAGTTGTTGATGATCAAAGTGTGTTTTCGTGGAGGGATGGCAATAACGACTCGTCGCCGACGAGGGAGGGACAGAATCTACTCAATCTACTCTATCATATTGCGGAGGATCAGGCCAGACGCGACGGGTATATCCATCGGGGAGTGACGTGCAATAGCTGTGGGGCAATGCCCATCCTTGGAATTCGGTACAGATGCGCGAACTGCATCGACTATGATTTGTGTGAGACGTGTGAGGCGATGGGTGTGCATATCAAGACGCATCTGTTCTACAAGGTCCGGATTCCCGCTCCATTCCTAGGCAATCCCCGGCAGTCGCAGCCTGTCTGGTATCCTGGGAAGCCTGCCATGCTGCCGCGTAGCGTATCCCGGTCTCTGAGCAAACGCCTGATGAAGGAGACTGGCTTTGACAACACCGAATTTGAAGCACTTTGGGACCAGTTCCGATGCTTGGCCAACCATGAGTGGGATGATGATCCGAACAAGCTGCATATGGCTATTGACCGGAAAACATTTGACCGGTGTTTCGTCCCGAACACGTCTATCCGCCCCCCGCCGCCCAGCCTGATCTACGACCGCATGTTTGCCTTCTATGATACCAACAGCGATGGGTTGATTGGATTTGAGGAGTTCTTGAAAGGTATCGCCAGTCTCAACAATAAGAGCAACGATGAGCGGCTGCGTCGCGTGTTCCGTGGCTACGACATTGATGGCGACGGCTACATTGAGCGGAAGGACTTCTTGCGGGTATTCCGGGCCTATTATGCTCTGAGTCGAGAGCTGACCCGGGACATGGTGGCCGGTATGGAAGACGACTTCCTGGAGGGCGGTGCTCGAGATGTTGTGCTGGGGAGCCAGCCGATCAGCTCGGCCTTTCCTGGCAGCATTCCCTCCGGGGAGGCGTCGAGAACCGGAGAAGGCAAGCGCATAAACCAGGACGGAGACTTGGAGATCGTGGACAATGAAAGCATTGTACGACCGGACCGCACGGATACCGCGGATCGACACTCGGTGGTGGGCGACGCGGCCGTCCGAAGCCAGTTCGGCAGTGTGCGGCCCATGTATGCGACTGCAGCTCGCCTGGAGACTCCGTCCGGCTCTGGCGTGGCGCATGCTTCAGGAAGCAATACTAGAAGGGATATCCACAGCGAGGATGCTCCTGACGATGCCTCCAACTCGTCCGGTGGCAGCGATAGGTGGCCTCCGCCGGAGGGACAAGTTCGCGACCACGACATCGTGGACGCTCTTGGGTCCTATGTGCCTTTGAACGATATAACCGACCCCGCCGATAGGGATCGTGTTGGCGCAGCGGTCTACAACAGAATGTACGCTCAGGGTCGACATAACGTGCAGGTGACACACAGTACCGGGGTCCACGAGCGCTGGCAGCGCAGGAGGTTCTACACCGACGAGGAAGACGGCGCAACTGTCCCACAGGGCTATCATAGCGACATGGACGTGGGCAGCCTGACAGAGGATGAAGATGAAGATGAAGTTGAAGACGATGAGCCCCAGCCCGAGTCTCACCCGCCGTCTCCCCGCTCTCGCTCCTCTTCCAAGGTGCGGTTCCAGGATGATCTTACCGACGACTATGACGTGCAGTCCAACCCGTCTACCTCATCCCGCAGCATCCTGGTGGGCGAGCGATGGGGTGGATTCGAGATTCCCGCGGTCGAGAGAGACGTCGGGAAAGAGATCTTATACCAAGTCACGCAGCAAGGGTTCAACGAGCTGCTCGACCTCCTGTTCAAGCCGAAGGAGGACCTGCTCATGGAGGCCTTCCACACGCGTGCCGAGCGCAAGATGTGGGCACACGAGATCGAACGGCTTGAGCAGATGGACTCCGGCACGCCAGTTGTCCAAGAGGAGCGACAGCCTGCCGACGAACCGGACGAGCCGCCCGAATCGACCATGGTCAATCCCTTGCGCGACCGGTCCCTGGACGAACTGCTCAGCCGCTCCGGATATTCCGTGCGCAGCCCGCCTCTCGAGCCCATCCTTCCACCTCCAACTCCAGATTTGGGCCTACCCGACGACGACGTCGTCTACCTCGGCGTGCCCGAGGAAGTCGAAGCCGGAGAAGAAGCCGACATCCTAGCCCCATCCCCCGACAATGACCTTATACGCCGCATAATATTTCCCATCACCCCCTCTTCGCCTTCGTCTCACGCTTCCACCTTTGAGGAAGACGACGTATCTCTCCCTCCCTCCGTCTCCTCCTACTACGATCCCACCCTCCCCCACCATCGACCAAACGACGACGAACCCGACGACCTCCGCGAAGACCCCGAACCCATTCTCTCCAGTCCCCCCTCCTCCACTCACCTAGCCTTCTGCGACGGGGACGACCATCCGCCATCCCCCCAACTCCCGGCCGAGCTTCGTCTTGATCCCAACGGCACCACCTCCTTCCCCGCTCCAGCCTCCCCCTCGATATCTTCCCCCGAAGCCGAAGCCACGGCCCCAAAGCATTCCCCCTCCCCCATCCCACCTCTTCCTTCATCACCCACCCTCCCCAGAAGAACCAGTCCCCCGCGACCTCCTTCCAAGGCCAAACTCGCCCATCTCGCACACCTCGAAAAGATCGAGCGTGAGGCCAAGGAGCGCGGCGGCAGCGGAGCGAAGCTCAACTTCAATGAGTTCGCACAACGCATGGCGATGGATCGCGGCCGCACATTGGCATTCGTAGCTAGTTGGATTGAAATGGCGAGTTTCTAGGTTACCTAGCTTATAATATTATATGTATTATGAAAGAAGAGCCGTACCCCATCCTACAGATGGATTTGTATATTAGCTGGTTTGGGTGTGCAGCTGAATGGGTGCAATGGAACCAGAAATGATGATCTGGAAATCTTACCCTGTGTACTATTCATTCCTCACCTTGATAATGTTACACAAGCATACTTCGTACAACCTACATGATACACCCACTAAACCAACCAATCAGACCACAGTATCCCATGAACATGCATTTCAGCTACTACTGATAATATAGTCACCCAGTTTCTTATTCTTATCTATTACACTCCCACAAAAATACATCACACCATCCACCCCCAAAACCCCAATCAATCAATCACCCAATCAATCCCAATACCTAATCAACCCATCCAAACCACCCGTAACCACCTTACTAGTTTCCTGAGGATGCCAATCCAAACAAGTCGTGGCGCCGCCTTCTTTCCCACCGGCCAAGATCTTATGATACATTTTACCGGTCTTCCAGTCCCAGAAGCAGACGTAGCCGCCGCTGTCCCCGGAGGCGATGAATTGGCCGTCGGGGGAGATTTTGATGTCGATGGCGTAGCCGGCGTTGTTGTGGCCGCGGAAACTCTTCTTCCGGTTTTGGCGGAACTTATCGGTTGCGCCGTAGACGACGATTTGGTTGTCGCCGGATTGGAAGGCGACGTATTTGCCGTTCGGGTGGGGGGCGGCGCGCGTGAGCGCGAACATGTAGGGTTCGGCAATGAATTTGATGGGTACGGGGATGCCGTATTCCCAGGCGCGGAGGGACTTGTCGTCTGAGGTGGAGATGAAGCGACGGTTCTCATCGACGAAGGTGATGGTGTTGATTGCTGCCAGGTGGTGGTCGTATTCTTGGACGAGTTCGCCGGAGCGGGTGTCGAATTGGACGATCTTCTTGTCGGACATACCGGCCAGGAATTCGTGGGAGTGTTCGGCACCGGGGTTGAAACGGATGACATGGGGTGTCTTGCCGGTGGAGAAGCGGCCCAGACATTTGCCGTACTCGGTGTCCCAGAGCTTGATCTGACGGTCGTAAGAGGCCGTGAGGAAGGTTGTGCCTGTCGCATGAAAGTCGGTATCTGTGATGGCCTTGGAGTGACCGGAGAAGGTGCGGAGTAGTTCGCGCGAGTGGTAGGCGTCCCAGATCTTGGCCTTGCCGTCCGCGGCGGATGAGAGGAGGAGGTGTCCGGAGCGGGGGATGAAGCGGAGAGAGGTGATGGCTTTGGTGTGTGATTTCCAGGTGTGGATGAGTTTCTTGGGGATGAAGTTCTTGGTGCTGCCGGGCTCCTTGCGGAGGTCGATGTCCAGGTCCTGCGGGACGTGCATATACGTGCGGCCCTGGTAGTCGAATTGTTCGCTGCCATGGAATTCGGTGGTTTCGACCTTGGCCGTATCGTCTTGGTAGTCGGTCGATTCTTTGCTCATGGCGGGCATGTTGGATGGAGCCAGATCCTCTTCTTCCTCGTCCACTTCGATGTATTCCTCGTCGCTGGCGAGTTCGCGGTCCTCCAGCGCGTCCTCTTCATCGTAGGCACGTTCGTCCTGTTGATATTTCGCCCATGGGCCAAGATAGGCGCCCTCGCCTTCGACGATGCTAGGATCACCCTTCCTTTGCCGTTTCGCACGAAGCGCTGCTGAAGCCTCTTTGGATGGTCTCATCTGAATGATGTCCCGGCCACCGAAGTGAGCCGCGTTGTCAAGGTTGCCGACGAACTGACCCGGGAGACCGGGATTGCGCGTGTAGCCGAGACTCTCGAAGGTGCGGTGTTGCGCGGCGAAGGTCGCCTCACTGATGGCTGCTTCTTCGGCATATCCGGTCGGGACATTCTTGCGCTTGAGGCCGTTCGCTGGTCCGGCAGGTTTGAACGGGTTGAGGGGCCCTTGAGACGGCCGCGAAAGATCATCGTAGGTTGCGTTGTAGGTCAGGGCGGTGGATGAGGTGTTGGCGAGCATCATCTGCATGTGTGCCTGGTCCTGTAGGGCTGTTAGTTATCTCGCACATAATGACTCGGCGATGAGGCGAGATTTAGGTGGCCAGCAGCAATAATGGAATGGGGGACCAAACCTCTGTGTTCACTTCAGGCGCCGCAACAATCTTGGTCGCTGAGGGCACCGCAGGTTGAGCCTGGGTGGCAGTCTTGGTCGTATCATCATCGCTAGACTCGTAGCCAGCGCCGAGTAAAGAAGCCATGGTAGTCGCAATTACCGAAATCCAGGGGGAAAGACCGAGCTGAACTTCCCCGATACGGCGAGAAAAGAAGTCGAAGCTGAAGCTTGACGATCGGCGCGGCGAAGTTGGACACGGGAATTTTACGGGAGGCGGAAAGGCCGCCCGCGCAGCAATAATGCCGGCACACGGCCGGGCCTGGCCACTTTCTCTACAATCTTTTATCTAGTATCTACCAAGATTCAAAGAGTATCGGTATCGTACGCTCTTCATTGTCACACCGCTGAGGTATATACAACAACATTATTGAAGACATCAACAGGAATTTGGCAACATTAGAACCCAAGGGACGTAAGTAACACTAAACAAACCAGCAACTCAAGCAGCCCGCCACTGCCTCGAGGCGATCCGATTACCTCATCTATCGCCTACCAAAAACATCAAGATCTGGAGACCCCCGCGCGTTCGCTGTCATCAATGATATGCTTTCATAATCACGTCATATACAAGGTCTCGTCTACTGCATACGCCCACACGCCGGCTACAGCGTGGAGTGGCCGGGACTTGTGACGCGAGTGTGTCGGGATGCAGCAGCGAGGCAGATACTCGCAGAACCATGCTCAGTCCCATCTTCCCAGCTCAAAGAGAAGTCAAGACAACGCACCACGCGACACATCAGCCCGAGCGGCCGTTGCGCATTGCGTGCTCCGCCTGGCCGCGAAGTCAGTGAGACTCATCGCGGATCAAGGCGACGATCATGCTGTAAAGGTAGAAGAAGAACATCAGGAGGTGGAAGCCCAGCTTGATGAAGGACTCCTGCAATTTCGTGTCAGCGGGCGGTCCGTTCCGATAGCGGAGTGAGGATATTGCGGTCTAACCTTCTTGTGCACGTTCAGCTTGCGGAAAATCTCGGTCGCATCCAGCAGGTGCTGGTTCTCGTAGATCCTACAGAAAGAGGTGTCCGATTAGCTGGGATGCCCAGTACAAGGCGCCGTGCGCGACAGAGCTGAGAGGGCAGCGTACTTCTTGGCATTGAACGCCAACAGAGGCAGGTTCAGGACGATGGCGACCCAGTAGCCATTGATGATAAAGAGGAAGGTCAGGAAAGCATGAACGGCAGCCTCGGGGATAATGTAGGCGTTGAGGCGGTTGCACAGGTCAATGGGGTTGATGTAGTCACTGCGGGAGCGAACCGGATTAGCTTGGTTCCATCACGATGTGCTGTCGCAACCACACGGCGAGCTCCCATGCGGCTTCCGGGAGCTTGTCCAAGCACCTGACAGAAGCAGACATGGGCAGAGAGATAGGGTCAGGTCATACCATTCCAAATCACTGTACATGATCGTAAAGAATACCTGCAGGAACAGGTTGACGGCGTTGATCAACACCGCCAACAGATAGAGCCAAGCTTCGCCAGACATGATGGGCAAGAAGGAAAAGAGATGCTCAAAAGACCCAAGAGGGCGTGCGAACGAACAAATAGGGGAGGACGGGGAGAGCGGAGAGACGGCCGTGCTCAGAGCAAAGCGATAGAATTGGAGGTAGCAAAGGAGAAGGGGCAAAAGGTGAGAAGTGAAGACGAGGGAAGTTGGAGCGATTGTGGACTCGAACCGATGGGGGAAAGCCGCGATTGGAGCTGGCAGGCGGTGAGGCTGTTCTGGGGGAAGATGACCCGCGATCTTTGGTTACTAGATAGTATGATGCACAACTTACCTACACCTACGTCGCTAGTGCTCAATTTCTCCCAATCTTCCCACAGCCACCACTCTACCAGCGGGAAAAGACCAAGTGTCCAGATGAAGTAGCTGGAACAACCTGAGGTGAGTGACAGTGGATCAGTCGCTAGTTGACGCTCGGCCGCTGTCCGGATATCAGTGGCAGCAGACCACCGCTACCAATCACCACTTCGCAAGCTCAATCACGCGAACGTGCCTGGGGAGCAAGGGTAGGACAACGGGTAGAGATACTACACGATGACGACCGTCTCTTCTGTCCTTGAGTTCAGCACCCTTGCCAGCTCTCCGTAGACGTCGATGACGTGGGGAAGGAAACACGTGCTTCTACCCGCATCGGCCGGCTTCTACAACACATCCTCACTAGTAGCAGCATCATCAGTGATTTGAGCTTTATTTACACAGGCACCATGTAATTAGCTAGCTAATATCGTCATGAATTGAAGCAAGAGCAGGGTAAAAAATGCAGATAAACAGAAAGAAACGTCTCATCAGCATGCTCATCACCAAGTTACAGTCCTAATACAAAAACAATCATAGCCCATTGACCAGCCAAAACAACCAGTGTATAATGGAACAAAATCAAGTGCCTCAGCTCGCAGATGGCCACCGACACGTATTTCAAGTTATCACCGCTTCTCAACCAGCAGGATATGCATCGCACCATAGGCAATTACAATGAATGCCCCCGAAATGATGGCCAGTCCAATGACATCCTTCCACAGAGCCAAAGTGTCAAACCCGAACGCACTGAGGATGGATGCCCCGGGTACTTCAATGTCCAGGCCGTATTTGTGATCGATCAAGGTCAGGTATGTCACCTCGTTGACGATCAAAGCCTCGAAACCGTAGTGGAAGATGGAAAGCTAAGAGAGATAGTCAGCATTTGATGCTTGAGTCTAATTTGGCAAGGAATAAAGGGCTCGTCAGAACTTACAGTTTGCAACCACAGGGCAGATTTGGGAATAGCATCGTGGTTGAGTAAGAGACCAGCGAAGAGCAGACTGAACAACATCACCAGGCTCCCGATTAAGTTGGCCACGCCCCCGTCCCGGAAGATAATGCCGATGAACAAGCAAATGTTGGCTGCGGCCAGGTTAAAGAGAACGAGTACCAAGATGAATCGGAAGAACTCGCCCCAAGCGGGGATCAGGCCGGTCATGGGATACACAATGATACCCATGATGATCGGAGGGAGGAGCCGGAGGGGCACGATGTCAAACACCACCTTGGCCGCAAAGTAGGTAATCGGGTGATAGTAGCCGTTGGCCCGCTCACGCACAAAAAGGAGTCGTTCCCCGGAAAATACCGTCAGACTGGTAAGCGTGCTAAACCCGAACAACGCGAGGATGAAGAAGAAGAGACCCAAGCGATTCTGGAAACCCTTAATGTCATCGGTCAGACCGTAGAAGAGGTAACCGCACAGGACAGCAAGAAGGATAGAGATGGCATAATGCGTGAGCATTAGCATCGGGTTTCGATACAGATTACGCCAAGTTCGCTGCGACAGGATAACGAATTGTCGCAGGAGGCCAATACGAGCGTAACTCTTGCCAGTTCCAGTAGGAGCAGACATCAACTCCGGGTTAGCGAATCCATTAGCTGCACGTGCATTCTGAATGGCTGCCACGATCTCATCATGGACGGAACGCGCGATATCCGATCCTGCGTAGTTCGCGACCAGGATGTCAAGATCCGTCTGGCCGGGGGCGATTGGGGGTAATTGATCCGGGTCATCAACAATCTGAGATGGAGCACTGCCTGGCTGACGAGAAAGACGCAGCCATTGCTGAGTATTCTCGGCAACATCGTCCAACTGCACATCTTCGTCATCTGTCTTAGGGGTGGGCGGTGCTTCCGGGTCCTTCTTGCGGGAATAGAGCTGTCTGTCCTGTTTCTGCTTGAGAGAAACACGCCGTTTACTCTTCGGGCGTCGGTTTGCGTCGAAAGTGCTGCTGCTGTTGTCCTCAAAGCTAGCGTTCGATGCGCTGGCAACTGACTTAACAGCCCTCAAACTGCTCGAGGCTGTCTTTGGGGGATCTACCCGCACATCGAGCAAGGGAGACACAATCTCGTTCTGGTGGGAGCGGGTCACACTAGCGTGCATTGTGAGGTCCACGAGGTAGTCAGCAATGTTGAAGCCCGGAGGACAAGCGTAACCGGAGTTGTCGAAATATTGTTGACATGTGGAAAATGGGCCAGAATAAACGGTCTTTCCTTGAGCCAGGAGGATAAGTCGGTCGAACAGAGCAACGATGTTGGAGCGTGGTTGATGGATGGTGAAAATGACAGTGCGGTTGTAGGTTTTGGCCAATGTCACTAGGCATTCGACAACATTGAATGCGTTATACGCGTCCTATCGGATAGTGAGCATGTTTCGCTGCTAATGGGGCTAAGGGGTATCTTACCAATCCACTAGTAGGCTCGTCTAGGAAGAGGATGCTCGGGCTAGTGACCAACTCGCAAGCAATTCCAACTCGACGCTTCTCGCCACCAGAAATACCCCGGCCTTTTCCTTCCTCAGATCCAATGAGCTGGTCCTTGATGTGGTATATCCCAAGTTGCCTTTCGACCTCGAACACTCGTTGCTCCTTCGCAGCTCGGCTCATGTCTCGCGGCAACCGGAGCAGCGCACTCGTCAAGATAGTCTCGTGAACAGTTAGAGTGGGAAGCATAGTGTCTTCTTGGTCAACGAAACCAATCATCGTTCTAAAGTCATGGTCATTGATTTTCTCGCCATTGACGTAGAAATCGCCACGGACCGTACCCCGCTTGTTCTTCCGAGCGAGAATGTCTAGGAAAGTGGTCTTGCCTGCACCCGACGCACCCATGATAGCTGTGATCTGCCCAGGCTGGGAAGTACCTTGTATCCCACTGAGGATCTCTTTCCCGTTCAAGTAATACGAAACGCTGTCCCAGGATAAGGCGGCTGGTCTATGCTCCGCCAGGAGCTTGGCACCGTCGTCGTCCTCATCATCCGATAGTGGCAACTGGATGCGGCCGGCATATGACCTACGTGACAGATACCAGACCGACAGAATCACAGCAACGACAAAGAGGGCACATCCCGCGATTACGCCAGCAATGAGGGGAGTGTTGATCTGTTTGACCGGGCGAGAATACCCAGGGACATCCGTCCGATACAAACACTCGCCAGAGTCGCAATTCAACGTGATACTCTTGTCACCGAAAACGGCTTTGATCAATTCGTCCATGGCGGGTTCCTGGAATCTGCTTCCATCTTCTGGGCTGCCTCCTTCAGTGGACGACGACGTGAACGTGGCAGGGCCCACGATCGACTCTCGGAGAAAGTCACCGATATCAATAGACCCTTCCTCGCCACAAAGCATGCGCCCTGGTATACACTCGCAGTGGATGTTCTCGCACGTGTAGCGTGTTTTATTTTGGGTATGGGTGGTCTCCAAATCCCACTGACACGTATCCAAACCGCAGTAGAACGATTCTACCCTGCCCACCCAGAATTGGAAGTTGCAAGTCTGGTCTTCCGCCTCACAAGAGAACGTCACCTGCGGCTTGCGGTCCTTGAGCTGATCAAGGATCTTGCGATTGGTCACATCACACATTTGGAAGTTCTCTTTGACAGTCACGCCCTGTTTGTAGCAAACGCCTCCTTCGCCTTCTGGCATCATCGCACTGCAAGCATCATCGGTCTGGCAGACGTTACAGTTAATCCCTTCCCAGCCATCTTTGCAAGAACACTGATCGCCCTGGCGAGGGGACCTCTGGTGACCGTCGGCCAGCGACCCACACAGAGGCTGCGCGCAATCATCGCCGCCAAAACCTGGTGGACAAACACATTTTCCGGTAAATTTGTCACATGAAGCGAACTGGGCGCACTGGAAAGCGTCTAGCTGACAGTTGAAGCATGGTGGGCAACCATCTGGACGATCGTCGAGTGCGGAGAAGAGCGGAGGTAGGAGGTCGGCATCGGAGTAGTTACTCCGTGCTGCAACGGTAGAGACCGAGAGTGAGAGACCGAAAGCTAAGGATAACTGAAGCGAAGACCGCAGCCACATGCTGTGCTGTAAGTGTGGGAGTTACCCTCACACTTGGTTAAGTGGCTGGCAAGCTGGCAGGTTATCGGGCCGAGGAGAGAGCCGGTGCGGAGTAAGCAGCGACGACGATGGACGCCAAAGAATCAAGAGGAAGGATAGAACATCTGGATGGGGAGCAGAGGAACTGAAGACTCTCCTCACAGATTGAGGAAGATGCGATACCCACCAAAGTGGTTGCAGCGACGGAGATAACAGCCAAAGGACAACCAAAGGAGCGGTAAGGGTGGGTTGGGGAGCGAGAGGAGGACGAGGAGGTTGGAAGGGAAACCGGTTGAGGCGATGACGAGGGCGGAGAAGCGCCAATCCGTGGCCTGACAGCCTGGGGCACCCACCAATGATGGCCCGGCGCGACGTGGTATTGTCGGGTACCTACCGGCCTAGCTACGGAGTATATTGCTAGCACCTACAGATGGAGTGGATAATGACTAGGATGTTCCCATGGCTAGTGGTGAATGGAATGCGCTGAGGCCTCTGTGTAATGTGTATCACCTGGAGGTTGCATCTGAGACGATAATTCGCTGAATACTCTCGCCGTATCTCGGTATCTCCGTATCTCCCAATCGGGCAACCCCAGATCGAATTTCCACGTGACTCTGTGCCTGGATCGCGCCAGAGCTAAGCAATAGAGTCGAACAGTTCCTGCCCACTGTGTCATTGACATTGTAGTAAAAACGACGGTTTTCCTAGAGCACACCGAATCTTGACCGCGCAACCAATTGACAACTATGGTCCACATCAAAGAGTTCGCCGTGGAGCAAGTATGTTCGCCCACCAGCCGATCTTCCAACCCGGCAACCATGTTCTATACCCCGCATACCCCGACCGAACCTGGCTGGTAGTCTGCTAACCGCGCCATGCAACCAGTGGATGGACAGATTTGAAACTATAGCCAAGTACAATGTGGCAGAGACATGTTGTGCTTCAATCTCGGTCAACGATCTCCGGGAGCTTTCGGAGGACAAGTCCGACCCCTTGGACTTTTCGACTAAGCTCACCTATGGCGCAATTCGTGGGTCGGAACGACTCCGGGGGAACCTGGCCGAGCTATATTCGATCCAGACGCCCCTGCCACTGGAGAATGTCTTAATCACCGCCGGCGCCATTCAGGCCAACTTTCTTCTGCTGTACTCCTTAGTCGGCCCAGGAGATCATGTCATCTGCCACTATCCCACATATCAGCAGCTTTACTCGGTCCCAGCGTCGCTCGGGGCCGAGGTGAGTCTGTGGAAGTCGAAAGAGACGGATGGCTGGAAGTTGGATACCAGTGAACTGAAGAGACTTATCCGTCCCAATACAAAGCTCATCATCCTCAAGTATAGTAGCCCCTTGATGGTCTCCTAGCCAGCTTGCCCTCTAACCGAATTTGTGTGTTTGCTTCACAGTAACCCCCAGAACCCCACCGGAGCTGTGATACCTCAAGCGACATTGAACGATATCGTTGAGATTGCGCGGAAGTCGTCCATCATCATTCATGCGGATGAAGTTTATCGACCGATATTCCATTCAATCAGCCCAGAGGACGACCAGTTCCCATCATCCCTCTTATCCCTAGGCTACGAACATACGGTAGTGACGGGCTCCATGTCCAAGGCATATAGTTTGGCGGGACTCCGTGTTGGATGGATTGTATCTCGCGATCGCTCGATCATTGAGACATGCGCCAACGCCAGAGACTACACAACCATCTCTGTCGGCCACTTGGACGACGCCATTGCGGGCTACGCTTTATCTCCAGCTTGTGAGACCAACCTCGTCGAGAGAAACCTTGAACTAGCCCGACGGAACCTAGCAATCTTGGAGAAGTTTATCGAGACTCATCGGTGGGCATGTGACTGGGTCAAGCCACGAGCGGGTACGACGGCATTTGTGCGCTTTAGCAACATGGGGAATCCGGTTGATGATGTAGTATTTTGCGAGAGACTCCTGGACAAGGTTGGAGTGATGTTTGTCCCTGGAAGTTTATGTTTTGGGGAAGGCGAGGATTTCAAGGGCTATGTCCGGATCGGGTTTGTGTGCGAGACCGAGGTGCTGGAGCAAGCCATGGAGGCGCTGCGATCGTTCATGGACGAAGAATACAAGAATGTGCCGGTGGTGCAGAGGCAATAAACGTACGCGTGGACACCGACATGGCTTGGATGCCAAGTAGTTGCACATGTGAAACATAAGTCAGATCCAAGGCTTGTTATTTCCACCGGTTCGTTGCCCGGTTCACCAGCCAGTCAACTTGGCAGAACCCCGCCGTATGGTTTGCCTAATGCCCACCTAAAATCCAACGAGATACTGATCAAGGGGGTGGTTCCGCTGTGGCCATCAAATCGCCGGTGGGGACGATCCCCAGCGCATCGGGTGCATAACTTGTCATAGCTCAGCGCCTGGAAGTTTCCGCCCGCCCTAGCCGAGGCAACCTGCGTCTTATGTTGGGGGATGACGATGTACACGGAGCCTGTCAGCCTCTAGGCTGTGAATACCAGGATTCAATGCCACCTGCTCATTCTCTTTGTTCCCCCTTAAATCCCCGGCCATCCTGAATCCCCTCTCATCTCACTGCCTTTCGTCTCTCTCCTCTCTTCCGGTCCCTGCAGGCAGGCCATATCCTTTAGCCTTTTGGTCAACCTATTTAACGTAATTAAGTGTTTTGGCTAGAAGATGCCTGTAATTCCCGGTGTGTGGAGCATCCTGCCATGATTCTCTTACCTGGTGAACCCCCGTTGCTGACCAGAATACCTGTCAGATCTCCCTATCCCTCTCACCATCGCCGGCCCGGCGGTGGTAGCCACGCTCGCATATCTCAATGCGAAATTTTCTCTATCCTACGATAAGCATATGATATTGTCAATGCTCAATACTGGCAGCAATGCCAAGTCGGCCATGCGTCGTGATGAAGTCAATCACTTCTATGTGTTGGAGAAGCACGCCCGCGATCCGAAAATCAAGGACCGGCCGTTCCTTGTCTACGATGGACGCAGCTGGACGTTCCACGAGACATACGTGCTGGTGCTACAGTATGGCGTCTGGCTCAAACAAGTCCACGGAGTCAAGCCCCGGGAAGTCGTCGCCATGGACTTTATGAACTCCGCGACATTTGTTTTCGTCTGGTTCGGTCTGTGGAGCATTGGGGCCGCGCCTGCTTTTATCAATTACAACCTGACTGGAAAACCTTTGACACATTCGATACAGGCATCGACTGCACGGCTGCTACTCGTTGAGGAGGAACTTCGCCAGCATTTCTCCTCAGAACAATTGGAGATGTTTGCTGCGCCTGACTTCCGAGACGGAAAGGGCCCTGTAGAGCTAATCTTTTTCACCCCAGAGGTCGAGGCGCAGATCCTACAGATGGAGCCCACGCGAGAGGATAACACGGCTCGGGGCGGAATTCAACTACGCGACATGGCCGTGCTGATCTACACGAGTGGGACTACTGGTCTTCCCAAGCCCGCCATTCTCCCTTGGAGGAAGGTCTGGGCCAGTGGTGTACTCATGCATAACTGGCTGAATCTGACCAAAGATGACCGGTTGTTCACAGTACGTTAACGGGACTTTGTTCGCTTTTGTCTTTTCTGAAAATGCTCACATGATATATAGTGCATGCCTCTCTATCACTCATCCGCGGCCATAATAGGCGTCATATCGTGTTTATGGACAGGGGCAGCTGTGATTATTGGGCGCAAATTCTCGTCCCGGAAATTCTGGCCTGAAGCCCGGGAGGCCGATGCGACGATCGTTCAGTACGTGGGCGAGACCATGCGATATCTCCTAGCAGTGCCGCCCTCAATTGATCCCATCACAGGGGAAGATCTGGACAAGAAACATAGGGTTCGACTGGCCTTGGGAAACGGCCTGCGCCCGGACATCTGGAACCGTGTAAAGGAACGTTACAACATTCCTACGATTGCCGAGCTCTACGCTTCTACCGAAGGAACAGGCGGATTATTCAACCTCTCGTCCAACGACTTTTCCGCCGGAGCAATCGGCCGCAACGGGGCGCTTACCAGTATGATCATCGGTCGTGGTATCGCTATCGTCGAAGTCGATCAAGAATCGCAGGAACCCTGGCGGGATTCCAAGACAGGATTCTGCAAGAAGGTCCCGTGGGGCGAGCCGGGTGAACTGCTGCATGCGCTCAACCCCCAGGATCCGGGGGAAACCTTTGGCGGTTATTACCAGAACACCAAGGCCACCGAGAGCAAGATCCTTCGTGATGTGTTGCGCAAAGGCGACGTCTACTATCGATCTGGTGACCTGGTCCGGTGGGACAAGGAAGGTCGTTGGTACTTCTCCGACCGTCTTGGTGACACGTTCCGATGGAAGAGTGAGAACGTGTCGACTAGCGAGGTGGCCGAGGTCATGGGCGTGCATCCGGCTGTGCACGAAGCCAATGTCTATGGGGTCGCATTGCCAAACCATGATGGCCGTGCTGGTTGTGCGGCCATTGTTTTCCAGCAGCAGACGCGGGCTGAGGACCAGTCTGTGGTGCTTCCCCCGTCCAATGAAATTCTCAACAGTCTGGCAGCACATGTGCTAAAGAATCTTCCCCGTTTTGCTGCTCCCCAGTTCTTACGCGTCATGGCGGAGATGGAAGGGACGGGGAACAACAAGCAGCAGAAGCATGTTCTTCGAACACAGGGAGTGGATCCTTCGCTGGTGGCCGCAAACGATAGGATGTACTGGCTCCAGGGGAACCAGTATGTTCCGTTTGAGGGGAAGGATTGGAATCGACTGCAGGCTGGAAAAGCCAGGCTGTAGTTTCCAGCTGTCCTGGTTTGAAGTTGGTCTGTAATACTTGCGTACACATACATAGAGCGAATTTAAATTCTTGATGCTATGGTTTCACTTTTTTATCATCTACTTGCTACATATATATCGTCCAATGCTGATTTTAGCTTCTACCCGTTACTATATATTGCGAAGACATTGATTGAGAAACGAGATATATATCTGATGCGAATGATATCATAAACCATTAAAAGATGGTACAACCTCCTGGAGACAAGATCATAATAGATTCAAAGAAATTAGCAGCAGACCGGCTTAATCTCAACCCTGATAGTGTCGGCGAGCGCGGCCGGGTGTTCGGCGGGATGACGCGAGGCATGAAGCCTACTCGGAAACTGGCCGCTCGATCCCGGTCTCGGAAATGCCCAGCGATCCGAGGTACAAAACCCCAGCACCACCTATCTTCATCTATCTTCATTCTTCTCTCCCAATGAACCAATCGACATTCAATCACTAGTAACAATGTCCCTTTCATTCACAACCCGAGGGTCCACGCGATCTTTCCTTCGCCAGCACTCCCAGCCCAACCTCTCAACCCGGTCATTCTCAACCCGGTCATTCTCAACCCGGTCATTCTCAACCCGCCATCCTCTCCGCACTCCCACCTCCACCTCCGCATCAACCATCGCCACGTCCTTTCTCTCCCGTTTCCAATCCCTCGGTCCACAAACCCGTACCCAAACCCTCGATGCAAACCAGCTCCAATTACTATCCCTCACACTGAACCGCCCCTCCCTCTTCCCCAATTCCCCCTCCCTCTCAAACACCCCAACTTCTCTCCCCCTCGGCACGCCCCTCCCCGCAGGCTACCATCTCGTCTACTTCACTCCCGCATTCCTCGAAAATGAACTCGGCGCCGACGGCACCGACACCTCCTATAACCCTGCCTCGCCGTTCACCCGTCGCATGTGGGCCGGCGGCGAGGTCCACTGGCCTCGGGGAAAAGACGGGAAGCCGAATCCCCTCCGAGTGGGGCAGGAGGTTCAGGAGATGACGACCGTGTTGAGCGCGGAGCCGAAAATCGTGCGGAAGACTGGCGAGGAAATGATTGTTGTGGGGGTGGAGAAGGAGTTTAGGAATGAGCATGGGGTGGCGGTTTTGGATCGTAGGTGGGTATACCCCGTATTCCGTACATTATTCCGATGATGGAGGGTGTTTGGCTTCAATTATGCTGATGTATTGATGTTGATAATATCTAGGAACTGGGTCTTTCGCAAAGCCCTCACCACCCCGGCACCTAGTACTTCTTCTTCTGCCAGTCCCCCAGCAACAGAAGCGTTCAATGGCCCAGCGAGTTCATCTACCGTGACGAGTGGAAGTACGCATACGCGCACGTTGCGTCAAACAGCCGTGACTTTATTCCGATTCTCGGCGTTGACGTTTAATCCGCATAAGATTCATTATTCGACGCCGTGGGCGCGGGATGTGGAAGGTCATAAGGATATTGTTGTGCATGGGCCGTTGAATCTTATCTCGATCCTGGATTTATGGCGTGATACGCGGAAGACGGATGGGAAGGGGGAGGGATTGGTTTTTCCGGAGAAGATCTCTTACCGGGCTACGAGTCCGTTGTATGCGGAGGATGAGTATAAGATTGTGTTGGATGAGGGGGCGGGGGATGGAGTGGGAAGGGTGCAGATTGTTGCGCCGGGTGAGGTGGTTGCTATGAAGGCGGAGATCCAGTAGATAGTTCTATGACAGGGCATGTATGTACATAGTTTTGTTATGATGTGGTGGACTGTCTGGGGGCGTGAGTACAGTTTCGGGTTGAGTTGTATGGTCTCTAACTCCCTGTATTAATAACTAGATCTGGTTACACAAGTATTCATCCCCCAAGATAAACATACCCCTCATTACCAAAACTACCAGATTATAGCAAACCCATCTCCTCCCAAACATCACCCCTCACCCCAAGCTCCCTCCCACCCCCCATTCACCTTCATACTTAGGGCTCGGACTTAACCCGGAGATAACCCAGCCCTCCTTATCGCCCCAGACTATAATCTGACATCTGATTTGAGTCTGACACCAACCAACCTCAAGCTGCAACCTCAATAACCTACCTACAACCCCCCCTCCCTCCTTATCATCCCCTTCCCCATACCTATAAATACATTGTATCCCCCACCAAACGCCCCAGAAATGTCCTCACACCCCACAACCAAAGACAAAAAACGAACTAGAGTCCAACTCTCCTGCACAGCGTGTCGAGCCCGCAAGTACTACACCCATCACCCATCCCCTCATTCCATCATACCCCCCACTTCATCCATATTATTTCTATATACCTGATCTAACAGAGATTTGAAAATGTAGGTTGAAATGCGATCGCATCCATCCCTGCACGAACTGCAAGAAAAGAAATGAGGGGAGTACATGTACTTTCATTGGGCGGGGTCCGAGAGGGAAAGTCTCGAATGGCCGGACGAGTCCTACCCATGTTCAGGATCGGTTGCAGCATTTGGAGAATTTGATTTTGTCGTTTACGCAGCAGCAACAACATCAGCAGCAACAGCAGAGGGTCGGGGGTGAGCAGGTTGTGGGTGCGGGCGCGTCTGCACCGCAGCAGCAGCGGACGCCGTCGTCGACGGAAGAGGAGGGATCATCGCCTTCGGCGTCGGATCCGGCTGGACGGTTGGTGGTTGGGGAGGAGGGGACGAGGTATATTGATGGGGCGCATTGGAGTGCTATTCTTGAAGAGGTGAGTGGTTTCTTGTTCTTGGGTGGGGTAGGTGGTGGGTACGGGCTAATGGGGTGTAGATTAGCGGGGTGAGGGAGTATTTGCGGGATAATGAGGATATGGGACCCTCGGATGAGGAACAAGGGGATGAGGAGACAGTGGGTTCTTCGCCGGCGCCGACGCTGTTGTTGGGCTTGCAACGGCAGGTCAGTCGGGATGAGTTGCTGGATGGGTTGCCTCCGAGGCCGGTGGCCGATCGGTTGGTGGCCCTGTTTGTGAATAGTAAAGAGCCGACGACGGGTATGTCTGTTTTCTGTGGTTGATGAGATGGTTGTGCTGATGTGGATAGCTGTGGTGCATATGCCGACGTTTCAGAAAGAGGTACGTGGATTCGGTGGGTGAGGGGGTATATTTATTGCTGACGATGAGCAGTATACTCGGTTCTGGTCAAGGCCGAGGGATGTCTCCATCGCTTATATGGCGTTTCTGTATGCATGTCTTACGATGGCGGTTTCGATTCATCAGCGCACAGGGGAGCCGTTGCCGGTGGATCTAGGGGATCCGATGGAGGTCGCCAATAACTTCCGGCTCTTGACGGCGCAGAGTCTCGTCAGGTCGAACTATACAGTGCCTGGCCGGTACAAAGTGGAGGCCCTCTTCATCTACACGATGGCCGAGTTCTACCGGAGTGAGGATGCCCAGGTCGGAGTGTCGTTTCTGCTGGGAAACACCATCCGGCTGGCTATGCGGACAGGATACCACCGTGACCCTCGGCAGTTCCCTGATGTGTCGCCATACGAAGGCGAGATGAGGCGGCGGGTCTGGGCGATTATTCGCCAGCTGGATATCCTGATCTCGTTTCAGGTTGGACTTCCGCGCAGTGTACAGGACTGGCAGCAAGACGTGGAGCTTCCGCGCAATATTTCTGACCAGGATTTCGATGAATCGACCACAGAACTGCCGCCGTCTCGACCGGAGACCGAACTCACTCCGATGGCGTATATCCGCGGCAAGTCGCGGCTCATGGCTGTGTTTGGCAAGATCTCCGATCTGGCGTACTCGCGCGAACCGGTGACATATGATGAAACGCTTGCCTTGGATCAACAGCTCAATGAAGCGCATGAGCTCATTCCGCCGGTCTTCAAGATGCGTCCTCTCGATCAGTGCGTTGTGGATCCTCCGTACCAAATCTTAAGACGGTACACGCTGGAGCTGCTGTATCTGAAATCCCGCTGCGTGTTGCATCGGAGATACCTGACTGAAGTGCACACCAACCCGCGCTATGCCTTTTCGCGGTGGGTGTGCATGAGCGCGTCCCATGAGATTCTCCAGCACCAGGCGCGTGTATACCAGGAAACGCAGCCGGGCGGTCTTCTCTACCGGGACCGTCAATTCCCCAACTCGCTTCAGAACGCGGACTATCTGCTTGCCGCGATGATCCTTTGCCTCGAGCTGTTACAGAACCCTACCGGGGTGCAGACGGAGGGCGCCGACAAAGATGTAGCCCACTGCCGGGAGGATCTGCTCTCGACCATTGAGACCTCGCATCGGATATTTGACCAACTGCGTCAAAAATCAGCAGATGCGCAGAAAGCATACGCAGCACTGACGATCATGCTCCGGCGGGTGAAGGGGGCGACGGGCAGCGAGAAACTGGCTGGTGAGTCCGAGGAGATGTTGCGGTATACGCTGCTAACGGGTCCAGCGCAACCACCACCGTACGGAAACTGGTCAGAGAGCCCATACCCATTGGGTGAGATACCGATGGGCATCACGCCGGAGTATCACTCGCTCGACGTGATCGGGGAGATGCTCGACGCGCCAACCAATCTAGACTGGGTAAGTAAACCACCACAGACATGGATCGGGACTAACAAGCGCAGCATCTCTGGGACCAGCAGATCCGGGACGCGAACATGGGGTTATGGGATGATACCAATGTGGAAGACATGGCTATATAGACTGTATCCATACGGGGTACACCGTATTGTAGACGCAATAATCACATATCGCATCGAGCCGAGTACTCCGTACCATAGACCCGATCCGAGATAAGCTTCCTCGGAGCGGAGATCTCTCGGAAGCCGACAAAAAAGTTCCCAACATCTTCCTGCTACTTACCTTCAACCACCACCATTCACAACCTCAATTTTACCACCTCACCCCTCCACCCATAACAACAACCACCATGATGCGCCCCCCGATACCACGCCCCCTATCCACCCGCGTACACCTCCCACGCCGCCACCTCTCCACCAAACCAACACCATCAACCTTCTTCACTCACACCCATCGACCAACACCACACAACCACACCCACAACCACCCAACAACCACCCAACATCTCCTTCAAACCCAAACCCGCCCCTTCCTCTCCTCCCTCCTCCCCGGCTCCTCCTCCTCCAACAACTCCTCCAACAGCAACAAACGCCACGTCACCGCAACCCGCACCCTCCCCTACCCCCCAGCCCCATTATTCCAAATAATCTCCTCCGTGGAATCCTACTCATCCTTCCTCCCCTTCCTAACCGCCTCAACCGTGACCCACCGCGACGCGACCACCAACCTCCCCACCCGCGCATTCCTCACAGTCGGGTACGGACCGCTCAGCGAGACCTTCACGTCGAAGGTAACCTGCGACGAGAAGAACTATATCGTGGAGGCGAAGAGCGGGGCGGAGTTTGGGATCGCCACTAAGGAGGGGCAGGATGGGTTGGGGTTTCCGGGTGCGGATGAGGGGATTTTTGAGTATTTGAGTACGAGGTGGGAGTTGAATGAAGTTAAAAAAGAGGATGGAAGTGGGGATGGGACGGAGGTCAAGTTGGATATTCGGTTTGAGTTTCGGAGTCAGTTGCATGCTATGTTGATGGGGAAGGTGGAGGGGGAGATGGCCGGGGTTATGATTCAGGCTTTTGAGAGGAGGATTAGGAGTGTTTTGGGGGAGAGGTAGATGGATAGAGAGGGAGGGGGTTTGTTGAGGGGTTGGGTATATGGCCAGAGGTAGAGGCAGCCTTAAATACTCCATTTGTATAATACAGTTTATCACATAAATGAACAGACAGAACAGAACAATAGAATCAAAGGTATACACGCCTACAGCATGCTCAAGTTCCGTTCCAGGTTGGCGTTCCGCCCAGCCCGCACCGAGCTGACCGCATTGTAGTTGTCAAACACCACCTCCCAGTTGATCCGGTCCCACCACCGCTCCAGATACTCGGCCTTGCCGCCAATGCCGTAGTCCATCATCCACACATGCTCCCACGTGTTCACACACAGAATCGGCTGCACGTCCAACGCGCCCGGGGCCATGTTCTTCTGGTTGGCCGCGTGTGCGCCCATCGCGCCCGCGAACTGGTTGCCCAGCGGCGCGTCAAGCGAGTGCGTCGCCATGTCCACCGGTTGGCGCCGCGCGTGCGCAGCCGGGTACGGCGAGCCGGCGTTGTACGTGCAGAAAATGTGCATCAGTCCCTCCCTCTCCAGGTTCTTAGCCAGCCAGACGAAACCCGGGCCGAACATGGCGTTGGCGGTGGCCAGGAAATCGAGCTTCAGGGATTCGATCGAGGAGCAGGTGTCGACGATGTCTTTGGCGAACGGTTCGGGGATCTGGGTGGGGGCGGGAGACTGTTCCTGTTAGAGGAGCTCGTGGGAGTCGGTCCGGCAAGTAAACTCACCAGGCAGTTGAAGAAGAAGTGGTTGTTGTGGGCCATCGAGGCGTAGTTGAACACGGATGCCATCTCCGGCCGCCGGGAGTATTTGACCAGCAGCTCTCCGGGCTTTGCATCGGCGTCGACGGTGTCTAGGAGGACGGGTCAGTCAGTTCACCGGCTGAGGAAAGTCAAGGGCGCACCCACCCTGCGTCATCAGGTTCAGCTTGTCAATGAGCAGCCCCTGGTATTGCGTCCACGAGAAGTCGAACGCCTCCGGTGATAGCAGCTCCGGAACACCATTGTTCTTGAAGTACTGGTCGTTGGATAATTGGGGCACGCGGTGCAGGCTGCGGACCTGGAAGCGTGGGAGCGCGGAGACGGGCTTCTGCGGAGGTCAGTTAGTCAAGGGCCCCCGGACATGGGACATTGGGGGAAGGCCAACTCACCTGGGAAAAGGCGGAGGCGGCACGCAGGCCGGACTGCGGCCGGAAGAGGCGGTTCAACATGGTGATGGGATGGACAGACGACGAGGTGCAAAGCAGCAGCGGTGATTCTGAAGGACCACCGCAGAATTTCCCGTCGCCGGCCTGCTGCCTGCCTCCTTCCGGCTTAGCGCCGATGAGGTAAGCCGGCGCCTCCTCCGCCAATCAGCGCCCCGCGATTTACTTCGCCGGCCACGGCCATTTCTCGCGGCATCTTCATCTCTTCTTCATCTCTACGCGCCGTCATCTGCACGCCACGGTTGGGTTCCAAACCCCCGAGCCTGTCATGGATCGACGCCTTCCCAGGGCCCATCCCGGCGCTATCTCAACCCCCCTCATTAGCCCATTGCCATATGATCCGTCCGCGGTGTCTATTTTGGGCCGGCGCCTGCCGCTGAATGATGTTTGTATCATGATGCTGCAGATGTTGGGTAGCAAATAGCGCTGTAGTAGCAATATGAGACCGCCGTGGTCTCGCTTTGTAGCAGAAGGCAAGTGTCTTTGTGAGTGTGCCCATTGTTCTTTCACCTTTCACGCCTGGTGCAGAGTTCTTTTGTCTAAACTTTCTTTCACACAACGTCCTTTCTTTGGCCTGAAAGACCTTTCAGCTTGTATTTCTTTTGATCCATTCTCTATCTATTCTTTAGGAGCTTCCATATTACCATGACAAGGTCAATTCATCTCAGAACCAGGCCAACAATGATACTGCTCTTCGCCCTCATCGCTTCGACGGTATCGCCAACGCAGGCCTTTGGCTTACTGCCTCGAAGCTCCGATTCTTGCCCTAGCAACTACAATAAATGTGCTGACAGCAAATTGCCGGCTTCATTCTGCTGCTCCAGTTCATCCACCTGCATCAGCTTGGACGACTCCAGCTCTGCCATCTGCTGTCCAGACGGTGAGAGCTGTCAATACATCGAGCCCATTACTTGCAATGTGCAGCTGCAAAACGCAACCGCACACCCCAAAAATTCTGTCAAGACCACCCGGCTGGACGATTCCCTGCCCACGTGTGGTAGCGCCTGCTGTCCCTTTGGATACACCTGCACCGGGGACTCGCTGTGTGTCATGAACACATCCAGCGCTTCCACAGCTGCCGCCAGTCAGTCGACCACAATGTCCACATCTACTGTTGGGTCAACGTCCACAGGATCAGTTATGTTCACAGCCTCAGCATCCACCACCGACGCCTCTGATCCTACCATCGTCCCCGTCAGCACCGGCTCGAAGTCCATCTCCGACAGCAGCAGCAGCAGTAACAGCACGTCCTCCGCTGCCCTCGCATCAAAGAGCACCTGCTCTTCATACCCCACCACTGCCATTCTAGCCGGCTTCTTCCCCGGTGCCATCTTTGGCGCCGTCCTAGCGTTCCTCTGCCTCTTCTTCTACCGCAGGTATCAGAACAAACACCAACCTCCCTCCGCAAAAGTGGCCCAATTGACCCGCCGCTCCTCAAAGGGCACGCTCATCGGGATCTCCTCCCCAATCCCCTCCGACGATTCCTCCTACCGCACCGACTTCCTCCTTCGTCGAAACAGATCCACAAAACGATACTCAGAGGGTGCGCGCTCACGGTTCCAACGGACCGGAACAAGAGTCAGAAGTCTATTTAACCCCAATTCCCCATCTAGGGTCAGTGTCCCAAAAACACTGGTCCCAGAAAGAGGAGGCGGCATGCCGACTCGCGTGCCGGTACCTGTACCTCCGTTGCCGATCTCCGTGACGCCGTTGCAGCCGGGCCGATCAGCATCAAAGAAGACACTGGCCCGGACAGAAAGTATCAGAGTGTACACACCGCCGGGGGTGTTCGCAACAACGGGGGTGTTGAAGCCGGATCCGTACCCCACGCATATTCGAACAGAAGGGACATTTGATGCGATGGACAAGTGTTGAATAATTATAATGGCTTTCTTTACTGTAAAATTGGCTGATGATATATTTCGCGATGTTTTGTTCTGTTTACTTGGCTTTTGGCCTAGGATAGAATAATAGTGGTGTGGTGTGGTGCATTCATGCTAGTTTGAGATACCTAGATAGTTAGTTGTCATAGCAATTACCTATAATTGATAAGAAATCGAAACAATGCAATGCAGATCTTATACTATACTATACATGACTTTCTCGGAAAAAAAGACAAGTCGAGATGAAATCTAACTAACCTCACTTCAATCGTCTCTCACGCCAACTCGCCACCAGCTTCTTCACTTCCTTCAATAATCCCACGATAAGCGGTACGCCTACCGGTCCCAGGAGCGGCAAGTACACCGCAACCTTGTGCTCATCAGGGAAATACATCTGGCCGACCATGCTCTTCTCGAAGAAGCTGCGCTCGGCCTCGACCTCGGCGACGCGGGCACTCGCTAGAGCGGCCTGGAATTGACCGTGGCGGAGATGGCTACATGCGGAGGTGAGGTGGGTGAGGGTGGTAGAGACGGAGGTGGCCACAGTGGCCGGGATGGGGATGGACGGAAGGGATTCGGTCAGCCGGGCGAGGGAACCCATGGTCGAGGAGGCGGAGAGAAGCAGGGTCGCGGCGCGGATGCGGGTGAGGGTTTGCAGACGGAGGGGAAGCGGAGGCGGGGTGGAGGGCGCGCCGAGGAGGGTGAGGAGTTGGTGAGAGAAGGTCATGAAGGCGGGACCGAGAGTGTCCTTGGTGAGATGGTGGAGCTGGTCGGGGGCGTCTATAGGGGTCGGGTTGAGAAGAAAGACGCCGCCCCATTGCGGAATGATCCAGCTGGTGGCCAGGCTGTCTTTGACCACGAGCGGGGACTGCGACGGGGCCGGGACGTAGAGGATGAAGTTGATGGTTGGGCCAGAGCCGATGCTCGGGCTGAGGGGCCATTCGGCAGCGTTGATAAACGCACTAAGGTCATCTTTTCTGAGCGTCCAGACAGCGTGAGCCTCGTCGTATTCAGGAGCCGGTGCAGTAGGGGAGAAGCCCGCATAGAGCTGGACTTGGGTGTCGACGGTGAAATTGCTGATGGGGGAGAAGGCCTCGAGGACGGGAGTGATGTAGTCATGCACGGCCGCTTGAATGTCCCAGGAGGAAGGGGCAGAGCCGGGGGTGAAGAGGCTAAACGCGAGGTGGTAGGTGTCGGCGTATTTCATAGAGCGGCGCAGGCGGCGGGTGACGCTCTCTGCTAGATCCGGGGAGATGTGTGCGCTGGGGATGTTGTTGTCGGAGAGGACCTGCGCGATTATGGCCTTTTCTTCGGCGAAGAGGAGTTGCAGCTCGCTTGCGATAAAGGCGGAGAGCGGCGAGTTGGAGGCCGACGGGGGCGGGATCTGACTCGGAGGATAGAAGACATCGAGCTGGGTGGTGTCGGGGTGGAGGGCTGCTTGGGGAGTGGTGAGGTCGTCCTGGGCCACCAGGCGGACAGTCAATGCGGTGTCGGCGGCGTCGTCGGCGAGGGGCTGGTCTGGGTTCTCGTTGGAGAGCTTCAGTCGCAGATGGTGTGCAGAGAATTCATTGAGGTCATCGAGAGCGTGCTGGGTGGAACGGAGGAGATGCTGAGCCTCGATCTCGGGCAGGGAGGGGGTCTCGACGCGGATCTCGAGGGGGAAGACTGGCCGACAGGTCTGGCAAATGTTAGCGGAGTGGTGAATGGCGTCGAGGTGCTTACTTTGCCATCGGCCCAATCGATCATGTCCGGGACAGGCAGTCGGGCACGGTAAATGGAGGTGGTCTTCCACCAGATGGGAAAGCCCAGAAAGATGATCACAGCCCAGAAGGCCGCAATGACCTTGAACCGAGTCCGAATGGCCTCGGGCTTCTCGGGGGGCGGCAGACGCGGGGTGGCGGTCATGGCGTGGTCGGAGGAGACAGTCTGGAGAGACGTCTGGGCATCATTCTTGGCAGTCATGACCAGGACATGCTTGGAGGAAGTAGTGGTTGCAGAGGAGTGGAAGGTGAAGTTGGAGAAGTGAGAGATGGAGATGAGATGCGGCAGCCAAGGCGGAGAACAGCCCCCGCCAGTTGGCCGACACCCTACGAAACACCAACCATCTACTGCGATACAAGTACCATTGCTAATTCTATCCGAATAAATTCATGCCTCGGGGTATCTAACCAATGCGCCATTATCATAAACAACCAAGACAGCCTCTCCCTAATATTCCTTCTCAAAGAGCTTCTGGATCGGTTTGGCCGCCTGCCTTGGTTAGCTGGGTCCACATAAAGGGAATGAAGGGAGAGCCTACGTCGATAAACCTTTCCAGGTCCTTGTCCAGACTGGCCAAATCCTCCTTTCGCTTGTTGTTCTCCGCAATCAATGCCTGCTTGCGCTTTAGCAGCTCCTGTCGCGCCTGTTCCAACTTCTCCCGCTCCGCATGTTCGTGGTGGATCCGCGCAACCATCAATTCGTGATCATCCGACTGCTGATGCTCCGGGAATAAAGCCAGAAACTCCTCCGGCGGGATCAACGGGAGGGCGCGATATTTATGACTAACCAGGTCAGTACACACGTCATCCACCACGGCCAGACACCTACTCGTAAGCCTCGCAGGCGGCAATCTCGCCGGTAAGATGTCGTTGCTCATAGTACAGGTTCTGAAGCTGAAGATGGAGACGGTCGATCTCCTGGCGGGCCTCCGCGGTGGATTGTTTGGTCTCACGCACGCGCACGATCGCATCGCGGTTCTGGCCCCGCAGCCGAGCCAGCAGAGCAAACAGTTGTTTCTGCTCCCTCGAGGCCGCCAGGGCGCGATCGTGGGGATCCGTCGAGAGGTCGGCAGTGGGATCCAAGGTAGCTAACAGTTTCATGCATTGATCGCGGGTCTCGGCGCTGAGCCCGAGCACGGGCAGCAGTGAAGGATTGGCGACAATGTCCCGGATGGCCATGGCGATGAGTGGTGGTTGTCACAGGTTAGTGAATTGTTCCGACGGAGAGGCGGAGAGAGAGCGAGAGAGCGAGAGAGCAAGAGTGGTTCGGAGGTGGCTGGTGGCAAGATGCAACGCCAACGTGGAGCAGAGGCGGTCGCTGATGGGCCGAACGATAAGGTTGGGTTCAACGAAGGAGCCAAATGGCTTGTAGAGTTGCTGCAGGTCGGAGAGGCTGGAGGGAAAAAGGCGTTGGCAGTTGGACCACCCGGATTTCCCCACCGGGATTTGTTTGTCGCTCTGGCTTCTCCTCTTCTTCGTCTTTTACTCCTCTTTGCCTTGCCGCTGACAGGGCTGATTCTTTCTCTTCTTCGTTTCACACTGCCTTTCTGACTGTACGGGCTGCTGTTGGATTACATCGCCTCTTCGTCTCTCCTTTTTCTCTTTTCTCTTTCCTTTCTCTCTTCTCCTCTCCTCTCCTCTCCCCTCTCCTCTCTCCTTGCATCTTCCATAATCTTCTCGGGTCGAGTACGTCTAGAGTCCCTCCTCCGCTTGCCGGTCCTCCCGATCCCCACCTGTGCCCAACCACCACTGACTCTTCCTCTTCTCCCTCCCCAGGTTATGTGGAATTGATTTCCTACGCCGTGGATTGTTCCTCATCGTGCACCATGGCCTGCTCCGCTCAATCCGTCACCATCGAATCCTACCCCGAGGCCAAGGACATGGCCTCCGCCTCCGCCTCCGCCTATGCCACCCCCGGCGAAGAGATGGCTCTCCTGAGAGACCGTCGTCGCAGACACTCCTTTCACACGGCTCGCAAGCTGTCCTGCGACTACGATGCAGACGCTGTCTTTCTACGGGTACACTCCGCCCACCTCTCCACCGCCAATGCTGTCCCCTGACTGACAACCGCAGGTGGAGCTCTTTCTCACCGAGCTCGAGCGACGCCTCCACTGGCTCGAACAATACCGCAAGTCCCACATGGATCAGATCGACGCCAGCCTCCGCCGTGGATATGCCACCCTCGAGGCCGTGCGGGATTCCTGCTCCCACGCCTCGGGGGAGCTCATGGGCGGCGGGAAAAAGCGGGCCAAAATCTTGGTCGAAACGCTCGAGGACCGCTACATGGACGCCCTGGCCACCAAGGAGACCCTCGAACAAAAGGCTCAGGCCGGCGTGCGCCTGATGGAGTCGTTCCTGGTCGAACTGGAATCCCGCGCCCACGCCGTCCGCGACCGTGGCATCTACGGTGCCATTGATGACGGCTTGAAGGCCATGGACTCGAAGCTGGTGCATGCCCGCGAGGTGGTTGACGAGGGCATGGAACGGGCTCGCCGCGCCAAAGACGCTCTACGGGAGAACATTGATCGCGCCATCCTGCTGGCTCAGGAACAGCGGTTGATCACATACGCGGATCTCCCGCACCCGTGGCGGGTGAACCCGCACATCCTGCAGGGGTACCGCTTCACCCACTCCAAGGTCGAATGCTTCACCTCTGTCTTTACCTTTTCCAACGAAATGTTCAACATCTGGTCCCACCTGATCGGCCTGTTCATTGTCCTTTCCATCGCCTTCTATTTCTATCCCTTGACCCCCAACTTCCACCTCAGCACCCAGACCGACATCCTCGTCGCTGCGGTCTTCTTCTTCGCCGCCTGCAAGTGCCTCGTCTGCAGCACCCTGTGGCACACGATGAACAGTATCGCCAGTCAGACTCTGCTGGAGCGGTTTGCCTGCGTTGACTACACGGGCATCTCGATGCTGGTGGCAGCGTCCATTGTGACCACCGAGTACACGGCCTTTTACTGCGAGCCGGTGTCCCGGTGGGTGTACATCCTGCTGACCATGTCGTTGGGCATCGGGGGTGTCATCCTGCCGTGGCACCCAACCTTCAATCGGGCCGATCTGGCGTGGGCCCGCGTGGCCTTTTACGTGTCGCTGGCGCTGACGGGCTTTGCCCCGCTGGCGCAGCTCACCTACACGCGCGGCTTCGCCTGGTGCCTGTACTTCTACGCACCAGTGGTGAAGAGCATCTTGGTTTACTTTGTGGGAGCGTGCGTGTATGCGTCGCAGGTGCCCGAGCGGTGGCGCCCGGGGTTGTTCGACTACGTGGGTGGCAGCCACAACATCTGGCATTTGGCGGTACTGGGCGGGATCCTGTTCCACTACTGTGCCATGCAGGACCTGTTTGCGGGGGCGTTCCAGCGGGCGCAGGGCGAGTGTCCGAACCTGGCCAAGTAGGTGTCTGGGGTGTAGACAAAAGGGAGTGTTAATAGACCATTTAGAGGTAGAGGATTGATTTTCTTTCTACTTTACTTTCCTTGACCCATATCGTTCTTGTACATAGTTTGCTGTGATTGTCATTTGACTAGACGAACATAGATCTCATCATCATCATCATCAGACATTCCCCCTTTGCATCCATCATTGTGTGGTCATTCTCCTCCCCTCTTCTCAACACCACCCCCTCCAACAAAAGACATTCAACCCCAACATCGAACCCCAACCCCAACCCCCAATCTAATTCCTCAAAACTCAAAACTCAAAACTTCAACCCCATCAACCCCGTCCCCTCCAAACACCCCACATACTCAGCCTCAAAATCCCCATCCCTCAACACCGCCGTCTCAACCCACAACTTCAACCCGCCCGGAAACATCACCCCTCCAGGCCCATACGCCTCCATAAACGACTTGCGGAGTTTCACGTGCGCCACGTTCGTCCTCCCCAAGTTCTCCATGTGGTCGAGGTCCAGGAAGTAGAGGAGTTGGATGTCTCGGGTTAGGGTTAATGGGTAGGTGTTTCTTTGGGGTGTGGTGGAAGAGGATGAGGATGAGGAAGAGGCAGAAGGGTTATAGCATGCTCTAGAGGATAAAACGCCCTTTTTGACACCCGCGTCTAGGGCCTGAGAAACCCATTCTTGGGCTAGGGAGTCGAAGTTCTCGGTCCAGTAGGATTTTTCGGTCTCTGAGGCGGCGGTGTGGTCTTGGCCTTCGATTACGAAGCAGAGGTTGTTGGGGATGGTGGTTAGGGTTTTTTTGCCGGGGATTATTTTGCTAGTATTCTCTGGTGATGAGGAGGGGGAGGGGTCATTGGTGGTGGTGGTGGTGATGTGGTCCGTTGAGAATGGACAAGTGATGTTCTTTTCGGCGATTCGGTCGGGATAACATCCCCAGTATCCGCTTAGATTCGGGTGTAGTTCGATCTTGCCCATGTGCATGCATCCTGAGGGCGTGTTGTGGTTGGAGGCGCCTTGGATGCGGTCCGGGTGGATGGTCAGGGCTTCGCGGTAGATGCCGGCCGTGTCGGGGAGGGTGGAGAAGAAGGTGGTTACGGCTGGGGAGGTGGACCAGGTTTGGTAGGAGGTGGTGGGCCAGTAGGTGAGGTGGATGGTGGAGGTGGAATTGGAGGTCGGGGAGTGCTGGGTTAGGGTTTCGGTGTGGGTGAGGAGAGAGTCGGTTTGGGCGGTGGTGAGGAGCTCATTGAGGGTGGTGATGAGGGCCGCTGGGGTGTGGGGTTGGGTGCCGATGATGGTGAGAGTGAAAGGGGTGTTTGGGGGGAGGGAGGCGAGAAACATCTTGTCTTTGTTTGGTGTTTGGTTTGATTGTGGTTGTAGTGGGAATTAAGTCTGCACCTGATGAGAGGAGTATAGCGTAAGGTAGGACAGAATGCAGGGTTGGAATCTCAGCCGCTTTCATTCCCGTCAAAGGAGACCGGGTGTTTATATAGACGGCAACGGATGCTTCCGCCCCTCTGGGGAGGGGCATTGTCAGAGATAGATGTGAAAGGGCTCCTTCGGGTGGTCGTGTTGTAACCCTGGTACTGGTAGACAGAGATGGAGTTCATCCACATCGTGAAGACACTAAGCCGACTAACCCTGGTCGGGCCATGCTAGATTCATCTGTCAGCAATGTCTGCTCCAATCGCAGGTCATTAAATGTCAGACTGGAGACAGTGGGAATATCTGTGGCTGCAATGCCACACCATGATTGGTTATTTCGTTAACTAAGCTCCGCAGTGAGCTGCATCCTACTAGGTAGCCATGAACACTCAGCTACCATCTGACATAGAGCAATGGAGGATGGGGGCTAGTATCTGATAAACGCTTCGCTGCGGAGCCTTTCTGTCTTTGACATCCTTGCTGGTACCATAATGTCTCGGTCGACTATCAGTTCACTGTATCTTCGCTCTTGAGGCATATTTGGTTATGGGAAAATCAAGACGAATGCTCTTTTCAAAAATGCCATGGTCGCATAGTAACTGTCTGTAGACTTCCGTACGGGCTGTTTGCAAGTCCCGAATATATATATTGTGCTGTCAATGTATTCGGTTGCTGCGGAACGAACGATAGGGTGGTCCCCTTCAGGAATCCTGGGACAAGGGTAATCTGAAGATATACTACGTTTGTCAGTAAAAAGTCCAAATGTGTTAGACATATATTTTGTATAGTGACAAGAGCAATCAGGTAAACATGACGTAGGGAAGAACAGACCATCATCCATCCTCATGCCAGCTCAGGCAGCCTGATTCGTCAGTGCGTGGCTCCCAATAGGGGAGATAAAGCTGCTATAACGTTAAAGATAGCTTGAGATGCTGCAACAGACTTCTTGTTATAACTGTATGCTGGAGTTCACTCTTCGACAACACTTCCCATATGGAGAGAAGGTAGTCCTCGTATCATTGATGTAGGGGTCCAATCAATGGAGCCCACATATATCTGGATACTAGAGTTACAGTGCTGGATAATATTGGATGAATCTTAGCATAGACTAACACTATTATATATGAAGAAGATGCCAGATGAGATGAAGACTCTCTAGGAGGAAGGCTACATCCCGGAGAGGAAAGGCGAAAGAATCAGGTGACCTATATACAATCACCAACGCATGCTGTCTAATTCAACTGTCTAGAATCATATTTTGGATGATAATGTTAGTTGAATGTCCTGGTTCTCATGTTAAGAGGTCTGATACAGCTCTGGGGGCTTACTACTCATGTGCCAAAGTCTATGGCTAGGGATAAAAATTTACTCACTAATTTGAGATCTTCTACGTAAAGCTCCCGGGAAAACTTACTGAACACTATTGAGCTTCGTGTGTTGATCTTCTGTAATAACATTTGCTTGCTATATGCTTGTGGTTGATTAATGTGGTGGGGGCTTTTAACCAAGAGCTATAGCAGAATGTGTATCCATCGAGTGAGTTCTCTACCAGGAGATATATCTTTTTCTATTACTGAACCCGGTAGTAGAGGGTAGAGAGATGGCATAGTCTGGAAAAGACAGGATCGGAGAAGAGACGAAGTTTAATGATAGAGTATGGGCAAGTTATTCGTGTGAGAAAGGGTTTATGGATACCATCCTGGGAGGTATGCACTGCCTTGGCATATCTTCCAGGTCCTCAAGATGACAAATATTCTTTTGGTATTCAAATGCAATAGTCCAGGTGGCATCCTTGATGTCAAACGCCCAAGCATGGGTTGTGGCATATGCTCCACTCACGTCTTAAACCTGAGTGGATGCAGGCCATCCTACGAAGGAACTTAAATCATCCTACCACAGCCTCGAAGAACGGGATGCCCTCCCACGCTAGGGATGGTAAACATCACATTTGTCAACAAAGTGTTCTGAGATGACTTCATGATACATGATCCGCTGGTATGAACACCCTGTCAACAGAGAAATAGAAGTCGGAAGTGATCGACAAAGTCGTACCTCGTACATTCGAGTAATGTCAATGGGCCTCTGGCAAGAGATGAGCACGGTTAGGCTGCGCGTCCAATGCACATCTTGCAAGGTGCATGGGATGAGGATATGCATGGGATCAGGAAGATCCTGGTCCAACTTTGCATCTGTTCGCATGACCTCTGCAATACCAGGTGGGGTCAACCACATCTCACATGCTGAGACAACCTCTAATTGGCGTGGGATTGCGCTTCAGGTGCCAGCTGATCAGGTTGTATACCCACATCACTCGTACCTTCGAAGCACCCCACTCACGTCACGCTGCTTGCGAGGCCAGGATCAAAGCAATGAGGTCCCAAGTGAGCATGTGTAGAGCTGAAAATTAGACGACTTTAATGATAGACAGCCGATACTGGCCGTTGTCCACTTCTGTTATCCACCCGGAAAAGGGTTAGACATCTCACTGGCGGTAAAACAGGGATTGCTGTGACAGTGCCTCTATCCATGCATCTGTGTCCTTCGCTTGCAAGCTCATGCTGCCATCGCATCCTGTTTTCAAGAACCATCAACGTCACCCACCCAGGTCCTTTCAACCGACTACCTTAGACTCGGTGAGTTAATCCTGGCACTGCGCCACATTTGTTCACGTTGCAGTAACAGTCAAACTACCTGAAACTCCGGAGATGTAATTGTGGGATTGCCCAACGCCTCGACGCCACGGGCAGACCCACCCTGGTTGCCTTCAGGTTGCCTTGAGAGACTTGCCTGTGGGATGCCGCCGTTTTTGCCATGTGGGAAGGTAGCCTCGGGAAAGTAGGCCCATTAAGTGGGAACCATAAGGCTGATCACGGCATATCTGGATGGTCAAGTTCCGGTGAGTGCAACCGATGCTTAGAGACCCCAAGTCACTGGAATATGCTCACGATGAGGGCTCTATCGAAAAGCAACAAGCACCAAAAATATGAAAAGGATCTCGTGATTACCATGATCCTCGTATAGTCGTTATGCTGGGTCCCCCACGAGGATTGAGAAGAGCCAATATAGTTTCATTACGACAGGGAACCAAAAACCCGAGCACCTGTGCAGCGTGCTTTCTGTGAGCGTCGGAGTCCTCTAATACATTATCCTGCTATGATTTTCCCTGGTTGCGCCTGTGATTGTTCTTTTACATCCCTGCTTATCTTGCTCTGTCTTCACATCCAGTCAATGGGAAATCCGGAGTGCCATGCGGGTGGCCGTTGCACTTCCACGTCTCGCTAAGCCGGTGTTTCAGCTGTCATCTGGGTTGAGAAACCTAAATTTGGTATACAGCATCCCACCAGTATGATCATGTGTGAACCATTCGGGTCACGCATGCACCGTACATCAATCCTGGAGTGGATCGACCAGTCCTATTCAACGTCATTACTGCATACCTTGCTTGTTAGGACCCACAGCGCATCATTTCGTCCGTATCCACTGTTGGTGGCCCCTCCTGCCCAAAGTAGCATGTAACGAAGGCGGACAACGGACTTACAAAGGTATGTCACAGAACTAGAGAGATCAATCTTTGGGTGGGATGATAACGGCATAACGCTTGTTCGTTGTGCACCAGGGCCAAAGCCACCTGCAGAATCAGATCTAACCTCTGTTCATAACTGGTCTTGATGGCCTGAATAGGAAGCAGTATCCGAGTTAGATGCTTGCTAGGACAGAACATCCCACCCTCATGCTCGAGCTTTTGGCTAGGGCATGTTAGTGCAGCTTCATGGCAACCTCCAGCCATACTAATGAACGTATCCTGTGCTAAATTGGCAATTTCCCCACTGGTTCAGGGTCAAACTTCGCAATACCAAAAGTCCATGCCGGTACTGCCAAAATACTAAGCGGATATGCCGGAAGACGCAGTCTAGAGTGACAAACCTTTCGCAACAGACCTCAGTCGGCTACCAGATACCGAATGATGAGTATGTTTCACTCGCCTCAAGGATCATAGTCGTTCTAGCCCTTGAATTTCCAGGATTTGGAAAGAGAGAACACACCCGATATGATCCCTGGTTTCCACTCAAGGTTATACGACAGTCAAGAATTTGTCACATATCCTTGAGTTCCTACATGCATGACAAGGAACATGCTTATGCCGGGTGATGACAGTGCATCCCGTCGCGCATGTATAAAAAGCAAATGACTCATTCCATGTCGCGGCTTGAGCCGACGCTCCAAGGGCCCAGCCTCGTGGAGAACTCAGGCTGAGCATACCTTTGCGACATAATCTTGGCAGCTTGCGGAAGCGAATACGAATGTGAATTAAACTCCGAGAGACGAAATGGTGTCCCCTGCTTCGCAGCGTCTGTGTGACTCCATATAGACTGGGCGGCAGAGCTCTAGCTTTTTCGTCCCTGAAAAAGAAGAGGCCGTAGGTTCCGAAGTGCTCCTGCGTGAAGGATTTCCGGCTTAGACCTAGCTCTCCGTGAAATGAAGATTAAACGCGGATCCCTGCCAAGGCTGTCCATGATCCGAGCATACCTCTGGGAAAAGGGAGGAAAAAAGCAAAAGTGGTTGGCTTATTGACGAATGCCAACAGGCCAACGGAGAACGCCGGCTGGCAGTCATTCACATTTCCGATGAGGCCTCATCAGCTGCTCGCGTCACCCTCGTTCTTGGTGCCTGACGTAACTAATTTCTGGCGGCTGTTTCAGCTGTCCTGCGCATGAGGGACGACTGCTTGTCATGCTAATTTTGTGGCGGCCGGAAGGGGCTGTACAGGGAAAAGAGTTACGCCGAATAACAGGGGTAGGTGAAGACGGGGAACACTCAATTCCCCGGAATTCAACCAGGCTGTTTCATGCATTCGTCCTAAATCCTGCCTAAGGCTTCAGTGAAAAGAGGATCAGCGACGTGCAGTTGCGGTGCCGATACTTGCCGCATTGGCTGCGAACACCAGATCTCACGGCCTGCACAATGTTCAGGGCGCAGCCAGCTGAGGGTTGTGTCTCTCCCCTTCCGGTTCCGTACTTTTAAGGCTCGGCCGCTGCCATAGTTCGGCTCGGTTCGAGACATGGCAGCTCTGACCAGCAGTCCACGCGGGAGGGTAAGCTTGACTGACTCGAAGTTTGATTACCATGTTTCTTCGGGTTTGTCCTCCGGTGGCTGGTCCAGTAGACCTGGCAACGACGTATCGATTCCTTGATCCAAGTTACTTGGAGTCATCCCAGGACGCATCCCATAGTACCTGCCACTCCACACCAACGTGAACGGCCAAGGGTGGCCCATGTAGGCCGGATTTCTTGCCGAATGAAAGCAGAACGAAAGATAAGGTTGCTGGGGCCAGGAGCTTGGACCAAGTGTGCCTTGCAGGCGCGCAGTGAAACCAACCCCCGTGTCCACGACCAGGGGAAAGAAAAGTAAAAAATTATTGACATTATTATTCACTTGGCTCTTCAATAAATTCGTATATCCCCTCAATCCTGTGGCCGAGCTCCGTTGCACTCGCATCACCGGAATGCGGTCCGGTCCTAGGACGTGATGAATCAATAGCACTGGCGGAGTTTCCCTATGGATACCTATCCCCGCGGACTGGCGCAATGACAGACCGTTTTTGGTCCATCGTCCGCCGGCGGAGATATCCGCAAGGGCGCTGTCCTATTCGGGGGAGTCGAAAGTGGAAAGCAATCGGCCCGGTGTGCTTGAAAGGCTCAACGCTTTATGAGAGAGACCTTGAGCCCCTTTTCGGGATGCTTCTCCGAGGATCCCTTAGATTGCCAGGCACCGTTTCCCCCCTCTCACCCTGGTAGCCGTTCATAGTCTCCTTTAGGCTGTGCAACGGACCCGACGTTCTGGTAAGCCATGCGAAGGAGGCAGCCGGACTTCCGCCAGCTCGGCGGATCTAGCGTTAGTTGCCAAATATGATGATTAGGTCCGTGGATTGACGCAGGGTACTTTCGACGGTACTCCGTGGTTTGCCATTATTTACGGTAGTGTCATCGTGAACCGTGATTGTCGAAGCCAAATTTAGAAAGTGACAATTGCTTTTATGCGCATCCTAATTTCTTATCGCGCGGCGTGGACGCCCATCCCCTTTCTGACTGGTCCAACGGGAAAAGCAAAGATGACAGAGCACTGGCCAGCTGCAATCTCTAGGGAGAACGAGGCTTGGTAAGAATGCTCCTTTTCAGCAAGCATGTAGTTGATCGTTTGATTAAAGGGACATCGCTCAGTAAAGCTGGGGATGTAAGCATGGCCGGTAGATAGGCCGTGACAAGCAGGTATGCGAGCGCATACGGATCAAGTTCGGGGACAATCAGTAATCCGGACAATGCCTGGCTAATTTGGGATTTTCTTTTTTTCTTTTCTCTTTTTCTTTTCCATTTTTCTTTTCTTTTTTTTTTTTTTTGGGCAGCAGAGCGGATGGAAAGAAAAAATACAGTCTCTTCTAATCCAGTGGAAAATGTTCTCGTGTCTGATGACGAAGCTTTGAGATTAAGGACATTGCGAATTCCTTACCTGACTGGGAGCCCTACACACTATGTAAAAGAGACATTGTCACCTGCAGTCTTCATAGTGACCGCATTGTCTGAAATGCAATAATGCCGTTGATTCCTCGGAAATTCCAAGACCGTTAGTGGATGGTGTGGTCAATCCTATCTGGATGCAGTAAGGACAAAGGAAGGTGAAAACAAAAGTAATTATCAAGATGCAGACGTGTGGGTGAGAGAAAACGAAGCCCAAAGTCCGCATCCCCTGGGGCAGTGCGTGATCGCTTGGATGGGATCGACCACGTTTTGTCCACATCGGTGAGGTCTCAGGCGATCCTTAACGGTCTGCCTTCGATCCCTTCTTACTCTGGCTGCTCCCCCCATCTCTAGTCCGAGAATGGTTGGACCTTGACTATGACATAGCGCGTGTGGGAACAGGGAGTGGGCTGGCGGCCAAAGGGGGGCGGAGGCAATGGTCTAGATTTCTGAAAACCGTTCAATCGTGGGCAGTACAGGCTGACGGGGGCGTTTCAGCCCTCAACCCCTATCCGATGACGACTGCCGTTGAACATCCGCTATGACCAGTTTAGTTTGGCGGCCTTTAGATCCAAAGTGCATACCGAATCGCCGGTTATGGTGTTTCTCGGCTCATGTGCCCGATGTAGGCCATGCTGATGATCGTTCATGGGTTCCCCAGAATGTCCTTGCTGTATCCAATGGTTCACGAACCAAACCTTGGGTCACACCTTCCACCCTAGTGCTTACCCGGACAATCATCGTCTCTAATTGCCTAAGGATTAGGGTGAATGTGACTAAATCCGTCCTCGGGTCCGTGGCATGGTTCTCGGCAAACCCTAGATCGAGGATGCGCAGCTATCCGGACTTGCAGGGCAGTCTCATCTCGATCAGTGGCTGATCTTGACTAGTAGTCCCAACCGTTCCTTGGAAAAGGCCTAGTTAGTCAGATATACACGACTCCGAAGCACAATCCCACCGAAGATCTCTATCTGCCTGTGTCACTTACTGACTTCATTTCTGGTGTTTCCCTCCCCTCTCCGGACCCTTTTTCGAATTTTCATCTTATCATTTCCGTCCTCGTCCGTGGCTGTTCAGCTTTTTTGGGTACTTCCAAGGCATCTACCTATCCTTATTCCCTGGTTTCAGTGCTCAGCAACGGTGAGGCTTGGAAGTCAGGTCCATCGAAAGGTATATAGGGACAGCATCCCTCCCACCTTTTCGTTCGAACTCACCAACAAACCAAGCTTTCGATATCCAAACCACACCACTCTCAGGACCAATCGTCCACAATATTCAAGTTGCAATCCGCACTCTAGAGACTTATACCTCTCGAACCGCACTGCCATCACAGCAAAAACGACCATCTATCACCATCCTCGAAGCTCATCTCTCGAAACATACCCTGTTATTAAGACAACGAGCACCAAAGTCCAATACTCATCATCATGTCTTCCGGAAACAAGCAGACCTCCAAGTAAGAATCATCCTTTGTATCTCAAAATTGCTGTACTCATTCTTTCCCGACAGGTCCTCCAACGGTATGGGTAGCAGTCTCAGCGCAGGAAATCTGAGCCAGGTCCCAGATGGAAGCAGCGGCAGCATGGAACGCTTTGCGCAGTCATCCCCGGCCGATGGGCCTTACTATGCTCGGGCACGGATGGGAGATCGCTCAGAGCACGTGTCACGTCTCTCGAGCCAACTCGACGCGGCAGATCAGATCCTGAAAAAATAAACCGAAGCCGAAAGGTATCAACAAAGAAAAAAAATCGAAAAGACATCACCATTATGCGAAACTATTGATGGGACTGTGGAGGTATGCTGTTGAGTGAGTTCTAGGAACGGGCAGGTGAAGATGGAAGTGAAGGCGAAGGCAAAGCCTCTGGCCAGGCAGGCGCTAGACCCACTCAGGAGCCATTGCTCCTTCCAACCATGGACAAAATTGAGGCGTTTTTTTATAGAGGGCGTATAGATGTGACATGGCAGCGCTAGACGCGCCGCCTTTTATCCTTGACAATGCAGATACCCGGTCTCCTATGTATTTTATCTAGATACTTATGTCTACCCAGCTTTTTCATATGTGAAGTAGGTCTATGAATGCCAGGAACTTACAGATCAGTGATGAGACTTGTAATTGATCACGAAAGGTTTTATGCTCCCAAGATTGGCCTTTATCCTTACCATAGAGCTTGAAAGACAACGCAGGGCAGCTTTTACTAACATGAAGCAAAGCCTTCCGTAAATCATAGCACATCTCATGAGCGGAGAGCAGGGAGTGGAGATTTGTCTACTAAGCAACACTAACATACAGAGCTCAATTATACACTGCGGTACTTGGGACAGCCAAGCCATGGATTCGAGCAGTCAGCATCACACTCGGCAATTCCTGCACCGCCAGGACTTCGCCAGTCCGGCTCAGGAAGCTTGCCATGGTGCATATATTCCCGGAGTATCTCCCTGGTGGAGTTGCTGGGTGCCGCGAATAGTGCTGTATGACCATAGGAATGCTGTTTGACCACAAGTGAATTCGGATGATGCTCGGCCATAGAAATGGCAGCAGCGAGTGGAGTCACGGGATCGAACTCGCTCGAAAGGAAAAGCAGAGGTGCATTGGGTCCAGTTTCTGTGCCTGGTGGAGGGGTTCGAAAAGGACCGTGAAATGCCCATCTGGCTCGGTAGGGCCAGCCGGCACACTGCGCATAGAAGGTTGCCCATAAAGAGCCAATTGATGGCGATTCAGCTACCATTTGTTGTATGTAACGTGCCAGTTCTTCAGCAGTTGTATTGCGAACGTCCACTCGGTCTCCGCAGATGACTGAGAAGCCAGTTTCCATGGCTGCATAATCCCAGTACTTAACTGGGTCTGAGCCCCCTATAGCATCATCACAGGGTGCATTTCGAAGAGCGGCTGGGCCTACAAGCTCCGGATTGTTGTTGACTATATCTGTGTACTGGCCTCGTGAAAGCTGGTCGAGGTCCTCTGCGACCAATGGGAAAAAGATGACCGGTGAATAGCATGGGGTCAAGTAAAGCTGTTGTAGATCTGTCAGTGTAAAAAGAGTAAAGTTATTTTCCTGAATAACTGGCACAGGGGCTTCCTTCATCATGTTGAATATCAATTGGATTGAGTTCCTGATATCATCCGGGCTGGCATACCCAAGCTTGTACAAGGCACAGGATTCTTTCGCCTCGAAGCAGGTATTATAGAAGTGATCCACAACCTTTTCGGCATCCTGAAGGAAGCCACGAGGCCAGCGCTGTGTTATCAATAGGTCAGGTCGGTAGCTGACGGCATACCTTTACGGGCCGGATGACTTACCGTGCCAGTGAATGCATAACTGTCAACCACACCATCCAATATCATCCTCTTGACTTTGTCCGGAAATAGAGATGCAAATGTGTTTCCAAGGTGTGTCCCATACGAGAACCCAAGATACTGTATTTTGGCAACAGAATCCGCCGATAACAGTTCTTGATCGCGATGAGTGTTCTGTTCTTTCCGTTCACTCTCAACCCTGTCCACTATCTCCAGCATATCTCGCGCCACTGCAGCCGTCGAAACATGCTCAGCAAAATCATGCTTTGAACTCTTGCAAAATCCCCCACACGCCCTCGCTGCAGCTAGATGCGCCTGGATTGCAGCTTGACTAGAGCCATCCAGATTGCCCATTATTCTCTTTTCCCACTTCCACGGTCCTCGTGCAAAATCCTTGCCTTCAAAGCAGTCCAGGCTGGGCGTGCTCTGCCATACTCCCCGCGGGTCGAATGAAACGAGCTCATATTTGTGATCTTCACCATCCACCAGCTGTTGTATAAATCTGCCGGCTCGAAGTACCATCTGAGTGCCGGACTGTCCAGGACCGCCAGGGTTGCTGATGAGAGTCCCCCTAAATCGAGGATCTGTTGTTGAAACGGTGGCGGGGCGTTTGATTATGGCGATTGCGACATTCCGTGGATCTGAGATATTCTTCCGGGAGAAGCAGTCGAGCGCAGTAATACCCATCGTAACAGGGATAATATTCCAGTTCGGGAGATGGTGGAACGTCGGACCAGTTGAAAAGGGGTAGAGTCTCTGAGTGAGGCTCCATGAAAGGAATGATAAACGCCTGCACTCGGCAGATGAATCAAAGAATGGAGAGTTTAGAATTAAAAATTGCGAGGCTCATCTTGCCGTTGCTGCTGCACCTTCTAAAGGTTTTTTTGCTTCGTTCATTAATGTGTCGGATAGACACCTGTGCCATACCCTGGGATGAGAGTGTCACGATAATAGTTGGCATATGTTATCTCTAGCCAATATAAGTACTGGCTCCACGTGAAAAGACCCCTGTTCATTACAAAGTTCAGTAGCTGGTCATAGATAAGAGGTTCCTGGAACGTACTATTTGATACCAAACAGAAGATAACTATAGAAAAAATATCAAATCATAGTTCTCATTATACATGAGATACCCTTCCTCCAGAGACTGTTTATGCTGATAATGGACCGGTAATATAGATTTTCTTTCTCTCCCCATTCTATAACTTAAATATGAAAGATCCCGATCTTTCACCATGAGCCTATGGATCCTACCTCCCGTAAGCCGGAGGCATCCTGCGCAGGTCATGTCATGTATGACGCCTACGCCTATATAAAGGGGCTTGGGCCCGATGTTTAGCTTCGAATCATGATAGCTTGAACACCACCGTTTCTCTCAAGTGTCTCTGAGTCCAGAGTATCCCAGAATGTTGGTAACCATACGAACCACTAGGGACAGGACTTTTATGTGAAGCTTTGTCCTAGGTTCTTCAACTTTCGCGGTTCGACTCCTACGTATTAAATGGAGAAACATGGCTATCACTACAGCATTATTCACTGATTTTAATATACAAACATGTGCAATGCTTTCAGACACATTGAAGACAGGGCTAAGAACAACGAAGGCTGAGGGAAAATCGATAGACACTACATCGGATCATGTTACGGGTCATCAGGTTGCAATTCCTGAAAAACCTTCTCCAGGTTTTCAAGGCCCCCAATAACATCATGGAAGAAGGCTTCCTGAAGAGCAGGACTCGTGAAGTCGCTGTCATGTCCAAAATCGCAGTGCAGGCATTTTTTGATAATCATCCTGAAACTTTTGCTCACCTTGCGACAGCTATAGTCTACTAACCTGTGCGCTGTGAAATAATCTGCAAACCCCGGTGTCTCTCCTTTCATGAGGTCGACCGGCTGTTGGAGATTTCTGAGGGGAGCTTGGTATGCAAGTTCGAGGAGCATGACACCTAGTCCGAAGAGAACCGGATTACGGATGATATGCTGGTACTCGGACGGTTGGGACTGGGATTGCATCGAAGAGTTTGATGCTCGAATAGAGGTGGACATATATGGTAGGATGTTTTGTGGCTGCTGGAGCAAGGAATCGGGAGCCCCGAAGAATTGAACGTCGTCGCTGCGCCATGCTTTTCTGAGCCATGGGGTAGCATGGTAATAGAGAACAGCGGTGGCAAGATATCTGGCTAGTCGGACACACTCATACAGACCCATCCCTTTAGTAGGGTCGGCCCCTGATAGTGTTATCAGCTTGGAAAGTGACATAGACATAGTTGTTTGGTTGGTCTGATTGCCCATATATGCCAAATGTTGATAGATTTGGTTGCCACCAAGTAACCCAATGCAATCATTACATTCTCGCTGTTGTAAGGACCTCTCGACCACGGTGCAGAAATTCCGCTGTAGATAAAGATTTGGAATTCCAGTGATAGGTTCTTCGGGGCACCGTGACTGTAGGGGCTCGGACAAAAGCGTGGGTAAAAGCTGGAACTGTACACGTTTACTGCATGCTTGTGCCTCCTGAAGTTGCCTTGGTCGTTTGAGAGAGGAGGGCCCCCGGGAGACTGATGTGAGCACTGTTTGAGGACTCGGCTCGAAAGTTTTTATGGTTGATTCCACGTCAATCCAGACTGCCTCCCCGGGTGCCATGGGATTCCGAACAAACGCCACGTTAAATCGCGCCCGGGTTAATGTCCCATCGAGGTCTGGTCGCAGAGATATATGCACATCGTGAACAGTGTGTGCATTACAAGCTGTTCCTAAAACATCGTAGAGGTTGCAGGCAACTTGCTGAACAATACGGAAATGCTGGAATTCACGGCGACATCCAGGGTTCCTGGCTACTTTTGACTCTTTAGATAGTCGAGACTGCTTTGGTTGGGGAGTCAAAGACGTAAAGACCTGAACTAGGGAAATTAGATCTTCTACGGTGTCCTGAGTATAGGCTGGATTAGTAGGAAGGGGTCGAGATTGTCTATAGGTGTCTCACCTTGAGTGTATCTGCGACACTCCTTGGCTGCACTTTTGCCTTGGTAGCAACAGGAAGACGCCTTGTAGCGTCTTCAATCTCTTCCAGCTTTGTTCGAATTGCTATAGTAACTTCTAGGAGAACCTTGCTCGACAAATCGGGGGAATGGTTGAGAGGACCCGATGACGGCATGATTTCCACATTGCTTGAGAAGATGACGCGCTGGGTTTTCAGTGTGCTCTTGAGATCAACGTCTCGAGGCAGATACTTTCGGTGTTTTCTGAAACCGGTGAGTGCAGCCTTGAAGTTCCTATCGATTGTCGGCAGAACTATGATGATTAGGTTCAAGCTGAATGGTTTAGAAGGGCAAGAATTACCTCGCGATAAGTCACCATCGCCGATATCATAATTCTTCTGTGAATTGTATCCTTCATCCTGATAGGTTGATTGAGAGGATGCTGCTTGGGAAAGAGTAGTATCGAGGTGACAGCAAGAGCCTGTCCGCAGGGTGTCCGTAGGCTGTTCGTCCCTTCTTTCATTGCGATCAATAGCTGCCCACTGTTAGAGCAGCGACTTCATACACGCAGCAGCTGTTCCAGCTGTGTACTTCTGCCATACTTTATCATTGTGACTATCAGCATAGTCACAAACTCCCTTTACCACAATACATGGCAGATTGTTACAAATTCCTGCACCCTCCATCTCAAATGCGATCACATTCTCTTCAGCGGCAATCTTGTCTCGGTCCACGCCAGATTTCATGACCGTGTCTCCTGAAGCTATTCGCCCGAAGTGAATATCGATGCCATTCGGAGATGGACGCGAACGAACAACCAATCTCCTCGTGTCACATTTCAACTCTTCACATAAGGTCTCCTGGGCTTGTTTGCAAAGCTCGTTCTTCTTGCACTTCCAACACCTCGCGGCGTTGTGATGCTTATGATGGTAGGTTGGCTTGAAAAGTCTGTCTAGCCTTCTCGCAGGGCAGCGATAGTCGCCAGTCCTGTCTTGTAGGGTAGTGAGATGGCGGTGAGTTTGGTTTAGTAAGTGTTCACGACCCTTTTGACCTTTCAACTTATGCAAGAAGGCCCGTATTTCGAGGTTCACAGGAGAATTAGTTAATGCCTCCTTGCGATAGAACCCCCCCGGTAACCTCCTGCCTAGATCGTATATCACGATCTCATCACTGATTACTATGTCACCAAGAAATATCCCCTTCTCAGTTCCACCTGGAACCCCACCGCAAATCCCAACAAGCAGGGCAAGTCGGATACCCTGGAAGCTGGACCGGAAGCTTGCTGCGACGCTTGCTGCATAACCTTTTCCGATACCAGGCATATATGCCAGCACGACATTATGATTGCCGATTACCCCAGTTCGATACGTGTTTTGGTCTCCTGGCGCCTTTCCGTATTGATCGCCAGCGTCATCCCAGAAATGGTCGAAGAGTGCCTCTGCAGCGTCAGCTTCCAACTGCAGCGCGCAGATAATCGCGACATCGAAGTCCCTCCGGTCCTTTGGTGGCAATAAAACTGCCATGGCCATAAGTGTCTGTCAGCGGAATAACATGGTAGGTTGATGGAAACCGGGGGGGTTCTCGTTGAGGTTTCTTCGCGGGTTGAATGTAGAATGTAGAATGGGGCGGAGTCAGCCTCGCCACGGCAATTCGGCCTCGCTTCACCAACCTCCCAATCCGAGCCCTTCCTGACACTCGGAATGACTTGCCGTCCATCGCCGAGAGCATAATGAAGACAAGAAAGGAATCAACGAAGTTGCTCACTGACTGGGTCATTTCCAGAATTGATCACAGCATTCAAGATCCGAACGTCGGCTTTGTCGAAACACTCTACCACACATGCTCAACCGCCCTCAGCCATCTATGGAAGTGTCAATTTCGATTTATACCGTATGGCCCGCGCAAGAACACCTTGAAGAAGGATGTAGCGAATCTTCGGCTATGGAGAGAAAACTTCCCTTCCGGTTGTCTCGATACCATTCTGGAACAATCAGGGCCCCTGAAAACGAACGTGGTCGAAAATATGGAGCGGATTGGCACCATTTTGATGCCTTATTTTGCAACTTGCGACGGAATGACAACCAGTGCAGAGAGCGAGAGCAACTCTACACAGGATCTTATACAGGAACTTGGTGCCCAATTAGAGAAGGCAGCAATAATGCTTTCGGCAGAAGACAGGTCTAGCTCATCTTCGGATGACGATGCATCCGACGATTCATTCTCAACCAGCGAAAGCGAGCAGAATCGCTATGGACGCCTCCACTGCTATGTCAACTGCTTGATGGATGTCGCACCAGTGATTGAGAGACATCTGTCATATTTGCAGCATAGAGTGGAACCACCCTCTACTCATATCGAGAATGTGTTTAGTTTATCTCAGAGTGCGCAGCCATTTGCTATGCGCATCAGAGACCGGTTGGCGTCCCCCAGAGTGATTATTGTCCTAATCTAATGGTCGGAACAGATTTACTAATGCACCAACTTTTCTGGTGGAGTGACTAGCAGAGGCCAACTGGGAAAGGTCTATACGCATCAGAACGCACGAAGAAGCTCCTTCTGAAGAGGACCACCCCGCGAATCTTGACACTCAGACCTTGTTCAAGCCCTACTCCCTGTTCCATGACTCTGGTCTGGGAATATTTGTTCCTACAAGGTCGCAGTATGCGGCCTCTCATACATCTTTTCTCTCAATTACCGGGGAAGAGGCTCACGGTCGCCCTCGGGTTCCTCCTCTACCACGGGAGGGCGGACTCCATTTTCAATGCGACTATTGTCGAAAGACTATCTCTATACGAAACCGAATTGAGTGGAAGTACGTATTTGAGTGCGCATGGTAAGGTAGAGCTCAACCGTAACTGACTGAGTAGGATGCATGTTTTCAAAGACCTACAGTCGTATCTCTGCACACATGCCGAATGCAAAGACGCACTAAAGACATTCCGAAGCCGTAAGCTATGGGCGGACCATGAACTCAATGAACACTTTACTCAAGCGCAGTGGCGCTGTTTCACGTGCAATATCACCACCGTCAGCCAACAGCTGCTGGTCGACCATTGGATTAGAAGCCACAACATCACACTGGCTGGGCACCGTTTGAGAGCAGCAATCTCCGAATCTAAAGAGCCTGTCTTAAAGCCAGACTTCAAGGATCATGAATGTGCATTATACTCGCAGGCTGGTTGGCAAACGATGAAATCGTACGCAACTCACGTAGGACAACACCTGGAGGAAATATCACTGGCATGCCTTCCGAGAGGCGAAAGTGATAGTAGCGACAATGACTCAAATACGGACACCTCAGGCAGCTCAAAAAAGACTGGGCTACACCATCCCTATAACGTGGACAGTCATGAAGCCGACACGAATCCTGGGGGTGGAGATAATCAAGCTAGACAGTCTCCGGGTGCCCCATCCACAGTCATCGATAGTACGATTCATACATCGACGCAGCACCTCTCTGGGGAAAAAAGCATTGAGGCGTATGCGCAGAATTTAGCTCTTGCGCATGGAGGCCTTAAAGGTGAGCCATCGAACTCTCAGACGGCTCGGTCTACAATACTACAGGAAGGGCCTCATACCCCTGACGACAGTCAGGTCACAGACAACTATAGCAAGGAGAGGCCCTATGTCTGCTGGGTTCCTGGCTGCGAACGTGCCTTCTCGCGCAAGGGCAACCTGAACAGCCACTACAAGACCCATAACAAGCGGGGCGGACGTAACCGCTATGTTGCGACACTCGACGAGACCTCCATAGAATACAATCCCAACTATCGTGGACAGCTGACACCGGATGGGCGCCCTCTCCATGACTCTAGAGCATCGACTATACCTGTTCATGAACGATCACAGTATTCCAGCTACTGGTCAATTGCTGAACAACGCGATTTTCCTATGCTGTTGTCCCATTTCGGACGGGACTTCGAAGGCATATCTAACTATATGAGGACTAAAACCCCAGTCATGGTAAGATCCTTTGCTTCTAGATTTCCTTCTCCATCTCATTATTTTGGGATTGTCCGTCTGACATTGCGGATGTTATAGATCCAGAATTACTTCCAACGGAGGGTCGACTCTGGCAATAAAGACTTCGAAGGAATCGTCGCAGAGGCAGAAGCTAAGAAGGCACGCGGTGAGCCAACAGGCCCGCTTCCAGTTCCCAATGCGGCACTTCAGCCGCAACCCAATATGAAGCAGAATTCTCAGGGATGACGCGCCATCGACCACTTGATGATCGCTAGTCTGAATCATCAAACATTGATACATGTAGATACTCATCTACTTCAAGTCTACTATGAATGTCTTTGGGGAAAGTCTCGAGTCCGTCACTTTCAACACGTTCTGTTTCCATGGCACAAGGATCAGAATGCAGCATGTGATAATTAATACTCTAAGCATCTCACGACTTACCAACTCGACTAAAATCCATGGATAGGTGCTAGTCAGTCCTTTCATGTCAGTAACTATAACTGAGTAGTCTATCAAGTGATCTATACTGTAATAACCTGGACCAACAGAGCTCCTTATAAAAATAAGAAGCGTCAACCCAGTAAAGCGAAAATTCGTAAACAAAAGTCCACCCAGCCCGTATATAATCAGTTAAATGCCACAAAACAGGTGTAGTAAAATGTCGCAAGATTAGAAAAGAAAAAGACGTATATCTCTATGTCAGTCCATCAAGCCAGAAATTCCATCACGTATTGTGCCACTTCCTCGTATTTGGTACTCGGAAATTCATGGCCCGCATCAAAGAATCGGAAGCTTGCATGTCCTTGGAGTGCTGCTGTGGCATCAGGGACAACCTCGTCTTTGATGATGACGGCATCGTTGTTCCCACACATGATAAGAACCTTGTCACTCGGCAGACCATTCGTACGCTGTTCGTCGAGCGAAAGGTCCTTCTGTCCGGAGAGGTATCGTCCAAGACGTTCCCAGGTATCCCGTTGCCGCTGCTGCAGGATCGGTCCATGTCGCATACTGGACATGAAAGCATGCACGAAGCCAGCATGTTCACCTACTTGCCATTTCACAGCATTAGGAACATTGACGTGGGGGTATGTCCGGGACAACCGTTGGACTTCAGCCGCACCCTGTGTGGGTAATTCCTCGGCGAGCGCATCCTCGGCACTGATCGTCTTAGACTTGGGCTTCGGACTAGTCAGCGGACCGGCGCGGAGACGACGTCCAACCAGGAAGCCGAGCACACGTTCTGGAACGAGGCCACGAGAATAGAGAAGCCGCGACTGAAAGCTGATCTGGGAGTCACGGATCAAGCCTGCTGGTGCAAGCAGTACTAGCGAAGAGAGTAACTGAGGGAAGTATGATGCGAACGAGGCAGCTATACCACCGCCTAGGGAGTAGCCCACCAGGCAGAAACGATCTGAACCGGCTCCAGTCCACGAAAGAGCAGATGAGCTCAAAGCAAGCAGGATCTGAGTCGTAAACAGTCTGTCGTCTTGGGGAATGTCGGATGGGCAGTCAGAGTAGCCTCTGCCGAACCTAACCATGCCTGTCAGTCATTGGGTCTCTTTAGTGTAGCCGCGTTACCTACAGGTCGAACAACATGACTCTACAGCCCCGGTCAGCCAAGGCATGGGCCAATCCGCCCAGTGCGATACAGGGAGTTGTAATCCCGTGAACCAAAAGGATCTTAGGTCCGTCCTCCGGCCCCCATTCGTATACGCGCATAGAGCCATACGGAGTTGAGACGTCCCGGGCTCCCGGGAGGACGTCCGTCGGCAGAGGATGCTCGCGGCTCACTGCATCGGACACGGACAGGATATTCTTGCGCGGGGAATCAAGTACCGTTGTCTCCAGCTGTGGGTCCGAAAGTAGTGAGCGGAATAAGAGGCCCAGAGTGAAGGAGGCCCCGGTCACGGCCAGCAGGGGAAGCTGGGTTCGGGTGTTGCCCAACGAATCGGACAGGGTCTCGATGGTCTGGCTGTACCAGGCCATGTCTATGGTCTATATGAGGTGTTTATTGTATGATTGTAAACTACAGGGGAGAGACGAAACGAGGGAATGATGCCCACCAGTTTATACTGCGGAACAGGACAAAAGAGCGATGGGAAGTGAGAGTGAGTCGGTGAGGTTGGCGGGTGGCCAGTTTTGGGCAAGGCCGGAGATAAGCGATAAGCGATGGTCAGGCGATAAGGACCTGCCGAGGCTGTTCTTTTCTCCCCGCCTCACTCACCTTCACTCTGTGACTCTCGATTGGTGTGCTGGATTACTGCTCAGCTGACATTCACTGAAATGCTTTGATGATCATATTCATAATTCTCAGAATAAATTCTTGCCAGAGAGGATTTTTACGATCATCCATTCGAACAAGATGCTCAGAATGAGCATCGCCGAAACATATATCTGTACTCTTATTAAGTATTGACAATTAACACATCGAAGCACTGAGCGTGGGTCGATTGGCTCTTGATATTTTAATACTAGCAAAACACTCCTATCACTGACTTGATCTATACAGATCATCGTGCAGGTTTCTCACTACCTACAAAATTAATGGGTAATAACATATCCAATAGCCGAACAGACATCGCAAGCGAAATTGGCAACAACCGACCTTGATAATGACAAGACCCACAGGAGAAACAGTACAAGCCATCAAGAAGTAACATGGCGCTCAACTAAAAGCCGATTGTACAGGGTACAATGTAGCTAGAGGGTATCTTGCCAAAACTCGCACACAGAGCCTCTCAAGGTCCCCTCATTGCGAGTCCAAAGACTTCCAGGTTGGCAGGAATGGCCCCCACCTGCATGCGGAAGAAAGACATTGTTCAAATGAAAAGAATCCCCACTGGTTGTGATTAATGCAGTCTCTATGATAACCGAAGGAAGCAAGGAATTGTCATGGCAGTGAGGTCTTGGCATCTACGCCATGTACATCGCGGAGATTCGCTCCGCGCCTTCTTCGCGGCCCATCCGGCTAAATGGCAGCCGTTAAACTGCACGCCTCCTGAAATAATTGGGAAGCGATCTGCAAGGTACAGCGCCATATCGTGGCTGCTGCCGGCATTGTCGGATGTCCGTGTCTATCCTAAACTGGATCAACTGACAGGTGTCATGATTCAGCATCATCCGGAAGGGTCACGGAGCCAGGGAGATGAAGGGATGACAGCGCTTCGAGAAAGACCTGGACTGCGAGAAAACAGGAGACGGCATTTTACACCATAACCAATTGCGGTGAAACATTACTGTGTCGGAGATGCTAACCGCCCCGTCTAGCCCGGCAAGGCGGGCCTTGACGCAAGCAAAACCGAAACATTTCCCGGTTTAGAATTAAATGAGTCCATCCGAGTAGACCAACTCCCGTTGAGTGAATTCAGTGTCTGCCTAGTCTGCTGCATACATGTGGATAAGTCCATCACCTGCTGAGCTGTGATTGATGGGATGTTCCTCCCCGCATTCCGACGATCGACAAGCCTAGCGGAGGACCCTAGAAATTAATCAATCCTTCATCAGGGGCTGAGATGATTCGAAGACTGGCTGACGCCCAATCAACGCCAATACTGCCACCTCGTCATTAATGCAGCGGTTAGATGCGACACCGTTACCCTCATCTTTCCCAAACCAGACTACGGCGGCCCTTGATCGGGCCGGCTCGCAGTCCCTACCAGATCGAACATATCATTTCGATGTATTCAAAGTATCGGAGATGATGACGGCCTCGGGACGGGAAGGCTATCGCACGATTACCGCCACCTGCTACTTCTGTCTCATAGTGCTCTACTACTATGGCCCTTCCCGATCTGGTTTCCAGGATTTCAACGAAAAGTCCAGGAGACCACCAGTCTTTTCAGGCCAACACTACGCTGCTTTGGGAAAGGGATTTCTCACTCCATGCAAGGCCCGCGCCAATGCTACGCACAGCAGAGGCAGCTTTTGAGGGGCCGATCCAAACGCATATGATTGCAATTGACAGAAACAGCTCGGAGGACTCTCCGTGGATTCCATGGCACTTTATGGACCAATTACACACAGCTATAGACGAGCAGCCTGATATCTTCGATCCTGGTGGAAGAGATCGGGGTCCACTTCCAGGCACATCTCAACACGCATAGTCCTCTTTCTGCGACATTGGTACTCCAACATCGCGCATCCTTCATTTCACGGAGCTGAAGCGCTTAGCCAATTCGAAACAGGCAATCGATGGATGGCGGTCCGCTGCACCGGCAGAATGAGAGGAATCCTATTCTCCCGGATTCACGATGGTATGAGTCCAAATGCTAGCCCGAAAACATATAAGTAGACCAAACTTCCCACTGGACAGCTTGGACAACACATCTGCCGGACAGACAACAACCTCACTAAGAAAGCACCATACTGAAATCTCAAAGACCATCACAATGCATCAAAGTGCCCTTCTCTTCTCAGCCCTGCTGACGGCTGTTCGCGCCCAGCAGGCGGGAACTCTTACGGAAGAAACCCACCCTCCCTTGACCTGGCAGAAATGCGATTCTGATGGCACCTGCACCGAGCAGAGTGCTTCTGTTGTCATTGACTCGAACTGGCGCTGGACCCATTCGGTCGATGGCAGCACCAACTGCTACACTGGTAACACCGTGAGTTTGTCTCAGACTGCTACAAGATATGTTGGCTGACGTGCCCCACAGTGGGATGCAACTCTCTGCCCCGATGATGTTACCTGTGCTACCAACTGCGCTCTGGACGGAGCGGACTATGAGTCCACCTATGGTGTTACCACCAACGGTGATTCCTTGACGCTTCAGTTCGTCACCGGATCCAATGTCGGTTCGCGTCTGTATCTTATGGACACTGAGGACAAGGGCTACCAGACATTCAACTTGTTGGATGCCGAGTTCACCTTTGATGTCGATGTTTCCAACCTCCCTTGTGGCTTGAACGGCGCGTTGTACTTCACTGGCATGGATGCCGACGGTGGCACCGGAAGGTATCCTGCGAACAAGGCCGGAGCTAAGTACGGAACGGGATACTGTGACTCCCAATGCCCCCGAGACCTCAAGTTCATTGACGGACAAGTATGAAGATCTTCCAACGCCTTTGAACTAAGATGCTAACCATGCAACAGGCTAACGTCGATGGCTGGGAGCCTTCGAGCAACAATGCGAACACCGGTGTCGGCAACCACGGTTCTTGCTGCCCTGAGATGGATATCTGGGAAGCAAACAAGATCTCGACTGCGGTGACCCCCCACCCCTGTGACAGCGTCAACCAGACCATGTGTGAGGGAGACAACTGCGGTGGAACTTACTCTTCGGATCGCTATGGAGGTACGGATACCCAAAAGGACCGAACCTAGGCACTGGCTAACTCAGTTACAGGAACCTGTGACCCTGATGGCTGTGACTTCAACCCATACCGCATGGGCAACACGACGTTCTATGGCCCCGGTAAGACCATCGACACCTCATCCAAGATGACGGTCGTGACCCAATTCATCACTGGAAGCTCCAACTCCCTCACCGAGATTAAGCGTTACTACGTGCAGGATGGCACGGTCGTGGCCAACGCCGCGTCTGACATCACTGGAGTCAGTGGAAACTCGATCACCTCGGACTTCTGCACCGCCCAGAAGAAGGCCTTCGGGGACACGGACGAATTTGCTGCGCACGGTGGCCTTTCCGGAATGGGAGACGCACTGTCGTCCATGGTTCTTATCTTGAGTTTGTGGGATGATTACTATGCCAGCATGGAGTGGCTGGACAGCAACTATCCTGAGAACGAGACCTCGACCACCGCGGGAGTTGCACGCGGAACATGCGACTCGAGCTCTGGCGTACCAAAAACCGTCGAGGCGGACTACCCCAGTTCTTCGGTGACCTTCTCCAACATTAAGTTCGGCCCCATTAACTCGACCTTCAGCGCGAGCGCTTAGATGTAGGTCCAATGTTGGTAGCTTGACATATCGGGCAGGTTCCTGAAGGGGATGGATGTACATAGTCCGAAAAGTGGCACTGATCTCGTGAATCGGGCTGTCATTTCATTCGTTGCAGTTTGATGGATGCAAGATCCGTCTTTGTTTCTCGTGCTTCTGGTTTAAGTTGTCTGCTATTCAATTTACCTTCGTTTCTCACGTGTGTTGCGTTTGAGTCCACCTATTTAAGACGGTTCGTTTGCATATCCCGAGCCAAGACCCTCCGTAAATACCGAACCGGAAGATCGGTCGGCCCGACCCCTCCGAGACTGACCGGCTCCGCCTGAAGCTGCAAGCTCCGCTAGCCAGAAAACTGCCGCATTAATTCTCTTCGTGCAATTGCCCATTCCTCGCCATGTTTGACACAGTCTGTACCCTTCCGCTATCCGCGGACCTCTTCTCACAGGCCCTTCACCCCAAGGAGTCTGTCGTGTCTGTGGGACTCGCCACCGGCCATGTTCAAACGTTCCGACTCCCCACCGACGAAGCGGCCAGCGATGACGATGAGACGTCGGCTTCGTCATCACGCAATGGCAGAAGACACATTGATACGATGTGGAGGACGAGACGGCACAAGGGCAGCTGTCGGTGCTTGACGTTTGGAATTGACGGCGAGACGCTCTACTCTGCCGGCACGGACGGGCTGGTCAAGGCCGCAAAGGCGGAGACGGGTGTCGTCGAAAATAAGATTGCCATTCCCACGGCGAAGGATGGGTATGCTAATTCCTGGAGCGGTTTGGAGGAAGTCAATTGCTCATTTTGCTAGATCTGTCGACGCCCCCACTATCATTCACGCTCTTTCTCCTCAGACCCTCCTTCTTGCCACCGACTCCAGCGCTCTACACCTCTACGATCTCCGCACACCCTTCTCCAAAGTTTCCGCGAAACCTCAACAATCACACCACCCCCACGACGACTACGTCTCATCGCTTACCCCTCTACCGGCTTCCGAAACTAGCACTTCGGGATTCAGCAAGCAATGGGTGACGACGGGCGGAACCACCCTCGCCGTTACGGATCTTCGACGGGGAGTGCTTGTCCGCAGTGAGGACCAGGAAGAGGAGCTGATCAGCTCGGTGTACATTGGTGGACTGGCAACTACTGGCACGAGTCGGGGAGAGAAGGTGCTCGTGGGTGGCTCTGGTGGTGTTCTCACCCTCTGGGAGAAGGGCGCGTGGGATGACCAGGACGAGCGGATTTACGTGCAGCCTGGATCTGGGGGTGGAGAGTCTCTGGAGACCATGGCCGTTGTTCCGGACGAGCTGGGCAAGGGCAAGGTGGTCGCTGTGGGTCTGGGCAATGGCGGTGTCAAGTTTGTCCGGATAGGCGCCAACAAGGTCTGCTCGGAGGTCATGCACGATGAGACCGAGGGCGTAGTTGGCTTGGGTTTCGATGTCGAGGGCCGCATGGTCACTGGTGGTGGCCAAGTGGTGAAGGTCTGGCACGAAGCGGTCATCGGGGCCGATAAGTACGGGGCGATGCCGGGGGAGAAGCGCATGTATGGCGACAGTGACGACAGTGACGATGATGACAGCGATGACGATTCCGATGATAGCGATGCTGGCGGCCAACAGGAGCGCGCGCAGAACAAACGCAAGAAGACGAAAGCCAAGGGCAATGGAGGCCAACACGTCATGGCATTCCATGATTTGGATTAAGTGGATTTATTGATACCCTAAAAGGGAGATTATGCATAGCATTGGTGTCGGAAAACAAAAGGGAGTGTCATAACCCAATATGGATAATATTATTCTAGATAATTGAGCTATACCTAATAATTGGCATGCTTATGTTCTAGACTGGATGGCATTTCCTATGTTGAGAGTCGTATCGGAGGGATCTTGGTTAACTCCAAGCAGCATCTATAATCTCAGCCAGACTCGATATTGTTGCCCAGTCGTACCAGCCCCGATCACCGAAACTGTGATTCCTTCCAGAGTCCACTTCGAGGCTAGCCCTAGCTGTCAGGAGATTAGCTGCTATCCCAGATTTCCAACAACCAAGGTTAGAACGATTAGAAACGCGACTCATCCTCCCACCCAACGGACACATATATCACCTCCACCATCCCTATCTTAACTACACAGCCCTTGGACAATGGCAGGATCCGTTTTCATCACCGGAGCCAAAGCTTCTCGCCATCCCAGCCATCCAGTACCTCCTCACCAAATACCCCGAGCAAACCATCGTCCTAACCGTGCGCAATACATCCAATTCCGACCTTGACACCAAACGCACCCTTCAAAAATACGGTGCTGGGGGTTGAGTAGCTCTCTTTCTTAGTGGGGTGAAACAACGCTTGATCCTCTATCAATTGTAAATGATAGTGAATTGTAAATGATAGTGAGCAATGAGCATAGTCGGGAACTCCCCCGCCAACTGCCGAGGCTCTCCACTTGGTGACCCACGGCAAAGGCCTTTGCCCCAATGACTTCATGACATCTCCGGATGGATGGTGGGGTGTGGGGGATTATTCATGATGATCAAGCTTCGTCGGCTGTTCGGGATTTCCCCTGTCTGCGTTCCTGAATCGATCTAGGCAAAGATATATACCGATCTGATTCCTTATAGTTATTCTTCCCATCATCAATCCCATCAATCCCATCAATCCCATCAATCCCATCAATCCCATCAATCCCATCCTCTCCCCTCAACCTCACCACCACCACCATGAACTCCTTCGAATACAACCCCAACCCAGGCAGGGTCATCTTCGGCAGCGGCACCCTCACCAAACTCCCCTCCGAGCTGACTCGCCTCAACCTAACCGTCCCCTGGTCCTCTGCACCCCGCAACAAACCCACCAAGCCGAGAGCGTCCAAGCCATCCTCAACGGCCAAGTAGCCGGCATCTTCAGCGAAGCCACCATGCACACGCCCACACACATCACCGACAAAGCACTCGCCTACGCCACCACCCAAGCCGCCGACAGCGTCATCTCCATCGGCGGAGGAAGCACCATCGGCTTAGGAAAAGCCATTAGCATCCGCATTGGTCTCCCGCACATCTGCATCCCGACTACCTACGCGGGGAGTGAAATGACCCCCATCCTCGGAGAAACAGCCGATGGTCTGAAGAAGACTCGCTCGGATCCGAAGATTCTTCCCGGAACGGTCATCTATGATGTCGATTTGACTATGACTTTGCCGGTGGAGATGAGTGCGACGAGTGGGGTTAATGCTATTGCGCATGCGGGTTAGTATATATACCACTCCCTCACTTGCCTTGCTATAGATGCTTGTGTTTTATGGTTAGAGCAAAGCTAATTAATGCTTGGTTGGCAATGATGTATAGTCGAAGCCCTCTACGCCCGCAACAGCAACCCCATCATAACCCTCCTCGCCATCGAAGGCACACGCTCGCTCGCCACCTCTCTCCCCGAAATCATCAACAACCCCAGTTCGCAATCCGCCCGGTCCTCAGCCCAATACGGCGCCTGGCTCTGCGGAACCTGTCTCGGAAGCGTGGGCATGTCCATCCATCACAAACTCTGCCATACGCTAGGCGGAAGCTTTAACCTACCTCACGCGGAGACTCACACCGCCGTGCTACCACACGCTATTTCCTACAATGCGCCGAGGATCCCCGAAGCGATGGAGAAGTTGGCGCAGGCCCTGCCGGAGAGTAATGGGGATGCAGTCCATGGATTGAATGTGCTGTTGTCGAAGTTGAAGGTGAAAAGGGGACTGAAGGGCTTTGGCATGAAGGAGGAGGATATTGATAAGGCGGCGGATATTGCGGTCGCGAATCCGTATTGGAATCCGAGGGAGATTGAACGCGAGCCGATTCGGGAGTTGATTAGGCGGGTTTGGGCCGGGGAGGAGGCTAGGGCGGATTTGTAGGGTTCTGTTTTTGTTTTCTCTTTGGGGGATGTAAATAGTGGGTGTGTATGTGTAGAATGTGGATTAGAACCTGGATATCAATACAATAGACTCGAGTGTCATTGTTCTCATAGATAGTATGGCACCATATCCATACTCACACTCCTCGTAATCGATGCGGGCGATTGGCCCACGGAATGGCGGGGGTTTAAACAAAGTGGGGGAAAATCCAACTGAGCGATTTTCGTCCCGAAATTTGCAATCCTCCCACTTTTCCCACCCCTCATACCCTCTACAGTCTATACAGTCACATCCACATCCACATTACATCCACCTACACTACTCTACACACCCATCATGGGCGCCGAAATGGAGGCCGCGCCCGTCCTCTCCACTCCGGACGACCGCATCCTCGAATCCACCGATCCCGTCGCCGCCCAGGAACCGAACCGTGCTCTCTCCGACGAAGAAATCGCCATTACCTATGACATCGAGCGCACGCTGAAGGAGATCCGCCAGGCGCGGTATAAGCGCATTGCGCTGCAGTTTCCTGATGATATGCTTCCCGATGCGCCTCGGGTGTTTCAGCTTCTTAGTCGGGGGTTGGATAAGCGGGATGTTGATGGTGGTGCTGCTCGTGGCGGGGTTAATGGGAGTGCGGAGATTGGGGATAAGGATGGGGATGGGTTGGTTGATTCGGTGTCGAAGTTGAAGGTGGATGAGATGGATCCGGCTCCCAGATTGTATATTCTGGCTGATACTTCTTACGGGACTTGTTGTGTGGATGAGGTGGCGGCGGAGCATGTGGATGCTGATGTGGTCGTGCATTACGGACGGTCGTGTTTGTCGCCGACGGCTCGTCTGCCCGTCATCTATGTCTTTACGCACAAGCCTTTGGCTCTGGATAAGGTCGTTCGCGCCTTCAAGGAGACTTATCCGGATCCCGCTAGTAAGGTCATCTTGGCCGCGGATGTGACCTACTGTGATCATGTCCCGGCCGTGTATGCGCGTTTGGTGGAGGAGGGTTATACAAACTTGTTTGCGACGGATGTGCTTCACAACCCCTCGTCGGCTATTCCCAATCGGACGGTTCCTGATTCCGTGCAAGAGACCCCCGAGTCGCTGTCTGAGTGGCAGCTTTTTCACATTTCCGATCCGCCCACTGCCCTGCTGCTCACCCTTGCATCTCGCGTGGCGGCTATCTACATCTATCCCACGGATGCGACGGGCGACAATGTCAAGCCCCTGGCGGCGTCGACTACCGCTGCCTTGCGCCGTCGCTATGCGATCTTGACGTCCTTGAATACTGCCCCGATCTTTGGAATCTTGGTCAACACGCTGAGTGTGAAGAACTACCTCCACATTGTGGATCATGTTCGGGAGCGGATTGCGGCAGCCGGGAAGAAGAGCTATCTGTTTGTGGTGGGCAAGTTGAACGCGGCCAAGGTCGCCAACTTCAGCGAGATCGGCGGCTGGGTGGTGATTGGTTGCTGGGAAAGCTCCCTGGTCGACAGCAGGGATTTCTGGAAGCCGGTTATCACACCATCTGAGTTGGAACTTACCCTGAAAGGGGACACGGAGCGGGTCTGGACCGGAGCCTGGCAGAGCGACTTCCAGAGCGTCCTGGATCGGTCCGCCGAGACAAAGGAGGATGCAACAAATGAGGTGACAGGGGAGGATGACGATGATATGTCGGAACCCGAGTCTGCGCCGCCAGAGTTCGACCTGCGCACTGGCCGGTATGTTTCGCATTCCCGACCCATGCGGAACGCTGCACCCCGCGTTTCTGCCTCAGGAGAAGATGCCGCCTCATCTGCTGGTGGGCCGTCTGCAGCGCGGGCCCTCGCCAGGCGAGCCAAAGGCGATGTGGCGATGATCGGTGGGGCGATCTCGCCGGGGGCGGAATTCCTGCGGTCGCAGCGGACATGGAAGGGGTTGGGAAGTGATTTTGATATCCAGTACGAGGAGGACGCGACGGACAGCACGCTGGTGGTGGAAGGGCGCAAGGGCATTGCAAGGGGATACACAGTGGGAGAGGCAATAGACCGACACTAGTTAGGCATCTCCCTGGCGCAGGAAAAGGGAGAAGGGAGAAGGGAGAGGGGGAAGGGGAGGGATGTTGGATTGTTGGGCGACGGTTGAAGAGGCAAGCAAAGCCGGGTGACCCGAACTAGTCGGGCGGACTAGTGGTTTCGTGCCCTACTGAGTATGTACTGACTGATGATGCCACGGCCCAAAGCGTTGGAGGAATGGGGAAAAGGGTTCAATATTCTCAATAATCATCCCTCCGGGCGATCAATAGTGAATCCAGACAGCCAGGTAACACGCTGCTTGGGCCGACAGCCCAACGGCAATCCTAATGAACGCGCGCAGAATCAGGATCTCCTGGTCATCCGTAAGAACGCTGGTGAGGGCCAAGGCGACCTATCACATGATTGCCGGCCGCCCGTTGGATTTTTGTGCCAATCCCCAATTCTGAGCTGAGTTGTCAAGCCACCCCCCATCGATCCATCCCATCCCATCCCTCCTCTTCCCCCCCGGTGTTTGTCGGCTGTCTCCTCTCTCTCTCGTTTGCTCCCTTGGATGGCCTCGGATGATGTCCAACCTTTGGGTGTAAATCGCCCTCCTTGCGCGTGCTCTCCTGCCCTTTCCCCTTATGATGTGCGGCCTCTCCCGCATTCTCCGCTGTGCTCGCGATCCCGCGTCACTCTGACCTCCAACTGCTGCCACTGCCTCGCTGGAGGTGAACAAAAGGTCGCTGAAGAAGCAAAGGGTCCGGCAATCCGATCTCGTCCGCCATGTCAGCCATACCATATCCCCCGGTAGCCCCCGCCCTGGAGCGATCGGAGCCTGTGTTGAGCCTGCTCGGCAAGGCCAGCGGAGACCAGCAAGACCTGGTGGAATCCGCCCTGGAACAGTCGGTGCTTCCAGCTCAACATGCTCTCTCGACCTTCGAACTCGTCGTCACTACCAATGCCCCCATCCTCGAATCCCTCCTTCTACAGACTCCTACCGATTCTATCCTCAAGCTATATCACACCTCCCGCTACCTCCGCTCGTTTCTCCGCTCCTACCCGACGGCTTGGAAGTACCTGTCGTTCCGGCTGTTGTATCCCTCGGGCACACCCCCGCCCCTCCGCGTCGTCCTCACCGGATCCTCCGAGATCCTTTCCCCACGCCAGTCGCGCCCGTATGCTCTCGACCAGCTGTTGATGAACGTGGTGGTTCCGTTCAGTCCGTGTTTGCGCAGTCTGGAGTTGGATAACACGGCTGTCTCGGGGCAGATCCTCATTTCAACGGTGCTACATTCTCGGCGCGAGACCCTGGAGCACCTCTCGGTTCGAGGCTGCAAGAATGTATCGTTAAAGTATCATATCATCCCGTACCTGACCATGTTTGGCCTTCAGTACGATGTCAATATGGAACAGAATATTGGGAGCTCACCCGCTACAAAGCATCTCGCGCTGAAAAGCCTATATACGTATCGATGTCGACATCATCGACGTCGACCATACCTGACCTCGTCCCTGTCGCGAAAAGACTCCGACTCGGAACCGACTCATGAGCTGGTGAACCTCTGCCATAAGCTGGGCATCTGGACGGATACCGCGTGGTGCTCGACCCCGGCAGGGAGATGTTTCCGGAGACGGGGCTACGTGTCGATGCGGGTTCCGCAGGGGTCGGCCGAGGTATGGGTTGTCTTTGATCGGCTGTGGAGGTCGAAGAATTGGATCGGTCCAGTCGACCCGGCCAGCCGCCCGGTCCAGCGGGATGCGAAGCTGTGGGAACACAGCGAGACCGGCTACTACGGCGAGGCTCTGGGAACGGGAGAAGGACGAGACCCTGGTGAGGGCAAGATGGTCCCGGCCCATCTACGTCGGAGTCATGCCCAATTCATCGAGAAAGTCCGTTGTGATAATTGCTGCGAGGTGATCCCGGAGAGGTGCGAGCAATGCAGCATACTGATGCACTGTGTCGGATGTCGAAAGACTCTGTGTGCTAGCTGCGCTTATGAACGGCCATATCTGCACTGCCAGTCCCGGTCGGGCTCATCTCCGGACAGTTCCTTCTGGTGGGCCCCAGGAGCTACCATGTCGCCGTGTTCGATGCAAGATCCGGTCGAGCATAGTGAGACTACTGTGACGAATAGTGTCGCACCATCCTATCCTGCTCTCACGTTCCATTGGTGCTGTACAGAGCCCATCTTCTCGGGCGGTGGTGGCATCAGTATCGGCACACCGAACCGCGATGTGGACCAAGTACGAGCGGTGCCTCTGCCCCGTGGACAGGGCTGGGAGGACCTGGAGTACTCGGCGCAGGAATGGAGCAAGACGTTCCCCAAGGATGCCTATGGAGACCCGCGGAAACCCGACTACACGCTGGAAACCGGCCATATTGCCATGATGCGGTGGCTGCTTGGTCCGCCCGACCGACAGCCTGCCGCATGTCCACGCAATCTGTGCCAGGACTGCTACGACACGCCCCAGTGGAAGGTGCACTGCAAGAGCTGCTCGAAGCCGTTGTGCATTGAGCATGATCTACGGGGCCTCCGCTTGAGAATCTGCGGGTATAAGGATCTGACGGTGGAGAAGAATGCTATTCAGAATTCCTCCGAGACTAGCTCTCGTGGGGCCGGGTCGCGGATGCCATATAATCATTCTGTGCCTGAGTTCGAGCTGCCATATCGGACGCAGCGGATTCTCGATTCGACCACGAGCAGCTTCACCGAAGACAACCATGACGGATTCGGCGAGGCGAGTAGCACGTTACATGAGCACCGACCCACTCCGTTGATCCATCGCCGTTCCCGCAGTCTGTCGATCTCCAACTCAAACCGCTCTCGGTCCTCGTCCTCCCCTTCGTCCGTCTACTGTGACTCGCCGTCGGCGCAGCCGAAATGGCAAGGGTGCCAATCATTCTTTTGTCCGCAGTATCGGGCGGCGGGCGACCAGCGCCAGCGTTGTCCGAGCGTGCTGCGCGAATGTACCGGCTGCCATGTGTACGTGTGCGAGGACTGCACGTCGGCCCACCCGCCGTGCAACTGCTCGTACTGTGAAGTCAACTACGGGTGCCCGGAGTGCCTGAAGGTTCGGGAGCAGGACGGGACATGCCGCCGGCCGGCAGAAGAAAAGGCACGTCAGGAGCGCAAGTTCAAGGAGGACCTGCGTCTGCTGGAGGGGATTGTCGAGAAGAAGCTCGCGAACGAGATGGCCGAATTTGCGGGACAGTTCTTCGACGCTGTTGAGGGGGTGCGGGGAGAACGCGGAGAGGTTGAACATATTGAAGAAGCATCGACATATCCGGAAGACGGAATGGATGAGGCGGACCTGCTGGCGGAGGAAACATTAACGGACAGTACTGAATGATGGGCGGATATCTACGGGCGTCGGAAAAGGAAGGGTGGGATTTCGGAGTTTATTTATTCTATCGGAGGCATGCAGATATTAGCAGATATTACGATCACGATGCGCCGGGCGCTGGATCTGTCTACTGGATGGACAGTACTGTGATAATTCCTGCGTTGCAGGTATAAGATAAGATGAATTCAATATATGCAAATACCCAGTATGTAATAGTAGATAAACCATGGAGTATAGGCAGTGGTAAGTTCGCTCCACTCCGCAGCCCCGCAACGCCGAAGCTTCCAGCCAGACCACGAATTTGTCCTCACCCCACCATCCTCTCTCCCTCACCCCAACTCCAATCCTCTACCATCCAAACCAGTACGCACCCCTCCCCCTCTTCACCTCACAATCACTAACCAATCCATAGTGAACAGAGGCCCCCCCAGCAAAATGACCGAACAAGAACCCACCCCCGCCGACCTAGCCCTCCGCGACGAAGAAGAAAAAGCCCGCAAGGCCCAAGAAGCCGCCGAACAAGCCGAGCTGCCTTACAAATGGACGCAGACCATCCGCGACGTGGACGTGACTATCCCTGTCCCTGGTGCACTCCGTGGTCGGGACTTGGACGTTGTTCTTACGAAAACGAAGATCCGGGTTGCGGTTAAGGGTCAGGATGCTGTTATTGATGTATACCCATCCCCCCTTCTTTCTACTATCCTACACTATCAGGGAAGGCCATGCTAATAAAATATGAAATGAAAGGGCACATTCCCCCACCCCGTCATCCCCGACGAATGTTCCTGGACATTGGAATCGACGTCCTCCCCTCCGGGCAAAGAAATCGTGATTCATCTGGATAAAGTGAATAAGGTGGAATGGTGGCCGCATGTTGTTGTGGGGGCACCGAAAATCGACGTTAGTAAGATTACGCCCGAGTCGTCGTCGTTGAGTGATTTGGATGGGGAGACGAGGGCGATGGTCGAGAAGATGATGTATGATCAGAGGCAGAAGGAGATGGGGGGGTTGACGAGTGATGAGCAGAAGAAGAGGGATATCTTGAAGAGATTTCAGGAGGAACATCCTGGTTAGTATTTCTCTTTTTTTTTGGTTTGGTTTTGGGGGGAGGGGGAGGGGAGGGGGAGGGGGAGGGGGGACGGCTGTGCTAATGAGTTTGCAGAGATGGATTTCTCAAATGCGAAGATCGGTTGAACTGGTTGGTGGGTGATGGTGGTAGGTAGGTGGGGTATGAATTATGAAGCTGTTTGTATGCTAGGCATTGTTGCTACGAAGTGTGTGGGTTCAGTTGTTAATGGTAAGATGGTTAGTGTAAATTTTTTTCAGACCTTTTGTTTCGTGTAAAAGGGCACTGTTTCTTCTGGCCACATATCATGTTCCCGAGTGGCACCCGTACGTAGGCTTACTAGGACATAACACCGTGAGCTAGTCAAGAATCAAGAAGATGGGCCTGCACTGTGTGCAGCATAGGATGATAAGGATTTGGGGGGGTTGTCCTTATATAAGACGGAGGGTCGAAATCTTCTTATTTCACTGAATGAATGCTTGATGCTCAACATGACACCAACCGGGGCAATTATCAATGACTGTATACTCCTTAGAGGGAGTATCTGGAGGAATCTAGAATGACTTAGTATGCATGTCTCAGCTGAAATAGATGATTGAGTCATACCTAAGGCTTTCGCTTCTGCCTAATCCAGCCATTATATGCTTACAGTCCTATCCCCAGCGAAGACCCTGGGCTAGGGCTATAAACGTAAGCCATAAGCATTAGCTTGGCATTAGCTTAGTATCTTTGGCCCTGATGTCTCATCCTGAATGCGTGATTTTTGTGATAGGTCGATGACTTGACCAGATTAGAGATATAATGCCAGCTGTCTGCCATTCATTAACGGAAAGCGACTAACTGCACCCTTCACAATGGCTGAACCACCCCTACATTTCTTCTCAATCCTTTACCGCGAACTCTCCTACGCATTCATCCATTCCACAGGACATGATCCATTGATTGCACGAGCCAATCGATTCATCCAAACCCCTGCTCCAAACCGTAATGCTCACCGATTAATACCGATCGGGCTAGGGATTCTTGCCAAAGTCCTAGTAAGCAACCAACAAAGTCTCCCATCTCCCTCCCGCAGAGGTTAATGGATTCAGATCCGATACATCATCAGCCATGTCGTACTATCTATCTTGATCCTCGAGACAGCAGAGCAACAGACCAACACTTCCAAGCCCGGAGACAACAAGTCATCTCCCTCCAGTCGCCAACTACTCCGAACCACCGCCGTCTTCTACCACAAAGGGGGTCTCCGTCTTCTGCTAAATGGCATCGGGTCCGCCTGCACCTACTGGTTGATGCACACCTCAGTGACAAAGATATCAACTACTCTACTTCCCCATCCGATCGCACATATCCTCACATCAGTCCTACTCGCCGAGTCCCATTTCTTCTGGACCGCGCGGACCATCCTCCCGCCAGACCAGCTACGCCTTGTCCCCAACCCGCACGATTACCAACGATGGAAAGCCCTAATCCCGGCTACTTTGGTATATGCTACGAGTGAGATTGTGATGATGTTGGTGTCGGGTCTGTTTGATGTTCCATTGCCGGTCACGACGACGGGGTTATCGTGGTTTGTTGGATCTGATGTCTTGAGATACGGGCTTGTGCTCGCGGTGCAAATGTTTCTTATATTTCCGGCTTATATTCTGTTGATTATGGTTCAGGGTAGTTTGCTGCCGCCGACCTGTGAGACGTTGGTTTTTGCGCAGTTGCAGCGGGGGAGACGGGTGGGGGAGATCTTTTCGGGAGAGGGAGGAGTAGGGGATGTGGTAAAGATGCTTGGGGTGAAGCAGTTGCTTTGGTGTTTGGAATTGCATGGGAAGATGGGTTTGTGTTTGGTTGGAGTTGCGGCGGTGGTGCATTCGGTGGTGTATTCTTTGGTGTAGAACTATGCCACTCTGTGAGTCGATGTAGTGATGCTTTGGACATGGGTGCATGGCTCATCCTGACTTGGCTGGATTGACTAATTGGTTAGATTCTGCTGATATCAATCACTGTGTATATTGATAGAACTGAGGAAGAGGATTGAGTGTAGATGATGCGGGTCAGAATACGAGCTGCCGTATGCGGACTAGTCTAGCCAGATGACTGACAGCCTGACAGCCTGACAGGTACAACATCTCTTTATCTCTATCCCATATTCATGCTATTGCTGTTACATCACTGTGGGTCACGCAGATGGTGGCACCGTATCCATGGTGTAGCATCCCACCATGCAGAGCGTCCTCCAGCTGAATCTTCCCACTGATCGCACCTTTCATCCCCGCCGACCGCACCGCAAGTCCCGTGCCGGCTGTGTCAAGTGCAAGGAGCGACGGGTCAAGGTATTCCCCTGGTCCCTCTGCCCCGCACCTCTAACCAGATAGTGCGACGAATCGAAACCCCACTGTCTGCGATGCCAGAAGCTCGGCTTCGACTGCAGCTACGATGCCGACTCTAAGAGCAGCGCTATCGCTGTCTTCCTTGCGAGTCCACCGAATTCGAAAGCGTACTGCATGTCGCTCGATGCAGTGACCAGGAAAATCAACCAGACCCTGCGTTTAGATCAAAGCCCCTTGCCTGTCGTGGAGGCATTACATCACTTCCATGATCTGTCAAACCCGGCCTTCGGGCCGAAGCGCATGCAAGCTACCATGCAGGCGAAAATCATCCAGCTCGGGTTTGATGTCAGTTGATCCACATAGTAGGGGACTCCAGCTGACCAGCTAGTCTCCCTTTCTCATGCACAGCATCATCGCCGCAGCCACCTCCCATATTCGCCATCTGGCTAATGATAACCGCGGATATGCCCTATCGGAAACATACCACTGGCAGCAGGCCATCACCCAATACTCCAAGGAGATCACTACCATCGGCCCGAATAACACAGACAGTCTCATTTCCGCCTGTTTGCTACTGACTGTTCGCTCGTTCGCTCTCGACGAGTACAGCCCGCTCAGCTCGTTTGTCTTCTCGGATGACCCGGTATCCCTAAACTGGCTCAGTCTGCAAGCCGGGCTACGCTATCTTATCGGGGCCACGGCAAAATGGGTAGACGGCAGCATGTGGTGGGAAATGTTCATGAGATCTCACGATCAGTTTTTGAATATTTTTGATGATGACCGCCCCGGACGGGTGGCCATGGACCCGGAGCTGGCTGATCTCTGCGGCATCGATGATACAACGACTGCAGAGACCAACCCGTATCACGCACCGGTACGGATGCTAACGGGGCTGCTGTCATTGGAACGGGGAGTTAAGCACTTTGCAGCATACACCGGGTTTATGGGCAGATTGTTACCGGATTTCCTTGAGAAGCTGATGCAAAAGGATCCACCGGCACTGGTGCTTCTGAGCTGGTGGCTGGGACTGATGTACGGGACGGGGATGTGGTGGGTGCAGACGCGAGCCAAGTCGGAGATTACGGCGATTTGCTGGTATCTGGGGAGTGAGGAGGGATTGATCAAGTTTTTGAAGTTTCCTTCGGAGTGTGTGGAGGACATCACGTTCATTCAGGAATTTCCTACGAATATGTAGTGTTTGAATGAATCAATCTCAGACAGAAAGACACTATCTTATCGATAGTAGCTGATGACGACGGTTATCGATAGGGAGAGGGTGGGGTGGAGGCTCCACCAATCAGCGATGCGGGGAATGTCGATGCCTGGATGCTGAGGCGTAAGACAGCCTTGTCTGACTTTCTGATTCATTCTTCTTTTATTCTCTTTTTATTCCAGCAACACGAGTTCCATACTGCTCGTGGCACCTTGTGTGTACCTATCCACTACCATTGCTACGACCATAACCCTCACCATCCACCACCACCACACCACTACACCTCACAACCTCACCACCACACCACCCACCTCATAACTAGAACACTAGAACACCAAACCACCAGAAACAAAGAACCCAACAACAAAGAACCCAACAACAATGACCCTCCTAACCTCCCTCCTCACCTCCCTCTGCTCCTGCTGCAGTCCCCCCAAACCACCTCCCGAACCAACCACCACCAACAACAACAACAACAACAACAACAACAACTACCCACATGAACGCCAATACCCCCCAACCTACCTCTCCCCGACAACTCTCACCCACCAACACCAACCCCAATACCAATACCAATACCAAACAGCCTACACCACAATCCACCCCCCAGCCTACACCCCCCGTCCGAACACCACCCACGAAAAAACCCTCGCCGCGCACCTCCGCGATCCCCCAATCTCCTCTTCCTCCTCCTCAACCTACTACAACGACGAGAAATCCCACCAAACCCAGGAAGTAGGACAAGAAGAAACAACCCCCGACGACGCATCCTCCGAAATCTCCTTCCCAAGTACACATAGTTATGGGAATACATCCACCGCGACGAGGGAGACCCCTCCGCCGCCTTATTCGTCGGGGAATAGTGCCAGGGGGAGTTGGAGGGGGTCGGAGTCGCCGGTTCCGTCGTTGGTTATGTCTATGTCTACCATGATGACGGGGGAGGTGTCTGGGGGTGGGAGTGGGAGTGTGGATGGGAGGGATGATGGGAATGATAGGGATGGGATGGTGCAGATTGCGGCGCCTAGGGCGGTGTTTTTTCCCAGTGGGAGGTGGGGTGCAGATGGGGATGGGGAATATGATGGGTATGGGTTTGGGGATGGCGGTGGTGGTGTTGGGGAGGGGAGGAGGTCGTGGGAGGGGAGATGATTCTCTCTTTTTCTCGCTTTGTATGGGGGTGGGATGGATATGTTTCTTATGGTGTGATGTGGAGTTCATTTGGTTCGAGTGGGTTTATTAAAGAGGGTATGGTTGAGTGGTAGATATACACTACCGAGGTATATCAGCCTTATTAGGCTTAATGTAGGAATTATGAATTGGGTATGTATGTATGTATGTCACTATACGTACCTGTTTTTCTACCTTATCGTAAATTTCCTGTTGTAGACATCGCCACTTTACTGAGGGCGCTCAGGGGCTTGCTCAGTGAGTAATTCACGTCACGACTCACCGCTCAGTGAGCACTCAGTCGGTGCTCAGCCTGTGCTCACTGAGCAGTGAGCCGTGAGTTCTGCCATACTCAACCCCCCATTTATTTTGCACGGATAGTTCGACCGCTGTGACAGATAAACAGCCCTCAGGATTTTTGAAGTCATTAAATTATCATAAACAATGACACAAGTCAAAATATGATGAAGAGTATCTGAACACGTGTGCTGACCTAAAAGTGAAGCATACACTCAACATTAGTACGATGATGATCATTTTCAAGAAAGCTATAAAGACAGATATCCTCCTTACTCTATAACAGTTAATAGCATGGAAGTAAGATCTCTAAACACTTCCTATATTCTCTAAATACTCTTTCTCTTTTATTCTCTCCCTGCTTATTCAGTTATCTATTCTCATAAAACTCTACATTCGATCTTTTTACAGCTAGCTGACAAGACAATAAGCAAAAGAATCTTTTTCCAGAATAAGAATATAAAGAGAAAGCGCTATAAGTAGTAGGTAGTAAATAGATATATTACAAAGACTCACCAAGACAAAGATTCTGTAAGAAAAAGACATAAATAAACAGAAGAAACAAAAAATCTACATAAGAAAAAGATGGCGGATTATCAGGAGTGAGTTTTCTATAGATAGAGTACCTTGTTCTTAAGATCTATTAACATAACTTCACCAGATTTATGATAGAAGAAGGTGTCAAACCCTAGGATCGCTTCTCCCTGTTCCTGTTAGCTTAGCTTCTTGTTCCAATACGTACCTTTGAACTGAATCAAGGTAAGTCAGGTCGATGACTATCTAAAGAGAACTGGTCCTGAATAAGAAAAGAGAAGTAAGGCCAGATAGTGCCACGCAGCTATCTGTAAGTAAGTACGGACGAGTGTTGTTGCTAAGCTTTACCAAAATATATGGTTACTTAAAGACAGTGTTATTGAGCATGAAGAACAGAACTAGCTAAGTACATGAAGGAGTGTCCTTATATCCTATTCTCCATATACCATATCATATACTATTCAGGGTAGATCGAGGGTCGATCCAATCATGTTCCTGGATCCCGTATACCATATCGTATACCCTCAATGGTAGATCTGATGGTAGATGGTCACGTGACACAACGCTGCTTCGGACGTTACTCCGACCGGGATTCTACTCGATAAGAGTTGCTGGTTGTCCGAGTCCTGCCTTGTCATCGCTTTCTGCCTAACGAGTCCGCTCCGCTAGTAACCTGGCTAGCAGGGGTCTGTAACAAATAACTATTAATATAATACTATTATGATTACAACATAATCTATCTTTTTAATAAGATGTTAATAAATAACAAGAAATACTCTATATATAATTACTGAAGAGATCTTCAGAGCCCCACACTTAAATATAGTGATTAAAGTATTTACATTCGTGACTGCATTTATAAAGATATAGTCTGACATCTGTATATTAATAAATCAGACTTACAGTACTGTTATAAGTATATAATTTAGTATCTGTAGATAGAATAATATAATTACTATAGTTATTACCTGTATGTTACAGACCCCTGCTAGTTACACTACTAGCGAGGCGGGCTCGTTAGGCAGAAAGCACCAAGAAGGTAACGGTCGGACAGACAGCAACTCTTATCGAGTAGAATCCCGATTTGAGTAACACCCGGAACGACCACGCGTCACGTGATCGTCTACCATCGAACCTACCATCGGAAGTATATCCAAGGTATACTAGGAACCTCGGACCATGATTGGATCGACCATCGACCTACCTTGGATGGTATATGATATGGTATACGAAGGATGGGATATATAAGGACACTCTTTCATGTACTTAGCTAGTTCTGTTCTTCATGCTCAATCAATCCTTTACTACTGTCTTTAAGTAACCATAAGTTTGGAAGCTTAGCGATAACACTCGTCCGCACTTACTTACGGATAGCTGCACGGCACTATTCAGCCTTACTTCTCTTCTCTTGTCCAAGACCAGTTATTCCTAGATAGTCATCAGCCTGATACCTCCTCGATTCAGTTCGACGGTACGTATACCAGTGAAGCTAAGCTAACAGGGACAGGGAAGCGATCCTAGGGTTTGACACTGTAATCCTAAAATAATCTCCATCATAAAGTTATTATATATTATTATACTGTTATTTATTCCGGCTACTGCCCTTATTATATATAAAATCAAGACCTCTTAATTAATAAAAGATTAAAGTATTAGACATGTAGCGCAAATCTGAGAAAACATTTTAAATATAGATATATTATTAAGATTAAATAGTCTATAACAAACTCTATATATAGTTACTAATAGTCATTCATATCAGAGCAAGAATTCCGGTGATAATCACAGGACCCTGGATATATTCTACCTCGCCCAGCTCGCCGCGGCCATCTACCGCTCCTCCTCCCAGCTCACCGGCGACTTCCCCTCCCCCTCTGACTTCCTCGCCTTCTACCAACGCACCGCGCGCTCCTCCACTCCTCCGTATGGCGCTCCTACTACTCCGTCGCCTTCCTCACCCAGCCCACCACAGCGCGCTTCTACCGCCTGCCCGACCTCCAAGACTTGCCTGACTCCTCCTCCCCGCTGGCGCTGCCGCGCCAGCCACCCCCCGGCGGCGGCGACGCACACGCCACGAAACTCCCTCGCTGGGCCCACAGCGTCGCGCGCACGCGCCGCAGGCAGCCCTCCCTCCCGCTAGCGACTATCACCCAATTAGCCCTCAGCACGCTTGAAACGACCACCGCGCGCCTGCGCACGGTCCACCCCAGCGTGCCGCCCTACTCCGAGACGCAAGCGCGCTTTTGGCTCGAGCACATGAAGCTCGGTTCTCCTGACCCATCCGACTCAACCATGGTAACTGCCCGTGAAGCGTGGAAGCCGAACGCCTTCGGCGTTCTGGTCGCGCAGGGAGCGCTTGATGTATACGCGTGGGAAGCGCAGGATGGCGTGTGGGACAGTGGTGTGGAGTGGTGTGGGGAGCCGGATGGCGGGGCGGGGGTTCAGGCTTGGTCGAGGGGGTGGGAGGGGGAGGTGGAAAGTCAGGAGGAGGTGGAGTTTTTGGCTGATGTTGCTGTGGAGGAGACTGTGGGGGTGGAGGTGGGTGAGTTGGACTTTGTGATGCGCTCGCATGTGTTGTTAGGGGTGATGCATGCTGCGGTTAAGGAGGGACGGGAGAGGAAAGCTTTTCTAGAGGAGCTAGAGAAGGGGATGGTATGGAAGGGGCGGATTGCCGAGGGGAGGGCAGGAAGGTGGCTGAGGGAGGCCTTGGAGGTTGTGGAGCCATATGTGAATATGTGGGAGGGTGCGTGGCCTGGTGCAGAGGAGGAGAGGGGGGAGGTGCTACGACGGATTTTGGTGGAGAACGGGCAGCTCTTCGCAAGGTGGAAGGTTTTGCCGCTTTTGAAGGAGTTTAGCTTTGAGCTGGGTCCGAGGGAGGTTGAGTAGCATGCATGCGTCCATTCGGATATTCAGGTTCATGGCAAGGACAATGGTATGACTTGTTTCAATTTCATTCATCTACGTACACATGTGCTACCATATATCCCCGTTTCACCCCTAAAACTTGCATACTCTCCCCTACGTACAATCCATTCCCATTCGTGGCGCCGCAGTAGCCCTACTGGGAACAGCAGCCGTCGAAGGGCGTACCGGGGCAGGCTTTTCCGCTATTGGCAACACCACAGAGGCCGTCGGTGGAGTTGCACCACGAACGCAACTAGGGGCAAGTACCAATCAGGGAAGAGGAAAAGCGTAATAGCTCTTATCAGCGGAGCGCTGACGGAGCTGTGCAACACAGCGCAAAATTCTGCAGCTGCCAGATTAGGGAATGGCTAGGAAGCGAACCCAGGCATAAATGCCTTCATTGGCCTTACCGAGGCTCAAAGTTCGCCCTGGTGAAGCGGTACATGTAAGGTCTAGAAAACCTACATAGTGATAGTAGATACCTGAATATTGCCGTTAGGCACAACACGTCAGCGTATTAATTCAGGCAAGTCATCAACTAATTGGGGTTATGACGACACAAGGGGCACAGGTTTCCGTTAAAGTAACCTCTTTGATTCAGAACACAGCTCCCAACTTGGAGCCACGGATACACCAGGCATTCTCCCGCACCGTCTATAAATTCTGTGAGAATGAACGAAACCAACAAAAGATAGATTCACCGCATCTACTCTGATTACACTTACCTTGCGCAACAAACATCAAAGGCTTGTCCGAAACAAAGGCCCGTAACTGGTACCAGAAGCAATAACTAAGTAAAATACATCAAACCGCAAATCATCTTCCAACGTACTCCAAAAGACTTCTCTTTCGACAGGCCATTCATGAAGAAATTGAAAGTAACTGGGGCTTTTCACTTGAGAGGGATTGACTGAGACTGCTAGATTGGAGCGCCCTTTGCGAGTTTAAATAGTCTCGATGTATTATCTTTCTGTTTCAGGGGTTTATTTACAAATCAGTCAGTGGGTTCTGTTCAGGGACTTCGAGGTTCTGGAGACCAGCGAGGATCCCAAGAGCCAGTTTGGGCTTTCTAAGATCTACGATTCCTCTATACTATCATGTGTAGGCTATAATATCATTTAGTGATTTCCGTGCGAATATTTCGTATGACGTCTACTGATACATGTACTATGTATCGACTATCATGCCAGCAATGTCTACAGATTGCTTGGACAAGAAAGAATAGGGCTCCATGTAAGGAGTTTAATCTGATTAGAATGAACCTGTTATGACTTTATACTGTTATTAACAAGCCTTCCAGGCCAGGATAGCCACAAATAATCAACACTACGTTCTCACTTTCGAATCCTATTCTTTTAATCAGTATTATGCATTTTGATGGGGAAACATTGGCATGCCATTCTACTAGTAGGTATTCAGTATCAAAATTCAAAATATATCTATAATAGACTAGCGTTAATTGGTGTTCCGAGAATTCCTTGACTCTTGGGATATCCAGGACCGCTCCCATGAACATCTGGGCTTGAGCTGTCTTTCGACGGAGAAAGCCCAGAATAATGTTGGCCATGTTGGTGCAGCGCGATAGTACAGCATTTCCTCCTGGGGAAAAGGTCGTGGGCATCAGAAGGAAAAATAGCCTCCCTGATTCGTCATTTTCGTGATGGCAGTGCTGGGTTTTGTGGGGAGTGTGGCGGGCAAAAGTGAACTCGGAGTGGAGCAACGGGCAAGGGGAGACCGCTAGTTGGGGTGCAGGTTATTGAGGTTACTCACTCAGGGCACTCAGTCTTCCGCTCACCCCGTGCTCAGTGATCGCCTCAGGCTGCTCAGGGCGTGCTCAGGTCTACTCAGTGAGCAAAAAGCGGCGAGGGGTGAGCACTAAAACGGAAAGGGAAGGCTGTCGACCTGGCGAGAAAACCAAGTACGTATGTAAGTATTATCTTTATAATAATCAATCTCCATTATGACAATCAACATCCAGGTTGAGTTGACTATGTACAAACCCTCCACAAGAAGATAAAATACATCGAAGAGAACATCTCACCACACTAATCACCAATCACCAATCACCAAGCAGCTAAGCAGCTAAGCACTAAGAGCTCTCATAAGTAACCTTCAACTCCGTGTTACTAACAATAGTAGGAGCAGCCTGAACATGATCACTAGTACTATCCTCAACGGCATACAACTCCGCACCATCCAAGTTAACAGTCTTACCGCCGGCCTTAGCAACGCAACCAGTAAAGTACGCCTCACCAAAGTCAATAAGAGTCAATCCATCACCATCAACACTCAAATCCTCAAGGATCCACTCAGCCGTCTGACCAACCAGAGTAGCCGAAGTGGACGGGGCCGAGGCCGTGGCCGTCACGTTCTTGCCCGTGGTCAAGTTCTCCAGGATAGCCACGCCCTCGCTGCTGGAAGTCGACTCCACACTGGCGACGATCACATCGCCGATGCTGAAATCCATGTCGAAGCTGACCGTGTCGGCCGGGTACCATTCGTACCAGCCGAGGAAGCTGGTCTCGCCGTTTTCGACGTAGATGTCGACACCGGCCTGCCAGATCTGGTTCTGGCCCGTGGCGCCGTCAATGCCGACCCAGAAGGAGGCCGACTGGGTGTCGTCCGAGGAGGCGGCGGTGGGGGTCACTGAGGGGAGGGTGAAGGTTGCGGCGACGTAGCTGAAGGTGGCCGTGCCGGAGGTTTCTTGGATGGCTCCGGCCCAGTTCTCGTTGACGTAGTAGTCGTCCGAGGAAGAGGAGGAAGAGCTGCTGTGGCTGGCGCTGGAGGTCACGGCCGGGGCGACCTGGCTGGCGGTGCTGGCCTGCGCGGTGGGTTGAGCTTGGCTTTGGGTCTGCTGGCCCTGGGGCTGGTAGCCGCCGAAGCTGGGCTGGGCTTGGCCGTTGAAGCCTTGGTTGTCGCTGGGAGCTCCGGGGAAGTTGTCCTGGGAGCCGTCGTTGCGGGATTCGCTGATCTTGTGGCCGTGAGGACCGGCCAGAGCGGGAGCAGCCAGAAGGGCTGTCAGAGCCAGAGAAGAAGTGAACTTCATGGTGGTGGTGGTGTTGAGACAAAAGAAAGGGTCAAATGAATGAATGAGCACTGCTCGGGTGGGAGAAAGAGTGATTAGACAGATACCTGATCTGGGATTGATGGGATGGAAGAAATCGACATAGCAGGGAGGGAGAGGTTTTATATCTGGTGACATGATGGAATGGATGGGTCCATTGGTGGTGTTCCAGACCTGAAACATCGAGCGGCAGTTGTGGAGTCACGGAGATTGACGTTTGTGGTTGATGGGCCTCGGCGTTTCAGGGGCACTTTTGACGCCGATTGGGAAATTTAAGCGGCGATCCAGCGAATCCACTTTATAGCTTAATGGTAGAAAGCTCAAATGAACGGGCTGGATAGTGCCTGTTCAGCCCAATGCGTTGAGAGAATGCTCCACTGGGTCGGCGAGATGGACGAAAATGGCAAGAGAGGCGAATCAGGGGCAGCAATCAGTGTGCTTTCTCCTGGTGGAGTGTCTAGCCTTGTCCAGGAGCCCATTTAGCACTGGGCAGATGGTGTTTGTATAGGCATGCAGCCTGGTGTCAGGAACGTGCTCAATGAGGGCTAAGTCGGAATAGACTTTCCAAGTTGCAGGTTCCAGATCGAACGCATGGAGAATATCAAAGTTAAGTTTTCCAGTCAACCGATCAAGCATTTCCCTGCATACAGCCTCTCTCTGTCTGGAAAGTCCAGCCATGCTAGTTACCTTCATCCACCGCTGGCACCTCCAACCTCTCCCAAGTCCCAACAGAAGCGGGTCCACCAGCGGTAAGCTTTTTCCATACTTGTGCATGACCTTGTCACCTTATGGCTAAATTCCTATTCTTGTCACGCAATCTATGCTAATCTGTTTTGATTGACTCCTGGTGGGCCACTATTGCCGGCCCATTCGGGGTATCGAAGCCCCAACCGGCAGTTCTCATGCCGCTTACCTAACAAGATAAACCCATCATTCGGATATGCCAATATCGCGATTGAAAGCCAAGCATAGACATCCTCGAGAGAAGCCAAGGTTACTGGGTATGAACACACCCCGGCAGGAAGCCATTCACACTCTGCTTGAAATTGACTGCGTAAAAGCTAATCTGTTCAGAACGACAGTCAATTTCGGGGATTCGACCAGGTCTAATTGTCATGCGATGGGGAATCAGCTATCGATATTGGTGCTGAAAGGGAAATACCATGAATAGTCGGTTAAACCTAATGGCAAGGATGGTTTCCCACTCAGACAGGCACATCAGCAGTGTCTATAGGGTATCGGTTCTGATAGAAGCCTATGACCAACAGCGAGTCATCGCAAAAGTTCAAACCATCTATGAATCACATCTTTGCTAAGCTTAAGAAGAAATCATGGTCAGTCATTGCTAGGAGTACGCAGTTCTCCGGCGAAGCAGTGACTCGTAGCAACCATTCAACCTATGTTCAAGGAATTTGGTCAAAGAGACGCGTCATAGCATACTTTGGTGCTGTATGAAATTAATGACAAAGATTTGCAGCAGCCATATCCTGCTTGATCAGGAGGTCTACAAGCGTATTGCCGACATTGAGATTCATTTCAGAGTATCTCACTATGCATGTCTCTGGTGAATGGCCATTCCAGAGAGCGAACAACCCCTTGTTATTGCCGAGACCTTGAGAGACTGCTCTGTTACAGGGTTAAGGCCTGTAGTCTTCTCTGAACCTTGCAATGAGCATTGACGCTGATGGCCTATTTGGTGTGGCTGTAATCAAAAGTGGTAGCGATACGCTCCTGGTATGACGGAAATGCCTCGCAACGCGATCTGGACTTCTCGGAAACCTTTCTGGTTTCGATGACCGATGTTTCGTCCGACAGCGGGCCTCTAGTTGCAGTACAGCTTCTAGAAACCTGTAGCAGTTTGTTCGAATAAGGGGATCGGCCAATCTAGAAGGCTATACGGGAGAGTCGAGGTTGGTTCTCGGATCTCGGATATCCCGAGGAGAAACAGCGGATTGTTGGACTGCCTGAGGGATACATCACGTGCACCCTTGGCTGGATTGGGCAAGTGGCCCGGCCAACTGGCTCCACTTCCCCTCGGCGGGATCTTCCAGTTTCATCGCATTCCTCTCTTCAGCATCCATACTCACCACAATCGCGAGTAACACTTTGTACAAGTTGGTCTTACAGTGGACAAACCATGGTCTGACCTGGCGGACAATCATCTCTGGCGACCGAACTGTAGTGACAATCATCATCTGCTCTAACGATCACGAACCAATCTCTGCTTTGGTACATAAACACACTACAATGTAGTACCGGAATAGTGGAACTGACCCTTAGCTCGTCCAGGCCGGGTAATGCAGTCCATCCCCACTGATTATGGATTCGAAAGCCACTCTGGGCATCCAAAAAGCCGTCTGGGACGGAAGGTTGCCGTTACAGATCACCTTGGCTCCATCCGAGAGCCGCACCTATGATCAGACAGATCCATATCTTGTATTTGCTCCCCTCTACTTGAATGAAGTTAAGCTAACTCTGTCAGATCTCCTGCCCTCGTATCTCATACCTGCCATCACTATTACCAAGGTTGAGGGCTTTCTTTACCTCCTCCTTGATTGATCCCAGCTCCCGTGCTCACGAAGGCTGGTTCTCCTTCGAGGGCGTTCCCCTGAAGTGGCATTATCCTGTTGGCCTTCTCTATGACCTTTACGCTGGAGCTGACCCTGCCTCCAAAGGAGGCGCCGATACCGACCTGGCATCCACGGATCAAGACCCATTACCATGGTGTCTGACTGTGCATTTTAGCGACTGGCCAGATGAAGAACTTGTCCGGCTTGATGCAGAGGGGGTAGTGATGCACGACGCGTTTATTAACAGCGTCAAGGAAGCGGATTTTCTAAGGAATGGAACAGCCAAAGGAATCATGACTCTGTCAAAAGAGGATTCTGGGGGGCTTTGGGAGGCTGTTCGAGATGGTACGTTTCTGTCTTATTTCTCATATGCCTTCCAGATGAAGAGCAACAGTGCTAACAGTATGTTCAGTGGACCTCCCATCTTTCCAGCGAATATCCAACATCCTAATCCCACCACCATCGCAACCTTTTCGCAACGTCCCGATTCGACTTTTTCTTCCCCTTCCCCCGGACTCAGGATCACCTTCTCTTAAAGTGGTTCAGTCACCCATCCCGCCATTCATTCCGCCAGCCTCCGCATCTGCAATTATCGCAGCAAGTCAATCCATCCTAACTACAAGAGGACCTCAACCGCAGACCATAGGATCCGCATTGCACTCGCTACTACCGCATCTGTTTCCCAGTCGGAGGACCCCTGTCTTGGCGAAGCCCGTGCTGCATGGGGCAGCAGTGCCCATGGGGGCACCGGTGGAGGAAGTGGTGAGATGCTCGGGGTATGGTGATGGGTGGGTTTATATTGTGATCAGAATGATGGGATAATATGTTGGGACACAGAGTCTTCGTTCCGTCTGTTCTCCAGATGGCCAGCGGATTTCCGTTTTGGCCTACTGGTATGAACTTAACATAATATATTGATTGCCTCATCGGCGAGGCTCAACTGCAATTAGCCAGCCTGTCAGCCTGTCATGCCGGACATTGCTATTAGATAGCGTCGACTTATCCTAATCCTCCGAGTCATATGTACAATTTATCACAACTTCAACCCTCATCTTCTCTTTACTTGTCGTTGATTTGCGATGGCTACCTACCGAGACCACGGGGCTGACCTTAGCCTGAGGCGCTATGGGGCCCCGCGTCCGCCGCCGTGTCGCGTCTCCGATCCCCTCGATCGCACGCGCTCCCACCGATCTCTTCGCATATCGCGCCCCTCGATATCATGAACTCGGAGTTGAATTCATTACCTGCCTTTTACGTGAAATGATACCTTATTCACCTTTCAGGATGGAAACGCATGAACACGAGTCTGCGACCTTCAGCAGCGACTATACGGTCGGATGATATGCGCACTGCCAACTGAGCTGGCTGCCACCAAGGCCATGCTCGACGAATATACCAGCTCTGCGTGCTTCCGAATGATTATACCGCGTATTCTCTGGGAAGGATCAGCGTCACTATTGCAATCGTCTGTATGTCTAACGGCGAGTACGGCATTACTTCAGCAGTCCGGTTGCAGTGCAGATACTACCACCCTTTATCCCATTCCTCTCGACTTGTTGGTGGGCATTGGAGGGCATTCCCAATGATAACATGAGTTTCCGTCCGGGTAATATCGCTGTGAGCAAGCCGACCTGTAATCACGGAGGGTTGTGCAATATGACTTGGGGAGGCTCTTGGGCATGATCGCTTTCAACGAAATGGCATGCTCAATATTCCGCTCAGGATCCGTTAAGATTGATGCACTCCCTCTATCAACGGTAACTGATGCTCCGCGAATTTGATCGACCTATCTAATGTGACATGGCTTTCCTAGTTCCCTCGAACCGGAACGCAGTTCATCCAATTCCCTTCGATAGGAACATACGAGCTACTGGTCAACATGCCGAACGAGCACATTTGGGAGCAAGATTCATTATAAGTCGTTCAAGGAAAGTCGCTATCTGTGGACAACTTGGTGTGAGGAAAGCATGTATTGTGCTAGAACTGGCCTACAGAGATCGAGAGAAATGCCTTGGCTGGTCCATCTTTCGTATCTCATCGCCTAGCATATGGAGTGTAGGATAGCGCTCGCAAAGCTGCTCAATTGTATGGGTTTCAGGGAGACACGCAGATATGAAGTCACAGGTAGTATCCAACCTTGGTCAGAAACATATCGAGCCGTGGCTTCTCATCATCGGCAATGCAGATGACACACATATGAATGAGGCTGGACGGGGGATTGGATTCCTACACTGAAAGGCTAGTTGCTATCCAGTGGCAAGGCTATATGTTCTTCAACACAAGGATCAGCACCTCGCAATCACTTTATATACTTGTGATCCGATATCCATGGAACAACCGCACATGATACCCCTAACGAATACCTCCTACAAAGGTACTTGTCTATAACATTGAGGTTCCGAACACCTCCTGCAGCTTAACCTCCTTCCGTTGGCAATATACCGGCAGCTGCCTACGTGAACGAGACTGGCGTGCACATTTCGGTCTATTTTGCACTCTTACAAGAGCAGGACACAGATTTGTTAATCTCCCTAATGAAGGCTTATACGATGACGGACGATACCTCGACACCCAGAACCCAGTGGTCACTACCTGGTTTGTCTCCATTCGCCAAACATGGGTGTCGAACCCACGGGTGACGGAAGTCAACTTATATATCATCCATTGCCGTATAGATCATCGTCATTCCTTTCCAATTCCTTCCTCCAGTAGTGAACCCAACTATGCAGACCTGCCTATTCATATATTACAAGCAGTCTAGCGATCAACTCCCAAATCTCCACCCATTTGTTAGCCTTACAGTCAGGAGTCGGCTGAAGAAGGAAGACATGTATGTACTACCGACTCAATGAGTCCGTTAGAGAGCTGCGAAAGGGCCCTGGGCCCAGACCATCCCAGCACAGTGAGCTTCAGTTCCAACTCTAGCTCCAAGTATGATCTGCACACATCTACTATATATATCCAGAAACGCTCGGGCTAAACAGACAATCTCAATTCACAGGTGATGGAGATCAATAGCAAGGTGTTTGTTTAAACTAGACTGTCCGCAGCCAAGGTCAGCCTAAAACCTCGACATGCAAATGACAGTATATAAAAATGGGAAGTTGCTTGGCTCAACTATTCCAATATACGCACTCACGTACTTGAACAGTGCGCTCTCAGGGGATACAGAGTGTACAGCTGCAGCTGCAGCTGCAGTTTGTAGGGAGAAGCAAGGAGTAATTTGCCAGGATTACACCATCCAGAGATATTACTCTCCAGCACGGGGTAATCTGGAAGGAAATGGGTCGTCATGCTGAAGCTGACAGCTTGATGAGTGAGTCTCGTATATGCATCAGGTGCTGTCAGAGGATAATATCATACTTTGTGTTATTTCGCGACATTTCAACAATCAGTAAAGTCTGAATCAGTTTACTCTGTTAGCTGAATGATTAGTGAACCATTCATCCATTATCAAACAAAGCATTTGATGCCATACAGCGTAGTCATATACATTCTATCTATCCATGATAATTAACCCGAACTACGGAGTAAATGCCACTAATTAACCCCACCCGACATCCACCCACTTACTCTACCTATCTAGGTAAACAACTCCATCCCAACTTCCAAGTAAATATCCACCGGCACAAGAGCACTCAATTCCACACCCACAGCACAATCGAGTTCAAATTCTCAGGCCCGAATCCCCCAATTCCCAAGAAACAACCAAATCAAACCGAACAACCCTCCCCCAAAAGAAAGACCACCAAAAATAACCCCGTCAGATCAGCCCATAACCACCTACCCCTCACCAAAATCAAATTCAAGACATCACCATCACCATCACCAATCCTAAAAATAACCCGGCTGAAAGGAGACGACACCCAAGATTCTAAAAACAGCTTCAACAAAAAAAAAAGGAAAAAAAAAAAGAAAGAAAGAAAGAAAGAAAGAAAGAAAGAGAAAAGTAAGATCAAAAAAAATCAAAAAAAAAAAAGATAACCGCCCACCTCACCCACCAAACCCCCCCAAGTACACACACGATCCTTCCAACACAAGCCCAAGCCCAAGCCCAAGCATGCACCTCTCATCACACGAAGCGTAACGAGCAAGAAACCAACCAAACCAAACCAACTCAACCCAAAAAAAAAATCCAACAAGGCCGACAAAAAAAAAAAGAAGTGATAAAAACCCAACCAACATGCATACCTACATCCTACCTACCTACCTACCTACCTACCTACCTACCCCTCATCTCTAAGCGCCGAATAAACCCGCCATCCGGGAACGCAACCAATAGCCGCCCAGAAATACATTAGCAGGGAAAATGTGATGAGAGAATCACCTTCCTAACATATGCACTGTGACGGGTGTGTTTATTGGTGGTTTTTTTTTTTATTTTTAGGGGAGGGGAGGGGAAGGGATTGGTAGATAGGTGGGTAGATAGAGGGGGGGGGAAAGAGGGAATGAACGCGGATGCGCGAAGGATGGATGAATGGAAGGTATGAGTCAAGGCTTTTTTTAGGATATTGGGAGATGGATGTGCAGTCAGTATGCATGGTTGGGATGTTTGTCGGGTTTGGCGTTTAATTTTATGTCCGGATGTATGTTTTTTCTGTCTGTCTGGGATGAATCTATCTTTGGGTGTTGGGTCTGTGCGGGAGAGGATTGGGTTGACTTCTTTGATTCTGAGATGTAGGAAGAATTAGAGGGGGTGGGGGGGTGATTGTCTGTAGAGGGTGTTGCTGTGTGGGTTGATGTTGGCTCTTGAGGTACGTCATTGTTTATTCGTATACGGAGCACCTCTAGAATTATGGGCCGTAGAGGGAATCGCCCAGGAGATGTTAGTATCAATGTTGGCTATGCTGGGATTCAAGGGTCGGCACATTTTATTTCCCTTGAGATTACGAAACCAGCTTAATTGAATAGAATCCAAGTCAAGTTCGTTATCATTATTGACATTAAACTACCTATCCCGCGAGTTCTCACTATTTCATGTATGTATCAAGCTCAAACAAACAATCCATTTATCAAACATTCTGGTGTGTACATTGTAGTTGCTCATGTGGAAGTATCCGGGTATTGGGTATATGTCATGGCCGTCCTGCGACTATGCGTCTTGTGGTCGTTCAGTCGTAACAAAGATCGGGGCGCCAAAGGAAAATCATAAAAAACCAGAGATCTCGGGTAGGATAGAATACAATGGCAGTAACATGATGAACTGAACTGGGTCGGGGACAGTAACCATGAAGCTGGAGGAGAGAATACTCAGATAAAGTTTCCTTCGGGACGCATTTCGTAACCATCGTCTCTGCCCTTCTTGAGGGCCTTGGCGAGCATCATATCGCGCATCCAGTCAATGCGCTCGTCACGGGTCCTCACGGCAAAGTGGTGGCTCTTGATATCCTTGTTGCCAAACAGCATCTTCTTTTCGTTCTCCTTAGAGGCCGGCACGAGGGAGAAAGTGAAGGCTGCGTCGCCTTTGCCAGGGTTGTTCCCATTGCGTAGGATGGACTTCTTGAAAGCAGCAGTAAGCTTCGAGCTGGAGGCCAAAGCCGAGCAGGCAACAGCATAGTCCTCAACATCGATCTCATCCAAAGCCCGAGAGCGGCGAAGAGCAGCGTACTCATCCCGGTGCATGGCCAAGTTAGTTCCACGCAGGGTGAAGTGTGCTTCCTGCCAGTCGTGTCGAAGGAACCGGGCTGGCTTGCGCTTCCGCATATATCCACTCCGGGTCACGTCAGGGTCTAGATTAGCCACAACACTGTTGTTACCCGTCTTGTGGCCGATGCGGGGGCTTCTTTTCAGGTCGGCCGGGTCATCAATGGGTGTGAGGGGCTTGTCCTCTTTGACGCGACGCAACGCCATGCCGGGATGGGCGCGAACAGAAGGAGACCGCGAGATAGGTCCTGGATAGCGAGCACGCATAAAGTTGCCATAACGCATGTCGGGGGGAACAGACTGGGAGGTTTCACGGGCGATGGGCCCATCCATCTGGGCGGTTACGGGAACATCCACCTCGGTGAACGGAGTGCCCTGGCGATAGTAATCGACTGGCGGCATATTCCGTGCATTACTGAATGGCCCGTACTCCTGTACCACGGTCGGAGAGCCATACATGCGGCTGGCCATGGATGGAGTAATGGTCCGCTGGGCCGTCACCGCCGTGGTCAGGTCGTCCGAGTCTGAATCGGTGGGTATCACCAACTTCGGGAGACTACGAAGATTGGCAGTCATGTTGTTCGTACGAGTAGCTGGAGGAGGTAGGAAAGGTGCAGCCACGTTAGGAGCCACCTTGGGTGGCACAGGGGGGGCAGGGGAGATGTCAGATTCAGAGTCCGAGTCCGAGTCGGAATCTGAAGAGTGTTCGAGATGTTGGTAGCTAAAGAATTGACGCATCTTTTCTTGGGGATCCAGCTTCCGGATCTCGTTTAGAGCTTCTTCAGACAGTCTCGGAGTAACTACTCCAAGCACATCCGACGATGCTACCACTGAAGGCTCAGTATCAGACTTGGGTCGCAACATGTTCTGTGCTGTCTCGGGATTTCCGGGATTTCCGGTGACGATGCTTTGTCCAGGAACAAGGACCGCATCGGGATATTCGGCAGCCAATTTCTCCATCTGTCGCTTGTATCTTCGGTATTTGGGACAGCTCTCACCCTTGGAGCAGTTGTGGGGCTTGGGGAGGACTTGTTCGATACCGACGATGGAGACGGCCTCTGTTTCCGTGAGCTGATTGCCATTGGGTTGACGTGAAATCACTTCACCCGTCGGAGACACAGATGCTGCATATGACTGTCTTCTGGAAGACTCCCTGTCCAAGGAAGGTTCTCTGTCCCTAGAAGGTGGGCTTTTCAACATAGTGTTGCGCAGGTGATCAATTGAGGCCATGAGTTGATGTCGTTTGCCAAATGATTGGATGCCAAGTTCTTTGAGGTCATCAGCCCGAAGGTTGAGCAGTACATTGCCAGCAATGTCGTTGATGATGAACCTGTCAATCACGGACTCATCGTACCCAGCAATATGCATCCAATGGGCGACCTGGCTCGGTGCCCAACCTCGGATTTCACTCTCCTCGACCTGGGAAACATCCGGATGCACAGTCTTGTAAGCTTGGGGGGTGCATGGAGAGAACGCATATCTGCGTGAGCTCGATACATCGGACCCAGGAATTTGTGTACTCCCAATGCTTGAACCGGTGTGCTGGGGGGCATCAAAGTTGGATCTGGGAAACTGAGAGCTTCCAACGCTCGAGCCAGTATGTTGAGGGGCCTCAAAGTTGGATCTGGGAAACTGGGAGCTTCCAACGCTCGAGCCAGTATGCTGAGGGGCCTCAAAGTCAGAGGGGATGTAATGAGAGGTCCCAACATCTGACATAGGGAACTGTGTACCCCCAATGCTCGAACCAGTGTGCTGGGGGGCATCACTATCTGATTCAGGATAATGAGACGCTCCAAAGTTTGATCGTGGGAACTGGGAGCGGGAGCTTGCAACACTCGAGCCAGTGTACTGAGGGGCCTCGATATCCGATGCAGGATAGTGGGAAGCCCCATGGTTTGATCTCGGGAACCGGGAGCTCCCTACGCTCGAGCCAGTGTATGGAGGAGCTTCAATGTCCGATGCAGGGTAGTGGGAAGTTCCAAGCTTTGATCTCGAGAACTGTGAGCTCGCGACACTCGAACCAGTATACTGAGGAGCCTCAACATCTGAGGGGGGATAGTAGGGAGTCCCGAGGTTCGACCTTGGAAATCGAGCACTCCCAATATTCGACCCAGTGTACAGTGTCTCGACGTCGGTAGGCAAAGGTGTCTCGACATCGGACGGAGGGAACTGCGGAGTATCTAGGTCGGACTGGAACTCAGACCGCCTGGGAGATCTTTCGAAATAGAGGTCAATCTCCGTCGACGGCACCGAACTGGTTGAAACAATCGACGATCTGAAGAGGTGCGGGCCAGAGGGGCCTTGGGTTGATTTGCGGTAGTAAGCAAAAGGCTCACGTGGGGCATGGTCTGGAGTCGGCAGTTCTGGTGTAGAAGCAGAGGAGACACTATCGTAACCAAACTGTAGGTTCTGGTCAGCAAGAACGGTATGGGCGCAGTTATGTGAAACTTACCGAGCCCATGCTCATGCGTGGAGACTCGTCATCCGACTCGCTGTATTCAAAGTCCGTATCATCGAAATCAGTGGTTGCAGACTGGCGGGCTTTCACCACTGTGAAAGCCGGCTGGAATTTCTTGGTGTTTGTCATGTCGAGAGACGCAGGCGGTGCCTTGCGCCGTGTGCGTCGTGCTTGCTAAAACCAAATAAGATCAGCATGTCACCCAACGGACGAAACAGAGACGGGAAATGACTTACCATGGTGAAAAGTAGAGGGGGAGAGATAGCGAGAATTTAAGTAAAGAATTGGATTGCCAAGTTGCCAGCAGAAATGGGGATACACAGGGCTTGGAATTATCATCCAACGCCTGTGCGAGATAGAGAAGGGTACACCAAAGAAAAAGAATGGTATCACACAGTGAGACCGTCCACGCACTCGGAAAGAAATCAGGAGGCAGGACGAGGAAGGGGGTCCTAGGGTCATCTGCAGTATATGTATATGGGAGAGCGAGACTGGCAGCCTTGACCGACAGGATGGCGGGGAGGTGAAACATGATCGTGCGAACGCAATCCTGCCTGACCGAATCGGGGGTCAGAGCTTGGGAGGGCTCAATCCTGACCTGCAGGGATATGAAACGCAGCAGCATCGTCCTTGTCAGTGACCGGAGGAATCGCCGCTCAATGGCCAGGAGGATGAGCGGACAAGGTGATGAAGAGTGATCACCTTGCAGTAGTCCGGAGGTCAACACGGTACTCCCGCCCCGGGTTGTCCAATAAATTGGCGCCGGGGCAGAAATCACGCAGGAAACCAGAGGCAGAGGGACGAGGGAGAGATGTGAGAGGTCGAGCAAGAGCCGTTGCCGTTCCTCTACGCGCCGGGCTGGCGATGCGCAGTGGCTTCCAGGCCCGTGACTGGTGGAGCCTTAGCGCCTGGCCCGCACGGCAGCCATCCCTGCACTTCCCTCTTCCCCTCCTCCTCGTCCTCTTCCCCCTACTAGGTACCACCTCTATACCCTCTGATTCGGCTCCTCCTCGGCGTTACCTGGCCCAAGACCTTGAATCTCGAGCAATTAAATATCGCACGAATCCGCCGAATCCGCCCTCACTCGTCTGGTTATCCTGAGCCAATCCTTTAGGTTGGTGGCTGGCCATCCTACGTCTGTTCGCCTTGGGCGCTTCGCATGCTATTCACTCCAGGTAATGGTTCCGAGCGTCAAGGTGTTCATCTCCCAGTATCCTCGGCAACCTACTTAGCGGTGGGCAGTCCATCATGCTCGAGTGATACATCGATTGCCGGTTCCCTGTACCAATTGCGGAGCCAGCCTTCCCCAACCCACGTTGGTTGCTCTTCACCGAACAATCCCTATCTCATACACCGTGCCTTTAGTGCTCTTTTTCCACTTGCTTTGTTCTTATTAACGCTAATCTTCTGATGCTATTGTTTCTCTACAATAGATTTGTTTTAATTTGAACGTCGTTAGGAGATTGGATTCGGGTCTTTCATTTGGTTTTGTCGTGTAGATTTTACTTTTCCCTAGCAGACTGTGTTAACGTGGTTCAAATAATTGCAGTATGTGATGTAGGCAAGCGGCTGCATTGATGTGATGAGTTTCCCGCCTCGACAGGTGCCAGATGTGCAGCGAGACACCAGCAACGGATAAATTTTGTACCCATGCCTAGGCAACCAGCAGCATAAAGATAGTAACCCAGGAGATACACTCGGTAGGTAACAAAAAATCAAATGAGACTGCGAAAGCAAACTCAAGCCTTGAGGGGGATGGATGATCCCATGTACAATGGTTACTCGGGCAGTTGGAAGGTCCTAAGCGGCTATTCTCTAAAGAAAGATTGCATCTTCATTTAGTATCACCTTCAAGAGAGACACTGAAATCCATAACTTAAGCGCAGAACAACTGCGAGGCCGGTTAAGTGATGGAAACGGTCAACTCATAAGCGGTGGGTGTGATTGTGACGAGTGCCACTAGGCTACATTAGCTGCTTTCCGGAACCTGGGCGTACACAGTACTGCCGGCTTGGTTGGCTGTCAGTTGAGGAGCAGAGCCAGTTCTACCTGTTGGGCATACCCGTGACTTCCACTAGTTCATGCTACTTGACTGCGGTCGCTATTTTCTTAAGAATTGCAATGTAGAGGTGATATTGGCGTCTCGAGAAGAATTGCTTGTGCAAGCATTCAGCGCAAGGCAATCAATTCACCTGGGCATCCCATCTGTAGGCATAGGGGACCAACCGCGCAGTTGATCCAAAATTAGAACATCAGAACATCATTCGAAGTAAAACTTGCACTCAACTGCTGTATGTTGCCTGACTGGGAATGTTGATTCCAAGGGCAGCGGTTCCGAGGAGCTGGTAACCCAACGCATCTCTCAGACAGAGATGCTATTTTCGTATATCCATCTGAAACTATCACTTTGATGCAATCTATTAAAAGAACACTGCTGATGATACTCATGATCTGATGCTGAAACAGTAGTGAAGAACTTTATTTAGAACTCACGATGCTATAGACTGATCGTGGATGCACTATCTTGATAGCCATGCTTGTTCAAGGATCAATAGCGTGCTGAATAGGATCATTTGACTGGAGGATGACCTGCAGGAAGTTATGAATAGCACACGTTGATGGAGAGAGATACTCGGAAAGTGCCTAAATCGTGTTCTATTCTTGTCACTTCCACGCTTCTGGCACCACCACGTTTTCCGGTCTCTATTTGCTGGCGAGCGTTCTGGCGGTTCCCCGGCGGTTAACCAAGACCACACACTGGCGGATAGGAGGTCATTCATATTCCGGGCGCTTGGGGTACCCCGCTCTGTGAATGTTACTGCAGCAGGAGAGTTATATTTAGGACTCTGAAATCTGAAGGGCAGCTGTCTACCTAAATATAACCACAAGCTAACGATCCGGGGACCAATAAGCCGGGGGAGTTTAACGCAGATAATAGCCCCCCCTGGTCGGCAACCCTCGTGCAGCCCGGCGGTTAAGCATTGCTAATTAAGGCTTGCCGGCTCATCCAAGCGTCTCCGATCCGCCCCGCCTCTGCACGGGCCGAGGCCCAGCTCCACCAGGGCCTGCCTGATTGGCCTACCCTGACCAGGGGCCTGATTATCTCGTCGCGCGTTCATCACAATCCATCACGACCCGGCGACTAACTGATCGATGGAAGGCACAAATGGCAGACCTCCGCAAAAATCATAGAAAAATCGTAAAAATATGGGAAAAGTATCAGCACGTAGAAGAAGCTGTCCAGAAGGTCATGTTTGTGTTGAGAAATGCTAGAAGCCGTGCACGGCCTGACAGCATGACCGGGTCGACTTCATCAACCTGGGCGGCTAACTCCTCGGTTTGGAAGCACGAAAAACAACTCTTAGTGCGCTGCCAATCAGCGAGAAACGCCGTTTAGTTCACACCCCGCGCTAACTAGAGCCATTAGACCCTGACCAGAACCTCACACCATCCACCCGACCATGATCCCTGCAGCCATCAACTCCTCCGTGCGCGTCTAATGGCATACCTGATCAGCATTTCACTCCCAGGCATTATTTTGTCCACCACCATCATCCATACTATATCCCCCGCTAGCTTAGACTCGCTCTAGTATCAGTTCCGGTCTATCATGCCGATACTGATTTGCTGTTTCAATTTGTCTCCACTCGAGGTTCGCATCTTCCGGGGTTTTTTGAAACAATACCCCCGTCTATCTGACCCCTGGGATGGCAAAAATAGAAGCATGGCGTTGATACTACTTGATCAAGACCGGCTTCTCATATACATTACCTTGGTTTATACCCAGATGGACCGAAGTCATAAAGACCGGCTTCATCCTCCCTCATCGTCTGTGTCTTCCCATGCACTGCTGTTGATTCAATCAGTTGACAACAACAAGATCATCATCCAGTTCCCAATATCTTTCTTTACTTTTCTATCTTCATATAACTGTCTCTGTGCAACTGCACTATATCATCTCGCCCTTCTTGGCAACGATTGAGCTCTGGTCGCTTGACCTTCACGCTCCTGTGGGAGGGGCTCCCCAGCGTCGCTGCATAGCACAAGATGTCTTTTGTGGCATCGTCCCCTACGGCGTCGTCCTCTGGGCTGTCGTCCCCTATATCCTTTGGGTCCTCCTTCTCGGTCGAAGACGTCGCCGAGGACCGCGCTACCGCGGAAGCAAGCGACGTACCCGAGTCGTCGGGGCAAGGGGCGCGACGGGGAGCAGCACGACGGGGAGCAGCACCAGGAAGCGCTAGAGGATCAGCACGGGGAGTAACAAGAGGAGGAAGGGTGACTAAAGCTGCAAGGGGAGCAAAGGCGGCAAGAGGAGCAAGAGGGACTGCACGAGGGGGGACCAGAGCCGCTGCACGAGGAGCAGCAAGAGGTGCTGCACGAGGGGCAGCGAAAAGGGAAGCAAGAGGGGGGCGAAAAAGGGAGCCAGTGGAGGGGCAACGGGGGCAACGAGGGGAGCAGGCGGAGGATCCAGAGGAGGGGCCAGAGGAGGAGCAAGAGGCGCAGCAAAAGGAAAAGAAGCAGCAAGAGGAAAAGAAGCGGCAAAAGGAAAAGAAGCAGCCAAAGGAAAAGAAGCAGCAAAAGGAGCAACAGGAGGGAGCGCACGAGGGGGGGAACCAAGTGCGGCGGGAACCGCAAAGGGCAGCCGCTCACGCTCAGGTACTTACCATCCAACTCTCAACTTACGCACCATTGTTCTGTTGGGATACAACGGCGCTTGTGTCTGGGCTTTTATTTCATCTGGCGGTAACTAACCCTGTCTGTGCAGGCTGCTTCACCTGCCGTGTGAGAAGGAAAAAATGTGACGAGACCCGGCCAGTCTGCAGCTCTTGCTCAAAGCTCGCCCTCAAATGTCACTATAAAGCCCCCCAGTGGTGGGCCACGGTCGAGCAACGCAAGGCGCAGATGGGAAATATCAGCAGAAGAATCCGCCAGTCGAAGATCATCTCAAAGGAAGACAACCTGCAAGGTGAGTACCAGTCAAGCCTTGGCCCAAGTACCTGGCCTCTAACCCGTCGTGAACCCAGTGTACGTGAAGCGCGTCGGCGCCATGGCTCAGAAGGCCGCCCCGTCGTCGAGCTCTGAGCCCGTTGAGACAATGCTTGGAGAGGGATTCAACCCTTACACTTACACTGCTACCTCGATTACACCTCTCTCGCCCTACAATATCGATGTGACCACAGAGACCCAGGCATTCATACTGCCTCCCCAGGGCAACTCTACGGCTCCGGATTTTGCCTCGACTCCCACGACAGCCCCCGCCTCAGGTTCCTCTTCAAGCTTGCCCATCGACCCTTCTCTTGACTCCTTTGGTGGATCATCTAGCTCCTCCGTTGGAGTGCCATCATCTAGTCAGAGTCTGTCCTTCGGGACCACGAACTATACGGACCCCATGAATCCCTTGACGCCTATGACACCGATTACACCTGTGAACCCGATGCAATCCATGAACTCCAGCAACTTCATGAACCCCATGTATTCTATGAACTCCATGAACTCCGTGAATCCTATGACGCCGATAACGCCGATAACGCCCATGAGCTACATGGACCCTATGAACCCTATGGGATATATGGGCTACATGAACCAGATGAACCAGATGAACCAGATGAATCCGATGAACCAGATGAACCAGATGAGCTACATGAACTCTTTGAATCCGACAGGTCAGATGAATCAGATGGGCTCAACAAATTGGACGGACACTATGAATCCGATGGGTTCGATGAATCAGATGGGTTTCATGAACCAACTCAGTTCCATGGACCAGGGAGGCTCTACTGACCAGATGGGCTTCATGAATCAGATGGGCGCTATGAATTCAATGAACCCTATCACGCCCGTAACACCCATGAGCTACGTTGACCCTATGCCCACCCTGAACCTCATAGGCTCGACCAGCCCAATGGACCACATGGACCTGACAAATCCGGTGGATTCTATGAACTCGACGAGTCAAGCAGACTTCATGAGTCCGATCAACTCATTAGACCCCTTGAACCTGGCTAACTCAATGGACCCCATGAGCTCAACAAGCGAAGTGGACTTCCTGAACTCAATGGATTCGACAGATTCGACGAATCTGACCACCCCGGCGAACATGACGAACTCAATGGACTCTATCGACCCGATATACCCAGCGGAGCCCATGAGCCTGGTAACACCAGAGAGTTCCATGAATTCGTCAAATTCAGCGGACCTCATGAACTCGACAGGCCCAGTGAATTCCGAGAGCTCGACAACTCCAGCCGAGCAAATTCATCCAATGAATCCCCCGCCGGCACCAGTGCCAGCACCCGTCCAACAGGGAAGTTCAGGAAAGAGAAAGGTTGGCAGACCTCGAAAGAACCCCATCACGACCCAAGAATCTAGCTCGACCCAGAAATCCAAGTCGACCCCAAAAGTCAAGTCGACCCCAAAAGCCAAGTCGACCCAAAAGCCCAAGCCGACTCAGAAGTCCAACACTGCCCAGAGCTCCAATCAGGCCCAGAGCTCTCGCCAAATGGACAAGGGGCTCATGCAACAGAACCGAACCCTGACGAGCTACCTTCTGTCTCTCATACCTCTCTCTGATGATGACAAGCCTTTTCTTGAGCATTTCATCAATAAGGTTGTGCGGGTGGTGCTTCCCATCCCTGAAATATATCCAGGGAACCAGACACACGTGACAGAAATTGTCAACTCGCTGCAGAACAACCGTGCATATCTCCATTGCTGCCTCAGCGCATCTGCCATTCATCTCAAGGCTAGCCAGCGGTTGGACGACCAGCTGGATCCTGAGATTATGAATCATCGCTACACCGCCATATCACAGCTTTCACGAACCCTGTTACATGATAGCGGGGATATGCATGCATTGAATGGCACGCTTGCCCTGATTTTCTATTACAGTGCTGTCAGCAACCCGGATGACTATCTTCCTGACATTTCATGGAGACATCATTTCACAGCAGTGTGGAATCTCGTCAAGAAGCTTGACCGCCCGCCATCTCCATTCAATGTTTCCCTGATTGCTTGGATTGATATACTTGGCTCCACCATGGTAGGAAAAACGCCTGCTTTTTCTCATACCTACCGTACGAAGAATGCGAAGGGGATCGGATCTGGTCTTGAACGGCTGATGGGCTGTAATGACCGTCTCATGTATCTGATCTCGGAGATTGCGTGCCTTGAGGACCTTATAGCCGATCCTACATCCAACATGGACGAACAGGAGATCAGGAAACAGTTTGCGGGTCTCACTGCCCAGCTGAACTGGGCTGAGGACCCAAACCGGGGCTTCGAAGCCATCTACAATCCTAAAGGGGGTATCAAGCCGGACAAGCTGACCAAGCTCATCAGTGGGATATTTCAGCTTGCAGCCCGCATCTATCTTTACAGCGTCATGCCGGGATTCGATTACCACGACGGTACCATCATGAACCTGGTCAATTCTATCTCGGTCGATCTGACGTACATCCCGTCAGGCCCCAACGGGTTTGATCGCTGCCTAGCATGGCCATTGTTCATGGCGGGGGTGCACTCTACGCCGTCCAGCAATTTTCGAAGAGTCTTGACCGAGAGAGTGGCGGCTATGGGCTATCTTGCCAAGTTCGGCAGTTTCGGTCAAATGTACCGCATTCTGAAGGAAGTTTGGGTGGCCAGGGAGGGTCCACTCACTACGCCTTCGAATGCCGCCGAACCTCAGCCGGGCGAGTCCAGCGAGGGGGCTGATGGGGGTTCTCAACAACCCCCACCGGAGGAATGTCACTGGCGGGAGGTCATGAAGCGCAAGAACTGGGAATTCTTGGTCATGTAAGAGAGGAAGTCGGGCAGGGAAGCCGCAGGATTGGAAATCATCAAGGCAAGACTGACAGTGTCAGCACCTCTGGTAAGTAATTATGGGCGGGACTTGTGTCTGGAAGCTTAAAGGGTTGAGAGCTCACCGTGGTTGCTCCCCTGTTTCTTTTCGTATCTTTTTATTTATCATCTCTTTCGTGTTGATGTTCTGGTTTCACTTTGCTTGGTCTGAAATTTCAGTTGATCTGACTTGCTTCATTTCCTTACCACACTCGTTGATTCCCCATCTTTGCTAGCTAGCTGGTATATGACTTGTTTTGGACTGCCTTGTGCTGCGTTCTGCTTTGCTCTGTTCTGGTTGAATTTCCGCTGACATGCTCGCGATCACACGATGGTTCTGTTTGATTCATATTCTTTACTTTTCCCTTTACTCTTTCTTGGAACATCTTGTTCTTCCCTTGGCGTTGTTGGCTAGTGTCAACTCGTACGTTCCCTGATGCCTTCTTGATGAGGCCGCATGCTCACTGGTTGTTGCTTTCCTTTTATCCCTTTTCTTCTTTTTCCTTTTTTTAATATATATTTTCTTTCCTTTTTTAGAACACCTGTTCCCTTTCACCCATTCATCTTCTTTCTTCTTCATTCTGCTTTATACCATTACACTTTCTAGATACCTTCTTATCCCTTCGCTACGACCACGGCTACGCATTGATGACTATCTGTGCTGGAATTTGTTTGTTAGTCGTTAATGTGAATTCGCAGTTTTTCCTTGCCCCTCTACATCGTAGCAATGTAGAAGAAAAATAACTCAGTCATAAAAAATGCGATCATCATCTCTTAACACACTCCATAATATATTTCGACAATCCCACATATCCAAGATCTACTAGACAACAATCTCCTACTCAGCAAGATTCACCCCTAGCAAGCACTACATCACCTACTCTATATCTCTCATCGTTAAAGCCCAGCCATCTCCTGTGCAGGCCCATCCACTCGTCCTATCCACTATGTAATTCCAACCTCAACACCACACCATACCGTCCCACCAACTCTTCCACTACTAGTAATACAATGAACCCACCTAGTACCTAGCCATACCTTACTCATTGCACAATGAAGAAGTAAACTCCACACTCCAAACTCCAAACTCATCAATCATCAACCCATCACTAAGTCCAAAACCCTCAAACCTCAAACCTAGATATGATAACCCCCCCAACCACCTTATCTACCCACCCCCACAAACCCACCCAAACGACACCATCACACAAAAATTACCATACTACCCAGTAACAGTTTCCCATACCACCTACCACCACCAAGGTACTAAGCGCGCACCGATCCCTCTAACCCTATCAGCACAAAGAACAAAGAACAAAGAAAGCCTAAACCAAGCTTACCTACTAGTACGATAGTAAGTAGGTACTTCTAGCCGCGCGGGACCAACAACTCAGCCTCAACACTAGATGTCCAACTAACCAACCATATTCCGCAACAGTGAACGTATAGGTTCCACATGGAAGGGAGGGATAATACGATGCCTGAATGCTCATGTTGTAGCTAAGAGGCTAAGATGACAGGGTACCTTAGGTGAGTCGGACTTTGTTGGGCGGTGTAGGCTAAGCACTTGATTGGTGGAACGTGGCTCGAGCGCACGTGGGAGGATTCGATCCTGGAGGATGCTTAGATTCCGTCATTTAAGTTCCGGGTTTCGGGGCTAGGTAGATTGTACGGTCACTGACTGCGTGTTTAATTTGGGGCTTATTTGGTGGCTTGATAGGGACTGGGGGTGGGATTGGAGGTTTTTTGGGTTGGATTATCTTCTACGGATGGTTTAGACTTTTTGGATTGGGACAGTTCCAAATGGACATTTGTGGCATTTGGGGTTATTCCTGCGCTCTAGGCAACATGTAAATCGAGAGACGGAAAGAAACGCAAATGGACAGTGAACGAAAGATTCGCAACTAAGCCATACATGTAACAAATGCAAGTGACAACATCTCATAACGCCATCCCAGAGGTACCAGACACATCATGCACACCAGAGACCATAGTACAGCGAATGAAACTGACATAGGAAAGTCGTAAAACCAGTCCAAAATGCCCAATAATGTATCCCCGGCCGTGTACAATGCACCCATGACAAAGAAAGAAAAGGCGTAGGAAACAAGGATTCACCAGGACCCTTGTTAATAAGTAGTTAAGATCATCTTTAAACGCTCACGTAGTCCGACGACTGGCATTCTTTCTCCGCTTGCCCTGTGGTGGTGGATCCAGCTGAGGTGCCCGCTTATATGTGACTGTTGTGGTGGTGACATGTCGTACGCAGAAGGCATTGCCAGTCTCACTGATAGGAGAGTCGAAGAAACGCTGCTGTCTCCAATCCGATGGGGTAAACGGTGAGCGAAGGGGATGTGCGCTTCGCGGAGATGCGGACACGGGAGTATAAAGGTATGGTGGAGGGAGGCGCATGCGTTGGGTATGAATAGGGCTTTTGGTCGGTCGTGAAGCCCGTGAAGCCTGAACAGGTGCAGGAGTAGTAGTGCTCTTAGGTACGTTTCCGCCTGAGAACGTGATAGAGGTGGCACTGAGGGGTGGAGAGGCGGGAGAAGGGCGAGGCTTGTCACGCATGTATTTATAGAAGTTTTCTCGAGAGTTGGCAGGGCATGCAAAGATCGGACTGAAGGTATTGAGAAATTCCGTATAGGCTGGTGGAGGAGTAATGGTGACAACATCATTGTCGTTCTCGTCTTCGTCTTGGTCTTCTTTCTTGACCTCCTTGATCGGCCTGTCTATGTCAAGGCATGTCCAGGTACGTTCCCGAAATTCGGAAGGAAAGGTCATGTTCTTCGGCGTGCTCAATGGGGGGAGGACTGGCTTCGTTGGAGCCATCTTGAACACTGCCTTTCAAGTGAATGAGAGAAGGTGAATGGTATGAATGAGAGGAGGTGAACAGAGTTGAGGGAGCTGGCCAGCCGGCTGATTATGTAGATGAAGGAGATTATGATTCGGATTTGATGGATAGGGGCGCCGGGCAGCAGCAGCCTTATCTAGGCCGGGGGGGCAACAGGGGAAGGATTCGAAATTGGGGGCCTTCTGGAAAGGACAGGATCTGGATAGCAGTCAGAAGCATATACTTCCCGTCAGATATCGCCCGGAAACGTACCGGTTTCTGTACCAGACAGTATCAATACGGCAAGTTGTATGTATGGACGGCCCTCGGGTCGTATCTGACCTAACCCAACATGGTTAGTCCGCTCAGCTGTCTAAAATAGCAACACCACGATCCAGTCATCCACTTACAAACCACTCGGTCTAAGAACAAAATAAGAACAGCCTGCAGGCGATGAGATCTTGCACAGCCCGGAGCTGGGTAATCTGGCCGTTTGCTGGGATCCTGGGATCGTCGGGGCAAGTGAGCTGGATTCGGAGATGATCCCGTTGAGCTAGCAGAGGTGCACAGTCCAGCTGATACAACCCCAAATTATGACCGCAAGATGAGACAAGGAGAGAAGAAAGTCAAGACTTTTGTGGATGGCGATGAGAAGCAAGTCCAGCCAGGTCCTTCGGCCGTTTTATAGCCGTTTTCAGGATATCCCCTCCTGCTGTCGACAGCAAAGGAGGCGTCTCCAGCAGCGTTGTCGCGCGCCATCTGAATCATGTCCCCTCTCTGCACCTCCTTCGCTGGAGGTATCGACGGCTATCTTCCTGGTTCAACTCGCCTATGATCCTCTCTGCATGGTTCGTTGCAGAAACGCGCGCGGTTCTACAACCACTGTTGGACTCCGTTGTCATCACAACCACCGAAGAGTACGGGGAATCCCAAACGTGCACCTGCAGAACTACCGACACAAACGGTATAGCCTGCAGAAGATTATCCAGGATCAGTGGCATCATAGACGCTATCGGTAGGCTGTGTTCCAATCACGGAGCGGAGATCGCATCTTGTTGTTAAGATAATGGTTTCAACGGGTGCCCCTTACATCTTAAGCTCGAGGACACGGCGCTTTGCGGAGATTGGACTGGACCCTGGAGAGGCGCCAAGCATCGACGGAATTTCGCATGGGTTGGCAAAGGAACTGATACCTTTGGCCATCGCGCCTTCCTGTAGAAGACAGAGCGGCAATGGCCGTTTGTTAAGTTCCAGAGAGTCGTCGTTTACTTGAGCATAGTGCACTTCAGCCAAGTGTGATATCTAGGTATGTCACTTAGCGCTGGGCGGGTGGAGCTAGGCGCCTGTGCACTCCCGTTCTATTCTTGATGTATGCTACGGAGTACTGGGCGGTTCGCCATGATAATTTTGTAACGACTGTTGGAATTTTCCACTGGCCTAATTGCCTATACATCTGAAATGAATCGGATTTGTGCTCCTGTTGGTAAAAGATGCGATGAGGCTCAGCGATTCCGATCCTACAATGGCTTGCTTACTTCAGCTCTTACATCAGAGTCACATGTCTATATATGAGCGACAGGATTAACATAGTCGTACTCTCTAACTCCACTGAGAAGATAGCGGGCGCTTTGGTGAGAACCAATCACCCATGGTGTGATACCATTCGATCATTACTAGTGAGGATCTATAAACAGCAACACCGGCGGCATAGCGGCATCACGGCAGCATGTCCATGCACGCTACAGCAACCACCATGGATCTGCACCAATGAACACCTGGTCTGAGGACTCCAGAGCTCCGAGTTAGCGCGGAGGCTAAATCTGTGACGGTTCATGTTCAGGAAGGCCATCCTTCCAATCAAGCCAGCGATTAAGCGCCGGGGAGATATTCTTGGCAACAGGCCACCCCGGCGGGTACTAAGATTAGATCGGCCGCTGTTCTAAGAATATGATCCCTGCAGATCCAGCCTATTTTTGGATTTCCTGCACGCTATCTCAACCTCATAACTACACCCCCAGTGTCTACTCGACCCCCAGAGCAATCCAAATAGCGGGGAAGGCTGTCCAGGTGGTTTATAAGAGGTGTCATTCTATTCCTTTGCAATTTACCTTTCTGGTCAATTCGAAATTGATCCCAAAAAAACCTCATTCATCCAGCTTCCATCCCTCAAATGACAATCACTTATCCGAACCCCAAACGACTATCAAACCAGCACGCAACCCCGATGATAATGCGTTCTCAACCAGCCAATACGAATGCAGCACGATGTGCTCCGCTGATCAAACCCTCTCTCGTACTAACCTGATGGCAAATGCCCGCCCACTTACACTAAAGTCCCCGTTCCCCTCCTCCGCAGCCCACCCCGAGAGCTAGCGGATCAATGGCTGACTAGCCGTCGTTTCCGTCACACGATGGCCCTTACTGAGCAGACTAAATTCATATGCAGGCTAGACAAGAGATGTTCTTGTCGTTTGTTCTATTCTTATCCTTCCTGGGTTGTCTGGGGTCCATGAAGTTGATGGGGTCTTCCGCGCTTATGGTTTGCTGCTAACTTGCCTCACTGATCAATCATATCAAGGCTTGGTTCACTAGTCAGGTAAGTGTCCCTGTCGGCTCGAAAAACTCGACATCCACGCTATTACACCTACATATCTCTCATCCCATCACACGGACATATTGTCATTCGTCTCCACTATCAACATGAACTACGCCCGTCCAGGGGTCTTCCCCGCCATGAGACTGTTAATTTTAGATCATACTGTCATCTCAGCGCTTGCATCACTCTCCTGTTCCCCTCTCCCTCCTACCCATCCTGCTTTCAAGATACATATCTTTGCCCAACCTGTCAGTCCTAGTATCGGCTGTATGATACGGTATCGTACATCTCCCTTACCCTTACCCAGTCAGGTGCATACTCCCCCTCAGCTATCAACTTCGTCACGTTTAGTGCCATCTATCACCCACATTTCTAAAATTGGATCACATTCTCTTTGGTCTGTCTCTCTAGATCTCTGTTTCCTACTCTTGTCGGCGCTTCTGTCGCGGATGTCTTCTATAGGTCGCTCTTCGGATCATCCCTTATAGTTTCCCCCGCTCGATGCAGGCATGTATCACAGTCACTTGTGGCATGAGCTACCACTTTGTTCCTTCTCGCTTGGACATGATGAGAGACATGGCACTTCCCCTACTCCAACTGGTGAAGAGTTAGATCAAGCCTTGACCCAGGTCCGGTCAATTGACGAGAGCTACGTGAGTACCACTAAACCAGAAAGACCCTACGGTCCATGATTGAATACCCCTCATCATTAGGGTTTCACGTGTGCAGGGTTAGGTACCCTTAAATTGGCACTATATTCCTTACGTGAGATGCTTAAGTCAGCCTGGAGGCCTACTGGAGGGACCTCATGCATTAAGTCCCGTCCACACCGTAGACTTGCTTCTGTCCCGAGGCTTCGGTGACTCCACCCCGCTTCGAAAACCATCACAAGTGCATAAGATAGGCTCTCTCCTCCTGCATCGTTCTTCTATTTCTATCACATTGCAGTAGACCATAATCTGTCAGCACTACCAATGGAATAACGAGATGCTTCCTGTCTAGAACCATCTGATCCCTAATCACCCAAGATTTCTTTTCTTCCTCCAGTACCTTACACCGCTCTCTAGTACTACCGCTCGACCGGCAATCAGGTGATGGCACTAGGACCATCTTCATTCCTCCTTCTCTTCTTAGACATCCTATAGTCATCTATTCATCAAATCCATCAAAGCAATCCCACCCATCCGGATCCCTTCTATCACAGTCACGCACATTCCCAGAACAAACTACTACTACCCCCTCTCCCCCACCATCGCTCTTATTCATTTCCTTCAATCCTTGTCACATATATCCCACTCCTCAACGACACCCCACTTCTCCTTCGCAAGAGACACCCTCTGAAAAGAATAAGTCCCTTCCCTTCCATTCCCCAAGACTCTACTCAGTTGGCTAAGTATTCACTTAGGTGATGATTTCCATAATTATGACCCCGATAAGCTCACATCGCTCGCTAGGCGACCGTTCAAACAGTACGGAGATGGGTTGAGGTTTATACAGGAGTGCTCTACCATGTGTGAGGTGAGATGGGTGATGCGTTGCTCTTCATTCAATTTGGCTGGAGCTATAATGAGAGTCACGGGTAGAAGACCTAGATCTGGGTAATTGATGAAACTGGGTATCTTTGGGCGGGATGCAAAGATGAGGAATAATAGCCTAACGAGCAGGGCAAGCAGAGCAGGTTAGTTCGCTAGGAATATGTGGACGTGTGCGACGCGGCATCTTGATCTAGTACGTGGAGGTGATGGGAGCGTCTCGGGACAGCTGCGGTCCTCCACCGCATGGAGACACGACTCAAACCCCATCGTACAGCATTTTCTAAAGCTACCCAGATAATGCATCAACCGGATAATGAATTGCGAGTAGACTTGTATAGAAACATCATGACTGCCACCCATACCCAGGAGCCGTAAATCATTCAAACCCAAACATATACCTCCCAGCCTATTAGTTATATGAACGAAACCTGGTATGTACAGGAGATTCCAGTAGAGATACAAAGAAACAGTCAGAGTTAGAAATCAAACCGTGGTATCATGTCGCACAGTCGTGGTAAAACAGAGTGGTATCATAATCGAGAAGATAAATAACGAGAAATGAAAAGGAAACAAACGAAGGACTGAGTGTTACATCCAGTATAGATGACACATTAATAGATCGGTAGTCGTCACATTTATTCTTCAGTCAACGCGTCGTCGCCGGTTTCACGCCATTCCTTGGACCGTTCCGTCAGCAGTCGCACTCCTGCGACTCGCTGGGCCCAGTGTGCCTCGGATGGCGACCGGAAAGTGTATGCTCGTTGCGATGAGATCACCCCAATCCCTTGCAGCACGGCCTTGCGGGAGTCTCGGGAGAATACCGCCGGATGGTTGATCCACTCCAGCGCTGACTGCAGGTCTGCGTCCAACGCCGTCATGGTCTGTCCATCGACTGCAGAGACAGAAGTGATGGTCGCCGTATCAGAAGCCGCTGAGGAGTGGCCATCAAACATAGACGACTTGGGGGAAGACGAGGTGGGAGTATCTGCTCTGCTACCCGCGTCGCTGGTACCCGCCGGCCTCATGCCAGGGAGTGGAGGAAGTCCACCCTTGCCCAGGCCTTTGAGAATACTGCGAGTCTCGGTCAACAGATGCTGCGCACGATCATGCTGCCCGCGAGAGATCAACGTCAATGCTCGTGTCAACATGTCGGATGTCAAAAGCTCCATGCGTCGCTGAACAATGGACGGATGAGGAGGGATGGCCGGGGTGGACGGGCGGCCAGGTTTGGCTTTCGGGTTTGGTGGAAGCATGGTGATCGCTAAAAGCGAGGGCCGGGGAGGATGGGTCAGGTGGCCCTCTCGCAGAAGGTCGCCATAGGTTAGGTCTGCTTGGATCAGCGGGACCTCCTCCACACTTGACACACGTTGGTCGTCGCCGTCAGACATGCCTCCCAGTGCCTCGAGTCCGGACACTAGACTTTCCCACGCATCCTGAGGCGTAAGGTCTTGCGTCGCGTTATCGGGGGGGATGACAAGTTGAACGAGCACATCACGCTTGTCACCAAACCGGAAGTCCCCGAGAGCAGCCTCTGCATCGCGACCAGTGGCTCGTTTTGTTGTATGGAGTGCTCCACTGATTTTCACGAACTTGGCAGGAGAACCCTCGGGCAGACGAAGCTTCAGCTTCACGTTCTGGTGCGAGGTGGTCTGCAACGCACCCAAACAACCAGCGAGACACTCCCGAAGCATCATCCAATCCTTCACATAGAGGTAGGATCCTTTGGTGCGGGTGGAAAGTTCAATGATGGTGTCCGGCTTGTGTGTCAAGCCAAGGCCAAAGGAGTGAATGTTAACCCTGTGAGCAGTTAGTATGGCGTCAGTTTTCGGGGAAGTGGAGGGAACGAACTTCGCAGCTTCAGCCCTGGATACAACAAAATCGACGCTGTCGGGATCGGACGTGGAAGTGTCGCTGATCAAAAGGATGGTGGAGATAGGGTTCGACGCTTTCCGTTGCATGAGCAAGTCCATGGCCACGTTAGCACCCTCGACCACATCGGCGCGAAGACTTTTCTGTCCGACGGGGCGGATGGTCTCAAAGACCTTGGGCCATCCACCCCACGATTTAGTAGTCATTCCGACAATTGGGGCTCCTCCACAGTTAGAGCCAAATGTCACCAATCCCATACGGTCCCGAGGACCAAGGTTTTGGACGAGGAATTTGAGTGCATCACGCAGAAGAGTAATCTTCAGTCCTTGCATGGAAGATGAAATTGGGATCACAACTACAAGGTCGAGTGGAATATGGATGGATTGCGCCGGGCTCTCCGGACCCGTGTTCGTGTAATCGGTAATAGTCGTGTTGATCGACCGTGCTGCTCCGTAGGATGAGTTGATAGAGGCCTGACGCTTGATTTGATTATTGCGATAATCATCCTCCTCCGTGCCCGAAGCATCGAGGTCGTAATCAGCATTCCGGGACATACCATCCATAGGATGAAGATCGAGGAGGGAACGACGCCAGAGGTCCAACTGGCTGCGGTTTGGGAAACGAAGGTAAAAGCAGGGAAGCTCTGTGACGGACAAGTTCAGCGCTAGGATCGGCTCGTCTGCAACAACTGTTAGCTAAGCGTTCGCCGAAATAGATTCTCGCAAACCGGCTTGAGACTCACCTGCAGCGGCTTCCATGCTGTTCAGGTGCTTCTTGATCAGGATCGAGCCTTTTAATGTACACCGGGTTGCCTTGGGCTTGGATTGATCATCATCATAGTGACGGCGCGAAGGAGCCTTCTTTTCCTTGACACAGATGAGCATCTCTCCAAAAAGATAACATTCCAGGTCCTGCCAGGATGCACGATCCTTTCCCACGCTCATATGACCGTGCAAGCGAAGCTTGCCAAACCTAGGTTGAAATTAGCCTGTCAGATTCACAATCACCCATCCCAGTGGGCAAGTTACCGGTTGAATTCAAGTCCATGCCAGTTGTCCACCTTATTCCGCAACTCCTCAGCAAGTTCATCCAAATTCTCCTGGCTTTCAAACGGGACTTGTTTGGGCTCTTGGCCGGCGGGTACTTGCATTGAACCGTAAGGTTCATCCTGGGGCTGATCGGCACTGTTCAGATCGTTTGCATCGGGGTGCCAACTGCCCTCGGGCACTTCTACCGTGATCAGGCACGTTAAAGACTGCTGCTGGCGCGACCGGTTCAGGGTTGGAAACTCGCTACGAATAGTCACAGTTGGCGCGGGAATTGGGTTCCTGGTGACGGTGGGACGCGAGCTGATGTCGGATTCCATAGCTTGCACGTCGTAGTCATGTCGTCTCCCGTTGACTGCATGATGGTGAGAGTCGTTGTAATCGGATGACCCAGCAACACTCCCATTACGCGAGTGTTGTTGGCGGGAACCCGTAGTCAGGCGTTCAACACGTTCGCGTTCGCGGTGACTGCTAGTGTCCCGACTGTCACGCCGGCTATAGGCATCTCGGCTCTCACGGTTGGGCGGTCTGCTTCCTGCATGACTTCCCGCATGACTTCCCGCATCACTGGGCCGTCGTGCTTGGACCGGGACGGCTTCCCATGGGGGAAGGTTGGGTATGCCACTTCGTTGCGTCGCAGCATCGCTAGTCACAGAGCGGACAATATTGCTGAGTTTTTCTGAATGAGGCAATGATCAGCACGTTTTCATTCCGAGCCCTGCAAGGGTGATAACACGTACCGAGGTCCATCATGTTTCCCCCACGACTAGTATCAAGTCCTAACGGCGCATCGCATGTTGGGCAGTACTGGCCTTCATATTCGCGAATATATTCATAGAAGCAAGCTTCATGCGAGACATGAGTACAGGAGAACTGGAGGACACGCTCTCCACGCAAGGTGTGTTCCAGCGGCTCATCACAGATTGCGCAATCGGTGCCAACGAACGTTCTGTCTCTCCGTGTCCGGGTGCGATCAACATCTATTACGCCCGCCATTGGCCTATCTGACCTGGAGTTATCAAGCACACTGGATGAACCGGGATAGGGATTCGGTGGCAAGCCTGGACCCCGTTGGCCAGAATGAATCGAGGAGCCCGCGGTGGTGGTGGAATGGGCACGAGGACGACCAGGGTGAACAGAGTAAGCGGTGCCCGGGCGCTCCAGTGGGATATAGGTGAATGTTCGGGGAGGTGGTGGCGGCGAACGTGATTTTGAACTGGAGAAGAAGTCTGCCAATGATATTGGATCCGTCCAGGTCAGTGATGGAGCGAGAGGGAAGCCAGAGCAGGAGCGGACGCCAATAGAGACAACGGCAAAGACGAGTTGAAGCGGTAGTATTGCATAACACCAGTGTGAAATGACGGGGGGATAGTGTTGCGATTCACTTGCTCTCCTCCCAGGTGAGTATAGTCTAACAATGAATGTCTGCGACAGGCAAGGGAGAGGAGAGGAGAGAGAGGAGAGGAGAGTGGTCAGAGGCACTCCGGCACGAGGAGCAGACCGTGAGTGCGTGAGTGAGAGAGAGTGAGAGATAAGGAGGGAAAGGAGTGGATGACAGACAGACAGCAGCCAGAAGAATCCGACAGAAAGGCAAAAAGTGTAATGATAACCAGAAAGAGAAGGACAACAATAATAATAATAAAAGACTCAGCAGCCGAAAGTTAACAATAATCAAGAGTAAGACTAGTACGAGGCACTATAGTAAGAGGACTTACGGAGCGGAGACTTCTTTTTAGGACGGCCAGCAGGGCCACGCTCGGATACGCCAGAATCGTCATTATTATTATTCCCAGACGAGGACTCCGATCTGGGAGAGGGCCGATGTTTCCACATGGGCCGCGGGAATGATGCTCCTGACGGATCAGGAGGACAGGACCAGGCAGGACGAAGTTTGAATTGTGAAGGACAAGAAGGAGGATTTACTATTTAGGGGTACCAAGTGGGGGGGGTTCAAGACGTAGTGGGGGTCCAACCTGAAGGAAACGCCCCGACGAGAGGATGAGATTGGATTGACCACAGGTGGAGGAGAACTGGATGGATGCGTGAGAAACACAGACAAAAGGTTAGTTGGGTAGGGAGGAGGGAGGGGAGGGAGAGACGAGAATCTGGGACCGGCAGAGGGAGGGAAAGGAGAAGGCGGAACAGGCTAACAGGCTAACAGGCTAACAGCCATCATGGAGAGATATCACGCTGGTGTGAACAATTTTACGACGGCGTCCGAGCCGGTCCAGCGACGCCGTTGATAGTCGCTGGGGCGGAGCGATCAGTCAGTATTACGGGAATTGGTATTTTTCCCCCGCCTCAATGGGGACTAGCCCGCCATCCCTCAGCGCTTTCGTCCGCTCACCGTCAACTCACCACCCACCATTTCTCGGGCGGTCCTTCGTTCCTGCTCCATGGTTACGCCCCCCGGAGAGAGAGGGGAACCCGGTCGGTATGGTATTGTGAATTCGGAGTTGACGATTACTGGCCCAGCAGTGGGGCCATGACCGCCGAGCCATGGATGCTGGAACTCACTAAACCACGCAGTGGAGCCGATCCAGGGACTGGATACACTCGCTCTCAACACGGAGTCCCGGTCCGGACAAACCTACGGTACCTGACTGCCCCTGAATACTCCCCTCATGCTAAGGTTTCATGAGGGTGCGAACGGGTACTATAGAAGCAAAGGTACTGCCCACAATAGTAGTGGTCATGTCGAGAAGCGCTGAGGTCATCATGCACTGCGTAGTCAGAGCTAAGCTGGGCTGAGCATTGTCCATGCAGTTCATCCACATAGGCAGTAGATACTCTGAATATTCCGGAGATTCGTCACTTGAGCTCCCCTTACGTCAAGGCAAAATAGTCCGTCCAGTCAGGTGCCTCAACGCCTAGATAGTAGATATGCCCTGCACTGATCTATCCATCTACCTGTCCATTGCATCAATCCGCTGCCAATTGTCGGAGATTTCTGCAGCATCATCACCAACATTATCAGCCCAGCCACAATGGGGCTTCGGCTTCTGCAGGCTACGACCCCATTGCCGATTATTGGAGGCTGCCTGTCAGCGGTGGACTATGAATGGCGTTCAGGAGGACTACACCCCTCGATGATGAGCGGCGGATAGATGCGCAGAGGCTGGTTATGCCTATTGACCTTCATATAACGATCCTCGTTTGACCCGGCAATGGTATCCGATAGGCCGCTGCTCTTGCACAATCCAGCAACGATTGGCCTCAATTTCGGCGGTCAACCGTCGATCCCTGGGCGTATACTGTCATAACGGCGGATGAAAGCGACTTGCGTAATATGCTATAGATCTGAGGAGATAAGGGAGACTGTTTCGCATGCTTCTCCTGGTGGTTTTGTAGGTCGAGAGTATAGATGGTGTAGTTCTCCTGTTGCCAGTAGGGAGGAGTTGAAACCGCGTACACGTACGTAAGCGGCAAGCGGTACCGCTGCATATCAACGGGATCTCCACCGAGGAAGATTTCCACCCGAAAGGTTAGCTTTGCCTGGCCGGGTCGCTCCCTTCCCCTTCCAGCGGTCCTTCTTAGTCCACCTGGTCACAATTGCTATTGAACCCCCTGCTAGTCACTTCCCCCTCCGGAGAAACGGAAGAGATGGTCTGTCCAGGACACGGACAATGGAGCAGCACGTCCTTTGTTGCCTTGACAGTATTTAGTAGTATTCCCTTCCCCTAAAAAAGCCCGCCACTGCAGACATGTCATGATTATCACAGCATGACCGACCATCGCGTTGGCTGACGGAGGAAAGGTGCGAAGTAAAGTCCAAAAATATGTGATGTGGAGGAACCGTGGTGCCGGTGGCGGTTCTCCCCACTTACGCCCGATCGGAATGTGCAGGACACTACTCCGTACCGTGTAAGCAAACACCCAGTTACGCCCCGTACCCTGTACCATGCAATGGTTACCATGTTGCTAGAACATTAAAGTAGTCGGTACTCCGTACACAACACCAAGCAGTCACGATTGCAAGGTGGGTTGCCACTACTATACCAGGTTGCACAGCTACCGACTGCCAGTCTGCCACTCTGGAATCCATCTCCGTAATTAATTGCATTGTACTACCTATTCAGCCTTAGTGAGGCCCTCTCGCCCCTCTGCGCTTCGGATCAATGTGACTATCGAACAGGACCCAAGGATTCAGCCCCCAGTCAGCAAGATCCAAGGCAGCATGCTGACTCTTGTCCTCTTCAACTCTAATTCACAGCGACGGATGATCGGCTCTCTTACGGCAGCGTATTCGCGGATCTTCTGGTCCGGGCCAAGGAGCATAAGGCTTTCTGGGGGATTGTCGGATGCAACCTCGGACGCTGACTGGTGTTCATGATTACTACAGTATGCATCTTTCATTTCTGAATCCGTCTCCTTTTTCTCCATGACCTTGATGGACGAAGCCCGTACATTTATTGATGTGGCAAATATGTACCTCGTCTGTAGCAATTAAATAGTCGGGATAACCGGACTACAGGATTTTCAGGGCAGTGGCAACCTCGGTATATTATCCTACTTAGCTTAGCTCGCCATCTTAAGGGCTCCCTGCAACATTATTAAGGGCCCCGAAGCTCTCTTGAGTTTTGCCTCAAAACTGGGTTGGCCTTAGATAATTTCTTTCAGATCCACCCATGCTATATTGGCCCCTCAACTAACTCCAAAAATACCGTGGTTGAGTTAGAAGGCTGGATACATCCCGATTTTTCTTCGGGTTTTCCATGATTCTTCTCAACCGTGGAACCGCAGGCCGTGGCAAAGGAAGCAAGCTGCTACCGTAGGGCGATCATGTTCCATGGCATTCTTCGCGCTGTCAAAATATCAAATGACGGCATAGTTTGCATGTCTATCTAGGGCGATACTTCCAGATCATGGAGCGGCAGTTGAGGTTCTCGTGACTACTCCGTCTTAGCAAGTATGCATGCAGGACCAATTTTATTCAAAGACCCCCAACACTGCGCAGTAGTTTTCGAGTGACTATCGCTATGGTCTGCAGAAAAGTGCATTGGCCCCAGCATGATGCACGGGTCCAGAGTTGGTGATGGGGGCTCACCTGTCAAGGTCCGAACCCCCTTATTTGTCCTGGGGCTCCACTATTCTGGCGTTCGACAAGTCGAATATCGCCCTCACGCCTCAACGGCCAAGGCTAAAACCAAGGTCAAATCTTGAATAAGACAAGAGACTAGCTAAGAGCTACTACTAGTACAAAGTACTCTACTTAAATAAGTGAACTGATGTTCTGTGCAGAATACTTATTATGCGTTACTAGTTCGGAGTAAGTGTGGATGCAGCCATCTTAGTCAAGGCTATAATTATGACGGTGTCAACCTGCCTCCTCTCGGCCCCAGGCCCCTAACTCATTAAAGTCATGGGGATGAATTGCTGGGGGTGGCAGTATCCCTGTTCTCGAACGTCCCTTGAAACATTCGTGAAACCCATCATCCAACATCCAAATTTGGGCAAAATTAACCTAGTTACCACCACCATCCCATGCGGCGCCCCTTATTGTCGGGCTGTTGGGAGACACAAAGTACCACAAACACAAACGGAGTACTCCGTACGGATTACACCATCAGGATTTGCTTTTAGATGTGGTCTGATCACTGACGTCGCTGTCAGGCAATAGTAACTTCCTTGATTTCTATCGGACTGGTCATGGGCAGAATCCAGTGAGTTTGTGATGTGTAACGAGAGGAATCTCTCCCGGCTATGACCAAACGCCACTGCAAGGCAATTTTGTACTTCTGCATCTGTCCATTGTCCAATGACCTACAGCGCTTCAGTCAATTAATCCCAGGCACAGACGCTCAATTTTCGAGCCCGCGCATTTCCCGGAACAACCCTGAATGATGGGGTCCCCTTTCCTTTCCCCCTCCCCCGACCTCGTTGAACACGGCATTGACTCCCGCACAGTCCATACTTTACGCAAGGTACTTTACCTACTTACTTGGTCCTCTGTGTCTAGACACGCCGATGATCTTCCGTAGATAAGTCCAATCCTCCGGGATTTGATAACCAGGATCGGATTGTCGCTGGCCAACCATGGTTCCGGACTATGGAGCGACATATTGATCGTCCTGCGGAGTAGCCCTTTTGATACCTGTGCTTCCCCGGGCTTTTATTGGCGGATCCCCTCAAAACCCTATCACTTTTTGGTTCACTGTCAATGACTTCATCCATCCATCCATTTGCTTCTTTGTCAGCGGGAATGAATATATCCCCCAGACGGGACTTCGTCGCACACAGAGACACGGGAAGAGTGCCTGGCGTACGTCACTCTGGGGAAACGGCTTCTTTCGAGACTCAACTTGTCGGACTAATTGTTAGACTGGAAGTTATTGGGGTTGGCTTCGGGCCCGCTTTCCACGGGAGCCCATCGCAGAGATGACTCGAATGGGCATCGTGGGTTCCTGTCAGGTGTCGATCATCGAGTTGTTTATATTGGCAGGATTGGGGGGTTCAATAAGCACTTTAGTTTTGTTCATATTGTGTGTATTGTTATACTTCAGTGCTTGTGAATTATGGGGTATTGGTATGATTACAGTTCTTACTCCGTTCATAAATTCGCGATCTTTATTTGGTTTCTATATGCTATATCGGATAGATTCTAAGATTTTGCTGCAACTAAAGATAACACTACCGTGGAGTACACTTGTAGGTTAGGAATCATCCCATATAGCTCAGACATCCATCCATAGAGATAGAGGTGCGTCCCTGGGTTTCTTATCTGATATTTTCGCGTGAGATCACACTACTCTCGTTTGAACATAACCACTGCGACTACTCTGTAGTATTTTACTATATGCACTAATTCTTAAGGCCATTATCGCCCATGTCTGGTTGAACTAGTTACGGCCTTGGTAGTCCTATGTATATCGGCTGACATCGGCCATCACTACTTCTATATTTCCCCTATAGTATCTTCCCTTCCTAGAAACAGCATAGTAGTAGCGATATGGTTCAACTTTATACCCTGGCAGCTTTCCAATACAACACAATAGAAAGTAACTTCCATCTCCCATCTATAATCCTCGCAGTTATGTTCCCCTGTCCTCCAACAGTCGCCTCATGTCCTCAAATCCTCCCTCATGCCTTCATTAAACAAGACTGGGACTCGATTCTCAAAAAAAGAAAAAACAAAAACAAAAACAAGAAAAGAAAAAAGGAAAAGGGGATAATTCCTTTCAGACCATGCTCACAGAGTCACGTTTATCATCATCAAGGCAAAGTAGATGCTAAGTGATATATTCGCTGAGCCCAGCCAGTTAATGAGCCCAGGTGGTTATCAAACGCCCTTCAGAACAGACACCCCGATAATGTCCTGCGATTTCATCACCAAGGCGAATGATAACCGATAGTTTGTTATAACCCTCGCCCAAATAGTATATCACTTTTGATTGGATTGCTTGAAATGTTACGGCGTTTCAAGACAAGTGATGACCCTCGATAATCCCATTTTTCCTTTGAGCACTTTGTGTTCTGGGGTTGGTTTCGAACTGAACTGCCTTTCAGAGTCTGTTTTCATCATTAAGGCAAGTCCGTTGGTTTTCCCTCTGATATTTCCCTGATGGGATGCTAATCTGGATGCAGCTTGCTGCTTGCTTGGTATGAAACCGAAAGCCTGTCTGTGTTCGATGATGCCCGCGATGCTTTCTAGGAGGGTTAGGGATGGAAGTGCAGGATGGCCTACCCTTTGTTGCTGAGATGTGTACACGAAAGTGGTGATAATGTGTACATAGTGACTGTAGATGAGGATGAGACTGTGAGATTGTCAATATCGCGCCTATAAGGCATATATAAATTCAAGAAGGCCAGGCGAGACATGAGAGATGGGGAAGGGAGCTGTGTGGGATTATAACAGCAAAGACGAACAAGCGAGTTAAACTTTGAAAAAACTCTTCAATGTCAGTGAATGAAGCGTAATGATGGCTTTGTTCACTACAACAGTTTGCGCTGTTGGCATCTATATGCCTGAGGCCGGTCTACAACGAGGGAATTGTCTGATTTCATGTGTTTCCAGCATTTTGCTTGAGTTGATAGCAACCCTAGAAGTTCTATAGATTTGCAAGCTCTTTTGCATTTATCTCAGGTCTATAGATAGTCGACGAACAAGCAGGTATAGTGGAGAGTCAGATCTAAGATATAGTTAAAGATCAATTCAGCAGTCCCTAACAAGTTCATGTCAATAAAAATGGTCCACATGATCGATGCATAGTACTCATACTACCCTCGATAGAAATGGCTTGCGTAGTATAGTATCCTCCTGCCATATCCATTTCCAGACATACATAGAGCAATAAGCGGCTACAAGTACCCGCATGAGGCACTACTACTACTGCTACACACCAGACATGAGGTAACACCAACACAATGCATGTCTGCATAACCTACCTATATATCCAATCTCCTTCCTTTTTCGAATTGCCAATCCGCATGGATCTAAATCCAACTTATTACCAATACCCAAACAGCATGGCTCGGTATTTCCCCGATACCGCAAAGTGGGTAAGATAAACAAGGCCATTGTAACACAGTAACAAACAAACCCGCTAAGCAAACTTTATCCGACGAAAGAAAATCCCCATCCGGGTCTCCACCGCATCGAACAGAGTTCGCCAACTTCAGAACACAACAAATAAGAATTTAGAAAATTAGAACTATGGGTTTTCTAGAACGTCCCCAGGATGGACAAGTTAGGGTTGTTCCGAGTCAGAATGTAGGAAACTATTCCTCGGACACGGGTCCAGATATGGTAGTATGTGCGATCGGCTTCGGGTTTTCTGTCTACCTATACTACACCCTTCTGTACTGTTGTGTGTGCTTTACTCCGCAGTTGATACGATCTCAACATACCGCACGCGGTTGGGGGTCTTCCACAGACCATGATCTACCCTGCACATACCATCACCTACTGACCCAAAACTTGGATTTGGCCCCCCGCCAGAATACGGAGTACAAATCTTACAGTAAGTGTGTATGGGTATGTGCACTCTCTCAGACTTACAGTGCAGGGTTACACAGAAGCAAACAAACAGCAACTAGCCCCGATGATGGGTATTGGGGTGCCCCGCGACGAGGCCAGATGGAATTGACCCATCCCCGTGCGGACTAGCTGTACCCAGACTAACCTTCAGCTTATCCACTTCTTTCCTTGCCAGTCGCTACGTTTTGCGAGGGTCCCGTCTTAGGCTGAGTTATGCACCTGCTGTCTTCCCTTGGCGGGATTCCTTTCCTACGTAATGGGTCTGAATTTGAAGGGGAGGATCTGCAGTGCGGCTGCGTTCCGGATTGATGTCGTAGCTATGGAGTATACATGGAGGATATACGAACATGGATAATTTGAGGTGAGTCGATTTTGACTGACTGACGGTAAGCAAACGAACTGCCTTATCTGTTTACTCTGTACTAGTTCAGTTCACTACGACTTGCAAATGACATTCCCGCCCCATGGTATTTCTATATCAATGCTGACTGCATGCAGGGAACATAGGTTGGTCTGCACATGTTCGTTCTGGGGGCGTCACCCTTACACTTTTGTATACAACCTCTTTGATGAGGTGATGTTACGCACTCACCTATCCGGACACTGCAACTGAGCCCACAGTGATCGGAGATCCCGAGCCGTTGAGGTTCACCACAGCGGGCTCTATCGTGATCGCCTGATCACCCGCACAGGGCAGCTGGATCAGATACTGAATGTGAAGCATGAAGGACCCTAGCAAAAAGATAATACTAGCCCATCTTTGCCGGACTCTTTTACATGTATGACATCAGGCTCGACCAGCTCCCTCCGCGTGCTAAAATCTCACCTATCGCGTATATGACAGAGCATCGGCTATCGCGCAGAGGTTCTCAAGTGAAGCCCCAGCAGGATTCATATGCCGTTGACCGGATCTTACAAGCGTTCATCCAGACGGGTATTCTAGGGAATACGATCCCTGCCTCGATTTCTGTTGGATAAACCGCCATTGCTGTTAGCTGTCAGCCATGCTGTCAGCCTGTCATGCACACTGCTGACCCATCGCACATGTCTGGCGGGCACGTGGCGCAGTGAACTGGCCCGATCTGGGCCTTACAAGATCGTAATGTAAGTATGCAGTCGCGATGGCTGTTCGATATCACCCAACTAACACTGTCATATAGGTTTCGTAGCGAAGGCGGCCCTGACAAATCTACATGCATGGGGCGAGAATGTATCAGAGACGATGTCTGCCTCAGCCATGTTGGTACATATACGCTTCGACGGGCTAAACTCAGTTAAAGATGTCGTCTCACCCACGTCTGGTCTGAGACGCGGAGTTGGAGGCAGGACGCGGTGAGCCTTTGTGATTTAGCGGATATCGAACCTATCCCAGAGCCGGTCCGCCCAACCCGCTGTTCCGCTTGGGACTTTGATAGGCAGGTACTAAACCAACCCCGATTTCGATATCGAATCAAGGCAGTTGCTTTGGATATCTGCTCCGAGCAGGACATGTCTATATACATGGTAGCACATAGCACCGGCTAACCATTGGGTCTTTCGCATCATCTCTATGAGTGACGACTGTCATTCGAGCTAACCCAACCAAGAATCCGAGACAGGTTCCGGAAGACGCGGCAGGCTGTCTGGGAGAGTCGGTCTGGCTAAGGATTCGGGCTAATAAAGTTCCGATGCGCTGCAAGCTGTGGTTGGTTGTCGCGGTGATGGACGGATGTCCCCAGAACGGACTCAATTGAGCGCGCGACACGCTCCGTTGATGGAGACGTGTTGGAGCATGGGCCGACGTAGTGAAAGAGAATGAGTCCAGAGCCATTGAGCAACTGAGAACGAAGGCCCGGAGTAAAACGGAAGAGAACGTGAGGTGTTTGAGCGGTTTGCAAAGGCTACACCGGACGGCCCCGAAGGGAAGCGGGCTTAGATAAGCCGCCTGCCGAATTCCGCCTAGCCGCAGGGGAAAGTTTGTTCCCAACATCTCCGTTGTTGAAGTTGACGATAACAGAATCTCCCTTCTTCTCCCAGCTCCTCTCTTCCTCCCCCGGTTGGACCCTTCGTCTCGTCCATCATGTTGTTCCGAGCTGCGGTCCGTCAGGTCGCGCCCTTGAGGCGTCAGGCTTTCGCCCCCCTTGCCCGTCGCTCCGTCACCACCGACGCCGCTTCGTCGCATGCTGAAAATGTCCCCCAGGTTGGTTGAGAGCTCCCTGGATGCCCAGCTCCGGCCTCCGGAATGGGCCTGGCTAATGCGATTTCATCTGTCTGCAGGAGGATGACAAGCCCTTCACCGTCCGCCTCTCCGATGAGAGCTTCGAGACCTACGAGATCGATCCTCCTCCGTACACCTTGGAGATCACCAAGAAGGAGCTGAAGCAGATGTACTACGATATGGTCTCAATGAGGTATGGCCGTCGATTGGCCCTTCGTTTCCCCGAGCACCCAGTCTAATTGACCCCTCAGACGTATGGAAATGGCCGCCGACCGTCTCTACAAGGAGAAGAAGATCAGAGGTTTCTGCCACTTGTCTACCGGTCAGGAAGCCGTTGCCACCGGTATCGAACACGCCATCACCCGCGACGACAAGATCATCACTGCCTACCGTTGCCACGGTTTCGCTATGATGCGCGGTGCTACCGTCCGCTCCATCATCGGTGAGCTGCTCGGTCGCCGTGAGGGTATCGCCTTCGGCAAGGGCGGTTCCATGCACATGTTCACCAACAACTTCTACGGTGGCAACGGTATCGTCGGTGCCCAGGTCCCCGTCGGTGCTGGTCTCGCTTTCGCCCAGCAGTACAACGAGGAGCCCACCACCAGTATCGTCCTGTACGGTGACGGTGCCTCCAACCAGGGTCAGGTCTTCGAGGCCTACAACATGGCCAAGCTCTGGAACCTCCCCGTTCTCTTCGGCTGTGAGAGTAAGTTTGCTCTGTCCCATTCTGCACCACTCCACCGCGAGGCTAACCTCCCCCAGACAACAAGTACGGTATGGGTACCTCCGCCGCTCGTTCCTCCGCTTTGACCGAGTACTACAAGCGCGGTCAGTACATCCCCGGTATCAAGGTCAACGGCATGGACGTCCTGGCCACCAAGGCCGCCGTCAAGTACGGTAAGGACTACGCCGTGGCCGGCAACGGTCCCCTGGTCTTCGAGTACGTCACCTACCGTTACGGTGGTCACTCCATGTCCGACCCCGGTACCACCTACCGTAGCCGTGAGGAGATCCAGCGCATGCGCAGCACCAACGACCCCATTGCCGGTCTCAAGCAGAAGATCCTTGACTGGAACGTCTGCAACGAGGACGAGCTCAAGGCCCTGGACAAGGCCGCCCGTGCCCACGTCGACGAGGAGGTCGCCATCGCCGAGAAGATGCCCCTCCCCGAGAACAACTCCCGCATTCTCTACGAGGACATCTACGTCCGTGGCAGTGAGCCCAAGTGGATGAGAGGCCGCACCGTCGACGAGACCTTCTACTACTAGATACCACCCGAACTACCTAGAAATATTGGAATCTCGTTTTCAGTTGCGCGCTCGCGGATGGAAAGCAAAGCAATGAGTTGAAAAGAGAAAAAAGGAAAGGGATAATGGGCGTGAGGGAAGGTCATCTTTTTTTTATGACACCCCAAAAGAAAGAAATTTAGACCACACCACTCACTCCCACTACCACCACTATTGGGATTGGCAGGGCTCCTTAACGCAAGCATCCATACCATGGGAACGTTTACTATGTAATTTAGCCGGGATTTTCTTTTTTTTTGCATTACCCATAACTCACACATACCTTATTACCAATCTTCTTCTTCCTTCTCTCTCCCTCCCTGCCCCTACCTTAACCTTAACCTAACCTTACTTGACGTGACCTACGAAGCACTAGGAATGTACACTCCATTGGGAGGAGATTGTTAGTTCATCCATCAATCGATCAATCGTCAATCAGAGTCTGTTTGAGTATCCTTAAACCCGTGAAATATAATTCTGTATCCTGTCCCGAAATATACTTGTCAGTAAGACATGAGAGTAAACCCTAACTAAACGCACTAAGCTGAAGAGATAATTTTCCGTCCAGAATCATCGTTATTATGAGATAAATAAGAATCGAAGTGATGTGATGTTGCTTCCAAGTGAACCCTAAAATAGAACGACAAGAATGATCCTAGTAATAGATAATGATAATGATAATAGATATATGGTTTGACATACTCGCCCATGGGGTATCATCTGATCGAATGCAGAAACAAATATATGATATAAAAAATAAGGAAAAGGGGAAAAGAGCCAAAGGATAAAGAAGCCAAGGAGGTAGGTGGGTGTGAGTGTGGATGTGTCAGGCAGGTTCCTGTCTCAACATCTCGAGAATCATTTCCTGTGTCCTTTGGACGGAATCCAATTTTTCTTCCAAGCTGGCTCGGTCTTTCTCAAGCTCGGCGCGCATTTCCTGTCGGAGTTCTTCTTTGAGTCTGTAGATAAAGGGGGGAGAGACGTGCGTGAGTCCGGTCGGCTCGACCAAGCTGGCGTTGTTCACGGCGTTTGTCGCTTCCACGACTGGGACTTCCCGTTGCTGTTCGCGAGCACGGGTCTCGGAGGGCGATTTCGTTTTCTTGGTCGAAGCGAGCGGGGACGAAGTAGGTTGGGTGCTCACCGAATCGAGATGTCGGTTCAACTTCCCCAGTGTCTCTAGCATAGCACTTATCATAGAGCTATCCGTCCCCGGCGGATGACTCGCTCCAGACGCTGCAGCGGACTGAGTCGACCGCTGAGTTGAAAACCCATCTGGCACACCCACTACAGGTGACGGGGTCTGTAGTCCCTGGCTGGCGAACATATTGTCGAACCCCGGAGGCAGCCGTACTGTGCTTTGCGACACGGGGGTCGCAAACCCAGGTTGTTGGCTTGCGCCAACGAGCGGACTCGCTATTGTTGCGTTCCGCCATCCGTCGTTCGGACTCATCTCCCACGCGTCCCAAGGCCTGTCCTTCCTCTTCCTCGGTTTCCGAGAATCGCGCTTCTGGATCCTCCGTGCCTCTGCCTCCTCCCACCTCTGCCAGGTGGGAATCCACGCGTCCACGGCCGTCCGCCACTGCGTATGCGACAGATCTTCGCTCGCGTCTGCACCCTTATCGCGTTGCTCGTCGAGAAACTTCATCCGCTGCTTTGTGACCAATTCCACCTTCCGTCGCACGGAGTGCCACGAGTACGGATGTCCCTGGTCCCGCGTGAATTCTGCGGTAACGGTCATCCACCACTTGCAGAGATTACTGCGCTGTCCGAATTCGCTTGCGTGTCGGTTGCAGATGTTGAATAACGAGACTTCCTCGAGGGTGGTCAACCGTTTTCCGTGCTTGCGCGATGTATCACCATTGAGTCCGCCAGCCGTGCCCTCGGGATCGTCATCGCGGTCATCCAGTGGATAGGGTCTGACGACGCTGGATGCTGCGGCGAGGAGCGCGGTTCGATTGGCCGCGCTGCCGTTCGGCATTACCCCGGCGGTGGTCGTAGCTCGAGATCCGGATTGTCGGGCGATAGTCGCCCCCTGGGGGATACTATCGGGTGATGGGGCGAATTCGGAATCCTCGAGGACGTCAGGGTGGGTGAGGTCGCGCGCGCCGGTGTCTGAATGGTCGCTGTCGCTCTCAAGAGACTCGGGGTGCGGTTGTTGGGATCGCGATTCGACAACCAGCGGGACGGGTTGGCGTGCTTGCGAATGTGCTGGTTGATGGGAGTGTTGATGGGGATGGGGATGGGCGTGAGAGAGGGAAGATTGCGGCTGCGGTTGCGATGATGTCTGGGATTGTTGCGGCGACGGCTGCTGTTGTTGTTGCTGGCCGATACGGAGATTGGACGATAAGGTGGGGAGAGGCGTAGCCCGCGAAATCATGGATGGGAGCCATCGCAGCCCCGGCATTTGTAAGGCAGACTGAGTGGACGAGGAGGGGGTCTCAAGGCGAGGTCCTGAGGCGGCGGCGGCAGCAGCAGCAGCAGCAGCAGCGTTGGTGGTGGTGGAGGCATGCCAGGGATACATGGACATGATCTGTCTGAAGGTATAAGGGAATTGAAAGGATGAGGGAGGGGGTGGGGTCAGGAAGCAGCAGCAGTCAGAGCACTGCTGGCGTGCTGGAATGGCGGGGGAGAAAACAAGAGAGCGTCGAGACCGGCGAGAAGAAAGCCTCGACGTTGAACAACCCGGGATTATTGAAAATTGCTCGGTCGCATTTGCAATTTCGACGGGTTGGCGGGCGAGGCCCCCGCCGATCGGGGTATTTTTCAGCAGAACGGTATGCGGGTCACGGGACCACAGCTGGACTGTATATGTATACAGAGTTCTCCGTAGAGTTTATATTTATGGTTTAGAACAAACAGTAAGGATAGAAAGAGGATATATTTCATTGGTGATTTACATTGTGCTCATCCAGCTCCAACACCGGCGCAATATGACGGTGGCCCCAATGCAGGAGATCTAACAAACAACCATACCAGCGACCCAGTAATACAACAAGACTGTGGAACATGCCCGCAGAACAGCGAAGAGAAACGCAAACCAAACAGACAACGACACTAATTACTACATGAATTTCATCCGTCTACCGCCGTCTCAGGTACCAGGAGAACGCCAGCTCGCCCGTCCCTGCCGCGAAGGGTGAAGGCACCTCCGAGAAGCCCGGACGAACCACCGGGTGTCGCAGATACACGGCCGCGCACGCCTTAGGGTGCACCTCCAGGTACCGCGGGATCGTCGCAAAGACGTTCATGTAGTCTCGTGGCCGCCAGGGCGTAGCGTACGGCTTCGAGTGGTCGATCGGGTTATCACGCATCTGGACCAGTGCACGGCGGAGAACTTCGAACTCCTCGTCCGACAGCTCAGACGTATCCACCTCTTCTTCCGGGTTCTCGGCAGCCTGGCGGAACGCCTCGGACAGCTTGTCGCCTGGCTGCGCTTCGCTGTCCGCCTCGGAGGCGGCCTTGGTGGCCTCTTCCGGCGTGGCTTCGGCAACGGCTTCTGAGGATTTAGCAGGTGTAGCCTCCTTCTCCTTGTTTTCCTTCTTTGTCTCCTTCTCTGCCTTCTTGGCCTTGAGCAGCAGAGTCAGCTCGGAAAATTGGGCCTCCAGGTTGTCGGTCAGGACGGTGCTTGATTCGGACCGAGACAGCACACGACGGACGGCCTTCTGGAACCCACGCAGTTCCTGCTTGCGCTTGGCGGGGAGCACAGCCTTGTTGTCGGACATGACGTTCTTGGCCTGGGACAGCAACACCTTCAATGTCTCACGCGGGGACAGTTCCTCCTGCTGCTTCTCCTTGGCCTCTCCCTCTTCCTCTTCCTTGGACTCCTCCGCTGCGGCCTCTCCCTCCTCGGTGGTTTCTGCCTTTTGCTTCTGAGCAACGCGGGCGGCGCGGCGTTCGTACTTGTCCTTCGGGGCACCGGTGGCAAACATGACACGTTCGGGTTCGACTTGGAAAAGGTCGCCAGGGTTGAGCAGATAACCGGGGTATCTCATCTACCGGAATGGTGTCAGCTTCACTGGCGTCGGCCAATACACAGGACAATGCAGCGTCATGCGCACTTACCTTCTTGCCATTGACTGTAACCGCCCCATGAATCACAAATTGGCGCGCCTGTCTGGCACTGCTGGCAAACATGGCGCGGAAGACGGCCACGTCCAGTCGGCGTTCTAGCGGAGCATACGTCGCTTGTCCAAAGGGCGGAGAATTCAGTCTGTTTAATTCGCTTCTGGTCTGATGGACACCCTGACCACGACCAGCAGACCACTTAGAACCATCATCCGCAGCCAAGTTGTAGGTATCCATGGGCACCACGCTGCGAATGCGGGGAGAAAACATGCGCGCCCATTGCTTCTCAGGGACTTGCTCGCCATGGTAGCCACGTGTTATCGATTTGGCATCCCATTTCTGCTGGAAATGAGTTCGGGCCAAGGGACTCTTGATCCTGAACCGCATCATATTATACAAGTTCCACTTGCTCCATGATTGTCGGACTTTCTAAGCAAACGCAGGGAAATTAGCGATTGCTGGGTAGTTATTAATAAGAAAAACACAGTCCAGAAGCACTTACCGGCTTGCTCAGATACTGCGTAGCCCTGTTCCTCATGATGGCGATATGGGGCAGGAGTGGCCTGCTAGCAAATGTCTTTTTGTCTGTCTCGCTGCTTCGGCCTGTTTCCCATCCATCTCCGGCCGCCCAAAACTTCGCTGAGGCACGTGATGCAGGTCACGTGGCAAAATTCATTGCCTGCCAGAAGACTCAGGCACACACTTGCTCCGCAAACCAGCCGCTCTGATTGGCCAGCCTGTTCTCGCTTGCCACTAGCGCCATCTCACTGTCTCCACCCAACCATTTATAATCTTCTTCCACCCGCCCCCCCTTTGACCTTTTTCTTCTTTCTTTTCTTCATACTTACCTTGTTTGGGTGGCTGCGATCAAGAAGGCGGTCCACCACAGATTGGTCCCTGCATTGCACAGCGCGGCGGAACAGTCTGTTCAACGGCCTTCGGGTCATTGACAGGCGTATTCTTTGGCACTCTTCCACTTCGTGGATCTTATTTCTTTTCATCATTTCTTCGCCTTGCGCGGGGGTATGGAGAAGAGAGCTGTAGTATGTCCTGTAACTTGTAGTTTCTGAGATGAATGAAGCCTTGCTTTATCTAGTGTTAGCCGGTCACTTCCAGTAATAACATAGTGGTGCAGTATGTCTCACCTATCTCTGCCTTCCCGACCTGTGTGGTTCATTCTACGTGTACGGAGTCTCCCTTGCACAACTATGTCGCTTAAGCTCCGCAAGCGCCTGCTGTCATCGTATTCTTGGATAAGACCTCGGCTCTGTCTAAGCATGAGTTGTCTTGAATGGAGGTTTCTTGCGACCAAGGGAGCTCTCAGCCATCTACTATCATCCTCTGTAGCTTCCATGTAGCTCTTTCTGATAGTGCCTTCTTTTGCTGTTCATCGTTGTCAACTCGTCAATATCTCGGTCCCATGCTGTCGGATATATGTATTTGTTGAATTGCTGATATATTCTCCACGTACTATTTCAACCTCATCGATATCGTTCAACGCGTTCCACAGGTTCTTGTTTTAGTGAAATTCGCGATAAGACAAGTAGTAACACCATCCTCTATTTCTAGTGGCTAAGGTATATAATAAAATAAACATGAAGAAGATTAAGTCGTATATCATGTCTGCTATGCTTCGTTGGTATCATCATTATTACTGGAGACCTTCCGTGTCCAAACACCAGTTGGATGCGAACATTAATGCGGTCAAATTAGTCCTCGCTTGACGGCTCCTCCTCACTCCTTTTGGCGTTTGGAAACGCCTCGAGCAGCGCTTCGGCTTCCTGGGGCGTCACAGCATCATCGAGGATCGTATGGGCCATTTCGACCGTGGCATCATCGATCCCTGCTTCTAGCACTAGCCCTTCGCTGAACGCCAGTCGTGTCAAAACCACGAGGAATTTCTGCTTCCCGCCAGGCACTCGGCACAGTTTGGACTGCAAATCCGCCTGCTCTCGATGTCGCTGGGTCACTCCGTGAACTAGACATATCAGTCCATTAACCAATGCTGCGTGGAGATCTTTCTCAGGTGGTAGGGTGTAGAGAGCGTCCAGCTCATCGTGTGCCACGCGGATTAACCGGGCCAGCGCTGTTGGGTGGGATGCCAAGATCATGCTGCCGTGCGTACTGTCGGATATCCGAGGATTGAAGGCAACGCTCGTGAGGAAGGCTAATGCTTCCTGCCGCATGCTGCAGATCTCATACGGCATGTACGGCTCCTGTCCTTCGTCCAGTAGTGGTTGCTCACTGAGAAGATTGGCGACGCGATCCACGATGTAATTTTCGATGATGTTCTGAACTTCCTCGGATTCCTGGACGGGGCCGAACGAGTCGGAGCGGATGCTAGTCGACAACAGGCTTAGCATTAGGACTATGTCATCAATGGGCTGCGAGCAATTCAGCATCGTCAGGACGAAGTCGTAGCGAATAGGCCGCCAGAGTTCAATCATATCCTGCTCCACATGTAGACGGATGCATGCCATATCATATAACAGACCTAGAACCTCTGTCGAGTCGACCAGTGGCTCTAGTTCCGACAATGGGGTCTTTCGCGCCCGGCCTAGATTTGGTCCCGAGACGGGGGAGTTGTGGAAACGGGGAACCGCATTGACTTCTGCAGAAACTTGCAAAACCGGCACCAGATGCTTGTACAAGTCGGAGTCAAGAGTTTGTAGGTCCTCGGAAATGAGGTGTTGCATAATTGACAAGAACATCGGGATAGGCTGGAAGTACTTCTCTTCCAATGCGCGCGACCACAGGGATATGATAGCGCGCGCGTATTCCACCATGTAATTTCCCAAGTCAAGGTTGTTAGTTGTCTCCAAAAGAATGGTGGACAGCATGCGCTGCGACTCTGATGGGAACGCCAGCCCAGCCATGACCTCGATGTCGGGCTTTTCATCTGACGAAGACCTGTGGTTCAAAAGACGTTTGACGATGCTCAAGTCCACAATGCCGGGAGCCTCCTTGAGTTGGGCTTGATCGGGTCCAGCATCTAGCATTGCATCGTCCGACAGATCTTCAGCATATTCGACCGGATTAGGCTCCACTTGCGGGCTGAACTGCAACGGTGTCGGGCTGTCCTGACTGAGCTGCCTTTTTCTTTTCCCCGGAACCACTGGTGTAGCGCGCTTGGAACGGGCCAACTTGCTGGGAGAGACCGCAAGAATTTCATCGTCGTCGAAGCCGTCACGGAAAGGCAAAACCTTGGTCTTTTTTGGTGTCATTGGCGGTGCTTCCTCCTTTGCTCGGCCTTTTGCCTTCAACTGATTGGCGCGCATGGACTCTTCAGCCAAGTCTTGCCTAAGAAAGGCATTTTCCGTGGCGAACATCTTGCCCTCTGCACGAGCAGCCGCGACCTCCTCCTCGTGTCTCGCTTCCTCATCCTCCAGCGCCTTTCGCAATGCTGCCAATTGGCGGTCATAGTTTGCTGTTAATTTGGCCTGGTTGGCCCGGATAATAGCGATCTCCCCGGTTTTGGTTTCAGCCATGGATTTGGCTGCAACCAGCTCTTCTGCCATTTGCTGGTGTCGTGCGGTCTCCAACGCCAGCTGTCGAGACAATCAGTATCATATGTTCTGGAATGTGATTCTCTCAGCCTTACCTTTTCACTGAGTTCTGCGTAGGCATTGTGGAGTTCGGGGAAACGCGAAGTGCCTTCTTCTTCGACCTCCATGGGGTCTGGAAGATCCCCGTAGTTATCTTCGCCTGCAGAAGCATCATTTTGCTGATGCTGAACCGAAGCAGAAAAAGTCGCAGATTGATCCAGCGCAGCATTCGGTTGAATAGGTACACCATCGTCCAGAACCTCGGCATCCAGTTCTCCTATGTCCCAAACATCGTAGTCGTTGCTCAATCCCGTATGTATACTAGCGTTGGCGGCAACTGCATCGCGATTCAGGTCGGAAAAGGTCCGTGGCGTTTTGGCCGAGTCGGTGAATGGCTGCTGCTGTTCTTTTTGCTGTTGTTGGGGGTTCTGGACCTGAGTGGCGTGATAGGCGTTCTGCTCCAATTGGAACAACGTGCTGGGAGGGATGTCGTCGAAGCCATCGTCGGAGAAGAAATCATCGTCGTTATCTTCCATGCCCTGGGATGGACGATCGCCATGAACGGAAGGTTGGGGAGAAAAGGAGGGGGAAATGGGGGTGAATGGGGTGAATGGAGGGGGATGATAAATGGGATTAATTAAGGGGAGTTTATCAAGCGGGATTGAAGAGAACTGACGTCGTGTTGGGGAGAATCCAGATCCAAGTTGCTGCCTCACGGGATCCGCTCCTCCTCGTCCTCTTCTTCCTCTTCCTCTTCTCCTCCTCTTCCTCCAACTGCTTCCCTCTCAACAGTTTCTTCCCCAACTCCCACTTTTGCACCCGTCAATCCTTATTGACTGGCCTTGCTGCAGTTCTGCTCCAGCCATTTCGTGCCTGTCCACCGCTGGTCCTCCGTCCGCAGTCCCCCGGTCGCTACTATTTCACATGAATTTTCGTTAGACGACGATCACTGCTGCTACGCCTGCGCCATTCTCGTCTCCCCTTTCCCTGCCTCACTCTTCCCTGCGTGACCCGTCTTGTCCGGTCGACCCATTCCACGCCTGTTCTCCGGTCTCGCCTTGAAAATCCACCTGCTCCCCGCCGCCACGACTCGCGAAGCCGCCGTGCTCCGTCGCCCTCCCCTGTACATATTCCGCCATGTCCAAATCGCGTCGGAACGTCAGGTTCCCCCGTCGGATGTCCAACTCGTCTGAAGGTCGGCGCATGAGCATCTCCGATGCCAGCGACATTCTCTCCGATCCCGGCAGTCCGGCCAAAGATGGCAGCGTCACGACGCCTGCCACGATCCCCGAGGAGGTGAGCCGCGAGCTTGGAGAGACCAGACCCGTTGGGATGCTCGTTGGGCAAGGCTGACATCGCGACCAGAAATCTGAGAAGCCCCAGCTGTCAGACTACGAGAAGAAGAAGCAGACCTTCATCACGCGCACGATATGGACTTTTGTGATGATCTTCGGGTTCTTCATCGCCATGTTTTCCGGCCACATCTACATCATCGGCATTGTCACCGCCATCCAGATTGTCTCGTTCAAGGAAGTTATCGCCATTGCCAACGTGCCCAGTAAGGAGAAAAATCTTCGCTTCACCAAGTCGCTGAATTGGTACTTCCTCGCTACGACCATGTACTTTTTATACGGAGAGAGCGTTATCTACTACTTCAAGCACATTCTCCTGGTGGACAAGGTGCTGTTGCCTCTAGCGACTCACCATCGGTTTATCAGCTTTACGCTCTATGTCATGGGTGAGTTCGGTCCTCTGCGCATTTGCCCCAGCTCCATAGTATGCTGACAGGTCGTCCAGGCTTCGTTTTCTTCGTCGCGTCTCTGCAGAAAGGACAGTACCGGTTCCAGTTCACTCAGTTCGCGTGGACGCATATGGCGCTCTATTTGATCGTCGTTCAGGCGCACTTTGTCATGAACAACATTCTGGAGGGCATGATCTGGTTCTTCCTTCCCGCCTCTCTCGTGATCACGAACGACATCTTTGCCTACGTCTGCGGTATCACCTTTGGTCGGACTCAGCTAATCCAGCTGTCGCCCAAGAAGACGGTCGAGGGGTTCCTTGGCGCTTGGATCTGCACTATCATCTTCGGGTATTTCATGACCAACATTCTGATGCGCTACAAGTACTTTATCTGCCCTGTTAATGATCTGGGAGCGAACGTGTTGACGGGGCTGCAATGCTCGCCCAACCCATCCTTCGTGCCCCAGCCCTACCATATCCCGGCGTGGACCGGCATGGACAAGACCTTCTATATCGAGCCCATGCAGTTCCACATCCTGGTTTTCGCGACCTTTGCCTCCCTCATCGCGCCATTCGGCGGCTTCTTCGCCTCCGGGCTCAAGCGCACCTTCAAGATCAAGGACTTTGGCGAGTCGATCCCGGGTCACGGTGGTATCACCGACCGCATGGACTGCCAGTTCATCATGGGCTTCTTCGCCTACATGTACTACCACAGCTTCATCGCCGTGTTCAAGGCGAGCGTCGGAGATGTCATTGAGGCCGCCATCAACGGTCTGACGGTTGACGAGCAGCTCGAGGTGGTGCGGGGTCTGAGCAAGTACCTCTACAACCAGGGTACTGTCTCTGAAACGGTAAGTCGAGCACCCACCCAACACTTTCCTGACCCTTCACTAATCATGCACAGATCTTGGATTGCTTGAACACCGAGCTCCGCCGGTAAAGCGAGACCATGATGACCCGTCCTTATTCCAATTATATCCGTGATGAAATGCTCACCTTCTCTCTCCTCTTTAATCGCCGGGGATCAACCGAAGCTATGAATACTATACATACACCTTTATAATCAGCTCTTCTTCAACATCCCCGGGGTGTCTGTCATAGAAGAATTCCATCTTCTCCACAGACACGACATCCCCGGAGCCTTTTGGAATTGCGCCCGTGTGCAGTTACTCTCTGCATACGTCTCTCACACGCTTGCTACTCGTATCTTCCGCCATCGCATTGGGTCATTGGTGTATACATGTTTTTTTCAGGGGTAAAAAAAAAGAGAGGGACATATAGTCAGTCAGGTCAAGAAGGGGGGTCAAGAAGGATGGGCGCGGTGGAACGGACACAAGACACATGACGTGACTGGCATCGACATGACTTGATTCCATATTGGTAGTTATAGTGTTATGTTATAGTCACTGTGTTTCTTTCTTCTTATCCTTACTCTCTAATTCCTTCCCTCCCTCCCTCCCTCCTTCCATCCTTCGTCTCAATCTGAATGTGTATTTCTCTCTTGCTCGGGTTGTGCCTTGAGTCTTTGTCTCTGTCTGTCTGTCTTATTTGGTTGATGGATTAGGAAATAGACCGCGCATTTAGTATAATGAGTAGGTAGACTGGTAGTGTATACCAAAAGAAAACATCCCATAACAAATGGTCAATTATTTATTGGCTTATAGCTGTCGCAGTTGGTAGATAGATATCCGGCCGATAATCACTTTATCTTGAGTTGGTCCAGTCTTTCTATTATTCTCTTTTCTTTGATTTGATTTGATTTCATTTATTTATTCATACTCAGAATGAAGTTGCATTATGGGTGTGGTACTAAGTGTATTGTCCGAAGTATTAATACAGTTAACTCCAGGCTCTATACGTCTTACATTTGATGAATTATATACTAGGTGTGTTGGTTGGGCAGCCTCTTCTCGTCCTGGTTTGCTGTATCTGCGTCTCCAGTGGTTTTAGCTCGGTAGCTAACGCTTTGACTTGTCTGGCTGACTGTCTGCCTGCTCCGGTTCTTTGAAATTCGTCTTGCTCTTGCTTGCAAAGAATATTCTGAGCACGAACACCCACTAACACAGTCTGGATCGGATGGAACTGCGCCCATCGAGACCGGTCCCAGATATTGTTTGTGGATGTTTCTGTGACATCAGCCGGAGCGGAGCGGAGCAGAGCAACGTCTGTTTCCATCCAGAGGTGCGTGACACACTAGGTGGGAGCTACGCTCCCTAGCTTAGACGAGACGGTGCGCTATGCAGTAGCATCTGCGGAGCGATATCCTCGCGGCTAGACCCGCTGACGCAGCACAGTTGTCTGTTGCTATGTCATCGATTGACGATCGTGGAAACGATTCATTCCTCAACTTCGTACTCTTCCATCTCGACTTTGAAGTACTCGGCTACGTGGGACTTCTCGGCATCGGCGCACTCCGGGTCCAGCATGAAGCGCACGGCACCGTCACGGCCCTTTTCGGCGGCCTTGGGACGGTCCCCGTTTGCGGCGATGGGGGTGAGGGGGTGCAACTTGACGGGGTCTTTGGCAGCTTTGTCGCCGTTTGCGGGTTTGCTTTCGCGGGGCTCCCGGGCCCAGTTGGTGTAACGGGGAAGTTTCCGGGACTCGGCTTCGGTGTTCAATGGAATGCGGACGGTGAGAAACCGGTCTGCGGGGAAATGAGGCCCGACGGATGTCTGGGCGCGGTTGTGGGTGTAGAGTTCTAGGAGGTCAAGGAGGGTTTCTTGCTCTCGATTAGCATTGAGCTTTTGCTGGAGTTGTCAGTGGAAGCTCACCCATCACTTCTTCGCGACTCGTCTTCCATTTCGCATAGTCGACACCCTTTTCCACCGCCTCGATGCGCCGATCGAGCAATCGACCCGCCAGTTCCAAGCAGCTAAACGCCATGGTGGACGTCGTCTGCTTGACGGGCGCGTACGTGCGATAAAGATCCTGGGCAATGCGATACGCCACGCTGGAGACTTCTGATTGCGATGTCAGCCCGTATTGCCGGGCGAGTTTGACTAGGGTCTTTTGCGGATGGCGTGTCCGGAAGTCGAAGCCGGACGCTTCCAGCATCAGCCTTTCCAGACCGATGATGCCTCTCGCGTGCACTTCGAAGACCTGGTTCAGTTAGTTGGTGGTTCGAATGAAGTCGGAGCGTTACTTACTGGATTGTCGGCAGCCATGTGCTCCTGCGGAGGCAGCTTGAGGTTGTACGCGGCGCAGACAATCTCGCGGGACCGCTTCAAAGTGTCCTCAATTTTGCAGGCCGTGAAGAGAGCAGCCGCAGCGGCATCCTGGACAGATCAGAATGGGTTGAAGAATTGGGAAGACTCAATGTGGGTACCATATAGTTGTACTCGTTGTCGGGATGAACGAGACGGAACTTGTGGTAGTACACCACGGCCGTGTTGAAGGTGCGGATGGGGCTAACTGGTTAGCTATTCGGATCTTTGGGTGCAGTGGGGAAACACGCGCATTGACACATACAGATAAAGAACGCGTCGGATGTTGTCCAGCCAGGTCACGCCTTGCAGGCGAAGGGATTCCTCGCGCAGAGGATTGACACCCATGGCAGCAATACATTTTTGGATGGTCTGTTCGAAGATGTACGGCTTGGCCACCTGAATGAATGACGGGTGGATGGGAGGCGGGTCTGGAATGGCAGAGTCCGGAGAGGGTGCCTCGTCCTTCTTGTCGGGGGCCATGCTGGGAGGCTGTCGAAGGTTGTAACAGCCAGAAAGGAGTGATGGAGGAGCGATGGAGACGGAATGGAATGGATGTTGGATGCTGCAGGGACAAACGGTCATTGGCGGCCAGCCCTGGGTCATGTGATGTGATGGGATGCATTTTCAGTGCAGGATGTGCTGACTAACAGACCCAGATGCATGCACAACATCACAGGCACTCACAATGATGACCTTCTAGGGATTGCAACTCCTACTACTGAAGGGCTTGGAGAGTGGTTCATCACCGACCTGCAATTCCTGAACTCACAAAGTAGACTGCCATAGGTTATAGACTAGAGTATGCAGGTTTCTGCATCACACCAAGTACTTACTAGTATTCTTTATACCCAGCTTGATGGTCAGCTACTACTATATATGTCTCCGTGCCTTCCAGTTCATCTCCAGGAACTCTAATTCCAGCGCCAGTCCACTTATAAGTCTACTGGATGCCAAAGCACACACCTCCAGGATCATGCCCAGAACATTATCCCCACTGAATCCATATAGATCTAGACCTGCCCCGTCCGTCTTCACCTCCCCCAAAATGCCCAGCCTCTATTCCGTAGTGAATCGTCAGATGAAAAGACCAATAGAAGCCATTTGCAAGGCGAGATGCCCAAGAATCGCCAAAATACACATCACCAGACAGACCAATGGGATGACGAGCGCAAGACGCGTCGACGTGACAACAGGGGTATCCTTCACAAATTTATAGTTATCAGATCTGATAGATCTAATCTATACTCCATATAAGTCAAATACATCTAGTGCGACAACTCACGGAACCCCTCTCCCCTCCCTTGTAGCCCTGGCCAACCAACTCTCTGCCAAATCATCCGCATACCGCTTATAGATAGGCAGATAGTGCTCCGTCTCACTCATTGTCTCCTTCGAGCTCCTCCGCTTCTGCACTGCAGCAAACCACTTCCTCCACTTCCCCCAAACCTCCTCATCCTCGCCGCCCTCTCCAGGGCCCGGAATACCAAGGCCCCCTTTGTACTCGTCGAACACCCAGAGCCGGAACGCCCACGGTGCGAGCACCACATCCGGGAGTGTGAACTCCTCGCCCAGAAAATAGGGCCCGGTCGGGTGGATCTCCCTCGACCATTCCTTCAGCGTGGAGAGGAAGTCCTGGCGGGCTTGGTGCAGGCCTTCGATTCCGCGCGTGGAGGGCTGGTATTGGAGAAAGCGGTGCAGGGAGGGGATGATGCGCGAGGTCATGAAGTCGTTCCAGATGCGGCACCGGGCGCGCAGGTAGGGGTCGCTTGGGAGGAGTGGGGTGTGGTCTGGGTAGGCTTCTTCGAGGTATTCTAGGATCACGGTGGACTCGTACAAGGGCTTGGAGATGTTGGTGGAGGGATCCGGGACGGCGATGGTGGGGACCAGGCCGCGGGGGTTCAAAGCGAGGAAGGAGGGTTGTTTGTGGTAGGGATTGACTTCGATGTATTGGTAAGGGATTTGCTTTTCTTCGAGGGCGAGCCAGACGCGTTGAACTAGAGAGAGGGGTTAGTGGGTGTAAGAGGGAGGGGGCTTCTCATGCCGTAAGGGTAGTATACCGAAGCTGAGAGGAGTTAGTGGAGAGTCGACGCTATGCGGAGAGATGGCGGGGAACTCACGGACAGAACCAGCCTGCATACAGCTTCAATGGCTGCTCGGCTTGGTGTCGCTCGACCAGCGCTTTGGCCGGGCCGGTGGCTTCCGGGTAAATATCCGCGTCTGGAATGGCCATTGCGTGGAGTGAGGATTAATTGAACGATTGATGGGATGGTCCGGTGGGCGGGACTGGCGGTGTTTTATAGTCTGGAGTAGTGACGGGGCGATGGTGTCATGCGATTATTAATGGCACCGCAACCCCCGCAGATACAGATACAGATACAGATGGAGATGGAGATGGAGATGGAGATGGAGATGGACATAGAGATCAAGATAAATCAATTGCTATATCAACCATGGGCAGTCGCCTGAAACGAGCACGTCAAAGACAACACACGTAGATGACATTCCATCCAAAGCCCAACATTAATTAATTACTCCCCGTACTTCCTCAGCAACTTCTGCATAATCGACACGGCCCCCGATCGGTACCCAGCACCAAAGATCGCATGGTGGTTCAGATGATGATACCTGGACTGTTAGCAATTCCCCCACGATCAACACCAGCAGACGGACACGACACTCACAGCTCGTACAACCTCACCCGGTCCTCATACTCCTCCACCGGCTCGGTCTTGGGCACGATCTTGTGATATGCGGTAAAGAATGCCGATCCAAACCCCCCAAACATCTTCATAATCCCCAGGTCATACTCGCTGTGCGCGTAGCATGCCGACGGATCGTAGACCACGTCCCCGGCCTCCTCATCATCCTTCCGACCGCTGCCCACAATGTGGCCGCGATCTGCATTCCCACTCCACAGGTCCCCATGCACCACGACAGGCGTGACGCCTTCCCCATTGCCATCCCGGTCGTAGCCTAAATGTCCATCCCCCAGCAACGTTGGGACCACCGTTCGCGCCGTCCGCTCCACCATATCCCGCAAACCAGCATCGCGCCCATTCCGGATTTCCGACGTCTCCAGAATGGTCAGCAGCCGCTCGTTGGCATAGAAATCGGCCCACGAGTCGCAAAAGCGGTTGGGCTGTCTCGTGTCCCCGCAGAACGTCGGCACAGGGAATCCGAACCGGCGGCTGCCCGTCTCAGGATCAAGCGGCGCAGGCGTCGAATGTAGCTTGCCTAGTCGCTGTGCCAATGACACGCCTCCACGGCCACTTACGCCGAGGTCTAGGAACTCGGTCGCTAGAAAGAAGCTTGTCCCGGTGCCTTCTTCCAGCGGGCCCCAGGCGAGAGCGCGCGGACAAAATCCCGGCACCGAAGTTGCGATCGCATTGAGCGATTCGTACTCCCCACGGAACATCTCCTCCGCGGCCTCACCGTCGGCAGAGGTCTTGACAAAGTATCGTCGCTCCTCTTCCCCCGATGCGTTGGGACCGGGCACCGTGGCGCGGATTGCACCGGTGCTGGTGAAGCCAGACCCCAGTCCAGCGGTGGACAGGCTGGCTTTGGCGGCATCGGGAATGGCGAGGGCACGTAGCAGCGAGGCAGGCACGGGAGCCATCGTCTCGAGTGTCACACGCGCGAAGGGAGATGGGAATAGGATCGGGGAGAAGAAAAAGGGAAGAAGGAGAAGCAGAAGAAGAAGCAGCAGCAGCAGCAGCAAGCCATTTCAGCGGCAGTCGGCCGATGACGTCGCCGGTCACGTATCTTATCGATAAGATAAGCGCTGCTTTTCAACTCCTTATTTGAATGCTGGTGGCATGAAGAAAGAATGACAATGCATACGTGCATGGGCACGTCTCGTCTACGATAGTGAGCCGACTCTTTGTACACGCCCTCAACGCCTTCCCTTTTGCCTGGATGCCAGATATCCAGTCCCAGTGCTACCCATACCTCCAAGCAAGAACCGATCGAACGAACGCACAACCAAACAGACATGCAGCACCGCTATGTGTGGGTCAAGGAGTTTACCAAATCCTGCGCCGTCCGGGTCCGTTCTCGCACGTCTAGGTCCGGGTCGTCTCCCAGGTTGGCCAACCGATCCATCACTCCCATCGCCCGCAGTCGGAACGCCCGTTCTCGACAGCCTTCCTCCTCGCTCGCGTCATCCTTGTACGTGAGGTTGATCACCACCCACACGCAGTTCGTCCGTACATCTCGATGGCTGTGGTTGAAGTAGCCCATCAGGTAGCGCAACAGGTCCCGGTGCGATACCAGGAGCTGCCGGTGCCAGGGAAGGCCGGCAGCCAGATGAATCATGACAAACGTGACTGACACCAATATCTCCGTAGGGACACTCAGAGCCCGCTGTGCCGACGCCTCCTTCCGGTGCGGAAGCTGAATCGAGCGGGGCCGGAGCTTGTCCGCCAATGCATCCAGAATCAAATCCTGCCCGAGCGTCTTGAACAGGTGCTCAATCATCTCGGATGCTCCCGGCCCACAGATGATATTGCGTAATAGGTCGAATGTCTGTTCTTGCACTGCAATGTCATCCTGCCGGGCCTGAGTCGTCTGGTCGAGATTTCCATGCAACGCCAACTTGCGCCGCCGCGTGGCGTCGGGAAGGAACATGTCCAGGCTCATCTTGGACGGTGGCATGGTGTCTGCCATCTTCATATCCTCGTCGTGTCCGGCATTCTCAATCGGGTTTAGTAGGTCCACCTGCTCTCCTGCGGAGTTGGCCCGGCCCATCCCGACCCCGCCGCCGTTGTCCATCTCCTCGTCCAGCCCTCGCTTCGCCAAGACGTTGATCGGGTCCTGCGTGATGATCTGCCTGATGTACCCGGGGCCCAACCCATCGATAATCCGAACTTTGACGTCGTTGGTCGAATTGTACGCCACATGTTTCAGCGCCCATAGTGACTCAATGCGGAGCTTTGTGCTTGGAGAATGTGCATGCTCACACAGAGTGGGGAGAACGTCCGCGGAAATGATCGCCTATGCCAGTTAGTGTATTCTCTGAAGATGGCAGGGATGGCAGGGATGGCAGGGCGAACCTCTTTCATCGGACTGAAATCCAATGCCAAGTTACAGATAACCTGCGTTGCAGCAATTTGCACCTCGATATCGGGGTGTTTAATCAAGACAAATAGGGGGGTTGCCACACCCGCGTCGATCATACTTGTCCGTAGAACACTGACTGAGCGCGTCAGCATCCGTACGGCACCACAAGCGGCCAGCAGAGTTGGTGTCGGGTTGCCATGGGTAGCGGTGTTCTTGGGGATTGTCGTGTCTGCCAGTTGATCGTCCGAGCATGGTTTCAGCGAATCAATAATGTACGGCACCACGCCATTGTCACAGACGGCTTTGCGATACTCATCCTTGAAAGGGACCAGAGCAGCCAAGGCCTTGAGAATGTTCTCACGGTATCGCATGACATGGCAGTGAACGGGCGAAAAGCCTGGGGGTCCCAGTCGACACTCTGCTGGCAAGGATTCGGGGGGACTCGAGGCACTTTCTTCACCTTCCGCAAGCCACATCGGGCGAACAACCTCTTGGACTGGGTTGTACGTTTCTTTGAGAAGCTGGGATAGCCGCTTGATGGCATTTCCGTCGGCTGCGTGTCGCTGCAGCTCGAAATCATCGATTACCAGGGTCGCAAGCACGAACGGGGCTTCTTCGCGAAGACGCTCACTTGAAGGGATCAATCCGCCGTATTGCACCCCGTCGTCCCCGGTTACTTCGTAGTCCTTGTCTAGCATGCGAATCAAGATTGGTATCAAAAGGTAGCAGAGCATCGAGACCCGTCGCTTTCTGGTCAGCCCTAGACGGAAGAGAACGGTAACCAGACGCGCCGCCATCAACCGGACCATACCACTTTCTGCACGAACGATATATAGGAGCCACGGGATGATGGGGTTTTCCTCGTCTTCGGAGGTTGGAGCATCGTAAACCGACATCGGTGCAGAAAACGATTGGCTGTGGCGGCGGTGATGAGTAGTGCTCTGGTGCCCTAGAGGCGGGAAATTGGGAGTGTTCACCGAAGACTTGTTTTGTGCTAAGGGGACGGATGGCAAGAGGTGCTCCAATGGACTCGCGCCAGCATGGCGGGGGACGGCCGATCCTGAAAGATATGTAGAACCCCATGGTCCCTTTTTAATGTCCGTTGGTGCGAATTCGGGCAGCTGCTTGGGAAACACCGTAAGTATACCCGGCGATGACAGAAAGTGTTCCGCGCGCCACTTCGAGTGCTCGATGATGACCGTAATCGCCCGAAGGATAGGTGCCAGCTTGGCTCCGGCCGGTGCAGGTGGCGGCAAAGACCCAAGAGCACCGGGCTCCTGCACATGTGCCTCTGCACCGGGGAGCACGAAGCCCTGGGCCACGATGAAAGACGCTACCTTCACAGCCAATGCATCCAAGACTCCGCACTCGGCCAACACTGCCTTATGGGTCTCCTCCGTGCACAATTTCCCGACAAGAGACGCAGCAAGTTCAATGGCTGCTTGATCATGATGGTTACCATAGTCCTGACCGAGAATTTGAACTAAGCAGCCGATGTGATCATTGGAGAAGAGTAGGTCGGCCAAGCGTGTGTCTTTGGCCGATAGCTGTCGGTTCTGTAGTGGTAACCGATCCGCGATGTTGTTTAAACTTCGGAGAATGGGGAGGACAAAGAATGAAGGACATCCAGGCGTGGAGATAATCGAGAGAAGAGAGGAGACAATGCCACTGGAGAAGATGGGAGAAAGGAAGGCCGCACCGCCTGCTCGATCATCAGTTCGTGGTCTTGGGGTCGAATACCCGATCGGCCAGAGCGTCATCTAACTACCTTGTGCCAAACTCCCCAGAATGATAACTGCCTGCAGACAAGCTTCGTCTTCCTCCGACGCAGGATAGCGAAGCTTCGAGCCCCTGCTGTGCTCCGCGGAAGCAGGACCTTTTCCGGGGCATTGCCGGGCGGCCAGGATTTTGGCTAGCACGGGAATGATGCCCCATCGGATCCAAGTCTCTTTACGTTGGTCATGACCAATTGTCTCATTCTTGAGGCCCCGGAGAGCAACTGCTTGAGCGGACGCCGAGTCTGCACTCTGAAGTTGCAGCAGGAGTGGAGGAGCCGAAGCGCGTGTCATGGTCCGAAGTCGCTGCCTCCCGCGGGAGGGCACTTGATCGATTACGTCGGAGGGTTTAAAAAGAGTAGCGCTGATCGTGGGGGAAAGGACCGAATCGAATAAAGATAGACGCGACAGGGCAATGTGTGAGACAGGTAGGTGGAAGTTTCGATGGCCGGTTGGTCAGGGAGGGGTTTCGTGCAGCCAGCTGGCCGGGAGCGATGGTCAAGGCGATGAGATGCAACAGACGTTGGAGGAGCTGGAATGAGCGAGCAATGTATCGGATCAGTACCACAAGCCACGGTAATCGGGTGCCGAGACGGTCTATTAGGCAAAACAGAACAGGGAAAGTAGGATAGGCTATGTATGTGACAAATGAGACAAATAGTAGCAGGAGTGAACTGGCGATGGAGCTCCGGACATACGCAGTCGGTCGTGATAGATAGTCCTTAGTTCGCTGCCCGGGACCGGTCTCCTACCGCTTTCGGCCGCGAGCCATCAGGTGATATCACCTGATGGCGCTGATTGCGTAGTAAGCTGACTGGGCTGACTCAGCACCTGCTGAAGGGCCGGACGCAGAGCCATCATGTGACTCAGCCCTATAGGTATTGCCATTTTGCCACTGCGCCAGACTGGGGGTTGTCTGACTGAGGTCTGTCGGTCCCCCAGAGGTACTCCATGGTATCTGTGTCCTGATGCCAACGTGGGGGATAAGTCCCTGGGAGAACGGGGAAGGGGTGCAGTGCCGGGTGTCACTGGGAGCTGCCGGGGAGTTGGAGAGAAGTTGGAGTACCTGGCAACGGCGGCAATGGCACACTCCTATGGAGTACCCGGTATCGCATGATCAATAAATAGCAGGTGACCCGGGAAAGGGATGCGGCAAGGAAGGGATCCCTGATTCAGGAGACAGAGGAGTACTTGCACTGCAGAAGGGAGGTATAGGACTACATCCCGAAGGGGTAACTTATGGCCGCCTCATCGTCTCTGGGATCGATAGAGCGAGAATAAATCGATAGGTCTGTGTCACCGTCACCTGAGGACTACCTATGTGACTATACCCCAGGCAGTTCCAATCTAGACTCCGCCTTCCGGATCCATACATCGTATTCCGTCCTCCGTACTGGACTTACCCGTGGCCTTGACATTTGTCTCAGCGATTCAGCGTCCACGCAGTAATCTATCGTTTTACGGGACATGCGCTAGACAAGGGAGGCGTAATCCCGCTGGCGCTAGGCCAAGATTGGCGCACCCAGCGGGGATTCCCATTGGTGAATGGGGCCCGTTCCCTGCTTTGTTCCCTGCGTATAATACCGCCCCGTACCGCCCCATACTCGGGCCGGACGAGTGAGAAAAATTTCTCCAATTGTTCCCCTCCTCGTGTCGGATTTCCCTGGATCGGCGTCATGGTTATATGATAATTCTCGCTACTTCCTGCTCACTTCTTGACGGTCTTCTTAATTCTCCTCCTCCTCCTCCTCCTCTTCCACCACCTGCTCCCCCTTCCTCCCCCGCCTTCAGCCTCCTTCCTCCTCGAAGAGCTGATTCCACCTCCCCCCCGCAGATCACGATGCGTCTGTGCACGCCACCTTCACCCCTCGCAGCAGCACAAGGTTCCGCAGCGTCTGCCAGCTCCGTTGCACGTCGTTCAGTCGTGCGCCCACGTGGTGGCCTCGTTGGGCGGAAATGCTAGTTTCGTCGCCTTCGCCGTCCGCCGCCCTGCGACCTTCCCCCTCCTCTCCGACCACCACCACCACCACCTCTCATTCCCTTGCTCATTCTCATCACTCCCACTCTCACCCTAATTCTCATCCCCAACCCCCTCTCCCCCCCTCCTCCTCCACCTCGTCGTCTTCCCCCTTCGCTACACACTCTCGGCATCCTCCGCCTCAGCATTATGAGCCCCCCGGGCCCGCTTCTGCTGCTGCTGCTTCCAACCCCCGTTTTGAACCACAATCCTCCCGTCTGGCCATCGAAGAGCTTCGATCGGCCCTGAATCGGCACACCGTTGGCTCCTCGCCCCCCGGGCCCTCAGGGGATTTCTCTCGCGGTCGCATGTCCGCTGGGCTGACCTCTGGGGGCGGAAGTAGCACCACGTCTCATCCGCCTGCTGACGCCGCCATTCCCGCCTCCAATCCCACGCACCCTTCTCTAGATCGTCCTACCAATAACGTGTCCGCCGCTGCCGTCCCTGCATCCTCCTCCGTTCCCGCTCCGGGTGCCCATTCAACGTTTACCTCCTCGATGCCTGCCCCGAATAGCGCCGGCTCCGGGTCCAACAAGCGTAACAGCCCCAACGACCTTCCTGCCGGCGATGCGCGGGTAGCGGGTCTGGGCCACGCCGACCTCGAAGGCTCTCAGACGAAACGAATGCGACCGGAGAAGCCCGAGGTCAAGTTGCTGCCGCAACGTTACGAGCTGGCCGATTCTCGAGATATTGTGGTGTTGATATCTAGTATGCTGATGGAGCTGATACGATTCAACGATAAAATCCCTTTGAACCAAGGCCGTCTAACTCGCTTCCACTCGCGGTCGCCGCCACGGATTTCGGTACAAGACTACCTACAGCGACTTACCACCCACGCCACGTTGTCGCCCCCAATTCTCTTGAGCATGGTGTACTATATTGACCGACTCTGCACGCTGTATCCGGCCTTCACCGTGTCCAGTCTGACAATCCATCGATTCCTCATTGCGAGTGCCACGGTGGCCAGCAAGGGACTGAGTGACAGCTTTTGGACCAACAAAACATACGCTCGGGTGGGCGGTATCACCATGACGGAGCTGGCTCTACTGGAACTGGAATTTCTGTTCCGCGTGGAGTGGCGCATTGTCCCCGAACCTGAAGTACTTGTAGACTATTACAAAAGTCTAGCCGAACGATGTGATGGGTATGCGATCGAGCGTGATAGTTGATCCACCTCCGATTCGACATCTGCAGAGCCTGCGAGCCACCCGAAGATTTAGATTGCTTGCATATATTTCTGGGCTTGGACGGCGCGAGCTAGGGATTATCTGGAGGTTGTGGGAACCCCGATGTGTTTGTACCAGTACATATAACACACATACACGGACATGGAGTTGATATTGTTTCTGCATAGTTTGATGGCGAGGAGCGATCGATATCCTTACGGCTGGTGTTTCTTGCCTTTTTTTTCCCTCTCGCTGTCTCCTACCCTCTTTTTTCTTGTTGTCATTTTCCTTCCTGCTTTTTGAGTTTTTCTTGTCTTCAACTTTCCGGCCTCTTACCACTAGTATACACCCTGTACAGAATCCACTCATACATGAAATACTTTACATCTCGGACGATAGATGGATGCATGGCCCACTTGGCAGCGGGATCCGCTCCGGTCATGCGATGTAATTAATATTAGTATTTACGGAGTACTCCGGCCTCTCTAGTCTCAGTCTCTACCATTTTCTTAGCCGTGAAGAATGACGTCGACACTTTCCCGGGGCTAGTCTGGATTCAGCCTGCGCATTAGGGCATAGGTCTTAGGGTACAGGGTCCGCTGCCTCGACAGCGGCGAAGTTATTCGAAGTTATTCCCGACTTCCCTCGGCCCAGATGGCAATTGTTGATATCCGCAGAACTCACCCCGCCACTGGAAGCATGTCGTGACAGACCCCTCCTCACAGTCTCATCATCCGATTACTGCTCCTTCTCCCATTGCCCCTCCCCATCCGCAACCCCGCCATACAAAGACAACTCCCCTCGCTGGACCCCGAAGTAAATGGACGCAGAAGAGATCCTTCGTGGGATCAAGCCCCTCGTGGGCCAAGTGACCGCGATCCGAACCGTCCAGGAAACGCGCCCCCGCGAAGACTATGGTGCGTCTTTCACACTCGGATCCCCTGTGGTCACTAACATCTCCCAGCCGATGCCTACGTCACGGAAGTCAATGTCAAATGCGCTTCCAAGGTGATCAAGTGAGTCCGCATATTCCCCATCCCTCTCCTTCGTCAATCCGTTCTAATAATCCAGAGCCCTGGATTCGTCCTTCCCCCGCGACTCACCCCAATCATTGAGTCACCTCCGCCGTTTCGCGAAACACAACCAAGTCCCCGAGCATCTTCGCTCAACCCTCCTCCGCGAGGGCTCCTCCCCAGCGCAGACCATCTTCGTCCTGATCTACCCCCCTCTCCCTGATATCGACGCCCTCCAGAATGTCCTCTCACCATTCGCACCTCCAGACCACCCCGCAGGCAACAAACTCGTCTTCCACACCGTCCGCATTCCCCTCCAACCGCCCCTCACCACTGTCCAAGCCGAGGCATGGTCGAATACCATGTGGCCCGTCGTCTTTAACCCGTCCGCTCCCCGGGCCATGATCGCCCCGCCCCCGCATATCCTGAGCCGCGCCCGCGACTTCATCCAGCCCAAGGCAGGCCGGTATCTAGCTCTAGCACAAAGGGTAGCCGAGGAGGCAGAACAATCGGGTCTAGGCAGGAGCGTGGGCGCAGTCGTCGTGGACCCAGATCTCGAGGCCCAGCTCGACGACGAAGAATCCGACATCCACTGGTCAGATGCGGTGGTCGCAGTCGCAGGTGACGGGAGGTACTCTCGCGCCCCTGTACCAGAGCCGGGCCCGAACCCGGTCAGCCAGATCTACGACCCTGACCACGAGGGCGGACCCGAGCTCCACGCACTGATGCGCGTCGTCGAATTGATCGCCAGCAAGCGCCGCGAAGACCGCCCGGGATCATCATCCACCGGCCGGCCGTGCCTGAACCATCTCGAGACCTACTTCCTTTCCCAGTCCGACGTGACCCGCTCCGACGACGATGACTCAAAGGACCCCTCCCCCGTACCAGAAAAATATCAGAAAACCGAGACCTCCTCGCACGCGATCCACAAACAGCCCGAGTCCGCAGAGGACGATACCCCCACCACGGCTCGCATCCGCCCCCGCTCACAGGGCGGCTACCTATGCACCGATCTGGACGTGTATCTGACCAACGAGCCATGCATCTGCTGCTGCATGGGCCTGCTTCTCTCGCGGTTCCGCGCCGTGATCTATCCCCGTAACGGACGGATGGTATCGGGAGGGTTGGCATCAGAACCCGTCGTTAAGCCAGTACCCGTGGAGAAAGAAGAAGGAGAAGGAGAAGTAACCACTGCCGCAGAAAACCAGGAACCTACCCCAGACGATACCCAACCCCAGAGGGAATACTACGGTCTACACTGGCGCAAGGAGCTGAACTGGCGTGCTCTTGGGTTCGAGTTCGTCGAGGAGACGGAGAAATCTGCGGAGGGGGTCGCATTCCATGCATAGTTAAAATCTAGATACACACATACCATGCAGCACGTCCATAAAGCAAGGTATAGAGCAAATCACCCCAGTCATCTTGAAATGATCCAGTCAGTAATCAGACAATTCATCAATTAATTGAATAATAGACAATCAGTAGACAATCTAGTCATTCATCTGTCTGTCTTGATACACTCCGGCCAGCAGGTTGATTGAGAATTGGATCAAGTGCTAACAGGTACTGGAATATAATATGGAGGGAATACCATAGTTTGACTATTAAGCGCACCTTACCAAATACTGTTTTCGGTGCTGGATGAAAGAGTAGAGGATAGATAGATACACGATGAACAGTTCCTACTTTTGTGTACGCATTACAATACATAGCAACTGGCAAAGCTATCTTCTTACATGCTGGCCACGTTACTCGTTATATTAGGTTATTAGCATTTCTCGATATGCTCCAATTAGACCCAGCAGCTACCCCGCTATTCAATATGCAAGTGATGCTTCCATCATACATATCCCCGTGTCTTCTCATTCCCGTGCATTATTCATTAAACCAATACGTGGGCCTTGCGCAAATCAACTTTTATCCCTTCAGCAGCCGGGCACGGCGCGAAAGAGGTGCAATCTTGCGAGTGATCGGATCATGGGGCGACTTCTCTGCAACAGACATGTACAAGACCTCCAACCGTGAAATGAGGATGTCCATGATTTGGGGTACAAGGTCGCGGATATCCGGATCCTTGAATGACTCGTCAGTATAACCATACTTCATAGTGAGAGGCGTACCACATACCATCGGATTAACTATCTGAAGGACGACTTCCAACCAAGCCAGACGCTCCATGACGTGGGTCTGCAACGACGACGTCACGGCAACACCAACAGACAGGCCCACAATGGGCGAAAGGCTAGTCAGATAGGAGGGGTTCATGCGGACAAAAAGATTGTCGAACAAATCGGCCTGCTGAGAGGATTGCATCCACTACATCCCTGTTAGCGATGTCCATAAAGCAGCTGTAAACAAACGTACCTTGACGGAAGCCTCTTCGTACCGACCCTGGCTCATCAACTGAGTAATGTCTTCCATCTCGGCTTGCTCGGCGGTTCTAGAAACGGGGGCCGCAGATACCACGGGCTGCTCCACCTGTTCGACTTCCGGCTTGGGCTTGGGCACCAAGTTACTGTTGAGCTTTGAGACCTCGCTCCGAAGCTCGGTCTGTACCACCGCCATGGCCGCCACAGTCTCAGAGAGTTCACGCACGAGCGAGGTGAGTTGGTCGATCTTGGTGGCGTCATTCCGGCGCTGCAATTCAAACTGCCTTGCCTGGGCCTGCATCTGTTTCTCCATGACAATGGTGACCTTCTCCGCAGTCTGCGCAGCAACGTTCCTGAAAGCGGGGGTGATGGTGTTGTGGACAGCCTTAGAAATCTCATTCTCGACCTGGGTCGCCAGCTTCTGGCCAACGGCATCCGACAACACTTTCATCAATTCAGGCTGCTGGACGGCACGACCCACGGCTTCAGGCAGAGCCTGTCGCAACTCACGGGGGATAACACCTCCCATCTGCTGAGCCACAACTGTGTTGAGCTGCTTCCCAACGGCGGCGGACGTGACCTCGGTCAAGGCAGGCACCACGTCACTCTGGATGCTGCTCGACACGATGCGGGCCAGGTTCTTCTCCACATTGTCAGATAGGGTGCTGGAGACCAGGCGCAGAACTTGATCCTGTTTGGCCGCCGAGGCCGCATCCCAGTTGCGACGTTCTTCGTCGAAGCGGAGATACAGTCCTTCGATTTCACGGCCAAGGCTCTTGTTGAACTCCGAAGACACACCGGTCTGCAGGGCCTCCAAATGCTGGTTGATGATAGCGGCCGAATCATCTGTGGCGGCGGGAGCCGGAGTCAAGATGGGTGCCGACTCAACGGGTACCTTCTGTGCATCACTGCCGAATTGTTCGCCGCTCACAGGAGTCTGAACAGTGGCAGCAAAGTCACCGGGAAGTGACTCGTTCGCAGCCGCGGGTTCCTTGCCTTTGACGGAGGTTTCAGCCGTGGTGGCCGGCGACGTAGCGTTCTTCTTCTTCTTTTTCTTCTCAGCTTTCTCAGTGTTGGTGGTGGCGACGGACTCGGCCTGCTCCTGGCCCGGTTTCTTAATAGTCACCAGCTTGGTGGGTGACTGAGTACGCAAAGAGCTGGGACCGGCGGCGGTGGTAGCCTCCGTGTTCAATTCCGGAACCTTCTTTGCGATCTCCTTGGCCGCGGGCTTGGTGGGCGTAGGGACTGAATCGCCGTTGACCGATGGCTCGTCCGCCACATACGTGGGGAAGGTTTGCAACTCGGCAATGTCGATGAGACCTTCCTCTAGTGCGTTCACAGGGCGAATGATTTTGTTGTCCGAGGTCCATCCCAAGTCCTCCTTCTTGATGTTGAGACAGGTTACTCCGCGCGAGTGCATCACGTAGAGTTCAAACAGGCCACTCTCTTCGCCAGCGCTCTTGGTCACTGGAAGAAGGTCCAAGCTGCGCAGCTGGCCCTTCGAAGCAAAGGAGATCTCCCGAATGCCGCTCATGCATGCAGTGGATTCTGGCTTAGGCAAGGTGCTATCCTTCTCGCCCGAGCGCTTGATGAAGGAGGCCTGTGACATGGCCTGCAGGTTGTATCTGGGGGCAGAGAGGTGGACGAAGTAGATGGAGTTGCGCGTGGGATGTCCGACGACGACGATGCCCGAAGCCGGGTGGTAGGCGACACTGCAGATGGCGTCCGACTCATTCTCATGGGGAAACTTGAGCTCCTGCACAGCCTTGCCCAGCCCAATATCCCAGAGCTGCAGGGTGTGGTTCTGCTTCAGTCCCACCAACACGTAACGCAGTGCCATCGACTTCACATACGGCCGCAGCTTGTCGATGAACAGCACCGAGGTGGGCCACGACTTCTCAGCGGGCGAACCAGTAACAAAGGTGTTCAAGGGAACCCGGACCTCAGCCGGGCCAGGACCCGAGGCAAAGAAAGCCGGATTGCTAACCGCCTCGCGAATGTCCCAGAAGCGAAGTCGACCGGTTTTATCAAGGGATGCTATCACCGTATCATCATCGCTGAACATGAAGTCCTTGCCTGCTTTGCCGGTTGAGATCTTCAAAGCACGCTCCTTGAAGAACTTCTCGCTGTTAACGATGCGTTGGGGGCCCGATACACCGTAGCTCGGGTTCATAGCAGCCTGGGGAGAGACCACGTAGATGTTCTTGCCACGGCCGATGGCGAAGAAACCGGGGTGACGAGAGCTCCGTTTAGCCCGCGTTTTCAGCTGGCCACCCGAAGTGTTCTCGTCCGAAGCAGGGAAGGGCGGGAAAATGAGACTCTCACTCTCAAGGGCGTCCAGTTCAAAGAGATCCTTGTCCGTGCGAGAGATCAAGACCCAGTAAACGGCACCACTCACGCCAATTCCCAGCAGCGCCTGCTCCTCGGTGCTGCGGCCAGTTGCCGCCTGCGAGGTGCAGACAGCAACGTTGAAAATTCGGTCTCGAACCGAACGGAACACCTGTTTATCACTTCCATCGTCCTGGCGAATGATACGCATGCCTCCGTTCTTCGCCAAAGCATAGACGATGTAGTCGGAAGTCGCGGACGTCAACGAGCGATCCAACTGATCAAAGTCCTTCTTCAGCCGCGCGATGTCCATAATGCCGTCATCTCTGAGAGTTGCCAATTTCCCGGCGTGGGCCTTGACAATGATGGAGATAAAGGGCTTCAGGGGGAAGTTGTGCACTGAGACGACACGCTCTTCCTCCTTTTCAGCACTGTCCTCCGCGCTCTCCCAGCTGTCCGCCAGCGCATCACCGCTGCCACTGTTGGAAGTCTCCTTCGCAGCAGCAGACATAGTGGCGGCTCCAGCATCCTCTTTCTCCACCTTCTTGTCAGTGACTTCCGTCTGCTCCTTCGCCTCCGCGGCAGTCTCCCGCAGGTGGGAAGCGATAGATGAGAGCACGGCTTGCGTGCTGTCTTCTTGAGCTGTTGCGACCCGAGACACCTTCTCCTCGGCAGACTCGGAAGCGGCACTATCAACTTCACGGCTTATTTCCTCCACGAGCTTGTCGACCACCTGAGTAACAGCTTCTCTCTGTTCTCCGGCCAGCATGGGCGACGCGACGCGTCCAACCTCGGGAGTCTCCACAGGGTCGGGTACCGGCGCGGTCTCAGCCTTAGTAACAATGCTGACCTTCTTGTTCTTCATGATTTCGACAGCCGGACTCTCACTCCGAGACTTAGGTTGAGGAGTCCCGTTTCGAGGGGAGGCGGCAGCTAGCTGCTCAAACGGGTTGACGTAGGTAAACATCGACTCCTTTCCGGAAGAAGACTTGTCCAGTCTCCCAGATATAGGCTCCTCCGGACGGGCGAAGGTTTCCTCGACAACCTGATCAGATGGCGTCAGAATGTTACTCAACTCGACCTCAGGCACAGGAGACTTGACGGGCGAAACAACGGAGGGAGATTGAGAAACAGGTCTCACCGGACCCTCCAACACGTCCCGAGCAGGCTTGGGGCGGTTCAGCAGACGAAGCAACATCTCCTGGGTATGCTCCGCAGTCGGAGCAGCGGACGAGGAGCTCTCTGCGACGCCAGACCCAGCACCCACAGAGCCAAGCTGGCCAGGGTGAGTACCCGCCGGTCTCACAGGTGGGGCAGTGGATTGACCCTGTCCACCAAAAAGGGACGCGACCAGGTCGGACGCGGAGATATTTCTCGCGTGGGCCTGGGACGCCTCCTCCGGGGCAGATGCACGCGCCTGGGGGTACATAGCCTGATCCATGCCCGCGACCACCAGCTGCTGCTGCTGCTGCTGGACAGAAGCGGTCGGGGGTTGGTTGGACTTCAAAAGGTTCAAGAGGTTGACCGCACGGTCGGGGTTTTGAGGCAAGGGCTGATGATGATGCTGCTGGGCATACATCTCGGCACGAGGCGTCGGAACATTAGGACTAAGAATATCCGAGCCATGGTGAGGCGGAGTATTAACGGGCGAAGGGCTATGAATGTTCGACGAGACGGAAGGGTGACGGTAGCCGTGTTGGTGAAGGTGCTGGGGTTGCAGGTGAGGGTGAGGGTAGCTCTGACCGTGGCCCTCATAGGGTGGCTGGAACTGCTGGTGCTGGTGCTGGTGGCGGTAACCAGCCTGGTACTGGCCAGGGTGCTGCTGTGGCATGGGAGGATCATGAGCAGGGGTGCCCGATGGCGAGGGGCGCGGCCTGATGCTGGCCAGCAGGGCCTGAAGATCATTGGGGGTGGACATTTCTGTCACTCGCCGTGGAATAAGGCGACCTCCAAACGAAATCCAAGCTCCAAAGTGGTGCAGAGCTCTCTTTCGAGAGCCAACAAGCGACGAAGGAAAGAGAGCGCGAGAAACAGGACACGAAAGCTCGCGGAAGAAGAAAGGAATGCAAGCAGAATAGCAAGAATACCAAAAGACGAAGGATGGACTATAGTACAGGAACGAAGGGGGAGAGAGAAAAGGGAAGAAGGGGAAAAGGAAAGGGAAGAGAAGAGAGAAAGCTCAGTGAGAACGACTCGAAGCGAGAAGCGGAAGAAATGGACGGCGACGGAGGTGCCCTTGCTGTGGCTGATGCCGCTTTCTGCTTGCGTTGGCTGTGGCTGATGTCCCGTACCGTAACCCTCGTGTATCGCGTATCGAGTATCGATGATGAAACACACCCTCGTTCGCTCAAGCAGCCAAAGCAGATCCTCAGCATCAACTCCAAAAGATTCCTTGAAGATATACCACCCCCCCCAGAGCCATGGACCCTCGCTACTAGCCAATTCACTCGTCCGCGATTCACCCTCCACATCCTTACGACCATCTTCCCCCATCACTCTCCGCCCACCGAGCACCAGAATTCACCGGGTCTCTTCCCTCTCTCTCTCTCTCTCGCTCTCACTCGCCACCGAATTCACCGTCACCACAGCATCTATCAAACGATCGATCTACATCATCACCTCCAACATCATCGCCAAGCCCACCACCACCACCACCTACCCACCATGTTCTGTCTCCGGAGGTAAGTCCCCAACCCATTCTCCCATTCTCCTCCAATACCATCACCATGACCGTCACCATACTCACCCGTTCACCTGCAGCTGGCTTCCCCTCCTCTTCATCCCAACCAACGCCTCCCCCCTCTTCATCATCTCCTTTGTCACCCTAACCTACATCCTCCACCGTCCCTGCATCTACTGCTCCGCCTTACTCCTCATCCTCTTCATCTCCTCCTGCCACTGGTCCGACAAATGTTTCTTCGACCTCCGCGGTGACTGGTTCTCCCCGCGCTACTCCACCACCACCACTACCGCTATCGACCCCGTCAACGAAACCACCCTCGCCAGCTACGTCTTCGAAACTGTCAACAGCACCACCAAGGCCCTCGCCGGCGCCGTCCTCGATGAAGCCCAGCGTCGTCTCGCCCTGAATAACAACAACAATGGTTCCCTATCCGCATCTTTGTCTCCGGCCGTACAGGACGAATGGACCGGAATCGGCCTGGAGTGGTTGAGAAGTCTCCTCGGACGGAGAGAATGGACCCTACCTTGTGTGGATGTCAAGGTTCGGTTGTAAATGAGGGGTTGTGGTTAGAGTGCATTCCTTCTCTTCGAACATCCCGAGGGGTTTTTTTTTTCTTTCTAACCTTTTATATCGCGCATTCTGATGAATATGGCAGGGAGTGGAACCTTCTACCTATTTCGCTCCGTTGCATCTATCGAGTTGCTTCTATTACCCTTTCTTTCTTTTCGTTTTCTTCCTTACTGTTGAAAAGAACGTGCACTTGAAAGCGTGAGGATATCCCACTCTGTCTTTTCTCTCTTTCATTTCGCTCCTTCCCCAGTTGAGATAAACATAGAATTGGTGGCGAATGGGCTATATTACGCATATTGTCATATTTCCCGAGAATATGGTATTGCGTTGGTTTGAAAATTATTCTCCGTGGGAAGTGCCTCTGCGGAATTTGATGTACATACCTCGTTATTGGACATTGTATTGTAATATCAATGTTGCGTTGATACTGCACGTGGAATCGTAGAATGTAGTCCGGTCAAGGCCGGCTAGCTTGGAACATCGACAGAGCTGGAATGGACCTCTGAGGTTATACTAAAGTGCAATGGTAAGAGAAACAGGTGCGAGGGCATATAGTGCCCATGGCGTCCCGGCATGGCATCATGCCGTAGGTAAAAGCCACACAGCGTATCATTGAGGAGCCAAATCAAACATCAATCATACTAATTACAATGCAAATAGGTATCTAGCTGGAAGAAGAAAAAGGCCAAAGCACCGGCGGCCTCACCACATGCTCGGCAGCAGGGCCGCCCATCACAGCCCACTGTAGATAGAAGTCATAGTCGAAAACATAAAGCCACACCACGTCGCATCAAGAACATCATAAAACGTAAGGTATCACAAAAGATGGCGAGAACATAGCCCGTTGTAAACTCCATGGGCGCGTCGAGCATGCGAAGAGCACAGGGCGGGTATCAGAACATCATTGTGCAAGGATCGTAGAGAAGAGATATAAACAATTCGGATGGAAGGCGAGGAGAGGGGAGTGCCAATAGGCACAGGGAGCGTTTTGCAATAAGCTGGCTTAACGGTATCCACCGCCGGCTGCCATTGGCATGGGCCAATCGTCTTCGGTGATGCTGCTCCAAAACGTCCAAACCATGCCAACTGCCAAAAGAGTGAAGAGAGTCTCAAATAAGGCGCCGTTGATCTTGTGGTGAGAGGCGTTACAGAGGTGAACGCTGATCACGTATTCGAAAATCTGTCCGATGGCGAATAACAGGGCGGCAGCGGTCAAATAGACTATAGAAAGGTTAGAATGCAGGCCAATCAATTGAGATCAGTGAAGTCATGCGAACATACTCATTGGCCGAAGTTCACCCAATATCCGGACCACCAGGACGGCTTCCAGTACGTAGAACGCCACGAGGCAAATGAGAGGAAACAGCTGGTACAACACATAGAGGGCGATATTGCGATAATGTGGCACCGAGGTCGTGAACTCGCCCGTCCAGTCAAAGGCCGTGTCCAGGGCAATATAACCCGTACCGATGAATAGAACCAAGGAGGAGGCGATGATCAAACCGATTGAGGCCGGAGTACCGTCGTCCAGCAATTGGTAGCCCACCAGGGCATTTAGGAACAGAATCCAACACGTTGCGGTAATCGCAGCAATATGTATAGCCGAAAAGCCCTAAGCATGCTTATTAGACTCGGCAATTTTGTGATGAGTCGCACGACCAACCTTGCGGACTGCTGGATCAAGAGGGAAACCGCCCACCGAGAAGATCTCGCAGATCTCAATGACGATGAATCCGAGAAGGAATATTTGCATTTCCCTGCCCCAGTCAGCTTCCATTTTCTTTCCTGTTTCAATTCAATCGTCGCGTACCTTCTTCCGACTGCTGCCCGTTTGCGATCCGATCTCAACAGCAGCATAAGTGTTACCAGGATGGAGATGAAGGCCAAGATGATCGAGCCTGCATAGGTTAGTCCTCTGAAGTCCACCGGAAGCGTGAACGGGGTGTCATACCCAGATTACTGAGATAGCGGCCATTGCTGAGCTCGATACCGTAAAGCGGACATCCGTTATACTCTTTATTCGGGGGCTGATTGTTGGACACGAAGAGCTATAAATAATTGATGGTCAGACAGGGAACGCATTCATTGGGTCTTGATAACACATGACCGAAAGTGAAGGTAGTAATTGGGGGCAGGCGAATCGGGGAACGTACATTGCAGACAGGCAGCGTGGAATCCCGACAAAAGTCCTACACATGCAGATCATCTCCGGTCAGCTTCTTCCATACCAGGATACGCTAGGTGGTAGATCAATCGCCAACCCACGTTGAAATTGCCAAATTGCGTCGAACCCATAGCTAAAGAGGATCAAAGCACAACACCATGCAAGAAGGATGACGGAGGAAAGGCACAGTGAGACGGTGAGTGGGAGTGGTAGTGGTAGTGGTGACAATGAATAATTCGATCGAGTTCGTCGGACCCACGTTGGTCAGGATGGCTCCGCTGCAGATCTGAGAGGAAACAGACGACCAGATTATGATTAGGGTGATTAAGATTAGTCCCAACGGGGTGGATTTGCACGGGGAGCAAGAGGACAAAAAATGGAGTCAAACAGGGAGACGCTCTGCAAACGGATAGGGAAAGGAACCGAAGAAAGGAAGAGAGACACTTTGGGGGGCTGAGACTGCAAGAGGTCGGGTTGGCAATCGGACCTGCAGCCAGACGGTTAAAAGAAAGCGGAAGAAGATAACGCGGGCTGGAGGGAGAGAGACAAAGACTAGGTAAGGCCAGCCAAGGACGGGGAAAGGAAGGGTAATTAACAGAAAATTAAGAATGTCAGATCAGCGAGGGAAGAAGCTGTCAGAGCGATAATCTCAAACACTGGTGCAGGACAATGCTGTGTAAGTCCCTATCTAGTATCTAGGCTGTAGGGCCGGTGGAGGGCTGTGGGGGACGGGAAACAGTCAGCTGTAATGACGAAGTTGGACGGATTAGATAGATAGATAGATAGCAGCAGGGGGGGAGGTAGGGGAGAAGAACGGGGCAAGACGACGGAGGAGGAGGAGGAGGAGGAGGAGACTGGGATTATGAACCACGAGGCTGGCCGGGGATGAAGGCAAAAGCCGTCGGGGGAGAGAAGAGTGAAGGGAAGGGAAAGGGAAAGGGAAAGGGAAAGGGAGGGGAAATGATGGAAGCCGTAACAAGGTAACAAGGTAACAACACGCGATGCTGTGCTGGAAAGATGGACTTTTAGTTTCTTTAGGCGCGGGTTAGCGTCCAAGGGAGATCGTTCAGCTGGCTCTGATAGGCCAAGTGCGAGGCCCCCATGGCCGACGGCAGCCAACGACCGGCCGCGAAAGCAGGCGTTGTCGGCCAAACCCTGCAGCTGGAGCGCAGCAGATCCAGGAACCAGTTACGGAGTACTACTAGATACTAGTAGTCCATAGGCTGGCTGGGCGGGAATTACTTCATGCGGCTGGCATATATCGTAGAGACATTCTTATGATCTCTCCTCGATTCCTTAGTACTCATGAACTACTACTTACTTACTCCAACTGCCCTGTGGAAAAAGTCTCCTGGCTACCCTGACAGTACCGTGGATGTGTTGGTTCGCCATCCATGGTAATTCATGGCTCATTCCACTGGGCCTTTCCCCGGTTTCTATTCTGGTTCCGATTCCTCAGCCGGACAGACTTAGTGGCATACTTGCGGACTGGCTGGCTAAGAATAGCATTGACAGGCAACATTCTTGAAGCTTTGATAGATCTTGCATGAAATTCCGAATGCGAACGCACGCCCGCTTCGATCTTCCGCCATCGTTCTAGTCGAATCCTATCGCCGTGTCTCACCGCCAGGCTTGACATCCGCCCCAGCCACTCACTCGGTCGCGCGCTATGAATCAGTCCCTAGTTGCGAGTTTATACTCACCCATCCCGTCAATCCACAGCCACTTTGGTCACTGCCCATTCGTCATGCTCTCGAAAGGGTCCCCAGCCAGGACCTGTCTCTCTCACCTGTCCCGCGCGCCCTTGCGTCGCAGGGTATATAGTATATACCAATTACCTACCAAGCGCAATGCCTTGCCTGCAGTAATATATATATCGAGGGGAGTCAACTTTCTCCCATTGCACCAATCAGACAGACAATCCCTGAGATCCAAAGGGAGAAAAGAATTAAGAAACTACATTTCCCTCGGCAGGCTAAAAAAGGCCAAGATGCAATGTTCGATTCGGCTATGCCAGCATGGTTGACAGTCGAAGTCGTCACACCGATTTCCCGATATGTCGTTGCCTATTGATACCTACCTACATAGCAACTTACTGTACTTCCGCAGATCGCATCCTCGCCACCTCTAGCACACGTCTTCGATCTTCAGCTCCTTTCCATCATGCTCGCCCAAGTCCAGCTTGAGAGTGCGTCCGAACAACTCCAGCAGCATCTCAAAGCACGCCTTGGTAATGGCAGGGTCATACCGTCCCTTGCTGAGCTCATCGCGAATGAAGGCATCTATCAAACCCTTGTTAGCACATTGAACATACCCCAACTCCCACTGCAAAAGGACAAGGGCTAAACCTACGCTGAGCCCAAGCCACCTCGTAAAAGCTAAACAAAACTCCCTTGTCATGTAGGGTCTTGCGGATCAGATCCCTTCCCTCAGGCGGAACATGGGTGTCGTTCTTCCCGAAAATCTGCGACATGATCCCCGTCAGCATCCACGCCACACTCACCCACGGGATGGAAGGGCGCCTCTCACCATGAGCAATTCGCCCTTGATATCCGCCGCCCGGGCCAAACTATCATCATTCTTCCCCAGCCCCAGCGTCTTACTGTGGATATCTGTGGCAAAGTAGCACATCGCCGCTTTGACGCGGCTGTCCAATGCGCACCGATACGCAAGATGTCCACCCAGGCACATACCCGTCGCGCCCACCCGGCCATTGCACGTGGGCAATGACAGGAGATAGTCGACGCACAATGAGGCGTCCTCATCGTAAGCCGCGATTTTCTAATCCCACATTAATCCCTCAACAATCCGACATCTCCCGCCAACTAATTTAGTCGTCTCTCGCAACTTACCTTACTAATCTTCCACTCATTGCCCTTATCCGTATCTTCAGCATTATACTTCAATGCCTCCGGCCCCGTAAACTCATGATAACTCGACGGTGCCGCGCAGATATATCCCTGACCGGCGATTTGTCTAGCAAACCGCTCAACAGGTCCAGTCACTAGTACACCCCAATTAGGATCCCTACCCATTCATCCCAACCCCAACCAAAACAACCACCCAGAAAAGAACAAAACCAGGATGTATATACATACCCTGATAAATCTCACTGAACACCACCACACCCGGGAACCGCGCCTTAGGGTATCCAGGGATAGTAGGGTGGAAGACATAGATGCCTGGACTAACGTCAGCACGGCTCTCTTTCTATCCAATGCCATTCCACCCCATTGCCATTGAATGAACAAAGAAGGAAGTCTATGTCTGACAGGGCAAAGAAATCTCAAGTATAGGGTAGAAAGGAAGTACATACGCATAGTCCCGCTGCCGTCCGCCTGGGTCGGCACATCGTGGTAAGATTCCTGGATCAACATGGTGGTGGCTGAGGATCGGTGAGATGGGGTCGATTGGCTAGTTAAGGTGAAGAATGCTTCTGGGGAGCTCTGGGTAAGCGATTGATTGGCAATTGAGGGCCGTTGGAGCTTGGAACAGTCCGAGTCTTTTGGCGGGGTTGTTGGGTAATCGGAGCAATCCAAATACGATAAGCTTCCCGAAATGGAGGGGTAAGGTCATGTGATTTGTGATGGGGGTGGGTTGGGATCAGGATCTACGGGGTACTAGGTAGAGCATAAAGATGGCGTACAGTGTGCTATACATTGCGCGCGTGTCTGTTCAATTGTGTTGTACAGGTCAGGTAGCAATTAGGATACAAGAAACAGCCGTGGCTATGTCTATCATCGGGAATACATGAAAGAAAAAAACCGGAAACCCAAGATATAAGAATGACAATCTAATAATGTACATAGAATGTTATAGTTCGGAAAAAAAATAATAGGAGAAAGAGAAGAATGCAACAGGGGACGAGGTAGGATCCTCATGCAGAACTATATCAGAGACATGATGCAAGTGCTCGGGCATACTTAACCCACCGGACTCCAGTGATTGGCCCGAGCAGATGAAAAAGATTACAACAAGATATATGAAGAAATCGGACAGAACGCAAGAGGTTTTGAATGGCGCGAGTCTTACTTGCAGCCCAAGCTGGACAGCCGAGAAGCCCGAGGGTGCACAGTGAAATAGTGGTTAGGGTATGAAGGCGCTCAGAACACATACTGGTCATTTATGTTAGCCGCTGATCTCCATATCATGTTTCCATCGTTTACTTACCGGAATGAACAGGTAAGGGACCTGTCTCTCGTACTCCCTCCATGCCTCGCCATACTTATTCCGGCAACGCTCAATATCGCGCATCGCGCGGTGAGTGATCATACAGGCGAAGAAGAGGGGATAGAACCAGGGGAATGGGCTGCTGAACCCAGTGATGAGTCCCCAGTTCAGGGCGAAGTACAGGTCGCAGGTATAGTGGATCTTGCGTGCTTTGCCATCTGCAGTGTGCCACATTTAGTCATCTATGGCTGGACATTATAGAAGCATGGGATGCACTTACACCAACCGTCGACCAGGATCTTGGACCCATCATCGGCCGTGATAGTCTTGGGATTTTTCAGCGTCTGCCAAGGCAGCTGAGGGAAAGTGCTGCGGAACACCATGGTTCCGCGCTCTTGCTGGCGGTAACGGTTCTTCTGGCTATTGGTCGTATCCCACACCCAGTACACGAAGAGGTAGGCGACGTAGAGGAATGAGAGGAAGTACCGGTTCCAGTGGTAGGTAGCTGGATCGTGGTTGGCCAGGTAGATGGTGCAGTGACAGTAGCTCAGGGGTACACCAGCAAGGTTCCAGAAGATCAACATGAAACCCCATTTTTCGTAGTACATATCCCTACAAATTGATCAGTTATGGAATCTTGCCCGAGATCCTCAGGCCGTAACTTACCACGTGGACACAATGCACTCTTCGCCCTTGGAGCAGGCATTCGCGTATAGAAAGTGCGCCAACAGCAGGAAGCCGACCTCTCCAGAGACATAACCGTAGACCTCATACTGTCTAGCCGCTGCACCCAGGGTAACGAAGAGCAGAATGTACCAAGGAAGGCGGACCTCGAAGAACATCTTGAAGTCCAAGATTCCAAACATTCTGGGATTGAGCTCCGCGCCCATGAAGAAATCGTAAACGTGGTGACCCGTCATGCGATGCTGCGCCCCGCGCGCCAATGCCGAGAAGTAAGCCGCGAAAGCAACAAGGAATCCAGAGAGGATAGCAACGCTCATGAGAGGGCCGAACTCATCAATGATAGTGTACAGCTTAAAGACACCAGTAACATGAAGTAGGAAGGCCAGCACAATGGTGGTGTAAAAGGACCAAACCCCAGAACAGTAATATGGTAGTTGTTTCCCTCCCAGATGTGGCAGAGGACGACCCATGACGGTAATACCCGGAAGACACAGATAGCAAATACCCTCAAAGATGAAGAAAACCCAGTAGATCGTCCAAGCCTTGAGTGATGGGAAAGCGCCTTCATATGCCAGGTGCCCCAGGTGCGCAAAAAACTCGGACATGCTTTGTCCTTCCGCGGGACGAGGGAACTTGCCATCGTAGTAGGTGGCACCAATCCACATGTAGTACATCAGCAGCGGAAATCCGATCATCATGGAGGCCACACCCAGAGAGCCTCCAAATTCGAAGTGACCACTGTAGTCGATTCTGGGATCCTTGCCCTCTTCCCATCCATCCACAATCCGGGGCTTGCCAGCGGAATCGTCGGCGTGTCCATTGGTCGCAAATGGCTTCGGTTCCTCGTCCAATGGTTCAGTCTTGACCTTGACCGACGGGCGTCTCCGCGATGTGGAGTTTGATTGAGCCTGAGTATCAGCTGTTGAGTTGGAAGGCTCCTCTGACAGTGCGCGGCTGCTACTGCGAGTTACTCGACGGCCAGGTGTCTCGATGAAGCCGGGCCGCTCCATTTTCCTAGCAATTGGTCGACTTGTGAGCTGACAGGGACGACAACAAGCACAACAAGAAGGTCGTATAAGAAGCGCAATTGCGGTAGGATAAAGGAAAATTGATCACGATTGGGGTTCCTCACTCGGTCCCGGGTTCATCGTGTCCTCTCTCTTTGGCCCCATGAACTTCCACTCCCTTGCGCAGGTTAATGACTTACTTTGGGGTCTTCCCCGTCTGGGATCGAGTCACGGTCATTGTATGTTGACCATACGAGGCCTCGGGCCAAGCAATTGGATGGTCTGAGTATCGATTGAGGTGAGGAAGGGACGCAATTGATGCGAGGGGAAAGTGAGGGAGAGAAGAAGGAGGGAGAATGTTTGGGCGGTCGCAGGAAGATTAACAACAACATCAGTTGGGGGATGCACTAATGAAAGGGAGTGGGTTCGTTACCCGCTGCGGCAGGATCATCGACTCTGAAGTTCATCCGTGCAACCAACAGTCTTTGCAGATAGCTGGTTCTTGGCTTACATATCAATCAACACTGGACAGGTACGTGCCCACTGGCTGGGAAAAGGCACAGACAGATAAACCGATGGGCCTATAGTAGGGAGTAGTTATGATGGGTCATGTTAGTACTACTTACTACTACAACTTGCCAACACCCCTGATTTCCCAACTAGGAAGGCGGAGCCAAGCTGATATAAATTACCTTCCGCCTTTCTGTACGGAGTATCTACGGAGTACCACTTGACCAGTTGATATAGATGGGTTAAGCTATCTCTATAAGCAAACAGAGCAGGCATCTATCAGAGTTGGAGCTGTGGTACGGAGTAGTTCATGAAGTACACTAGGGTACTGTTGCTGTAGTACCTATACTTACCCTGCCTTCCCAATCAGAAAACATTAAATACAGTCGGTGTCCATTTGGTGCCGAAAATCGTCGTACGGCACGTGCCTGAGGCTCTGGTAGGCCGCCAAGGCATGACATACTCGCCCCTCCCTCAATAATCCCTCTCCTCCGCTCTGCCTCGTTTCTTTTCTCGATAGGGGAGGCTTCAGGGTTCTGGTGCTTCTCCTCCCCTTGCGCTGTTCTTGAGTATTTTATGACCCTTTCTATGTATGCGTTCGGCCTTTCTCGATACAATTCCAATCCCCCCACTCCGTCAGTTGGAGGCTGTACCTGCATCTCGAGTCACCTCCGCATTATCTTCCCAGTAACTGCTTTTCTGCCCCCGCCATAGGAAGGTACTTCCACGCCTTCACCTGAGAAAGCAGAAAGAATAATGTCGGGCAATCCTAGTCAGGCTCCTACCTCTTCTATGAAAGCGGTGAATATTCCGAGCCAGCCAGTCTCTGCGACGTTCACCTCTTCTTCATTTGATAGCGGCTCTCCGCGGTCTCAGCGGCGCCCGGGAGGTTCTGGCAGTTTTGGAGCCGGCTTAACATCTCAGTTCAGAAGCTCGGGCTCTCCTAGGAACAATCAGGCTCTCAAGAGTCAGCACAAGCGACAGAGGCGTCCCCGGTTGTTAGATGATGAGGATTATAGCGAATCGGTACGTGTTCAGGACTAGGAACCGGATACAGCTGCACCGCGCTCGCGCTAGCTACTCTATGCTCTTTCACCACCCGCGCCTATATCATCCGAGGCTCTTTGTAAGACCCTACGTGTGGCGCTTCGGGGCCTGCATGAGGTGCTCTGGAAGGCCTACTCGCAAGAGGCTTACATAGGATGCTTTAGGAGGTATGGGAAGTGTGGCAGGATTGAAACCAATGTAGCTGTAGCGCCTCTCCAGGACGGTGTCCATGTCTTCTGTTACTCTATGTTGCTGATGGGACAGGTGAACTGATCAATCTGTCTTTTCAGGCCATCATGAGATCTACAACCAGTCGCAAGGGACAGACGTCCATCACCCATCTGATGAATTTCTCTCTCCCGCCTCGTCCTCAGTACAACCCTCCACCCCGCAATCCTCGCCGCTATACATCTTGGGGCCCAGGCTCTGGATACCATGCGATGGACAAATCCCGCTATGTTCATGCGAACTATCGCTTTATCGTGGCACCCAACCGCAACTACCATGCACAGGCAGCCAATGCTGATGTGCACCTAGATTGGGATTCAGTGCTGCAGGTCTTGGTATCAGCTCAAACGCAGTCAGCCAGTTGCCCCATCTGTTTGTCCACTCCCGTTGCACCACGAATGGCTCGCTGTGGTCACATATTCTGTCTCTCTTGTCTGATTCGCTACATGCATTCGACTGACGAAGAGAATCCGGTTCCGGAGAAGAAGCCGCGTTGGAAAAAGTGTCCTATCTGTTGGGATTCCATCTACATCTCGGAGACGCGGCCTGTGCGATGGTTTCGTGGTCAGGAGGGTGATCTCCCATTTGAGGGAGGTGATGTAGTCCTGAGGCTAGTGAAAAGAGAACCAGGCAGCACTCTAGCGCTGCCTCGGGATGGGGCTGAGGACATTGCGCCAGAGGAGGATGTTCCGTGGTATCATGCTGCAGAAGTAGCTGACTACGCGCGCATAATGAAAGGAGGCGAGGAGTACATGAAAGCTCAGTACGACATTGAGATTGATGAGCTCCGCATGCAGGAGCGTGAAGATGAACTTCTATTCGGAGATGATACCACTTGGACTCAGAAGGCGGTCGCTGCGATTCGCGACGCCAAGTCTAAGATAGAGGGTATGGGGAATCCGCCTGACATTACGCGACAGCCCGTGCAGACCAAGCAAGCAAAGGAGCCTATCGCATTACAGTCCCCGCCAGAGGAAATTGCTGCCATGTATGAATCACAGCATGCAACCAAGTCAGGTCAAAGTTCGTCTGCGGAATCTATCCCCGCCTCAGATGTTGGTCCCGGCTCAGCCTCGACGCCGGGTACGTCCAATGACATGGATCGTACAACTGAGGCCTTGGGCAAGATTGACTTGAATTCGACTTCTAACTCTAAGAAGAAGCAAAGAGACCCTGGACACAGCCGAAACCACATGCCCTCAACACGAGGCCCTCACACATCTGATCACCCGTTCTTCTTCTATCAAGCCCTACCTCAGTTCTATCTTTCGCCCTTAGACATTCGCATTCTAAAAGCTGCATTTGGTGACTATTCTTCGTTTCCGGCCACCATTCTCCCAAGGGTTGAACACATCTCCACCGGTCATATCGTTGATGAGGAGCTGCGCAAACGCGTGAAATATCTCAGCCATCTTCCGCAGGGTTGCGAGGTGAATTTCCTCGAGTGTGATTGGAGGGATGTAGTCGTCCCGGAGGTTCTAGGGACTTTCAAATCGGAAACGGAAAGAAGACGGAAACGTAATAAGGAGAAAGAGGCGCGGGAAGAGAAAGATCGGATTCGAGCTGAGAAGAAAGAAGACGAAGAGCGTTGGGCAGCAGCGCGCCGGAAGAGACCCAGTATCGGTGGTATTAGCAATGACCATGCTCCCTTCTCCGACCGGGATTTCCAGCCGTTAGCAGGCGCTGTTGGCGAGCCATCTGGCATGGATATGGGGTCCTCTTCCGCATCTCTTCCACAGGCGTCCCATTTTGGCGCTCTGGCTTCACCCTCTACGAGTCCCCCCGGATCTCGTACTGTGTGGGGAACAACTGCTGTACCGGCGCTTTCGGCTCCATCGGGCTCACAACAAGGCCCTGCTGATGGCTGGCTCAAAGGCTGGGAGGAGGAGTTGTGGGCCCAGCAAGAGAGAGAATTGATGGCTCAATCTGCTGCCGAGGCGAGCAACCCCACCCCTGCTGCTTCTGGCGGAAAAAAGAAAAAGAACAAAAAAATCACGCTCATGGCGACCAATATCCAGAGAGGAGCTTAACAGGGCGCAAACGCTTTAACTGCTTCAATGACCGGCTTTTGGCGATCATTATCTGTCATTTTCTTTGTGCGCGCTTCCGGTTCGTGATCGTCTTTTTCTCATTTATACTTACGAGCATTATGTTATAATCATCTTTGGGAGGTACTTGCAGATACACTCTGGGAGGAGCATGGGTAAGGAGTCGAAGTTGTTCTACGAGATCTGATGGCCATATATGTGTACGAATTATCATTATTAGAATTTGATGGAGAACTATATAGACACGCCAGCGTCTTATTGAATTGTGCACGTACAACTGTAGAAGAGGAAATCCAGGTGTCCGCAGAACCTGTGTCGAGATTAACAGCCTGATTAATGGTTGGACCATGCTAAATTTACTACCTACTCATCAGTCAGACTGGAAATCGTAATATGCAAGCTACCCAGCACGCACCATGTGCAGGGACTCTTATTGTTGTTGTTGGGGTTGGTATAACGCCCGGGCCCGGGGATCTGCCGCAGCGGAGCCTCAGGCACGTGCCGGCCGCCAAAAAAACATCATCTCCATCTCAGCTCCAGCAATCCACCCACTTCCCCCGGTTGTGCTGTCCCGGCCCTGTACCCCCCCCCCCCCCCTTCATCACCACCTCCCTTGGCATTTCTATTGGCCTTTTCCCTCACTTATCGGGCCCTCCTATTCATCCTTATATCTCCATCCCACGTTCTACACCAGGTTCGTACCACATCTCACCCAACCAGCTCTTCCCCGATCTTTTGCGCAACCTCCAACCAATGTCGTACACCACGCTGATCTTTTGAGACCACCCCAGGACGAATCAACGCCAAGCTTCGACTTACAATCCTTCATCCCAGCTTCCAGTGTCCCGTCCGGGGCGTTAGGATGGCTGCTTAGACGGGTGCACGCCCCCCAGTCTCGTTTCTTTCTCCTCTTGACCTCGTATGGCTCCCATTGAGGCAACGCGTGGCTAAATAGTCAAGGCGACTCTCCGACTGCCTGGACATGATGAACCATCATATGCCCGCAATGCCCCATGGGCAGCCACCCATGCCTACTCCTCGACGACAGCAAGATGTTCCTTACACTGCAGGCCCTCCCAATATGCGATCCCCTCCTGCCTACATGGGGTACCACCCCCATATGAACGGCCATCCTCCTCCGGCCGCATACTCGCCGCAGCAGTACCCTCATTGGTACCCGCCTTACCCTCCGATGCAGCAGCTCCCTCCACGCCCTTACCAACAACACCCTTACGGAGGACCGATGTTTGTGTCTGCCTATGGTCCCTCCCAGCCTATAATGGCGCCCGCCCATATTCCTCCCCCGTCTCTTCCTATGCAGCCGAGGACCTCCTCTCCCCTAAACACCATGTCTCCTCCAGTCGGAATTCCGCCTTTGCCGATTACCACTCAGGCGCAGTCCCCCGCCACTGTTCCCGTGCATCCTATACTGAGTCCTGCTGTGTCCTCATCCCCTGGCCCGGCGCCTGTAAAGGTTGCTCCAGCGCCCAAGGAGCCTTTTCGCCCACCGGTGAGTCATGCGCACCGTCATGCGCTCGGTTCCCCTTCTTTCTAACAGAGAAACTTTCAGCTTCCTTGGCTATCCGTTGCCGACCACCCTTTCCCTGCTCGAGTTCCAGGCAGACGTCGGAGAAGCCGCCTTCTCCATTCTTCATCTGTTCCAGTCGAGCTCCCTCCAAAGGAGTCCCAGCGGAATGACAAGCCTGAGCCACAAATTGAAACCAAAGGCCCGGAGAATGAACAGACACCGTCGGAACCCCAAACCCCGACCTTGTCTGCGGCGCCGTCAGTCGCGAATTCGACACAACCCACGACCCCTTCTTCAGTTGCTCCGAACCTCTCTGTCCGTCCTCGTTCACAGTCAAAAGGGTCCAAGCCAGCCGTCCCGTTAGTTCCTGTCGTTCCCGTCGTTCCTGCTCCTAGTACACCTCGTCAGGCGACCAAGGATGATCCTAGTCGCTCATCCGAAACGCCTAAATCGGCGAGTGTGAGCGGTGCGGCTCAGGAGAATGCGAACGAAGTTCCCCAGGAGCCGTCTCAGGCGAAAGCTGAGGAGACTACTAAGCAGGCCTCGCCTGCACCTTCGGCACCCAAGTCGTGGGCAGATTTGGTCCGATCAAAGGCTCTGGCTAAAGGAGCCAATGCTCCCAATGCACCCTCGACCGTGTCAAATGGCGTGATCAAGCCCAAGAGTGAGTCTCTTGCCGACGTCTTGACGAGTCTGGGAGAAGATGTCTCGCAGTACAGCGATAAGGTTGCGTTCCTCGAACCCAGAGGCCTTGTGAATACTGGCAATATGTGCTACATGAATTCTGTACGTTTCTGTTTGCGCTGAGCGTGAATTTTCACCCGCTAATTGTTTTGTGCTGCAGGTGCTTCAAATTCTGGTTTCTTGCGCTCCTTTCTACCAATTCTTGGAGCACATTGGGCGGAGAGCGTCCCACAGTTTTCATAGCGAATTTCCGATGATTGATGCCCTGTGAGTAATATCTAGCTTCATTTGTTCTGGTTCTTCTCGGGTTCTGCTATTACTCGGGACTTGGACTGACATGCCCGCAGGATCATGTTTATGAGAGAGTTCCGCATCATCGATGCCGCAGAAACCGAGGAACAGCTGAGGCTTAGGTTGAAACCCAACGAACTCGAGGAGTACGGCGAATCGTTCATTCCGGAGTTTGTTTATGAGGTGATTCGGCAATTGCCGCGCTTCCGAGACATGCGGGTAAGCTCCTCAATCCTAATTGAGAGAAAAACGCCGGGGCTAATGTGTAAATGCTGTTTTAATAAAGAGAGGTCATCAGCAAGATGCTCAAGAGTTTCTAGGCTTCCTCCTCGAGGAGATGCACGAAGAGTGCAGTCGCGCCGCAAAGGACGCCCCTGTAGCTTCCTCGGCCCCCGAGGCGGATTCCACCAACGAAGAGTCTGGCGATGGATGGCTGGAGGTCGGTCACAAGCAGAAAGCGGCCGTCACGCGCTCATCTGGACACATTGCTTTGGAATCGCCAATCACGAAGATCTTCGGTGGAAAGATCCGGTCGGAGTTCAGGGTGCCTGGCAACAAGACCTCCGTGACGTTGGAGCCTTACCAGCCACTGCAGCTTGACATTGGATCACCTGAGATTAACAACATCATCGACGCTCTCAAGGGTCTTACCAAACCAGAAAGCATCCAGGGAGACTTCAACTCCTCCCGTGGTCCTAACGTCACAGCTACCAAACAGATTTTCATTGAAAATATGCCGCCTGTTCTTATCCTTCACCTGAAACGGTTCCAGTACGATAGTGTGACCAGGGGCACTCAGAAGATCTGGAAGAAGGTCGGATACCCGCTCGATCTGGAGATCCCCCGCGAGGTCTTTCCGCCTAACAAGCGCAATATTATGATGGCACAGGGTGGTCTGCCCAAGTATCGACTCGTCGGTGTCATCTACCATCATGGCAAGAACGCCAGCGGCGGTCACTACACCGTAGATGTTCGTCGTCAAGATGGACGTGAGTGGATCCGTCTCGATGACACCGTGATCCGCCGGGTTCGGAGTGAGGACGTCGCACAGGCTGGGGGTGAAGAAGACCCCAAGGTTCTCGCGGCCGCGCTCGAGCAACACAAGCGCGACGGTCCCAACGCCAACATCTATGACCGTATTGACCAGGACGACTATGAGCAGTCGGATAACGAGCGAGGCTGGAGCCAAGTGAACGGCACCAGCGGCCACTCAAGCAAGAAATCCACCTCAGGCGCAGCCTCGGCCCCTTCTGGCACACCCTCCGGAGTCCGGACCCCCCTGGGACGGTACGGATCCCGGGATAACAAGGTGGCCTACTTGTTGTTTTACCAGCGCATCGCCTGATCGGGCGTGTTCTGGGGAGGTTGGGTCTCCAGAGTCGTTTGGTGAACCACGGAGAAAACAAAGAAAACCAGCACGCGCGAATCGTTTCTTCAAATGTATCTGCCCTGTCCCCCACAAGGTAGATGTCTCCACATGCCGACACTGTCCCATGGTCGGCCGAATGTGGTTTTGACACCTCATTAAACACGTATCAACCGAGTCAGCTCACTCAAGGTTCGTCTTTCGACTGCGCATGCAACATGGCGTCGATTCTGACGATCAATCAGGAGTCTGTGTTCTCACCCTCTGTCAAGGATTGCTGCTGCGAGGATACAACGGATCTGCAGGGAGATGTTGGGCGCTTTTTCTCTGGCTATCTGGACATCCTTCGCAGCCGCAGTCAACCCGTTGCATTTGCTTGCTGATTAGTTTTCGCTGATGGCGGGCATCCCTCAAAGCATTGTGTATTTTCCTTCTCGATTCCAGTTCTTTCCCCCGTTCCCTTCCGTGTTCTTGATGACATTTTCCCTGTAGCTTATCCATCCATCTCGCTTATGATCTTGTGTGTTCGCGGTGCAGTATCTGGTGAGATGTCGCTCTGATATATACCCCTAGTTTCCTCGCATAGCCCTTTGGTTTGCCTCGCTGACGCAGATGGGTGTTTTTGATGTGGCGTGGGCGGGTTTATAACGACTGCATGATTTTCCTTTTCCCCCATAGACATGTCTATCCAGAAAAAGAGGGCTGTGGTATTGGTCGGCGGCTGGCGTGCATGCGTGTTTGTTCGAGTGAGTTGGGAGGTGGGAGTTTGAGTTGCATTCAGTTAGTTGATAGCATTGCTCGCTCCCCGGGCATGGATTTTGGGCAAGCCGTGGTGCAGCAGTCCACGGACCGCTGGTTACTTTTCCTTTTCTTTCTCTTCTTTCTTTTCATCCCTCGTGTTTCTTTTGCTTCTCTATGCACACACACCAACACATACACACACCACCCCCAACCTTCTTTTCTGAAATCTTACCTTTTTCTCTCTCACACTATCTCCCTCTTTCATACTAATGACGAGATGTGGCGGTATGCAAGACAAGGGGGTCGTCAAAAAAAGGGCATGGTTTAGGGAGGGTATATCCTTTATTCTATTTTTCTTTCGTCATGGCTCGAAAAGCGTGTTTAGGAAAATATTAAAACTTTATGTTTATTTGGTCGCTCAGGATTCAACTGTCTGTAGGTGAATGATCAATCATGGTGTTGGAGAGGGAGGGCTACACGGTAAATCTGTCCATGGTATTTATCCAGGTTGACAAGTTATCTACATACTAAGATCTTCTGCATTTTGAGGGCTCATCTAGAGACAAGATGGTTATTGTTTAGTCTACCATGTCAAAGAGTTCATTCACCATATCTATTAAATAACAAGCAGGATATGGTGGACCTTGGAACATCACTGATCAGTAGGTAGAATCTTCCTTCCATAACATATAGCTTCCTCTACTCCATCTCTGGATCACCCTCCCACTTCGCCATCATCACTTGACTAGATGAAAATTCCGCGATAGACATCGTTCAATCCCAGCACATGGTGCCAATGGTTCTTATCCAATCCTGGTCTACGCATGAGTCTGAACTGGCGGTGTCAGGCTGCTGCTATCCGTACTGCTTTCTTCATCATTCTCCCGGATAACGAGGTTAACAGGCCGTGCGGGCTCCCCTGCATGTCCCGTCCCAATCTGCTCCTGCGAGGATGTGGTCCGGATAACAGACCGACCAATTTGGAGAACAGTGGGATCGGGGGTGTCCCGTGCATTATTGCCCCGTTTCCGATTGCGATTGGTAGTCGGCATTGTGCTTCGCGTCGCTGTACTGTGCGTATGCTGGATATTTGCTATGGGAACCGCGTCACGTTCCACCATGGTGCTGGTGCTGAGTGCATGCGAGATGGTTCGTGGAAGATGGTATCCAGCTTTGGCCAGGGGAATCGAGAGTCCATGAACGACCTGTATGGGGATTAGAAAGCGCCAGGATTAATCACGCTGACGGGCTGACGTACTATGCTGCAAATGACCAAGAACCAAACGATGACGTCAACGGCCTCGGACACTTTTTGGGCGTCTTCGCGAACCTTGCCATCGACGGTTATCTGATGCAGAAATTCCCGGCTGACCGACAAATAGAAGACTGCTCCGACCCCAATGGGTCCAAAGAATCCAACGAACGCTGCTTGATAGAAATGCTCGATTTGACGAATGCACTTGTGCATTGCAAAGATGATGGGCATCCGTCGAACTACTAGGATCAGGATTCCCAAGAAGATCAAGCGGTAGATGGGGATCACGTTGTTGTTAAGAAACGATGGCCATGGACAGACAGCGCCAAACCACATGAACACCGCCAAGTTCAGCAACATATCGATAGTGGGTTGCAAGGAATCGTCCATGGTCTCCAGACGAAACCAGTCACTGGCTGCATCAGCATCTGACCCAAAAGTCACGGGGTGCGAATATCTTACTCCTGCGTGAACACATTGCCGGCAACGAAGCAGGCTAGGAGATCGTCTGTCCCTATCATTCCACACGTACCCACGATAAAGAGCTATTTTCCAACATTAGTGGGGAGTAATGATTAGGTCCAAGGTTGAACATACAGCAAGAGCGATTGCAAAAACAAGGAAACTTTCTCGGTCAACGTAATGCTTCTCCTCTGCCCAGTGAAGCAGCTCGCGGGATAGCCACCCGACAGTGATCCCGTAGACGACACTCACGATCACTGTATAGACCCACGTTTCGTAGAACCAGAGGCCCATGGCCTTCCCAGCACCTCCACTGTACCCCTCGCCGCCCATACCGATGTACTTGAGGAGATACAGGCCAAAGAAGAGGAAGGGATATCCGAGGCCGTCATTGGCGCCTGACTCGGCGATAATTATGCGCTGCAAAGGACGGGGAACATTCTTGTCCGCGAATTTCCCTTTTACAATTGAATTGGAAAGCACCGGGTCGGTAGGGGTGATGCAAGCGGCCACTATGAGAGCATGAAGAAACGGAAAGTTTGGTACCATGGCCCAAATGATCAGGCTGCTACACATCCACATGGCAGCCATGCCGGGGCCCAGGAGGAGCAACAAGCTCTTCCATTCTATCTGCAGGTACCGTTTGGGGAGCTGCACCCCAGCGAGGACCAGCTGAACCCCGAGCACTAGACGAGTGAAATACAAGGTGATCTCTTCTAGGTTTTGCTCCGAGCCAAGCGCATACTCTTGGGGTCTTATGAAATTGGCTGCATGGGGAGAGAAGATAACCCCCGCCAGCAAGGAAATCACTGCACAACGTCAGTCATTCACTGTCTGAGCCGGAGGGAGCAGGCAGCGTTATTAGGAAAGTTGGACGGACATGCTTCCGATAGATAAAATCTCTCCTTGAAGAGGTAGGACACCAATCCGAAGACGGAGATGAAACCCCCCAACGTCGCACAGACGATGTTGAAATTGATTAACGACAGGGTCGGCATCTTGCTCCTGTGCTCCACAAGGTGCACAACGTCTATGGCTGTGTCTTTTTTGGAACCCCCAGCTTCTATCAGCTGAAGCGGGGCTGAATCGTTTATAAATGGGGAGAAGAATGACCTCCGGAACTTAAACGCTCAAGTATTTTGAGTCACAAGCACGTGTTATTCAACCATAATCTTATAGAGATCTCTGAGTGTAAGCTTTCCTGTCATCGGAAGAACTCAGGTTCTCCCGGCAGCTGGATCTGAAAAAAAAGAGAAAAGCAGGAAGAGCCCGACTTCGAGCCCGACAAGCCACGGGGGAAAAGGCGATACGAGACACAGGCGCGACCAGTGGCCTCCAGCAACGAAGGGATGCGCAGGAGTGGGGAATGCGAATGCGAATGCGAATGCGAGTGCAAATGCAAATGCAACGGGGAGGTTGCGAGAAGAAGAAGAAGAGAGAGTTTCCACTCCGATCCAAGAAAATAAAAGTTCCGGGGTTGGCCCATCCCGCTTCGGGAAGGAGCCTACAGTGCCTGGGTCAGCTCGGTAGGCATACTTATTTATATTCTAGTATGTCTACTCCTACTCCGGTTCTATATATCTAAGTGGATAGCATCAATCATTCCAGACTGCCATTTCTACGGGGGCTGAATTATCTATCGTTCCCACCCCCGGGAAACACGTCACATCCCGCCAGGCCAACCAACAACAACAGACAACCAATTGGAAAACAGAGTCAGTCAGTCTACCAGCATCATGGCCATCATCGATCCATATCCCGAAGAATATCCTGAGCGGTTCTTCGCCCGGGTTGCTCAGAAGTCATCCTCGTCCTCGTCGTCGTCCTCGAATGCCTCATCAGGAAGGTCTTTGACGGCCTCCAACGCCGCAGCCTTCTCCGAAACCCCTCGTTGCGCGCCACTCACCGCCAGACGATCGGCTGCCTCGTTGCCCGGGTGGGAGCTATGTCCCTTGACCCATTCGAACAAGGTCTTCACCTTCAACTCATTGCGTTCTTCAATCTTCGAGACTACCGACTCGACCAAGTCCTTGTTGTCCACCGGCTTGTTCCCAACAGTCAGCCACTTGTTGCGCCGCCACTTGATAAACCACACCGTCACGCAGTTGATCGCATATTGACTGTCCGTGAAGATGGTTACGTCCCGATGTCGGGGAGCAATATCAAGCGCCCGGAGGATTGCCGTCAACTCGGCGCGCTGGTTGGTCTGACGACTCCCTTTCAGTGGCTCGGAAACATTCCTGCTGGGAGAACTTGCGTCAGTAAAGAAAAGCTCCAACTGCAGGGTCCTGCAAATCGTCCTGCAAAAAGATAGGAGACGACAAACCTTGAGTCGCCAGGCCCAAAGTAGACCCCAACGCCCGCGGAGGCAAGTGCCCGGCCATTTTGCAAAGCGCTACCATCCGTGTATATGCGCAGCATTCCCGGTGGCCCGGCCGACTTCATCTTGGTGGCTGTCTTCTGGTCCTGTGATTTATAGACCACCTTTCCGGTTTTGGGATCCAAGAGTACGTTGGGGTCGAACCCATCCTCCGCTCCGGTCGGCAGAGGGCCCTCGCCCGCCTCAAAGGGGGTCCCCTCTGCATCCGCAGGGACACCGCTCATCAGTCCTGGTGCGCCGGGCAGTTTCGATAATTCAGGTGTCGTTCCGAACGTAGCGCCAGATCCCCGGCCCTCCTTGGCAAATTCCTCTGCTTCCTCCCGCGTCGAGAATTTCTTATATCGCGGCTTCGGAAATCCTTTGATCTGCTCCTGAGCCTTGGCCCAGTCTGTATAAACGCCGGGTATTCGACCGCGTTGGACACCGTAAAATCTCGTGGGTTCTGAATCCAAAGGAGTGCCGCCACGCGCAGCGGGAACGCTGGTCCCCGTAAGGAAAGCATTCGCCTCTTCATAAGAGGGGAAAGCCTGAACTGAAAGATTGGGTCAGTTCAGAAGACCGGAGACGAATTGATTTCGGAGAACCTACAGACGGCTCCCTTGTACCCCGTCACCTGGGTTAGACAATCGTTCCAGTCATAGTAAACACCTGGCTGATAGCCCGCCTTCACGGCATAGTATTTAGCTGCCGATGCCCGTTTGCGCTTAGTTCCGGCCGCCGATGTGGATGGTGATTTCAGACTGGGGGATGCTTTCGAGGCGGGACCCGGAGTGGGAGAAGGGGTGGTGGCGGTGTCGTTCATGACGTCGGCGCCGCGATCAGGCCAAATCGAAGGATGAGGTTGAGATAGGTCACTTGAGTAGAACACCTTTGGTAGACTCCAGCCGCGTGGATCGAGAGAACAGGACGCAGGAGTCGAGATTCTCGGCCTGCAGCTCGAAATGGAACGCCTTGGTCCCAACTTCGAAGCTGTCAGGCAAATCCAGCGCAGACGCGTGATGTGCGAAATCTGCTGCTCGTTGACCGGATCGGCTTACTAGTATTCTGTAAAATTGAAACTGAACGATGGGGGTGAGGAAGGAGGTCAGGCGAAGCCGAGTCTAAGTTTTGAACGAGAAGCGGGGGGGGGGGGGGGGTGGCAGCAGAGAGGTCGGGGTGCGCGAGAGGGAGGGGGGGGTGCTCAACCCATCCAGCAAATCCCCGACAATAGCGGCTGGATCCGATGTGCATTTCGAGGGCGTCCCGGCTGGCGTCGACGACAGAGACTCTTTTTCTGCAGGCTCGTCTTTGCCCTCCTGTCTAGAAAGCCATTCGAGCATTGGCAGATCTGTTCCTCATTCCTGATCAACAGGGACAAACAGACCTGGCTCGGATTGTGGACCCAACGGCGTCAAGGCATTCGGAGGGAAACATGGCCTGGGAAGTTTGAACCGCTAGTCGGCCTCGAGCCAATCTATTCGACATTGAAAATCCATCAACAGAAGTTCAAGGACACAGTGCCCTTGTTTGAGTGACCGCGGATTGTCTGATTGACCGCTGGCCTCTTCCAGCTGCTGGATCCAATGTCACGTGATGGATTGGCTGCCCGTGAGCCTGGAAGAACAGGCTCCCTTAGAGATCTTATGCCCTGTTGGCATTTATGCTGGCTCCAAGAGATACTGGAATAGGCTGAGCTTGAGGCATCACTCTCTGTCGTCAAAAGTAACTTTCAAGGGTCATGCATTTCCATGTAGAGGGGACGACTCCTTGGATAGGGACACCTGCGAGCAACTATATAAGAGTACTAAGAACCTTAGTACTCTGCGATGGTACTATTGCCTCATCTGGTCAGCCACGTCTAGTACTACTAGTAACAGTAAAATCTTCACATTTCCATCATTTTATGTCTAGTAGTAGTCATTCGTTAGTAGAATAACTCAAATATATAGATTCAGTGCGCGCCCACTTGGCGGAAATTGAGGCCATCTCAACACCATCATTCTCTTTTCAGATAGAGGTTCTATGGACTTGCTAATTCTTCGTTATCCGTGCAACTAATATGACCCGGTCATCCAAAAACTGCAGATGTCATAAAGTCCTATACTAGCAAGGCCTTACTTGCAATATTAGAAACGGAGGTTAGTACAGAACAAGGACCTGCCCACGTGCTTTCCCTTCTAGGTATGATTGAATGTTGTCGATAGAACCATCATATTCAAATACTTAGGTAACGTAAGGAGCAAGCTATGCCTGGGATAGAGCTTCCACGTCACCTACCTACCGTGTCGACTGTCGAGGGTCGACAGTGCGACACGCACTACGATGTGGAGAGCTGGCCCTGGTGGGGTATAGACCCGGCATTTGACGTCTCGGGAATATAGATAGATTTGTGATGCAGACAATCCCAAACATGCGTTTCTGTCGAAAGAGGCTCACACACTGGCTTCTGGAAAATTCCCACCCGACCGACAGTTGAGAACCACTACGACAGTGGTGTTGGGCATTGCTTCCATCACTAACGAGGATAGTCGGTACTACCTAGATGCCCATGAGATTGATTGAAGCCAGTGATTTATATCAGTTCGAGTTGTAGTTCTTGACGCATTCCACAAAGCGTAGCAAGACAAGATCAGCAAAGAATAGGGCACCAAGCACTCTCGATAGCCAGTTGAGTAGTTTTCGAGTTTTGAAAGGCGTTTCATCCTGCCGGGGCTCCGCCGGGTTTGCATCCTGGTTGTAAGGCCAAGGCACAGACCCCTGATTGGACCCCGTTTCACTACATAGCAGTAACAATAGTACTACAGGAGATCCAGGGTCGTGGCCTGTCTGTATCCAAAATGATGTACCGATGATACGAGTACGATACGTGCAAGGCCGTAGCTGAGCTGGTAAGCCAACCGAAGCAGTCCTCAAATCGGTATCTGACAATTTACATGACGCGTATCGTAACGTACTATTGCTTTGTAAGCGGCATCTCCACTAACTAACTATCTTGAAGAGTCCCCTTGAGTCTCCTCTCCCCTTCTCCACCTTTCAGGTCCAGCACCCTTCAATTCTCTGGCCCAAATCTTGAAAGAGAAGCTTACGAAGCATGAGAAGATGTATACTACCGTGGCCTAGCAGGCGCTTGGTATTTCCCCTGGGAAAATGGAAGCATCAAAGAATCGAGTCTTGGAGATCAGGAAACCTCTCACCCACTCACATTTCTGCTGTGTCTAAAAGCACTTACTGACTAGATTGACACCGGAATTCGAAACATTGGCACCAAAGCTCCTTCACCCCCACTCCACATAGGCAGACCTGGCAACCAACCAGCCAACCAACCAACCCCTTGGATTCTCTCAAAGAGCATAAGTCAGGACTGGTTTGACCTTATCAGTTCCTCGCGGGATTCAGCCCGAAGCTATGTCGAGCAGGGCTTAGTGAGGTCCCCTCTGTTTAGCCCTACTGGGCCAAGCATCATTGTTTTAGATGAGCCAAAGCTTGAAAAGGAGTCCCCTCAAACCAGGGTTCTTTGTGGCTGAGCTAGCCCCTCCCCCCAAGGGCTCTTAATGTCGGAGCAAACTGCCCTTCTCCACCAGAATCACTCTAGCATTGAGCGCTTTGATAAGAAGTCAGGTACGGATGCTGATGCTGATACCCACCATGGCCTGTTAACGAAGTGCTCAGCACTCCGATATCCAACTGTTGGCATTTGCAAGCGCTATGTACCTGGACGTAGTGATAATCCTAGTGCAATAAACTGAAACCGATCTACCATGGACGTTTTCCAGGTATCTACGTCGCCGTCGCAGACGCTAAGGCGACGCGTCACCCCGAGGTTAGGTCGGCATCGATTCTCATTTCTCACCGAAGGGGCCGAAGCTATCACGTCCAACGGAATACCGGCGGTTTCATGAGCTACGAATACCGAATACTTCGGATTTTCCGACTTGGCATGCCATCAGGTTGACAATCGGTTGTTGCAAACTATGGACCCCATGCAGACGCCAGGCACCCTGTCCAACGAGCACTCGCCTCAATGGTGGCTATCCGTACAAATTGTGGATCCAGCAGAATCAGGAACCAGCTAAATGAGGATGATACGGATCGTGCCGGGAACTTGCTCACTATGGATTGGCGCAGCTATTGACACAGCGAGCAGATGTTGCGTCCAAGTCACAGAGGATAAATAGAACGCGATGCCCGCCATGAATTAGGTATCTAGACGAAAATAACCATAGCCTGGTCTCATTCCTTTCTATTCGTCACTCTCTACTGTCTGTGTCGCTCTCTCAATTTCATTTTGTTCTTTCAATCTTTAATGACTTTTCTGTAATATGAAAGTTCTCTCGTTTATCGTGGCTGCGGCCCTCGTGGGTCTCACCGGTGCTTCTTCAAACTCCTCCAGCCTGGGGCTGTTGAAATCGGACGGCGGTAAGTGGCAAACTCTTTTCTGTATAATATCGCTGTCATATCAGATGTGGCACATGCGGTGAGTCAGTTCGTTGACGTTGTCCAGTGGCACTGGGAAACTGGGAATCCGCCTACCAAAAGGCCTCTTCTTTCGTCGCGGGCCTGACCACTGATCAGAAGCTGGCTTTGATCACGGGCAGCAGCATCGACTCCACCAATGGCAGCTTTACTGCACTCACCTTCCTTGATGGAGACATGGGTCTTCAGGACTACTTCTATGTCTCTGCGTTTAGCTTGTCTTCAGCTATTGCTATGACCTGGGACCGCGATGCCATTTATGACCAGGCTAAAGCGGTCGGCTCTGAATTTTACAACAAGGGTGTCCAGGTTGTCGCTGGTCCTACGTCCCAACCCCTAGGACGCACGCCATGGGGAGGTCGTAACGTTGAGGGTTTCGGTCCTGATCCTTATCTTAACGGATTGGCTACGGGTCTGACCACAAAGGGATATGTTGATGCTGGCGTCATTCCAGGTGCCAAGGTGAATCGAGAACGCCGTAACCCCTAGATGCCTGATCATTTACTGACATCGTACCGCATCACCTCATAGCACTTTCTTCTGTACGAACAAGAAACTAATCGAACCGGCGGTATGGGTGGCGGCATGGGTGGTGGTGGTGGGGGTCCAGGTGGGTTTCCAGGAGGCGGTGGTATGCCTTCAGGGGGAAGGGGGCCTGGATCTTCGAACTCTTCGTCGATAGGTTCCCGGCCTACCGGATCAATGAGCCGTCGTGCTGCCGGCTCCAGTTCGAGCTCGGACTCTGCACCATACTCTTCCAATGCCGATGACAAGACCCTACACGAAACCTACCTCTGGCCTTTCTACGATGCAGTCCATAATGGCCTGGGCGCCGTGATGTGTGCGATGACCAAGGTCAACGGCACTCTAAGCTGCCAAAACTCTGACTTGTTGATGAAGCATCTGAAGACGGAGCTCGGCTTCCCAGGCTTAGTCTGGCCCGACATGAATGGCCAGAGTGGTGCTTTGGAGTCCGCTGTCGGCGGGGAGGACTACGGTTCCAGTAGTATCTGGAGCACTTCCACCATAGAAACCCTGCTGTCCAATGGCTCCCTGAGCGAGGCCCGCTTGGACGATATGGCCATTCGCAATATGATGGGCTATTACTATGTCAATTTGGACAATGGTCTCCAGCCGGACCATCAAGATGAAGATGCGTACGTGGACGTGAGAGGCAACCACTCGAAACTGATTCGCAAGAACGGAGCCAAGTCGATGGCCCTGTTGAAGAACAATAATGCTCTCCCCCTGAAGAAGCCCCGCGTGATGAGTGTTTTTGGAGCCCACGCTGGCCCTGTGATGGGAGGGCCTAACATGGCTATGAACGTCCAGGGGTCGGGACCGACGTACCAGGGCCACTTGGCCTCCGGCACCGGGTCTGGCCAGGCCTCCTATCCCTACCTGGTGGCACCATATGTTTCACTGACCAACAAGGCCAGTGAAGGTGGTACCATGATGCGGTGGATCCTCAATGATACCTATAGCTCTTCTAGTGGCTCCAGTTTGATTATGGAGGGAACTGATAGCACCGCCGTGGCAGCCTCCTATACCAACTATGCCACCAACGCGGATGCCTGTCTCGTCTTCCTGAATGCTCTTTCCGGCGAGGGTGCCGATCGCACCGAATTGTATAATGACGACCAGGATACCATGGTTAACACCGTCGCTGATAACTGCAACAATACTATCGTTGTGATTAACGCCGTCGGCCCGCGTTTGATGGACCAATGGATTGAACACGACAATGTCACCGCTGTCCTCTACGGATCCCTCTTGGGTCAGGAGTCTGGTAACTCCATCATCGATGTTCTCTACGGAGATGTGAACCCGTCTGGCCGCCTCACCTACACCATCGCTAAGAATGAGAGTGACTATAACGTCAATCTCTGCTATACTACACAGTGCAACTTCACCGAAGGTACGAAACCAAGCAGGTCACGCAGCGTGACATACTGTGATGCCTACACCCCCTACATCTTGCAAAAGCTAACTCAGCCCACACAGGTGTCTACCTCGACTACCGTTACTTCGACGCCTACAACGTTACCCCGAGATACCCCTTCGGACACGGTCTCTCCTACACCACCTTCTCCTACTCCGACCTCACCATCGAGAAGCCTTCCAACCTCTCCAAATACCCCACTGGGGAGCAGACTATCGGCGGCCACAGCGATCTCTGGGACAACGTGGCCAGCGTCTCCGTGGAAATCGCTAACACCGGTTCTCTGGACGGCGCTGAAGTTCCCCAGCTTTACCTCGGATTCCCCAGTTCTGCAAAGCAGCCCGTCCGCCAGCTCCGTGGTTTTGAACGCGTTGAAATCGCCGCCGGGGACAAGACCAAGGTTACCTTCAAGCTGCGCCGCCGTGATATCTCCTACTGGGACGTGACAGCCCAGCAATGGCTTGTCGCTGCAGGCAACTACAAGGTCTACGTAGGCGCAAGCTCTCGTGACCTGAAGCTGAACGGGACATTTACCGTCCAAACCTCTTCTTAGTTATAGCATTACAATTCTAATAAAAGAGGGCTCGTTACCAGGCGATGGCCTGGACATTATTCAACTGTTATATTTGATTATTCCACCACGGTCCCAACGGAGACTCTTCACTGTTATTCCCCTCATAGACGAACACAATACGTAACACCAAAGAACGAAACCTCTGCTATCTGATAGTCATCCTTCATACCAGACATTGAGCTCAAGAATAATTGAGGGGCTGCTCATAGACCACCCCATCGACCGTGGTAGTCAGTGTCCCGTTGGCGCGGAAGATATTCAACATGGCGTCGTCTTCGACCTGGAACCCACCGGGTCCGGTGGTCTTGGTACTAAACGTCAGGCCGGTGGCCGTGAGATTGGAGTACCAGTTCAGTCGAGCCATGGTGGTCGACTGGGGCGTTGACTGGACGGACTCGGATCCGTGAATGAAATGCATGCCATCATCGGAGAAGTTCGAGTAGCGCACCGCCACGAAGTTGATGGCGGATGTTACCGGGTCCTTGCGGATGACCACCTGGGCAGACCCGGAGATCTGGCCGTACAAGGTGAAATTGCCCTCAGGGGGCACGGCCATGGTGGGCGCGACGCCCCCCGAGACATAGGGTACGCCCCAGGGCACCTCGTCCGGGACAGGTGCAACGGGAGGCAGCTGGTAGGGCTGGCGATGAGACAACCGGGCCAGCATCATGCGCGAGGTCCGGCCCCCCGGCTCGGTGGAATGGGGGCAGGGCAACGGGTTGACGCCACCGCAGGCTGGGGCCCTGACCATCTTCTGCCAGTACATGATGCGGGTGCCATCAGGCGACCATCGGGGATCCGCGCCGGCGTTCCAGTTGGGATCATTGATACTGCCCGGGCTGCCATCACCCGCCGCGTTGATCTGCTGGCCGTAGTAGTGATAGAGGTCGTTGTCACCCTGCGCGTCCAGCAGCCAGGGCTGGAAGAACCGCCGATCCCCGTTGTTGCGAACGGACGACACGGTGGTTACGGTCAGCAAGTCCACCACCGGGGGCACCCCACGCATGGCAGAGAGAAACATCATCCGGCCACTGCCCCGCGTGTCAAGAATAACCTGCCAGCGACCATCCGCCGAAACCCCCACCGGATCAACGTATTCCGGATGGGTGGTGACACGCCGGACACGGCCCGTTGTCAGATGGGCAGCAAACAGATCAACGTTGCAGGATTCCCAAGGGGCACCCAGATAGAGAATCTCCTCCCCACGGCCCGTGAAGCCCCGGAACTCTCCCATGGTAATAGCCTCCCGGTCGAGAAGGAGTTGGTCACCTTTGGTCTGATACAGCGTCTTTCCATTAGCCGGCGTGAGAATCGTCACATTGACCAGATCATATCGCGCACTGAGCGGGGACCCCGTGGCGGGGGCCGGATTGAACCGGAGACGTCCAAAGTACGCATATTCAGACAGCTGTCCAGCCGAGCTTACACCATAGGAATTGAAACCAAGATGCACACTATCGGGATGCAAACGCAGTTCACGAATCGTGCCTCCCTCTCCGGAGTCATCAGCGGTGTTGCTCAATCGGATAGGATATATATAGGTGTTGTTGGAGGTACATTGATCACTAGACAACAGCCCACTTCGACATTCCACAATATTATTCCCAACCAGCGCGCGGCGCCCGTCCGTGAAAGTCTGAGGATACACATCCAGGGTGGTAGTCCCGACTTTATGGGTGTCAGGGACACCACAGGTGAGACACTTCCAGGGATCGCCAGTCGAGAAGACAGACCCGTTAGTGCTGACCATGATCAGCTGCACGCCGGTATAGATACTGGCTGGATCCGGGGCGTTTGGGGCGCCGGTGAAATTGACGCTGGCCAGGACATAGTTGCTGTCCGGGGTGAAGCTGCCGCCGTTCAGCTCCGAGTTGCGACCCATACAACCGGTGCCATGAGGGTTTACTGTCCGTGTGCAGGCGCCCGGCTCGTCTGTAGCTACCACCGGTAGTAAGGGTAGTTCGACGACATCAATGGGCTCCAATGGGGGGATTTTGGCGTTTCCTGAACACGCCGCAATGGCTGTAGGCCCAAGGGCAAGCAAAACGAGGGAACAACCCGCAGTGATGATGCGCATGTTGGATGATGGAGGTGTGGGGAGAAGAGGAGAGAGCCCAAGGCACTGCCCACCTTCTTGATATGTATTTATAATGTATACGGAGTATGCATTATACATACTATATGCAGGGCCCCCTCATCTCCGGCCGGAACCTCGAAAACGGTTCTTGCAGGCATTTTCAGGCATCGATACACGGCCGTAATCGTATAGATAGTGGATAGAGGGCTAGCGTTTCTGTCTTCTGAGGATCTTTCCCGTCGCCCCACTGGCGCTAATTATTTAGCCTGATACTAGACGGCATTTTGTCCGCGGATGCACGGGCCACATCTCTGTTCCCCCAAGCGTTGAGACTGTCTATACGCGTTTACATAGTATTGAGTTTTATCAACATTGTATATCCTGAAACAAGGAGGAAATTGTGTCGTTGGGTATTATTTATAATGGCTCAAGCTCGCCGGATCTTTTCCTACTCTCCCGATCCTGCTTTCAAGTCAATTCGTGACCCAGGACAGACGTCTGCATGGCGAAGCTCGAACCCTACAAAGGGGGTGTCTACCTCTGGCAATATCTGCCTTCGCTGGCGGCCGCCGTGATCTTTACCATCGTCTTCATCGTCGCCACGGTATTTCATTTCATCAAGCTATCGCAATGGCGAGCCCGCTTCTCTCTTCCCTTCGCCATCGGTGGGATCTGTATGTGGTGTCCTCCATGAACAGGCTCGGCCGACCCCATTTCAGTTGTCGTGCTAACCAAAGCACCCCCTTAGTCGAGATTATAGGTTATGCTGCCCGCGCGTGGGCTCATTTTAACACGGGCAAAATAATGCCCTAATCGATTCAAAACGTCTTCATCCTGCTCGGCCCGGTGCTGTTCGCGGCATCCGTGTACATGACTTTGGGACGGATCATCCGCAACACCGGCGGCGAGCATCTCTCCCTAATTTCTATCCGGTGGCTCACGAAGACCTTTGTTATGGGCGATGTCGTCTCCTTCCTGGTCCAGGGTCGGGCGGCGGGATTGATGGTCTCCGGCAATAATGCGACACTCGGCAAGGATATGGTGGTGGTGGGCCTGATGATCCAGATCATCATGTTCGGCTTCTTCGTGGTCACCGCCATGATGTTTCAGATTCGCCTGCAGCGGCGTCCGACCCCTGGGGCCGTGGATGGACGCATCAATTGGCGAGGGCACCTGCATCTGTTGTATAGCGTGAGTCTGTTGATCATGGTCCGCTCCTTGTTCCGGGTGGTCGAGTATGTGCTCGGGGATACCGGGTACCCGCTCACCCACGAGTGGACGCTGTACACGTTCGACGCGCTGCTGATGGCACTGGCCATGGTGGCTTGGCTGGTCTGGTACCCGGGGAAGCTGGCCAGACCCGATATGGGGTTGGAGATGTTGAATCGCCACGAGCGGGCTAATGTATAATGTAATCGTTTAGACCGAGCATAACGGTTGCGTGGGTCGTAAATATAGTCGTAGTCGGATCTAGACAGATCGATATAGATCGATATAGGGCGTGGCATTTAAGGTTGAATCCAGGCCGGAAGAACCCATTTTCCCGGGATGGATCCAAGGATCAGTTCCATCCACCTTCCAGATCTCCCTTATCACCTCCGCGATTCTTCGGACCAGGAAGGTCGATAGTGGACAGGTCTCCTTTTCCTTCTCGGCGTGATGCCGCGCAGACAGCACAAAAAATCCCGGAACGGCTGCCTAGAGTGCAAGCGCCGACATATTAAGGTAGTGCTCCATGCCCCTAAGGCCCGGGAGAGAGAATCTAGAAATAACGAGGCCGACAGTGCGACGAACGGCGCCCCGTATGTGCGCAGTGTACCACCTCCGAACGAATCTGCGAATTCTCCGAGCGACATGCCCGAATTGTCCTGAGCGCGGCGTCCAGCAGGCAGACGCCTTCGTCCACCACCGGCACTCCTCTGTCGGAGCCAGCGGTGGCAGCGGTGGCGGGGGAGGAAGAAGAGGAAGAAGAAGAAGAAGAGCAGGGCTCCCATGAAGAACCCCCCGTCAACATGCTTCATGCGGAGCTGCTGTGCCACTTGGTCACCGAGACCCTGGGCTCCCTCAGCAGAGATAACAGCCATCTGGCGAGCTTATTCTCGACCGAAATCATGAAGTGCTGCTCCGAGGCTCCCTACCTCCTCAATGAACTCCTCGCCCTCGCGGCCACTCATATCAGCATCATCCGCCCCGCCCAGCAGGCCTTGTATCGCCATCATGCCGCGCAGCTGCAGAACCATGCCTTGAGATTCTTTCATGCCACGAATCCCACCCCCACTAGCACCCCCACAGCCTGTATGCCCCGCTTTCTCTTTTCCTCCATCCTGGGTATGCACACGTTGTGCGACACCCTCGTCTTCCGGGATGATGATTTCAACGTCTTTCTCGACCGCTTCATCCACTATCTCCACATACACCGTGGCGTGCGCGCCGTCATCGGCTCCAACTGGCGTGTCTTGGCCGAGTCCACTGCCCTCGCCCCGACCTTGGGCGACGCCGAATCGCGATTACAGGCCGATAATGCCCCCCTGGGCCCCGAATGTAGCCGACTATTGGCGCTCACCCAATCCAGCAATCTAAGTCCCTCTATTGCCGCCACCTACCAACACGCCATCGAGGCATTGCAGTTGGCCATGAACTCGGCATCCTCCCTCGAGCCGATGGGCAGCTGCCCTCCCGGTATTTTCTCCTGGCCCGCAACTTTGTCCCCTGAGTATGTTGATCTCCTCGCGCTCCGGAGCCCGGACGCGCTGGCGGTGCTGGCGCATTACGGTGTGGTCCTGCATGCCCACCGCCATCATTGGTTCTTGGGCGATGGTGGGCGGTACTTGATTGAGTCTATCCGCGAGTACTTGGGGCCCGACTGGGCGGAATGGCTGGCATTCCCGAATCATGCGTTGAGTCAGTCTACAATCCCTTAAGAGGAATAATGAGTCCCTAATTTCGGAGACATTCCACACGGGGAGTCTGCTCGATAGAGACTTTCTGAATTGGTCGGCAGAAGTCTGTGATGGAAAATGCCCTTATCCATTCATCCATTGATCGATCTAGCTGATTTGGTTTTTGACCGGGATGGAGAAGGTGTTCAAACCAGAATAGGGACCGCCACAGCTCTGTAGAAACCAGATTAGATCCAGCTAATGGAGGGAACCACCGGTTTCCAGCTATAATTAAACTTAGGGTACGTAATACAGACTAACCATCAGTTACATCATAGCCTGAACGCTGGGCTTCCCGGCCCTTGTGACCCAGCCAAGCAGCTCATCTTTCTCGAACTCTTTCATGGCCGCTAGCGGCAAGGTAATGCGGATCTCCCAAGGACTTTGCCATGGCTTTGCAGAGCTTGCGGGTAGGATCAGAGACATTCCATCTGTTCGGCTGTCGATAGTATCAAAATCTACCATCGGACCAATATTTGAGCCCCAGTCCCATGTGAATATATCCAGTTTTCGGAGGCTAGACATCTCAACGCTAGCAGGGGCAATCGAGAATGACGTGTAATCATCACATTCCTTCATACAGTCTATTATACCACAGATGTACTCGTCATCAATAGACCTGCATTTAGCCCGAGATCTGAAAGCCAATTTCAGGAGCGCATAGGCTATTTCTCCGTCAACATGGCCTCTTTTCTTGGAAACTTCAGAGGATTTCTGCGAAGCGGGAATCTCTTCCCAGTCGCACTGAGCTCTGGCAGCCACGACACAATTCCCCAGGTAGCTCTTTGGAAGAGGAGGCTGAAGAGTGGAGCGAACCTCCACAAGCCTCGACAAAGAGGACATGGGCGGCAAGTCGGAAGAATGCTTGGCTGCCGCTCGGCGACGTGCACGGGATGCGCAGAGCCACGTCAGAGCAGTAGCCACATCATCACTTGACATATTGTCATTTCCATCTAAGTATTCAGTAATACCATCGGATAGCTTTTCCCGTGGGTTTGGAGGACTTCTGACCAGGTCCTGGATAAGCTTGTTGCACGTGTTCTTGAGATAGTTGACCTTATCCGTATGCATAGCATACCGGCGACAGATAAGTGGCTCGGAATAGCCATTCCAGACTTCTTCACAGCTGATTCCATGATATGCCCCTTCCCAGTCAGATCTTTTGGGGGTGCTGGCTTCTTCTATTTGCCTCCTCGAGCGTTCCTCATGCTTGGGATCCGTCGGGAACCGCCTGGGAATGGCAGTCTCTCGATCCAACCCACGACAAAATTGAGATAGGGACCCCAAGAGTATGGTGACACCCACCGCATCCATCACCTGGTGATGCCAGCCGAGACACAGAACAACCCCGTCTTGCATGACATTGGCTTGGAACCGCACGGCAGGGATGGGGTAGGAAATAGGAACCTTTGTTGGCACATGTAGTAGTTTATCATTGATGACAGGCAGCGACATTTCATGCGACATCGAATGCTGGTGATGCTTGACCTGCAAGATTGGGTATCGAAGGAGGTCTGCTGCAGTCGGTGACTGGAGCTCTAGGATATTTCTCTTATACCCTTTCTGGACCCGAGCAACATTACCGGCCAAGAAAGGCCATTGGGCTACCAAGTGTGAAATACCGGTTTCAAGAGCGGTAATAGCCTCGGGGGGATGTTTAGGTTGAAAGGACAAGTAGAAGAGCGCATATAATGGTGGGACCAGGTGGTCAAGAGGGGTTAGGACATAAGGCTGGAATGATGGGATGTCGTCGGCCATTTTGTCTGTGGATAGCTTGCCCCGAGTGTCGTAGGGCAAAAGGAGCCTTTATAGCTAGCAACATCGCCATGGCGTACATCACATCAGAGCAATCAAACGCCTATAGTCTGGAGCGCCCAAGGAGTATTGTACACGAATGATGGCATTTCAGAACCTTGAATACCAGAGGGCAGGTTATGTGTAGAAGGCTCTGAGTTGAAAGCAGGTTTCACCAAGTTTCGATGGCAGTCCTGCTATTGTGGCATGTCGTTCTTATGTTAGCAGTGGCAATGGACCGATCACCTGGGGATGAAAATCCACTTGCATCCATTGGTTAGCTCAGGTCCCACACTAAGCCCATGTAGACGATCTCTGGAATAAGCTTCCGATCCAACTTTGCCGATTGGCGTCATTGTTGGTGACCTCACAGAGTGGGCACCTCGCAGAGAATTGGTTGAAGAGTGACCAAAGTCAAAGAAAGTGCAAATAAGAGGCGATCTCGACCGAAAAGGGACCCCGACTGCATGACTCATCAATACGGTAAATACGAGCATACGCATGTTGGATCTATATCTCGACCCTCTCCCAACCATTTCACAATTTCCCTGCTGCTCCTGTATGCCACATGGGTTCGAATAGATCTTTCAGAAAAAGGCAACATGTCCAACGAAAGCTTTGCCACCGCAATCTTTAAAGACCTCTCCGAGACTCCCTATGCGTGCTCCTCCCTCACCCCGCTAAGCGGGGGAACCGCCAACTTTGTCTATCGCGCTCTACTCTCTCACCCTCTCCCAGATGGAACAACGTCCGTCATAGTCAAGCATAGCGAGGCCTTTGTGGCCTCAAACCGGGAGTTCAAGTTGCCCGCTGAACGCTGCGTTGGTGTTCCCTTTTCCAGAAATAGAGATATTGGGAGGTAAGCACAGAAGTATAGCTAACATCTGTTACCCAGCTCATTGAAGAATCTATCTTGGAGTCTCTCAACGATTTCCCCAGCACAATTCATCGAAGGGAACTAGGCGAAGGGCGCACTCAGGAGGTCACTGCTAAAACCCCGCATCTCTTCACATTCAATCGCGAAACCAACACCGCTGTCGTGGAAGACCTCCCAGATTCTTTGGACCTCAAGTCCTTCTTGATATCCAGAAGCGCTTCAAATAATGTGTCTCAAGAATGGGCGTACTCTATAGGCCGCGCATTGGGATCCTGGCTACGATCTTTTCACCTGTGGGCTGACAAAGAGGCGCAAGCAGGTGTAGCGGCAGAGATGGAGAAAAACCGATCTATGCGGGACTTGAAGTTCACGGTCAATTACGATACCCTCATGAACACGATTGATCGATATCATACGATACTCGGAGAATATCGGGATATGTTCAGCAAGGTTCGGGACATGGCGACGGCGGAGTTGAGTCGAAAGGACAAGGATGGATTCGGCATCATCCATGGAGATTTCTGGTCGGGCAAGTAGGTGGCTCTGCCTTCTCTGCGTGGAAGAACAGAAGGCTAATGTTCCACAGCGTCCTCATTCCACAGGCAGCCCTGGAGCAACCATCCCACATACCACTCTTCATCATAGACTGGGAATTGTGCCATTGCGGGGCTCGCGCCCTCGACCTGGGCCAGATGTTTGCTGAGCTGTACATGTTAAAGCATTTCAAGGATATCGAGGCCGGTGCATGGATCATCCAAGGATTCATGGAGGAATATCAGGGCTTGGACGATGAGATGGCTTTCCGGGCATTGATCCATGTTGGAGTCCATTTCATCGCTTGGGGTCCTTTGATTGCTGGATGGGGCACGCCACAACAGGTGGAGGACGTAGTACGTCTGGGAAGGGATCTCGTTACCAAAGCATGGGAAAAGGATAGGGGTTGGTTTGAAGGCATGTGGAAGTCATTATTCAGAGACCAGTAATCAATCCGAAACCCAATATCCTTTTTATGCATTACTAGCTTGTGCTCATGCAGTCGGCTGAAGAACGAGTTCATGGCAGACCGTGCCAAGTGGATATGGTATTCTATTTCGCAGTCAGACGCCTAAGTCTCGGCTCTAAATGCAGTTAGCCTGAAACTACTATTCTTTTCACGACCTTGGCTAGTACTTTGGGAAATAATCATGTATGTACAGCGATCCCCAGGGAAATCTCATGTTTATAGTTTGGCCCGGTATGTACTCCGGATACGATCCAGCCCCGAAGGCCCATCAAAAATCTGTTGCTCTACAAGACGGGTGTTGATCTATTGCAAAGTAGGTAAGCCTTATAATCTCACTGGAAGGGTAGAAAGGCAAAAGCCTCACGAGATGCAACTTACATGTTGGGGGCCCAGATCTTCCACGCGCTCAACACCAAGCAACCGCATGCATGTCTTGGTTTCGTCAGACAGAACTGAAGATAGTTAGTGGAAATCCCAGTAAAGGTACTTGCACACGTACTCTGCAAGGTGCGTGTAACACCTTCAACACCACCGGCTCCTAAGCCCCACAATACAGGCCGTCCAATACCAACTCCCTTTGCGCCCAGACAGAGGGCCTTGACAACATCCGTGCCACGTCGGATACCACCGTCGACCCAGACATCCAACTTGTCGAAAACCTCTGGGCAATATTTCCGGATTTCCAGCAACGTGTGCACACCAGGAGGGGCAGTGTCAAGAGCACGCCCACCATGGTTGGAGAGAATGATGCCTTTGACCTGGGGGGTGTGCAGAGAGGCGATGTAAGCGTCTTCATGAGTCTGAAGGCCCTTGAGGATGATTGGCAAATCCGTGTGCTTGGCCAGCCAAGGTAGAGTCTCTTGCCACGTTAGAGTGGGATCCGTGCCCGCGAAAAGTTGTCGTCCGACACCTCCGCCTCCGTTGTTGATATTAGCCTTATCTGCTGCCTTCGCGGCGCTTGGTACTGATGCCGACGCTCCCACTGAGTTGCCACGCTCGTCGTCCTCTCTCTTGCCAGGGACTGGTGCGTCCAGAGTGAGAACAATGAACTTGATCGCCTTGAGTTTGTTTATGCGTGCCAGCATGACCTCGCTCTTCTTGCGGTCTATTTGGACGTACAGTTGCCATCCAAACACCTGGTCTGGAGCGGCGTCCCGAACGATCTGCTCTGGCGTCATGGAAGCGTTGTTGGAAATGATCTGCATGGCTCCGAAACTGCGACAAGCCTCTGCAATTCCAGCTTCACCTGCCGGATGGCCTAAACGCGCCATTGCTGCGGGAGATACGTATATGGGCATGCCAAGATTGTGGCCCAAGACCGTAGTATCCAGGTCACATCGGGTGCAATCGATAAAAACCCGTGGCCGTAGCAGAATGGAGCGGTAGACTTCGGTATTGAAATGTTTCGTGATCTTGTCATCGGAAGCTGAATAGTAGTAGGCCCAGGCCTTCCTGCTCACGGTCTTGGTGGCCACCTGCTCGATATCGTCCATGTTGAGTAGACTCTCCATCGGGGGTGGACCCTCTGTTTCTCCCGCATCTGAAGGAGGTTCCGCTTGCACCTTTGGCAGAGTGTCGGCGTTCACCGTTCCCAGGAAAGCTTCGGGTTTCAGGTTCTCTTCTAGGATCCCCGGAGGATGGATGGGGTCATATTCTTCCGTGGCATCCTTGCCCGCAAGCTTGAGAATAATCTTGGCACCACCAGGGTGTTCTGAAAGAAAGTCGGTGACCTGATTGAATTGCGGATTGTTTAGCTTCGGTTATTGGTTAAACCGATGGATAAAAGGGCGAGCCATACATCGTAAACCTTGCCGTACAAGATCACCCAACAACTATCCGGAGTGTTGTGTTTGGCGACTGAAGGGTCTTCTGTTAGCTTTCATGATTGTTTCTCCGGAGAGGAAGATTGGATGTATTACTCTCCGCCGCATCGAAAACTTTGCCCATCTTGCAATCCAAAAGTCGTTGCGGATGTATCAATTGATCATGTACGGGTCGTTAGAGTCAACACGGGAAAGCAAAGAGGATGAAGAAGAAGAAGAAGAAGAAGAAGACGAAGACGAAGACGAGGAGCAGCGAAGGGGGAAAGACGGTAGCTGGAGTCGGAAAAGGACGACGCTGAGTCCGACCGCCATCCGCCATGCAGAGCGTCGAATGCCTCCCCATTCTCGGCCTGAACTCCGATAAGTAGCCCATTTCTCCCCGCCAAAGATGGGGGCGGCGATTGACCCCCTGCCTGCTTTGGGCAATGTCGGTTGCCGACCGGATCGGCTTAGAGAAAGACGACCGGCCATTGGTGGACAATCCGGGGGCGCTGATGTCATGGCTGGATGCCCGTCTCCAGTCCCTCGTTTGGTACGGAGTACATAGTAGTAGTCGGTTCCCGATGGAATTTCTTCTTCCTCTTATTGATATAAGCAGGCATCTGCAGCGCGAGAAATACCCGTCGAGAAGAGCTCCTCCACGTATCTCGCAGGACAGCAGATAACACGAAAGAACTAAAGTTGGACTCGCTTAGGCAAGCGATCAGGTGCCATGGACGCGTGCTATTCCTCTTCCAGTCGCAGCTGGGCCACGTGAAAGGGCCGGACTGTTGTTCAGCTCAACCGTCAATCCCCTCAACGCCCCTCAACTTACCCAGCAGCACTGGCACTCTTCCTCGATTCGGGAGTGACACATATCGGAGGTGTCGATTTCGCTCAACTTTAGTCCGCTTCGAAAACCTCGCCATCCTGATTTCCGCGTCGAGGCTCAGCACCCAACCCTCGTCGCTCCAGTTCAGCCCAGTCTCGTCGTTGTCGTTGTCGTCGATCGGAGAAATCAGGTCATACCACAATATTACATGACGCGTCGTGATGTTCGAGGTGCGTCGGCTGACTGGAATATTGCCACCCGCTTCATGGTCCTTACAACGATATTTGCATCTACAATGCTATCTGTACTGACTGGCACCAGCGTCGCGCCGCGGACCGTTACCGGCTCCGGATGCACCGTGCCCGCACCGTCGCACTAACCTCTGACGAGATCGTCGAAGTACGGGCAGCGCAACGCACCTTCGAAGGAGCCTACATCCGTACCGCCCTCTCCCAATTCTCCTTTGCCCTGGTGGTCCTGAAGATTTTCACCAGCGAGTTCTATAGCACTGGGGCGCTTTTCGCAATCTATGGCACCGGCGTACTTATTATCGGCCTTTTCCGCCGGCAACAAGGCAACCGGCAGTTCTTTGCCGAGGTTGGAGAAGATGGCATCCGTCACAAGTTCAGGACGAGTGGGAATGCTGTGGTGGTCTTGACGGCTCTTAGTATCGCAGCCTACGCCACCCTTATCGCGCTGACCGTGAGGCTAGACCATTAAACAGTCACGCCTTGCTAGAGACAGCCTAAGCAATATGCTTACCATCTTCCTGCGTAACTGCCAAGTGCCAAGAATACCGCAGAATGCGATGGCCCAGTTCCAGTCTTTCTCCCTTCCCTCTTGTCCGTGCCCTCAGAGCAAATGAGAAGTTGTGACTCACGGTGAATGCGGTGCCAGCTTCCGATCAAGTTGTGAAGCTATATCACTGCCCACCGAAGCTGGTGGGCGAAGGTCGCACAGGGATCAGCTCGTCTTACAACCAAGTGATCTTTTATCCGGACATCTGAGATCATAAGAAATGTCCAAGGCAACCTTACTGAGGACCGGAACAAATGTGGTCTAGCTAGCCGGGATGTGAGGCTATGGTACACTGGCTGGAGTGAGCAGGATGGGCAGCAAGGGAGAGACGTGGACCAATAGGTCTCTGCAGTGCATCTTGGTCCATTGCGCAGCCGCAGTTCGATGTAATCCAGAATGGAGCGGAACCCAGGACGAGTTTGTGCGGCTGCAACAGGCCCGACCGAAGGTATGGCAGCATAGATAGGCAAAAAGTGTGTTTACCTGTCGGGCCGTTTCGCACCTTGCTGGTAGCCTACCTATAGCCTAGTAAATTCATAGGCCGGTACGGTCTTTGTAGAAGTATGTTCGACACCCTTACTTGAGCCAAGCATTCTGGATCTTCTAGGTGTCCATCCTCAGTTAGTGTGGAATCCGAAAGATCTGGTTCAGTGGTTCTGTGATCTTTTAGCTCCAAGATCGACAATGCAGAATGACAAGCGGGGCCTCCTCGAGTGTCTGCAGTGAGAGGCCGTAGGGAAAACCGGATGAAAAGCTAGGAGGGCCCTTTGGTACATGGTACTTATAGATGGGGAGTCGCAGCCGGGGCCCTCTGCAGTGGATATGATTTGACATCATCTGTGGTCATGGTGTAGATCAAGCCGCGGAAAAGATCCACCGTTTGTCTTGAGACCGGTGGTAGTGACTTCATCGGCGGGGGGCGCGACTGCACTCCCGTTAACTCCTGCTCTTATATCCCGGTCGCGGTTGGGATCCTTTTGTCCTTCAAACGATCCTCCAACCGAATTAGCATTGGCACCCTCGTGCGCAAACTCTGGCTTATAATTAACTAGCTTATTTGGACTGGTGTGCTTTTTGCCTTCGGAAGACCCGGAAAAGGAGTCTTGCATTGCATGGTACCGGCGTGCTGGAAAGAGTGTGTGCCGTGACTCGACTTGCCCCATCGTTCTGAGGGGTTCTCCCAGGGTCTCAGCACAGTGCTCTGGTGATCGTGTGGCTTGTATAAAATTCATAAGAGTGACGCCGAGAAAAGGCAGAAAAGGAAGCACCAGAAGACAGAAGACAGAAGACTGACGACAACGTTCACCTGTGAAGTCGAAGTGACGGGGTTTGGTGCGGTTTTTGACTCATCCGCCCGCCATTTCCACCTCCCCAATACTGCTGCCACTGCGGCCACCACTGCCAGCCAGCCAACCTCCCCTCTTTTTTCACTCTTCTCAAACCCCTCGTTATCGCCTCCGTGAGCTGTTAAGATCATTCCCAGCATTAGCTTGGAGGGGATTCTTCTCACTGCAGTTCTCTCATTGGCTCTCCCATTCTCTCCTTCACCCATCGAGTTCTCTTTGCATCCCGGCTGCATCCCTGCGCCACTCGCGGGGATGTCTCAACACACCGATATTGCACGGTCGGCTATCATGACGTGCGCGTCTATTCCCGAACACCAACGCGGTGCGTCGGGCAAGACAAATGGAGCCGTTTCTCACTCGGGACCCGGGAAAGAGGCCAATCTTATGCCTCCCCCGAAAACACTGGTCGGACGAGCGCTAGGGAACGAGCTGCATTCCGATGCCCACAAGGGATCTCAGGCGCCCAAGGATGGTGTCGGCTTTGCCCTAACAGACACTCCGGTTTCTACCGCACCCTCGTCTCCACAATTGTATGTGCTTTCCCCCCTTTTCTCTCCTCCTCGTTGGTCCGTCCTTTTTGTCTGTTGTCTAGACCTGGTAGGGGGGGTTCTGCACGCCCTTTTTACTGTTCTAGATCCTTAAAGCCTTTTGACTTTGGAGAATTTTTCCCCCGGAATGATCGACAGTTGGTTGTCAACTCGGGTCCCGGCTGATGACCCGGTCTTACCCGCACCTGCCTTGACTATCTGACTTCCATTCCTCCGGGCGTCTCTTTTTCGATGTTTCCTCTTTGGCTTTGGGGCTATCTTCGCTTGACTTGTTTCCTTGCTGCTTGCTCTCATTGGACCCTGTCAAAAACAGACTTCGCGGCGTTGCAAGCTAACCAGCTATTAGTACTGCCAATACCACCCCGTCTACCCCGGGTCGTGTGCGCGCCACTACACTTGATATTCCGGGTCTCACCAAGTCCAAGGTCTCTCCCGATGGACGTATTGCTCAACGTGATGTTGGCTCCAAACTGGTCATCGTCATGGTCGGCCTCCCCGCCCGAGGCAAGAGTTATGTTACCAAGAAGTTGGCTCGGTATCTCAATTGGCTCCAGCACGATACAGAGATCTTCAATGTAGGAGAGCGTCGCCGCGTGGCTGCAGGTAAATCTCCAGCCGTAGCTGGAAGGCGCCCCAGCCATAGAGCCAGTACCATCCACAGCGAGCTCGTCGACTCGGTGCGCCGTCTCAGTGTTAGTGTTGGCACCATGAACCAGCCCAAAAAGGGTTCTCTGCCCACTGAAGCAGTTGCGAATGCATCAGAAGACGCCGTGACTTCGCCTCCTGAACTCGAAAATAAGCTTCCACCCCCGGCCGTTCCTACCAAGATCCTTGTCAACGGAAAGGAAGAAGATCCTTCCCAAAGCACCATAGTTCCGCCAATGAACGCAAGCCCGGCGGAGCAGGATGCCATACGCGAAGCATCTCCCGAGCCTATTGATCAGTCGGCCAGCTTTTTCGACCCTAAGAATCAACTGGCTGTCAAGCTGAGAGAGCAGGTAGCCTTGGACACACTGGACGAACTCTTGGATTACATCCTTGAGCAAAGCGGCAGCGTAGGCATTCTTGACGCTACCAACAGTACCATGGAGCGCCGCAAAGCAATTGTTGATCACATCCGCAATCGCGCTGGTCCTGAGCTCAACATTCTGTTCCTTGAAAGCAGCTGTGTGGATCCAGAACTGCTGGAGGCTAATATGCGCCTCAAGCTGTCTGGCCCCGACTACAAAGATCAGGACCCCGTGAAGGCACTCGAGGACTTCAAACGCCGTGTCGCGCTCTATGAGAAATCCTACGTTCCTCTTGGGGAGTATGAGGAAAAGCACAACATGGCATACATCCAGATGATCGATGTTGGACGCAAGGTTGTGTCTCATCAAACCCATGGTTTCCTCTCCTCGCAAGTGGTCTACTATCTCCTGAACTTTAACCTTTCTCCGCGTCAAATTTGGATCACCCGGCATGGCGAAAGCAAGGATAACCAGGCAGGTCGCATTGGTGGCGACTCAGAGCTTAGCGAGAATGGTCATCGCTATGCGCAGGCACTCAATCGTTTCATTGACCATCAGCGGCAGCAGTGGGAGCTGGTCCAGCGGCAGAAGGAAATGTTGAGGCATCTGCCACCTCGTGCTGGTGACAGCACCCCTCCCAACCCCTCGTACATCCCCCGAGACCGGCCCCGCAACTTCTGTGTCTGGTCCTCGATGATGCAACGTTCGGTGCAGACGGTCGATTACTTCAACGAGGACGAATATGATGTCAAGCAGATGAAAATGCTTGATGAGCTCTATGCCGGAAAGATGGAAGGCTTGACCTACGATGAGATTCGTGACAAGTTCGCTGACGAGTACGCTGCCCGTCGGAAGAACAAGCTGTACTACCGCTACCCCGGCCCTGGAGGCGAAGGGTACCTGGACGTGATCAACCGACTCCGTGCCGTGATCATCGAGGTGGAGCGGACAACTGACCATGTTCTGCTGGTCACTCATCGATCGGTAGCGCGCGTCCTTCTGGCGTACTTCCGTGGCTTGAAACGCGATGAGGTTGCATCCTTGGATGTGCCCCTGGGAATGCTCTACATGTTGGAACCCAAGCCGTACGGCGTTGAGTTCAAGGCATACCGCTACAATCCCACCACAGACTGGTTTGACTACATTCCGGACTTCAAGTTGCAGCAGACCAATTATTAGACTGCAGCCTTTTGTGTGGCCCAGCAGTTGACTGCGACGACGATGCCCGCTACGTGCAACGACTTTCTACAACGTTCCTTTACCTTTTTTGCTTTCCTCTCCTGCTGTTCCGTGGTGTTATGGAGCTAATCACTGGGCTGGCTACCGGGCTTTGGCCCACCCATTTCATTTCGACTACGTGTATTATCTCGGGAGATGTCACGACGCGTTTACATTGGGTCTTTACAATTAGCGCGCACTCTCATACTGCCCCCACCCTGTTTCCTCCGGGGCTATCCTCGGCCGCATTGTTGACTCGGGCGTTTGGGGATCCTCTCTCGGCATGCGAACCTTCTCCGCTGCAGGACTTACGGTTGTGATTCGGAGGACCTAATGGGAAAAAGATGGCTGTCTTATGAGACTAGACTCCCCTACTTACACTTCGATGCTTGTGTTACATTTCCTACCTGGCGGCTGTCCCCGGGACCTTGCTCTCCTGTTAAAATTAGAACATTCAATATGACCTTTCACCACGTAGACTAACTATTGCTTCATCCTATGCACTCTTCTTCACCTGCTCAAACACCTCCAAAAAGGTGTCCGGCTCATCTGCTCCCTCCACCGCGTACTGCCCCTGCACCATATAATAGGGCACCCCTGTAACCAACTGGCGCCTGGCACGTTCAGCCTCCAAATCCACCTCCTTGCCCCCTTCCTCTGAGGCCAGCAACTGCTCCACGGCCGCTCTCTCCAACCCCGCGCCCACCGCCGCCTGCACCAACACCTCTGGATCCGTGATGTTCTTCTCGTCTTCAAAATACGCCCGGAACAGCTGCTCCGCCACCCGCGTCTGCAATCCTCCCACTGCCCCTTCCTCCGCCTTCACCGTCCCCTCCTTCTCCTTTTGCCCCGCATACCACAGCAACCGGTGCGAGTCCCGCGTATTGCCAGTCCGGCCTCCAAAACTGAACGCGATCCCATCTGCTTGTCCTACGGCCGCCAGACGACCGAAGATGGCGGTGGTTCGGTCGGCGCCGAACTTGGACTTGTAGAATTCGGTCTTGTCGAGGCCGGGGAAGGAGGGCGAGGCGGGGTTCAGGTAGAAAGCATGCCAGTTTAGGGTGAAGGTGTCGGCGGGGTGGGCGGTTTTGTGGATGGAGATTGCGCGGGAGAGACGACGGAAACCGACGTAGCACCACTGGGATTGGAATGGATTAGCCTGGATTTAATTGAATGGCAGTGCGGGGTGTGTGTGGTGTGTGGTGTGTGGTGTGGGGGAATAATTGGTACCGGGCAGACGGTGTCGGAGATGATCTGGATGTTGAAATTGGTCATGGTGTGGGAAGATTTCTTTCGATCTGGGGTGATTGGAGAGGATGAAGGGTTCGAGATGTATGAAGTAGCTGGTTGGATGAAATTATCAATTCTCCGTCCGGAGTATTCGCAGCATCATTGTCGCGATGCTGATTTGTCAGCAGATTGGAGGTGGGAACTGTCTCGGGGCTAAGTACTGTGTACCGTGTACTGTGTACTGTGGTACATTGGACCCAGATGTGTCTGCGAGGTTCTTTCTTCATCTGACCAACGTAGAAGAATGTCGCGAGATGCAAGCCTGCGGCTGATCTCCCCGCCATGACATCATCCGGGGAACCCCTCGGATATCCGATCGAGATGGAGATGCAATTGCACCGATTCAACTGACAGGGGGTTGGTTGACTACTGCATGAGTATTCGTCCACAAGAACAGCCCCCGACGTGCATCTCTCTGGGATAGATAGATGCCAGGATGCCTCCATCGGACGGGCTTATCAGCTGACCTGCGTCATTCTTCTGGACTTTTCCCGGTTTTTTCACTTCCTCTTCCCAATGTTGACTTCTGCTCGTCCATCGAGCGCCTCCAAAGTTCAGGAACCAGTCTCTCTGTGGACCTCCCCATGTTTATTTCCTTTCTCCTCCGCTGCCATGATTCCATCTGGGCCTTCCTCCACGCCGTTATCCTTAATATCCCACCTACTCGCCTGCTGATCTTCCCTTCGTTGGCTGGTTCGGTCTGGTTCCTGACTCTGGCAGCCCTCCTCTTGACATGGCTTGGTCGTGGGATGCCTGTATACCCGGGCCAGAGTAATCCCGATGTTGCGTGAGCTACTCTCTTTTCTCCTCCTCATGCTGTATCAATTACGTCATACTCAATCGGTTATGTTATTGACTTGAGGAAATAGCTTCATCTCCGACATTGCATCTTTCGAATTGAAGCCTCTGTTTCTTGTCGGTGCTTCCATGACAGCCGTGGGGTTCCTGTTCACGGTGGCTGCCGTTCATGTTATGCGCTACGAGCCTGGGTTTGCCTTGATTAGATGTCCGGTGATCAATGAAGAAGACACCGCCAGTGAACATGGGAATACCGACCACCAGAACGCTCGCGACCATATCACCGGGGACGACGATGAGGAGGATCACGAAACAACCAAAACGCTAAAAGTCGTTTCCTTGCTATCGATCTTTGCGTCGGGAATGGCTAGCACAGCCCTCATCCTACTCGGAGTCATGGACACGTTCCGATACAAATTCGCCCATCATATCTTCCTTCGCATCTGCTTCGGAGGCTTAGCATTACAGTCGGCTGGCACCGCAATCGTATACTCCAACGAGGTCCTGTGTTTCGTATCTTATCTATACCATTGGGGCGTATGGCACAATGACTGGGGCAAACGGAGCTTGCGAGTGAGGGTATTGTATGTCACATTTTCCTGGTTATATCTCACTCTCTGTACTATGGCTTATTCCTTGTCTACATCCACCTCTCTCCCTTGTCATACCAACCCTAACCCATCACATAGTGCATCCCTCTCCACCGCCCTCATCCTAGTAGAACTCTTCCTCGGCGTAGCCTTCATCTCCCTGACCATCCCCGAAGAAGCAAACGACTACCGCACCGCCGGCATCCTCGAATGGATCATCGCCTTCCTCGGCACAATCTACCTCTGGCTATTCTGTGGCTTCTTCGATCGGTACGTCACTACCCCTACCCCTAGTCTTGCACTCAATAAGTGCACCAACGCTCACATCTACCAGAACCAGTTTCGACGGCTACGTCCCAAGCATCCTATACGACATCACACCGCATGGAAAACCCCCCATGCGTCCGACAGTACCGGGGGCTGAATCTTCATGCAATGTATCGCAGGATCTGGATCCTGAGCGCGCCCCGTTGCTTCCTCAGTCTGGAACAAGGACTTATACGTGAGCATTTGTGTTTGGTTTTGTTCTACAAGGCGACTAGCCCATTCGAGGCGTTGGGTTTGCATTTCTTAGCCGTGTCATATCATAGCACTGGGATATCATGTGTGTGTGTGTGTATGTGTGTGTGTGTGTGTGTGTGTGTGTGTGTTTCCCCCTTGTTTTGTATAGACCTGGATTGTTGTAGGGCTACTTATGTATTGACGATGAAATGAACTTAAACTCTACGATTACATGACGAATGTCTTGTGAAGAAGCTATTTTCCATTCTAAAGATACTCGCTCGGGTTAGGTTCCATCAGGCAATCAATCAATCAACGAGTAACATGCTAAGAATACATACATTGACGATTTACCCTGTATATACCAAGGATAAAGGTTGGGTTGACAGTCCCTTACATTGCTGTGCACTTGACAGTGGGTGGGTACAATCTAGCCTTCGCCAATCTGGGTTGAAATCTCAGTGAGAACAGGGTTCTTAGAGCGTATGTCCGCCTTGGTTGACCAGCTGCCACATGTTGGACTTATTGATGAAGGCAGTCGAGTTCAGGCCGGGAACCGGCTCAACAGGCTGGTTGTCTCGGAGCCTCTCCAGGGTGGAATTATACTAAGTCCGAGGTTAGTCAACACGGTTTAGGAACGGAGTTCGAAATGCTTACCTTAAAGGCAAAGTTCAGTACCAGTGCAATTGCTAGCCCGATACACACGACAATGGGTCCGAACATGTTGTCGAGGTCTCGTCCGCTCCGTTGGCGGATCAGGCGGGCCCGCTTCTCGTGCATATACCATCCCCAACCGGCGGCGAATATGGCGAAGGAGGTGTAGACAATGGACAAGGCGCGAGCGATGTCGTTGTTCTTACCAGCCGCGTTGTACAGACCCAGAGAAAGCGAAGAAAGCAGGATGCTGACGTGGAGCCACTTGATGAAGGTCCGCTGGTTGGCAAGCCAAACCTTGGTCTCAACACGGACTGGCCCCGAGTCCTTAATCCACGTACCGGGGTCCCGGACACCAGGCGGCAAGACAACGGTATCTGCATTTGCGCGGTTCTGGCGCGCGATGTTAAAGGAGGGGAAAAGAGCAGCCAAGCGCTTCATAGTGACCGGCGGTTCCACCTCCTGTTCCGCGTCCTCGACAGGCTCCTGGCGTTCAGGAGTACCAGCCACTTCTGGAGCAGATGGGCGAGGAGAGGGCTGCACAATCTGTGGGGATTGTCGGTGTCGTGACGACTCTGTCTCGGTGAACATCTGAACGGGGGACCCGACCATGAGCCGGGTCGAGGGACTTTTGCCCCCCAAAAAGCTTCCGACTGCCATCTCATCCTCGACACGTTTCGCAAGCCGCTCCCGTTCTTCGTTGAAAGCTGTCGCAGGATCCCGCCTGATGTCGCTTTCCAGCTCGCCGAGCCAGAAGGGGAAGCTGTTGACGTAGTCTTCGAAGAGCTGGGCAACACCGTGGACGAACTTGGAGAATCGTGGGGCTTCCTTCACAAGATGGGAAACCATAAGGTCCTTGACCCATTCAGCGCTATGTGTCGCATCCCCTCTGAGCTTAATCTCCAGCAAGGCATGGGGGAAACGAGCGATTTCGCCTGTTCTGATGGACTGGAACGGATATTCCATACCAGCATCATCAATGTCTCGTCGATGCCATTCATTGGCCTCACGGCACGGACGCAGTTCTTCTAACGAGTCCTCCCGAATTAAAGCAAGGTTGGTATCGAGAGAGATTCGGATCCGGTCATCCCCGGGAATTTGGAAGGCTGTACGGGTGTAGTTGGCGCGAAGCATAGGCTGCAGGTTATGCTCCTTGATGAAAGATTGCAGCTCATCCACATCCTTCTTCAAAGCCTCCGCTTGTTCAGAATCTCCGTTGCCCATATTCTCCAACCGATGCACCTTCTTGTCGAAGCGGTATTCTCCGTCCAGGAACTCCTTGACGTGTTTCTGCTTCAGCTGCACCTTCACCTCGCGACTGCGATCATCATCTGTCACGACCTTCTTCTCCAGGAAGATGGCCGGCTTATCGTGCAAATTTCCAGTCCACCGCAGCCGCAGAGAGCCTGCTTCAGGGGCACGGGCGACTTTTTGGGTATAGAGATCGAATTGTGGGTTGTCAAAGTACAGAGAAGTAATCGTAGGGTCGTCGGGGACGGTGTTCAGATCCTTGGAAGTACCAGGGTTATAGATGAGGACGGGAAGTTGCCGGAGGATATATGTCTTCACCTCGAGAACATTGTCCGCGTGGACCCAGAACTTAAACGAGGAGTAGACATCCTGACCGATACGGGGTTCGGCAGGATCTTTAGCTTCAACAACGCCCTGGCTGAGGATCTCGCGGGCAAAGGAGTACATCACGGACAACCTGCGGACCAATGGCGAATAGTCCTCCGAGTTGAATGGGAGCTGTGAGAGGCGCACTTGGAGCAGAGGCTTGACACGGTACCGTGTACCACGCTTGCGGTCATGCTTCTTCGCAGCTTTGAGGAAGCCCGTGAAATTGATCCGACTGTACTTCTCCAGTTCGGTCACTTCCTTGGTGATGCCATCCAATTCCTGCATAACATCGGAAGCGACTCTCTTTTTCTCCTCGTCCTCGATCGCAACAGGCGGTTCATCATCGGTGGAAGTGGTCAATGGGCGCAGCCGGGTCTCGCAAGTGGTGGTACGCTCCCGCAATTGCTGCAGAGTTTCCATCTGGAAAGCATTGACCTTATCGAGCTGAACATTGAGGAGTTCTTGGACGAAGGCCTCTTCGTCCTGCTCGGTCCATGGGGTGCTCTCCGAATCGCTGCCATCTCCAATGACATCATGCTCCCTCAGAAGCACCTTTAGACGATGGTAATCAATATAATTCCCAGCCCATGGGGGATAGATGGAGTTCCGAAGAGTCTTGCCGAAACGCATGGCTGTGATGGGAAAGTACGCACGCGACAGTCCAGAGAATCGAGGTGGAGAGAAGAGAAAGATGGCTCCGCAAGCGCTAGAGACGTAAGGAATGCCGTCCTGGCGGAGACAATTCCGGGAGGAAGGTGGGCGATCGATGCAAGGAATATCTGACGAGGAAGAATTTGGGGACGAAGAAAGAGAAAATGAGGGAGGAAAAGAGAGGGGGAAAAAAAAGTGGCGAGTGTTTCAGCGAGCGAAGCGACAGTATTCCATCTGCTGCTATGGAATTAGTATACGACTAAGGACTAGCAGCCTCGAAGCCAGAAGGCTTGCTGTCGCCATATCCATGCACGTGCTCCCGTCATGACTGCTCTCTCCAGCCTAGTGCCCCGGACCGCCCGCCCCTGGGATTTTGATTGGCTACCTGGTCCAGAACTATCCCCGGCCGGCTCCCGAGCTAGATGCAGGTAATACCAATACCGTACCACGTCCTGACCGCCGGTGTGCTCCCCAGCAGGCAGGCCCAGCAGGCCCTGATACACCGATAACCTCCGGGCCGCCTTTTGCCTTCGACGATGTTATTCGCATCCTGGTTCTGTCCAACCCCCATCGTTGGGGTCTTCCTCTGCAGCCTATAGGTTCGCCCTCTCGCCCACTGCGCATCACTGATCTCCCTAAGGACCTACCTTAATGCTCCTGACCAATGGATCCACTGTCCATGTCACAGCCCGCTTCGCTGGCCCAGTCCCTCCATGACGTCTTGTCCGACCTGCACCAACGCCCATATCCCCATGTCCCTAACCCGCCGTCGTGCAAGAAACGTGCCTCGGTGGCCCTGATTCTTCGTGTCCGTCCCACATATAACCATTGGCCTGACGCCGCGTCCATCTCCCCACCGGATGTATCTGCTTCCGTCCCGCAACGACTGGACACGTTCTTCTCGCAGTCTTGGGTTCAAAATGGGGAGCCGGAAGCTATCTTTATCAAGCGAGCGTCACGGGTAGGAGATCGCTGGACGGGTCATGTTGCTCTTCCTGGTGGGAAGAGAGATCCGGAGGATGTCGACGATAAAGCGGCCGCGATTCGAGAAGCCGCCGAAGAGATAGGACTGGACTTGACCACGAGTGACTGTATTCATGTCGGAAATCTACCAGAGAGGGTAGTGACCTCGAGCTGGGGGACTGTTCCGTACGTGCTATTCTTGAGACTTTCCTGCTAAAAGAAGCACAGCGCTGACCGGAGTCTTCCTAGGTTAATGGTTCTATGTCCTTACGTCTTTTTACTAACATCCAGTGACTCCCCAACTCTCCGATTACAATCCACGGAAGTGGCTTCGACCCATTGGGTACCCCTCCGAGCCCTGCTCTCTCCATCCTTGCGGACAGTGGAACATGTGGATATGTCTCAGCGGCTGGCCAATATGGGCGGACCCATGTCTCGCCTTGCATATCGCTCCCTGATGGGCTATATGCAGTTCGCCGCCATCCGGTTAGCACCAACTGAGAGCCTGCAGTGCAATTTGACCCCGGGGTATGTCCCAGGGGGAACCCAGGCGTCTACATCTCTGTTGCAACGATGGAAATCCTGGTGTCTAGGCAGTCAGGCGGATTCCAGCAGCCAGAGTCAGCCTCTCCTCCTGTGGGGTCTCACTCTGGGCATTTTGGCGGATTTCCTAGATATGCTCCCACCTCATACCGCCGTACAGTTATGGAAATACCCAAATTTCACAGCCCTTGATTTGCGATTTATTATAAACATCCTTACATATCGTCTGCGGAAGCACAATCGGCACCAGGTTAAGTCCGGTGTCCGGCCCAACAACACCGCAGTGGACGAGCAGACGGCTGCGCTGCCGGTTACAGAGACAACTGGCAGCCATAGGGATCTTGATCACAACCAGGTCGGCATTGGGGGACTTGGTGTAGGCAGGTATTATGGCTCCTCGGACAAAGATCCTGCCGCAAGTACATATGCAGTTGGTATCATGCTCCAGGGCTATTATGATCGGGTTCGAGCTGCCATCTATATCTTTCTAGCGTGGAGGGTTGCGCTGGGGTCTACGGCTGCCATCTACGCGTGGAAGTTGGTGCGTCGGCTGAAGTAACTGTACAGATTACTGTCCATACTTAAACGATCTATAGAATAGATGTGCATAGTGTTATCGACGTTGGCCTGCTCTCTGCTTTGTGTTTGTTAAACCTGGTAGTCGGGCGTATTCTACTTGGCGGCACGGAACTGGCTCGGAGACCGTATGGTACTGTCAGTACAGGAGAGTACTTTCCCAACACGACAAGCGGTAAGAAAAGACAGCTAAGCTTATCGACGGGGAAACGAAGCTCGAGATCACTATCTATCTATCTATCTAATGGTTATGGTTGCTTGCCATTATTATCCGCCGGTCGCGATCCACTTGCCTCAGAACCACCACCTCGTCGACTCCAGCCTCGGGACCCTTTTTATGCGCCAGGAGCTACCATGGCCGCTACACAAAAGCTATACCCGCGCGCAACCGTCAAACGCGTCGTCAAGGCTCACTCCAACCGCAACTTGAGCAAAAATGCCGATATTCTGGTAAGCCACCTATCCCTAAGATCGATTGCCGTCTGTCTGGAGACTTACGCGCTTCTGCTCTCTAGATCTTCTTGGATTACATGCTATTTATGCAAGAGTGAGTCGACATCGTCGCTTCTGTTCCACCTACACTCGACAACCTCCCGTCCGCATAGAAAATGGTCTCTTGTGGGAGAGAAGCTGGGGCGAGCTACATGAGTTGGTTGCTAATGCGTGAATGTCTGCCCAGATTGATGCGGGAATCATCATTTCAATCGCGGAAAGCGGGCGAGAAGAACATCTCGCCTAACAGTGTTCGAAAGGTCACTGAGGTATGTTTGCTTGGAAGGACATCAAGAGTGGCTTGCCACGATCGCGGCTGACCCTGGTTCTCCCGCTTACTAGAGGACCCTTCGGAAGTTCAAAGGCTGAGCTTGTGCGCCGTAGGAGTCGGCTTTATTCTCCGGGCTACTATAGAGCGCGGGTGATATCGATCGCCTTGCCTCTAGAATGAGACAAAATCTATACGACGTTTGGAGGAAGGGAAAGGGTTATCGTAGGGTTCTTTAAATTTGGGTTTATTTTCTCCCTCGTCATTTCTCCCCAGGGGCGATGACGAATGGGCTTTGATCGGGCGAGGCACGCCGTGGCGGCGTTAAGCAGGAGTTGTGAGGATACCCAACAATCACGGTGGTCTAAAGCAGCAGGGGTGCCCCTGTCGAAATTGCACTTGTAATGCGTCCCAGACGCCCATCCAACCACCGTTGCACTCGTAGGCCATTGAGTTCGCAAAGGGCAGCACCCACCGTCCGAGCGCCGTTTGGGGGCAGAGTTGTTGGGCTGGCGGCGCGCAGCACGCGACAAGGCCAGGCGGCGCTGAGGTTCGGAAGCCTTCCACCCGCATCTCTTCTCTCGCCGGCGTGTTGCTGCCTCGTCACTTTCCCTCTTCCTCTTCCATCTCAACCTTGACCTTCCTCCCCTAACCAACCCATTTACCAACAACATCCATCTTTTTCTTTCTGGAATTGCGCCTTTCTATTCCTTCCCTGTATCATTTCCTCTTCACTTCTAGATCCCCTGTTCTCTCCCCTGCCTCCTCCTGTCTCTACCCACTCATCAGTCACTCAGCACCATGGCTGCTATCAACACAAACCTCCCACAGTCCGAACCCTCGTCAGAGAAGCAGAAGCCGAACCATGCTTCGAGCCCTTCGGTCGCTTCCAAGCCAGAGGTGAATGGTCTGGATGCCATCGACTACCAACACTTCAAGGACTTGCAGAAGTGCGTCAGCCAGAAACAATCCCTGCGCTTTCTGCCAGATTCCGAATAGGAAGCTAACTGCAGCGTCATAGGAGCTTGCGCAATGCTGTGAAGAAGCTGGTTTGTTCTCCAGACTCAATTCTAGGTTTCGGTACACCGCTCACACGTCTTTTCCCATCCAGAATGCGACCGCTAAAGTTGACGCCATTGTTGCCGAAAATCCTGGAAAGACATTGGACGATCTTGTCGCGGAGAAGAAGATCAACGTCGATCAGAAGGCTCAGGCATTGAAGAAGCCTTCCCTTCAAGCTACTGTTGCTCAGATCGAGGAGCAAATTGCCCAGTTCAAAGACTTTGCCGTTTACTACGAGGAACGGCTGGCTAGCCAGAAGGCTGACTTGGAGAAGGCCCACAAGGAGGAGCTTGAGGCTCTCCAAGAACAGGCCACCGCTGCCGCCAGCAATGCCGGTCAGCAGGAGCTCAGGCAGAAGCTGCTCAACTTGAGCAAGTTCTTGTGCGCTGCCGCGACCGTGAGGCGCTCTGGAGATGAGACTTCGAGCGAAAGCCGTGCATTTGAAGGTGTCCTCTACCAAGTCTATGGAGGTACTCAGGATGCCGTGACCTCCATGCTCAAGATCATTGATGGCGTGGATGACAAGGTGGTTGGTGTTGACGGCACTACGCTGGAGGTTACTTGTGAGTATCCAGTTCACCGCTCCTGCTGGTCTGTTCTGTCCGCTCCTAACACTTCCCCGTTTAATCAGACGAAAGAGTGAAGCAGGTCTCTGCCGAGCTTGCTCCCTCATCCGACGACACCACCCCCGAGGCCGCTCCTGTATCGGACCCTTCTGTGGCCAATGCGGCCTACACCGAACTACAGGATACTTCGTACATCGCCGATGCCACTGTCGCGAACGAATCTGCTCCTGCCGCTGAGCCCGAGCCTGAGCAGGTCACCCCGCCTGCTCAGACTTTAGTCGGTGACGGTGCTAATGCAGTTGCGGAGGCCAGCTGGGATGCAAATGCTTCTGGGGTGTCCTCTACTAATACCGAGGGCTGGGTTGAAGTCCCACGGGACCCCGCCGAGACGGAAACTGGCCTCGAGGCGACGCCTGCCGCAGTGGAAGCGGAGGCGACGAGTGCTCCGGCTGCTGGTGAACAGAGTGCAGAGAACGTCACTGTGCCTAAGCCGCAGGGACCCGACGGCTTCGAGGCAGTTGTACACCACCAGAGGCAGCCTAGTGGCCGAGGACGTGGCCGTAGCGGACATGGTCACGGCCGCGGCCGGGGTGATGGATTCCGAGGACGCGGACGCGGCGAATTCCGAGGCCACGGTCGTGGTCGCGGCCGTGGTGGCCGGGGCCGCGGCGGAGCCAATGGCAATGGCAACGGAAATGGCAATGGTACACCCAGTGCGGCCCCTGCTGGAACCCAGTAAACTGGTTCGGGTTGAGATGGGTGGATCTGCGGTGTGGCTTGGGGGTGGTGCTTCTCTGCGAGAAGTGCTTCTGCCAATCGACGCATTTCAGACGCCAGCGTCTTTCCACTTCGCATGACTCTGGGCCTCTCCCACGCTAGTTCTCTACATCTTGTTGTCTTTTCTCGCAACCGTCGGGGATTTCTGCTTTCATTTGTCTATCTCATACTAATAAACTCATGGGTAATGGCGGTGTCATGGTTGACGAAAGCAATGACTCTTAAAATGATTACAACACGGGTCTCTGGGGGTGAAGCACTGGCAGTGAACCAGTCACACAGTGTCTTTGCCCCACTGTTCTTTTGGATCTTCTTCCCAAAAGTTCCTGTTGTATATGTTTGCAGTTATTGAGCGTGCATAATGTTGCTCTTCAGTGTCTTTTCCTTTCTTTGTCCTTCGAACTCTGATGTCTGCTTCCGCGGGGCCATTGCATTCCAGTGGCGGCGGCGATGGCCTTCCCATTGCGCTCCACTGTTACTTTCCTGTATTCTATTCATCTTGCATTTTGCGTTGACATATGGGGCGGAGGTCTGGACGGTTCACGGCGGAGGCGCAGGGAAGAAAGACCCTGGCTGTTGACGGCCAGGGCGGGACTAGATGGGGAACATGATCTATCCTTCTCCTTTGAACTCTTCTTGAGATACGGCATCATGTAGATATCTTGGTAGTAGGTAGTAGGTAGTGGTTACTACTAGTAGGTGTAAGGGGGGCCGGAAAGGGCATTCCAGCCCGAGGCAGCCAAGAATAGGGCTCAGGGCTATGACATAACCGGTGGGACGCCGACAACAACCCAAGAAGATGCCATCGTGTTGGGTTAAGCTGCTTCTTTTCCACGCTGCCTGCATGGCGCCCTCTCCAGCTCCATTCCTCATGCTCCCTTAACCCTTCCGTTCGCTTCTTCATGTTCTTCTTCTTCTTCTTCTTCTTCTTCTTCTTCTTCTTCTTCTTCTTCTTCTTCTTCTTCTCCTCCTTCTCCGTCTCTCATCTCACTCCTCCCCGTGGACTTGCCCCCCTCTCCGTCAACCACCATGGCGGTAGCTGCAGATCAGCGGAAGAAGATCCTCAAGGTCTTGATGACCTCGCTACTCTTGGATTTGGTAGGCCCTCCCTCAGTGTTCTCATCTACAGGACTCTCGCTAACAGATGACGGCCAGATATCCTTCACCTTCATTCTGCCCCTCTTTCCGTCCCTCCTTACCTTCTACCGCAACCAAGACCCCTCCCCGGACTCGCTTTTGAACCGCGTCTTCCACTATCTCAATGCCTACAAGAACTCCTTCGCGAAGCCAATTGACTCGCGCTATGATATCGTCCTTCTTGGCGGCGCTCTCGGCTCCCTCTTTTCGTTTTTGCAGGCCCTTGCAGCCCCCTTTATAGGTCGTCTCTCGGACCAGCGTGGCCGCAAGACCGCCCTACTCTACTCCATGATCGGCAACACCCTCAGCGTCGCTCTCTGGGTCGCCGCGACCGATTTCCGCACCTTTCTCGCCAGTCGCATTGTAGGCGGCCTCAGCGAAGGCAACGTCCAGCTAGCCAATGCCATTGCAACCGACATCAGCGACCCCAGCCAGCGCGGCTCGACCATGGCCCTGGTGGGCGCCTGCTTCAGCATCGCCTTCACCTGCGGGCCCGCATTGGGAGCGGCTCTCTCGAACATCACCACCGTGGCAGCAAACCCCTTCGCGACCGCAGCTGGCGTTTCCCTTCTGCTCATCGTCGTTGAAACCACATACATCTACTTCTGCCTCCCGGAGACCCATCCTCGCTTCACCAAGCTCACTCATACCTCCGCAAATACCACAAACACCACCACCACCACCCCTACCTCGAAGCCTTCCTCCCCCAAGCGCAAGCAGCATACCAATAAACCCGCGGTTTTGAATTTCATCCACCTCCTTTTCCTCCTCCCTTTCTCCGGCCTCGAGTTCTCCCTTCCCTTCCTCACTGCCACCTTCTACGCCGGGAGCCAAGCCAGCCCCTCCGCCCTCAATGGCCGTCTCCTCTCCATGATGGGTCTTATCGCCTCCCTTCTCCAAGGTACCGTGGTGCGCCGTCTCCCCCCACTCGTTACCGTGCGCGCGGGCGTCGTCGCCTGCACCATCTCCTTCTTCATGTTGGCGCGCGTCTCCTCGGTTACCGGTCTCTACGCCGCCGGCGGACTCCTCGCCATCACCAGCGCCACGGTTGTCACCGGCCTGAACAGCCTGGGGAGCTTGGAAGCACAGGAATCGGACCGCGGAGCAGTCCTGGGCCGCCTTCGAAGCTGGGGACAAGTGGGTCGCGCGGCGGGACCATTGCTCTTCTGCTCGCTCTTTTGGTGGGTCGGGCGCGAAATCGCCTATACCACGGGTGGAATTGTCATGGTCACCGTGTGCGTGGCCGTGTTTACGAACCTGAAGTCGCCCTCGATTGGAAAAGTGAAGGCATAGAGTTTATTTTTCTGTGCATAGAATCCTTGATTAAATGAGTTGCTTTCGTTTGGTTTTGTGACCCGTGTAACATTGCGTGATAGATAGATAGATCGATAGACTTCGTTGAGCGACTCATATACCGATTGGTATATCATACTAGAAGGAAGATTAGATTTGATAAATGTATGAAGAATCATCCACTGACTGGCTGGCTCAGTGACTGGATATGTTATGCAGAATTAGTGGTGGTATCGTGCCAGTATCGATGTCAATCTTTATGCAAGCAGTGGCATTATTCATTACTGGGTATAGTATACACATCTGGAGAGGAGTGGGTGGGTGTAGATGACACAAGAGGGGAGATGGTCAATTGACCTCTACAACTCAACAATAAACAAGCGCGCAAGCAGATAGCCGCCGTAGATAGCACCAGAATGCAATTCCTGAGATAGAAGAAAGAGAGTTCCCATGTTCTTTTTTCCGAACAGCACCGCCGGTGAAGTCCTCTATGTCGTTTGCGTTCCCTGTTCTTGATGGTCGAAAGATAGACAAATGATATCAGGTGGAAGTCGGGCATGAGATAGTCGGTAGTGACTGGTGGAGGCTCTGAGGAGGAGGATGTTGGAGGTCTCAACTATTAATGATGATGAGGGTGATACCGATCCCGATCCGAAAATTCATGGCCCTGGCAGCCTTGCATGGCTAGACCGGGCTCGGTCGCGGGATCCAATGACCCTCTCGCCTTCCCGATTAGCCAGTCAGTCAGAGTGACGAACTTGGGCGTCCGGTTCCATCCACGCGCATCATCGGCGTGCTCAATAGTATGCGACGCAATGCGACCTTCCTCGTCGAAGGAGAAGATGAACAGCCCCGTGAATTGCTCCTCCTTGGACAGCTTGAAGATCGGGGCATCACCACCAAGCAGCACGCTAAGACCCTTGTTTATCCCGGTTTTCGAGGACGAGAGGTGGTTGCTGTGGGTGTTGGAGGGAGAATGAGTGTCTGTAGGTAAGGAAGGGGCGGCAGTGGTGAATGTGGTATTGGAACTGTGAGTGGTCTCTCTCCGCGGCTCGGTCCTCCACCGCACCACAAGCCGCTCGTCGCTGGTGTCGTGGTCGCTGTCCGGGCGCTCTGGGTCGAGGACCGTTCCTGCGCGGACAATGCGCTCACTCAGGATCTGAAGCTTGACATTTCCCAACAGGGGAAGGCTGCTCCATGCTACCGGGACGGTCCAGAGCGCGGCTCGATACAGCGTGCGGCCTTTCACGGTGGGGAGGTGTGGGTGCGTTGAGGGAAAGAGATGAAGCGCTATGCTCGGGGAGAGGATTGCCGGGGGCAGGGGGTTGATAAGGAGCGTGGGTAGGAGAGGCGAGAGGATGCGGAGAGCTGTCAGGGATCGGGTCGGTCAGCGTCGGCTTGACAAGGTGGGTTCCCCCACAACGAGGAAGTATGCAAGGCAGGGTATGGCCTACTCACTTTTCCCAAGCTTCAATATGCGCTCATCGGGGGGCTCATGATCATGTTTCGGGCTTTTGTCAAGGGAATCCGATGTGGACGGTCGGAAACCGGTTTGCGAGAAGAGCGTCGGCGACGCGGGGGTCAACTGCGGTCCGTGAAGGATATCAGGTCGCGGCTGAGCGAGAGTCCGCGGGGATGGGGAGACGAAGAATTGTTCACGAAAGACGGACGGTTTGATGGGAGAAGGAGGCTGTACGAGTCGACATCGAAGAGCGCGTGGCGCAGGGCCAGACACCAGCTTCGGCGGCATCCCGAACTCGGAGCTACCGGAGGGAGGAGGTTCACCCAGGGACCTTTCGTTGGAAGACGATCAATGCATGCCTTGAAGAGCGGCAGCAGAGGGCTTGAGTCCAGTCATGAACTGGCTGATGCATGAGACGATCAGTGTCGATGAGACAGATGATGGAGTGAGTTGGAAGGGAAAAGGAAGCAGAAGTGAAGTGGAAACGAAGCGAAGCGAAGGAAGGAAGCGGGCATGACGTCGGCCCGGTCCTCGCCTCAGGCCCTTCACCCACCCCGAAAGAAACACTCAACAGTCGATTGGTATCTAAATATATTATGATCTGATTACGCCCTCATATACCTCTCATGCCAGTTCATCATCGTCATCATCCGCCCCCATGTACCGTCGCTCCGCCAGATCGCGGATTTTGTCTTCCAGCACGCCACGCCCATAGCGCTCCGCAATCTTCACGGCCGCCTCCACCATCTTGCCATTGCGGTCACGCATCATCTGCACCAGCTCTAGCGCTTTCATGCCCCGTTCCTCACCCTCGCGGCACTCCACCGCCAACAGCTGCAGGAGCGTCTTATCCACTTCCAGCTCCTTCCGGGCCAATTCCGCCCGTTGTCCGGTCGTGGCGTTGGTCGACGACAAAAGGTCCTCGAAGAGCGACAGCATGATGCTACCCCGGACAAAGGCTTCCTCGAACCGTGCGCCCTCTCTGCCTTCCTCCTCTTCCTCCTCCTCCGGGCCCTTCCCAGGCATGTCGGAGATGGGGATGCGGAAGTCGAACTCACTCAGCAAGGGCCGGGGGAAGTACGGGTATTTATCCCCTCCCTTGAGGATGATGCAGTGGAACTTGTCTTGAGCCACGGCGACTGGCCAGTACGTCTCCTCCTTACGGCCGCTCGCAAGACGTTCGAGCTGTTTAGTATCCAGGAGCGGGACCCATCGGGCTTGGCCATTATTCCGCCAGTGCTGCAGCACGAGGAGAACACCCTCGGAGTCGTAGATACAAGGGTCCTGCAAGTCAAGCGTTAGCGTATTCGATCTGGTCAACATGCTGAGATCACTCACTCCCGCATCCGAGAAAAAGACACTTTGCAGCTCTGCCCCTTCCGGGATCGCAACCACATCCTCGTTCTGGCACACCTCATCCCGCTTGACATTCTCCACGGTGTATCGTAGCGTCGCCGTGCGGCCATCGCTTCCCAGAGGACCATTGCCCACCGTCATGATATAGTCTCGCCAAGCGGCGCATGTAACAGCCGGGCTCTTCTGTCGGTACACCTTGAAGGGCGTGCCGAATAACGTATATACACGGACATAGTCCTTGGTCGTCACTGCGACAATGTAGGAATCACTGAGCGCCAGCGCTGCCAAGCCGATCAGCAACCCACTCCTGTGGTCAGTCGACAGTGTCCATACCTCGAATGAATTCCCCCTTTGGCAGCTGGGTCCGCCAGTCCGCACGTGTAGTCCATGTCTCGTGGGGACGGTAGAAGATCGTAGCAGGGCTGTCATCTGTTGGGTTATTGGAGAACAGCGTACCGTGCTCGTCTAGCTCTGGTCAGCATATGTGTCAGTCTATCTGTGAATGCCAGTTGAACCTACTGAGACACGCCCGGTCATAGAGATAAGGATCAGTGAAATGGAAATCCCGATGGAGCTCCCGGTCGTAGAATTCCACCGTCACCGTATTGTGGGTTTCTTGGTCAACCGTCCAGACACAACCGGTCAAGTTCAAGCCTAGTTCGGTCAGCACACTTGCCATCAACACCATCCAGGCAACCCAAATGCCACATACAAAGATACCGCCGATTACCCCTCCAGGGAGTGCTGCCCGGCTGGAGAGGAGCGTGAACTTTGGGCTTCGCGAATGAAGTCAATAGCCGCTTGTCCGCATGGCCGTCGATATCGTCCAGATGCGAGCCCGCGCGTTTGCCCAATCCATTGACACCCTCGGCGTAACCAGCTCCGTCGTCATCGTCGACGAAGTCCTCCATGCCGACATCATAGTTCAGGACATCGTCCAGCGAATCGGGGGTGCGTGCTCTTTCCCTCCGTTCGATCGACTCCTTCGGTCGGTTCGCCAGCGGCCGTCTCACATTGTCGGAGATCTCAGTCAAAGGTCCAGAAAAGATAGGTGCAGCCTGCAGCGGCTTCTGTAGGAGCGGCTGGTGGTCTCTTGATACAATTCCATCATATATGAACAACTCTCCGTCCGAGGTTGTGAACGACAGAGAGTTATTGGTCGGGTGCCAAGCGAGGTTGATCACGTTCGCAAAGTCGTACCGCTCCAGAACCTTTTGCGTTTTCGTCTCCCAGAGCAGAACCTGACCATCCGCACCAGCAGTCGCCAGGAGTGCCCCATTGGGCGACCAGCTGATTGCTGTGACATCCCCATTATGCCCGCCCGAGAACACCTTCTCTTTCTTCCACTCACCCACGGAGAAGACGGCAATATCCCGAGTCGCCTCTGCGCACGCAAACGCCGTTCCATCGGGATGCCAGGCTATCCGCGACGTTGCTTCGTCCTCCGGTTCCAGCCTTCGGATCACCCCATCCAGCTTGCGGACCAACTCGGGCTCGTCAGAGAGTATCGAATAAATATAGAGCATTCCATCCGTACACGACACGGTAACATATCGCCCACTCGGATCGAAAGTGACGTGTTTCGTTCCCTTGGCTTGATCCCGGAGATATTTGACCTTCGTCATGTCCTCGATGTTCACGATCTTGACCGTAAGCTCACTAGTCCAGACAACGTCAGCCATGGAGGTGCCCAGAACGCGCACATTGACGGTAAATGACTAACTCGCTGGCCACCGCGGCCCATTCCCCATCCGTTGAAACCGCTATATCTCGGACTGGCAGCGCGCATCGTACCAGTAGTTTTTCCATCCGACCGGACTCTATCTCGTATTGCCAAACTGTGCCATCTTCCGCACCCATGATAAACGATTCATTCTAGGACAGAATTAGTTATGGATCGAGCGACTCATGAAAGCCGCTAGACATACGGTGGCCCCAATTCCAAGGTGTCCGTCAACACCTTCGTCGATCGTCTTTGGCTCTCCATCCTGTCCGACAGTGTAGATTCGAATTGCAGAGTTAGAACCGCCTGTGATGACACGGCGTCCATCTGGTGTATATGCCAGCACCGTAGTGCCCGGGGTATCTGGAGGTTTTGCAATGTAAGTGATCCATGTTATGGAAGTGGGATTCGAGCAACAGCGGCCTAAACTCACGGGCTGGTCGGCCCCTAGGACGCATAGCTTCGGAAGCCATGGTGAGGTGGCCTGGGGGAGTGGGATATAGGATCTTGAAAGCTGGACAGTAGAATGGACACCTCTCAACGCATGGATCTAGCCCGGACCAGACAATCGCAAAGGCATGTGTCGCTCGTGGTTACGCCGCGGAGGCGAGTCGTTCTCCTGCGACGCGCCTCCCGATTCGGGAAACGCGTCCCGCGCCTGGAATCCACTTTCACCTATTCGGTGGGTAATAAGGGCTTAGGGCACCTGGTCAGGGCTGCCGATCGGGACTCGAAAAGAAAGGCAGTACTCCGTGTCTACTCCGTACATTGCAGCTATCTAGCCTAGTTAAAACATCCACGGTTCAGTTCTTATCATCCGACAGTGGCCCACTCGCCGTGAGAAAATCAAAGTCAGCCCCATCCTGGGCTTGGTTCACTGATCGCTCATACAACCCATGATATCCCCTCTTCCTCCCTTTGGCCTGCGACGCTGCAGCGCCGCCGCTGTTGGATAATTGCTTCCTCGCATCAATGCGCCTTTTGAGCTCATCGTCCGAGACCTCGAGCTGGAGTTTTCTTGTCGCGATGTCACAAGTGATAAGATCGCCGGTTTGGACCACCCCAAAGGGAGACTCAAGCAAGGCCGATTCGGGCGATATGTGAAGGACGACGGTGCCCCCTGCCGTCCCTGACATGCGCCCATCAGAAAGTCGCAGCATATCTTTGACGCCTGCAGAACCAAGCTTGCGGGGTATAGGTATAAGACCTGCTTCGGGCATACCGGGATTGCCCACGGGTCCGATACCTTTGAGAACCAGGACTGAATCTTGGGTGACATGGAGATCCGGGTCATCTATGCGCTTTGCAAGATCTGCAGAGTTTTCAAAAACAACCGCTGGTCCACTATGAGAGAGTAGCCTTCGATCTTTGGATGCTGATGCCTTCATGACAGCACCGTCGGGTGCGATGTTCCCCCGGAGGACAACCAGTGAGGATGAAGGATGGAGAGGATCGGACAATGGCCTGATGATCTGCTGTGAAAGCGGAAATATTCTAAATGCGGAGGCATCCAACACCTCGCCCAATGTCTGACCAGTAATAGTCATGGCTGGGAGATGAAGAAGTGGGCGTAGGGTATGTAGCAACGCCAACATTCCTCCCGCATTATGAAAATCATTCATGTAATTGTCGCCGCTTGGCTTCAGATCGATCAGAAGCGGTGTTTTCTGTCCAACTTCCTCGATAGTCTGCAAGGTAATCAGGCCTTGTACCTTGGGGTGCCTGTTTACAATAGCCATCAGATGTACCACGGCATTAGTTGACCCCCCAATGGCTTGTAGCACAGTGATGGCGTTCAGGAAAGACTCCTTGGACAAGATATCTTGAGGCCTCCGCTCAACGCGTGCCACTGACACAGCATTCGCCCCTGTTTCTTCGGCCACTCTGATTCTTGCGGATGAAACAGCTGGCGCAGAGGCACCTCTGAGTGGCATCATACCTAGGGCGGCTGTGACGCAAGCCATTGTACTGGCGGTCCCCATTACTCCACAGGTTCCAACCTAGATAATTTCCATCAGAAAATGCCCCATCAGAAAAGACAAGGATACTAACAGTCGGGGCAAGCTCTTCATTAATAGCCGCGATTTCCTCGATGTCTATTTCCTTCGCCCGGAAGGCTGCCCAGTTGTTCCGACAGTCGGTACAGGCCCCGACTCTTTCGCCACGGTGACTCCCTGGCAGCATTGGTCCAGTGATGAGTGGAAGAATGGGCTTGTTTGCGGAAATTCCACCCATCAGCTGGGCAGGGACCGTCTTGTCGCAGCCTGAAATAAGGTTAGCTGTACAATGCAAGAGCAACTGTGGCAACTTCAAGGACGGCCCCAAAGGATTTGGGCGTCTGCAAAAGGAAAATTGCAGGTGTAGTACCTCCGATCATGATGCAGGCATCTATTGGTTGAGCACGGATCATTTCCTCCGTATCCATGCTCATCAAGTTGCGTAAGAACATGCTCGTCGGATAGGAGAAACTCTCATGGACGCTAATGGTAGGAAACTCTACTGCTAGTCCTCCATTGAGGTGGACTCCGCGTTTCACAGCTTCAATGAGCTGAGGGACATTGGCGTGACACGGATTGAACCCAGAGAAGGTGTTGATGATGCCAATGATGGGGCGAGAGAGGGCGTCATCCGAGTAGCCTAAGGCTTTGATGAAGACCTTTCGGAGAAATAGAGAAAAATGAGCGTCGCCATAGGAGGCCAATCCCTGACGCAAGCCGGACGTCGACGTTATCGAGGTCGACAAGTCGTAGTCACTCAGCGGGGTGTGCGCTGTTGTGTCCTCCATTGTTTGTCAGCCAATACTGCGTTTCAATCCGAAGAGCTTGGTCTTCTCGGCCCCGAGGGAGGGTGACGTGGATTATTATAACGACGATGGTGACATCGAGGGGTAGAGTCACGCTCGGATTCTTATCCGACGCCCCAGACAATAAAAACGCCCATCTGCCTCGCGCGCCCCATTGGCTTCTGGCCAAGACACCGACGCTATTCTAATGGACCCAGATGCCCTGCACTTGTGGTTAGGAGTCGATGAGAAGCAGAAAAGAAACATTAACATTCTCGGGCGGAGCATTGATAACCAAGTGGCCAGCCCAATTGCCCTGGGGACGATCTATATATGAGGGAAAAAATGAAATGCAACCAAACTCCGTGTATATGCAAGTTGCACCATATGCACCATCAGCCTTTCAAGCACGCTGTCTCATCCGTACCCTTATGTCCTTCTTGGGCAAGAAAGCTGCCCCGGATGGCCTGTGGTCGGGGATCGTAAAGCCTCCGTCTTGCGCGGGTTCGACATCCCACATGGTGATGATTGCCGCAGCAAATGCGAGGAGCTTTCGCTCTGCAAAAGCACGGCCTTTACACCCAGACACTCCACCACCAAAAGGTTTGATGGTGTGTACGCTCGCTTTCCTGGCCCCGGTTTCGGGGTCGGTCGAAATGAACCTCAGCGGGTCAAAGTCGCCCGGTTTCGAGAAATACTGGGGGTCAGTATGGAGAACAGCATGAGGGATAGCAATACTGCCGCCCTTCTTGATATCATACGAGCGAGGCTGCGCTACCCCAGCGGCGGTAGCATCTTCGTCGGATTCCGTGATTGTTAGATCGGACGTGACTCCCCGGAATGACAACGGCGCCGAGTCCAAACGCAAGGTCTCGTAGAAGCTCGCCTTTAATAGTGGGCAAGACTTGACCAGCTCTTCGGTATTGATGGATAACTTAGGGGCTTCCTGGAAAGCAAAGCCGGTCTCCTCCCGGGATATCTTCACATAGGGAGCCACCTCCTTACGGATCTCTTCCAGGAGTGTGGGACTGGCATACATACGAAGGAGGTGCCAGAAAACCACATTTGGAGAGTTTCCGTTCATAGCCCAGAGCAAGGATAGATGTGTAGGAGCGCTAGCCCTTGCGGAGAGCCCTAATTCTTTGCACTTCCGAATCCGCTCCTTTACGGGTTCCGAGATATCGTCAAGATCCCGAAATGTAAGTCCAGGATCAATCCCGTCATCCCAAGCCACAAAGGCCCGGTGATACGCTGTCAGGGCGTCGAGAAGCCGGGTACGTGCAGCATGGGCTGCAGATACTCCGGGGTGAACCAACCGAGGGACGCCCATGGACAAAGGAACGAATTGGTTGTCCAGCGCAAACACATCCTCTAGCAGACTGGGGAAGGCCTCCAGGAGGGCCTCGCCCATGAAAATTGCCGTGGTGACGTGACCCACGAATCTCCGGATGAGTGCGAAGAAGTTCGCCTCGCAGGAAAGCGAGTTATCTCCATCGATCACCACGGTCTGACTTCCCCGTTCCCACAGCATCTGGTCCACGATGCTCCGACAATTGGTCACCAGATTGGGGATCTCCCGTTCGATCAAACGGGTGGCAGTCTTGGTGCCTTGGGTAAGAAAAGGCTCGCGCGTAAGCAGATTGGGGACGTTATGGTTAAGGGCATGATGATCTACAGGGTTCAAGTTACGGATGACACCGCGGTCCCCGAAGATCTTCTCCAGCGCATAGTTGATCAGGTCCGTCGAGGAAGTACCCCGGGCGGTGAACACCGCGTTGACCATGGATGGTGACACGATAATGTGGTGTTTGGTGCCACCCATGTAGATGCCGAACACGGGCTCCTTCATGGCATCCCTGCCGAGCCTGTCAGCAATTGCCTTCCCGGTTGGCTGGGGCTGGATCGGGGCACGAACCTAGATTTCTGGATGAGACTGACATGATCCCAGGCAAAGGCCGGGCCATGGCCCAGCCAGGGGAGCCAGTACGGCACCGTGCGGACGGGGCGTGGATGGCCCGCCTCGGGGGTGCCGCGGAGACGGCTCTGGAATCCGGTGAGGAGGCGAGTGGCCACGCAGATGGAGACTAGAATGGCCGCTAAGGTTGGCCATCCGATGCTCGCCAGACCATCGCCGACAAGTCGGATGAGATCCCCTGGCACTAGGAATGCATACGGTTCCATCGTATGAATAGGACAGGAACGTCCCGGAACCGGGCGTGGCAGGGCAGGGCAAAAAGAAGGGAAACGAAGTCAGGTTCACTGACGCGCTGATCTGAACATTCAAGTGAGAGAAGGAAGGAATTGAGGAATTGAGATGCTGGAATTATTTGGGATAGTTGTTGTTGTTGGGGACGGTAGTTAACTACCGCGCTGACGGCTTAGCTCAGCCGCCGGCGTCATATCCTCGTTTTTTTTTTTTTTTTTTTTTTTTCCTTGGATACCCCCGGGTAATCTCTGTGCCACCACATACATACATACATACATACATACATACATGAATTACAACATACAGCAGAAAAATATCATCCATTCAACGTAATAATAATCAAGGCTCCCGGCGCAGAACCTGCTGTAAGAGGAAACTCTCATGCTCATACCGACTGACTTTGTTCTGCGAGTTGGCCACCTTCTGCAGAAGCCACTGGATTCGGGCACTGAGCTCGCGGGGCTGCTTGGGTAGAGACCCCAGCAACTGCAACTCCTGCTCATATTTCCCGACACTCTTGTTCTCACTGCTCAGGAGCTGCTTGAGGATGTCGAGGTCCAGACGACTGCTCAGGGTCTTGTTCTCGGTTAACCGTTTGAACACCGCCCGATAGACTGGCTTGCCGGGCTTAACCGCGTCAGGACAGCCGTGGACGGAGCCGATGGAGATAAGCTCAGCCTGCTCAAGGGCGCGAAGGGTGGTCTCGCCATTCTCCTTGAATAGGTCGGAGAGCAGGACTTGGTTGTATGGCAAAGTCCCATCCTTGGAGTGGGCTAGCGTCTTGATCAGATGCCATGCCTGTTCGTGGCTCCATTGCTTGGAATCAATGTCAGGGTTTAAGACAAACATCTTCAGGATCTCCGAGGCCGACTGCTCGATGATGCGATTGACAGCCGCTGCCATATGTGTCAGCTACACTCATTGTCAGATTAGATGATTGGGCCCAACGTACCTGGAGGTGTTTCTCCGGCTTCGATCCGCCGTGCCATGAATTCAAGATCGGTCACTCGGCCTCCCAGTACCTCAATGCAGCTATCCAGACAATCTAGGCCTCCAAGTTCCTCCATGCTTTGGACTTGCTTGTCCCCGTCCTTCGCTTCATACTCAAGATGGCTAAGCACGAACTTTCTCCCCACCTCGAGGGAGCAATCGCCCAAAGAAATGGTCCGGAACACAGAATTCGGCAAAGCTCTGCTCAAGGGCTTGGAGAAGGAAACATCAGTCGTCAGAAAAACCACATGAGCAATATTTCCAGTGGTCAGGCCCGCAGCCCACTCTGTGATTTTGTCGTACACCACGCTGTTCTCCGAAGTATTATGTAAAAAGTTGTCAATGACCACCACGGGACGCTGCTCGGGGTGAGCCTCTAGGTATTCTTCGTCGGAGAGATGCGCCTCCTTGTCATCCCTTTTCCGGTTTGCCAATGCGACCCTTTTCAGAGCAGTGGCCGTGTTCTGCCAGATCTTGCTGAGTTGCGCATCCAGGGTTTCGGAGAACCCGGCCTTGGTGCCAATCATACCCTGCGCGGCCAGGTCGATGAAGCTGCTTATGCTGTTCATCCATGAGAACACTGGTCGGTAGCCGACCTGACCGGCAGCACGTGCAATCTTTGCAGTGTCGCCTTTGGCGTCCTGAATCTGCTTACAGTCGATGACAACCTTGTACTTGTAATTCTCGAGGGCCCGGTCCAGCACAAGTTCCCGCTTTCCCGTGCCTCGAGGCCCATGGATGACGATGAATGTCTCGGCATTCTCCATCAGCCAAGATTGCAGTTGCTTGATGTCACCCTGACGATCCTCCCAGATAGCTGTGAGACGGCGGGGATCAGTCCTACGGTGTCCGAAATAGATGATATTGGCTTTATTGGCCTGGTTCCGGATCCATTTGAGGACGCTGTTCTCTTCCGTCTGCAAGGTTGCTTTGATCTTCATCTCGATGAAGAAGGTGCGGATTGGATCGAAAACCGTGACGGTGATGGCCGCAATGAGGGCGGCAATGGCAGGGATCACGATTCTCGGGTGGTTCAGGATCCAGTCCTTAATGACCGACAACTTGATGTTCCGCTCGTACTTGATTTTGACTCTCGTGCCGGACCTGCCGCCGCCTTCCTGCTCCGGGATTGTGAATCCGTGCATGCAGTTCTTGGCCATGACTGCGTATTTGGGCCGCGTGAACGCCACAAACGCATATCTCGGCGTGATCTTCGAATCGAACGGTTGTCTCTCGATGTCTCTCAATTTCCCGTATCTTCTGAATAATGAATACAAGGTCTCCGTGGTTAACTCTGCGGCGGCCCCATCCGCAGAGCCCGGAAGGAACTCCACGCGCAGCCGCTGACTTGGGATACGATACAGATCCTCGATCCATGGCCTACCATGCACATGGGCGACCTTGACCTGTTGAAACGGGTTAAACCATGGTCTGATCGGGTTCTCCTCCAGGTGGTCTTGAACAACGGTCACGATGTCAGTGTTCTCGTCCCCGTCCTTGCGGGTGTATTTCACGAACGCGCCGCCTTCCCTGAAGCGCGGGATAACTTCCCTGATGTCGATATCCAGGCTCTGTGGGAACACTCGACGGATGATATGTAAGGGATCCGACGCCGCAAGATGGGGTCGGTTAATCCGTTTCAATGCCACCTCGTAAGCTCTGGTTCCGCTCAGCGGGCCTTGCAACAGCCATTGTAGCTTGGATGGGAAGATATCTGTTCCCAAATTTGACATTAGCCCAGTAGACGGATCACTTAGAGGATCTGAATCGTACTGTTCACAAACAAAAGACCCTCGTCGTCTTTCACATCAATGTGACCGGTCTCAAGGAAAGAGCCATGGGACGAAGTACTCCGGCTGGCGATGATGGCCTTGGTCACCGAAGGGATCGCAGAAGGCCGAGTGAAGCGTACATGAGATAAAGATGCGCGGGGCACCACCGCTCGACCAGAAGCTCGGATCATCTCTGCAGGCCTCGCAACATGGTGAAAGAAGGACGGGACGGTTCCTTGTGCGAGGGAAGCTGTTCCTGAACTCAACTCCAATCTCCAACTATGACGTCGATCTGCAAAATGCCCGCCGAACGCGCTGTGACGGGTAGATTACCCGATAAGGTGCGTGGCAGCTCTGCATTACCGTCACGGCGCGTTCGGCTTGAAATTTACCTCGCCGATCCCGAAACCCGCAATTGTTGTTGATTCTATCCCCGGCATCAACCGACCGACCCAGACATTCCCCCTCTATCCAACACATTCGCAGTCATGGGTTGGTGGTGGAATTCCACTCCCAAGGAGAGCGAGCCCCAGGCTCCTTCGGCCTCCAGTCTTCCTGCATCACAACCACCCCCGGGGACCACCCCCTCCGCCCCATCATCACCGCCTCAACCCCGGACATTAAGCCGCGAGGAGCAGGCCGACGCAGAATGGAAGAAACTTGTCGCCAGTCTAGAGGGCGACATCAATGGCACAAAGCCCCAGCAATCATCCTCCGCGGGAGACTCCCCATCTCCTGACTCCGCATCCTCCTCCGACCCTCGAGCACCCCCATCATCCATTGCTCCCGAGTCGCTCTACGACGACACCATGTCCTGCCGCTCCGCATTCGACTATGCATTCTTCTGCCAGTCATTTGGCGGTCAATTCGTCAACGTTTACCGCTATGGCGAGCTCCGGTCCTGCAGCGAACACTGGGACAACTTCTGGATGTGCATGAAGACCCGCACGTTACCGGACCAGCAGCGCCGGAAGGCGATCCGCGACCACAACCGCAAAAAGGCCATCAAGTACAAGACCGGCCCCAGCAGTGAAGATGTCTGGGATGTGCGGACAGAGCCGGCTCAGAACCCTTTCTCGGGGGATTTTGCCGCCCTGGAAATCGAAATGCAGGCGCAAGAAGCCGAAGAAGCGCGTCAGAAAGCGGCCCCAGCCTAGAGAGTAGAGACACTTGCCCTTGTTGTCTCTTCTTTGTGGAAACTTGCTTCCCCAGTTTGATGTCATGTAAATGGATACCTGTCCCCAAGGGAAATTTGTATAATAGCTTAAGTATATTACGGCCTTTGATGTCGCACCAACCCCTGAACCCAGCGCACGACAAAGGAACTTGCCCTATATAAAGCGACAATCTCCGACGGACAATACCAATATCTCTTTATGAGACCGGCCTTTGTCGCCAACATCCTCCCAGGTCCATCCCTCTGCACGATTTCCCTATATAGCCGAGCTCTTTCGGTGCCTGGTGTCACATCCCATTATTCCTACAACACCCACTTTCGCAACCAATGAGCCTGCCAACAGTTCATACCCTTGCTGAAATGCTGAGATAGAGCTCAAGCTCACGCCAAGTTCCTCTTCCTTTCCGAATGCTCATCTTTATCTTCCGCATATTAGACATGTTGACCTCCGACGACCCCCTGGATTCCACGCTGTCTCTGGCCATGGACCTGGATATCGACAAGTACGTGGACCTGCCCAGCATCGAATCTCTCCCCTCGACCTTGTCCCCCACAACCCCCGTCATTCATACCCCGGTTTCAATCCCTGTCTCTGTCCCAGTGGCCTCCCCCGTTTCTGCCCCCGCTTCTCTCCCCGTCTCTGCATCCCCACCCCCCTCTCCATCGACCCCCGCGGTCCTTTCATTCCCAACTCCTCAACCCTCTCCTCCCAATCCGATCCAACCCCAGCTCCAAGTCCAACTGGCAGCTCCAGCTTCAGCTCCAACTCCAGCTCCAACTCCAACCCCAGCTCCAGTTTCAGCTCCAGTTTCAGCTCCAGCTGAACCCTCAGCCTCAATCCCAGCCTCAATCCCAGTCCCAGGCCCAGTCCCGCTCAAAAAGAAAAAGTCAGTGACCTGGGGCCCCGTGGTCGAATTCTCCGACGAAGAAGAATATTCTGATGAGGACAACGACGAGGAATATCACGAAGACAGGGATGACTATTACTACGGGGAAGAGGCTCCCTGGACCGCGTGGTCCCAGCAATACTTCTCTTATGTAGCAGCAGCACCCGCAACCCTAACTCAAGCTCCTGTTCCGACTCACACCTACCAGCCTCTTGACTACCAACATTACTACTACAATTACAACCTCCAGCCCCAGCCTCAGCCACAGACCATATTCTCGGCTCCAGCTCCAGCTCCAGCTCCAGCTCCAGCTCCATCTCCATCTCCAACTCCGGCTCCAGCTTCAGCTTCAGCACCAACCCAAATCCCCGCTGCAATGCCAACCAACAACTACCATCACAACTACAGACGCCAAGAAGCGCCTCCGATGCCCCGCCCAATCCGCAAGCCATCTACAAACGCCGATCAAGCCACGTTTTGCCGGAATCTGTGGCACATGGCGGAGATGGCGGAGCTGCAACGAAATATCGTCTATGAGGCGCTGGCGATAGCGGCCCCGGGATATGTGGACCAGGTGATGAGGGTGGAAGAATGGTACACCTGGCAGGTGGCGAGGTTGCATGCGATGAGGGCGCGTCAGACGACCCCCGCGAGGGGCCCCGTCATTAACGGTAGAGTTCAGAAAAATCTCAACATAAGAAAGCGTCGATTGCCGTCCAGAAAACCCCCTGGCGAGGAATTCTACGCCGACGATGACCCGGACTTGATCGAACGGACAGAGAGCTGGCTGTAGGCTCAGAGTCTGCTGGGCAGACCGGGCACGACTCTACATGCGTCAAGTATACAACATATATATTGCAGATCTCGGAGAAGATCTCGGTCGTCTATTCCACTTCGCAACGCGTTTGATCGATGGAAGTACAGGCATCATGAAAGAGACTCCGGAAATGACTCAACTAAATGAAAGCCATTGATACCTATATGAACGAGAAGAGAATATGTACATCAAAATGAGATTGGCTGAAATGGAACTCGCTCCGACACCTTGCCCATCTTTTGGGAGAAACGAACCGAACGCTGCAGCAAGTCGCATATCATCTTCCAGAAGTAGAACCCTAAATGTAAAGATACCATCCCCATAGAGAATAGGGCCCATCAAAACCCCCTTCCAAAAAGCATCGATCCAGTAGCAAGAATTCTGGAACGTAACGTAACCTAGTCACGATCACACAGGTAACTGCCATGACGAAAATAAGCCACCCAACATATACCCGGTCGAATTCACAAACTTTTCTCTTCTCGACATAGGAATTCATAGATTCGTTGCTATCATGACAGGGAACCCATCGCTGGAACCGGCCCAGCGTGGCGGCTTGAGCGCCATGAGAATTTAAGCAGAAACCGTCTGCTGAGCAACCTGGGGAACAGTATCGATAGCGGGCCGGCGCACGATGCCACCAGTGACGGGGAGCTGGGAGCTGATGCCCATGAGGAAAGAATCGACCTCACGAGCACACTGGCGACCTTCATTGATACCCCAGACAATTAGGGACTGGCCACGGCGGCAGTCACCGGCAGCGTACACGCCCGAAACGTTAGTGGAGTACTGGCCAGGAGGCGTCTTGACGTTCTTACGAGCGTCACGCTCAATTCCCTCACCCAGGACGCGGTCTTCGGGACCAAGGAAGCCCATGGAGAGGAGAACAAGGTCTGCGGGGAAGAATTGTTCACTGCCCTCAACGGTCTTCATGTCCCAACCACCGGAGGCGCTCTTGGTCCACTCCACGCGAACAGTGTTGATACCCCTGACGCGGCCGTTGCCATCGTCAACGAATTCCTTGGACATGACACAGTACTCGCGAGGGTCCTTGCCCATGTGAGTCTTGACTTCTGAGTGACCATAATCGACACGGTAGATCCGGGGCCACTGAGGCCACGGGTTGTCCCGGGCACGCTCCGGCGGAGGCTGGGGCAGCAACTCGAAGTTGGTAACAGACTTAGCACCGTGGCGAACAGAGGTACCAATGCAATCGTTTCCAGTATCACCACCACCAATTACCACGACGTGCTTATCCTTGGCGGAGATATAAGCACCGTCGGCAAGGTTGGAGTCCAGGAGCGACTTAGTGTTGCGGTGCAAGAATTGCATGGCGAAGTGAACACCGTCCAGCTCACGTCCAGGAACCTTCAGGTCACGAGCCACAGTGGCACCGGTGGCAATGATAACGGCATCATTGGTCTGGCGCAGAGATTCCAAAGTAACCTCGTGGTCAGGACCAACAGGGGTACCAGGTGCGAACTGGACGCCCTCAGCAGCCATCAGATCAACACGACGTTGGACAACCTTCTTGTCCAGCTTCATGTTGGGAATACCATACATGAGAAGACCACCAATGCGATCAGCACGCTCGTAGACAGTGACGGTGTGTCCGGCACGGTTAAGTTGATCAGCAGCAGCGAGACCCGCGGGGCCAGACCCAATAATGGCAACAGTCCTACCAGTGCGAGTCTTGGGAGGGCGAGGAACCATCCAGCCCATCTCAAAGCCACGGTCAATGATGGCACACTCAATGGACTTGATACCAACAGGGTCTTCGTTGATTCCCAGAACACAAGCACCTTCACAAGGAGCAGGGCAAACGCGGCCAGTGAATTCTGGGAAGTTGTTGGTCATGAGAAGACGGTTGAGGGCATCTTGCCACTGGTTCTGGAACACCAGCTCATTCCATTTGGGAATGATATTGGAGATCGGGCAACCAGTGTCAGACTGGCAGAAAGGCACACCACAGTCCATGCAGCGAGCAGACTGGTACTTGAGTTCGTCCTCGCTGAGGCGGTTGGAAAGCTCCGCCCAGTCACGAGTACGAGTGGCCGGGTTGCGGTACTTCTCCTTGCGTCGGCTGTACTTCATAAAACCTCTCGTCTTGTCCAGAATAAGAGCCGAGCGCTTCTTCTCGGTCTTCGAGTCGCTGATGCTGTCCTCGATATCCAGCATCTCGGCCTTCTTGGCATCTCCTTCAGGAGCCTTAGGCTTCTCCGCAGGGATTGGAGTGCTAGGGAGCTGGGGAAGAGAGAACTCCGCCTTCTTGGCAGCTTCAGCCTTAGCAGCTTCCTCTTCCAGGATCCGCTTGTAGTCCGTGGGCAGCACCTTGACGAAGTGGGGAAGGGCACGGGTGAAGTCGAGCAAGATACGAGCGGCCAGCTCCGAGCCGGTGTAGTGGTGGTGGTCTTCAATCAAGCCGCGAACGAAAGCAATCTCAGCGGGGTCTTCCAGGCCGGACACCTCAACCATCTCCATGTTGACCTTGGAGTGGAAGTCCTGGTTCATATCCAGGATGTAGGCAATACCGCCAGACATACCAGCGGCGAAATTACGGCCAGTCGAGCCCAGGACAAGGACGCGGCCACCGGTCATGTACTCACAACCGTGGTCACCAACACCCTCAACGACCGCGGTAGCGCCAGAGTTACGAACAGCAAACCGCTCAGCGGCCATACCGCGGAAGAAGCAAGTACCACGGGTGGCGCCATAAAGACAGGTGTTACCGACAATGACGTTCTCCTCGGCCTTGAACGCAGCACCGCGAGGAGGGTAGATGATAAGACGACCTCCCGAAAGACCCTTGCCAATGTAGTCATTGGCGTCACCCTCGAGCTCAAGAGTAATACCAGGAGCAAGGTAGGCACCGAATGACTGACCAGCAGAACCCTTGATGTTGGCGTGGATGGTGTCCTGGGGAAGGCCTTCGCCGCCATAACGGCGGCTGACCTGGTAAGACAACGTAGCGCCCAATCCACGGTCGGTATTGACAATATCGCACTCGATTCTGCAAGGCAGACCCTTCTCCAATGCCAGCTCTGACTCGGCGATCAACTTGTTATCGAGGCGAGTGTGGAGACGATGGTCCTGCTTGCGGACGTTGTACGTAGCAACGCCAGGGCGCAGAGAGTGGGCAGGAGTAAGGATGAGGGACAGGTCAATCTTCTCCTGCTTGGCATTCCGGATATCCTCGCGGACCTTGAGAAGCTCAGCGCGTCCGACCATCTCATTCACCGTGCGAACGCCGAGCTTAGCCATAATGGCACGCATCTCATTGGCGACGTAGTAGAAGAAGTTAATCACGTGCTCGGGTGTACCCTGGAACTTGGCACGGAGCGCCGGATCCTGGGTTGCGATACCGACAGGACAGGTATTGAGGTGGCACTAAATATGGAAATTAGTGGAACCCTCATCGAAAACCAATACGAGATATCTTACCTTGCGCATCATGATGCAACCCATGGCAATCAGAGGAGTCGTGGCAAACCCGAACTCTTCGGCTCCAAGCAGACAAGCGACAGCGAGGTCACGGCCCGTCCGGATTTGACCATCAGTCTGGACAACGACACGTCCACGCAGGTCGTTCAGGACGAGGGTCTGGTGAGTCTCCGCCAGACCCAGTTCCCAAGGAAGACCAGCGTACTTGATACCAGTCCAACGAGAGGCACCAGTGCCACCATCGTGACCCGAAATCAAAATATGATCGGCCTTAGCCTTAGCGACACCCGAAGCAACAATACCGACACCGACCTCCGACACAAGTTTGACAGAAACACGCGCACGAGGATTGGAGCATTTGAGATCGTAAATGAGCTGTTTCAAATCTTCAATGGAGTAGATATCGTGGTGGGGAGGTGGCGAGATCAGACCGACACCAGGAGTAGAGTAACGGGTGCGCGCAATAGGGCCAACGACCTTGTGGCCAGGAAGCTCGCCACCTTCTCCGGGCTTAGCACCCTGGGCCATCTTGATCTGCAATTCATCGGCATCGGCAAGATAGTGAGAAGTCACACCGAATCGGCCGGAAGCAATCTGCTTAATGGCAGATCTCATGGTATCACCATTCTCGAGCCTGTTGCTCCGCTCAGGATCTTCACCACCTTCACCGGTGTTTGACTTTCCGCCGAGGCGGTTCATGGCGATGGCGAGGGTGGAATGAGACTCCATGGAGATAGAACCGTACGACATAGCACCCGTAACAAATCGACGAACAATTTCAGTCCAGGGCTCAACTTGGTCGATAGGGATCGGTGTGCGCTGCTCGAAATCGAAGTCAAGCATACCACGGAGAGTACAGTTCTTGATCTGCTCATGAGCAGCCTTGGCATACGCTTCATAGGACTTGTCGTTCTTCGTGCGCACAGCATCCTGCATGTTCGCAATGCTGACCGGGTCGTTGATATGCTCCTCACCACCATCGCGCCAGTGGTATTCACCAGACTCGGGGAGGCCAGGGATATCGACAATACCACGAGAAGGGTATCCACGGTCGTGGAAAGCAAAGGCATCCTGGGCAATCAGTTCGAATGTCAGGCCACGAATGCGGCTTGCGGTTCCAGAAAAGCAACGGTCAATCACACTGTCATCGATACCAAGGGCCTCGAAAATCTGAGCACCCTTGTATGACTGCAGGGTAGAAATGCCCATCTTGCTCATGACCTTCAAGATACCGCCATCACAGGAGGCCTTGTAGTTTTCGATAACCTTCTCGTCGGGGAGCTGCTTGCGGATTAACTTTTCGCGGTTCATCTTCAAGATACACTCCATAGCAAGGTAGGGGTTAATGGCATCAGCTCCGTAACCGACCAGGACACACATGTGGTGTACTTCACGAGCCTCGGCGGTTTCCACAACCACGGCGGCAAGAGATCTCCACTTGTTGCGAACCAGGTGGTGGTGGACAAGACCCGTTGCCAGAAGGGCAGATACAGGAACCCTGTCATCACCAGTAGCGCGGTCCGAGAGAACGAGAATCTTGTCACCGTTCTGAATGGCTTCCGTGGTGGCATCACAGATGGCATCAAGGGCTTCAAGGTATCCAGGAACACCCTT